TTCGTCTTGATACGACCCATAAGCGCAGCTCATTTCTTGATACCAGGCCTGTTCAAGGCAGTATTTTCCTTTTGAGCATTGAGTTATGCTGTTATCGCTGCATGCCATGCCATCCTTGCATGTCTCGATATAATAAAATGCCGCATAAGAATTTGACCATTGCTGGCCATCATTGGATACCCTTATCTTTGCTGTGCCTGGATAGTTCACTTGAGGTGAAACACATATCATTGTTGTTTCGTCTTGGTAAGAAGCAGAAACAATAAACTGATTAGTAAGTCCTGAGTATTGAGGATAGTACATCTCAAATAGACAAGATATGTATGGACCATTTATGACATTTGTTGTTATCACTGAAACCGATGCTCCTCCATGTGTTCTTCCAATGAAAGGTTTTGCGTATAAAACAAATGGTTCATAGGTGTTGCTAACTGTATAGAGCTTTGAGAAGTCTTGGGAATTTAGGGAAACATCGATTTCAGCTTGGTCTGTTGACAGATCAGGGTTAATACAATAAAACTGATTCGAAGCTAAAAATCTTCATGGGGAGGAGACTCCTCCAATTTTGCAGATGAAGTTGCTTGTATCTATAAAGCCGGACCCGCTGATTTTTATAATGGTATTTTCGGTTACTACAGTCGGAGAAATGGTAGAAATTGTTGGATCAGAATATATAGAAAGTGTCGTTATTTCTTTAAAATCTACGAAATTCTGATTATCGCCTGAAAGATTCAATACAATTTCGCTTCCAGAAAGCTGCTTTGGAGCTTGACATGTGATTTGTGTGCTGCTTATATAAGCTGCTTTTGAAACAGTTGACCCAAACTTGCAATAAACTCCACTACATAAAATTTACTCAAAAAAGTTTGCTCCATTGATTGTAACTAAAGTTCCACCAGAGCTTGGAATAATGTTAGGTGATATGCTAGTGACCATGATATCAGGAAAGTAATAAAATTTCAGGCTTGAATCTGTTATCCCTACACCATTCCCAGTCAATTTAAATGGCACATAGCCTCCTGGATAATATGCTGGCGAAATGCATGTGAGTTGATGAGTCGAAAGAGAGGCTATGGAAACACTCTGATCCCCAAAAATGCAGGAAATTGCAGGGTCTAATGATACTCCTGTAATCGTTACTAAAGTTCCACCAGTTCTTGGGCCTGATAAAGAAGTGCCAGAAGTGACCTGCACATCTAGATAATATGTATATTTAGCTGAAGAGCTAGCAAGTTCTACTTTATTATTTGAAAGAGATACACTTACATCTGACCCATATAATTGAGAAGGAGCCAAGCAGAGAACTTTTGATGAGCTTATAAATGCAGCTATTGACCATTCTTCGCCAAATAAGCACCACCACTGATAGGAATTATCACAGCCACTGCATTGAAGAACGACTGGAGTATTCCCTCTTGATGGGCCTTTTGTGATGGATAAGCCAGTGATTGATGGATAACTGGTATAAAGAAAAGAGTTTGATGGGCCATCTAGTGGAGAATAAATAATTCCATCTACATAAATATCCACATAAATAGATCCTGTTCCCCCAGGTGATGTGCATGTGATTTGATTACCCACTATAGTGCCCACTGTATAAGTGCTGCCAAACCTGCACCTTATATCTGAGTTTGAAAGTAAAATATTTGAGTAGCTTCCTACAATTGTGACAGTCGTTCCTCCAGAAGATTTGCCTTGAGAAGGCTCTAAAGAATACTCAATATGATCAATAAATTCAAAAGTCAGCGGATTCACATCAAAAATTCAGTTATTCATTTCTAATTTAAAATCAACTGTGCCTGTTGAATGGTAAGGAGTGATACATTGAAGGGATGAATAGCTCTTCACTGTAGCAGAAACGCTTATATCACCAAATATACAAGATAACTCTTCAATATATCCATTTCCATACACAGTTAGCGTGTCTCCTCCAATAAACGGAGAACCTTCAAACTGCAATTTTCCTAGATAAGGGTGGGGGTAATATTTTATATCAAGGGAATTCGAAAAATCTTGGCCATTATTTGAAGCTGAAATTGATAAAGAGCCAAGAAAAAAGTTTGAGATCGTTAAGTAAATTTTAAAAGAAGCCAAGGAATCAGATATCCAGCTTGCAGCAGTCGTCATAACAAGATTTCCATTTTGAGAGATTTTGACTGATAATAAATCAGAGTTTATAAATCCTGAGCCATCCAGGAATAAATACATCATATATCCTTCCATTATTTGATTTGGGATTTGAGTTGTTAGGGCTGGGGGATCAGCTATCTGCAAGCTTATATCATTTGAGCTGCTGCTGTCTAAATTCAATACTGATACTGTTGATCAGCTGAAATCTGTTTCTGCTTGTATATTAGGTGAGTAACAATTTATTTGCGATGACGAAAGATATTGAATTTGTGTATAGTAAGTGTTCCCACTGGGTAAAGTTCATTTGCATTTTGTTTCAGTGCCATCATATAAATAATTTTGAAAGTTTGACCCAGAAATCGACATTTGGGTTGAGCCAGATTTGCTAATTATATTTGGACTAGCAGAAACAATATTTGCAGAATTGACATAATTCACTGAGAATTGTGCAATAGTTTTTAGATCTTGATCAATTGATAGTGTTTGTTTTCCAGCTGAACTAGCAGAAGGAGAGTAGCAGTAAAGATCAAAATTGTTCTTAATCCCCAAGTAATAAATAGATTCGTGCTTTTTCATGGAACAAAATTTTCAAATAGTAAATTTTATATGAATAGATCAAACTTTGCTTTTATTGGGGATTTCAGATAAACGCAAAAAATGCAAATTTCGTACATCTACCCTACAATAATGAGCAAATCTCGATTTATTCATATAAAATTGCTATTTGAAAATTCCGTAGCACGAAAGCAAGAATTTGCTTATTACTGGAGGGGGTTAGAAGCTGCTACTGTTTGTGATGTCGATCCATCATTAAAGATGCATGAATAGCTTGGCCCGCTCTCCAAATAAAATCCATGAACAGTTATATTTGCTCCTTGCAGCATAACTTGCTCTGGATTTATACTCTCTAACAACCCCTGCCGAAAACGGCTTATTTCTAGCTTACAACTATTGCTATAGCTATCACCATAATCAAACGAAATTTCTAGGCATCATGTGCCAACATCCAATACATTTGATAGCGAGCACATATATAAGTTTGCTGAAATAACATTCATTAAGAGCCCTGCATTATTTCCCCATTTGCAGTATAAATTTTGACCCAAATTCAAATTTGATACTAAATTAATTTCTACATCTCCATTGCTTAACAAAGTAGATGATTCTGTTGTGGATCCAGTTAGCTTATAAACGGTTAAGTAATTAGATGAAACTGTTTTTCCGCTTGAATCGACTATACCTAGTGTATATGTCCCGTCCGATAAAGTGGCAGTGTTGCATAATAAAACATCACTTGAGATAACTTCTGCAGAAATTGTGTTGCTGCTGTTGAAGCTGCAAGACAGATCTCCATAGATCTCTCCTTTTACATAAACTTCTAAAGAGTTATAAAAAATTAGAGCTGGATAGGTACTTGTAATAGAAATTTTACTAATCACGTTAACCTGATAAACTTGGCTAAGTGAAATACCTTGGCTATCAACAATAGTCAGGCTAATGCTTCCCACGGTATTGCTTGGAGCATCGCAGCTAGCAGATGTTCCAGTAATTGAATACAATTGCGATTTTGAGCTCCCAAACGAGCAGTAGAATGCCGTAGATAGATATTTTCCATTTAAACTTAATGTAGCAGGATAATAGCTCTTTGCAGGAGTAATTGATAATATCAAAGGTGTAACTTGAACAGTAATTTGCAAACTATTTGTATACGTAGCATGATTTGGAGAAAGTGAAAGTGCATAAGTTCCTGGAGGCAAGGAAGTATACTCACATATAGCTTGTGTAGTGGAGACAATGTAGGCTGCGAAATAATAATTCCCAATAGCACAGGAATAATCTCCAGATGAATAAAAATTAGACCCAGTAATTGAAATATTGTAAGGAGTTGATGAGTACGCAGTTGTTACATTAATTGAACTAATTTGGCATTGCTTATGGCACTGGTAAAAATCATAGTAAGTTGAACTCCCTGAATTTATCAAAACACTTAATTCTCCTTCTACGCTGCACGTAATTTGGCATTTTCCCAAAAGACTTTGTTGTGTATTTTGAATGGTACAATAAGAATCACTTGCTGCATTTAAATTCACAGTTCCGCCTCACCCTTGATGTGGATAAAGCTTGCCTAAGGTAGTGCTCAGCAAATAGAGTAGATACAAAATGAACATTTTTTAATTTTAATATAAATGATTATTTGAATTTAAACTGCAGAGCTATTATCAGCTCCTGATCCTTGCAAATCAACAGATTTAAAACCGTTTTGCTCTTCTTCTTTTGGTTTTTCTTTCACTTCATCTGTTTCTTCGTCATCTTTATTAACAAGCTTCGATTTACAAGAGCAGGCAAGAACAAAGTAAAGAATCCCTTCACACCAAAATGCCACTGCTAAGATCAAGAAAAAAGCATTTCCTTTATTAAATACAATCGTACCGAGGAAAATGCAGAAGATAGCTTTACCAATGTAAAACCCTAAAAATGAAGTGCAGGACATTAAGCACTTGCAAGGCATTTCTGATAGGGCTATAAGGATTCCAAATATTATATAGTAGCAAGTCAGACAGAAATCGCGGGCATCAAATATTCCTAAAGCAGTAAACTTATAGATTGCTAAAGCTGCAAGAGCAATCCCTGAGATTAAGGTTACTATCTTTAAAACTGTACTGATCTTCACGTCGCTAATTTCTTGCCCTACCATAGTTGTAATAGTTTATTTTTATTGGTGGAGGACTTCATTATTAACTTATGAAAGAGGATGGTTCAATTTTCAACTGCAATTAACTGATCGTTGGTAGGTCAACTGAAATCATTATAGTTAGCAAAGGATTATGTTGATAGAAATAGACTAAAGAAATCTATTTAATTATAATAAATTGTTATAAAATTTACGGCATTTATACTGGACTTTTATTTAAACTAGTTTTTTATCAGTATAGTTTTTTCGTATATAACCTTTAGGAAGATAATTCATATTTCTGATCTTAATTACAGCATGGCAGCTTAGCATTACTCATTTCTTGTATACTATATTTTAAGTGAATTAGAGAATAATAGAGCTAGTTAGATATATCGATGCCTTTGAGATAACATGATTTTTTAATCTCAAAAAATGTAACTAGCTAATTATTTTAAAAATAATTTTTCTAATAAAATCTTAATTTGCAAATTCAACCTGATTAATTTTCTATCAAATTCTTAAAAGTCTTAAATGGATAATAATAAATGATTAGAAGACTTGTAGCTGAATTCGTAGGCACCTTCTTTTTAGTTTTCGGTGTAGGTGTAAGTCAAGGCCAACCTTTCACTGTAGGAGGCACATTATGGGCTGCACAGATTTTTACAGGGTTTTCTTCAGGTGGCCAGTTTAATCCCGCTGTTACTTTAGCAATAATCACAAGGAAACATATTACAAAGACCCTTACGACGACTGAACTTAAAGAATACATGCTTTTTATCGTAGCCCAAATAACAGGATCTATCATGGCAGCCCTTCTTTCTTGGGGTATTGTGAGATACGCTGCATATTTCGACGTCGCTCTCGGCTATAATAGGGGTGAAGCCTTTTTAGCTGAATTTCTTTACACTACTTTACTCTGCGCAAATGCAATTATGGCTGGTGTTTTGACTGATTCAAATTTATTAGTCGGTGCTGCTGTATCAATGAGTGTTACTGCTGGCGATTGGTCAGTTGGAAATATTTCTGGAGGATGCTTTAACCCTGCAGTCGGCTTCGGTGTCAATTTAATCCATTTATTCAAGGACGGTGATCATTTTGGAAATACCTGGATTTATATAATTGGACCACTTATCGGAGGAATTTTGGGAGGGTTAACTTCTACTATTTTCATTAAAGAGCTTCAAACCCAAAGAAGCAAGATCGCTGAAGAAGCAGATGTAGACCACCAGCATTCAACTTAAATTTGGCTAATTCGCTATATCAGATTAGAAAGAAATAATTTCTTCTTTATTAACTTAAGAACCACTATAATTATTTTCCAGAAATGGGATCTTGTACATCAAAAAGTAAACATTCGGAGACAAAAGTCACTCAGGTTACTGAGCCAAACGAGCAAAAACTAGAAAAATTGAAAACTGGAAACCGGAATTTAAAGGGGGAAGAAAAACAGGTGGAAATTGTGCCTGATGCAGAAATATTGAAGCAGCTTGCTACAGAAGCAAATAGGTTTTATAGACCGAAGTGGAGAGACTTGGATAGAAATGCGTTGTATCTTGGGAATCAGATAGAAGAAATCCAGGAAGCTTATAGAGAAAAATCATGAAAAATAGAAGGAGACGATACTCAAAAGAACTATTTGTATAGATCAGGGATATGAGCGGTATGCAAAAAAGGGCTAAAATCATGAATGCCAAACCAGGACGATTTTTATATTTCAATTGGCAAACAAAGCTTTGTAGTTGGTGTTTTTGATGGCCATGGGCCTCTTGGCCATAATGTATCTATTCTATTAAATTTATACGCTTAACGTCCCTTACGGGGTTGCCCATCCCAGAGCTTCCGCCTGCTCTATGGCGCATCGGGCCCACTGGCCTCTGGGTCGACCAGCTTTGTTTCGCCAAGGTGCGTCTAGTTGTAGGTGTTGCCGACTTCGACGGCTCATGATTGAGCTACTTCGCTTGAGGACATGGGTTGCCATTCCGAAAATCCATAAAAAATGGATTTTCTGGTAGGCTCTCGGCAAAAAGGAAAACACGAAGCCTAGGACGTTACGCCCAGTTTCACGCTAGGGAGTTGCCCGATTGGTCCTAACGGACTCTGCTGAGCTTCCCCTTTCCAACTCGCGTGCCTCCTTCCCCATGAGGAAAAAACATCCCTGAAAATAGACTTGGGCTAGGCTCTGAGCACCACTAGAATTGCTTACCTAGCATTGCTGTCCCTTTCTGAAATGCAAAACCTTGCCGGATATAATTAAAATATGAGTCGAGGCTGCATGGCCGGGAGGCCATGCCCAGACGAAGACGCCATATTTTGATTATGGCCATAATGTATCACATTTCGTTAAACTATTCCTTCCTAAAAGCATTTTGGCTCATTCAAAATGGCATGAAAATCCTCAAAGAGCGATTAAAAAATCTTTCAAAAATTGTGAAAAATCATTGGCGACTGGATTTCCGAGCTCTGATTTGATTTTCAATTGAGATATATCAGGGACTACTTCTTCATTTGTTTATTGTGATGAAGCCCACCTAATAGTGGCTCATGTTGGAGACTCTCGTGTTGTTATGGCTAAAAAAATAAATAATGAGCTCAAAGCAGTTCCCATAACAACTGATCATCGTCCTTCAGAGCCAAGAGAAAAAGCTCGGATTGAGAAAAGAGGCGGGGAAATTTTAATACAAGAAGGCGAAATTATGGAAAGGGTATATGCAAAAGGAAAAAATTATCCAGGATTAGCAATGAGCCGATCTCTTGGGGATAAATATGCAAAAGAGCTGGGAGTTACTCATAAGCCTGATATTGAGATTTTAGATATAAGTGAAGAGGACGAGTTTATATTAGTCTGCAGCGACGGAATCTGGGAATTTATTTCAGATCAAGAAGCTGTAGACTTGATTGGAAAATACCAGGACAATTTAAAACTAGCTGTAGAAAAGCTAGCAAATCTTGCTATAATCAGGTGGGGGTTTAATGAAAGCCAATATACTGATGATATAACAATTGTCCTTGCTTATATTCCTAAAAGAAATACTGATGAAGAAGATTATTAATTGCGATGAATGAATAATTAATTCATTCACATTTCTTATGTTTCATTATAAAAATTTAATAATTCATCTGCTAAAAGCAAAAGAGTAAATTAATATATAATTTAAGACAGTCTAAAAACAGTGCTTTAGAGATTTTGGTATGCCATGCTAAGAAAGTATTTATTGTCCTAAAAATTAATTATTTAATAATCTCTAATTATTTCATTTCTATAATTTTGGCAATATGGTTAAAGATTGAACCCAAAAAACTGCAAATATTAATACAGCTGATACCTGCTTTTAAGCCTAGCATCAACTTTTGTTAAATTAAAACAGATTTACTCCCCAATAATGAAATCACCTCATTTGCAAATTATTAGATCCCCCTTTTTATAAAAAAATTATAGTAATTAATAATCATTATATGAAATTTCTCGCTAATTCTGTTTAATTTTAAACAAAATTGCTTTTTAAAAACATAATTTATCCATTAAATTAATATTTGCTTTTCAATTTTTGCTAATTTGAATTTTTAAATTTTGGGAAAAAAAATTATTATAAGATTTATATATAAGTTTTAAAAAAAATCAACCCCTATGTGAGCGAACAATATTTTTTTCTCACGGATACGAGGATTAGCAAAAATCCTTTGGAAATCCCTAATTTTTGGGTAAAAATCCTTGAGAGTGCATTGATTGCTTCTTTACTACTTTTAGCTTTTAGCAATCATATTTATAAGAGATATAAAGTAAATTTATTTAATCGTTTTCGTTATTTCCTCAATATTGTAATAATAATGCTAACTCTTGAGATGAGCTCTAGGACTTTGATCCTTTGCAGGATAAAAATAATGACTTCAAACTGCATTGAATTAATCTTTTAGCACTATAAATCATTCGAAACCAACAGAGTCTGTATTATTTAATATAAGAAGCTTTAAATTTTAAAAAGAAACACTAAACAACGACTTAAATCATTTATTTGAAATTTCATTTACCTCTTCATTTTAGCTATTAATATGAGAACGACCCAAAAAGAACTTCTAAGTTCTACCTCTCAACCCAAAGGGTCAACAGGTTTGTATGCAGCTCTGCAGAAAGAAAGGACAGCAACTAAATCGCTTCTGACCTCAGTTGGCAAGCAGGTCATAGGAAAATCAAAAAAAGCAGTTACTGAATTCAGAGAAAACCAAGACATGAAAGAAGCGCTTATAGGCGAGGTTCGAGGGTTAAGCAACTATAGACCTCCTGAGAAAAATGAAAGGATCGAGACGATGATCCAGAAGCAAAAAGAGTCAAGAAGACTAAGACATTTGAACCTGCTTAAGGAGTTTGAAGGCTGAATTGAAGCTTTGTATGATAATTTGGCTCACAGTGGAGAAGATATGATTTTTAAGTGGGAGCAGTTTGCAAAAGCAAGCCAGGATGATCTGGATAAGATGCTTGATGGCTTATCCGATGATGTTTTATTATCAAAAGAACTTGAATGACTTAAAGCAGCTTTCGACAACTATGATAACCACCTAAAGAAAAGGAGAGAAGAAGCTGAGACGTTAAGATCAGGCTTATTCAAGCTAGAAAAAGACAGGCAAACCTCAGTTGATAGCTTCGTAAATCTTCTTAAAGATCAGCTCATCGAAATCGCGTTTATGCTGGCACCAGAAGTAGAAGTCCTTGTTGGCGAAAAAAGGTCATTTGTGATGCAAACGGTAGAGGAAAGAGAAAAGCACATAATTGGTCTTATGGAAAAGTTGTGGGCAGGCGAAGAGATTTTAAGAGAAACTTACAAAGAAAGAATTGAAGCAAAAGAGGAAATGTGAAGAACTGTCCATCACGATTATACGCTACAGCAGTTTAAAATCACTATGACAAGCAGTCGATTTGTTAATCCTGAAGAAAGGATAAACATGTTTAAAGACTTGAAAGGCAAACAAGTAGAAATTTTCCAAAAAAGACTAGAGTGACTGACTAGGCTAGGGAATATCTGTGCTGAAGAACTCACGCAGGAAAAAGTTGAGGGCTTTATAGATAAAATTTCTAAGCTCAATAATAATGCTCAGCTTATTTATGATGAAAAAATTTCGAAAATAGTGAATTTGCAAAGCAAAATTGATTCAGAAGCTGATGATTTGTTGGAAATTACCAAAAATAAGCTGGAATTTTATGCAGCGAAGATCAGTTATGAAAGCTTAGATAAGCTAGTAGACACTGAGTGCCAAGTATTAGTAGATGCCAGGAAAAACGAAAGCAAAAAATTACTAACCAAGTCAATAAAATACCTAGAAGACACAGATGTGAGGGCAAATGATATTTGCAATGTTCTAGGCAACTTTTGGAAAGGAATGGCTGTTATCTATGATGAACAGCGTAAAAAGCAAATAGAAGAAGAAAAGAAATATGAGCTGGAACTTGCCACACGGGGAGATCAAAATGATGAAAATTTAGACACACTTGAAGAAAGGTTTAAAGAAAATGTGGATAAATTAACAAAGACAGTTACCCCAGAAGAGCTTGAAGAAAAACTTAAGACTTGCTTCGCTATTTTAGATGATATTGGCACTGAATACCGCTCTTATACAGAAAATGTAGTAAATGTCATAAATAATCATGGAAATATTATTGCAAATTGCTATGGAGTCTTCTTTCAAAGGCTAGGTGAAAAATTCGGCATGATGCCTCTAGAAAAGAAAAATGACTATTTTGAGCAGATTCGACAAGCAAAGCTGAAAGAATATGAAGAAGAAAAGCAAAAATTAATTGAAGAGGGAAAGAAAAAGGCTGGAGGAAAAAAGGAAGAAGAGCCAAAATTTGAAATGCCAGTGCTAGAAGAATGGGAATACTCTGAAACCAAGTGGTTTTATGTCAGAAATGTCAAAAATATCATGGAAGAAATGCTAATTACAGATGAAGATAGAGAGCAGGAAAGAATTCGACTCCAAAAAGAAGAAGAGGCAAGGAAAAGAGAAGAAGAAAGAAAAATCGCAGAAGAGATTGCAAAAAAAGAAGAAGCTAGGAATAGAGGGAAAAAGCCAGACCCAAAGAAAGCTGAAGAGAAAAAAGTGGAAATTGTCCAGCCTTCACCAGAAATTGTAGAAATTGTTGAAGATCCTGTGCCTATTGATCCTGAAGGGAATCCTTGTTTAGAAACAAATGTATTTATAACTTATGAAATTCTATCTAGTGAAATTTTGAAATTAAGAGAAAAATCAATAGACTACGTGAAATCTGAAAAAGCACAAAAAATAGCTACAGCTTCAAAACTTGATAAAAAATTAAAAGAAGCTTGTGTTAATGAATTAGACGAAAAACTCAGGTATTTATGGCCTAGAAAGGGAAAACTTGAAGTCAATGAATATACAGCAAGGTCTAGCGAAATTCGTGGGCATCATAAAAGATATGATAGGTATCTTGAAGAATTCAAAAAAAAGAAAGACTCCAATGTAGCTGAATTCCAAAGCTTGCTGGATGAAGCCAATAATATGCTAGTCAGTTATAAAGTATCGCAAGACCAGCTAAGAGCGCAATTGCCAAGTGGCACAAGTTTAGCTGAGCTTCAAGGCTTGCTAAACAGAGCTAAAGACAATGACTTATCAGTCTATCAAAAAGGGAGAAAAATTATTGCAAGGCTTGATGAGCTGAACAATATAGAAATTTCTTCATTTTCTCAACAAAATGAAAAATTCATTTCTGGGCTGCAACTTATAGAGCAAGGCGGCCAATATTCAGTTCCTGAAGTAGAATTCTATAGATCAAAAACCAATGCGCTTGATCAAGAATTGGGAGAGCTGCAAGGAAAAAGAAGAGACGTAATAGAAGCTTTGAAAAAGAAACTTGAGATTGAAAGAGTTGAGCCTATTAAAGCATTTGAAAATAATTTAATTAAATTGTTAAACTGGGCATTGGTGAGCAAGCCCACTAGCCTTTGCCTCGTCTCGTCTCCAAAATAAAGTTTCCATAACTCTTAGAGTTCGAATCAGGAAAAATGAAAGACTGTTCGACCTGAGCCACCTGTTCAAGGGAGACACCTGTATAATACCCTGATGGTCCTGACAAGGGGAACTATGTGGTAGGTAAAACATTTCCATCTTGTAGAGAATGGAAAACCTTCGAGGGAGAAACAAACTTTCCTCTTCGACACGGCATTCCCAAGACTGAAGGCCTACTTAAAAAGGAACGGAGGCACTACTTTTAGCTTCATCAGGATGTATCCTACATGCTTCTTAGGGAATCCCACCTCGGAGACTAACTTCCGTCACCATCTGCATTTATTCCTTTTACATTTGAAAAGGAATATGCTATAAGTATGGAAAACCTATCAGCAAGGGAAGGAATTGGGAAAAAATATAGAGCACCGAAAAGAAATGCACAAGAAAAAATTACCGGAGAAATGACTAAATGCGAGAGAGCGCAAGGTGGAATTGACAATACAATTGTTGATTTAGAAAGATTAGTAGAAGAGTATAAAGATATTATTGCAGCTAAAGCTGAACCCAGGTTTTCTACCAGAACTCCATCATTAGCAATAGAGATAAGAAGGACTCTGATTTCTCTTACTCTCCCCGCTTTAAATTGGAACAAAAAATAATGTTTCAATTTAAAAGGGTTGGTTAATTTTTTTTTAAAAATAATTATTTAAATTTTTTTCCTTTATACTTAAAAATCTTAAAAACACATAAAATTAATTTTATTTATTTATATGAAAGAATTAAATAAAAAAGATCGATTCAGCATAATAATTTGAATTTTAATTTATTTTATGTAGAATTAAATTAAAAAAATGATTGATTCAGTGTTGGAACTGTTTAAAATAGCATTCTAATTGCATTTTATCTATTAAATTAGGTCAATAAAACTATCTTCAACTTTAATTTCTTTAAAAAAATATCGTTATTTGTAGATTTTTGAACTTTACCACCTAAGTGTGGAATTTTTTCCGCGTGTGAAAAGAGGATTCCACATGTGAAATCAAAAGGGCTCCACACGTGAAAAACACCTTTTCACACGCGCAAAAAATTCCACACTTAGGTGGTAAAGTTCAAAAATCTGCAAATAACGACATAATTGATTGCAATACTATTAATTTTATCAAGAATAAAAAAGAATTAATCATTTAGTGTGAGAAACTGTTTAAATAACATTCTACTTGCATTTTATCTATTTAATTAGGTCAAAACTAATTTTATAAAAATTAGTACTTTCATCGATCAAAATTTTCCTATTGAAAAGCAAATTGGTAAAAAATTTAAAGGGTTTAAATTACCCAAAAAATGCAAATTTTATTTGATGCTTTGTTCCAATTTAAATGGGGGAGTTAGAGCTTGCATGCAAAAATATGGATCTCATATATCAGCATTTAAAGAAGAAGCTGGAATTCAGGCATTGAAACCAATGACCTGGCGAGAAGATTTGCCAAATTTAAATCCAGCTCCTGAAGAAATCCTCCAAGAAGCTTCGAGACTTGAGCTTCTTTTATCACCGCTTTTTGAAATTGGAGTCTCCAAGCAGCCGACCAATTTCTGACAAAAAATCCTTGACATAGAGAAAATCGCCCGTGAAGAAACCCTTAAACTTTATCCAGGAAAAGGCGCCCAAGTCCCTGATTTCATGGAGAAATATTTAAGAAAAATGAAATCGTCAGTAGAAGATTTCAGATTGAAAAGAATTAAGGCACTTAGAGAATCTGCTGAAAGGGTAACTGAACTTGAATCAATTTTAGCTGAATGCACTATTAATTCATTAGAGCTTGGGATGGAGTTTGTCTTCGAGCAGGACATTGAAAGAATTGAATCAACTCTTATGGTGAACTACGAAAATGATGAAAAACTTAAAGAGAAGCACCAAAAGCTATTAAGGCCAAATCTTTCTAACCCCAGCTGTAGAGCAGAGCTAGAAGAAATCAATAAAAATGAAGAAGAAAGGTGCGGAAGAGCCAAAAAACTTATAAAAGACGCCTATGATAATTTCTTGAAGAGCGTTAGGAAAAATGCAGATGAGTTTAAAATAAAGCTTTTAAATAATACTGAGGCACTGTTGTTCTTGTATGACAATTTATTGATAAAACAAGACTTTATTATGCTTCCCGGTGACGAGCAAGAAGAACCAAAAAGAAGCAACATCAAAAGATTGGCAAGAAAGAAAAAATCAGCAAAGCCAGGAGAAGTTGTAGGACCGAGGGGTTATAAGAAAACATGGCCAGGACTGCAATTAAACGTTTTGAAACTTCCTGAAGAGCCGAATATTTCAGACTCAGCACCTATACAAAGCTATAAACATATTGGGCATAAATCCTTGATTAAAATCAGAAATGAAGCTTTTAGGGTATTTTCTTTACTTTTTGAGACCAAACTGAGAGAGTATGTTCATAAATTCACAGAGATGCTTACAGAGGAAGACAAGTGGGAAGACAAATGGAAAATTTCGGTTCATTTTTTGAGAACAAAAAATACTTAATATAAAATCCTTTATGTGACAATTTAAGTGTTTAATTTTGATATAATGTGATAAAAGCTATGAATTATTGGCTGCTTATTTTCATAAATTTTCTCCCCACAGGCAATTAATGCACTTTTAAATGACTGATTTACTCGATCTTGATTGCTAAAAGAGCCACAGAGTCTGAATGATCTAATATTAAGGTTCCAGTTAACAGCACTGCAATATGATTGATAGCTTTCTTCAAAATGATGTAAGACTTCAAATTCTTTAGCTAAACTATCAGCAAAACTTGCATAGTCTGGGTGAGCAAACTGAGGGATGGCCCTTATATTTTTATTTTCAAATTTTTTTTAATTCCCTTTTGTAAAGCTTCCTCATCAATTGGTGCAAGCATCATTACAAATACCATTGCAGCCTAGATCTCTTGAAGTTTCTTGATAGTAAAATAAAGCCCACTGTACACCAAGCAAAAACTATAGTTGGATCATAAGATTAAAAGCAAATTCATAATTCTTTAAAATTGTATAATTTGGAATATAATAGTAATTATTCTTTCTTATGCATTTTACTTATTATTATAATAGATTATGCAACTATGCTGGCCATAAGCGGTAAAACTCACTAGTTTCCCCCAATCTTGACTCCAAAAGTTGTCTTTTTGAATTTTTCTTCTGGGACATCTGTCAAGGGCAGAGCCACTACCTGTAGAGTGCCCTGATGGTTCCAGCAAGGGAAGATCATGTGATATGCAAAACCTGTCTAGTCCACCTGGCTGGTGCAGGAAAGCCTTAGGGGAGAAACAAAGCTTTCTCTTTGGCAAGGCATCCCCAAACCTAAAGCCTACTTCAAAAGAGATAGAGGCTGCTTTCAGCTTCATCAGATTGAACCCTACTTGCTCCATAAGGAGTACGCTTTGTAGGCGAATTTCTGTCCACTTCACCATTTTATTTCTACTTATTAGGCATATTTATTCCAAATATAATGAATTACTCTTAACTTTTAATAGCTTGGAAGAGTGTTACCCAATCAGAAGGAGTCTCACAATTAGTTGCATCTGGTGACCAAATTCCGTTAATCAAATACTGAGGAGTTCCAGTGATACCTCTTGTGAAAGCATAAGTGGTTGATACTCCTAAATCATAATAATAGGCATTATTATTTAAAGCATTTGAGACTTGTCCAAATGGAGCACCAGTTGCAGTTTGAGTATCAGTTGCTAAGTTGCTTTTAATTGTAGCAAGATTCCAATATAGAGCGGTATCAAGATACTTATCTTGATGAACAAACATCCAAGTTACGAAATCGGTAAAGTTTTGTGGGTAGTTTAATTGGATGAATCTTCCAGCTACGCCAACAATGAAGGCATAGTAGTGATAAGGCAGAGGGTGAATGTGGATGACTAGTTGGAGCCAATCTTTATTTTGCTGCCAATACTGGAAGAGTCCTGGCCATGCAGCAGCTGAATCTGAGCAAAGATGATCGTAGAACACTTCAAGAGTATAGTTGGTGGTAACTGGACCCATAGCAAAGCCGTCTGAAGGTGTAGCAATTGGAACCCACTGAGTGGCAGAAGCACAAGCAATGATAGTGACTGCTAAAAGCAACTTCATATTTATTCACCATTTAAGAAAGTGATAAGGCGAGTGAAAGTTGTTTATATTTTAAGGAAAGGAGTTTAGACTTCCACTAAGGATAATTGAGAAAAAGATTCAATTTTTTGCGCTACTTAAAATCTTATGCATTTTATAACTAATTAATTTTGTTTGAATTATAAAATAAGACATCAGCTTTTCTATTAATTTAAAATTTTAAATAGTCCATTTATTGAATGCCTTAACTGATACATTATGAAACTTGAAGCTTATATTCTTCATTATCGAAAGCCCTTAAATATAGCTAACTTTGAGTGCATAAAAAAAGATAATTTAAAAGCTTATATTTATGCAAAATATTTTTATTTAAAACTTTATTATTATTTCTCAAAATCTGTCATATGGATAAAGACTTATAAAATGGCAGAACTTTCAATTGAAGAACGACAAATTTATGACAGGCAAATAAGAATCTGGGGAATGGAAGCTCAATCTAAACTAAGATCAGCCAAAATTCTTGTGATAAACTTTAATGGGACAACCAGCGAAATTGCTAAAAATTGTGTGTTGAGTGGGATGAGCTTAGACATTCTAGATGACAAAATTATCGAGCAGCCAGATCTGAATAACTTTTACCTTAGAAATGAAGATGTTGGATTAAGCAGAGGAGAAGCTGGAGCGAAAAGAATCCAAGAAATCAACTGTCTAGTGAAAGTTTCACAAACCAAAAACGCAGATGGAAACTATCAAGTTGTTGTGTTTAGCGGAGACACTGCAAACTGCGCTGATATTAACAGATCTTGTAGAGAAAAGCATATACCTAGCTATTATGTGTTTAATTCCAGAGAGGCTGTTTTAGTTATCGCTGATCTTATTCATCCATCTGGAGAAATCTCCTACCTATCTTTACCAGAAATAATTGAAAAAATTCCTTCATTTTTACAAACCAAAAAGAAAAAGCCAAATTTAAGATTCTACGCATTTTTGCTAGCTCTCTATTGCAAATTTCAGAGCCTTCCTTTAGAAAATGCACCACCCACATTCATAGATGATCAAGTCCTTAAACCCTTATCTGAACAAATTTTCTTTTCATTCACACAAGAATTCTACCCAAGTCTCTCGATTGCTGCAGGAATGGTGACTCAAGATATAGTGAAATTAATCACAAATGAGAAAGCGGCCTATCAGTTATTTTTCTTTGATGCAAATGATTCTGTTGGAATGATCGAGTCATTCAGCACTCAAAGCAAAGCAAAGACTAGCTTGCTGGCTGATATAGAGATCAGTGAAATTGATTAATAAATAACTAACGATGACCCCCCCCCTCAATCTTCATGTCTATTGCAACAAAAAATGCAATTTTTTAATATAAAATTTTATATAAAAAAAATAATAATTTTCATGTCTCTTGCAACAAATTATATATAAAAAAAAAAAAATAATTTTCATGTCTCTTGCAACAAATTATATATATTAAAATGGCGATACGTGTCAGCCTGCCCTCTTGGCGCAGCATTCCAGAACTTATGGCTAATGCGAACTGGGACGGACCCCGAGCCGAGAATCAGACGCAGGCTCAAGAAGTGTATATCCGGGCAGGTTTTGGCTGCTTTCCTGTGGTTGGAAATAGATGCGCTCAACAGCGTCCTTTTGATCCGAGGACCCATGGGCATTCCTCTACCGAGAAACTGGGGTTTTTGCCCAGGCCACAGGGGAACAGTCTTTTTCGTGTAGCTGTAGAAGGAAGGTACTTTGACACCCGATAGACTCTAAGGATCCTTGGAATCAAGCTACTCCAATTTCCCGTAGCAGGGACGCAGAAATCCATAAGCCGCCCACTCAAGGCTGAAGCCGCAAGGCAAGGAGGAGACAGAAGGTACCGGAAGGGCACTCGTAAGAGGAATAGACCCTCTGAGCTGGAATCGAAAAGCGGTAGAACCTTCTGCACGGGAGGTCTTTGGTGACTGTGTCACCAATATGGCTAGCGTCTGTCTGTAATAATCCTAATCCTCTTGCAGCAAATTTTAGATGCGCATCTTAAATTTTTCTGTACTTTTTAGCTAGATAAGTTTAATAAAATGGCGAGCAATGACAATAGCCGTCCAAATCTCGATGAGAAGGTCATTGACACGCCTACAGCAGCGCTGTTTTATGGGGTTTTTGAGAAACTCACCAAGAGAAAAATGCATTAAATTCTTTTTTATAAAAATGTTGTGTTGCAGTAGGCATGAAAATTTTTTCGATTTTTGTTGCAGTAGACATGAAGATTGAGGGGGGGGTCATCGTTATATAAAATGGAATTGCTGTCAGATAACATTATCCTCCATCATATACTTCCCTATATTGATGCCATTGTATTGCCTGAAATTATTGACCTTCGTTTTGTAAACAAAAGGTTCAATCGCTTAGTTGTTCTTTATTATAGAATGCTATTAAGCCAAGACTCTATACTAACTTCAGAGAAGGCATTTAAAGAATCCATGCATGCGACTGTTGGCGAATTCTTTTCAAAGGCAACTGAGGTAAACGAGGCTTTCCAAGAAGTTATGAGGGAAGCCTATGAGAAAATCAATAAAGTTTCAGTGGAAATTATGAATGATCATATATTCCAGCAAAACCAAAATAGAGTAGATCCAGACCTTCTGAAAGTCTTAGACATTTTGGCATTTTGGTTTGATATAAAATTAATTGAAAGAAACGCTGGGGCTAAGAAAAGTATCACTCAAAAGCAAAAGGATAACATTAGTAAGTACTCAGCTCTTATAAGCGAGTACTGATTTTTCAAAAACAATTTCAGGAAAATGAAATGTTTGCGACTGCCTGAGTCTAAGATTAAAATGATCAAGAAGAAAGCCAAAAAAATAAAGCCTTCTTTAATAGAGTCATACGAAGCAGTCGATGGAATCGCCCAATACTTTAAAGGGGTCATCAACTACTACCCCCCTGAAACTCGACTTCCCCTCATCTTCTTCAAAAGGTTCAAAGATTTCGAAGAGCTCTCTATCGAAGACATTTCCAATTGGGGCCAGTTTCTTCTCAGCCATATGAAGGTAATATTCTAACTTATTAACCTGAAATTCTTATTTAAGATTGATTTGCGACATCTTCAAAGTTTTGTCCTCCCACTAAATCAGGCACTTCTTCTTCTCCTGCTTGCTCTTTGCTAGCTTGAACAAGATCTTTTAAGACGTCAAGGTTTTTAGGTCCTAGCTGAGTGATGATGCCTGGCATCAGATCTTTGATTGTTTTCACTTCGCCTGTGCCTGAAACCACAAAGAAATTGTCTTTAATGTTAGCATTGACCTGTGGGTTTACAAAATGCAGCACAGTGTTGTCGTCTTTGAAGAAATTGACTTCTTCTATTGCAGGCAATGGCTGAACTCCGAGCTTTGATATTGAAGATCGCAATTTCTTGTCATCAACCATGGTCGTTTTGTGAGGAACTTTGTTTTTACGTCTCATTGAGCCTTTTCCACCTATTCTCGCGGATTCGCCAAATTTAGCTGCGAGTTTGGCACGAGCTTGGATTACTTCAGGGTCTTCCATTTATGTAATATCTACCACAATATTAGCAAAACAATGATCGTAAAGTGTAAAAGACGACAGATTTAAATTAATTGTTATGTATTCTCTATGAAGAATAATCGGAAAAAATTAATTTAAAAAAAAAATTTGATTTATTATATCTTATGGCATAGAAAGCTTCTCTCTTAGTATGGAATGATGCTTTTTTTTGAGTTCATAAAGTGCATCACTTTTTTGTTGGATTTCAGACGAGGTTTCAGTAATTTCTTTTCTTAATGCACTGAGATCTGAAGTCCCTTCTTGAGATGTTTGAAGGAGGTGCTTGTATTTTTGACCCAATGAGGAAATTTCTTTTTCCAAGCTCTGGATTGAGCTGAAGATGTCTTCTTCAGTTGTAGGAGCAGGATCGTTTATTTTAACGCTTTTGGAAAACGATTTTTGAGGAATTGGCTTTTTTAAGGAAGATTTTGGAGTTTTCGAGCTTTCTCGACGGCAGCAGGTCTCACATATAGGGGATCTTGATTTTTGAACATGATTTTCATTAGCTTTTATTGATAAACTTTTTTTTGGCCTTCTGGCTTTAGATTCTTCAATGCTTGGGGAAAGCTGTTTTCTGCTTGAAGAGCTGCTCAATGATTCAATTTTTTGAGTCAGAGAAGCTTTTTTGTAGTCATGCAAATCATTGATTTCCTTTTTTAAATATTCTATCTGCTTTTTTTGATTTGTGGCAATTTCATTTAAGCCTTTGTTTTTTATTTCAAGCTCTTTTATTGTTTGGAGAAATTCGCTTGCTTTTAGGTTGACTTCATTTTCAAAATCTTGATAACTCTAAATAATTTTTACTTTTTGCAAACTGCTCTTTTGTTGGTGCGTTGACTCTCTAACTCCCTCAATTAGTAAGTAAAGTTTGCTCGCAGATGAGGCTGTTTTATTTTTTTAGAAATTTTATATATAATTTATAATAAATTTATTATCCTATTAATATATAATATTTTAGGTTTATAAAACAGACTATTTTATTACAATAATTATTATTTATATATAAAAAAAAATTTACAATATTTTTATATTAAAAACTTTTTGCTTACTTAGGAGGGTAGGATTTTGCCCAAAAAGGGATTTTTCCAATGTTGTTTTCACTTATAATGCAGGGAGAGTAAGGAAAGCGACTTCTTCTTCTAAAGTAGCATTAATCCTTCTAAGCTGCGAATTTTCTTCTTCAGTTAATTTTTTGTCTCTTTCAAGCCCCAATACAAAATTTGAGGAGCTTTGATGCTCATTCATTTTCGCCGCCAGCTGATTTTTTAAATGTTCAATCTCCAGACACAAGTTATCCCGATCTAAAATAAACTGTTCATAGTTTGTTTTTCCTTGGTTTATTTGGTACAAAATCTGATCGTCTTTGATTTTCATTTGCTCCTCTCCTACCATCATTCTTTCAGTCAAATTTTTGATTTCTTGCTCAAGGTCAATAATCGTATTTTGATATTGCTTTTCCTTTTGGCCAGAATTTTTAACCTCTTCCATAAGTCTTTGCTGCCACTTTTCTCTATCTGAATTGCCCTTCCCTTCTATTGACGAAATTTTATCCTTTAAATAAGCGTTTTCAGATTCCAGTGCCTTAATTCTCTCTTGGAGAGCCCTCATCGCGTTTGCATAGGCTTTTGAGTATCTGTCTCCATTTGATGCATATTCATTTGATTGAGAGGGGGAAAGAGTATCTGCGATATCTTTATAAGTCAATGGATTCTGATTTTGCTCAGACATATATAATTAAAAATATAAACAATTTAATCAAAAATGTAAGTTTATTGCTTACTGCGAATTACTTTTCTGGCTTCTTTCGCCATCTCGAGATAAGGCTTCCTTTCGTCAGTGCCCATCGCTTTCCAGGCTGTTCTGAGCTCTTTCACCCTTTCTCTATATGTAAGCTCTGGCTTTTTTTCTTTGAGTGAGAGTATCTGACTCTTGCAGTAACAGCCAAATGGTGTTATCCTTCGACGCTTGATTCTAGGCCTTAGAGTCTCAGACACACTTGATAAGTATGATGTGCGGAGTTCACAGAGCTTTTCTTCCAAGTCTTCAAGATCCTTCAAGATAGCAGCTTTTCTTTTTGTAAGATCTAAAATATTCTTATATACCTGTTGTTGCTTTTTGAAGGTAGTCATGATCTTTTCTTTTTCGGTATCTGAAGCTTTCTCCCAAAGAGCTGTTAACTCATTTCTGTCCTTGATATCCAGATGCTCCAAAGCAAACAGTCTATAAGGTGTAAGTGGTCTAGGTACAAAAGCCTTGACACTTTTGGTTTCTTTCTTGGAGTTGATTTGCTCGTTAGCTTTTTGCATTTTGTAAGACATTTTTCGGCTGGCTATTTATATTTTCGCGTATCTTTGGCGGTACGAAAATTTTCACTATACTTACTTAATTTTAATTATAGAGAGTCACATTTTAATATGCTATTGAAAAATGATAGAAATCTTTCAGAATATTCCTCAGCAGACTTATTCATTCGTGGGCTTTTTTGATGACGAGTTCTGATCGCGCTATATGTATCCATGATACCTAGAATGTAGACTTTCGATGCATCTTTTCCATTCCCATCAAATACATGTCGACTATGCCGGTGATGCAGATTTTCTCTATTGATGGAATGGGCGACAGCCAAAAACAGAGAGTACTCAACAAGCTCAAAACTGCTTAAAAATTCAACGTCATCATGGACCATCATTCTTACCCAGCTTTGATCAATATATGATAAATGAATTGCTTTTTGGATTTGAGAAAAATCAAGATCTTTGAGCATAAACTCAGTAGGACAAGTCTTTATGTCATAGCTTGAAGGATCAGATAAAACCTGTCTGTCAAGCTTTGTGCCTTTCAATTCAAATAAGGCAAAAGAGTCGATATCACTTGGAATTATGTTTTCTAATATTACAATATCGTAGCTTGGCTTTGATTTGATGCTGATTGTGAAGAGTCCAAGGACTCTGACCAGAAGAGATTTGTTTCGCGAGGTTTGCGAAATGTAAGTATGAGCTGCAGGAAGCGTTGAAACTAAGTTTTCTTTGTCTTCTGGGGATATTTCTTTTAATAAAAATTTAGAGTTAAAGGAAAAGCTATGCAGGGACCGAGTTGGATAGCCAGAAAGGCTTAAATCTTGGGAGTCTTCGGAAAGGCCTGTAAGCAAAGATTGTACGATATCACTTTGAGATATCCCATCAATGCTTTGCATGTGGAAAAAAATTGTTGGGGCGTATTCAATGACTTTGCAATTAAAATGTTGGACTAAATAGCGATTACACTTTTTCTTGATTTCAGGAGAAATATCACATCGTACTGATAAATCATTTTCCATTATATTATGCTCAATGATTTCACCATAAAATTCTTGAGCCCATGGAAATGTTTGGTTTTCCAATTCATTTAAATTTATTTGGTTTTTTCCTATTATTTGAGTAAGGCATAATAAAGTTATTTGCAGTTTTTCGTTTTGGACTTCTTTGTCGCTGAATCTTTTAGCTGGGTAAGGCTCAACTTCTTGGTATTGAGTGACTGCATTTTCTGTTTCAATTAGCTATATTATATTTACAGGTTCGATTAAGTCAGCTGTGCTTTCAACTTTTCTCATTATTTCTCTAATTTCAGGCGCTGTTAGCAGTAATAAACATAAGATAAACCCTGTTAAGCTTTTTGATATTATCATAAACTCAACAAGCACACTCAAGGCAGGAGAGTTTAGATAAAAACATATTAAATATTCAAGTGTGAAAGGGAGATTTAACAGTGTAAATGCTGTCAAAATAGTGCAAGGAGTTAGTGATTGAATTCTTTTTTTATGCCTCCTGAATGAGTAAAAGCATATAATAATTGATGTCAAATAGACAGGCAAATAGAGATAAAAGATTCACATAACTAAATTAGCAAAGCTTTCTTGTTTTACTAATTCACCCCAATTTTAGCTATTGGAAATATCCTACTTCTTGAAAATTTGATTTTCTTTTGCTTGCGAGCAAATTTTGGTTAATATAAATTTACTTTATATTTTGATTTTTATTGCTGTTATAATAAGATCTCCAGATAATTATATTAAATTCTAGGCTGATTTTATCCTAATACATAATTATAAATAAATTAGATTTTTTATTTCAAATATTTAAAAATTTGGAATTCAAAATTCAAAATTCGACGAAAAAGTAATTTCATAAAATATTTGTGCAGTTTTTTTTTAAAATATTAACCTCTTTTCTTACTCCCCTAAGCGACCGAAAAAATCATTGGAAAAATTTTTATTTTTGACTAAAGCCTTTATAAAAAAAATTGATATATAAATAATAATTATTATTATAACGAAGTCTCTAACTAATTTCTGTTTATTTAATTGCCCTATATTTTAAAAACATAAATTTTGCGAATTAAATTAATTCTTACTTCTCAATTTTACGAATTGAAATATTTTCAATTCAAAAAAAAATTTCACTGTCTAAGTTTTTAATAAAAACCATAACCCTCATTTAACGAATAAAAATTATTTTTAATCGCTCACGGAGGGGAGTATTAGCAAGCAAAAAATCATCCTCGCTAATAAAGAGGAGTAAGCATGTATTGTTTATGGATAACCCAAAGCCATCAAGACATGCGATTACTATAATAATCCCAGTTGTAGGGAGAACAGCGAAAATTTGATAATAAGTGTATAATTTTAGCCCCTATTTAGTCTGCTTGAAATCCAAATTCTTAGAAAGTCAATTTAAAATTACCCTTTAAGTCAAGCAGCAATTTAAGGTAAATTTCTATATTGGTAGTCTGCTCTTCTAATTCTTTTGGATGCTAGAATTAAAACTTCTATTGAGAGAGATAAAGCGAAGTTTCATGAGACAATCATCAGGAAAGTATTCAAAGCACCATGCATCAGACAGGTCTCAGAATTACGAGGCTCTCTAAATAAAAACTACTGGATAAGTGCGTAATGGAATCCTGTGTATGCTTGATAAAATGACTGGATTGAATAACTCTCACAGAGCATTAAAATCAAAAATCCTGGCCTTTCTCTCAGTTTTTTTACTTTTAGATATGCAAAAAGTAAGATCATTCCTGAAAGGAATGATAAAAAGTCTGCAATAGTGTACGAGTAAACCTGAAAATCATTCAAATGTCCTGTTGGCTGCTCAATGATAGTGTCTATTACCATTAATAAGGTAATGTAAGTTATTAATTATATACACATCATCAATCTTATGGGGAAGATAAATAGCGAATGCTTAAATTTTAATAATTTATAATAAATACAGAAAAATCAGTATTTATAACTGTAATAAAATCATATTTCATGCTTTAAATTTAAAATGGCAATAAAAAACACATTAAATGTTTGACTTTCGAAAATATTGTAAATTCTAATTAGAATTTTATTTAGCTATATAAAATATAAATTGATTTATTCTAAATTAATTTGCAGATGCAAAATACATGATTACTAAGTAATTTGGCGATAACAATAAATATAAGCTGCAGGGAATTTCTTTCTATTATTAAAACAATTTATGTTTTGTGTATATTAATTTCTTCTCGGCATTGAAATGCATTTTATTTTAATTTTTTAATTGAATAATTTCTATTATTATTATAATGAAGTCAAGTTTTATATATTTGAATTATTATTTCTAAATGATGCTTTATTTAACCTAGCAGCAAGCTTTCTTTTGGCCCTTATCTTTTTTGCCACCGTTGAGATTGATTGTAGGTTTATATTCTTCCTCTTCTTTTACTTGAGAAAGTGCATTTCTTGCAATTGTTTGGAAAGCTTCATCTACATTTATGGCATCCTTAGCTGAGGTTTCGAAAAACGGCATATTGCCATTATCTCTACACCACTGTGAAGCTCTTGCGTTCGGGACTTTTCTTTCGCTTTCTTTATCAAGCTTGTTTCCAAGCACAACGAATGGGAAATTTTCTGGGTTTTTGGGATTTGACTGGCTTAAGAACTCATCCTTCCATGAACTGATATTATCAAAGCTTTTACTTGAAGTTATATCATAGACCATCACGCAGCAGTCTGCTCCTCTGTAAAAGGCAACTCCAAGGCTTTGGAATCTTTCTTGGCCAGCGGTATCCCAGATTTGGAGAGTTACCAATTTATCGTCAATCATTACTTCCTTGGTTAAGAAATCAGCACCGATTGTGGCTTTGTATTGCTGGGTAAAGCGTTTGTTGACATATTGATTCATGAGAGAAGTTTTTCCGACCCTAAATAAAGGCTTACGCTGAGTCACCTAAGATGATTACTTTCAACAGATGCTTTCGTCCAGAAGCCATATTTTATAAGAACTATAAAAAGGTTCAATTATTCAAGAAAATTTAGCTTTTATGCATTTAATCTAACATATGCATTATTTGAGCGATTTTAGCTAGCATATAATATAAAAAATAGGCTTTAGTCTTGATAGCATTACAAAAAATTTATTTGATATATCCTCCTGCAGAGAAAAAAATTATAAGAAAGATCAAAATGATTACAACCGCGAACTGGGCATAAGTTTTTACAAAACTTATACAGCTAACATATCTGCCTTTTGAAATAAAAAGGCAACAGAGCTTTGTAGAGTTCCAGTGAATACCTTGAAAATTATTCGAGTTCAATATAAAAGCAACATAGTCATGGCAGTTATTCGCCAAAAAATTGTATTTTTCTCCTTTGTATTTTTCGTCCCCTAGATTAATATGAGAATCTCACTCTATTAAATTTTCAACTTTTAGCTTTACATATTTTGTAGGTGCACCAAATATCATTTTGCCTACCTGAACATAAAACGATCCAGCATAATTATGAATAGTTCCATCTGATGCACAAATCCCTGCGTGGCCTATAAACGGAAATAGCGCACTTATAAGTGGTAAAGGAGTTCAAACTATTGAGCATGAAAACTTATCATTAGGCTTATCAATTTCGTTTATCATTATAAGCATTAATGAAATAAATTATAAAGACTTGACCCATTAGACCCTTCAAAAAACGAGTCAATCAATGATTTTTTCTCTTCCTTTTTAGGCTTTATTTGTTTTTTAGATGATAAATTTCTGTGGCCTGTAGGTATTTTGTTTAATATTCTCTGAATATCTTCTTCTGTGTATTTAATTGGAGTTACTCTTTCTTTATCAGTTTTTTTTGGCTTTTCGTCTCTTTTGTCTATTCCTTTGAATCTTGTTACTCCACCGCACCTTTTGCACCGGTAGACGACTGCATTTTTATAAGTTTTTTTCCTAATCTTTTCAATCATAAAATCACAGGATTTCCCAGGTATAAGTTTTTCAGAGCATTTCTTGCAAATTAGCAGTCCTCCTACAACTTCGTCATCTTTTGCTAAGCCTTCTTTAATTACTTCTTTTCTGATTTTGTGTAAAGCAAATCTTGATATAGCCATGCCTTCATATGCTGCAGCTACCCTGGAAAGATAATTGAAATTATGATGTGTCATTTATAAATTAATAAATTATTAGTCTAATAGTTGAAGCCTTTTATTTCTAGCTTTGGTCATATACTGCCGCCTATACTCCATTTTGCATTTTTCTAAATTGTTTATATATTCAAGCAAGTCTTTTTCATTTCTTCTTTTGCTTTTATCGTCAAGTTGAAGCTTTACTGTTAGAAGCTCCTCCATAATATTTTGTGTGTTATTCAATGAAGCTTCTTCCTCATCTATGCTTACTTTTCAAAGAGCTTGCTTTTTTCTGTATTTCTCAGTAAATGTGTTTCTTTTCACAAATTCTTTTAGTTTTCTTGTCCAATACACTTTCGTTTTTCGGGCGATGTAGCCTCTGGCAATTCTTTGAATTATTCTGACTTGATATGTGTATTGAAGATATTCCTTATTAAAATTGACTTTTGATTTCTTTTCCTTGAATTTGTTAGCAAGAAGCGAATATCAGTGTTTTAAGCGCTCCCAGAAAAATACTCTCCTAAAGCCGTCTATTCTCCGAAGGAAAAGCTTTCTTTTTGCCAAGAAAATTTTGATAGCTCCTTGGATCATTATAGCTGATTTTGTATAAATTTTGAGTTTTTTCTTCTCCCATGCTTTTTGTATAACTACACATGAGTGAATAATTTTCACTCTTTGCTCAACAGTAAGTTTTTCGTCAAAATAAGGGTTATCCAAATCAAATAAAATTTCAGGTATTGTTTGCATTTTCTTTAAGGTCCTGACGCTCGACAAAACAACTTCTTGATATTCCGCTTTTAGAGGATTAACAGGAGGATATTTTTCATAATTCCTTGCTCTTATTGCTTTGGTGTGAGATGTTTTTTCTTTTGCAGAAAATCCATCACTTTCTTGTTTGGCTTGTCTTTCGTTATACATTAGAATGGCGCAGAGAACCGACATCAACCCTCTTAACTGCTTTAGTTGACAACCCACAAACCTTGAGGAAGGGGAATGGCATTCGGGAATGAGGCTTTTCTTGTTTTGGCGAAGAGCAATGTATGATTGGCCCACCGCATACTTTATTCCAATGCCATATTTTTGCCTAGTGGGAACTGGGTCGGAAGTTGAAAAGCAAAACCAATGGCGTTCGTCTTAAACACCAGAACTATTCCCCATCATGAAACCAGGAGCTAAGCTTGGTAGCCTTTTAAATTTTTAATGGTAGACAAATCTCTTGATATATGGCACGACGGCATGGCTCACCCACGAATCATGTAGCAAGTACAGACCCTTGTCCTGCAGGAGAGACCTTTTCCGATGTCATGTAACGAGAACTGGCGGACAGGCTGGAAGAGTTACAGATGGAGATAGTCCTTGTAGAATTACAGCGAACTTTTCGATAAGTCTTAATAACTAACTAGCTTGTCTTTCGTTATATTCTATGATGAAGCTTTTAATCCCTTTCTCAATTTCAGCATTATTATCTAAAAGCATCCTAACCATAGATGGCTCTCATTCAATTTCAGGCAAAGGCTGGGCAGATGATTTCTTTGTAGGCGAATTTGATACTTTTTTTGACAGATTAAGAGAAGATTTGTTTTGCTGCTTTGATGTTATTATAACAGATATGTTAGGAGCTGTCGTTGATATGCCTTGCTCTATTGCAGCTCGCTGCCTCAGAACTTCTAATTCAAAATTTTGTCGGCTATGCTTTATACAATGACTTAAAACGTTGAAGACATTCAAAATTTCTCCATATAAGCAGGCTTCAAGAATTTTGATTGGCTTGGAGTATTGCTCTCGCCACGTGGAGATATTAACTGAGCCTTGTGGAACTGAAACATACGTTTCACCTTTCTCATTATAAGTCAAAAACGTATTTTCAGGGCCAATTTTTACGTTCATTATGTTTTGTACATGAATTTCTGACAGATTTAGATCGTTGTCATCAGGGTCGTCTTCGAACTGCATATTAACCCTCACTCCCCCCCTCCTTGAGTGAGTTAACAAAACCATTAGAAAAATCGCCATTTTTTGCCCAAAACCCACCCTCCGTGAGTGAACAAAAATTTTTTTAATAGAAAAATTTTTAGTGAAAAAAAAATTGATATATAAGTGATAATTATTATAATGAAATCTCGAGCTAATTCTGTTTAATTTTAAACAAATTGCTTTTTAAAACATAAATTTTATAAATTAAATTAATATTTGCTTTCCAATTTTTGCAAATTAGGATTTTTTTAAATTTCGAAAAAAATATTTTCTATAAAATTTATATATAAATTGTTTTAAAAAAAAAAAAAAATTTTAACCCCCCTCCGTGAGTGAACAAAATTTTTTTGTTCACTCACGGAGGGGGGGAGTCAGGATTTTTCTTGAAATTTTTTCTAGATGCTTTTTTTGTGGAGGCGTGTCAAATTTTACATTAATTAGGTGCGATAAAATGCTGTCTTCTTTTATTAACCTTCACTCTTCTTTATACTCAGCCTCGGATAGCGTTTTTTCTGCCAGCTTTGTCTGCAGTCTCAATCTACCTGTTTTTCTGTCTGATATCGCTTTTATTATTGCGATGTCTTCAGCTCTAGAAATATTTATCCTTAAAAGCTCATTTGTGTGTTGGCTTTGCTGGAGAACTTCTTTCATAGAATTTGTATTTTGGGCTTTTTTTGATTGAGTCTGATTTTTAGGTCGACTGGACATTTTATATGAAGTATATTGAATTAATTTATCATGAAATTAATTTAATGATTGATCTTTTATTATTACCGAGCTTTTATTTGAGAAATAAGCAAATATAAATTATCACTTAATTAAGGACTTTCAAATAGTGAAATTTATTAATCTAAATGCGCGCAGCTAATAATTTTTAATCATAAAAAATCAGTTGTAGAATCATTATAATGACTAAAATTCATTTTAAGAATTTGAAACAAATATTATATTCCTTTTGTGCTGAGATTACTCCTATCATTTATTTTAAATTATAATGCTGCATTTTAAAGAAGAGCTTAATTAACCAATATAGTATATATAAACTTCGTCATAAGATGGAAGATGAACTCAGCTCTCCTCGAGACATAGAAATTGATGGTCGGCAGCTTCGATCAGTCTTGGGTTCTATTTCAAATCAATTAATTGTCCCATTTCTAGAGCGAAGGGGCCGTTCAAATATGCACAAAGACAATCCTTTAGATGAACTCAGAGATGTAATCCAAGAGCTGACCGAAAGAGAAAGAGAGCTTCAAGCTTGCATCGGTATTGCAACAATGCTGCTTGACAACAATGACACACTTAATAGCAGACTAAAAGAATACAAACTCAAAAAAGCCATTCAAAAAGATAAAGCTCGCCTGCTCAACATTGAAATCAACAGATACAAAGAAGAACTTTTAACCTCAGAAGAAAAATATGAACAAGTTAACGGAGCGCTAATCAAATGTGAAGAACAGTTATTAATTATTACAGCAGAAAATAAAAGAGTTTTAAATGAAAGCTGCATGGTTTGGCATGAATTCAACTCCTTCTTTGAAAAAAGAAATATGGCAATAGTTTATTTCTACGGTATATTGCAGCAATTTATAGCATATTTGTAATATATTTAATACTCTATTTTTATATCTCTAATATGTAAATAATTTTAATTGGTGCAAATTTTTATGTTAATAAATAAGAGAGTTCAAAAAGAATACTGCAGATTTGGTCTATTATATCGTTTTAACATAAATCTATATCAAAAAGGCTTAAAATAGACAGATTGTAAATAAATCAATTCAAGCATAATCATGCATTAAGACATCTTCTAGCGTTATTACACTAAATAAATGCTTTAATTTAACATAAAAATCCTCCTCATCCAAATAACCTTTTAAAAAAGTATTGTATACTAAGGATGGAGATAGATTTAAATATATTATAAAAATTCTATAAGCCGCTCTAGTATAGCCCCAGAACGAATATGATACAATATTTTTAAAGAGAGGAGGTATTTGTCTTTGAAAGAGGATGAGGAAGTTTTTTCTATTCAGACAGCTGCAAACTGAAAGAACTCCCTGATACTCTTATGATTTCAGTTAAAAACTATGAAAGTGAAATAGAAGAGCTAAAATTAAGCTTCAGAAAACAGCTGGATGAAATGCATAGGACAAAATTCGAGCTGGAGAGAAAACTTAAAAGAAGCTTTGAAGAAAAGAATAAAATGGAAAACCAGCTCCAAGAAGTAAAAGAGGAGTATGAGAAATTGGATAAAAAACATTGCATATGCATGCAGAAGCTAAAAGATCTTGAAGGGGAGCTGGAAAAATGCAAGGACGATAAAAATGAGATTGAGAAAAAGTATGAAATAATGGCTATAAAATTTGAAAAAATAAGGAGCCAGAATGAAAAACTGGAGGAAGATCTTAATGTCATTGAAAATATGAACATAAATAGAAAAGCTAACTCAAGAAGACAGAGTAGACATATGAGCTTGCTGAATGAGCTAGAATGTATTGAAAACGAAAACGGGTTTGAAACCCTTGAAGAGTGCGAAATTGAAGAAAAACCTTCACCCTCTCCTTCAAATGGCAATTATAGAATCGAAAGATCGAAAACAACAACTACTCGACCGGAACCGAAGTACCAAAAAGGGTTTATATCAATAGCTTCTAATGGAAAAGAAAGCTTTATTTTTGGAAAAGAAAAGCTGTGCAGTATCGTAAACGAAGGAAGCGTCATTATTGAAGGTAAAAAAGAAAAAATAACAAGAAAGGACCCTGCAGAAGAATACTTTTTATTGGTAATTTTAATATAGACAACCCAAACAGTCAAAATGAATTCTCCTTACATGGAAACAATCTGTATAATACCAGCACAAACACTTTATCAAAAAGCTATAAGAGATAACATTCCGTTCCATAAGTGGCACGTGTGGGTGGAGAGTGAGCTTAACTCTGCCTATATACAGTCTTTGTACAATACAGATACTATTTCCTCTAAAGCTCCTAATTTTCTTCCTTTATAATAAAGAATAAAATAGAAAAAAATAATATAGTTAAAATTAAAAATAATTTTGATTAAAAAGAAGTAAGCAAAAAGATAAGAAGAGATCAATATTCCCTTTTTAATTTGAATTAAGCCATTATTTTTGATCCCATTAATTTCAATTTATTTTAATAGAAGAGTGCTAACTCTCCACCTAAAAGCAAAATATTGCTTGCTCTTAAAGGCATTAAGTTTTAATTTTATGTTAAAATAATTTTAAACGAATCTTTAAAAAACTATTTTCGCCATATTTTGATTATGAGGTTTGACTTTACCTATAAAAATTATACCGGCAATGATTGAATATTTAGCCCGAGAGTGCACAACTTCGGACGGCTACTTCGAGGAATGAAATTTTCTAGAAGTATGCGCCAACATCAGGCGGTGGAAACTGTGATCTTTAGCGTACCTGACGGACACAATTTTGTATCGAGAGCTGGAAGGACAGTCGTAAAAATCCTAACTCCCCCCCCTCCGTGAGTGAACAAAAAAATTTTGTTCACTCACGGAGGTTAATTATTTTTTTTTTAAAAAAATTTATATATAAATTTTTATAAAAAATATTTTTTTTTCGAAATTTAAAAAAAATCCTAATTCGCAAAAATTGGAAAGCAAATATTAATTTAATTTATAAAATTTATGTTTTAAAAAGCAATTCGTTTAAAATTAAACAGAATTAGCTCTAGATTTCATTATACTAATTATCATTTATATATCTAATTTTTTTTCCATAAAAATTTTTCTATTAAAAAAATTTTTGTTCACTCACGGAGGGTGGGCTTTTGGGCAAAAAATACGGATTTTTTCTAATGGTTTTGTTCACTCACGGAGGGGGGGGGAGTAAAGCAAGAATCCGAGAGACCATTGTGGTGCGAAGCCAACAGTATATCACATTATGGTAGATCAGGGAATTCAGAAGCAGGGGTGAAAGCCTATAAGGTGATATGGTATCGAATGTTAAGCGAAATCTAGCTAATTAAGTGAGTGAAAAGAAGAATCCAATTTAATTTATAAAATTTATTTTCTAACTCCCCCCCCACATCCTTGATCGAACGATTGACTGTAAAAATTCCTAAAAATTGGGGAAATTAACCCCATCCTTGATCGAACGATTTTCATATCATGCAAATTTTTATTATATATATAAAAAATATTAGTTATCAAAAGCTTTGGAAGATGTACCTAATGAAGTTGTTTTCAGAGCTTTGAGACGACAGAAAGCTGCGAAATCAACCATCCGAAGTGATTTAGTCATCAACCTAGGCTTAAAAACTCAATAATCTAAAAAATAGAGATTCTTTAAAATTTAAAAAAAAAATTAATTCAATAATGAACAAATTAAAATTATACAGTTTAAAAGGGTAACTAATAAATCAAAATATTAAAAATTGGTATTTTATGAAATTAATTCAATTTTTTGCTGTAAAAATAATTATTAAATACTCTTAACCCTCTTAAAAGTAAATAAAAAAAAATATATATTTATCTTTTTCATTTTATATATAAAATTTTTTTCCCCAAAAAATTTTTTGTTAACCCCCATCCTTGATCGAACGATGGCGAGTCGTTCGATCAAGGATGGGGGGGGGAGTAAGAATTTAAAATTAATAGAATTAATAGAGCAATTAATATTATATAAAAATATATATATTAAATTATTTTTTTGATCTTTATTTCGTTTAATTTTCCCAAGAATCATAACCATTTTTCCAATGGTTTTATTCGCTCTTAAAGGGGGTAGTAAGTTAATTCTGAAACTTATCATTTTTAAAAAATGTCTGAAGAAGGTCACTCAAAGAAATTTTCTCTTTTCAAGAAAAAAACACAAAAAGAAGCGGAAAATAATACCGCTGACACTCCATCAGCTACTGTTTTTGATGAAACATGCTTAAATTTTCAACTAAAAGGTGGCCCTTATCAGACTTCTCTAATAGAAGCATGCGCAACAATGAAAGTTGGCCCTAATATTGGGATGCCACTACCTTTGAAGTGCACATGATATAGGGCTACAAATGAAAATCAGTTCACTCCTATCGATGGAGTTTATGGCGCTTTTTATCAGCCAAATGCTGATGATATAGGCTGCAAAATTTGTGTGCATGCTGTTCCTCTCTTCTTATGTTTTATGTTTCTCAGTACCTAACATGCCACTCTGTTAGGCTACGGCGCTCCAAAGTGATGACGTCACCAGGCATTCATATGTAACGCCATATTTTCAAGCTGACTAAGGAATCCAAAGCAAGCTTGCCTCTAGCTAACCATAAAAAACCTCACAGTGAGTATTTGCACTCGCTCCCTTTACTTAGCTCCTTCGGGTGCTCCACCTGAGAGTTACCTTCTTCGCGTGTGCTGAGAGGAAAAAACCTTAAGTCCCTTGATGTACTTGGAGCAGTTCTCGGCCTTAAATTGCTGTTGCTATGCAGAGAAGTTCTCCAGGAAAACCTTAAAACCATTAATAAAATATATGAGGGGACTTATCAGAGCTTATTTCTTTCGAACTAAATGCCATTTTATTAATGCATATTGTTCCTGTCAGTGAAGCTGAAGAATATACAGGAATGCCCGCATTCAGTGAAATAGGACCTATTCAGATAGACCCCCAAGTGCAATCCTCAGTTCAAGAAATGCTGAAAATAAACTCAGGCATTTTCATTGCAAATTTAATAGGAGGAAGCTCGAAGGAATTAGTGCCTGGATATGTGATTATTAAGGTAGAAGATGAAAAAATGAATATTGCTTATCAAAACGACAAAAAGATAATTTCTGTTAGCATGGATAGGGAATTTCCACAAATCCAAATCCATCATCGTACTAATACAAATTTTTCTATTGTGTTTAGAGACAGAAAGCTTGATTTTTCTACTGATAAGCCTTTTGAAAGAGATATTATAGCAATTTCAATACGAATGTTTTGCAGCAAAATTATCACACAAGGTCAGTCTGACTTGCTATTTAAAAATCAAGAGCTTTCATCTAGGCTATTTGATTTAAACAAAGACTATGAAGTTGCAATTTCTGCTTTGAATTTGCTAAAAGAAAGTAATGAAAAGACAAATAATATGACTGAGAAATACCAAACTCATGCAAAAGAGCTTGAAATAGAAAATACTGAATTAAGAGATAAACTCTTGAAGCAAAATCAGCTGATAGAAAAATATGAAAGTGAGCTGAAATTTTTAAGACAAGATATCATCATGTATAAAGAGCAAAATGAAACATTCGAGTTAAGACTAGACCAACAAAAAACTACTGAAAATGGTTATGCTCTTTTACTGAAAATTGTGAAGGATGATTTGAACGATATCATTAGACGATCCCATCCATGCGAAAAATGCAAAATTATAGTAGCATCACTAATAGAAGTTTTTGGAAAATTAGATGGAAATACTGATTTGTGTGGTGGAAGCTCTTCGAACTCAAGTGTTAGGTCTTTCCAAGATGAAATTTCTGAGAGCACAGATGAAAATCAAGACAAAGAAATCCGTGAATTGAGAGAAAAAATCGCAGTTTATAAAAGCAGGATAAAACAGCATAAACAAGAAAATATAGACATCTTAAATAAAATGGAGTCTGAAAAGAATTTTTTCAAAAAGAAAATCGAGTCTCTAGCAGCAGAAAATGAAAAACTTCTATCAAAATTAGCGAAAACCCCTAAAGATGTAACTGATTATGAAAGAGAAATAGAAGAGCTTAAACAGCAAAATATAGCGCTTTCGTCTGAATTAAAAAGATCTCAAGAGTTAGCTTCAAATTTTGACCAGCTTATTAAATTAAATAGAAAGAGACTTGAAGAGGAAATTGAGAGGAATAATGAATTAAGAAAAATTTTCACAAAAACTCATACAATGTCTACATTTGATTATCAAAAAATAATAAATTCTTTAACTCAATCATTGGCTGATCGAGAAGAAGAGCTGAAACAAATAAAGCATTTGAATAGAGAACTCTCAAATAGGGTATCAGAACTAGAGAGAGCAGCTAGGCAGCCCATAAGTGTATAATGAAAATTTATCCTGCTATCTTGTATTTTATTATAAATAAATTGTAACTCCCCCCCATCCTTGATCGAACGATTGACTGTAAAAATTCCTAAAAATTGGGGAAATTAACCCCATCCTTGATCGAACGATTTTCATATCATGCAAATTTTTATATATATAAAAAATATATTAGTTATCAAAATCTTGGGAAGATGTACCTAATGATTGCTGTCAGAGCTTTGAGACGACAAAAAGCTGCGGAATCAACCATTCGAAGCGATTTAGCCATCAACCTAGGCTTGAAAACTCAATAATCTAATAAAATAGAGATTCTTTAAAATTTAAAAAAAAAAAATTTTAATTCAGTAAGTAACAAATTAAAATTTATACAGTTTAAAAGGGTAACTAATAAACCAAAATATTAAAAATTGGTATTTTATGAAAGTAATTCAATTTTTTGCTGTAAAAATAATTATTAAAATACTCTTAACCCTCTTATTTAAAAGTAATAAAAAAATCATATATATAATTTTTATTTTATATATAAATTTTTTTTCCCGAAAAAATTTTTTGTGTAACCCCCATCCTTGATCGAACGATGGCGAGTCGTTCGATCAAGGATGGGGGGGGATTAAGCAATAATATATTTTAAATTAGTTTGGCTTTCAGCTTATAATCTACTTTTCACATTTTATATAGAATGCAATAATTATTTAAAAATTGTTGAGTATATAATAAAATGGATTCTAGACGAGACACAAGAACAAACTCACTTCCCTCAAGTCCTCCTGGAGAAGATGCAGCACAGGACTGCAAAAAGAAAATCGCTATTATGAAAAAAGCAGTGCTTATGGAAAGAGAAGCCAAACAAAAGGATTTAGAATTAGCCGACAGTCTCCAAAAAAAGCTTGGAATGCTCAACCTAACCCTCGCAGAAAAAGATTCACAAATAAAAACAATGAACGAAGAAAGAGAAAGACTCGAACAAGAATTAACACAGCTAAAAGAAAGGAATAAGAATGGCAGCAGCTCACCAGCAAAAGTTCCGAAAAAAAGTGTCGCCACTTTGGAGCAGCAAAACAAGAAGTTATTGGAAGAATATCATTTTTTAAAGCAAGAAAATCAGGATTTACAAACTATGTACGCAACCATTAATCAAGCCTGCGAAGAAATTCAAAAAGAAATAAAAAGCAAAGATGACACATTGAGAAAAACTGTAAGTGAGCTGCAAGCGCAGCTGGCAGATACATTAAGACAACAAGAATCGTTGGAAAAAGACATGAGAGATGCTCAGATGTCTTATAATAATTTACTTGAGACAGAAAAGAAATTAAAAGCGGACCTGGAGATGGCAAGCAACACTTATCAAGCAATTGAAGATTATTTTAACTTTCTCTGCCTTACCGACTTCAGACTCCTCATCCTAAGTATCGGCTTGCACTGACACCATTTTCTGTAGATGCCACCAAAAGAAATTGTGATGTCGCCATCTCTCATTGAGACGTACTCAGGCACTTCTTTGGACAACTCCTAGCAGTTGGCATCATATATCTGTGGATGGGAGGCAGGAGACAATCCCTATCCTCCTTCTGGTCCCTATTATCCTTACCCAGAAGTGTGGAGTTTTCTTATGGACTCTGGTCTACTTGCATATGAGTCATGGTAAAAAAACCTGTTATGGTGCCCTAATCAGGGAGAAAAAACTCACCCAGAGCACAAAGTTCCAGCTTTAGTCCTTCTTAGATCCAAAAACCCCGAGGGTATGGAGAAGGACGGGTTAGACAAGTCCCCATTTTATTTGTGTTAAGCCATTGAAGAAGAAATACAGGTAATTAAGCAAGAAATATTGGTAAAGCAAGGACAGATCGCCAGGCTAAATGAAAGGCTGCTAAAACAAGGAGAAAATGAAGCTATGCTATCAAATAAACTTATGCAATATAAAAATGAGCTTGAAGAGGCTGAGTCTTATTATCAAAAGCATGACGTCACTAAAATTAATCATTTAATAAACCGTCCAGCTACTATTGAGCTAAAAAGAAATCATACGGGCGAATATATAATAGAAATTGAAGAGCATAGCAACAAATATGTATATGACATAAAATCAATTGAAAGCGTTTTTGTCCATCCAAACAGCGAGAGAAGATTTTATATCAAATTTATTGATAATAATTTGATGGAGTTCCAAGGGTTCCTCCACACGACAACTATTTCATAACGACTATTTTTTTTGGCCTATTTTTTTTTGGCCTATTTTTTTTTGGCCTATTTTTTTTTTTGGCCTATTTTTTTTTGACCTATTTTTTTGGCCTATTTTTTTTTTCACCTATTTTTTTTTTTTTTTTCACCTATTTTTTTTCACCTATTTTTTTTTTGGCCTAGTTTTTTTTGGCCTATTTTTTTTCACCTATTTTTTTGGCCTATTTTTTTTTAGCCTATTTTTTTTTTTTAGCCTATTTTTTTTTTGGCTATTTTTTTTTGGCCTATTTTTTTTGGCCTATTTTTTTTGGCCTTTTTTTACCTAGCCTCATTCATGAAGCTGCTGAGAGGACTAGAACCTTATTGAGAGACAGAGACTTTTCCTTACGCGATTAATATTGAGTAAATTAAGTGAAAACTCCTAATTAAATCTAAAATTCTCGAAATTTAAAAACAATGAATTAGTATTCAAGGAGTACGAAATCTGTTAAGGGTGCATTTTTTGTTGGTTAAATCGTTTAAAATACATTAAAAATTATATTAAAACAATTAGTATGGAATTATGCCCAAATATTAGTAAAAAATAGATAAAAAATTGCCAAAAAAAGAGCCAAAAAATAGGCTAAAAAAAAAAGAGGCCAAAAAAAAATAGTCCAAAAAAAAATAGGCCAAAAAAAACAAGGCCAAAAAAAAATAGGCCAAAAAAAAATAGTCTAAAAAAAAATAGGTGAAAAAAAAATGGGCCGAAAAAAATAGGTGGTCAAGCATAGGTCGCAACCAGACACCCCCACCCCACCCCACCCCCCCTTCTCGGGTTTATCCTATAGAAGTATTTGATAGGAAATAAGCAGAATAAATTAAACATAACTCAATTAAAACACTATATTTTTAAATTAAGTCCACAAATTACTTTATATTTATGATTAATTAATAAATTTAAATTTAATTAGCAATTAATTAGAAAATATATTAAATTTGTTTTTTATATTTATAGATATAATGCCAAAGATATAGATAATGACATTAATTATTAAATTAACCAAGGATAATACAATAACTTGCTTTAAATTTATTGATTCATAAATTAAAGCTAATCTAATGACAATTGTACAAGGATTGCAGGACTGAATTGGTAGCAGGATTCAATAGTGGTAATAAAAATAGTATTTGCTATTGTCAGTTTTACTTTTGGATCTCTAATTCGACTTTTAGCCATTGTTCCACAAAGTTCATAAATATATGCAGGATATATTGCTAAATTAATACCAAAGATCATTATTATGCTTGCTAACAAATTTTTTCAGATTTGGTGAGCTTACTAGTTATAGGAAATTCTCACCTCATTCCATCTACTCCTTAATCGATTGTGCTACGCTATGTGGATATTGCATAAATCAGTAATTTTGAATATTTAAAATAATAATTTATTTATTACGTCTGCTCTAAATTGGCATTTGTCATATATTTTATGCTATATTATGGGGGTGGGGGGTGCCATCTGTGAAAGGGGGGGTGGGGGGTGCCATTTTTTAGGGGGGGTGGGGTACCATTAAAAAAGGGGGGTGGGGGTGTAGGGTTGCTACCTGTGCTTGACCAAATAGGCCAAAAAAAAAATAGGTGAAAAAAAAATAGGCCAAAAAATATAGGCAAAAAAAAAATAGGTGAAAAAAAAATAGGCCAAAAAAAAATAGGCCAAAAAAAAAATAGGCCAAACAAAAATAGGCCAAAAAAAAATAGGCCAAAAAAAAAAATAGGCCAAAAAAATAGTCGTTATGAAGTAGTCGTCGTGTGAAGATACTGTTCCAAAGTAATTCAGCCGAACAAATTGCAAGTAAAATAAAAAATTTTTTAACAAGAGCTAATTCAGCAGGTCCAAGGGATGAGTCATAATCAATTTAAATGAAATTCATTATAATGCATTTTCAGAGACATAATAAACTTACAGTTTTCTAGCTCAACCCTCCAAATTTGAACAAAACATCGGTAAGATTTTCATTTTTCGGGTAAATTAACCCCTTAAATTGTAACTAATTTTTTAAATTTTTAATGAGGTGAAAATTCTAATTTTTAGAAAATAGATTTGAGCTAGTTTAATGAAGGGAGTGAAACTAGAATACTATTTAAACAGCTAAGACCCTAATCAATTAATTTTTTAATTAATTCTTCATAGACATATTATTTTAAAGAAATTGCATTCAATTTATATTTTATAATTTAAAAAAATTAAAATTTATATTAATTTTTTCCGAAAAATGGATTAACCCCTTTAAATTGGAACAACTTTTTTCCAATTTAAAGGCGAGAGTAAGTAATAAAAATGAATACGATTATTAGGAGATGCTTTTTTGATTTGGGGAAAACTGAGCTTTTCACTCATAAGACAGTGCTTCACTTCAATAAATCTCCTATAATAGCGTATAACACAGTTGCAGACATGAACAGCTACCCAACTTTTGTTCCTTGGGTTACCGAATGCAGAGTCAGTCAAAAGTCAGCCAATTACGCAGAAGCCAATATGACAATCGGCTTCCCTCCAATTACTCAAACTTACCTATCCAAAGTAACACTAGCGATGCCATCTAAAATTGTATCAGTTTCCAATAAGAACTCTGTTTTCGAAGTCCTTGAAAGCATATGGGAATTCTATCCCGAAAAATCTGAGCTGGCAGGCTCAGCAGACGATCATGTGAAGCTAACAAAATGTGAAACTCATTATTCAGTGAAATTTAGGTTTAGTAATATAATGTATCAAAACCTCTCAACCTTGGTTTTTCAGAAGGTTTGCCATGAAACTGCGAGCGCATTTACTAAAAAGATCAATGCAGTCAATGGAAATATTGAGTGTTTATATGATAAGAAAAACCAGAAGTTCCTTACTGAAGCCCATATAGGTATATAAATAATAAAGCTTGCTAGGCAAATAGATATTAAGTGTTGTATTTATTAAGATAATTCTCCATAGAGGTATGGCTGAAAATAAAGATGTCTCTATCATAAAAATACATAAATTAAAATAAAGTAATAATATGGTGAAATTTATAATCAAAAAGTTGAACTTATATTGCAAAAACTAATATAAACCGATTGATTTCTTTTATAATTTTATAAAAAATAAATTTACACTGTCTATGAATATAATGATAGCGCATATCCACAGTTACTAATTTGGTGAATTTATTTTTTATTAGCGATTAAGGTAAAATTGATGCGATAAGCTTTAAAATAATTCTTATTATCCCTATAAATACTTTTACAGGCTTATTTATTAAAAACATATATTTCAATTTATTTAGATATGAAATAGCTTTGAATTGTCCACTTTCATCGTATTAAAATTGATAAATTACAAAAATTTGAATTAAATGTATGCCAGTTTTAGCTAACTTGATATCTTGCGGATTTATCTGGCGATACTGCTGATGATGAACTCCTTTTGTGGATGCATCTGCAAAAACTACCAAGAAATTGCATATACAACAAAAATTGATGCTTTCCAGCTTTTCTATTGGCTTGATTTTGAATTTCCTCCAAGGTGTTGTCTGCAGATAAGTCTATAGATGCGTTAGCAATAACATTGTATGCTGCTCGTCTTGGAATTGGCAAAATTATTGTTATCGGAGGTTTAATTTCGGCTGGAATTGATAGCGGTTGTTCGGAGGTAATGTTATCTTGCATTAATTATTATCAATAGTTTAATTTATATATTTACCTTATAAAAACCACATCTTTCACAGAAAACTAATAAAATTGTGTTATTTCGATTTAAGAAGTTTGTGTAATGGGACAAAAGGTCTCCTGTTCTTCATGTCTGGCTTTTCTTTGAGAACTTTTGACTTTTTCACTCTAACACCATGCTTTTTCTTTTCATGGCTGTCTTCTTCCATTCTTTCTCTAAATGGCCTTTCCTCATCACTCATCCCATCCTCTATTTCTTCTGCACCTTCATCAATTTTTCTTTTTTTCGGTACTTTTGCAATGATATTTTCATCGCTTTCCTCATCGCTTTCATCTTCTTTGATCTCTTCTACTTTTTCCTTAGGCTGTCTCCTATGCAATCTCAAATAATCTTCAGATTCTGTATTTATTTGGAATTTTTCATCATTAAAAAGCGCTGAAAATCTGCTATCTTCAAGAAGCTCTTTTCCTTTAACTTTCTTTTTATTTTTTTCATCGGACAGTAGTTCTTGTGCTAAGTTTTTATTGACTTTTGGTAGTCTTTTTCTAATTGTGATTCTTTCCGCTGTTTTCTCCTCGAGTTTCTTTTTAATTCTTTCTTTTCTGTATTCATTATAATCGAAAGGCATTGCAAGTGCCTGAAGCTTATAATAAAGTTTCGTATCCATTAAATACCCGTGCATGTATGCTTCAAGTTCCTCTGTGCCAATTAAATCAGTTCCATTAAGTCTAAATAGAAATTACTTTTCAAGCTCTTCAATTGTTACAAACTGTTTATTGTCTAGCACAGATTTTGGCTTTTTCTCTTCAAATTCTTCCGTCAAGTTTTCTAAAAATGGGCACCATGTAGGAGCAGGACCTAAGGCTGGAATAAAATGGACCTCAATTTTGGGTGATTCATTTGGAATAAAGATTAATCCTGATTTTCCACATAACTCTATGTCATTAATGTTAGCTTCAGATTCTATAGTTGTGAGTAATTTCCCATTAATTTTATTGGTTATTTTTGTTCCTTTTGTGTCACTTGTGAGAATATGCTGCCCAGCTGAATGAAATTTAACACCTTTTATTTGTGTTTTATTGTGGTGTTTAATTGAGTAAATAGGCTTACTGTACCTAATATCATAAATTTGAACAACCCCAGAGTTATGCCCTACACCCATATACAGCCCTTCATCATCAAAACTCAAAGCAGAAATTTCTCCTCCATTAGTTTCTATCAGAGATATTCTATTCCTCTGCCTCAAATCCCAGCATTCAATAAGACCATCTTCTCCTCCACACGCTAAAATCCATTTCAACTCTTTGTTAAGTTCGCATACATTAAGTCCATTGCAAATTTCTGACTCTAAAGAAGCCATAAATCTACCTTGCTCTAAGTTCAGCCTATAAGCTTCATTTGTGGCTCCAACAATATACAATTCACAGTTAAAAGGATTGTAAGTCATGTCCCTTCCAAATCGAGGAATTCTGGTTGAATAATGCTTTCCGTATTGGGCATGAAGCTCAATTGAGCGATTGTCCAATAAAAATGCGAGTTTTTTATAGTCTTCAGAGAGAAAATAAAATTGGACAATTTCTGCATCAAAATTTCTTTGGCATTTCATTGAAAGCTCAGAGAGATCAAAAATTCTAGCTTGAGGAGGATAAACTCCGCTTGAAGCTATGTAATTGAAGTCTTGAGAAACCCTTACCCTGGTTGCAGCTGTAGGGAATCCAAAATCTTGAATGAGGTCAAGTGTTTTGGTAATAGGGAAATGGGCCACAACTTCCATATTAAGAATATCAATAATTAATCATTCTATTCTGCCTCTAATTTTTCATATAAAAAATGTTAATTATTTATGAATTAAATATGCAAATGAGAACTAATTTAAATTAAGACCATAGAAAAATTGTCTTAGAAGGAAAAAAGCACTAAATTATCATCTTTTAATTATCAGCTCTTAATTTTTGATATCAGAAATTTATAATGATTTTCTCCAATTCGTCATAATTATTCTAAGGCTTAATATAATTAATTAATAACTATAAATTTTAATTATATAAAAAACTAAATGGACAAGCATGAGGTGAGAAGAATTATAAAACTGATACCAATAATCCCGCTTGAGGAGCCAAGATCCCCAACTAAAAGTTTTATGGATATTTTGGATTTTGAAACTAAAAGCTCTCTTAATGAAGACGATAGCCCGACAACTGTCGCATATCTAACTCAAGCAAGTCAGCCTATGCGTTCAAATTCTCTAAAGCCCAGAAATCTTAGAGTCTCTTCACGATCAAATGCAAACTCCCCCATTAAGCCAACCCTTTACAATCAAACTGGCTGCTTTCCATCTCAAAATGCTTCCTTCAATGATATTAATCAACTCTCAGATTATTATGATGGGAAGGCTTACTTTCCAGTCCAATCACCAATAAGAAGAAAATTAGTTTTTCCAAGCTTATATAAAAATGAGGGCTCTGTGTCACCTAAAAGAGATACCCCGCAATTTTATAAAAGGTCGTCTACCTTGCCAATGAGTTTATCAAATGACGTAGAACCCTCTAGTGACATAGATTTATTGAGTGAAAATATTTATCATTTGGCAAAAGAGCATGAGAATTTAAGAAGAAAATTGAAAAATCAAGAGATTCTAATTAAAAAATTGCAAGAGACTGGCCCAAATAAGGCTCAAGCTCCTGAAGAACCACAGCCTTCAAGACAAGTACCAAAATTTGACCCATCAACTCCTGTTAGCACTGATAGAAATTATGGCGAAAGTTCGCCTTTTCAAGTTACATTTAAGCCTGAAATAAGATGGTCTGAGCTCAAAAAGCCAAAACGAAGATTTCCAAGGGAAATATTTTGCAATACAAAAAAAAATAGGCTTAGCATATAATGCATAGCTATGTTGATAACAACAATAATTAAGTTTGCTTTTAATTAATCGCTTTATTGAATATTTATTATAATGTGTGAAATTTCGTTACAAAATTGAATAGCTGTCTAATAAAATTTTAGATTGGGCCATAAAAATGCGTAATTCAATTCAAGATTATAAAATAATTTTCTTTTAATCTTGCAATATCAATGAATAATGATAAAATCTAATAAATTAAATATACAATTCAATAATTAAGAATATAATATCTCTGGATAAAAATGAGTAAATTCATAAAAGATCACTATAGCAAACTTATCCTTGTTGGACTTGGACTAACTGCTGGACTTGCTCTTCTTAAGTACTTAGTGAATGAACCCCCAAAAAAAGTCTCAAAAGACGAAATGCTAGCTCCCCCTCCGTGAGTGAAAAAACCATTAAAAAAATCGCTATTTTTTGCCCAAAAGCCCACCCTCCGTGAGTGAACTAAATGTTTGAATAGAAAAATTTGTATGGAAAAAAAATTTGATATATAAATGATAATTTATTATAAAGAAATCTAGAGCTAATTCTGTTTAATTTTAAACAAATTGCGTTTTAAAAACATAAATTTTATAGATTAAATTAATATATGCTTCCCAATTTTTGCAAATTAGGATTTTTTTAAATTTTCGAAAAAAAATTTTTTTCTATAAAATTTATATATAAATTTTTTTAAAAAAAAAAATAACCCCGTGAGTGAAAAAAATTTATTTTGCTAAGCATTTTGCCAAAAGATTTAATCAAAAGCTTTCTGAAGAAGATTCTAAAACTGGGAATAAAGATCACAAGCACAACACTAACCAGCTTTGCCACGCAATTCAAGAAGCCTGCACTCCAGAACTTGAAAAAGCAGAAAAAGCTTACAATGAAGCAATGGAAAAAATCAAACTAAGTGAAATCACTTCAGACATAACCAGAAAATATAAAGAATATTTGGAAGAGCAAGAAAAGATTAAGAAGCAAGCTCTAGAGACCCTTATGGGAGAGAAAGACCTTACCGACGCAGAAAAAGAAGGAATTTTGAGAGAGCTTCAAGGAGAAGAGTATATCAATTTATTAGAAAAAATGGGCAAAATTGATCATCCGATTATGACTGAGAAAAAAATTCTTACTGATATTTTGAAAGAGCAAGCAGATTTCGAAGCAGAATTGCTAGCAGAAAACCCAGAAATGCTACCAGAGTTGATTCGCAATGCTTCATCTATCCACATTCAGGAAAAGCATGCAGTCACTCAAGAGATGATTGGAAAAGCTGTAGACATTCATGGTGTTAGAGAAGATGAAAATTTAGCAAGCATTCTTAATCGCTATGGCTCAAAGGAACAAGTGCAAGTACAAGTTCAAGTGCAAGAGCAAGTACAAGAGCAAGCGCAAGAACAAGAACAAGCACAAGCGCAAGAACAAGCACAGGAGCAAGCACAAGAGCAAGAGCAAGCACAAGCTTAATAATAGTTTATTCAGAAATTTGCTTATTATTTATAGCTTTTGTTTAAATTAAATAGCAGCCTGATTATTCGATAGAACTTTTGCTATAAAATTAATCGGAATATTTAAATTCTAGCATTTCGAAATTATCAATATTTCATTATTCTCAAGTTTCAGATTTTATGAATAAAGTAATAATTAGTTACACTTTAAGTAAGCTATAAAAATGAACTGGATTGCAGTCTTATCATTTGTGATCCCGCCAATTTTATCTCTTGCAGGCTACATATATTATACAATACCAAGCTACTCAGACTCAAAAATTATTCCTTCAGTATGGGATAAAATAACAATTGAAAGAGACGGTAAAGGAATCCCTCATATAACAGCATCATCTACTGAAGATGCATGTTTTGCATTAGGCTATGTGCATGCCCAAGACCGTATGCTTCAACTTGATCTTTTAAGAAGGATATCTGAAGGCTCTTTATCAGAAATTTTTGGCAATAAAACTCTTGAGTTAGATATTTTTTCAAGAAACATCGGATTTAAAAGGCAAGCATTATTATCATTGCCAAAACATTCAAATCATACTTTACTCCTATTACATCGATATTCTGAAGGGATCAATGCTTGAGCTGAAGCCAATCCTTTACCATTTGAGTATTTTATTACATGAAGCCATTGACAGTATTGGAAGCCAGTTGATACCCTTTCAATTTGGCGCTATGTGTCATTTTTTCAAAATTCCGAATGAAGACATGAGCTATTCAGAGCAAAACTAGCAGCAACCATAGGAGAAAGATTAGCAAAGATAATTTTGCCTTACGATGAAAGCATGATATTTCCAAAAAGCTATATAATAAATGATTATGATTTACCACAAGAATTAAAAAGAACTTCATCATTTTATGCTTCACATACAAGTAATGGAAAAATCAATGACTTTGAAACTTTAAATGACGAGATTTATTATTTAAACCTTCAGACTAGTGCTGCATTTGTGGTGTCAGGAAACAAAACAAAATCTGGAAAACCTTTGATTTCAAGCCAAATTTATTTTTCATCAAGGATACCAACTGAAGTTTATTTAAGTAAAATTACGACAAATAATATCAAATTATCAGGAACAACTATTCCAGGGATACCTTTCTTTTATCAAGGAGAAAATGGTAGCATATCATGGGCTGCTGTTCCTATCCTAGCTGATGTCATCGATTTATATGTTCATAAAATTCATCACACTGAAGAGCTGTATCTTTTAAATGAGAACTGGGAGCCATTTTATAAAATTACAGAAAAAATAGCTGTGAAAGGACAAGAGCCAGTTGAAGTGGCGATTAAATTAACTAAATATGGCCCAATGCTAATAAATCCAAGCATTTTGAATTTTAAAGAAGCAATCAGCATCAGATGGACTGCAAATGAAATAGAAGACAACGACTTTGATAGTATCATTAAAATAAATACAGCAAAAAATCCAAGAGATTTTAGGTTAGCATTATCAGGAATAAAAGTGCCAAACTTCAGCGTAGTTTATGGCTTAAATACAGGCATCATTGGATATCAGGCTGTAGGACTTTTCCCTCAAAGAGAATCTTATGGCGCTGTTCCTCTTGATGGGAGTCGATCTGATGCAGATTGGAAAAAATTTATTGATTTTAAAGAATTGCCATATGTATTAAACCCTAAAGAAGGATTTATTCTAGCTGCCGGCAATAGCCCGATTTCTGCTTCGTATAAGCATAGTATTTCCTTCTCTGGAACTTATTTCAATGATAAAGCGTATAGGATGTCAAATGCAATCAAAGAAACACTCACAATAAGAAAATCATTTGCGATTGACAATGCTGTTGAAATTTTATATGATAACCACACAGAATTCTGGGCTTCTGCTCAAAATTGGATTTCGATTCTCAAAAATGAAACAGCGAAAAGAATTTTAGAAAATTCCGATTGCGAAACTGCAAAAGATTGCATGCGAATATTTGAGAGTTTGATAATAGATAAAGAAAGAGAAGAGGCATCTGAATTTGTAAAAACTTATAAGCAGATTTGCAAGAAAAAATATAGCAGCATATCTCCTTTTTTCGAAAAAATGGATGAAACGACAAACAAACTCGATCCGTTTGAAGATGAAGGCAAGTCCTCAATTTTTATTCATGATTTTGGAAACATAGCCAAAAGTTTATGGAGCACAAACAGTGGAGTCAGTGAAAGTAAACTAACTCCCCCCCCCCTCCTTGAGTGAACAAAACCATTAGAAAAACCGCTATTTTTTGCCCAAAAGCCCACCCTCCGTGAGTGAACAAAAATTTTTTTTAATAGAAAAATTTTTTATGGAAAAAAATTTTGATATATAAGTGATAATTAGTATAATGAAATCTAGAGCTAATTCTGTTTAATTTTAAACAAATTGCTTTTTAAAACATAAATTTTTATAAATTAAATTAACATTTGCTTTCCAATTTTTCGCGAATTAGGATTTTTTTAAATTTCGAAAAAAAATATTTTTTTATAAAATTTAAAATAAATTTTTTTTAAAAAAACAAATTAAACTCTGTGAGTGAACAAAATTTTTTTGTTCACTCACGGAGGGGGGAGTAAGCAAATTTTATAACAACTTATCGCAAGGCTTCAAATCGCAAAAATATGAGTTAATTTTTGCAAACCATACAGTCATGATTTCGCACTTGATTCCTCAAGAGAAATAAGCTGCTATAAATTAAATTCTATGATATAAGCTTCTACAGCAGCATTCCTTATAAAAATAAAGCAATTAATAAAAAAGTAATATAAGAAATAAAATAATATTTCTTAAATTGCTTAATTATGCGATTATTGAGGTGGCGGATTTACTTCATAAATCAGTGAGCCTAACTCATCATCAACGACAAGTAATGCAAATTTGTGAACTGATGACAGCTGGTCTGTGTTCAACGCCGCATAATCAAAATTTCCTCTTATGTCTGTATATCCATCTTTGTAAAACTCTACACTTCCATTTTTTCTTTGTACAAATGCTTTTATATATGCAGATGGTCTTGGAGTCAAGTCTCCATTCATAACTTTGATGATTCCATATCTTTCGATTACATTTATCTTCAAACTTGTTGCGAAATATGACTTGGAGATGGTATAAATCCCATAATCAACCTCCACAATAATATTCTGACCTTCAAATTCTTCAGGAATTCTTGCAGTTCTTGCACCGTTTTCAGGCAGTTCTATTTCGAATTCATAGTTTGGCTTGACAAATCCAAAATTTTGTGTGTTTCCAATTAAAAACGGAGTTTTTGAAAATAGAACTTCTAAATCAACCCTATAGAGCTTAACTATGCAGCTCCTCACATTCTGATAGTAAAACTTTATTTCATTTCTTTCTATTGTGAACATTAAGCTTGGCTCGCTATCTTTAGCTTCTGCTTGCCCCAGTGGAATATCTTGCGCATTTATTTCTCTGACTAACTTTGCGACTTCACTAAACATTTTTTTCCATGTATTGACTGAGTAATTCTCATAAATAAATATGGTTTCTCGTCTGGAATTGACTCCCGCAATGCAGCCTTGAGCATATGTTTACTGATATCCTGAAAGGTTTTTGCAAACCCATAAATGGACAGCTATGCTAATTAAGCTATTCTGGCAATTTACAGAGTCTCCTTTCGGGGGTGGATTTTACATTAAGGGAAAAAGGGAAAAGCAGCATCATCTATAGGTAATGCCTAGACCAGTTTAAGAAAAGACTGGGTAATTTTCGTATAAAGCTGAAATGGCAGATGCCAAATTAATATCAAGATAGCATGAAAGATAGTCATATTGAATTTGAAGGTAAGAAGATCCTGGCTTTTCTTGTGATGGCATTAATGGGATTGCTTTGTAGATTTCATTGGCTTCTTGATACCTATCTTGAAGGATATAGTACTGGGTAAGAGCTAGCTGATCTTCCACATCGAGTCTTTCTTTTTCTGATAAATATTTTAAAAAGTCAGAATAAACTATTTCGAAGCGTATGTTCGTTATTCTTTGGCGATTGCCGAGTCTATGAGTTCTTTCATTTACTAAAGGATCAAATTCTAAATGCCGATGTTCGCCTTTACCTGTTGACAATAATTCTGAACTAAAGAACTCTCCAAGAGCGTACATGAAGCTACGATTGGTGGTGAAAATTTCTTTTAAGACCACAAAATCTTTATGGAGAAACGCAAAGCTCCAAATTTTGTCGAAAAAGTAGTTTCTCTGCTTCATAATTTGCATAACTTTTTGCCAGAACTCTTTATCTTTCATCATCCAGCAAAAGTAATTGACATTAAATTCTTTATTCGTGGAATATAAATTCTCATTGGCAAGAAACTCTAATACCAAATCTTTTCTTCCACTTAAGACTAAGTCTTTAAAGGTTTCTAATTTAACCACTTTTGCAGTGTCACTTACTTCAAGATCATTTGAATTTGCCTTTGCAATGACTTTCCCATTGTATGTGATAGTGACTGGATAATGAGAATAAACTCCAGCGTTAGGGAAATAAAATTGATATTCAAAGGTTTTGGTATGGAAATTAGCAAGTGTCATTATAGAATTCAATGTATACTTGGGAGGGAGTATAGGAATACTTCCTTGAGGAACTTCTGTCAGAAGACTGACTGTAATTTGAGATCCTGCTGTATTTGTTATGACCACTTGACAAGTATAAATTTTCTGCTTTATGAATTGAGTTATTGATTTTTCTTTATTCCCATCTTGATCCTGAATATATCTATCATCGGGGTCGAAATAACGTTGAGCTACAAGTACTTGAGAATTAATTTCTGAGGGAGTCTCAGCTAATTCCTTATAAAAAGCAATGAAGTTGCTTCTAGCTGTGTAAGTGATTGATCTTCCTTCAAGCAAATAATCGTGCTTCTCGGCGATAAATGGAAGATCCGAAAATGCTAATGAGCATATAAGCTCTGTGAGAGAGCCTGTTGTCTCTAATATATCTTCTGATAAAATTAAAGACGATCTATTAACTACTGCGCTCGCTAATTCCGACCAAAACCTTCTATTTGGCACTAAATTGGTATTTTGGTTAGGATCTTTAATATCATAATAAAAAGTTTCTGCAAATTCTTTACCCCCTTCGCGAGTTGGCAAAACCATTAGAAAAGTCCCTATTTTTTGGGTTAAAAACCCACCCTCTGTAAACGAAAAAAAATTTTCTATGAAAAAATATTTTGATATATAAGTGATAACTTTTTTAGCTAATTCTGTTTAATTTTTTAACAACTTACATTTTAAAACTTAAACTTTACTTTAAAATTTTCGAATTGTGATTTATTACATTTTGAAAAAAAAATTACTATAAAATTTATATAATTTTTTAACAAAAGTTAACTCCTATGAACAAAAATTTTTTCATGCACAGAGGGGGAGTTAGTAGAGTCTAGTTTTTGATAGTAAGTAGGCGCTATTTCTTCTTTTAGTCCCCATCATGCTGTCTCTTCACTTTTAATTGCTCAAGAAAAAAAATCTGTCCCTTGGTCACAACATTCCAAGCTAATTTTTTCATATTGCTGATTAAGAGCAGGAAAGTCAATACTTTCTCCCAAAAATAACGAGCAAGGTTTCAAAGAAGATAATAGCTGGACTCTCATTTCAGCCATTGGCTGTTGAAAAGATCCTTGAGGCGCAAATGAATTTTTTCCGCTAGCTCCCCTCATACATTTACTGGCAAAATAATCTTTCTTGTTAGCCAAGAGTGTTAATTTTATTTGTCAAAAATCAAAATTTTAGATATTTTAAAGTGAAAATCTAATTTAATTTTATGTTTAAGGATGTAAGCTGTCTGAATTTTAATATAATTAGAAATATTTCATAATAAAAATCATTAATTATACTTCGAATTATTAAATTATAAATATTTAATATAAACAACTTTTGCTTGATAACCAACAGCATTAATTTCCCAAAAATAGGGATTCTTGTAATGTGTTTCTCGCTAAGAAAGAGAAGAGTAAGTAGATTGAAGCTTAAGGCTGTCTTTATTCTCCTATTTCTCAATTGATAATTTCTCATCATTGAGTCTGCTTCATCTTTCATTATTTTTGACATCTCTACTGAAAATTCTGGGTTTTTGTCTAGCATGCTTTCAATAAGCAAAATCTTTTCCAAGCTATTTAACTTTAAAATCTTATCCAAACTCATATAGTCATCTAGAGGATGGGATAGTAAATAAAGATCAATAATATCTTTTTCCATTTTTGAAGCCAAAAGTGGCTTTATTACTTCTTCAAAGAATTTGTAATCTTTTTTATACAAGAATAAATTCAATTCATGAGACATATATTTATCATATTTTTCAAGTCTCTTTGAATTTGATAAACTATGCCATTTCCCTAGCTCCTCCATTTGTGGAATGACCAAATATTTTTCGTTCACAGTGAGAACTACTAATAACATTTTTAAAATTAAAATGAAATTTTGGACAAATTTAAAGTAAACATGCAATTTGTACTTTAATTGAAAGCTGCTTAGGATTACTAGCTCCCCCTCCGTCAGCGAACCAAAATTTTGCTAGCTCACGATGGGTTAATGCTTTTTTAAAACAATTATACAGAAAATTTTGTTTTTTCGAAATTTAAAAAATCCCTTTTTCGTAAAAATTGAGAAGTAAAAACTAATTTAATTAGCAAAATTTATGTTTTAAAATGTAAAGTGTTAAAAATCAAACAGAATTAGCTAAAGATTTCATTATACTAATTATCAATATATATATCTAAATATTTTTTCATAAAAAATTATTATTTTAAAAACATTTTTGTTCGCTCACAGAGGGTAATTTTTACCAAGATTTTTCCAATGGTTTTTGTTCGCTAAGGGAGGATAGGGTATTAAGAGATTTTATTATCATAGTCATTAATTGCATGCTAAAATAATTTTTATAAACATATTAAATAATATTTACTCTTTTAATAAAGGTATTTTTTTTAATGGAATGTTTATTCATGAAGAGGGATTAAGAACTCCCATTGCTCGTAATTAGCTTTAATTTTATTTGTTGTTATCAGTTCTTTTTGTAGCCTATACAATTTGTCGATAGAATCAACTATCTCACAACTTGAAATGTCATTTATCGTGAAATTTTCTCCTGCGAAAACACACCTTGATTTCATTTGTTCTGAATATGAAATCTCTTTATCAAGGGATTTTGACAGCCCAAGCTGTCTTGTGCTAATGCTTGAATCAGTAAAACTGAAAATTTTTATCGACAATCCTTCTCCATTTGTAGCTATTATTAAAGCATGTGAAAATTGATTTTTTTCTAATGTGATATCAGCTTTTCCTTCTTGTGCATTTAAGCCATAAGTCCACTTTGCAGGATTTTTCAAGAAATCCAGCATTCCATTTTGAGCAGAACCTATATGAGAGGCCAAAGCTGCTGGGCATGGGCAGGCACTTGTGGTTAAACATAAACCCCGCCATGAATACCAAACTACCTAGTCTTGATAATAAGAAATATAAGAGATATTGCAGTATTTTCGTTTTTAAGATATTAAAACACAGTTTATAGCATGTTTACATATATATTTAATACTTTATTTCATATCTCTACTATATACAAAATTTTTATATGGTTAGCAAATTTAGCTATATTTTTGTATTTAAAATTTAAATGAGATATACCATGCTTTATATATAAAATAAGCTATTTAACCATATTCAATCTGTTAAAATGCATTAATTTAGCGAAATGAATGCTAGATATTGCATGTGTATATGATACATAATTACGCTTGAATTGATTTATTTATGTCTATCAATTTTAAAGCAGAATTCAGCTCGATTCATAATTAAAAGTGATAATTGAGAGATATTCTGCGTAATTCTCTATTAACTCTTTATTTATTAGTTTAAAAAATTTTGTTATATTAGAGATACGAAATAAATAATTAATATAAGTGGAAATATGCTATAAATTGTGTTTTAATAGCTTAGAAGCGAAAATACTGCAATATCTCTTATAATTCTTATTTATTAATACTAGGTAGTTTGGAATTCAGGTGTAAGGGGTAGGAGGGGTGGGTTTATGTTGACCACACTTCGACATAAATCATATTCACAGTCATCTAAGTTCAGATTTTTCATTCTTTCTCCTTCTTGTGCCCTCTGTGTCTCTGTCGTTGTGTCATACAAAAATAATCTTTTATTCAATAGCTGAGGTTTGGTGAGTATATTCCCAGCATTTCTTTCAAGAAATTTTCTTTCCAAAACATATTGATATTCTTGATCTAGTTTTCTGCTAGGCAAATAATAAGAACGCTTTTTGCTAAATTTAAAAGCTGTTTGGTTTTGCTCAAGATATATAGACTGGAGCTGAGAAAATTCTTCAAGCACTTGAGTGCTTAAGTAATTAAAGTAAAGAATATGAATTACTGCATTGTCATAATCCCCCGCAAGTTCTATTTTTACTTTATTTTCTTCAATTTCAGCTGATTTTATACCTAGAGGCCGATATTGACTAGATGTAGGGATCACATAATCTTCAGATAAAATAAACTGATTTTCTCCTCAGTGAATCCCATCTTTGACCGAGACTGAAATGTATTGATTATCAAGCTTTAATAGATAGACTCCTGCTTTAAGACCTTTAAGCCAAAGCATTGATGCTTCATGGTCATAAAAGAGTTTATCATTAAAATTGTCAATTAATTTTCCATTTTTCTCAAGCACAATGTTACATTCTCGAAAGTCAATGACTCCATACTCAAAAGTAACAGGAAAACCAAATTCATCTCCTTCACATAAATTTAATATCGATGGGTATTGGATTTTGCTTTTGAAGTTACTTAGAATTCATTCAAACTGCTGATCTTGCTGATTTACACTTGCTAAAACGCGCAGAGAAGCTATATTTTTTAAGATCCCTAAATAAATTGTCCCATTTTCATCAGTCATAAGCGTTTCCTTGCTTTCCCTACCCCAATCTTCATGTGAAAGACTAACTTGAATTCTTTGTCTCGGTAAAATTTCACCTCCTCTGCCTCTTAGCTCAACCTGATAACCTTGAGGGCCATATCTTAAATAAGCTCCATACATAACGCTATTTGATAAATTGCTGTTAACCAAAATTTTATAAGATGAATTCAATGGAGTTTTTTCTTTTGTTGTCGATTTTTCTACTTCGCCTGAAAATCATATTCTCATAAATTTTAATCTTGGAGGGACCTCAATATCAAGATTAATTAGGTCATTTCCTGAAGGAATAGCAAGGTCAGGGTAAATCCTGCTTGCAGTGATTCCATCAGCATCAGTTGTGGTGATAGCAGCTTTGCATTCTTTTAATAATGAGTCAGGAGCTTTAGTACCACAGACATATAGCCGGGGCTTAATTGATATAGTTGCTCTATTCCCTATCAATAGCTGCTCTTCGTGAACTAAAAATGCCGTTTTTAATTCGTAGTTTTCACTATAATGTGTAAATCCGCTTTCTAAAGAGGAGATAATACCATCAGTTAAAATGATATTTTTTGTAGTTTGTTGATTTGCGAAAGGAATTAAAGCAGTTCCTCGATCATTTTCTGTTGAATAAAATCTTCCATCAAGAATTAAACCTGCTCCTGGACCTTTGCAAATTTGATTGCTCTCATTTAATATAAGAACTATGTGTCCGACAGATGTGATTTTGGACACAAACTTCAATGATCCTTTCTTTATTAAAGTTCTACAATGGCGACCATTTCCGATTAGCTCCATAACAAATAGTCCAGCTTTATCTGTGAGCTCTGGAAACTCAAAAGTTCTTTTGATTCTAACCAAAGGAGAATCGTTGTATTCGTAAATTCTTTCGTAACTAGCTACAAGACCATCTAAGTTAATATCAGTGGTGATCTCGGCATCATTTTTTAAGTAATAAGCTTTTGTGTTGAGTTCTAAGACTTTTACAAGAAGCCTTTGAATATTTTTTATGTGAATTGAAAATTTTACTATACCAATTTACAATAATTTTTACAGGTTAAGCTATTTAATCTCTTATAAAAATATGAATAGCAGCTTACCTGTATAGATGCTTTCATATATTATAGATAGGCATAGTTGATTTCTCTCAAACCTAAAAGGATTATCTGTGCTGGGCTCTAACTCTACAATTGATGCAAGATCTTCAATTTTTTTATAAGAAAAAAGGGATAAATTGCAAAAATGATGCAAAACCACAAAAATGCAAAAGTCGAATTTTAAAAAAATTTTTTTATGCAGTTTTTTACAAAAGGTATATGCTTTTGTATTTTTGCAAGAGCTCCGAAAAAAACGTCTTCAAATTGAGAAGGACAAATCCCATTTTGGATTTTGATCCGAGCAAATGCTTTTCGAAGAAATTTTTCTTCAAAGAATTGTTCATACTCATTTGCGTTGTCTTTATCTTTTAGGATTTCCTGCAAATATTCTATAATACATTAAAATAGCGGCACGTGTCAACTTGTCCTCTTGCGCAACGGTCCAGACCTTATGGCTACGGCTAACTGGGACGGACTCCGAGTCGAGAAACAAGTGCAGCCTCGGGGCAATGCATAACCAAGTAGGTTTTGACTGCCTTCCTGTGATAGAAATGGAGGTGCTCAAAAACGTCCTTTTGGATCCAAGGACCCATGGGCATTCCTCTACCGAGAAACTGGGGTTTTGGCCTAGGCCACAGGGGAGCAGTCTTTTTCCTGTAGCTGTCTAAGGTAGGCACTTCGAAACCCTACAGACTCCAAATCGCCAGCCACAGAGGAGCAGAAATCCATACGCCCACTCAAGATGCCGCAAGACAGAAGGTATAGAAGTGGGCACCTATTATTGGTGGAAAGACTCTCTGGACTGGAGTCGATAAGCTGATGAACCTCACTTATATGAGATCTTTGGTGACTGCGTCATCAAATATGGCTAGCGCCTGATTTTAATAACCTAACCTAATCCTGCAAATATTCTTGAACAAGCGCACTATCATCATCTGGACAATCCTTTCTCAAAAATCTTGAAAAATATTTCCATGTCTTTTCTGTTTCTTTACAATTTGCACGGTAAATTTTTTCTGGTCTGTGGATTTTCAAGTATTCTTTGAAAATTTTTTCATCATAATTATTAAAGATTCTTCCAAGGCTTAAAAGATTCAAAAGAATCACAGATCTCAATGGATTTGCATTTTCTGGAAAACCTTCAATTTCATGAAGCACTTTTTGGTATATTTCATAGCTTCCAATGTCATCACTATTATCTATATGATACAAATATTTTTTGCTAACCAAGGCTCTGATCAGTTCTGATTTCTGTCCCAGCGGCTTATATAGATTTTTAAGCTCGCTTAATTGGCTAGCGCTTAGCAACTCAAACCATTCTGGGTCATAAAAGTTGCTTGATTTTATAAATTTAACTATAGTTTCTGGAATTCCAGGAATTGAATGTATGTCTTTGATGTGTATGAAGGATTTAAAAATTTCTATGTTCATTTCTAATGGGTTTAGCTTCAATCTTCCGTTTTCAGTTAAGGATTCGAAAGCCTCAACTGATGTATGAGCATCATGGAGATTATTTGGAAATAAATTGTCACTCAGTCTCGAACTGTACTCATTTTCTTGAACTATCTCGGATGATTGAGGAGCAGGGTAGTCAAAATTGTAATTAAAATACATATAATTGATATGATTAAGGATCTCAGTTGTTTTGGTTTCATCATTTGTAGTTTCTAGTTCTTTTATCAATTTCCTCAATTGGAGTTTATTGAATAATGTAGCATCTTTTTTCTTTAATTCTTCTAACTCAGTCAGGAATTCTGGAGAACAGAATTTACCTTCCTTCAATAAGCTATTTGCAAAGAGAAATTGTTTTAAGGTGGATGTAGGAGGGAATGAACTGAGCGCTGCTGATTTATCGCTGGAGAGAATATATCTTTCCAAAGCTAGAATTTCATCATTTGCCATATTTTATAAGCAATTATTTTGCGTAATGCAGATGTGAATGTTTTGGAATTGTGCAGGTATAAAAAATCTTAATTCTAATGCTAAAACTAATTCGTCAACTATTTTATATCTAATTAAGTAAATTTTATAGCATATTGAGCTGAAAAAAAGGATTTATGATTTAATGCAACAACAATTATTTTTTAAACTACTGTATATTTAGAAGAAATTAAATAAACTCAGCTACTGTATGTCCCAATATTCTCTTGCAACATCATAGGTAGCCCTTACTGCTTCTCTTCCTAGCTCTGTAGTATCAGGGTCATAATGCCTTAATCCTACTCCACTCGCGGGCCCTTCATACCCTAAAAGAGCCTTCATGCAAGCTTCACTTGCACTCATCATAGTATTCAAATTATACCCTCCTTCTAATATCAAAGCTAATTTTCCATGAGCAAGCTCTTGCAGCTGCTTCGTCATGTAGGCATAAATGGCCGGACTGAGTGACAAGTTTCCCACAGGATCATCTTTCATTGCGTCAAATCCTGCAGAAACCAGCACAATATCTGGGTTGAATTGTGTTGCAATTGGCATAATTAAATTATCAAACGCATGCTTGTAGTCTCCATCTGAAATTCCTGACAATTTCCCTGTTTCTTCAGTATTTCATGCGATATTAAAGCTTCTCCCTCGACCTTCTCCAGTTCCACAAAAGTCTGAGCCAGCTTTTTTTAAGTAAGGGTAAAAAGCAGCGTTGTCATATAGGAGTTTTCCCTATATGGCCCGATAAGGGCCATGGGTTCTCCGTGGAATCCTTCTGTTGGTCAAACCAACTCAGTGCGTTAGTTTGACCAATTCACTGGTTGGCTCAACCAGCAGAGGGATTCCACGGAGAACCCACGGCCCTTATCGGACCATATAGAGAAAACTCCTATACCTATGAACAGAAATATACATCACATCTGGGTCATTTTGGAAAATATCTTGAGTCCCATTGCCATGATGCACATCCCAATCATAGATAAGGACTTTTCGAGCTCCTAACGATAAAGCATGCTTTGCTGCTACTGCTACATTATTCACATAGCAAAAGCCGCCAATTTCAGAAAAGGATGCGTGATGGCCAGGCGGTCGAATATTTGCAAAACAAGTGCTTACTTGCCCTTTTCAGACTGTGTCAACAGCTTTAATAGCTCCTCCACAAGACAGAAATATGCAATCTGAAGTGTGCTCGTTATCGTAAAGCTGCCTGCCCATTGTGTATTTTACTCCTTTTTTCCTTGGCACAGGATTCATCGTGTCATCATATTCAAATTTCAAGTCTAAGAGACGCTCAATTAGACTTGCCTGATGAATTGTCTTTACAAAATCTGGGTCTGCCGGGGTGATATTTAAGGATCTGCAATGCGATAGTAGCCCTTTTGATTCAAAATTATTGTGAATTGATCGCACCCTTTCAGGAAATTCCGGAAAAGTATGCCTAGCTGCTTAAACATTACGCTCTTCACTGTGCAGTGTTAACCTCTGATCATAAATATACCCAACATTTGAATTCCTCACAGATTCCATTTATGAAATTATTATCTACATCCCTATTATTGCTCTTTGTAACCTGAAACCCTATCTAGATAAGGAGAAACCCTTCCGCTTACAATCCAGAAATAATGTGCTACTAGGGGTCCAGTTATCACGTCAATAGTGTAGTGACCTCTTAAGAAAATCATTACCCAAAACTCTATTGCAATGCTGGATATTGAAATTCACATCAAAATATACCGTTTTGTGTGCCTGTTGAAGAATGTCAGGATTGTCACGACCCCAACATGCCCAGAGTAGAAGAAATCTGAAGTTTTTTGGTATCCTACTGCAAGTGATGGAAACCCAGGGTAGTATCATGCCCAGTCTTTAGGACACTCCATTACGAAAGATGCTTGGATCGCTCCTCTGAAAATATAAAATGATAGCAAGCATATTATCGGTCTCCAAGAATTTCCCCATAAGATAAAATGCAAGGTAAAGGATGAAAGCAGGAAATCAATAAGTAAAGACGAAATAATTGTTATAATATTGTGAGATGTTTCATTTTCCTTAAAATATTCATTTGGCGATGTAGTAATCTCAAATAAAGCATCCCACATGCACCCGACATGCCATGTCCGTAAAAGCATACCTGTGAACGCATTAGCAATTATTATAGCAATTACAGATAAAGAGATGGTGACTCTTGCAATAAATCAGCTTTTTGAGCTTTTTGTTTTCCAATTAAACTCCACAAACTTCACAACTCAATCTGTGTCTCTCGTAACTCTTTCATTCGTTAGGAGATGCACATCTTCCATTTTTTGTGTGTCAAAATTGTATTCTGATCTATTTTGCAAAGTATTGGTATATTTTAATAAATAATGGGAAATTTGCCTAATATTAAATAAGGGATTTTTATACTTTATATTTTACAATAAATAGACTAATTATTATTATTTTTTTTATTAATTACGGTTATCGCTCTCTTACAGGGCCAACTCTTTTTCCATCTGATTCGCCTCTTCGCAATTTCTCCAAAATATCATCTTATCTTTATGTTTAGCGCATTCACTAATCCTCAGGATTTTCCTTTCATAACATTCTCCAGTTTTCAACTACATAATACAATTTCGGTCAAACTTAATAAATAAAACTCTTCCTTTAAAATTTCTTCTAAAAATAATTTTAATTCTTTTCTATCATTCTCATATATGCATAACAATTCTCAATTACATGAAATCTCATCCTCTACAGGTTCACCACAGAATTTACAACTTGGATTATCAGACATGTGTCTGATGAATTTGCAATTATTTGTAAAGTTTGAGCCAGCCCTCAACTTAAAAATTGTGTTGATTGGACCGCTTACTTCGCTGACCTCGTATAAGTATAGAGGTAATTCATTTCTTGGCTCAAAACCAATTAGATTCTTATAAAGTACAGTTGTCTTCCAAGTTTCATCTGCCATCCTTTTTAATTTTTGAGTGTTAAATTTCGTCATAATTTTGCCTCAGTGATCTCCAACTTCGGCTTCAGTCAATTCATATTTTTACAATACTCCCCTGCATCTCATTTCCAATGGTAGGAGCAATTGCTCATTCACATGCAGTAGCTCCTGTAATATCGCATTACCGCTGGCTCTGAGTCTGCGTCTAAATGCCAAGAGTCTATTGTCCATCTCAGTTTCAATGCTAACCAGATTCGCTTCACTTAGCACAGTTTCATTGCATGCATTTGTGGGAGCATTAAATATTTTTCTGGCGTATCTTCTTTGCAGTCTCTCCATAGTTTTTTTATCACATTTTCATAGTGTTCAGACGTTGCAAAAGCCTCAGTTCCATACAGTACTACTGAGCTGATACATGCCTTAGCAATTATCCTTTTTTTCTCGAATCTGATCCCTTTCATCGCATGCAACATCCCCATAAAGGCTACAACTGATGTTCTCATTTTGCCAAGTCTTTCTTTCAGATGGGCAACACTTCCAATTCTTTTGGCTGCAAGATAACCAAGGTATTTGTAGGTGTTCACAACTTGGAGCTTCTCTCCATTTAACAATAAATAGACTAATAAAATAGCACTTAATTTAATTGTTTTGCATTTAGCTTTCTTTGCGAGATATCTCTAATTACTTTGCTTTTTATCAAAAATCGATATAAATGTTGCCTAATCAAATTAATTATTGGAGCTTAATCAAGGTAAATGGAATCTAAAACTCCATATCCAGCAGCAACACCACCTTCATTAGCATCTTTAGATTTTGTCCTCAATAAATATCCCCCATACACATTAGTCACTATCTCTTCTCCATTAGCTACTAGAACTCCAAACATTCCCAATTCGCTCAAAGTCTGCACTCTATTGACAACTCCTTTTCTTGATAATAAATTTTCTTTTGGCTCTGGGTTGATTCTTTTCATTAGGATATACTGCTTCATATGCTCTTGAATATTTTGATCGTTTTCGTAGTTTTCAAGGATTTTTACGACACCTTCTCCATAAAAATTATTCCCACCTCCTTCTCGCTGTGGTTTTACTACATAATCTTGTGGGTTGCTTCTTATAGCTGCTAATAACTCTTGAGATAATGGGGAATCAAAGCCCCATAAATCAGTGAAATGATCAGCTAATTTGACTCCGATCTGTGGGTCTACATATTTATATAAAACTTCTGGTTTTCCTAATTCTTGTTGGATTTTTTTAGAGCCTGCTAAATGATAATCTATATTAGGGCATTTTACAGCTTTGCTAGTATCTATAAGTTCTCGAGCTTGCCACTCTGATTCAGTTGAATAGAATAATTAAAATATGGCGTTGCTCGAAATTTTGGTCTTCTGGCCGAAAATTCATCTTTTGCATATTTTAATTATCAGGCTTGGCTTACCCTGGTGGAATTATCCCAGCTATGTCAGGAATCGAGAGCTTGATGGTGTTTCCTAGCAGACTTTTGACCTAAAGAATGGAATTTTCTAGAAGGATACCACTTGGCCCAGGTGGTGAAATCTGGGACATTTAGGGGGTGCGTTTAAGTAAGTACTGAGATCAAAGAAGAGTCATCGAAACCTTAACTTAAAGACTCCTCTTTTGGAAAATCAAAGTTGGAGGTGGCTAGGGCCCGAGCAAAATGGCACGAAATCGTCCCAGAGACGTTATGGAGGTAGCTGTGGTCGAGCAACCTGGTAGATGACGTCAAACATGTATAGATTAATTAAGATTAAGATTCAGTTGGATAGTGATCTGGGGAGTATCCAGCTCTGAAGTAAACTACTGAAATTTCTTTATCTTTATAAATTAAGGCTCCGTCTTCTCTTTTATGGCCATGAGTTGCTACATCACTTAATGTTGCTCTTATTACCGGAATTGAGTAAGTTTCCCACAGCTCAATTTCAAGGCAGGTTTGGTCAAAGTAATTCATCTCAAATGGCAAAACCAAAAAGATTACTGAGACATTATTGCCATACAGATTGCTAGCAGTTGCCAATCCCTCTGCCAGTCTATTCATTGAATGAGTCTCCAGCACCTTTTGTGGGTCAACTTCAGGGTCAAAGTAGCTTTTATATTGGCTTAAAATCAGCCTATGAAGTTTATACAGCTTACTACTTAAGCCTCCAAAAGACGCACTCATAGTGTTAAACTCTACCTGTTGGAACCTATTTGTAGGGACATCCAACATGAAATCATTTCTGTTTAGGCCTAGAAAAATCTTTTGTTGGTTTCCGATTTCATGAGCAGTTTTAGAAATTTCCACAAGCCTCCTAATATAATCATCCTCTCTGCAAATATCTTCAAGCACTTTATAGAGCCACTCTCTGTCCAAGTGCACTTTGTACATCAGAAGATTAAACTCCTCAGAGAGGTCTTTAAGTTTGTTGAATTGCTCTGCAGGGAAAGGAGTTGGCAATAGTGAAATCGGCAGATGGGTATAATGGTTTGCTTCAGGAGACATCTCAATTCCATACGCAGCTGCAAGTGCAAGCAGCCTCTGTTCCTCAGCATTTTCAAATTGCTTAACTTGCCTTGCCAGCATTCTTAATAATACTATTTAACATGGAAAACATTGCTGTGCAGAACTCAGCACAAAAATCTACTCCTTTGATTCTACACATAGAAGGGGACGTATTCTACGTTCCTTGTATTTTAAGCGCAAATGGTCAGGATTTCAGACCTTTGCTCCAACCAATTGCACCAGCAGAATCAAGGTTTGACAGCATGAAGTCTAGTACTTGGTCACTTAATGAAGATGTTGCATTATATCGCATCGTCGAAGCTCGGGGTCTCAAAGGGTGAAGCTCGATTGCGAAAGAACTTAACTCGGTCATGCACCAAAAAGTTGAAGTAAGAAATGGTCGTCAATGTCGCGAACATTGGTACAACCATTTAGACCCCAGCCTGAGAAAAGGCGAATGGACTTCTGAAGAAGATATTTATATACTTGAGCAGCAAAAAGTAATCGGGAATAAATGAAGCGAAATTGCAAGAGGATTAACTGGAAGGACTGAAAATAGTGTAAAAAATAGATGGAAAAGTCTTATTAAGAAAAGCGAAAAAATGTCACCAGGAGCTGATCCTGTGAGCTTAATATATAAGCAAAAGCAAGAAAAAGGACACCCAGGGATAAGAATGTCACCGGCTATGATGCGAGATGGGATGAAGCCAGAAACTTTGAGTCCTCAAATGAAAATGTTTGGGTTTCGGCAACTGCCGCAAGGGTATAGAGATGGGGTCACGATGTGGAACCAAATTTATTTCCAAAGCAACCAAGAGAATATTACTGGAACTCCATCCCCATCCATTTTTCTCTCAATGTAGATTGAGTAATTTATATTCAATAAATTAATTATTTGAAGAATTGAAAGGTTGGCCTATGAAAATTTATATATTGAAGGGTTAGCCTATGAAAAGCATATATATAGGCAGGCCATCTTATCTTCAAAAATTAATAATATTAGCTCACTTTAAAAATGATTGTGAATTTATATTCAAACTAATCATCTGCTAAATTTAAGAAAAAGGCTATCTTCCATTTGGTGCAATTTTATTTTAATACACGAATTTTCTACTGTGCTGCTATATAATATACTTATTTATTTTATTAATAGCAAATAATATTTTTGTACTGCCTATGGCTATCTATCGATCAGCAATAAAACCAAAAATAAATATAAACAAAATATGAATTTGATCCTTTGTTCTGTGCCTTAATTTGTTTCACTGTAACTCCTTTTAAAACATATTTATGCAAATGAATAAACAAAAGAAATCAAAGCCGTCTTTGCCAACACCCTCTAACAAGAAGTCTCACAAAAAGAAATCAGATAAATACCTTGACAGCTATATTAAAGACCAAATGAAAGAATCATTCAAAATCAGCAATTTTGAAAATGAAGAAGGAACAGCTTGGGAACATGCTCAAATTTTAGAAGAGCAAGCACGATTTTGAAAATGAAAACAAGAAAAAATGAAAAGGCAGCTTCATGTTGATAAGCCTGGCTTAGCTCGCACTCTGACACCACATCAGGAAGAATTGATTTTCAGAAAATATGATAAGGCAAGACTTCTATTAAATGTTGAATTGCCTTCAAAAAACTACTATAAAAATCTTCCAGTGAGGTAGCATGCATTTTGATCTTGATTTTTCTCAGCAGACATTTTCTCAACACCATTTGATCGAAACTTTGTGTTATCAGAAACGGCAAAAACCATTATTCTTGAACCAAATATTTAATAGAAAAATTTTCGGCCAAATAGATATGAGTAATATCTGCAGGGGATATCCTAAAAAAATATATGTGCCCCAGTGAAGCCTGGATTTTTTTTTATTGAAAGCTTAATGAAAGCTCCTAGAGTACATATAAACACTTTAAGCATAAATATTCCTGAAACTTTGTATTACACTGATAAGGTCTATTACTTATCAACAGACTCCAATGGCAAATTATCATGCACAACAGAAATAAACTGCTTTAGATACAAAAACATAATTTTTAACTACAGAAACCCAAAAGAGGAAAGCGCTTATGACAAAATTGCTGTCATTATGAGAGGACATACTGACCACGAGCAAAATATGCAGAGAATAATCCTTGATTGAAACCATTAACATTAACTTAAATATTGAGAAGTTCGCTGTAATGCCTCGAGGGCCTACCTCCACCCGTATTGCTTCACTCGGCTGCTCACCACCGACCCACCACGGCCTTCTAAAGTGTTGTTCCTTCTGGACGAGGATGTGCACTCGCTACCCGAAGTTGGATGAGTTGCGCCACCGTGCCGTACGCCAACAGAGTTGTCCTTTCAGAAAATTTGAAAAACAAAATTTTCTGGTCGAACTCACGTCCAAAATGAAAATCCAAAGCCTGGGACGTAACCCCCAGTTTCACGCTAGAGAGTTGCCCGATGGACCAAGAGGAACCTCATTGGTGCTGCTGAGCTTCTCCTTTCCAGCCTTGGAATCCATTTCCCCTGAGGTAAAAACCTTGTCATCAGAGTGAACTGCGGTCGACCAAATTCGACATTGCGCTCCACTGTGCCAAGGAAACCCTAGCCGGATATCTATACCGAGCGCCAAATTCCCTTCCACAAGGTCCCCGGGTCCTAGAAGGTCCCCAGCTACAGGTGTTGAGAAAAAGGGCTGGTTCGCAGTCGCCATTTTAATAAGTATATCCTTGATTGAAACCAATTCGAGCTAAAAATGATAGGAAATGAAACATCTCCATACTCCATGCTGCAGCGATTTATAAAATGTACAGGTGCTAGACCATGCACAATTCGGCTTTATTATTATGCAAGCCAAAAATCGAATAAAGCGAATTTTGCTTATTTTATTAACAGCATAAATTCAGAAGAGTTTGAAATGGAGCCAAATTTACAAAAATACGCTTGTGATACTGCTAATCCTGAAGGTTTAGAAGTATTTAAACAATCAGGAGCAGCTCTACGTCCTTATGAAACTGAAGCAGAAAAAATTGTAATTTATTTAAATAAGGGTTATAATATACGAATTCAAGAGATTGTCCTGGATTTTATAAGAGATTTGAATGGTATTATCTGATGTTCCTCCTGCAAAAAAATAATTGTTGATGAAAGTACAATACCGAATAGTTTAAAACCTGTCAAAGAGTGATGGCCAGAAACCCATCTGCAGCCAGATCCTGATAATAAGCATAAAATAGTTCCTCCTCAAGCTAAAGAAAAGACAAAAAAAGTAAACAGTTTTGTGCACTGCAAACTATGCAAACTATTTTATCCTAATTATGAGTTGTCTAATTTAGTTTCAGTAAGAGTACTTTTGCTATTCAAAAATCATGTGACACAGAGAAGAAAGTTGCCTTGAGACACTTCGCATTTAAAAGTTACTAATAATGACTTGTTATCCCAAAGTGTAAGAATCTGTGAGTTTTGCTATACGCTGATTTCGAGTGAATTTGAGTTAATTGAAGCAGAGCAAGCTTTTGCTTCTATATTAAGCATACCTGTTAAAGAAATTGGATTTGAAGAGGATGCAGATTTAAGTGTACAGCTGCCGTTTTTGCCAAAACAGTTAGCTCAGCTTAGAATTCTGCTCTATGCAGTGAATTTAATCGAAGTCAGTAAATTATCAAGTATGACCAAGGAAGGCTTTTAGCTTCCCCTGGGAGACCAACTTTCACTCCAATTCGTGGAGTTGATTTGGCTCCAAAAGATGCCAAACCAAATCCACGGATTGACAAGTAGCAAATATATACTCAGTAGTCAGATCGTGGTGTTTTTCGCCCAGGACGAGCTAAAAGCCACCATGGGCTATATAACAAATTTGCATATCCATTTTTGCTTCGGTGATTTTGTTACATCAGCGCAGATTGCCTGGAATTCTGATAAAGAAAATGAAGGAGTAATCCCAATAAATTTTATGAGGATGCATTATATATTTTATAACCCAGAAAAAACTCTATTTCCACCCATCCTTATCGAACACATCGGCATTATTCGATTAAGGATTTGATTTAAAAACTTCTGGATAAAAATAATTGATAGAGTATAAAAATATGAAGAAATATGTTAGAAATCGCATTAAGATTGCATAGGAGCTATTTCACTACATAATTTATAAGATTCATCCTTTCAAACATAGATAGTCAGATTTGAGGTGGAATAAGGTTTCATGTCGACAATATGGGGGCTAATTTTTCTAATTTTATGAAATTTTCATTGTTTCTTTGATAAAGGATGGGAGTGTAAAAAAATTTTTTGAAGAATTTTGGAGTTGGAATAAAAATCACTGAAGGGCCAAAATATGATGATCCTCTTGTTGCAAAAAGTAATGGAAAAATATTTAAAGACTTCCCAAGCTCTCTACCATTTGGAAATGCATTATTAGAGAAGAAGCAAATGGAACTATTTGATAAAGATTGTAACGAACAATGCAGCCTAACTTTAATGGTTTGCTTAAGTTACGATAAATTAATGTCAAGTAAAGATATCAAAGTCCCTTTAACAAAGAAATACGATGTATATTTTACTGAAGATCATTATATGACAATAGATACACTGCCTCCTCAATGAATGGAACTATTCGGAATAAATGAAAAACTTAACGAAACATTTGGAAAATATTTCGAGCTTGATGATTATTATTCCCCCCACCTCACAAAAACTGAAATTTTTAAAATGAACGATACAGTAGCTAAACAAGGCATGAGAACCTTAAGAAGCACATCTCCAAGCCGATCAGTGTCGCCTATAGAAAAATTTGCTGCAAAAACTGGTAAAAACGAATATGCGGGCTTTATGAGTAGCAAAGATTTGTCATTATTAAGCCCATCAAATGAGGATGTTTTTTCTACTGTTGACGAATTTTTATCAAATCGGTCGAGAAAAAATTTTGAATTTAAAATCAGAAAAAAGCCGAGCAAATTTTCAACAGCTAGCAGCAATAATTTGTCAGGGACTTTTTCATTTAGAGAGGATAAGCTGAAGAAATATGATGAAATAGTCCAGCAGATGGAGGATTATGTTGTAAAAGAAGTGATGGAGAGGAGAAACCTTTACTTAGGGTCAGGCAAAACTCGTAAAACTGTAAAGAAAAAAGCTACTTTAACGATACCGACTAAGAGCCGTAATATGCTTATATAAATATTAGCAGTTAATTATTTATTTTTAGCTTTATCAGATCTAAATTCAAGCTACCCAAGCGTTTTGGCTTTGGTGTTTTTTGTAGCTTAGTTTCAATCTTTTCCATAAGAAGTTGAATTATCTCCGAATTTTTTAGAATCCTATCCATAATAAGTTCTTTTTTTTGTGCGAGGTTCAAAAACTCTTCCCTGACCATTGTTTTTCTTCTTTCAATCGACTTATCTTTTGATTTTTTTGCCAAATCATTGATTTCATTCATAAAGCTATCGATTTCGCCTTTCAGTTTTTCTCTAGTATTAATATTGTCTTTGCTTTTTTCCTCATAAATTTCATGAGGTTTATTCAATTCCTGCAGGGCTCTCAATATTTTATTTCTTGGCCCTAAAGGTATCCCCATATCAATTAAATCTTCTTTTGTTAAATTTTCAATATCTTCAATCCCAATTTTATTTTTAAGAAATACTTCAAAATACTCCTCAATTCCAAGTGTTTTCAAAAATTCAGCTAAATCTTCTTGCAGATCCGTAAACTTTGGAGAATCCATAACTCTTTTATCTTCAGCCTGCTTTTCAGGGGTAAATACACTAAATTCATTTTCAGAATAATTTTCAGTTTGCCTTGTTTCACTATAAGTGGGCCTTAATGGACTCTTAAGAAACGAGGTTTCAGTTGAGGCGGCAACTGAAGGGTCTTCATATTCCCTTGATATGAATGAAATATCAGATGTGAATGGAGAATGAGTTCTCCTATGCTTTGATGCTGGATGAGACGACAGTTGAGAAGATGAAGCCATTTTAATAGATACAGAGTCAGCATTTGCATTATAATATGGAATTATCTGAAAACTCGAGTGTAATCAAACAGCTTAAAATTTTTAAAAAGCCAGAAAATATGTCAAAAATCAAGCCTGAAGAAATTGAGTATATTCATTGTATGTTTCTGGAAACAATGAGGAATGAGATAGACATTAATAATGAAGGCGGTTAAATTAGTTAAATTAGAATGGGCCTTCGGAGTTTATTTCAACTATCTCTGCTTTCAGACTCATCGCCCTAAGCATCTGTTTTCACTTACGCCCTTTTCTGTCGATGTCACAAAAAATGGTGACGTCGCCATCTCTCTGGGAGACGCACCCATGTACTTCTTTGAACAACTCCTAGCGGTCGGTATGATCTATCCTGGTATGGGAGGTAGAAGACGACCCCGAATCCTCCTTCTGGTCCCCATTACCTTCGTATCCAGAAGTGTTGAATTGTCACATGGACTCTAATTTCCTTGTCTATGGTACGAGAAAAAAACCCTATCGTGGTGTGCCAACCAGGGAGAAAAACCTAGCAGGACACAAGTTCCAGGCTCCAGCCCTCTTAGACCTAAAAACCTCACGGGTATGAGAGAAGGACGGACCGAATAAGTCGCCATTTTATTTGAGTTAATGAAGGCGAACAAATCAAAAAAAGAGGTGATGAACCACCAAGTCCAGTCCCAAAACCTAATGATAATGAAACTGAAGAAGAAAATACAATAATGCAGTTTGAGCAAGATGATAGTTACAAGTCAGAAACAATTCCTAAAAAAGTATCTATCCTAACTCAAGCTCTTCAAACAGAAGAAGCTGAGGAAAAATTTGAAGGAAATCAAGATGTAAAGGTTTATCTTTTTGGAACAAAGGAATTTTTGCTAATAAAAGTTGAGAAGTCTTTAACTTTTAAAACAATTATCAAAAAAATATTAAATGAATTACAAAAAAGGAACAGTAAAATACCCTTAAAGCACGGAAACCGCATAGAAGGCTATGAACTATGATTAGTTGAAGATTTTACGCTAGAACCTGATAAAGATCTCCCTATTCCTCTTGATAAAACTTTGGAAGATTTTTCAGTAGATATGCTTGCAATTACAGAATCTAAAAATATAAACTTATCCTCAAGCCAATCAGATATAGATCATACCCCTATATAGATTTATTTATTGAGCGAATGTACTGGACTCTTGAACGAGCAAAACAGACTCTCTCAAAGAGATGAGCTCAATCTCTATATCAGTAAGTGTTAAAAAGTGGCATGTCAAAAAATGGCGAAAAAGTGTGAAAAAGTTTACAAAGTAAACGCGCTGATTTACAATGGCTTTATTATTAAAATTTAAGATATCCAATTAGACTGAGAGCACCCAATCAATCAGGTTTTGATATAAGCCTAATCAAACGCCAAATGTAGAATTTCGTTTTTAGACATCTTGGAGAGAAATAAATGAAATCATAAATATCTACGAAATTTCACACATCGAAAAAACTCAAAAGTGGAACTCCCCCTTAACCCATCAAAGGTGCCCAAGAATTATTGCTTCGGTTGAGACATCTCTCAAAATCTCCAATAATTTTTGGACTTCTGCTTGATACAAGATGGCGTCCAGTATGGAGAAGCTGTGAATGGCATCTAGTTTTATTCATAAAATTTATATATATCATTTATTATTTATTATTTATGTATTTATTATTATCATTAATTTATAAGACCTTTTAAAAATTGGTGCGTTTACTTGTCAGCTTTTTCACACTTGTCACCATTTTTTGACATGTCACTTTTTAGAACTTCCTGATATATAGATTGAGCTCGTCTCTTTGAGAGAGTCTGTTTTGCTCGTTCAAGAGTCCAGTATAGAAATCTATAAAGGGGTATGATCTATATCCCACAAGAAAAAATAAGAATTTGATTTGAAAATAAAAATTTTGATTTAGATAAAACTCCGAACTCAAATCTGTATGATATTTTTATGGAGCTAAATTTATTGCCAAATAACTCTATATATATAAATCCTAATGATTACTGTTTTAAAATTAAAATAACGAACAATGACCAAGATTATGAAGAATGCGAAGTAAATATGGATATGGAAATACAAACCCTTAATACAAATGAATTATTTTTGACTAAAAAAGTATTCGCAGATACCCCAGAAACTAGTACTGTTGTCAGTCCTGCAGGAGAATATTTTGATAATACTAATGTAAAATATGACGAATCATTATTCAATATGAGCAAAGCCCAAGTCTGTGCTTATAAGGAGTACGAGGTTATCAAAGAAAATTCTCGAGGCAAAAGACAAAGACGCATAATGGGAATTGATCAGTTAAGGATTTATAACATGACAGAGTCTCAAGCTAAACTTTTAAGAAAGCAGACTTCAAAGCAGCGAAAGGTTTATATTAATAAAATCCAAGGAATTTTTAAAAAAATTGCACACCATCCAGAAATCCCTATTGAAAATGTTAAACGGATAGAGCAGGAACTTACTTACTTACTTAATTATCTGGTGTTTAAGGTGTCTAGTGCCGCAGCCCAAAAGGGCCTATGGCAAAACTGATGACGTAGGCGAGCCATCTTGGCACAGGTCAGCCCCGTCCAAGCCTTCTATCAACTCCTGCTTCACCGGCCTTGCTGCACGTCTCACCCGGCGCGTTGCCGTCGCCCTTGTCGCTCGACTCAGCTCCTGCGCGTGTTCCCGCCTAAGGGTCATCCTCCCGTGGGGATGTGCTGAGAGGTAAAAGCCCGAAATCTTGAGTGGACTAAGGAGTGGTTCCTCTGGTTATCCCCAGAGTTAAACCGCTATTGCTGTCCAGAAGTCTTCGAGTGAAAACCTAATCCTATAAATAAAATTCCATGAGGGAGAGAAAAAATTAGCAGAGCTAATTTCTCTCGAACCGAATGCCATTTTATTTATATGATAGAGCAGGAACAAAATTTAAAATGCTTTATGCTTGAGTATATAGAAAATGGCAGCCTTAAATCAAAAATGTATGAAACTGCTTCATCGCTTACTGCTGCAGAAATTGTTGCAAAAATTAATAAACTTTTGCAATTAAGACTGGATCAAAATTAAACTTGATAATACACATGAAAATTTGGATAATTTAAAAAATTTTTTAGACTCTATTTTGGTTTTGGTGTCCTCCCTCTTTGTGCTTTCATTAAATGGTCTAAAAGCTCTCTTTCTCTCGCTTGTAAAGCTTCAACTCTTTTCATCATTTGTTCATTATATTCTCTCAGCTGCTGAATTTCTTCTTGTGGTGGAACAGCAGGTGTTGCCTCTCCAAGCTTAAACTGCATTTGTATTTGTTCTTCTTGTAGGGCATTCATTCTTTTCTTTAAGTTTGCGTTTTCGTTTAATAGAGTGCTTATGGTGTACTCTTGCGAAACGCCTGATGATGGGTTTTCACTTGTCTTGGTAGAGCCTACAAATGAATATTCTAAATTTTCTAATTTTATATGCATACTTTGGTTATCAATCATAGATTGATGGTAGCTCTTTTCTGCTTCTTCTTTAGTTTCTCTTAATTTGGCGTTTTCTTCTCTTAGCTTGTTAATTTCAAAATGAAATTCTTGCAAGACTGGGTCGTTTGGCGACTCATTATAGGAATTAGCAAAATCGACCATCATAGGTGGAAGCCCGCCTTGAGCTCTTGCTAATTGTTCTTTTAAGTACTCGTTTTCGAGTTTAAGTAATTGGGCTTCTCTTCTGAGATTTAGTATAAGGTATTCACTATTATCTACTTGAAGAAGGGGTTTATTCTGTATGTTCATAGCTCTTGTCGCATAATTTAAGGTGCTCGTTGTTTCTTCAATATACGCATTTGCAGGTGAAACGCAAGCTATCATAATAGCTCTCGATGACCCCCCTAATGAGTCCATCAGGACCATTGTAAGTTTTGAATCACGATAAGGCACATGTGGCTTCAGTCCTCTATTTTTCTTGTCTCCAAGTGCAGAAATTACTTTTCCCAAAGTAAATAGCGATTTATTTATATTTTTTGTTTCATTCAGCATATCCCCTTGGCTTTTTGTTTCTTTTAGTCTCTCGCTTCCTGCTAAGTCTACAAAGTACATTTTTCCGTATCTTTTAAAACTATGGCCGTCTTCAGAAGTAATTTCACTAATAAAATAAATCATCAAAATAGAATGAGACCTAGAAGAATCAGCGTTTAATTCATGGCTTCCGCTTTTTCTGTTTTTCATCCCTTCATGCAAAACTGCAATTAGATCATCAATGTTTGTGCAGTCAACTATCATTAGCTCTTCCACAAAAAACCCTTGCTTAGCATTTCACCTGCAGTGCAACACCCCAGAGCTTGGGTTTAGCAGATCTCTGACTTGTTCGTTATAAATTTCAAAAAATCCTGATTTTACGAAGTATCTTTCTTGCCGTGATGCCATCCTTTGTCATACATAGGAAATTGCCCTAGGGATAATTCCATCAGTTTCATCTGAAGTATAGTCTTGGCGGCCAAATCTTTCTTCTACCCCAGCCATGCTATAAGTTTTCCCACTTCCAGTTTGCCCATAAGCGAAAGCTGTACAAGAGTAACCTTCGAGAGCACTGTCTAGTAACGAGTGCACCCCAGTTTCAGAAAACACTTCTCCTTGCTGTGCATCCACATCAAAAATATGATGAAAAGTGTAATTTCTCATTCCTCCTTTCATCTTCAGTAGTAAATTCTTAGGATTTTGAACATCTATGCAGCTGGAGTTGCCAGTGCTTGATTCTCGCTGATTTAGAGGCCTGATTCGGATACAAACGCGAATGCTTTCACCTCCTTCTTGCTCAAGCATGCTGGAACCACCGCTAACTGATGGTGGATGGCTAGGAATTTTATTAGAATTTGATAGGGACTTTACAGGAGATTGCATTTTGGATTTTATATTATGTTATGTTTATTTTGTTTACTAGTTCGTCAATCAAATATATCAAATATGGCGCTGCTTGAATTTTCTAGATTTGCAATTTTGTATAATTTTGTATGAGGTTTGGTTTCACCCATTGAAATTATCCAGTTAGGTCAAGGAAGGAAGTGTTAAGGGTTTTTCGGATCATTCTCCTGACTTTTGAGAATCGAAATTTCTGAAAGTGTGCCACCTACTTCAGGCGGTAAAGACTAAAGACCTTTTGGGCGCCTAACGTACTCAAGTAGGTTGCTTGAACTCAAAGAAGAGTCATCGAAGCCAAACTTTAAGACTGACCTCCTCATTGTGAGCAAGGTCAAGGTGGCCACACCTTGAAGGGTTTGGAGGAATATTGCTCGATTTTAGCGTTAAAAGCAGCTGTAGAAGAGACAACCAAATTGTGGATGCTAAACGAGAAAGGTTAATATAATAGCTTAGTTTGTCTCGGATACCTGGATAGTAATATAAATATCGTCTATGATATCTATTTATGCACTCCCATTCATCTATTTCTTCTTTAGCAAGATCTCCACCCCATTGTCTTTCTCAATCTCTCTTAGATTTAATGCATCGCTTTACCTTGATTCTTGCATGTTGGTTTGTCCTATCAATATAATTTTTTACTTCTTCTACTGGGATTTTGCATTGAAGGATTCTTTTATCAAGTTCTTTGCCTTGCAGCCCCTGATCAGCAAGAGCTGAATGCACACATTGATAATAAGACATGCGAAAAGTGCTTAAATTCGAAAAATTAGCTTTGGCTTCATTGAAAAGCATTTTTTTGATAATTCGTTTTTCCTTTGCTGTGTGATAATCGTTTCCAACTACAAAAGGTGGGTCTTGATCAAACATTTATTTATGCGATTATTTATCTAGAAATCTAACCAATGATAATAGACTTGAAATCTTCAAAGCTCAATTTTTCTTTTGGCCTTTGAGCTTTCTTCATTATTAAATCTACCCACATTTCTAGCTGTGGTTTAATTCTTCTTTCAACCATATCAAGGACTTTTAATAAACTCTCTCTTCCGAGGTTTTTGCCAGTTTCGTATTCCACAAAACAAAAGAAAACTATATAAATCTTACATAACATTCTTTGTAGCTGGAAAATTCTTTTTCTTTCTTTTCCGAATTTTTTTATTGACAGGAAATAAGGCGAATTTTTATGGGTATAGGAATTTTACCTATTTTTATTAAATATAAAGTGTAATTAGCCAAAATATATGCGTTATTATCATAAATTGGGCCAATTTTTATTAGCTCCTTCGATAGCCTTAAAAAAATCTTCATTTTTTACTCATATAAGATTTGATATAGGACTCATTAACATGTTTAAAAAAAACTGATCACAAACGTAGCAATCTAGAAAAAACTGTCGAATAGCGACAATATGAACCTCCTGGTCGCCTGATAAAGATCTGACATAGGTGGTTTTTTTGTAATTAGAGTAGATTTCTGAAAAAACTAAATCAATTGTCCAGCATTGGTCTATAGAATAATATCGATCTGTTAAATTGTGAATTAAAAGGGGCTTTCCAAGCTTAAGCTTTGATTTAGAAGGTTTAGAAGTAGACTCAGCTTGGGACAGAAAAGAGGCTTCTGAGTCAGTAGACAAGCATTCCAGGATAGATGCATTAGAGCTGTCTAACTGTTTTTCTTTTGTAGGTGTTTGAAATTTATTAGAGGAAAGAGCAGCTTTAAGTGTTGTGTAGTTGTTTAAAAGTGCTTTTAAAGAGTTCAGTATCTGTGTGTCGGTGTTGAAGTTGGCTCGGGCAGGTAGCATGTGACTTTTAATGAAAATTCGAATCTTACGGTAAATTATAATCTTTCATATTTGACTGGGCTAATAGAATCAATTTTTTAAGGATTATTTAAAATACTTAATAATGCACAAAACCACGGAAAAGGCCACCTGGATAAATTTTAAGTTTTTGAAATTTGCTATTGGTTGACCAAAATGCATCTAATTCCCCTGTAGTATGCTCAGCAAGCTCTCCTAAACAAGTCAATATTTGAGGGCATAAGATTTTTATATCATTATTAAAAAACTCTTCATTTTCAACAAATTTTCTAGCCTTATCTTTTCAATAATCAGGCAATTCACTTGCAGACTTGAAATTTAATTGAAGATCTCCGCTTTCCATTAAAGTTAGAGGGATTTTAGTAAATCCAAATACTTCGCTGTCTTCAGCAAAAAATAGTTCATAAATTCGATTTAGCAGTTCTTCAGAAAATAAAGACACTCGACTATAAGAAATTCTAAGTCTTAAGGCATTGAGAGCATCTATTATTTTATTTTCACTTGCAAGAATAGTTCCAATTTCATGACCAATACTGAATTCTATATTAATTTTCTGGTCATTCTGCTCGAATTCTTCTTCGTCACTATCATCTTTTATATACTTTTGCCTTGGAGATGCATAAATTAGAACTTTGGCTCCATGAACAGAAATGCCCAGCTCTGACTTAGGTCCAAGATACGAATCAAAAAATCCAAAAAATACTTCTGGGTTAGATTCTGACCAAGGTTTAGAACTAACTTCAGATAAACGGGCCTTTACAAGCTCGGCCCCTTCTTCTGAAAAGCAGTTTATAAATGTATAGATGCTATAGGGCTTAAGAATTAAGCCCGTCGTAGCGGTTGCCGCTTCTTTGGCTTGAGCTACAAGATTTTCTCCATTAATAACTTCGATATACCCTTGAATTCCAGGCTGAGCTGGGATGTCTCCTATGTTTAGAAGAATATTTCCTATCATTTATTATTATCTGATTAAATTAATGTTAAACTTAATCACTAGGCCTGATATTCTCTAGTTCCTGTCGAAGTTCTTCCACTTCTCTTTCAAGCTGAGCGTTTCTTTCTTTTAAAGCTTCATATTCGGCTCTTAAAGTTTCAGTATCAATGTCAGAGGGGGTTCCCAGGTATCGCTTTATAAAACTAGGTAAAAGTTACTCAATGGCATTTGATGGTTTTTCAGGTTCTTCGTATAGTCCTACAAGAACGCGGGTTAATTGATCAATAACTCCACTCTTCTCTAAATATTTTCTGTATTCTTCTTTTTTGGAGTCAGTAGTTTGGAAACTCATACTTAATAATTATATTACATAATTAATTCATATTCTAAGCGGTTTCTTAATCTCTATCTAGTTAGAATAAATAGAGGGCATTAATTGCATTTAAAATAAAAATTCCTATTTATTTAGTAAAACAAGCAATCAAATAAAGTCTGCTAATTGAGTAGGAGTAAGCGATCACGATTAATTAGGCCATTGAAGTTTACTTTCTTCTACAGGATGGCAAGCACCCCTTTTAAAACCCAGTTGGTGATGCCAACAGCTATATTGCTCCAGGCAAGTATTTTCAGAAGACGACAAAACAGGCCTAGAAAGCTTCACTGGTCACTTTGACCTTGCTGATAACTCGAACTCAGCACATACTCCACCTAAGGGCTATCCTCCTCCTATGTGCCAAGCAATAACAATCATATGCCTACTTTCCTTCTTAGAAAAAATGGTTTAACCTATGCGATAAGCCGTATTTGATGTTGTGGATAAAGTTTCACTGGAAAAACTGAACCCTATAATAAATAAAACAGCAAGGAAGGAATAGTTCTCGCAGAGCATTAATTTCGTGCGTAACCATTTTATTATTATGAGTAGAAAGTAAGCAGTTTCCATTTATGCTCTTTAACGAAATAATTTGAATTGGCTGTTAATAAAGAAAGAGAACTAAATTGCATTAAGTGCATTTAGAGATGATTTTAGGATTATTAATACATATATTTTTTATTAATTTATAATCGTGTCTTATTTATGTGATTAATAACTACTGGACTGATTTAACTTTATCTGAATTTTTCTTGCTTATATCTGAATAAAATAAGCATAGAGCGCTTGACACAACAAAGCATCCGATTCCAGTTCAAGCGATTTGCAGCCAGTAAGGCATTGGCTCTACAAACATTCCTTGAGAATGCTTGAGGATTATCATCCACTCTGTGAACACAGTCATATGTGCAAGCCAAGAATTCGTGCCTAGCCTTAGTCTAAACCCAGAAGAAACATATTCAAAATATTCTTCAATTGATACCATCGCATAAAATGCTACAAAAAAGACTCTAATAACTAATATTCAGTGATCTGCTGGGATCCATAAAATAAATTTCAAATAAAAATTACTTAGATCTGTAGCGCTTACAAAAATCACTAGCCATATTGTAGTAATAAAATTTTTGCAGGATCCAAACATTTCCCAATTAAAAGAGAGCCAGGAGTGAGGGGTAAGCTGGGAAGCAGTCCTTGACAATGCCGAAAAGCGTCCAGTAGCACTTCTTTTATCTTCCCCAATGCCCCAGAAAAACTCTTTCATTTGAAAAAATCTGCATGTAAGATATCCAAGATAAATTCCACCTCCATTGCATAAAATAATGTCAAAAATCAAGCTATCCCACCAGCATTCAGCAAAGTTAGGTATTTGAAACTTCAAAGTAAGCTCTAAGAATTCAAAGAAAACACTTAAAATTCAGCAGAGTTTCATATCTCTTATAATAATCATCTTAAAAAACCATCCAAGTGCATGAGCTGGAATATATATGTCAAAAAAGCAATCCTTTATATTATAAAAAATTGATTCAGGGTGTTCGGGTGTATAAATTCTGCAGTCGTCAGCATAGTTTTTATCTGGTAAAGATTTCCCTAGTTTAGGGTCTAAAAATGTAAGCAGTTGGCGAGAATCATCAAGATTCTGAAAGAGAAGGTAAACTAGCATTGTGAAATAGCATAAGCCAACACCTTGAAGCATCCTCCAAAATACCGGATGAGGACGGGAAAAAAAGCCTGAATCTGGTAGCTGGACTCCACAAGTAAAAATAAAGACAAGGATAAGTCCCAAAAAACCTTGGCGCTGGTTTAATAAGGAATCTGAATCATCTCTTAAGAATGTGAAATAGCCAAGTATGCCAACAGCTATAAGGAGCCATAGGACTGTGTGTGAAGAATATAGAATTTGAGGGAATTCGAACTCAGGGATAGGAGTCTTACCTCCTCCGTGAGCGAGCAGCACTATTCAAAGAAAAAAGCTTGAGCAAGCATCATATATACCAGCTTGTTTTGAATAATCTGACTTAAAAATTGAATAATACTGATATAAATTAAAAAAAATTAACTACTCTTAGCAAGCAAAAATTTTTATTCTATTAGAGAGGAGAGGGGTTAGAGAACACTCTGGGTCCCGCACTGTCTCCTGACTGAGTTTGCACTCCAACTTCTTTCATATTTTATGGCTGGCATTGCGAAAATGCAAATGCGTCATTATCATTTAATGCTAGAGACAATCCTACAAGGACTTAACGGATAATACATAGACAAGAAATTTTTTAATATGAATCTGATGAAGCCATTAAAAAAGGCAACAAGTATATAATCATTTTCGATCACAGATTTTATTATTAAATTGTTGCTTAATTAATTAATTTTCTAACAAAATCTTTAAGTTTTTAACTACTCAGCATCATAAATAGCTTATATTTTAAATATTTATTTTATGGGTCATTGTGGAAAATGATAAGAAATCAACTTATTCATTTCAAAATTTAAATGGAAGGCGATACTAACGAGTATCAACTCATTTGCCAGAAATTCAAGATAAATCCTATCGCTGATATTAACAATGCTATATCAAGAAGATACAGCACAGTCTCTATTTCTGAATCTTCAATAAATTCCCAGCATGAAGAGCACCTTCAAGCAGTTTTCCATCTACTCAAATGCAACTTACTTCCCTATTTAATAGCAGTTAAAATTTTTTAAAAATTTTCCTTTTTCAATTTTTTTAAATAAATTTTAGATTCATAGAAAGTTTTAAATATAAAGAAAAAGAAATATTCTCTTCATAAATATTAAAATATATTTAAATCATCTCAATCACAAAAATTGTGTAGTTCCTTTTATAGAGCTTAAAAATATATTCGAATGGATGAGAGTTAGAATTTTTCACCGATCTTATTATCACAGGCCAAATCCTAACTGTATCGTTATTAACAAAACTGTCTACCTACCTCTCTTCAAATTTTTCACTGAAAAAACTCGTATTAAAATCAAACAAGTTCCAAGAGAACCATTCCCTCTCATTATTATCTCAATCCCTCCGAATGAATGCTTCATTGATGCATCTTGATCTTTCAAATAACCACATAACAGACGATTACTCAACTTTCATATGTGAAATTATAGAGAATAACACATCTATAAGCACCCTTATTTTGGACTCAAATAATATATCGAACTCTCAGATCCCTTTAGCGCTGACGAAAAATGATACAATAAGCACAATAGGAATTTCAAACAACCCGCTATCCTTTGATTTTGTTGTATCTATGCTTGAAATGCTGACAATAAACAGAGCTTTGACAACTATTCATATGAGTGGGGTAGCTTTTGAAGGCCCAGCTCCCTTAAAAGAAAATTCAAGCGGGCAGTTAACGAAAAATGAAGCAGTGATTTTAAAACTTGCTTATGTATTAAGGTATTCAGCAATTAATTATATAGCAATAGATATCGACCCCTCATGCTCAGTCCAACTCGCTGAACTAGAAAAAACCTTAATCAAGTACAACAGAAAATTGACCACAATTAGCTGTACGACAATTGATTGAACTAAAGTAAGGTCTATGAGTTCTTTATCAGGCATTCACCGAGCTTTAAGAGCCAACACTTGGCTTCTTCAAAACTCCCACTTATCTATTGATAAACAAGCAGAACCTATGAGTGACATTGAAGATATCGTCACGCTAAAGCAAACTAGCTCTCCAAGAAAGAGCTTGACTCCTCCAGAAAGATTTAATAGAAACATTGACAGTGGAGGGCTCAAAGAAGCCTTAAAAAAGTTTGCAAACTCCAAGCCAAATCGAAACTCAATACCATCAATAAGTTCTTCTTCTAGCTCACCAGAAAGGCATCCAATTGAAATTCATGAAATCCCTTATCAAAAGGTCAGTTTAGGCTCAGCTGAAACTCCTCAGTTCACATCATCAATACAAGGAAGATCATTCAAAGCTTCTGGAAATTCAAGAAGATATGATAAAATTAGCGAAATCGATACAACGAGCTCTGATATAGAAGAAAAAAGATTTACTCCAATGAAGCCTTTATCTAATGACGAACAGATAAATAGCTTATGAAAAGTTGTAAAATCATTAGAAAATGGCTTTGTGCAGTATCTAGAAAACAATAGCAAAGCTGTTGATAATGAAGCTTTGAGAAATAAATTTGCAGAAGTCGATTCAAGGCTCGAAATTTTTGAAAAAAAAATCATCAGTTTAGAAAAGAAAGACGCGATGTGGCAAAAAAGAATTGAAGTGATTGAAGAAAACATTAAATATCTGAAAGAAAATTCAAATTTGATAGCAAATCAGCTAGAGCAATTTAAAAGTTACAGTAAAAATGCAGAAAATGAAATCCCAGTAAAACTTGACTATGGGAAATGTGAAGAAAACTATTATAAGCAAAGTTCTAAAATTTCAGCATTAAGCAGTGAAGTAGCGAAGCTGAAAGAAGATATGAATGCTGATGAACATACCCAAGCAATCCGAGATTTGAAAGAAAAAGTATTGCAATTTCCTGTGGATGGCGCTGTTTTGGCCTTGATTTTCCCACTTGAAATATTTTTTGGTTCGACCAGCACCATATGGTTTGGTCAAACCAAAAAATTTTCCCTGTGGGAAAATCAAGGCCAAAATAGCGCCATCCATAAGAAATTAGAATATCTTCACTAGAAGGAAAACTCGAAAATTGCCACATCGATGAAATTTCTAAAGAATGGAATAGTATCCGGCAAGAATTAGTTTCTAAATACAACAAGCTTGATGAAAGGCAATCATTAAGTGCAAGCACCCTCAGAGAGAGCTTAAAATTTTCAAATTCTGGAAGTCTAAAACAGCTTCATATTCAAGACCTTTACCCTGAGTCTGAAAATCAGTCGTACTCTGATATGACTAATACTCCACACTTCACTAATCCTGCTCATCTTGTAAGACTAGAAGAAAGGCTTGTAGAACTTGAAAAAGAGAGAACCAAAGTTGAATGTGTAAAAAAGCAAGTCAGGGATGCATTGGTAATTTTAATATAGTCAAAAGTAAGTGCAATAGAAAATGTAGTCACCAAACAGTTAAATTCCAAGAGGTTTGAAGACAAGGCTCAAATCCCTGAAAAACTGAAAAAAATCAGCCCCACAAAAGAAATAATTCCCCCACTAGACATTTCGAGAACTTCCAGAAGAAATTCAATACAGGAAACAGAAAGAATAAAAACAGCAAAAGCCCGCACTTTGACTGAAAGATTTGATGAGAAGGGGAACAAAGTATTTTTACCCGGAGAAGCTGAAAGTTTAGTGATGAGCGCTATAATGGGAAAAGCCAACAATGACAGGCTCGCAGAGAATTTAAAGCAGCAAATCTCTTTGAGCAGATCAATATCCCCTATTCCTCCAGCTAACTCTTCAAGATATTATGTCGAAAAATCTGGAAGCTTGCCTTCGCAGCAGTTACAAGAAACTTTAAGAAAAAGGGGTATAAATGTTCAGTCATGCCTAACAGAACGCCAAAGATTTTAATGCTATTCATAATTTTTAACTATTTTACATATTAAGCCACACTTATCGCATCAATACTGACGTGTCTTCTGCAATATGGGCACATTGCATTTCGCTTAAGTCATTGATCTATGCATTCACAATGAAACTTATGCATGCATAAAGGGAGCACCCTGACTTCAACACCAGGATCAACGATTTCTAAACAAATAGAACAGGTCATGCACTCATCAAGCAGCTCTGTTTTTATTGTCTGAATCTGGTCTTGGGTCAGTCGAGTATTGCGCCTACTTTGGTTTGTGTCTAAATTAATTAGATCCATCCCGATGATTCTCTGCTGATAATTCATTATCATGAGAATGCCTAATAATGCGACTGAGCAAGAAGTTATGCTTCAATAAATGTAATAGGATACAAGAGTGACTGCTAGCTGATATGGCTTGCCTGATTCTGGCAGCTAATTATAAATTACGCAATATCGCTCTCTTGTTAGAGTGTATATGATTCAGTAAGTGCCTATAATTGTCCATAGCAAGTTAATAAATTGAAGCAAAGGTGTTACTATAAGAAACAAATTTCGGCAATTTCGAGAATAGCCTTGCTGGTGCGAGATGTGACCTATAATATTTAAAATTAAAACAACTGTAATTGATGAAAATTCAATGCATTGCCATAGTCCAATTGGATATTTGCAAGTTTTATAGTCTGTGTTGTGAGTTGAGTAGTAAAGAATGGATCGAAATATTGATATGCCTAAAAAAATAATCCAAAAACTCTTTTGATATGCCATTTAAAATTTATTGCTACTCAAGACTAAAAGAGTAAATTGAGCTGGTAAAAAAGTTCTTTTTATTTTAAAATAGTTACGCAATTTCTTACTATTTATTTTACTTACTCTAATCTCCTCGGTTACGGACAAAACCATTGGAAAATTCTATTTTTTTTTGGAATTAAACAATTTTGTTGTATAAAACATTTTGATATTCTCTTAAATATAGTCGTAAAACACTGCTTGGGTGGTTCGGTCTACTAGGTTAAACAGCATTTGTTCCTTAAAAGTCCATTAATTCTTTAAGGATTCCTAACCTCCTCATTAAGCGTCCTTTCTCTATTGTTTGGCTTCGCATGAAGTTTGAATGGATAACTTCTGAATTTGTAAATTCCCAATAGAGCCATTAACACACTCTAGATGGAATGGCTGAGATCATATTTGCATATAATTGAAAATGTGGCTAGCAAAAATAGGTTAGTTTGTCAAATCTGGCCTGAACAGAAAATTCAATATCCATCTAAAAAAACATCATCAAATTTTTTAGAATTATTTTGTCCGATTGGCGTTGCGCAGTCAGTCCTCTTGTCTGTGGATCAATGTAAGTTATAATAATGATTTAACTTTTTATATTAAATATAAGATTGGTTGCATTCTGAAGCTTAAATTTTATAAATTCAATTAAATTTTTCATTAAAATATTTACATTTTCGATTTATATAATTTAAAAAAATAACTAACCTCCAATAAGCGAGCAGAATAATCTTGCTATCAACGAAAGGAGGAGTCATAAAAATGCAATCTTAAAAAAAAGAATTAAATAGGAACTCTAACTAAATTTTGACTTTTTAAGTGACAAAAGTTGAAAATTAAGAATAAAAAACAAAAACAATATAATAAAACGGGAAATTTTGCCTTTTCTTGCTCCCCCCTCCTCAGCGGACAAAACCATTGGATTTGATTGGATAAAAACCCACCCTCCTGTGAGCGAACAAAAATTTTATTAAAAAAAAAAAATATAAATGATATTATTATAATGAAATCTCTTAATTTTAATAAAACTTGCGTTTTAAAAATATTTAAAAATTATATTAAATTTTTTAAATTTTAAAAAAAATTTACTAATTTTTCTATATAAATCTTTTAAAAAAAATTAACCCCCTCAGTGAGCGAACTATTTATTTTTGTTCGCTCACTTAGGGGAGAGGAGTTAAGGACTCCATAAATACTGAAAAACATTTGAATGGCCACACAATTGTAGCTTGAACCATTTTTATGAAGAATTATTTTTAAATTTAAATAGGAAGATGCAAGATATTACTTTCTGGGTTCGCCTTTCACAGTCATTAGGATACCAAGCAAAAGAAAGCTTAGATTCAAGCCTGAAGTTTATTGAAAATATTGAACTTTATATGAATGACACCACAGAAAGAATAAAAGAACTAGAAACAAAAGATACTTTTAGTCTGTCTGATTTTGAAACCTTTAATGAGCATATTATCCTTCTCTGAAAGACCTTAAATAGAAAAAGGAGAGAAATTTTAATCCCAGCTGTTGAATTTTGCATGAGAAGAATAAAAGATTGAATTCGATTTTTAGACAAAGAAAATTTTAAGCTTTCGAAAAAGATAAAAGAATTAAGACTGACCACAATTAAGGAAATAGTAAAGAAAATCGACGAAGAATCATCCTCTATAAAGTATTCTGATGAAGAAGAAATATTTTCTGAGTTATACAATTTGGCTGAAAAGTCAATTGATGTTTATGAATTGATATTGACCGAAAAACATGAAAAAAGTAAATTAATCAAAACAGGAGACCGAAGTCTCTCAGATATAACAATGCTTCATCAGAATTTGATATAAATTGATAATTTAATTATTTATTTTAGAGTTTTATCCTGCTTTGAATTAGCCTAATTCAGATAAATCGTATTGTTTGCAATTTTTATCTAATATTTAATTTTTGAATATTGAATTTTTGAGATATATTTCTGTAATTCAACAATGTTCAGATGAATTTTATATATCTGTATTTCTCTAGCATGAATTTCTAGAATTGAAATAATTTTACAAAATTTGACATTAAAAGAACAATTAAAATGCTGTAAACCTCCAATAATAGACATACAATAAACAATATTTACAGATTAATAAATTCCTGATCAGTTTCAAGAGTATAAACAAAAGTGAATTCTCACTCTTATTTTATGCAAGAATTATTACATAAAATGTCTTACCAATCAACAATACTTTATTTATCAAAATATGTATAAAAATCAATTAATTAAAAATTTTTGATCTTTAAATTTTATCTTTAGTAAATCACCTTGTATTTATCCATTTACACAACCATCATCGTTAGATAAAGCCATCTAAGTTGGCGGTTATAATTAATTCTTAACCATAAATGGGAGAAGAAGCCAAACAAACCCAGATCCCATATGACTACATCATAGCTCGAATAGCAGGGCTGCTTGGTCTCAAAAAGACTATTGACAAGATGAAAAAGTCATTTGAAAATGAGGACAATGTCAGAAACCTTCAGCTCTTTACCAACCCTCATGATGACTTAGGATACTTAGTCTTTGTCCAAGGTAGCGGTGACAACATAAATATCACTTCAACCCTTCCCTCACCAGCCTCAATTAAATATTGCGCTTCAGCCCGGCTTGGCCTCTCTTGACAATCCTGCTTTGAGCACATATTTGATTATATCAGGCAAGGTTTTACAGCACAAATTTGGATAGCTATGCTAGGCAAGTAATTCTGGCAGAGTTGAGAGCCTAAACCTAGTCGTTTTCGAAGCTGGTATTTACTTCGCTGTACGATAAAGGCGAAAAGTTGCCCAGCCAGGTCTAGCGCTCTATAGGCCAATCAGACAGCTTCCACAATACAAGGAGTTGCCTCCTAGGCTTCAAGCTTCCATTTGGCATAAGTTGGCCAGAAAAATTTTTTTTTTTCGAATTTTAGGGAGGCAACGTGTCGGGCACATGGCATGGTGACCCAGTCTACTACATTTTGGGCAACGATCAAGCCAGATTCAAAGGAATCTGGCAACTCAACTAATGCGTTGTCTGTCAGGATTTCCCAGAGGCCGAAAAGATGAGTGAATAGAAGCAAAGGAAAAAATCTCGCTGCTTACGTAGCAATGCCAGTAGCTACTCAATAATAACCTAATCCTATCCAGCCTCTGTCCGCAAAAAAGTTATCCTCATGTACAAGACAGTCCGAGGTGTCCCATTAGATCCGCGGCTTTTGAAAGAGCAGCTAGGATTCATGGAGCTCTCGAAAAACGTCCTTGAAAACATGAGCCTCATGTGCCAAGAAGTATATTTACCAGTCCTTGCAAATCCTCAGAACCAGCATGGATGGTCTGATTTAGTTTCCAAAGACCTCATTGAAAACAAGTTCCATAACTTTTTATCCACAATCTACGTGACTATTGGTGAAGTTAAAGGCAGAACCATGCTTCCAATTCCTCCACAGGAAACTACTACCTCAGATAGAATTTCAAGCAAAGACAAAGCGCATGTTCTTGAAGGTGCCGTCATTACCTGGACAAAACAAATCAAAAATGTCTTGAAACAAGACCCAGAAACAGCCTTAAAGCAAGGCCAAGACCCAAATCCATTAGTAGAAATCGAATTCTGGAAAAATAAAGCAGAAAACTTAAACTCAATCCACCAGCAGCTGCAATCAGAAAAAATTAGCAAAGTCCTCAAGTTTTTAGAACAAAATAAAAGCACTTATACCAATCAATTTTCCAAATTGAAAAAAGAAGTGAAGGCAGCTAAACAAGAAGCCAATGACAACTCGAAATACCTGAAAACACTCGGTGGGCTGTTTTATGACCTCACTGACGACTCCAAAGAATTTTCAGAGCTTGAAGCATTATTTGTTCCCATAATGCACACCATCCTTCTAATCTGGAACCACTCTGAATACTATAACACCCCAGCAAGGCTCGTCGTGCTCATTCGAGAAATTTGTAATGCAATCGTTGCTCAAGCCTGCAGATTTATGAGCGGAAAAGACATTTTCCAAATGATCGCCAACGAAGAAGCAGGGATTGCCTGTGAAAGACTTAGCTTGATCCTTGACATTATTGCTAAATTCAAAGAAGCTTTCTTCGAATACAAAGCCAAAGCAAATGACTCCTGGAATATCACCACCAACGCATTGTTCGTCCGTCTTGATGCATTTTCAGAAAGATGCCAAGATATCCAGCATTTGACTAATACAATTGTGCAGTTTTCCAAGCTAAATAAAATTGAAATTGGAGGAACCAAAGGTAAAACCTTGACAACCTCAGTCAAACAGATTTATTCAGAGTTTACACAAGCTGTTGAAGAATTCCAAGCTGTCAAATATGACATTATGGATGTCGGTGCAAAAGAATTTGACGATGATTTCTATGAATTTAGATGCAAAATCAAAGAACTTGAAAGAAGGCTTGGAAGCATTTTGACTCAGGGCTTTGACGATTGTGATACAATTTATGGCAGATTCAAGCTGCTAGACTCGTTTGAAGGGCTTTTAACAAGGCCTATTATTCAAGACGAGCTTGAGAAAAAGCATATCACTTTATTGGAGTCCTATAAGCAAGACCTGAAGACAGTACAACAAATTTTCTTAGAGTGCAAGCCTCTAGTCGACAGACTTGACGAAAAAGCACCGATCTCCAAAAACATGCCTCCTGTGACCGGAGCTATTAATTGGACAAGAGGTCTAATGGAAAGAATCAAAGAACCGATGGAAAAATTATCCAACCTAAACCAAACAGTCTTAGAAAGAGAAGAGTACAAGGACGTCCAAAAGCTCTACAAATCCCTCATGAAATCCTTAAGCGAGTACCAAAACATCAAAATCCAAGAGTGGGAAGCCATCGTTGAAAAATCCTGCAAAGACAAATTAAAGCAGCCACTCCTCGCTAGAGACGAAAATTCGATGCTTAAAGTCAATTTTGACCCAGCCCTCGTAAAGCTTCTCAGAGAAGTCAAATATTTCTTACTTATAAGCATGCCAGTACCTCAGAGCGCACAAGAAATTTTTTCGAGGAAAGAAATCTACAGAACCCAAACTGGCAACCTAGACATGATTGTTGCTATGTATAATGAAATTAAACAAACCCTACTACCAGTCGAAGAGCCACTGCTAGAAGACAGAATCATTAAGATGGACCAAACTCTGGAGCCAGGATTTAATGACCTGAAATGGAGATCTCCTAACATCAATGACTTCATTCACGCCTCAATGATTGTAGTAAAAGACGTAAACACTACTGTGAAAACAATGCAACAAAATCTAGCCCAAATCAAAAAGATTATGGGAAAGTGGGGAGAAAAGCCACTCATTGAAAGAAAAAGCAAGCCTATGTCTCCTGATGACTTTGACCAAGCACACAAAGCATCAGTTGCGAGCAGACTGCTGGATATTACTGCAGGCGGGAGAGATATCAATAAATTGATGAAAGAAACTGGGGAGTGCGTGAAAAACGCAAGAAAATCAATACATTGGCTAGTATATCAAGATTATTGCAATGGAATTGTAATTGAAGGCTTAAGTGCTGTCATCAACCGCAGCTTAGTGCAGCTTGCAGAATATATTGACCCAGTCATGATTAAAAAGCTAGACCTAATCCCAATGTTTGACATCAAAATCGAGCTTGTTGACGCCAAAGTCGTTTTCACACCTGAAATCGAAAGCAAAAACGGCAAAGCCATGGGCCTGCGTGACTACGTCCACTCCTGGGTATCCGATTTCCTCAAAATCACCACATTGATAAGCAGAGTCGATCTGAATCCTGGTGACTATCTCGTTGAAATTCGAAATCAAATGGAAGTGCAGTTTTCGCTTTCTAAAATAGAAAACCACATGGACTGAATTGATAACGAGACTTCCAAATTTAAGGCCACGTTTTCAGAGTACTCTTATCTCTGGTCAGAAGATTTAAATCAAAACTTCGAAGAGTTCATGAAGCAAGGAGAGCAGGAGAAAAAGACTGATAGCAATAGCATTGATGAAGACGAAGAGCAGCAACGCTTAGAAAAATTAAAATCTCACCCTATTTTTGAAGGGGTCACTATGAGAATTCCAGAACTTAAGCTGTTTGATGAAAAAATAACCCAGCTTAAAAATATTCAAGTCAAAATTTCTTCAGTTGTAAGCCCTCATGACATTGCTTGGCTGCGCATCAACGTAGAGCCACTAAAAGTAGCATTAACCAACAAAGTCGTAAGATGGACTAAAGTTTATACAGATTTCCTTCTGAAAAATGCTACAGGACTTATGAGGAACTTAACCAAATTTATTGAAATGGTTCTGAAAGGGATTGAACTAAAAGACCCAGAAAATATCCCTAAAGACGACCTTATGAAAATCATGAGCCATGTAAGAGATGTCAGAACTATCAAAGACATCTGTGACAATATCTTTGTCCCAATGAGAGAAAACATTACTTTACTCAAGAAACATGGCGTACAGATGGAAGGAGACTTAATCACTAAAATTGAGGACCAAAAAACCAAATGGGAAGACCTCAAACTGAAAGTAAATGAAGTCAAAGCTGTCATTCTTCCACATCAGACTGAAGAAACCAAGAAAATCAAAATCAATCTTTCAGCTTTTGATGACCGAGTCAGCAAGTTCAGAGAAGATTTCTTGAGAGACTGTCCACAGAAATTCGAAGATTTAACAGACGATGTGATCAATAATGCTTATCAGACTATTGATAGACTCTATAAAGACTTAATTGTGATTGATAAAGAAGCAAGTGGCTACAATGAACTTAATGAGCTGTTTGAGCTTGAAAAAAGCAATTATAGGCCTCTCAAAGAATGTAGACAAGAAGTTGGGATGCTCAAAATCCTATGGGATGCCATTTCACTTGTCCAGAACCAGTACAATGACTGGAAAAATACTCTCTGGGATAAAATCGATACTGAAGACCTATTAGAACAAAACAAGAACCTTGAAAGAATCGTCAAAGCTCTTCCAAAAGAAGTCAGAGCTTGGGTAGGATATTCCCGCTTACAGGATACCGTCAAAAACATGGCCACAATCCTCCCACTTATCAATGAACTTCACAGCCCTTGCATGGAGCCACGTCACTGGAGGCTTCTCATGCAGATAACTGGCAAACAAATCAATCACACGGCTCCAACCTTCTGCTTAGACGACTTGCTTCATCTAAAACTCCACGCTCACGAAGAAGACGTCAGAGAAATCGTTGCACAAGCTCAGCGTGAAGCCACAATTGAGAAAAAGCTCAACGCAATTGAAGCAGCCTGGGCAAACTGTGAACTAGCATTCGAAACCCATAAAGATTGTCCTATTATTCTTCCATTAGACGAAACCATTGAAATGCTCGAAACCCATTCTATGGAACTTATGAGCATGCAGAGCGCAGGCAAAAGTGTCGAGTTCTTTAGAGACAGAGTCATGCATTGGCTGTCTACCATGAAAACTGTTGAAAGCGTGCTCAGCGTTTGGATCAAAGTCCAGAGAAACTGGAGAAGGCTTGAAACCATATTTTTGGCCTCAGAAGATATCAGAAGTCAGCTGCCTGACAAGACCAAGCTTTTTGAAGGAATTGATAATGATTTCAGAGAAATCATGGCTGATGCAAGAGCTAACTGTAAAGTAATAGAAGCTACCACACTAGAAGGAAGAGAAACTACTTTGAAAACACTGAACGAGCAGATTGAGTCATGTGAAAGTGCACTGAACGAATATTTAGCTCAGAAGAAAAAGCAGTTCCCAAGGTTCTATTTCATATCAAACCAAGCCTTGCTGGACATTTTGAGTAATGGAAACAACCCACACAGAGTCTGCAAGTATCTTGGAGATCTATTCAATGGGATGAGAGCTGTTGAATTCGAACAAGACCCCAGCGGGAGACTTTTGAATATTGCTGTAGGAATGTACTCCAAAGAAGAAAGCGAGTATGTACCATTCCCCGATAAAATCAACAATGGAAAATTCACTTTTGAAGGACCTGTCGAAACTTATCTTTCAGAATTAGAAGTCATGATGAGAAAAGTGCTAAAAGCTATTTTAGAACATGCCAGGACCACCGCTGAGCTCTGGGATATTCAAGGCGAAAAATCAAGAGAAATCTGGATCGACGACTACCCTGCACAAATTGCTCTTGTCGGCACACAAATTGTATGGACTGAAGAAACAGCGAGGACCATTGAAGAAGTCTTCGTAGGCTCTGAAAGCGCAATGAAGGACTTTTATAAAGTCTGCTCAGAAAGAATTTATAAGCTGATTGACAGAGTTGTGCAGCCAGGCATTTCCAAAGACTTAAGAACTAAGATTATCACCATCATCACTATTGATGTCCACGGCAGAGATGTCATTGACAAGTTCGCTTTCAACAAAATTTCTGACACCACTGCTTTTGCATGGCAGAGTCAGCTTAAATTCGAATGGAAAGGTGCTAATGAAAGTGACCCCAACAAGGACTGTATGATCAGCATTTGTGATTGGAGAAGTAGATATGCTTATGAATATGTAGGAAACTGCGGCAGACTTGTGATTACACCTTTGACTGATAGATGCTATATCACTTTGACACAAGCTCTTAACCTCATCATGGGTGGTGCACCAGCAGGACCAGCAGGAACAGGCAAAACAGAAACTGTCAAAGATCTTGGCAATAATAAAATGGCTCAGTGCGGAATCAGTTCTCTTCGAGAACTATTCCTTCCCTCGCTTTTATTATTATGGGGTTCAGTTTTCCACGTGGCCTTTTATCAGCAATACAAATATGGAATACCGCATAGGGTATAGAGGTTTCCTCTATATAGCGCTAAAAGCGCAGACATTTTCCCAGGAGCTTTCCAAGTTCGTCGGACCAAATCGCTTTTTGGTCCGACCAAGGCATTGATTTGGTGCAACCTACCGATAAATTCGATCAGAATTTATCGGCCTTACAGCGCCAAACATAGGAAACTTCTATATTTCTTTGGTCCAAGATACTAAGAACACACTGGGTTTGCTGCTTGACACACCCGAGGAGGGTGACCCTTAGGCGGAACACGCGCAGGAGTCAAGTTCGGGCGAGGCAACGCTGCCGGTGCGGGATTTCTGGCCCGTTGGGGATGGCACTTTATAGAATGGCTTGGTCGGGCTAGCAGGTCCAAGATTGCTTGGTGACGTCACCGGTGAGTTAAAAGGATGGGCTTAAGCATGCCTAAATCATCCTGCTGAAGAAATCAAAACACCTTAAATACCTAAGTAACTAAGTAAGTAAGTCAAAGATCTTGGCAGAGCTTGCGGTCTGCCTGTCATTGTCTTCAACTGCTCTCCGCAGATGAACAAAGAATCTATGGGCAGAATTTTCATGGGTCTAGCACAAACTGGTGCTTGGGGTTGTTTCGATGAATTTAATAGAATTTCTATTGAAGTGCTGTCTGTCGTTTCTACACAAGTGAAAACCATTCTCGATGCCTTGAGAGCAAAAAAAGAGAGATTCCAATTTGAAGAAGAAGATAACATTGCTTTAAGAAACACTGTAGGTATGTTTATCACTATGAATCCTGGGTACGCAGGAAGAACTGAGCTCCCAGAAAACATTAAAGCACTTTTCAGATCGTGCGCTATGGTTGTCCCTGACACTATTTTGATTTGTGAAAACATGCTTATGTCTGAAGGGTTCAAGAACGCCAGACTGCTCTCTCACAAGTTCGTCACCCTATATGAGCTTTCTAGAGAGCTTCTATCAAAACAAAAGCATTATGATTGGGGGCTAAGAGCTGTGAAGTCTGTGCTAAGAATGGCAGGTAAGCTGAGAAGAGCTGACCCAGAAATGGACGAAGACCCTGTGCTTATGAGAGCTTTGAGAGATTTCAATCTTCCTAACTCCCCCCAATGCATGAAATCGTTTTAGTTGTCCATATTTTTTACGCTTTAGAAAGTCTAATAAAATGCTATATAATTTTTAAAAAAAAAAATTATATAAACATTTTCACATGGATTTTTTTAAAAATCCACCACCACAATAGAGACATTTTTGTAAAATGTCTCTATCTTGGGGGGGAGTAAGATTGTCACTGATGATAAAACCATTTTTGTCAACCTCATCAAAGATTTATTCCCAGGTCTTGATCCAGAAGCCAAAACCAACCTTGTCTTAAAAGAGCAGCTTGTAAAAGTAAGCAAAAAGGCTAAACTCCAACCAGAAGAAATTTTCATTAACAAATGTATCCAGCTTTCAGAAATTATGGAAGTTAGGCACTCAGTCTTCATTATCGGCCCTCCTGGCTGTGGTAAAACAGAAGTCTGGAAAATGCTTGCTGCCGTAGCAGGAGCAGAAACTGCATATGAAACAGTGAATCCAAAAGCTGTCACTGCTAATGAACTTTTCGGGTACTTAACCAAGACAAAAGAATGGAAAGATGGAGTCCTGTCAGTCATTATGAGAGATATGTATAAGAATGAAAACCACTATAAGCCTACTCACAAGAACAAGTGGATTGTGCTAGATGGTGATATTGACCCTGATTGGATTGAAAGTCTAAACACTGTCATGGACGATAACAAAGTCCTTACTTTGGTTTCCAATGAAAGAATTCCTCTGACTGATGCTATGAGGCTTATTTTTGAAATTTCTCACCTTAAGAATGCTACCCCTGCCACTGTGTCAAGAGCTGGTGTGCTTTATATCAACGATACTGATATCGGTACAAAGCCTTATATGGATTCATGGCTCGAAACAGTAGATGACGACATTGCTAGAAGCCACTTCATGCTTGCTTATCAGCAAACTATTGAAGCTAACTTAGAAGAAATCCACAGATACGTCCCTATCGTTCCTAATGTCGATATCGCTATTATTCAAGCTATGTGCACAATTCTATACGTCCTGATCAATGCTAAAGACTTCAAAGATCATGCGAAAAACCTTAAAGAAGAAGACAAAAAAACTGTCTATGAGAACTTCTTCATTTATGCAGGTATCTGGGCAATCGGAGGTCCTATTGGTGACGACAGAATCCAAGCACAATTCAACTCTTGGTGGAAACATATAGCCAAGAAATTCCCAGAAAATGGCACTGTATTTGACTATTACTATGACCCAACCAAACTAAGTTGGCAGCCTTGGTCAGAAAAAGTGACAGCTTATGAGCCAATTGGAGATCAGACATTTTCCAATATAATTGTCCCTACAGTCGATATCGTCAGAATGAAAGCAGTCGTTGACCTTAACGTCATAGGAAGGAGACCAACTATGTTTGTAGGAGGAAGTGGTACTGGAAAGACAACTGTCGCTAAAGATTACCTCACAGGACTTAACATAGAAGAAGTGCAGTACTTCGGAATTAACTTCAACAACTACACAGATTCAATTGCACTTTATAGATTCGTCGACTCACATGTAGAAAAAAGAATGGGTAGGGAGTATGGCCCTCCTGCAAATAAGCAGCTCATTTTCTTCATTGATGATCTTAACATGCCTTTCGTTGATAAATATGGCACACAGTCGCCGATTGCATTTATCATCCAGCTGCTTAATTATAACCAAATGTACGACAGAGACCATTTAGAAGAACAGAAGAGGCTTAAAGATGTGCAATTCATGGCTTGCATGAACCCCAAGTCAGGCTCATTCACAGTTGATACGAGGCTTCAGAGACATTTCACGACTTTTGCTACTTATCTGCCAACCAATGAAATTTTAACACAGATTTATAAGAGCATTCTTGGTGGCCATTTAGCAAACTTTGACAATTCTATTTCCAAACTTGGCGACAAAATTATCCAAGCCACCATTGAACTTTTCAAGAAAATCACTGACAACCCAGAGTTTTCTCCTTCAGCAAAGAAATTCCATTATCAGTTCAACTTAAGAGATATCTCAAGAATTATTGCAGGGATCATGCAAAGTTCTCCAAGTCTTTATAGAGGCTCGCCAGATAAGTTTGTTAGGCTTTGGATCCACGAATGTGATAGAACCTTCATAGACAGACTTATAACAGATTCTGATAACTCCTTATATCTTGACTACATCAACAACATCTCCAAGAGATTTGAAGAAGACATTGGCACCGAAAATAAGTAAATAAATGGTTTAGCTGGCCATAAACAGGCAAGCCCACTAGCATTTGCCTCGTCTCTGCTCTAAAGTAGCAGCCTCCATCGCATCAGAAGGGAAATGAAAAGTCGCAATTTTGGATTTCCGACCTGAACCACCTGCCCAAGTGATCAGCTTCCTGCGGCAGAGCCACCACCTGTAGAGTGCTTTGATGGTCCCTCCAAGGTAAGACTAGGAGGTAGGCGAAGTCTGTCTAGCTTATCTGGTATGGATAGGAGAACTTTTAGGGGAGAAACAAAACTTCCGTCTTTGGCAAGGCATCCCCAAACCTGAAGGCTACTTCGAAAGGAACAGAGGTCCTCTTTCAGCTCTATCAGGATATTTCCTACCTATTCCATAGGGAGTGCGCCTCGGAAACCAATTTCCTTCAATGTCACATTCTATTTTCTGCACCGAAATAAGGGTTACTCCAAATATCTACACATCTTTCGTCAGCGGTCATTCTTCAGACAAAGCTTATCTCCCTATCAAAGATATGGCTCAACTTAAAAGAGTTCTTGAAGAGAAGCTTAACGAATACAACGAAAACAACGCCCAAATGAACCTTGTGCTGTTCGACATCGCTATGGAGCATGTCTGCAGAATTGCAAGAATCATTGACATGCCAGCAGGAAACGCCTTACTTATTGGAGTTGGTGGTTCAGGAAAACAGTCCCTTTCAAGACTTGCAAGCTTTATTCTCGGCTATGACGTCATACAGATTTTGGTATCTGACAAATACACGATGAACGATTTCAAGACTGATATCCAAGAAATGTACAAGAAAGCTGGAGTCAAAGCAGGTGGGACACCTTGCATGTTCATTATCACTGACACTCAAATCCAAGACGAAAGGTTCCTCATTTACATCAATGATATGCTCAGTTCTGGATACGTCCAAGATCTTTTTGATAGAGATGAGCTCGATGCGATATTCCAAAGCTTGAAAAATGAAGCCAAAAGTGCAGGAGTACTCGTAGACTCCCCAGACCAAATGCTGCAGTACTTTATTGACAAAGCAAGACGAAATCTACATATTGTACTCTGTTTCTCACCTGTAGGAGACTTATTCAGAAAAAGAGCTCGTAAGTTCCCTGGGCTCATCAGTTGTACATTGGTAGATTGGTTCCACCCTTGGCCTCGAGAAGCCCTTATAGATGTCGGTTTTACTTTCTTAAAAGAAGTAGACGTCAGTAGCGATGAAATGAGAATGAACATGGCAAACTACATGGCTGATGTCCACGTCTCAGTTAACGATGCAAATCAAGTGTTCTTACAGCGAGAAAGAAGAAACAACTACACCACTCCAAAATCTTTCTTAGAACTCATTGATTTCTTCAAGAGCTTGCTAAGAATCAAAAGATCAGCCCTTGATAAATCAATAGAAAGACTCAGAACTGGTCTTGACATTCTGTCACAAACACAAGGAAAGGTCGAGAACTTAAAGAAAGATCTAGACGTCAAAATGGAAGAAGTCAAAGAAAAACAAGAGGACACTGCAAAACTCATCACACAAGTCACTGCTGCAAAAGCTGTCGCCGATAAAGAAATGGCTGACGCCTCAGGAGAAGAAGAAATCGCTTTAGCACTCTCCATGAGAGCTAATGAACTCAAAGCCCAAGCTGAAAAAGAACTAGAAGAAGCCAAGCCTGCTATGGAGCGCGCCAAAGCAGCTGTGGACTGTCTTGACAAAACATCAATCCAAGAACTTAAAGCCCTCCCGAAGCCTCCTTTGGCAGTTCTTGATGTCACCAAAGCTGTGTTGTTGCTGCTTAAGTCTGAAAAGAAGAACCTCGGATGGCCAAACGCCCAGAAAATGATGGCGAACCCTCCAAAGTTCATTGAAGAAATCGGAGTTTTTGACAAGGAGCATATTGATGAAGGGATATTGGACCTTGTCAGGCCAATCATCGTCCTACCTCATTTCACTTTTGAAGAAATGTCTTCCAAGTCTAAAGCCGCATCTTACCTTTGTGCGTGGGTCGTCAATGTGGTAGAGTATAACAGGATTTACAAGAAAGTTAAGCCACTTATGGACACCAAAGATAAAGCAGAAGCTGAAGTCGCCCAAAAAGAACAAGAATTAAGCGGGGCCAGAGCTAAAGTGAAAGCTGCAACTGATACTGTCGAAGGTTTGCAACAGCAGCTTGCTGCAGCTGTAGCTTTAAGTGAGAAAGTCGAAAGAGAAGCAAATGAGTGCAAAACGAAGCTTGAGCTAGCTAAAAGACTTGTAGGAGGTCTTGGAAGCGAAAATACCAGGTGGAACGAAAACATTGCCAAGTTCAAAGAAGATATGATCACTGTGCTGGGAGACGCACTACTTGCCTCTGCTTTCGTCTCATACATTGGGCCTTTCTCTGCGTGGCTTAGACTTAACTTGTGGCAAGAAACCTGGCTTCCTAACATCAACACAAGAGAAATCAGCTTCACTCAAGGTGTAGACCCATTGAGAGTACTTTGTACTGAGTCTGATGAAGCTAAATGGAAAAACTTTGGCTTGCCTGCAGACAGAATGTCAATTGAAAACGCAGCTATCGTTACCAGCTGCTCTAGGTGGCCACTTATTATTGATCCTCAGCTACAAGGCTCGAAATGGATCAGAGGTATGCATGGAGAAGAACTGGAAGTCATTCAGTTCTCACAAGAAAGATGGGTCACTAAGCTAGAAAGCTGCATTCAGCTAGGTCGCACAGTCATGATTGAGAGCATTGGCCAAGAAATTGATGCGATCCTTGAGCCTCTCTTGGCAAGAGCTATCATTAAAAAGGGTAAAAGCACCTTATTGATCAAGCTTGGCGCTGAAGAAATCGAGTACAACCCAAGCTTCAAGCTGTATTTACAGACTAAGCTGTCAAATCCTCACTATCGTCCTGAAATTGCAGCCCAATGCACAATTATCAACTTTATCGTCACTGAAAGCGGCTTAGAAGACCAATTACTAGCTACTGTCGTGAACCTCGAAAAGCCAGAACTTGAAAAATCCAAGCAAGATCTAGTGAAAAGGCAAAACGAATTCAAAGTCATTCTAGCAGACTTAGAAGAATCCTTATTAACCAACCTTTCTTCAGCTGATCCAAACACTATCTTATCCAACACTGAACTTATTGTAGGCCTCGAAAAAACTAAAGTTTACTCTGAAGATATCAAACAGCAAACAATACAAGCTCAAAAAACTGAAGTACAAATCAATGAAGCCAGAGATGTCTACAGAAGAGTAGCTGGAGAAGGCGCAATGCTTTATTTCTTGATTATCTCCTTATGCGTTGTGGACCATATGTACCAATACTCACTAGAAAGCTTCTTGACTTTCTTGTTGAAAGCTGTAGATAAGACTCCTCACTTTGAAGAAATCGATCAGCGTGTGGTTAGTTTGAGAGAAAATATAAGAAGCACAATTTATCAGTGGGTAAGTAGAGGACTCTTTGAAAAGCACAAACAGATCTTTTTAACCCAAATTACATTGAGACTTATGCAAAAAGGAGTAATTGACACTCCTTATGACCCTCAGATGGTCAGCTTCTTGCTTAAATGCGGATTATCAGGAAAACCCCAGGTAGATTTTTTCATGCTGCCTTTTACTGTCAAAAATGAAGGAAGGTTTTTTACTGGTTTTTTATCCATGTGAAAAGGCAGAATGAAAAACCTACCTTTTTTTTCTGATGGCCCTTTAAATGCCCAATTAAAGCTAACGTAGAGAAGCCACAGTCCCTTGACTGGCTCCCAGACATTGCTTGGTTCTCTGTGCAGAAACTGATTGAAATTGAAGAATTCCAAAATCTTGCAACGAATATGGACAAGGATGCTCCAACCAGATTCAAAGAGTGGTTCAATGACTTGCAGCCTGAAGTAGCCAACTTGCCATTAGACTGGAAGAGACTCAACAATACTCCATTCCAGAAACTCCTTGTATTAAGATGTTTAAGACCTGATCGTCTTACCACTGCAGTCAGCAACTGGATTAGAGACGCTTTGCCTAATGGAAACAGCTATGTAGATATTGACCAAGGATGCAGCTTTATGGACATATTAGAAAACGTCTTAGAAGATGCCACAAACACTACTCCAATCTTCTTCATTTTAAGCCCTGGAACTGATCCTGTTGCAGATGTCGAAAAAATCGGAAAGAAAAGAGGCATTGAAGAAGGCAAAAATTACTGGAACGTAGCTATGGGTGAAGGCACTGAGCTGCTCGCTATGAAATGCTTAGAAATGGGACACAAAGAAGGACACTGGGTTATCTTGCAGAATATTCATCTGATGCCTAAGTGGCTGATGCTGCTTGAAAAGAAGCTTGATGCATTCCAATCAGAAGGTTCAAATATTTCATTCAGACTGTTTCTTTCAGCTGAGCCATCAGATGATATCCCAATCGGCATTCTTGATAGATCAATTAAACTGACTAATGAGCCTCCACAAGGAATGAAAGCAAATCTCAAGAGAGCGTTTGCACAGTTTAATAAAGATGAATTCAATGAACGTGACCCTAGAGTAAGATCGATCATTTTCGGCCTTTGCTTCTTCCATGCAACTGTGGTAGAAAGAAGGAAGTTCGGCGCTAAAGGATGGAATATGAGATATCCGTTTAACATGGGAGATCTTCGTGATTCTTCACTGGTCTTGCTTAACTATTTCGAAAACTCACAAGGTGGCACTAACAGTGCTGCTAAAATATTTTTTAAATTCCTATTTTAGATTATAAATGATATATTTTTATATTTTGGATTAAATCAAGAGTAAGATACCATGGGAAGATTTAAGATACATTTTCGGTGAAATTATGTATGGAGGCCACATTGTTGATGAATGGGATAGGAAACTCTGCAGAGCTTACTTAGCCAATCTTATGGATAATGCTCTTCTAGATGAAACTGAGCTTTTCCCATTCTCAGACGGAAAAACAGCATCGTTCAAATCTCCTCCTCCAACAGATTACGCTAAATACATTGAATACATCGATGAAAAATTCCCAGCAGAAACTCCAATTGCATTCGGCATGCATCCAAACGCAGAAATTGGCTTCAGAACTGCCCAAGGCAATTTCTTATTCTCCACCCTCCTTGAATTGGCTCCAAAAGATGAAGCATCAGGTGAAGATTCCTCAGCACGAACTAAAAACGAAATTGCCCATGAAGTTGTCGACCATATCTTAACAGATATGAACCTTGAAAATATGAAATTCGACCTAGATGATATCAAAAGCAAGGTTGCTGAAGGCGATGAAAGAATTTGCTTCACCAATGTCTTTTTACAAGAATGCGAATACATGAACTACCTGCTATTTGAAATGCTTACTCCTATCTCTCAATGCTAGAGAAAAAAATTCGAAAATTACCTATTTTTCGGAAATTCACCCTTTATAAAAATTTTTTTAAATTCCAGAGTAAATTTTTTGTTTGATCTCAAAGAGGGGAAGCTAGAAGCCTACAAGAAATTGAATTAGCACTCAAAGGTGAGCTCACGCCTACAGAAAAGATGGAACAAACAATAGATAGCTTAGTCTTGGGAAGAGTCCCACAAACATGGGTTGATCTAGCCTACCCATCCTGCAGAGGATTACCTTCTTGGCTTATAAACTTGCAAGCTCGTGTTGAGCAGCTATCCAGTTGGAAAGATGACCCTAATAGCGTTCCTAAAGTCACTAATGTTGCAAGGCTGTTCAATCCTCAATCATTTTTAACAGCCGTCAAACAATTCCATGCAAGAAAAACCCAATCTGAGCTTAACAAGCTATACATCCAAACTGATATTACAAAGAGATTTGAGCACGAAATCGAAGACCCTCCAAGAGATGGCGCGTTCGTCACTGGACTTAACCTTGATGGTGCTAGATGGGACTTAACAAATGGACAAATAGAAGAATCCAAGCCTAAAGAAATGTTCTGCCCGTTACCAGTCGTCAACTGTAAAGCTGCAATTACAATAATAAAATCGCTATGCTCGGAAGTATTTGTCTTCAACAACCCTTCCTTCTCCGCGATATTTATTATTATAGATTTCAATTTTCCATGTGGACCTTTATCCACACTGCCAAGATGGAATTACTGTATAAGTAATTAGTTAACCCAAGGAAAAAAGGAGATATATGATTTTCATTACCTGACACACACACGAGGGGGGTGACCCTTGCAGAATACGCAGTGGAGTTAGGTTTGGGAGAAGCCAAACTAGGCCCTTTAAGAATCTATGGCCCCTTTTTGGTGCTTCTTCTGCTATGCTTAGAAGACAAATGGATCCTGAATTTACCAATTTAAGGATTTAAAAGGACGGGCTTATGCATGCCTAAATCATCCTGCTGAGGGAAGAACACATGTTAAAAATCTAAATTATCAGCAGTAGTAAAGCTGCAATTGTAGGAGATGGAAGAGAAGATAGAAACACTTTCTACTGTCCTGTGTATAAGACTGAAAACAGAGGAAACACCTATGTCTTTACTGCACAGCTTAGAACTCCTAAATTCCCTGCTGCTAAATGGGTGCTAGCTGGTGTCGCTATGATTATGGATGTTGAAGGTCTCGGCGATCCTGTCAAGAAGTAAATAATTTATTGGTTATTTAAAATGGGTTTATAAGTAGAAATTGTTGTAAAATTAGAATTTTCAATGACTAGTCTTCATTATTATCCTAGCTCAACAAATAAAGTTAAGCCGGGCACTCCTTGAATTCCTTGAAGAAGGCTAAGTGTTTCTTCTGGGGGCACGCCAAGCCAAGAAAAGGCAAGAAATTTAAGGAAAAAGTGATATTTTACAGTAGAAAAATCGAAAAAAACTGCTGATACCCAACTATTGGTAGAAGCAGCCAAAGCAAAAACTAATGCCAGAGCAACTCCTTCTAATAGAAGTAGAAATATTACTCCAAAAGGATATAGAACGAAGTACAGCAACAATTTGATAAGATCATTAGTAAATGATCAGTTTAAGGATTATCTAGAAAACAACACTATTACTTCATTGCCTCCTATTGAACTAATAAATAGAGTCAGCATCAGTCCGCCTAGTGTTACTCCAAACGATAATGAGCCAAAAACTGATATGTGTAACAGCACATTAAATGAACCTGAAATTATCTCTGATCAAGATAGAGAAGCTGTGAGTTTTAATTTTGAAATTCAAGAAAATGAGTTAGATCTGCATATATTATTAATAAAGTTTAATGTCCACTTCTAAGCAGCTGGTCAGCCTATGTCAAACTTCTACCTATTTCGCTCTTTGATTTCCGTCTTATTTCCTCTTGCTCACAACCTAAGATTAGTGTAGGGTAACTAAATTCTTTCTTCTTGCTCACTAGGTAGTGAATTCAACCTCGGCCAGATAAGGATACTAGTCCTGAAGTTTGGGCTTCGATGGCATGAGTTAGATCAGCTTAAAATTGAGCTTTTTGATAATTTCTCTAACTTTCTCAATTAATAATTTCCATTTTTAGTTTGAGAAAAAAAAACTTATATATTAAATGATACTGATTATTAATGGCATTTCAGAAAAATATTTCCTTGCTCACTATTCATGAGGTGTAAGACATTTGATAAAAGCAGTCATAAAGATACAAAATCCCAGCATAATGACTATTCATTATCTGTAAACCAACCCTCACTTTCTTTGGCAGGAAAGCATATCCCAAAGAACTACTTCATTCGTAATGCCTTCACACCAAACCGAAGCCTCCGAAAAACTGCAAATTCAAATAATGTAGAAAAGGCTTTAACACCTATGCCAATTAGTGGAGCAGCTTGCCAAAGCAGCGAAATCAATATCGATATTAAAATTGGTTCAATAATAAATGCAAATGAATGCAACAAAATTAGCCCATGACAACCATATACATAAAAAATGGCGCGGCGATTCAGCCCAACCTCCTAACATACCTGCAGCTTGGAGACTCAGGGACCTTGTGAAGGAATTTTGGCGTTCGGTATGTGTTTAAATTTGTATGGTAGCGCAATGTCCAAAGACAAAGTTTTACCTCAGATGAAGATGTAGTTCGCTGTTGGAAAGGGGTGTCCCATCAATACCAGTGAGGCTCCTCCAGTCGATCGGGAACGTCCCAGCGCAATACTAGGTGTTACGTCTTGGACTACGAATTTTCATCTTGGCCGACAGGTACCAAAACATTAGCTTTTCGAATAATATAGAATTAAGCACGTTTCTCATGGCGCAGTAACACAAATTTCCGCTACAGGATGCATGTGAAGACCCTTGTCTAGTAGAAGCAAGCTCTAGGATTGTTGGCGAAGCAGATGAATGGAGCGTTATGGAAGTAATAAGGATCTTCGATCCCAACAGGGAGCTTTTCTATAATCTAACTAAATGTAAGCCCATGACAACCTTTAAAATATAAAGGCATCCTAAAAAAATTTAATGAAGATTATAGAAATAAAGCCAAAAAAGGGATCAAAATATTAGAAATAAAGAAGGAAAATAAAGAAGAAAAATTCAACCATCATGTTGAAATTTTGACTGATGTGACTTAAAACTGCATATAATTTAATTATTCTCATTATGCTTTTATCAGTATCCAATACAATTCATAAAACTTTATTAGATTAGCAAATTATGAGAGCTGCCTCCAACAAGGAGTTCTTTCTTCTTCCTCTTGTGCTCTTTGTGGGAAAACCGCATGAATATGAATATCAATATCCGGCCCAAATACCCTTGGATTTATTGCTGCAAGTTCGCTCGGTGTAGGCATCACAGGAATCTGCAGAGGCGCTCTTGCACTATTGCTGCTAATTCCACTTTCATTTGTGACCAAGCTTGACGAAACTGAGACTGCATCGTCTGGAGGTCTTTGAGCAGTTCCTCCAATAACAGCTGCCAAATCAGTTAAAAGTCTCCCAGCTCTATCAAGCAGTGGAGCTAGCTGCCCTGTCAGTAGCATTAATTCCTGTTCTGTCGTCATTTCGTTTTCTCTGCTTCCAAAACTTTCATCAAGCTCCATCCCAAACGAGTCTTCAATATCACTTCCAATTGTGGCCTCAGAGTTCGTGCCATGTGGGTCTTGTGACCAATCTTTTTCTTCTTCATACCGATTATCGACCATGCTAAGTCTTTCTCTTATTGGGTTTACTCTTTCACCTGCTCTTTCATGTCTAAGAATTGTGGTTAAAGAATAATAGCGCTCCATCATACCTTTTAGCTGCTCAAGAAGTGTGGAGGACTGAAGAATAAATTCATTTATGTCATAAGGGCCTGATGGACGCATATTCTCAATATCTGGAGAAATTACTGGGAATGGAGAGTGCATAGGTGATACAATAGATTGTAGCGTATGAGAATGAAGAGGCTGAATTCTCGGAGATGAGGTGTTAATTCATTCGTCCCATCGGGTAGGCCAGCCATTGTAGTGAAAATAAGCCATTGTCCCTTGTGGAGTGTTTTGGATGTCAATTATTTGCGCTTCAAGTCACTGGTCAACTGTATCTTTTACGTCAAGTCATTGGCCTTTTGAAAATTGCCGTCGATTATTGTCAAAACACTGGACTTCTCCTTCATTTACTGTCGTGTTCATTGACTGAAGCATGCCTTCAATGGTTTGCAGATTCTGCTTGATTGTTTCCAGTCTTTCATTGGTATCAATTTCTCTTCTTCTGTGGTACCGTCTTCGTCTGCGGTTCAAAAGGGAAGCCGGATTTGTTTCTAAAGCTAGTCTTAAAATGTCATTTAAAGCATCTGAGATTGGTTCTGCTTCTTCCTGACGAGGAGGCTCTGGGGCAGTTTTTCCAATTGCAAGCTGAATTACGTGCCCTCTATCAATCTTATATGTGCTTATAGAATCTGAGTTTTTTAAAAGTTTACCTCGGTAAATAATTCTTTGCTGATCTTCAGGAACTTGAGTTTGAGATTTGATCATAGATTTTAATTCTGACACTTTAGTGTCTGAAGTCACATATAGCTCAAATTGATTAGCATCTACAGTTCTTATTTTGATAGGGTAAGTCTCTGATGCTTCTTCCATGTTTATGTTTTGAATTTATATGAATTTACGTAATTAGAACACATTAAAATGCAACAAATATTGAGACTGCAAATAGAAAAAAATAATCAATTAGAAATAAAAAATTCTCCTTCTATCATTGTGTGAATAACAAGCCAGAGATTATTAAGTCATAAAATATGTAGACAGCTTATATAAAATATATGGAAAAAAGATTTTTTATGCTTGAATATTCAGTAAATTATAATGAGAAAATGGTTTATCTAAAAATGGGATAAACTAATAAAATATTCACGGTCAATAATTAAATCTGCAAGCTTGATATTATAATGATACAGCTAAGTCCAGGTATTAATTTTATATAATCAAAATAATTTCTCCAATTTTATGATTTTCTCAAATAAAAAATATTTCATTTATATATTTCTTCGCTCAAAATAATTTTAATTTTATTTATAGAAGTTTCTTTTCAATAGCGCGATAAGGCGCATTCTTAGGTTTTACCGGATGATCTTAAACATATGAAAACTTGCTATTCTTTATTCATGGGGGAGAAAAACAGCCTAAATAAAAAAATTCTGCCTGATCAATCTCGAGAACTTAAAGAGAGGCTGTGTGAAAAATTTACATTTTGGTTCGTCAAATGAATCTGACGAGCCAATTCTGGCCAGTACTTGAAATGAAAAATGGTGTTGCCAGGATTTTATTAATTTTTTGATGGTGAGGATGATCAGAATTTTAATAAATGGCACAGGATCAGACAACTTATTCCTTTCAAACCGATCTAATAATTCCTTTGGAAATAATTATAACTGCTTTATAAAAGCCAAAGTTTGTGCTATGCGCTTGTTGTTCTTTACGAAATTACTAATGACTCATATGGTTTTCGTTAGAAAATTAAAATGGAGTTAATAATTAAAAACTTGTTGATCAAGTTGTGTTTTTGCGGAAGGATAGATTTCTTAATAAATGATGCCAATTTAATTATGACTAAATGCTTTATAAAAGCCAAAGTTTGTGCTAAGCGCTTGTTGCTCTTTACGAACTTACTAATGACTCATATGGTTTTCGTTAGAAAATTAAAATGGAGTTAATAATTAAAAACTTGTTGATCGAGTTGTGTTTTTGCGGAAGGATAGATTTCTAAATAAATGATGCCAATTTAATTATGACTAACTGCTTTATAAAAGCCAAAGTTTGTGCTAAGCGCTTGTTGTTCTTTACGAACTTTACTAATGATATTAAAATTTTCTTCTTATAATATTTTTAAATTTCTTTCAAATGTTAAAAAATAAAATTTTAAAATAATTATATCAATATAAATAAATTTTTTATAAAAAATATTTTTAAAATAATATAATAATTTTTTAAAATTTATTATATCTTTTATAAAAATGGGGCTTTAATTTTAACAATATTTTTTAAGTGGGTTGTCTTATCCTGTGCCATTTATTAAAATTCTGATCATACTTGCCATCAGAAAATTAATAAAATTCTGGCAACTATCATTTATAATTTCAAGTACCCGGCCAGAATTGGCTCGCCAGATCCATTTGACGAACCAAAAGTGTAAATTTGCAAATAGCCTCTCTTTAAGTTCTCGAGATTGATCAGCCAGTACTCTTTATTTTCACTGTATGACTCTCTTACAAAGAAGGAACATCAGATTTTCATGGCCCAAAGACCCTTTTAGTCAAACCAGGAAGCACGCCTTATCGCACTATTGAAGAGAAAGTTCTATATCTAATCATGGGACAGACATCATCAACCCAGACCCCACCTAATGTCACTCAAAGAATAAAGCCTACCCCAGGAACTGCAGGAACGCGTATCGTGCGGAAGAACACGGTTTCAGTCTATTCCGAGTCCAACAATCAAATTTTCACTTTGAAGGTGACTTTCGATATGACCATTTCCCATCTGAAACAAATGCTTCCAGGTGAGAAAATTCAGCTTATGCTGGATGATAAACTTCTACCTAACTCAGGAATTCTACAAGATTTAGGTATTTCTGAGCAAAGCTTACTGAGAATTGTCAGTCATGAAAAAATTTCAGACAGAACAACAAGCACTGTAGATAGCATAAGCGACAGCGTTTTCGTTCCAAAAATCATTGGACCTAAACGAGAAGTGCAGGCCAAGCCTACAAAACCGAATTGTGAAAGCATCCTTTCGTCGTGTTCTTCAATTGATGGCATACAAGTGGGGATCAACTTGCCAAGTTTGGCTGTACCGGATGTGACATTAAAAAGAAGCTATGAATATAAATCTAAAAAAACTTTGTATTAGTGCACATTAATTATGCTAATTTTGATAAGCTTTAATTGAAGTTTTTTCTATTTGCATATCACAAAGTAAATATAGCTTCAAAGTTTTTAATTTACAAGAATACAATTCTATAATAGAATAGCCTTTTTAGCACTATGCATAATTTTTGTATTTGGGAGAGTATTAAAAAGATTATTAAACTACAGATCATTAATCAGCTTTAGCTTGGAATCAGAGCAAAATGAAAATCCTAACTCCCCCCCCTCCGTGAGTGAACAAAAAAATTTTGTTCACTCATGGAGGGGGGTTAATTTTTTTTTTTTAAAAAAAATTATTATATAAAATTTCATAAAAAATATTTTTTTTCGAAATTAAAAAAAATCTAATTCGCAAAAATTTGAAAGCAAATATTAATTTAATTTATAAAATTTATGTTTTAAAAAGCAATTCGTTCAAAATTAAACAGAATTAGCTCTAGATTTCATTATACTAATTATCATTTATATATCAAAATTTGTTTCCATAAAAATTTTTTCTATTAAAAAAATTTTGTTCACTCACGGAGGGTGGGTTTTTGGGCAAAAAATAGCGATTTTTCTAATGGTTTTGTTCACTCACGGAGGGGGGGGAGTAAAAAAAGAAATTATTTGTATTTATAAAAAGGATTTGAGTAATAAACCAAAATATTAAATAAGATTTTATTGGGAAGAGGGATAATGCTTAAGATCAAATTTTTTCAATGTGGAAGCTATATAAAATCGCTAAAGAGAAACATAAATAGACTATCTTGCTCAACTTTTATTATAGCTGCAAAATTTATTTATAAGAACCAGATTGCCTAAAAAAATTAGATAAAACGGAACTCACGATATTAAATAGATTTTTAAATTTCAATATTTTTTAAATATATTGATTAATGATTTATTTTCTAAAAAATTGAAAAATATTTTCTAAGAATGACTATATAAATTTAACGTTGAAAGTAATTTGAATTCAAAATGGAACAAGAAACTTCTTCTTTTAAAAGAAAACTAAACAACAGCCTATGCCTTTCAGTCCCAAAGAAACGTAAGCTCATAGATGAAGAATCATGCGCTACAATGCAATCATTAAATAAATCATCAAGATCTGCCCTTAAAAGTCTCGATATAAATTTAATAGGAATTCCTCATCAATGTAGAAATAAAATAGTGGCGTTGACGTAAATTTGGTCTTCGAGGCGTACTCCCAATGTATAAGGTAGGATCCATCCTGATGAAGCTGAAGATAGAGTCTTTTTTGAAGTAGGCCTTCAGGTTTTGGGATGCCTTGCCCAAGAGAGAAGTTTTGTTTCTCCCTAGAAGATTTTCCTGACCCTTCCAGTTGAGCTAGACAAGTTTTGCCTATTAAATAGTTTCGTCTATTGGGACTATCGATCGGGGTACCCTACAGAAGTTCGCTCTAACTGAGGGAGCTAATCCTTATGTTAAGTAAGAAACTCGAGAGTGGAAATTTGGATGGGCCTTACACCATTTGCACTCTGGAGCATATGCACCTAGCGTAGCCATCTTTCCTGGATTCAAAGTAGTCCGACTAATGAAGTAAGCTTATGGCCGTATGATCTTAATCTCATCACTGTGCTGAGAGATCACAACACCACCCACTGAAATTAGAAAAGCAACAAATAAAACCTTTTAAAGCTCTCCCAATGCCAAAATTCCCACCTCCTTCAATTCATGTAAGCACTAGTTCTTCCCATGAGAATTTTTTTTGACTACTTATGTAGGCGAATTTATTTTCAAAAGAATTAAAAATTGCATTTAAATATTAAGAATGTTTATTCTTGTGATAATTTGAAAGCAAGCTGCTTACTTATTAAATTAATAATTAAAAAAATCCATACGTATTATGTAAAAATATATTGCTTGCATTAAAGATAATAAATTATCGAGATTCAGGATTTTGATATAATTTGTTCATCATTTAAAGGAAGAATAAGGAGACCACAAAGCCAATGAACGTAACTCTCCATAGTGAAATCAGAAATGCAAAAAGAGAAAAATATGATGAAATGATGAAAATTTTGAAAGAGAAAATAAAAATTGATGAAGAAAAAGTTAAAAAAGAGAAAGAAATAAAAGAAATCGAAGATATTAGAAAAAGCACACAATTTAAAGCAAGGCCACTACCAGATTATGCACCCCCACTTCAGCCTATGAAAAGTGTAAAGCCACTTACAGTTCCTATGGAGCCAAAATTTTTAACAGAAATTCGAGCCCAGATTAGAGAAATGAAAAAAGTTGAGAAATAAATTAATCTTGTCTCGTTAGGCTCTTCTAATAATACTAAAATGATTTCTTATATTTTTTAGAAAAAACTACCACTCTAGAAACCCTCAAGCTAACTTTTCTCAACCCGAGCATATTTAATTTGTACAAATTTTTGAGATTCACCTTCGCTTTGATATCTCCTATGTCGTATAACTTTATTTACCTTTTTCGAAAACTCAGGAGGACATCGTCGTTCAGTGGCTGAGCCATCATCTTCACTGCTTCCTAAATTCATCATCTGCTCTAATAATTGTAAAGATCTTAAAATCGTTACAGGATCTCTCATCGCATTGTGTTGCCCACTTACAGTCAAAAAGTGTTTTGGTCCACCCCATTCTTTATATAACTTTTGTGAGTGCTCGATATTTATAAGTTTATCTTCAAAAGAATGTATAAATACAGCCGAATTGCGGCATTTTCCTACCCCAGATAAAGGAATAATACTGTTTATATCAAAGAAAGCTGTGTCTTTAATGATCTTTGATATTTTTTCCATTATAAAATCTTTGAGCATGTTTGGTATTAGCTTATACCGCTTTACCATATCATCAATAACATCGCTCAGACAGCAAAATGGAGAATCCAGAACTAAAGGTGGGGCATTTACAGTGCTATTTGAATATAGAATTGCAGCCACTGCTCCCATGCTTCTTCCTCATATTCCTATAGATGTTGCTTTTCCGCTTGCTTGCACGTAGTCTACAACAACTTTTATGTCGTTTTTTTCATAATGACCTAACGTAACATAGTTGCCATCAGAAAGCCCGCAGCCTCCAAAATCAAAGCAAACTAATGACATCCCTGCTTTGAGGACTTGTTCTAATATATCAAAAGAGTCAATTCTACAGCCGCAGTTGCCGTGACAATATATTATGCACTTTTTTGGATCTCCTTTTATTGAGTCAAACCAGCTGCATCTTAGATATCCTCTGGTACTTACTAATTGAAAGTCTTTTCTTTGGTAGTTTATTTTGCCTAATGAAAATTTGATGTGGCCAAGATCGGATACTTGGTATATCTCTCGGTGAGGCCTGATAATATAATTTGCTAAACTTTGCATTAAATTCATTTTCTTATTACTTTTGCAATAAAAAGAAGTTACTGAAACTTCCAAAATCTTTTTTTAAAATACTAGATTACTTAAATTATTGTAATATTGACTATTTTAAGTTCTTGTGATTATAGCTATGCACTTGTTTATCCAAAATATAATTAAATGCTTTAGAAATTAATTATATTTGCAATTTTTATCAAAAAAGCCATTAATTCATATAATTCTCCATTTTCAAATTATCCACTGATTCATTTTACGTACTCTATTTGCGAGTTTTAAATTAAAAAAAAATCCAGCATTTATCCATATTTACTCTCAAAATCCAAAAATCAAACAAAACTGGCTTTTTTTCTTGTAGCAAAATCAATAAAATTCTTTTCTTCCTCTTCTCTTGTAACTATGGCCCCAACCCCAAAAATCCCGAATTTTAATTTTGCTTTTTTCCTTCTTAACAATAGAAAAATGGAACTTGCGAGATCAGATTCAGTTCTCAGCTGCATCAAGGAGCCAAGACTTGAGCCATTCAAGTCAGTGTCAGATCCCCTGATCCAATCACTTCTATTCATCAGAAATTTGGCTATCAAGCTTCGCCTCTCCCAATCATGTGTGGCGACTGCACAACTATACTTTCACACAGTAATTTTGATCCTAGATCGCTGTTAGTAACAGCTATATGAAGTTGGACAATCTTTTGCTTGCTGGAGCCTGCCTTTTCCTAGCATCAAAAGCTCTTGAACAGCCAAGACATCTTGAAGTTGTGTGCAGGAAATTCTATGAAGAACGCTCAGCGATTCGAATTTCTCTCAATCCAAGGCTTCAAGTGCCTCCTCTTTCAGAGTCTATGCTGGTCGGGCTCAAACAGAGTTTGCTCCAATACGAGTTCTCAGTTCTTGAAGCAATTTGTTTTAACGTAGAAATTCCTCTTCCATATCCACATATTTCCAGTTTTGTGGCAAGCCTTGATCTAAGTCCTTATAACAAGCAAGATCTGCTTAAAATCGCAAACAATTTTGCAAATGACAGCTTTCGGACATCAGTACTTTTAAGAAAAGATGCAGAAAATGTCGCTGCAGCTTGTTTGTATTTGGCATCAAATTACCTTGGGCTTGGGTTGCAAATTGTTGCAGATCAAGAGACAGTGCAAACAATTTTGGAATTATATAAGACCCAATAGGTAATTTAGTGGGTAGACGGATTGTATTAGGTTCGGTAGAAATTTAAAAAACACAAATATAAATATAAAATATAAATAGAATTCACAATAGGAGAGGAGAGTTTTTTTGCCATTTTGGAAACAGGGGAATCTTTTGAATTTTTTAATTATTTGCAGGATGAAGAATGCCTGGAATGTTTGGCTTCTAGGCGGCATGCTTCTTGATTTAGTCAGAGCTTCAAAGCTTCGCCGGTTTTTAATATGCTACATGATGATTGAGTTTTTCTGTGCCTTGAAACTGTTGGCGGAGGACTAAAGTCACTTACATTTGTGGAGTTTCTTTCTGTCCTGTATCCTCTTTTATCTAATCCGGGTGATAAAATTAATTCTTTCGGCTGGTCTTTAATCCAATTTTTTGGTCGAGTTTTTTCAAGGTAAAATAGCAAATCCTTTAAATTTGTAATATTTTGTGATTCTGAAGATAATTTACTTTGTGATTTTAGTGAGTTCAAATGAAAAATTCTCCTTTTGCTTAAGGATCGCTGCTTAACTACTTCGAGTCTGCTTTTCGCAAACATTTTTGCGTTAATTTCTCTTCTTCTTTCTTTGTCAATTGTGTTAGCCACCATACTTAAAAAAGTTGGACTGTTTCGTTTTGGCTCTCGCTCTAGAGAAATCTTAAACCTATTTTGGTCAACCCTCGCTTTTTTGGTAAAATCTTTGAGCACATACGCAATCAAAGGGGTTTTTCTCGACTCTAATTCATCTTTGTGAACTTCTTCATCCGTCAAATCTTCAGAGCTTTCCTCTTCTTCAGGCATTGCTCTATGAAACGATTTTTTCCTTAGTCTAAAGTCATTATTTAGGCTTGGACTTGTGGTCTGGTGAAAAGCTAATTCGGTTATATTTAATAAATACAATTGGGAAGATTGGTCCACAACCATCTCATACTTCAATGACTCAATAAACTGGCAATAAGTATGATAGACAGTCTCTGCAATATACATGGTAAGCCACATAGCTTTTTCAGAAATTATTACATCACGAGCGACTTCTCCATCTTCTCTAATGAATTTTCCATATAAAAGTTCTGTATGGAGTTCTCCTTGTTCGTTTCAAGCTTTGATTTTATAAATTTTATCAGTAGATTTAGCAGTTACCAAAGCCATATGAATGCTTCTTACTCCCCTCCTTTAATTGAAAAAAAGTAAAATTTTCACTTTTTGGGTATCTAGAACAATTTTTCCAATTGTTAATTTTATACTAATTTTTATAAAAATTAGTTTATTATTATTAAATGGAAAAAGCGCAAGTAGAATGCTATTTAAACGGTTTTCAGCTGAATCGACTTTTTTGAGTTAATTCTTCATATAAATATATTAAAATCTAAAAAGATTGTATTCAATAAAGGACATTGCTGGCCATCACCTTTTCCTCCTCAAGACGTTACCTATTTGACGCCAACAATGAGGGCCACTTTCTACTGAAAGCTCCCTTGCTATTGCCAGCCAACTGTCTAATTTGCCTCCCACTTTTCCTTGATTCCCAAAGAAAAAAACTCAACAGTTTCACTATTTAGGGGAAATAGCCAAGCGGTTTGAGTATATAAGTCGCCTTAATAATGGGTTCCCAATGGCTAGATGCTGTTGAAAAAGAGATGAAGTAAGTGCACTAAGCTTAGGCTCTCAATTCCTGTAAAAGAGTCTCAAGTGTCTCAATTTGAGGTTTCTGAATATCGCTAGACATAACTGAATCCCAAAAACCACATAAGGGCCCGCCACTGAGAGGGCAGGCTGTTCATCTCCAGCCATTTTATGTATATATGAATGCTTCTTACTTGCAGCCCATGAAGTTGATTTTCGGCCAACTCAATAACTTCTTTTGCAAGAATTATACGTTTTCCGTCTGTGTGATATAAATAGCAGATGACTTTATCTGGAATATATTGCTCTAGCATAGGTACGCAAGCGTTTAAAAAGTGGATCAGGAGATATTTGGTGCGGTTTATTACTTTTGTGGATTTTTTTGTAACGATTCCATTTGTATCTGTGCAGAATCAGTCAGTTAGCTTATCTCCTCGGCATATCCCAGCCTCAAGGATCTTAAGAGGTAGTTTTCGGTTGACTAATTGAGTCAGAAGCCATTTATAACTTTTGGATTCCATTCTTTATATTTATAAAAGAAATAAATTGCATATATTCATTAATTAATTTATTGAGAAGACATTTATAGTATGCTTAAATCAATATAAATACGGGACCAAGAGATATTATTTAGGTTTTCGATTTAAAAGGAAAAGACTTCTTTTAGCAAATGCCATAAAACTTTTATTTTTTCTTATTGTTTTATTTCCTTTGATCAAAATGATTGGAGTTTCTGTATATCTTATTGATATTTTCAACATAGAATCGCTATAATTATAAAATTTACCTTTAATATAGTAAATTAATTTAACATTTCCTTTTTTTTGTATTCTTTAAGCTGTTTCTGCATTGATATTAAGTTGTTCCTACATAGCTGCAACTCATCTTTAAGGATCGAAATTTGTTGATCCTTTTCTTCCAGCTGACCCTGCAGCCTTGAATTAAGCTTATCTTGTTCTTCAATCACCAATAACAGATCAGCACGACTTGGTCCAGTTAATACGCCTTCATCAGCTTGCTTTGCAACTTCTCGCAGTTTTACGAGTTTAGGGTCATTGTCTGATATCATAATTGAAAACCTATTTACAGGTATTTCTTCTTGCTTCTCTAAAATCTCAGGGATTCTCTCAACTCCATCCAATAAATTTGTCTCTCTTCTTGAAAGAGAATGCAAATCCACCTCAGGGGCTTTCATATCTGCTAGAACTGTATGGTTTCTTTTTTCTTCTTCATGCTGGATTTCATGCACTACTGCTTCTTTTTCTTCAAAAGTAAGTGGCCCATCTCTCATAATGCTCAGCCTCAGTCTTCTTCTTTCTTGATTTTTCTTATCTGCACCCACAAATTCATCTTCCAAAATATCTGCTTTGTTAATATTTTCAGATACCAAAATCATAGCTCGCAATCGTTCTAATTCTGACTGCAGCTGCAATTTCTCTTTAAAAGTTGTCTCGAGCTTGGCATCGAGCATTTCTTTTTCATCTTGTATCATCATAAGCTTTTCTGACATTTTCCAGATTTCGTCTTTTAATGACTGATTTTCTGCTTCATCTTTGAATTTTGATTCCATTTCTCTCACTGTCCCATCTTTAAATTAGAACAAAAAAGTCCTGTTCCAATTTAAAGAGAAGTTAATATTTTTTAAAAAAAATTCTAAAAATGAAGAATTGATTTAAAAATTAATCGATTCAGTGTGAAAACTGTTTAAATAGCATGCTACTTGCACTTTTTACATTAAATTAGGTCTAAAACTAACTTTATTAAATTTAGTATTTTCAACTATAAAATTTTCTAATTTTGTTTTTATTAAAGGCTTAGGCTAAAAAAAATGAAATGTTACGTATATTTTGTTCCAATTAAATGGGGGGTCAGCTTTTCTTGGAGTTTCTCAATTTCTGCTTCATATTTCATGATCAAGGCTTTGCTGTCACGGACGACATTTTTTTTGATAGTCTGTTTGATTTTTTTAGCTCTTTGGGCGAATTTTAATGTTGATAAAGTTTCATCATAAGAGTCAATGCTTGGTGATATATTGCAGATAATGACAACTTTTGATTCGCCCTCTAAGGCTGGCCTAAGAAGCCTGGTTAGTTTGCTATCTCGATAAGGGACTGGAATTGAGTTTGCTTTATCACTGAGCCTCATGATGACAGTGGCTAGTGTAAGTAAACTCTATATATAAATTACCCTGTTAATGTATTTCATTTCTCTTGTACGGTTCAAAGAAGCTGTGGGTCCATGAACAGCAGCACTTTCGCTTCCAGCTAAATCAATAAGATTTAATGTAGCCATGTTAAGATTCTTTAGCCTCGGATCTCGACTTTTAGACTCCACGATTATTCGAAATCTGAATTTTTGTTACATGCAATGAGATCTTGAGCTTCTTGAATTGAACTCAGTGCTTGCAAACTGTTTATGTGTTTCTCCTAGATAAAGCAGCGAATTCACTTGGTTTATGGAGCTGCAAACTTCTTCAGTAGCTCCCACAATTTTGATACCGTTCTATAATAGAGGCTACCTTTTTGTCTTCTTGTACCTGCAGGTTTAAGCCATTTGGGTTCAATAGATCATTGATATTTTCATTATATTACTCATAAAATTGATATTAACTTAAGCATTGCCTATTGTTCATAATTTTATATTTTAAAGATATTTCAATCTAAATCACAATAAATTTCCAAATAAGAGCATCTTATTAAAAATTCTTTATCAGGAGTTTGCTGAATATAAGCAAAAATCGTATCAATAGTAAGTGGGACAAACCCAGGCTGGGTTTTCCTTGATCCATGCATTGTAAATGTTTTTCCACTCCCAGTCTGCCCATAGCAAAAAATGCACCCATTAAACCCTTCCATAAGCTTTCATATGATTTTTTCACATTGCTCATCAAAGATTTTTTCAGTCGAGACATGTTGCTCATATACACGGTCATACACAAAAAAACGCTGGCCAGTAACTTCTTTTATGGAAGTCGGTCCTGGGAGCTCCCATGCTGATGAGATCCCATTAGCAAGTTCTCTTGGTACAAAAGGCCTTATCCTTACAGCGACTGTAATATGTTCTTCTTTTGGACCTTGATCTTCCATTTATCCAGACTAAGTTGAAACAATTACACAGTATGAAGGCTGTCATTATAACTGGTGGGATTGCCGTGGTCTGTACATTGCTAGAAGTATATATGGAAGATCTATTAGAAGACACAAGCGCAGACTTTATTGAGTGATTACAAGGAGGCAGCAATTCATTTTGAAATTTTATTTTTCAGGCTTTAGAAATTATTACAGCTGGGATATTTATTTTTATTAGTGCGATTATATATATTTGTGGAAATAGGAAGTTAGGAGTGATGGGACTTACTGCTGGAATTTTTGCAGCTTGTTTGGCGTCGCTTTTTAAAATGTGTTTTTGTCATCCGAGACCTTTGTGGAAATATTCGAAAATTAATGCGATTAAATGCCACACAGACTTCGGTGCACCCTCTGGACACACTTTTAGTGGGGGAGCAATCATTTTTTATCTTGGATATTTTTGGCTAAAGAATGGCCAAAATATTATAACAAAAGTATTTTTATTGATTTTTGCGATTTTAATTACAGGGGTTGATAGAACTTATTTAGGCGTTCATTTTTATTTCCAAGTAGTCCTAGGATATTCATATGCAGCATTTTTATCAGCTTTGCTGATGAGAACATCTGTTGAAAGGTTTATGAATAAATTGATGAAAAATATAAAACACGTCATAATAGTCAATGTTTCAGCAGTTTTCTTTGTGATTGTAGCAGTGTTTCTTTATTTATTTAGGAATCCAGCATGAGATGAAACCTGGACAATTAACTTCAAAAATGATTGCAACCGTGACTTAACTAGTAAAGATGCACTATTCAAAAATCTTACAGACACAACTTTAGCTTTTGCAATAGCTGGGCTTTTATTAGGATATTATAAAATTAGAGATATGCGAACTTATAGTGGACTCACAAGAGATAATTTTATTATCTCAATAATCGGGATTGCAGTTCTTGCGGCAGTAATTCTTGGTGTGGAGAAAATAGTTGGGATGATAGCTTTGGATTTTGTGAAAATAATATTATACTGTGCTAGCAGATTTCTAGCAGGTTTTGTTGTTGGATATTTTATCCCTTCTTTATTATCAAAAATCAATAAAAAAAGACCTACAGAGCAGCTCATATTATCTGAAGATTTAAAATTGCAATTAATCAAAATAGATGATAAAAGCTAATTTAACCATAATGCAGATTTATCGCAATGTTTTGTTTATTCATTTTTAATAAATTTCTCCTTTTTGCATGCCATATATTGTTGTGGCAAGCTGCTGGTAATAAATGCTATTAAGTTAGATATAATTAAAATTCAATTTGGATTCAATATACGATGTTATTAGACTATTAAGATTTTCAAAGACTTCTAATTTTAATTATATTCCCTTCTGTGTGTGTTTGCCAATATGATTTTAATTAAACTTATTTTTATAGATTAGAGTCAATTTAAAATATTCTGATGGACATATTTTATTAGAATATGGAGACAACTTTTGTGAAACAATTGTCAAGATACGCTCCAGCCCTAAAAATAGTTATCCTAGCGGCTATCTGTTTAATTGGGTTTTCTTACGTACTTTGTTAATTAGTGCTTAACAAGATTCTCAGGATTTTAAATCATAGCACGCCCCTTTAAAGCCAATCTTGTGACGTCAAAGGCTGTCTTCTGTATCAAGCATAGAGCATTTCTAAACAAAACATCCGTCGTCTAGTCATAGAACCTAGAGACCCAGCTGCCTTGCTTTTGCTCGCCTTCCGCTTGTGTTCCGCCTAACTTCTCCCCCTCTTTGAGCGAACAAAACCATTGGAAAATCCCTATTTTTTGGCATATAACCCCATGAGAGAACAAAAATTTTTAAGAAAAATTATTTTGATATACAAGTAGCAATTATTATAATGAAACCTTTCACTCATTCTGTTTAATTTTAAATATCTTGCATTTTAGACATAAATTGTACAAATTAAATGAATATTTGTTTTAAAATTATTTCGAATATGGAATTTTTTAAATTTCGAGAAAAAAAAAACTTAACCCCCTTCTTGAGCGAACAAAATTTTTTGTGGAGAGGGGAGAGTGAATTAAGGATCTCCCTCCTCGGGAATAGCAAGCAGTAAAATTCTATGCCTCCAAAAAATAACCAGCTGCTCTAGCCTATTCGCTAAGCGTTCCTGGCATAACTGGATAAAGGGCCACAAGGAAAATCGAACTCTATAATAAAATTGCCTGAGGATGGTAAAAGTCTCAAAGCGAACTTATTCCGACGATATTTTTTATTTTTATATATAATTGAGTTTTCAATTCGTATTTTTTCAGTAACTTTAAATTCAGGTTATTCGCTATGAAAGCATCATCCACGAATTTGACCCTTGATTTAACTACCGAACGACCAGATTTTTATCAGAAAATGGCATTTACGAGTTATGAAATTGATTTGATCATGAATCCTGGTTCCCACTCGGAAGAGTTATCGGAGGCACAATTTATCCTGGCATCATGGTAACTTCCCATCTCATTAAACTAATGGTGACTTTTTTAGGGTTCCCGATTGAAATCAGAAATATATGTGTTTTTCTTGCTCCTGTGTTTTCTGCATTTACTTCTTTGACAGGATATATGATTACTAAAGAAATCACTGGAAAATCCGAGTCAGGATTATTTACAGCTTTATTTTTAAGTGTCGTGCCATCCTATATATCAAGATCAGTCGCAGGAAGTTATGACAATGAAGCAATCGCCATTTTTGCATTGGTATTTACTTTTTATTTGTTCATTAAAGCACTTAATACTGTAAACTACATATAGGGGTCACTGTTTTGGTCATCACTTGCATCCTTAGCTTTATTCTATATGGTTGCATCCTGGGGAGGGTACTCATTTATAGTAAATATTATACCTATTTTTATCGTCGGCTTAATACTAATAGGAAGACTTACCACAAACGTATACATCACATACTGCACATTCCACATATTAGGGAGCATCTTAGCCATGCAAATTCCTTTTGTAGGGTTTCAAGCCATTACTTCTTCAGAGCATTTAGCTTCACATACCGTTTTTGTATTTATGAATGTTTATATGTTCTGTGAATGAATAAAAAACCAAATCGGCGAAAAAAGATTTTCCAATTTGAAAAAATTTGTGATTTTAGGCACGCTGAATTTAATTGTGATTTTTGCGTTATTTGCTATGCTTACAGGGAAAATGAAATGAAGTGGGAGAAGTTTGAGTCTTCTGGATCCTACTTATGCGTCGAAGTTTATTCCGATTATTGCATCAGTCTCTGAACACCAGCCAACTTCTTGGGCGCTGTTTTTCTTTGACTTGCATTTATTACTGGTTTTAGCACCTATTGGGCTTTATTTTTGTTTGGTTGAATATAATGAAGGAAAACTGTTTTTGGCTTTATATGGGGTGCTCTCTGCTTATTTTGCGTCAGTTATGAATAGACTGCTGCTAGTATTTGCTCCTGCGCTTTGTATTTTATCAGGGATAGGGGTATCGGAAACTATTTATAAATTTGTAAGGCATATAACGAATTATAAATCATGGCAAGAGTATGTTAAATCAAGAAAGAATGCTAAAGCTGCTAGACCACGCTATGGCATCCCAATAGAAATATCTATTATTTTGATAATTTTAATTGGCTATGCTATTAGTAATTATATCTATCATTCTGTTTGGGCTACTGCGGAAGGCTACTCTTCGCCTTCAATTGTTATGTCCTATCAGCACAATGGTGAAAAAATAATCATTGATGATTTCAGAGAAGCATACTATTGGCTGAGGATGAATACAAAAGAAAATTCACATATAATGTCATGGTGGGATTATGGCTACCAAATAACAGGCATGGGAAACCGAACTGTTCTAGTTGACAATAATACCTGAAATAACTCTCATATTGCGACTGTAGGGATGATTTTTGGCTGTGATGAAGAAGATGCAGCTTTTTATTTAAGAAAATTAGACGTTAATTACGTGCTGGTAATTTTTGGCGGATATAGCGCATATTCGAGCGACGATATAAATAAATTTTTATGGATGGTAAGAATTGCTGCTGGAGTTTATCCTGAAATAAAAGAAGAAGATTATGAAGCTGATGGTGTATATAGGATTGATAGCCAAGTCACGCAAAAAATGAAAGACAGCTTAATGTATAAATTATCATATTACAGATTTGGAGGAGTCGGAGGATATGACACTGCAAGAAGGGTCCATATTGGCGACAAAGATTTTGTATTAAAACACTTGAAAGAAGTTTATACTTCCTTGCATTGGATTGTCAGGATTTATGAAGTTTTGCCTGAAGAATTTCGAGAGTTTGAGAGGTCAAGGAGCTCATATGCAGAGTTATCAGAAAATGTATTATTAAAGCAAAATTTAACAAAAATAAAAATAAGGCCAATTGATGAATAAATATATTTAATAGCAGTTACTAATAAATATGACAACTTATTATACAAAATCAAGCCCAAAACTCAATGACTACAATCCTCTTACTCATGAAACCTTTTATTCTCCTCCGAACTCTCCTCCAAAAACAACCTATAATAATGCAATATTCCGAGATGCAAACAAAATATATTCAAATATAGGTCCAGTCCCTCCATCAATGAATTCTACTTCTTTTAGAAGCCAAAAGCAGTTTAAAGACCCTATTACAGGGCGTGCATATTCTTATGCTTTTAATCGGCCATCACATATATTTGCAAGCACAGCTAATCTGAGCGTCAATCAAAATCAAGGCCTAAATAAATCGGCAAGTCAATATTCATTTAGCCAGAACCCAAGAGTTCTCAATGAAGAGCCTAGATATTTTAAAAATAGAGTCAGGGATGAATTAAATGACCCACTAACAGGAGAAAAGAAAAAATATAATGTAAACTTCTCAGTTGATCCATTAGACACTATTGTCAGACGAGATAAACTGTCTCCATCTCCAAGCAACAGCTCTCTCAAAGAGTTTTATGACAAGAAAAACATGTTTCAAGCCCAAGAGTCAATAGCTGCATCTTTGCGAAAAGATGTTCCAGATCTCTCTTACGTTAACCCTCTGATGCTAAAGGCAGCTACACAATCTGATCCTACTATGAGTCCTCAATACCAAAGAAACCTAGAACAATTCTTTAGATAATTTTAAAATATAATTATTTATTAGGAAAAAACTAGAACTAATTTTAGCAAATCTTACATATAGTCAGTTCAGAAATTTTAGAGCACTCAACTTTTTCTGTGTGCCCACAAGGCAAAATTTTATCTACTAATTCAGTGCAAGCTACTTTCTTTTGATTTTTTTTAATATTCCGAATATCCCAGCACTCTGCTTGAGCAATATGTCCGCACGTACCGATTATAAAATTTTCTTTCTGCTTACATTTATAGATATTTGGGAATTTCCCTTCCATAATATAAAAAATCTTTGACTTTAGCTGCCTTAAAAGCGTTTCATTCATCCTTTCTTCAGGTGTAAGCTTGCTTATTCCTAGCTCATAAAATAATTAAAATGCTGGTGGTGACAAAATAGGTCTTCGATGACGTCCCACCATTTTGGCGCAAAAGTGGCTTTATAGCCTAAACCAAGGTTCAGGCCCTTCAACTCTAACCTTAGCATGCCTGGAGCTGCCGTATGGGTGGGTAAACTTTGGGAGTCAGCTGGTGGTCACTCCAGTCAAAAGCTTTAATTATCCGGATGGTTTTTGGCTCTTTTTTCCTGGGTGTCGCTGTACCTACAGGCGGCCGTCAGAAGGCATCGGACTAACCTTTGCCTTCATAGCACCCGACATGACGTGAAGCATATGCAAGCTGGAGTCTCTCCTAACCCGTCGAAACTCAGCGGAGCGTGCAAGCCTTGGCCATGGGAGAAGAGGCCCAAGATTGGCAAGCAGGTTTTGGGGTCCTCGAAAGCGTGCGGAGATATCAAGCTGGAAGACTTTAAAGCAAATTTAAGTTAAGTTAAGTTAGCTCATAAAGGTCATCAATTAAATTCTTTTCTCTTGGCAAAACATTTTTCTGATGCCCACAAGGCAAAAAAATCATTGTTTGCGACTTATAGCTTTCTAGTTCTTTTTTTAATGAATCTTTACGGATTTTAGCTTTCCGAAGTTCTTGGGAAAGATCTTCATTTTGCTTGATGAGTGAAAGATTTTTCTTGTGAAGCTCATCGTTTAGTCTTGAAACCTGCTCACATCAATTTTTCAGCTCTGATTCAAGTGTAAGATTTTTAGGGATAGGGTTTCTGCTTCGACTTCAGCTTCTACTTCGACTTCTGGATCTTGTGGAATATTTCGGCGAACCGTATCGCATATCTTTTCTTCTATTTCCATATGCATATGTGATTAAAAGAGATTTTCCTAACTCCCTCTCGATGAGCGAACAAAAATTTTTTTTGTTTAACGGAGGGGGATTCAATTTTTTTTTTTAAAAATTTATATAATCTGTTGCACATATTTCTTATTGTGCAAGGCATGTGGGAAATTTCCTCACAAATTAAAAAAATTTCCACATGTGAAGTCTTACATAAATGCAGGCTTCACATGTGGAATATTTTTTGGCATGTGGGGAAATTTCCCACATGCCTTGCATATTAAGAAATATGTGCAACAGATGATATTTAAATTTTATAGTAAATTGTTTTTTAAATAAAAAAATCCCAATTCGCAAAAACTGGAAAGCAAATATTTATTTAATTTGTAGGATATATGTTTGAAAATCAAATTTATTTAAAATCGAACAGGATCAGCTAGAAATTTCATTATACTAATAATCACTTATATATCAAAATTTTTTTTTCATAAAAATAATTTATATTAAAAAATTTGTTCGCTCACAGAAGAGTTTTTTGGCAAAAAATAGGATTTTTCCAATGGTTTTGTTCGCTCACGAAGGAAAAGTAAGAAATTTTTTCTGTCTGTTGCTTCTAGAGCTCTTGCAGCGTCATCCTCGGTTGAAAAAGTCACAAACCCAAAGCTTTTAGGACGGCCAGTGTTGAACTCCTTTGGAATACTACATTGTGTAACTCTTCCGTAAGGCTCAAAAAAGCTTCTTAAAGTTTCTTCTGTTACCTCACTTGCCTGTATAACGCTTACAAGATTGCGAACAAATAAAGTATCACGATTTTCTTGATATCTGTCAGACATGCCTTAAAATTATCTAATAAATCCATGCTACCCGCTGTAGTTAAAAAATGAAAATTTACAGTCTACTCTAATTATGAGATAATTTAAATAGTAACTATAAAAATAGTTCCATATAAATCAATTGTATTAATTACGAATTTATCTAACTTTCTGCCTCTTAGTAGGCTCTTCCCCTCGATTTGGAGTTGTAAAATATGAATTCGACGCTAGATGTCTCTGCTTAACCTTTAAGTAATCTTGCCCATTTTCGTCATATTCTTCTTTTGTTAGTGCTGTATTATGATATTCCTCAGTTAAAGAAAAATCACTAGCTCCTCTCCATGCATCTAAAGCAGGGTCTCTTGCAGTGACAACATTAAATTCGCTTCCAAACGGCCTGATCATCATTATTTCTCTTTCCAACCTTTCTTTGAAATTCGGAAACTGCACAGATGCTCCTGTTAAAAATATGCAGCTAGCTAAATTTTGGGCTTGGGCTGGACTAAATAGGTTCAAAACTTGTTCAATTGTTTGTACAAGTCCAGCTTGCTCAAGGCCAATAATAGAAGGCTGGAATACTATTTCTGGAGGACGGATGCGGTCTGTTTCTAAATAGATTTGATAGTCTTCAGCTGTTGGTGGTCTCCATACTTCACCAATGGTAATTAAATGATTTGGATCAAGCTGAGCAATTTCTGAATCAAGATCAGCCAGGAGGACCTGATCTTCTTCATCTTCCTCTTGTGTATCTTTATGAATATCCCTGTATATATCCCAATCTTGATCTTTTACTCCGAAATTATCATCTTTTATGGAACTCTCATTTCCAAGCTCTGCTATCGCTCTTAGCCTTCTTTGACTTTGTCTACTATGCCTGTTCTGCAGCTCTACTTTTATTTTATTTCTTTCATCAATCCTCGTCTGAATTTCTAATCTTTGTTTTCTCAAATCTTCTAAATAAGCAGCTGGGTCTTCTTGTTTCAATTTTTCAATTCTTTCTTTTTCTTCATTTTCTTTTGCTTTTTTCTGTTCCCTTGATTCCTTTTGAGCTTTTTGCATTTTTTGTAATTTTTTCTGTTTTTGTTGTTCTGCTGACAATTCTTCGTCTGGAATGTCAACCAAATTGTACTTTTCGCTGTCATCGACTTCTAAGTTAAGGCGCGATTTCAAGATGTTTATTTTCTTTTTCAGTTCGTCGAAATTAGAAATTCCTCGAGCAACAAGGCCTTCTTGGAACTCTGAGTTTGATTTTCTGTATTTTGAGGCGATATTTTCGAGCTCACATAGCTCTTGCTCCATCATTTTCTTCTTTTCTTCATTTTTCTTAGCAGAGATTTCTCTAAGTTTTTTGCCCTGCTCTCGGCGCTGCTGCTGTTTTCGCTTTAATTCTTCATCTGTAGGCTGCTGTGGCATAACCCATGGCAATTGGATTCGTATTTGATTTCCGAGCCTTAAATTTTCAAGCTCTTGAAAATAATCGACTGCTGTGTAGCAATAGCTGTAAACAATTTCTTGAGCTATTGGCCAAGTAATGAGGTTTCTATTATAAAAGTAGCGTGTTTGTAGCGTATTGAGCAATGATTGTGTACAATGATTCCCACCCACATTAATGCGCCTTGCAAAACCCGGCAAAAACTCTCCATCTAAGCACGGCAATATATGAGTAGCTTGATGCCCAAAATTCACAACAAGTCCGCTCCTATTAGCTCCTAAATTATGCCTGAACGAAAACAAAGAATCAACCCCTAAATTTACTTTTGGGACCTGATACCCTTCAAAAAGCATTTCAAGCAAAATTTGACGTGAGTAGTTTGGAGAGCAAACTGTTTCAGTGACAACAATTGGATGATTTACTCTGTCTTCATTAATCCCAAGCGCCCAGAATAAATAGTCAAAAACATGCTCTTGAGTATGGAAATGCTGCAGAATGTCTCTTTCAAAAGGAGAGCGAATACTCAATTTGTAAAGGTCAGCTTCAGGGATTTCACTTCCTACAAGAACTTCTTGGACTTCTTTGCTTGTTTTTTGCCGAGAAACAATATTCCTAAATGTGAGAATTGGAGATTCACTGCCGGCTCATCCAACTCGACAATTGAAAGAGCCATTGTCAATGATTATTGGAGTGCCAGTTTGCTTGTAGCGCTTGAGATAGACGTCTTTAAGCTTTGATATGTCTGGGGGAACTTGGACTGGAAGGCCTTTTAGATCAAACACGGGTATTTCCATAATTTATTATTAAAGAAAACACAATTATTATGAGCTTCAACTGGGTTAACCCTCCGGTTTCTGGGGATATTCAATGCTAGGCAGTTTTTTACCAAATATAAGCACTAAAAATAAATTCTATTTTTAATAATAAAGCTAGTAAAATTAAACCCTATTCAATTATAACATAACCCATACACGGCATTAGATTGCCCTAGGTTATATATATTTTATATAATAACTAAAAAGGATATTACTTAATAATAAAATAATTAAATTATCTATAACAGCTAATTATAATTTATTTTATAGCTGCAGAAAAAAATCACAATCCTCTTCATTCATATCATTCAGCTGGTAATCATAGTCAGCCTTATCCATAATGATAGGTGGATCAATTATCATAGGCTGATCACTTATATATCTATCTCCATCTCTATTTTTATCCATTTTCAAAATTTCAGTCAATTCTTCGTCAGTGATTTTTTCACGATTATAGTTTGTAGGAAACCAAGGATCAGCTTTGAGATCTTCAATCATTAAGTCATTTATATATGGCCCAAGCATTGCTATAGCTTTGATTTGTACATACTAGCTCTAGAATGGGGCTTGCCAGATAATACTGGAAATTTATCCCCCAAACTACCTGGAAAGTATTCAGAAGAGTTCAAGCTATAGCAATACTCAGGTATATCTTTTCAATAAAGACCATTTTCTGTCACACATAAAATCGTGCTTACTCCCTTCAGGACAGCACCATATTTCAAACTTTTCTATTAAAATCTTTGGCTCAAAGTTGCAGAAAAGCAGCTCAGTGTAATAAAAAAATGACTCCCGCGTCGCTTGCTCTTTAAAATAATTTGCACAAAATGTTGTGTTGAAGCTCTTCGGATCATTTGAAGGCAGTCGTTTAGATTTTCCGTCAGTTTGGGGACCATTTTCTGTTAACGACAGATCGCGTAAGACTTCTTGATTTCTCGCATATACTTCTTTTAATGTCTCCCAAATGCTTGCTGATTCAGTGTCATTAGGGTTAAATCTGTGAATAGTCTTATTTGGCAGCACGTTTTCTTGGATTTGTCTGTTTGCTCTTTTGTGTCCTCTTATCAGTTTACATCGGATATATTCCTTTTTAGGATGCTTAAAGGAATTATTCCCTCTTTTTATCCCTTGAGAGGCTTGCCGTTTTGAAGGTTTTGTAGGGGTTCTGAATAGTGAAAGGATGCCTACGTCTTTCTTTTTATAATTTGGCAAAGTTTCACTGTCTACATTCATTTGTGAAGGATCGGCTTCTCTCATGAACCCTATGCTTGATGAGGAAAACCCTAGACTGCTAGTATGTGCACTATAGCTGGAGGGAACATCTATTGATTCATTTTGGTCATAAATACATTCCTCGATGAGCTCTCCAGTCATGCGTGCAAGAATTTCATTGATATTGGAAAATTGTTGACAACTCATAATTCCTACAAATTTTTAATATAGAAGCATTGATTTCTACATTGATTATAAGCACAATTAAAAGGAAATATAAAAATTTTCAAATATCATTAATATAATTATTTTTAATCATTATTAGCTATTTTATTAATATATGAAACAGTTGGAAAGTATCCAGTAGCATTTCCTCAATTGATTGTGCATGGGAAAATATTTTAGGTTAATTGCTTAGTTCCAACCAATTTATAAACCTACGGACATTTTTTATGATTTTTTTTCTAAATAAGATGCTTAAATAGTAAATTTTTTTGTCAATTTCTAATATAGCTCATATAGCTTTATTCAATTGTTTTATATACCTATCCACTTTATTCGAATGTTCTTGGAATCAGAGTTCCTTTATGATTCTCTTATTGTATTCACTAGCATAATGGCTGAACTACTAAGAGGGTTATAATCCTACTCAGATGCAATGCCTGCTAAATGTTCAATCTGGCTTATCAGGATATATTTGCAAACTTTGGGTGAGTTAGCAGATATTTTCAATTCCAGAGTTATCCAATAGCAGGCCTACATTAATAAGAAAGGATATAAATATAAGCCGAAAAGAAAATTTATCTATAAAATCCAATTAATTTATTTCATAGCAATTACTTAGGAATTCGTCTACTTCACCAAAAGACAATATTTCATCTCTGAACTGCAGCTCACTTTTATGCTTATCCACTTCAGATTTTTTATTTATCTTCATTATTTCCTTCAATTCTTCGTCAGTGATTTGGTTTTCATTATTTCCTTTAGGAAATCAAGGTTCAACACCAAGATCTGCAATCATTAAATTGTTTATTCACTTTTTCAATAAATACCACTTTTCGGAGCATAATAAATTGTGCTCATTTTCGTTAGGACAGCACCATAATTGAAAACTTTTAATTAAAACTGTTGGCTCAAATTTGCAGAAAAGTAGCTCAGTGAAATAATAAAACGATTCTCTAGTCACTTGCTCTTTGAAATAGCCTGCACAAAATTCGTTGTTGAAGCTTTTATGCTTCCCATGATATTGCGGCTCATTATTTGTCGCTGACAAATTACAAAATAGGTTTCGAGAGCTTTCATATATTTCTTTTAATTTCTTTCATATTTCTAATGACTCATCATTAGACACAAACTCGAAAGGATTTTTACCCTGTTGAATTTGCCTATTTACTTTTTTATGGAGTCTTATTAACTTACATCGGAGATATTCTTTTTTTGGGTACTTGAACGAATTATATCACCATCTTGTTTCTAGTTGAAAGATTTGTTTTTTTGAAGTTGTTTTAGGAGCTCTAAATAGTGAAAGGATGATTAAATCCTTCTTTTTATTGTTTTTAATGATTTTGTTTTCTTCGCTCATATGTGAAGGATTAGCTTCCCTTGCACTTCATATACTTTGCGATGAAAAATTTATGCTGCTGGTGTTATCGCTGTAAAAGGAAGGAATATCTGTTGACTCATTTTGATCATAAATATCTTCTTCACCATAAGTCTTTCCAGTTATTCTTGTAAGAATTTCTTTTATGTTGGAACTCATAATTCCTACAATTATTAAAATAGATTTCTATATCGATTGTAAGTACAAAAAAGTGGAAAATATGGAAATATACTTGATAGATTCGTAGCGGAGATTTAATATTATTTTAAGTAGCGTTTATGAATAAACATTCCTAAAAAATTACGAAAAAATATTTTTAGGGAAGAGGATGAGGGCAATAATTATCCAGCTTGCTATAGTTTTTAAATGATTTATGAGAAGACTTTTATACTTAAGATGATTCTATAAATAATAAATAGGGTCAATTGAAGCGAATAATAAATTATTTACTTTAATCTATAAGAGAATTCTTATATTTAGAATTGGTATTACATCTCAAATTTTGCTTATTTCTTATATAAATAATTTTGAAATTGCATTCAAGGAGTTTCTCTTGAAGAATTAAGATTTCCTTATTTTCAGATATAAAATACTTCTACGCTTTAATTTTATTATCAATATAATATATATAAGCTCTTGATAAATTAATAAATGATAATTCATAATACCAGTTATTTTTAATAGATCTGGTACTATCCAATTAAATTTTGGTAAAAAATGATGAGCCCTTTAAACATTTCAAGCGCTAAAGGAAAAATGCTAAGTTCATCATACGCAACCTTGCCAGGAAGCACATTAGTATTAGAGCTTGATAACCTTGAGAAAAAATACGAGTCTACTCTTAAAGAAGAAAAAAGTCTTCAACAATGACGTGAAAATGAAGCAAAAAAAGAACAAGAAAGGCTATATCATAGGAAAAGACTAAATATTTTAAATGCTGAATATCTTAAGCAGCAAATGGAGGAGTTTGAGAAACGAAAGCAGTCAGAAAAAGAAGAGAAATTAAAGCCTGGGATTTCCCCTGATATGCATGGATATCCCCATTTACCTGAAACCCCTAAACAAGTTAAGAGGCAAAAGGAACTAGAAGTCATGAAAAAAGTGGAAGCCAAGCTAGTAGAGCAAATGGAATCAAGAAGAAAAGAAGAAAATCAAAGAATAGAAAATGATAAAAGAGAATTCCAAACTCTTAATAGAAATGCAAAAAAACTATTAGATCAGGAAAATGATAGAATCATTGAAAAACGAAATAAAGAAAAAGAAATCTTAAAAAGCTATTGAGACTTGGATTTAAAAGCACAAAAAATCAAAGAAAATATTAATAAAGTAGCAATAAAAGGGGTAATTCCGAAACCAACTGATTCAAGAGATGAAAGTACGGAGAACGAAAAAGAGATATTAATAGACAAAAATGAGAAGCTAATAAATAGCAATGACCCAATACCAAATAAAAATTTAGAAGAAATAGAAGAAAAAGAATTAACAAGTCATGCATCCACATCTCTAATTCCTTCAAAGAGTCTGAAGCGGTATGACGTAGTAAAGTCCCGAGCTTTCCAAATCAAAAAAGAACTAGATGAAAGATACCAAAAAAGCTATGAAGCTAAAATAAAGAAAACAATTGAAGATGCTAAATTCAAAAGAAAACAAATGAGAGACAGCAAAAGCTCCTATTCTTCGATTTTTTATTCTCCGGATGCAAGAATATTTAAAGCTAAGGCTTCTTAAAATAAGTTTTTTTAAACACTTAAAAGATTGAACATTTTACAATTTTTTGTTTTGCAGGATAAAAGTATAGATTACGAATCATTATTCAGCATCATACTGAAAATAAATGAAAATTTAAAATAATAAAATTCATAAAGAATATAACCCAATTTTTTCCTCTAATTTGCATATATTACAAAAATCAAAATGGACCCGAATTCCCAAAAACAAGTGATTTCAAGCATTCAGCCTATTAGTACAGCCGATCTTTTCCAAAGAGAAAAAACTGTATTTTTGGCACCAAAACAATGATGGGTTTCATGGTGTAACTATGTTGGCTTTTTCCAAGATCCCAAAGGGCTAGATCCTGGCCCTATCAATAATGAGATCTTATTAGAAAATTCTGATCTAAAATCCGATCTAAACAGTAGTGCTGTTATTTTCCTCAAAAAAGAAGCATGGACTTCTCTTTATTCCTGGTATCTTGGAGGTCCAGAAATCGAAATTTTTATTATTGAAGGCAGACCAGATCTGCACCCTATTAAAATCTATATCTGTCCTCTATATGACTACATATCAGTTGAATCTGCTTTATTTTCTCCCTTTTATCTGTCATTATCCCTCACAATCCAAGATCTAAAATCACATTTACAGAAAAAACATTCAATCACAGGAAAATTCCATCTAAAAGTTTATGAAAGCAATGGATCCATCCGTTCACTTGAAGGCTATGAAGATTTCAGCATAAGAGAAGTTAACATCAAGAAAGGTACTAAAATCTGTATAGAAAAAAACGACGAAGTTTGCCTCATGGAAGCTGAGGACGAAGAGCTTAAAAAAGTCATGGAGATCTCAATGCAAGACTTTCACCACAGTTCTGAGAAAGACCATACAAATTCAACAGGTATGGGTTTAAAAAGGAAAAAAAGGTGTGTCAGCTCACTGGGTTGAAGGCAACGTTAATGAGTTTGAGATGGATTTTATTGATGTCGCAAGAGATAGTCCATCAGGACCTGAAATAGAGTTGATTAGAGAAAGAATTAGAGAAGCTCTTCAAGGGAAAAAAGTGAAGCTAGAAATCCATTCAATTGCAAAGATAAAAAAGCAGCTGAATAGGATTTTAGAAGAATATCAAAGTTTTATAAAAAGCTGCTAATAAAATTAGATAAACCATAATTATGAATAAAAAGAAAGAAAAGATATCTGAAAAGAAAATCCAAGGACTGATTTTAAAACCTAGGAGAATAAGCTTTATTTCGCATCAAAACGCTGTAAAAATTGCGAAGAGCTTTAATAGGAAGTTTTCGCCTGTTAATTGCTCGATGAATAGTAAAACTGATGGGCATGATATTGATAGAATGATTGAGGTTTCGAGAAGAAGAGAACTTAACTTTAATAATTCGATTTCTAAAGAGCTGAAAAAAGCTATGAGATTTTCCCATGGATGGCGCTATTTTTGGTCTTGATTTTCCCACTAGGAAAATTTTTTTGGTTTGACCAAACCATAGTACTGGTTGAACCAAAAAATTTTTCCTGTGGGAAACAAGGCCAAAACAGCGCCATCCACAGGAAATTGCTATCTATTAGCAGTTCGCCTACTACTAAAACACATAGAAATTTTTACTCCTCAGAGTCACCAGTAACTGTAAGAGCTTCAGATATGGAAGATAACTTTTTTTATAAAATAAAAGAACCTTCTATTGAAGATATCCAAGTAAATCTCCCAATAATTACTCCGGTAAAAATAACTCCTTATACACCTTCAAATGCAAGTCCAGCAAGATCAGAATTTTTATTGCCTGGTACCCCAAAAAGACGATTTTCCTCTTTTGAAGACCCTGAATCGTTACCTCCACCAATAAAGCTTGTTCCGATCAAAAACAAAGAAAAGCAAAATAAAAGAATTATTAAACATGACAGAATAAAATCTTTAGAAGCACTGGTGGACACTTGTAATATTTTTGAACCTATAATAAAGCCGAAGATAAAAGAAGTTATTCATGAGGAAAAAGAAAGAAATGCAGAAATCAGTGGGTTTTTGCATTATGTTAATGATTTGTCTGATATTTTGAGGATTGCTCCAGATGAAGGCGCATTTTCAAACTTTATGTCAACAAGAAGGTATAATAAAAAATTGGATAAAGGATTGAAAAGTGATTTAAGCAATACAAAAGAGGAGCTGTTTTCAATAACGAAAAAGTTAATTGAAATGGGAGGAAGAAAAATTTGGAGACACAGGCAGGCAAGCTTTATGGCTAGTACAGATAAAGAAATAAATTCTTTTCCAGCTATAAAGTATCGATAGTAATTTTTGGTGACATAATGTAATAGAATTTCTTGCTCCCCTTTCGTTAATAATAATATTTTTAGTATTTATCTATTGAAAATTAATCCTAAAAAGCCCCCATAATAAAATTTATTTACGAAATATTACCGAAAAAAATTCATATATTACAGTTTTCTTGGAATATATTATATTCTAAATGGGAGGTCGTAAAAGCTCTGAATCAGATGAAAGCAATAAGACCACGTAAAAGGATGAAGATTTCCATATCGACCGAGAACTCTGCACAGACTATGGGCGAAGAATATTTACTCTCAGGCTTAAAAAAGAATAACTTACCCAAAAAGGAATTGAAGAAGATTTTGAAAAATATCGCATGGAAACGAGAGACAGAGGAGCAAATGAAAAAATTGGAAACAGATCTAAAGCTCTATATCCATCGAGCAATTGATCAAGAAATTAAGAAGATGAAGAAATGATGCATCGAGAACTCAGAGAAGAACAAAGATAGGAGATTTGGTGCAGATTATATAACTGGGGATTATTATATTGAAGAGGAGACCCAGGATTATTTAGTCTCTGAAGACGTTGACTATCTATTGGAGGGAGAAGAAGAAAGGAGATTTGGTGCAGATTATATAACTGGGGATTATTATATTGAAGAAGAGACCCAGGATTACTTAATCTCAGAAGACGTTGACTATCAAATGGAGGGAGAAGAAGAAAGGAGATTTGGTGCAAATTATATAACTGGGGATTGTTATATTGAAGAGGAGGCTCAGGATTACTTAATCTCAGAAGACGTTGACTATCAATTGGAGGGAGAAGAAGATAGATCTGAAATCTGATACGATTCTCAAAATAGTTATGATTATGAAGTAGGGAATAAATCCAGTGCAAGCGAAGTGGAAGACGGAAGATTGGGCTTTATGAAAAACTAAAAACATCATGTAATATAGCGGGAAATAGCATAAGCGATAAATTATTTATTATTACAGTTTTCTAGGAATCTTACTATTTTTTCAATGAATTCTATCCATGCATTCTTCTTCTGATAAATCCAGTCAAAATCTTGCCTAATGATTGAGGCTCTTTCTGAGTCCCTAAAACAGTTTAAAGATTCTCCAGGTCTTATTATTTCTATTGGTATTTTAGTTTAAGCAAGTTCTTAAACCTTGAGAAATTTTTTAATAATTATATTATTTCTTATTTAAAATTATTTTCATAAACATAATTATACTTAGGTCTAATGCAATTGGATTTCCTTACTATTTTCAATCTAATAATCTTCGTCACCTTAGCCATTTGATTCGCCTTATATAATTAGCATATTAATGATAAAAATGAATTTAAATAAAAAGACAATTATAACACTTTTATAACTAATTTTGCATGCATAATTCCTTCAATTGAAATAATTATTTAGCCTTTCCAATTTTTGGCAGCTTTTATTTTAGGCTTTGACATTTTGAATTAAATAATGTCTAGATACAATTCTGATAGCAAGACATTTATTTAAATTTAGACCATATATCTGATTTGGGGAAAATTCGACCAGTTTTAGGGCAATAGTTTAGCTATCAACAATCATAAAAAAGAAACTTGCGCCAAAATTATATCGAAATTATGAATAATAATTAAATAATCAGAAAAAATAAAAATGCCATCTCAATATTACTAATAATCATTATTATTAATCGCTGATTATCTTATATTTAAGCCTTCCCAATTGTTTTTTAAATTTGATTAATCCTTGTATGCCATCAACCCAAATTCTATAGGTAGAGTAGCTATCAGCAATCAATTCAACTCTTCCTCCTTTATCCAAAGTGACAAAAAAAGGAAAACAATCGCATGACTCACTCAGTACTTTTATACAAGGATCAAAATAATTAATGTGGCCTGATTCTTTCATTTCCAAATATTTTTTCATGGCAGCTTCTGAGTCTAATAAGTCATCATTACTTGTCAATAATTTTTTCTTGGCTTTTAAGATTTCTACTGTGTGCTTTGGAAGAACTACGTCTAAAATTTGATCTATTAAAATGTTGCTTTCTATTCCTGGCTTATTTGGCCTTCTAATTTCAATTTTATTTAAATGCTTTAGGAGGCTGAAGTTTCTGATTTGATATCCACAATTTTCTGGAGGCGGGTTTTCAGGGTCTAAAGCATCAAATTCAGGGAATTGTAAAGAATTTCTCTGGCTAAGACGCTTATAAAGTGTACTGCCTTCCAGCAAGGGTTTGATAGTTTCTAACTTCCCTTCTTAATAAATAAGGGTACTTATATTATTGATATATAAAAATTGAATTTTCTAAAAGGATTATTATGTGCACCCATTAATTTGCAGACTAGGGGTAAGAAGGCTATTTCAGCCTTCGTCAAATCTTTATAATTAAATTTAAATTTGGATTCTGAACATTCGCTTGCATTTTCATTGATTGGATTTATTTCAGTTTCATTTATTGAATTCATCGCTTCAACTGGAGATGTTTCGTTTTCTTGGCTTTCTTGGTTTTCTGGTATATTTTTGCTTTCCTGTTCATCTTTCTTTTCTTCTTCCTCTGCTTCGAACATTTCGTCTCTACTCTTATCTAACTCCCCTGCGAGCGAATAAAATATTTTGTTCGTTCATTGAAGGGTTAATTGTTTTTGAAAAAAATTATATATATAAATTTTATAGTAAATTTTATTTCGAAATTTAAAATAATCCCAATTTGCAGAAAATTGATAATCAAATATTAATCAAATTTGTAAAATTTATGTTTTTAAATGCGATTCTTTAAAATTAAGCAGAATTAGCAAGAGATTTCATTATACTAATTATCACTTATATATAAAAATTTTTTCATAAAAAAAATTGTTCGCTCGCGAAGGGTAGGTTTTGGGCAAACATAGGTATTTTTCAAATGTTATTTCGCTCACGGAGGAGGAGTAAGCTTTCTGATCTTATTCTTGGCAAACTTTGAGACCTTGTCATTCCTTTTCTTTCTTCTTGTGGTTTCGGCTTCAGCATAGCAGATCTCTCCATAAATAGCTCAACATCCTCTTCTTGAATTCCTAAATGCTCAATTTCTTTTTGAGAAATTTTCAATTTTTTCATTAAAACATTTACTTTTTGCTTATCCTGCTGCAAGTTTATCAGCTCTTCTTGAATTTGGTTAACTCTTGCTTTTATTTTTGCTTCTTCAATTTCAACAACAGTGATTTTATCAGAAAAATCTTTATTAATAATTTCAATTTCATGCTCAAGCTGATCAATAGCCTCTTCTTTTTTTTCTTTATTTTTTTTGAGCTTATCCAATTTAGCTAAATCAACTTCACCTCCATGGTGCAGCACTATTTTTTGCAGATTCCTCGTAATATCAATTCTTTTAGACTCCATCAAAGATTCTAATTTTGCTTCTACATCAAGCTCAGCCTCAGCTAAAATTTGGTCTTGCTCTTTAATTGAATTTATTTGCTTTTTTAATGTAGAAATTTCTTCTTCTATTGATAGAACTTCTGGAGTCATATGGTCTTCGATGCTTTTTTCAACCCTTTCTATTTCATTATCCCAGTGCTGCATTTCTAGCTGCACCTCTTCAAGTTTTTTTCTTACCTCTTTATTGCATTTTTTCTGATTTTCGTTCATAGATTTTAGCTCTTGATCACGAAGTTTTTTTAAAGCTTTATCTCCATACGTTTTTTGGATTTGTGCTAATTCTTGATTGCTTTTGGTGAAATTTTGGCTTACGGCTTCATCTATTTTTTTTCTTCTTTGGACTTCGACTTCTGCTTTGGCATTTTCGAATTTTTTTATTGCTGCTTTTTCGAGAAGTAAAATTTTTAGAAATTCTTTTTGGAGAGTGTCTTTTTCAGTTTGAAGGGCCAAACGTCTACCTTTGAGAGCAGCCAGCTTTTCTTTTTGCTCAGCAATTCTTGATTCTTTTTCACTTATATCTTCGCTATCTCTACCCATTAGGTCTTCTCTTTGGCATACTTTGTTGATATAGTTTGTAAAAATGCTTTCAATTGCAGTAATTTCGCCTTGACTTTTGGCTGATTGCTGGATTTGCTTTTTGAATGCTTTGCTAATGTCAGAATCACTTGGAAGAGCTGATGGAGAATCTGATAATAATACGCTTCGGTTTTGGTTTTTCCATTGTCCTAGTACTGCCATTTTGCACCTGTAACGCCGCTTAGCTTTTTCAGCCTCTTCTCTCATTTGTGCTAAAGCATTTTGCATATCTCTTAGCATATTCTCTAATGCTGGATCACTTTGGTCTGCAGAAATCATGCATAAAATTTCTCCCTCTTGCTCATCAGCGAGTTTTTTCATTTCTTGTATTTTTGCTTCCATTTGTTCTTCTTCCAACTTTCATTCTTCCATCATATCAAACTCTTTCGCCTCCACAATCTTAAACTGCTCTTTCAGAATATTCTGAGAAACATTAAAATTGCTCCCTTCACACACTTGAGCTATAACTTCTTTTAAATTCCTCACTTGCAGATCTTTGCATTTCAAAGCTAAAAGTTTTTCAATATCTACTAATTCTCTTTCGCTTCTCGAAGTTTGCGGATTTTTTTTATTATCATTTTCCATCGAAACTAGTTCATTATTTGCCCTTTCAATTTCTGCATCAAGAACTGCAATCGTTTGGTCAGCTTCTTTTATCGTTGTGGTCTGCTTAGCTTTTTTATCTTTAATTGTCGTTAAAATCTCTTTTGTTTCAATTTCTTGGAAAAAAATCTTATAATCATTATGATGCTTTTTTTTGATTTCTTCCATTGCTTTCTTAACTTTTTCCTTATTCGCAATGCTTTCTTGTTTTTTCTTTTTCAATTCTAATATTGCATCACTTTTCAAGGAAAAATTTCCATCAAGTCCTTGAAGTCTTTCCATTAAATTTTGACGTTGCAAATCAAGATTTTTTCGCTCTTCTTGTATAGTAACCTGAGTGTCTTCAAGAGGTTTTAGGGCAGATTTAAAGGCTTCAAGCCTCACACTCTGTTCATCCTTCATCAAATTGGTGACTTTTTCAGCTTTTTCTTCTAAACTTTGCATTTGTTTATCAATTTTTCCTACTGAATCTTTATAAGTCTCAATCTGTGCTTGGATTCTTTCTGATTGGCGACGTAGGTTTGCCCTTTCACGCCGCTTTTGAGTGAGGATGACGTCTAGCTGAACTTCAAGCTCTTGCAGCTGGGTTCTTTGAATTTCTTCTTGTTTTAAAGTAGATGTGGTAAGCTCAGTATAAGTTCGTTTTAATTCAGAATGTTCTTTGCATTTTCTTTCGACGTCTTTTTGAATTAAGGAACGTTTGCGGGCAAGAGAGTCATTTGGGGCTATTGAACGCGTTTGGAGATTTTCAAATGAGAGAGTTTCCAGCTGGGATTTCAAGGTGTCGAAACGAGTGCTCATATTTAAAGATAATATTAAACTGATATAATTATGTATTTGGTATTTGAGATTGGGCTAAATTTCTAAATATTAGGGTTATAAACTCGGGTTTATTAGGGTTTTAAGAAGGTTTATTAATTTTAATTATAAAGTAAAATATTAGCGAAGGTAAAAATATTTAATTCCCAAAATATTTTTCATTTAGGAATTTCTAATCTTATTCAATTCTAGGAAACAAATTCATTACTTTTATAAAAATTGATATTCAAAATTAGATATCGTCATCTTTACAATAATGGTGAATTAATTTTCTAACTCCCCCCCCCCCTCCGTGAGCGAACAAAAAAATTTTGTTCGCTCACGGAGGGGGGTTTAATTTTTTTTTTTAAAAAAAAATTTTATATATAAATTTTATAAAAAATATTTTTTTCGAAATTTAAAAAAAAATCCTAATTTGCAAAAATTGGAAAGCAAATATTAATTTAATTTGCAAAATTTATGTTTTAAAACGCAATTTGTTTAAAATTAAACAGAATTAGCTCTAGATTTCATTATACTAATTATCACTTATATATCAAAATTTTTTTCCATTAAAATTTTTTTCTATTAAAAAAATTTTTGTTCACTCACGGAGGGTGGGTTTTTGGTCAAAAAATGGCGATTTTTCTAATGGTTTTGTTCGCTCACGGAGGGGGGGGGGGGGAGTAAATAAATTTATTTGAAATAATCATATACCTACTTTTATAAAAATTATTGTCTTTCTCTGATTGAAATTAATTTCTATCCATATAATCTTTATTATGGATGACCCAAATCATGCAGCACTTGTTGAGGCCTCTAATAGCAGCGAGCATATGACCATTATAGATGCTTATATGCCATATGAATCAATAGAATCTGAATACCAACAAGCCATAGATGGAAATAATCTGACTCCTAGAAATAGCACAAAGCCGACAAGAAAATCTGATTTGGTGTCCCTTTGAATTACGAAAGATTCCTATAATCAATTTTGTTCAAAAAGAAATACAATTCGACAAGAAAAAGGCAACAACACCACTGAGAAGAACGATAAATGCTCATGTGTAACATTTTAATTAAATTCCTACAAATTTTTTTAAATCTAGTTGACCTTTTTAAGTAAACCCGTAACTAGATTGCATATTTATTGATGATTAAATCTTAGTTTGGCAGATGATTTAATTATTATTTTATTTAAGCGAATATCTTTAGTTGCCTTATTTTTTATAAAATTTTATAAATTTGATATTAACACTAATTTGAAAGCCTGAAATATGGAAATTTATTGATTTATAAAAGAAATTTTATATTATTATGAATTTAGCATTTTTGCCAATAAAATATACCCACTTATTATGTAGGCACAATTTTCATAATTGATCTGATCTTCTGCAGATATAATTTTTCCTTCTTAAAGAACACAAAATACAATGTAAAATATATGAGGATAGAGCATATAGCAAAAACTACGAATGTTCCTATTATAATTGCCATTTGGTCTTCAATTATGGTTTGAGAATATAGATCAATCTCGTCAATAAGCATATCATAACTATCGCTTAGAGTTACAATATAAAATACTCAATTTAATAGTAACAAAGGGTCTTGGTCCGTGTATGCAAGTAAATAGCTGTCAATTTTTACCATTTCTTGAGCTGTGTATGCACCAAACTCAAAATAATCAATAGGTGAATTATCTATATGCTCATAAAATATTTTCCTAAACTTAGTAGATAATATTGGTAACTCCCCCCCCCTCCGTGAGTGAACAAAAAAAATTTGTTCACTCATGGAGGGGGGTTAATTTTTTTTTTTTAAAAAATTTATATATAAATTTTATAAAAAATATTTTTTTTCGAAATTTAAAAAAATCCTAATTCGCAAAAATTGGAAAGCAAAAATTAATTTAATTTATAAAATTTATGTTTTAAAAAGCAATTCGTTTAAAATTAAACAGAATTAGCTTAGATTTCATTATACTAATTATCATTTTTATATATCAAATTTTTTTTCCATAAAAAATTTTTGTATTAAAAAAATTTTTGTTCACTCACGGAGGGTGGGTTTTTGGGCAAAAAATAGCGCGATTTTTCTATGGTTTTGTTCACTCACGGAGGGGGGGGAGTAAGTACTTCGAATTTCTTAATACTAATTTAGAATGGCCGAGCTTTGGCATAAATTCTTCAAACTCAGCTATACTATCCATAAATGGGTACGCATTAGGGTATCTATATACTAATGGTACTCCTCAAATTTCAAACTGAGAATTCATTGTTCATATTACTAAAGAATTCTGTAAAATCTGTTCATATATTAATTCTTTCATTACTTCAGGCCTGTAAGTCAAATAGTCTGTGCATTTTTCATAAAGATAAGTAATGCTAGTTACAGAAAACATAGTAGCGATCAATGCATAAACTGATATTCTTCAAATATATTTTCAGTAATTTCTGAAGTAAAATGATTTCTTTGTAGATTTTTTATTACTAACTCCCCCCTCTGTGAGCGAACAAAACCATTAGAAAAATCCCTATTTTTTGCCCAAAAACCCTCCGTGAGCGAACAAAAAATGTTTTATGGGAAAATTTTTGATATGTATGTAATAAATACTATTATGAAATCTCGAGCTAATTCTGTTTAATTTTAAACAAATTGTGTTTTAAAGCATAAATTTTATAAATTAAATTAATATTTTCTTTCCCAATTTTTGAGAAGTGGGATTTTTTTTAAATTCTGAAAAAAATTTTGTTCTTTAAAATTTACATATAAATGTTTTTAAAAAAAAAATAACCCCCCTCCGTGAGCAAACAAGATTTTTTTGTTCGCTCACAGAGTGGGGGAGTGAGCAGAACTTCATGTTGCAAGTGAGTATTTTTAATTCTTTCTAAAAGGGATTGTTTAAGCTCAGAATAGTTATCATATACTTTTTTTCTTAAATTATTTCAAAGTTTACTTTCATATTTGATAGCAGAGTAGCCGAATGGAATAATTGCACAGGAGCATAAAGCAAGGACGCAAATTCCTAATAGCAGCAGAAGCCGCATTTCAGCTTTAAAATCAGACATTATTGAGCTTTGACATTCAATAACTTCATGTAAAGAGCTATTGCAGTGTCTAAATGCTTCTCCATAGCCATTTATTATTAGGAACGAAGCTTCCTCCGAAATATATTCTGTTCTATTAAATTTTATTGCTAATTTATTCCCCTAAATATTGTTTACCATCTGAATGAACTCTAAAATCATATTAAATAAATTTGTTTTTTCATTAATACCTGAGTTTCAGGCATTTATACTTTTATCATAAAATATATGCTGTCCTGAGCAATAATTTCAATCTTCTATATTAGAAGTAACGTTCAGATATAAGCTTTTCAGTCGATCTACAAAAACTGATAATAAGGTTTTAGCTTGATATAAAATTATCTGAGAGGAAGGCTCTGTATCACTTCCAAATAATCAAAGTATTTCTACAGTGCAGGCTATATTTTGCATTGCTTTTTCTATTTTTCCAATAACTATAGGAAGATCCATGTTTCGGATAAAATTAATGTTGGAGAATGCAAAAAATAAGACTGAAATATTTGTGCTTAAAACAGCAATAATCTATATAAAATTTACTGATATAATAAAAGCAGCATGCAAAATATTGATTGATTGGGTTGACAATAAGGCTTGATTAAGAAAATTGTTATATCGTGGATTTTCTGATATTAAGTATTTGTCTTCTTCATCTTTTATTTTTAATAAATTGTAATTATCATCTGTAGTATCATTAATAATTTCTGGGCTTAAATTCAAATCAGATCGAGTGCTTTCCTTTTCTAATTTATATATTTTTTTCCAGCTAAATTTTTTATGTTCTTCCAACTTAGTTTGCTTTAATGATAATTTCCGATTCAAAGCAAATTCTTCTTGAAGAGCAGAATTATTCTTTTTTCAAATTTGAATTTCTTCATAATCATTTATTAATAAAGCATAAAGTACTTTCAATTTATAAAAATAAGTTCAAGAAAAAATCAATAGAGTTTCATTTTCACAATTTTGCAAATAGTAAGGCACAGACCATTGTAAATCAAACTCTTTTTCTTCTGAAAATAGCTTTTTTATATTAAACCCTGTTAAATTTTCAGAGTTTATTTTGACTGCTTTTGGAAAGTTTTTTGAGTGCCCATAAATTTCTCCATTTTCAGAAATTAATGCTATCTCATTTTTTGCTTCCTTTTGTTTAAATATCAGCATAAAAATAAAAAAATTATCAATTGAAGTAATAAATACTTTTCCAACGCACTCTGTTATAAAATTTGAGTTAAGATTTAAAAATAATCCTTCGCTTAAGTCAATTTCTCCAGTTGAGCTGTAATGCAATATATTATTAAGTTCTTCTTTCATTTTTTCACGATAGTAAGAGGGGATAATATCCACTATATTGATTTCGTCAATTGTTCATAATTTTGTTATGCTTTTGGCTGTTATGTTAGAGAAAAGGATTTGGCCAAAGCTTTCCTCTTCAGCTGATATTATTAAGACTCCATTAATGTCATTAAATCAGCTAAAGCTTTTTGGATATGAGCTTATGATATTTATGTCAGTTGATTTTAGTTTATTCTCAAGAAAATTAGATTTCTCTTGATCAAAAAGGACATCTTTTGAAAATGAAGCATAGAGGGATAAAAATTCTTTGGAATAAAAAAATTTTGCTGTTAGGTCTGTGTATTGACTATTAAGAAATAGGATTCTTTTATCTAATCAGTCCAGACTTTTAGTAAGCCTGCACAGAGAAGGCTTATGCGATATTATTTCTTCTCAGAATTTCAATAATTTTGCGCATAACTTAAAATCTTGATTTTTTATTATCATTAATTGCTGAAAATAATCTATAAACTCTGTACTTTCACTAGGAGAAGTGCATTTAGCATTAATGCTACATAAATATTCCTGAAAGTTTGTTTCCAAGTTCCATTCTAAAATTTTTTTAGATTTGCATAACTTAAATTTTGCTAGGGATTCATCTCTTAAAGTAAAAAGGCAGTAATTTGCCATTCAGATACCTTGAAGCTTATCTCGAAGCAAGACATTTTCTAGAAAAAATTTTTCAAAGAGGTAAATTATCTGGCTTTTATTTTCAATATCATTTTTGCACAACGACTGTCTCAAAGATTTTTCCAGCAGGTATTTAGATTTAATTCCTGTCAAGTCGATTGGGGGCTTTGAATTTAATTTTTTTTGAAATAACCAAGTAATTTGTATAGCAAATAGAACAGATAGGGGTCACAAAAAGATTGTTATTAAAATAATAAATAGCGAGTTATCAATTAAATTCCCTAAAATGAACCCAAAAGAAATAAAAGCAACAGTAAGAAACTGAAGAGTGAGCATTAGATTGGAATAGTAAGAAAAATATGGTAGAAGCACAATAATTTCTATAATTATAAGGATTGAAATAATCATTTCAGCCAGCTGAAAATAAATAATATTATTTTCGTCAAATAGCACACAAATCATTGCTGAAAAATAAGTAAAAATTATAGTATGAACATCAATTTTGGAATGAGCTTTTGCTTTGATAATCTTTTCACTGGCAAAATGCCTCATTTCTCCTGAAAATTCAGTATAAAATAAAATCATCAAAAAATTAATAATCATTGCTAAAACTATAAAGATCTGTCATGCTATGCTAAGCTCAAAACTTTCTGAATCATTATTATTCTTGTATTCAGATATAAATTTTTGAGGTAAAAAATTATACTTCAAAAATATGGAAAATATTACCGTGGATGGAATAAATAGCATAATTGTCCATAAATTGAAAACTCAATTAAATATATCAAAGACTAATCTTGGCAAAATAAAGGAGCGATAAGTAATAAAAAGTAAAACGTTATAACTTAAAAAAAGCACAAAAGTAATAGTAATTGACAAGTAAAAAAACTCAAATAAGAGATCCAAATCTGAAAAAATGTTGTCAAGCCTTGAGTAACCAATAAATTCTCAAATTTTCTTAGTTTGATTTCAATTTGCAATTGAAAGGCTTGGAATTCATAATAAGCTAGCAATTTGACAGCTCCAAATTCCACTTTCAATAGATTTTGTAGCCTTTTGGCTGAAGAGGGATTTTTCTTCAATTGACTTGCTATGATAAAGTTGGCAATAAAGCTCAAAAATTGAATTTATTATTGATTTTCCTTTTTTGGCCTTGTATATATCTTTATTGCAAGAAGAAAATTTGCTAATTTCGTCTTCTTTAGAAAACATGATATGATAGGCAATTATTTAGTATTATTTCAACATTTAAAGGTTAAAAAGTATTTAATTTATTATAATTACACATACTAACTAAATGATCAAGGATGCTATTTGAAGAAAAAAAATTCGAAATTTTGTATAAGCTTTTGTAGAGCAAAACTTAAACTTTAAAAAAAACTTAAGATCTGAAAAATTTAAATAATTTTATAAAATAAAAAAGCAAAATAAATTTTTATAAAAGAGACAACACAAAACTTATTACTTTAATTAGATTACCAATAATATAACTGACTTATAATTTATCAATCTTGATTTTAGCCAAAAAATAATTTATTTTAAACATTAAAAATGATACAATTAAATATTTCTTTAGCTTAGTTTTTATTTGGCATAAGTTTCATTATTGAGCTGATTCTTCCCAAACACTCTTTCTCTTTCTTGAAAAATGCAAAATATAGCAAAAAATATATTGCAATAGAGCTTGCAGCAAAAAACACAAAAGTTGCTACGATAGCATTAACTTGAGCCTCAATCACACTTTGTGAATGCTGATCAATTTCATTAGCAAGTTCTCCATAGCGCGTGTTTAAAATCGAAAAATCAATTAATCAATCTATCCACAAATCAGGAAACAAATTTGAGTATGCATAAAAATAGCTTTCCCTCAGCAATAATTCTTCTCCAGGGCTTGTACCATAGTTAAAATAGTCAATATAATAGCTATCTTTTTTATAAAATACATTTTTGAATGAATCTGATAGAATAGGTAAATATTTTGGATTTCTTAAATTGACTTTTGACTGCTCAATCAATGACAATACTTTTTGAAATTCACTACTACTATTCATATAAGGATACAAATTAACAAATTCATCTACTAACGGAATTCCTAAGGTTTCGAACTGAGAAAGAGTTGTTCATGTCATAATAGAGTTTTGTAAAATTTGCCTATTTATCATTTCTTTCATTATATCAGGCCTATATGATAAATAATCTGTGCATTTTTCGTAGAGAAAAGCGATATTAGCTATAGAAAAAGCTGTTACAGCAATAAAATATATAGAAATTCTCCAGACATACTTGTAATAGCTTTTAAAGTTAGCTTTATTATTTGAAGGCTTTCTATGATTGACTAGTATTTCAGGTTGGCAGTGGACACGCTTAATTCTTTCTAATAGATTTTGTTTCAGCTCAGAATAATTCTCATAAGCTTTTTTCCTCAAATTATTCCAAAGCTCATCTTCATAATTAATTGTTGAGTAGCAAAATGGGACCATAGCACAAATACATAAAGCAAGAACGCCAACCCCTAGTATTAGAAGGATGTATACTTCAGTCTTAAAATCAAGCATCATTGATTTTTGGCAATCTATAACTTGATATAAAGAATTGTTGCAGTATCTGGTCACTTCTCCAAAGTTATTCAATGCTAAAAACGTGATTTCATTTTTATAGTTTTCACTATTATTGTATTTTTTTATAAAATCGCTACCCTATATAAGTATTTACAGATTGAATTGATTTGGAAATTAAGTCTAGCAAATTTATTTTCCTTTCTGCGCTTGAGCTTCATAGTTTTATATTATCATCAATAAAAATGCTTTGGCCTGAACAGTAATTTCAATCTACTAAGCTTGAAGTAATATTGAGATAAAGATTTTTTAATATGTCCAAATGAGATGGAAAATATAGGTATGCTATATATAATGCATATGCAGTATCAGGGCCTCCATAATGGGAAAGTGATCACATCATTCTTGCAGTTAATGATACGTGCTGCAATTTTGAGTCGACATTTCCTAAAGCTATTGGAAGATCCATTTTTCGTATAAATTCAATACTATAGAATGCATAAAATAAAACTGCAATGTTCGTACCAAGTACTGATAAAATCTATATAACATTTACCGATAAAATGAAAGCAAAATGTAGCATGTTTATTTTTTTAGAAGATGATAACACCAATTTAGTAAATCTGTTATTTCTCAAAACTTCAGATTTTTCTTCTTCAAAATTTTCTATATAATTCATTTCAAATTTTCCTGGTATCTTATTAAAGTTTTGAGAATTTAGATGCATTTCAGAGTTATAAGATAATTCAATTTGAGATTCTTTTTTAAATTCCTTATCGAACCATTCTAATAAGTTCAAAGATGAATGACTTTTTATATCTTTTTTTCCTTTTATATCAAGTGTATATTTTATATCTTCATTTTTTGATGTTTGAATCTCATTATAATCACTTATAAGCAAAGCATAATATATCTTTAAGTTTTGAAAATAAGCAATGGAGTAATATAGGCTGCTTTCTGATTTAGCAAAGTCATTATTGATGGAATATTGCTCTATATTAGGAAATAAATGTTTTATATTGCAGCCTACTAAATTATCAGGTTTTTTTCCAGCTCTTTCAGCAAAGTCTTTAGTGTGACACAATATTTCTCCATTTTCAGATAGTAAAGCAATTTGGTAATTTTTAGGACTTTGCTTAAAAACCAATACAAAAACAATAAAGTTACCAATTGCGGTTACTGATACTTTTCCTATGCATCCTATTAAAAATTCTGAAGGAAGGTTCAAAAAGAAGCCTTCCTTTAAATTAATTTCTGAATTAGAGCAAAAATGTGAGTATCGAATAGCAAACTCTTTTAGTTGTCTTCAATAATAAGAATGAATAAAATTCATTATATTGCCTCTATCGAAGTTTAATGAAGTAAGTTTCATTATGTTTTTTGCTTGGGCATTTGTGAATAAAATTCGTCCAAAGCTTTCTTTTTCAGCTGAAACTATTAATATAGAATTGGTATCATCAAAAAAGCTAAAAGGGTTTAAGCCGGAATTACCAATGCTTATACTAAGAAATCTTAATTTATTTTCAAGAAATCTCGATTTTTCATTATCAAAAAGAACATCTCTCATAAAGGAAGTATAGAGTGATAAAGCTTCTCTGCTATTGCAAAATTTTGTTGAGAGCTGGCTATACTTCTCTGCGATAAATACTATATTTTTATTAATTAAGGCTAGCCTTTTTTTTAGTCTGTTAAGATCAGGTCTTGATGAAGTCAATTCATCCCAGAATTTCAATAGATTGACACATAGCTTTAGATCTTTATTTTTTATCAGATGGAATTGCTGCAAATAAATAATATATTGTTCATTTTCACTTGTTACAGAACCTTGGATAACTTTATTTGTACAATATATTTGAAAATCAGCTTCTAAGTTCCATTTTGAAATATATTTGGTCCTGCTTAACTTAATTTTTGCTAATGATTCATCTTTTAATGTAAATAAGCAATAGTTTGCTACTCAGACCAGCTGAAGTTTATCTCTGTCAAACCCTGTATCATTAAAAAACGTTTCAAAGATATTTATTATCTGATCTTTATGTTCAAAATCGTTAGAACATAATGAATGCCTCAATGATTTCTCTAATTCATATTTAGAATATATCTCTAACAAATTTTCTGGAATATCCACATTGAATTTACTTTGCAAATTTAACGTAAATTGTATAACAAATAAAGCTGAAAATGGCCCTAAAATGACTGCGATAAAAATAATAACTAGGGAATTATCCATTAAATGTCCTAAAATAAAACCAAAAGAGATTAAAGCAATAGCAAAGAGCTCAAGAATTTTAAGCAAGCCATAATAAAATGAAAAATATGGAGAAAAATTCGCAATTTCTCATATCAAAATAAGTGAAATAATCATCATAAATAATTGAAAATAAACCATGTAATCTTTGCCAGTGCAGACATAAAGTATTGGAGAAAAATAAGTAAAAATTGCAATGTGGACATCAATTTTAGAATGAGCCTTTGCTTTTAATACTCTGCTGCTTATTGAATGCCTAATTAAACCAGAAAATTCTTGATTGACTATAATCAAAGGAAATATAAGAATCATAATAAAAATTATGATTAATTGCGAGATAGAACTTAATTTAAATTCATCTTGATCATTATTGCTTTCATATGCAGATATATCTTGAGATAATAAATTATATTTCAAAAATGCTGAAAATAATGTAATTGAAGGTATTAAAAAGGCAATCGCCCATATATCAAAAACTGATTTAAAAATAGTAAGGATAAATTTTGGAATATTATGCGAATTATAATATAGCAAAGTCATAGCTGTAATACATAAAAAAATTATAAAAGCCATGATAATAGTCAAAAAAAAGAATTCGGTAATAATTTCGAATTCTGAGCAAATATTGTCAAGTCTTAAGTATCCTATAATTTCTCACATCGTCATATTTTTACTTCAATTGGATATTGGTAGATTTGGTATTCACAGTAAGCTCATTATTTGAAGGCACCAAATAATTGCTATAAAGGTTTCTTTCACTTTTTGGCTTAAAATTGATAGCTCATCAATATTTTTTGTATGATAAAGTTGATAGAAAAACTCGAAAATTGAATTTTTTAGCGTTATTTCTGCATTGGTCCTTCATAGACTTTTGTTTAGTTCTTCATGCTCACCAATTTCAGCTTCAGGGACTCCCATAAAGTGTAATATAAAAAAATTAATATAAGGCAAATCACCATATCGTTTTCTCCTGATATAAATTGAATAATATAGAAAAGTAAAATATTTAATTCTAAGAAGGGTTTTTTGATCTTTCCTGTTTTATTTAATTTATGCATTACTAAGCATCCGTTACCTTTCTGGCTTTATCTAATTTAAACTTAAATGGAATCAAGTTTTGAAAAAAATCTTTAGCACACTTGGTTTTATCATCTCTTATTGAGAAAAAGAGTATTTAAAAATTTATCAAGCATAAAAATGTAGGCAAATTGTTTTATAATGTGAAGCCTTGAGGGATTTATCTATTTTTGAATTCAAAAACTATATTATTATTCTTTTTATGGGAATTCTATTAATTTATAAAAATTAACAAAAACAAATTAGAACTATTTTATAATGTCATCAGTTATTATCCTTCTTGAATAGCTGCTTATAAATTTTCTAGATTGAGACCTCATTGATTTTTTTGAATTTTGATACTTTCCAAAGTGGCATTACTTGAAATCATACAAGAAAAAGGGCAATTTTATTCCTAGTCAAAAAGAAGTAGCTAGCTATCATTTCAAGTAGAGAAATAGCCAACATATAGTATCTTTAACTAATCATAAACCTACCTCACATTAATCACAATTCAGGTTAGCCTTAAGATCTGATTGTTGTGTCAAAGCCCAAATTTATATTTTCATCATATTAATGCATATTAACAAAGTTAATTTTATAATTTTATTTACACATTTACCAATAAAATAGTATTCTCATTATGGCGGTAAAATTTTTGTCATTGATTTGATCCTCTGCAAATATAACTTTTCCTTCTTAAAGAACACAAAATACAATGAAAAATATATGAGAACACAGCATAAAGCAAAAACTATAAATGTTCCTACTATATTTGCCAATTGATTTTCGATGACACTTTGAGAATATTGATCAGTCTCATCGATAAGCCCATCATAGCTATTGCTTAGCATTGTAATATATCATATTCAAGTCAATAAGTCCAGAGCTTTCTCATCCGAATGTGCGAACAAATCGCTATCAAGTTTTGCTATCTCTTGAGCTGAGTAAGCGCCATACTTAAAGTAATCATCAGTAGAGTTTGCATGCTCATAAAATATTGTCCTAAACTTATTAGATAATATTGATAAATATTTTGAGTTCCTTAAAACTAATTTAGAGTGGCTAAGTTTCGGCATTATTTCTTGATATTGGGTTAGACTATTTTTAAACGGGTATTCGTTCTGAAATTTATATGCTAATGTAATTCATGGCCATCCCCAAAGTTCAAACTGAGAATTCATTGTTCATATTACTAATGAATTCTGCAAAATTTGCTCATATATTAACTCTTTCATTACTTCAGGCCTATAAGTTAAGTATTCTGTACATTTTTCATAAAGATAAGTAATATTAATTACAGAAAATAATATCACGATCAATGCACACACAGAAATTCTTCAAATGTATTTTCAGTAGTTTTTGAAGTAAAACGTTTTTTTCGTAAGATTTTTGTCATTGAGAAGAATTTCAGGCTGCAAGTGGGTGTTTTTAATTCTTTCTAAAAGTAATTGTTTAAGATCTGGATATCTATCATATACTTTTTTTCTTAAATTATTTCAAAGATTGCTTTCATATTTTATAGCTAAATAGCCAAATGGAATCATTGCGCAGGCACATAAAGCAAAAACACCAATTCCTAATAATAGCAGAAGCTGTACTTCAGCTTTAAACTCAGACATAATTGTGCCTTGACATTCAATAACATTATGTAGAGACTCATTGCAATGTCTAAATGCTTCTCCATAGCCATTAATTATTAGAAAGGAAGCCTCTTTTGTAATATCTACTGAGCTATTAAATTTTACCAATAAATCATTTCCCTAAATATTTTTTACAAGCTGATTGAATCTTAACATCATCTCAAATAAATTGACATTTCTACTGAAATCTGAATTCCATAGATATATACTTTCATCAAAAAAAATCTGTCTTCCTGAGCAATAATCTCACTTTTTAATATCAGAAGTAACATCTGAATAAACACTTTTTAGACGGGATAGAAAAACCTGCATAAAAGTTGTGGCTTGGTATAAAAACATTTTAGATAGATCATCTGTATTACTGCCAAAAACTCAGAGTATTTGTGCTGAAGCAGCAATATTTTGCATTCCTTTTTCTATTTTTCCAATAACAATAGGAAGATCCATATTTCGGATAAAATTAATGTTAGAAATTGCAAAAAATAAGACTGAAATATTTGCGCTTAAAACAGCAATAATCTATATTAAAAATACTGAAATAATAAAAGCAGCATGCAAAATATTGATTGATTTAGCTGACATTAAGGCTTTCTGTAATAAGTTTTTTAATTGCGGTTTTTCTGATACCTGATATTTGTTTTCGTCTTTGTTTTCTAATAAATTGCAATCAGCGTCTGTAGTATTATTAATATTAGTTGGACTTAAATTTATATCAGTATCCACGAGATCTAAATCGTAAAATTTTTTCCTTATAAATAAATTGTTTTCTTCTAGCATAGGAAGCTTTAAGGAAAGCTGCCTGCTAAGAGCAAAATTTTCTTCTTGAATATTATTATAGCTATTGTTTTTTCATTTTTGAATTTCTTCATAATCATTCATTAATAAAACATAAAATACTTTCAATTTATAAAAATGATGTCAAGAAAAAATTAATATTGTCTCAGTTTCACAATTTTGCAAATAATAAGGGACAGACCATTGCAAGTCAAACTCTTTTTCTTCTGAAAATAGCTTTTTAATATTAAATCCTGCTAAAATTTCAGAGCTTATTTTGACTGCCTTCGGAAAATTTTTGGTATACCCACAAATTTCTCCATTTTCAGAAATTAATGCTATCTCATTTTTTGTTTCCTTTTGTTTGAAAATCAACATAAAAATAAAAAAATTATCAATTGAAGTTATGCATACTTTTCCAATGCACTCTACTATAAAATTTGAGTGAAAATTTAAAAATAATCCTTCACGTAAATCAATTTCTTCAGTTGAGCTGTAATGCAAAATATTATTAAGTTCTTCTTTCATTTTTTCACGATAGTAAGAAGGAATAATATCCATTATATTACACCCATCAATAGTTACCAGAGATTGCGTAATACTTTTGGCTACAGAGTTTGAGAAAAGAATGGTCCCAAAGCTATCCTCTTCAGCTGATATTATAAATATGCCATTAGTTTCGTTAAAACTGCTCAAGATCTTTGAATACGAGCCTAACATATTGAGGTCGGCTGATTTTAATTTACTCTCACTCCCCCCCATCCTTGATCGAACGATTTTCATATCATGCAAATCTTTATATATATAAAAAATATATTAGTTATCAAAAGCTTGGGAAGATGTACCTAATGAAGTTATTTTCAGAGCTTTGAGACGACAGAAAGTTGCAAAATCAACCATCCGAAGTGATTTAGCCATCAACCTAGGCTTAAAAACTCAATAATCTAAAAAATAGAGATTCTTTAAAATTTAAAAAAAACAAAATTTATTTCAATAAGGAACAAATTAAAATTTATACAGTTTTAAAGGGGTAACTAATTAATCAAAATATTAAAAATTGGTATTTTATGAAATTAATTCAATTTTTTGCTGTAAAAATAATTATTAAATACTCTTAAAAGTAAATAGAAAATATATATTCCCAAAAAATTTTTTTTTTTTAACCCCCATCCTTGATCGAACGATGGCGAGTCGTTCGATCAAGGATGGGGGGGAGTCAAGGAAATTAGACTTTTCTAAGTCAAAGATAATGTCTTTCGAAAATGAAGCATAAAGGTCTAAAAATTCTTTAGAATAAAAATATTGTGTTGTTAACTCAGTATAATGATTATCAAGAAATTTTATTCTTTTATCTACCCAGTCAAGGCTTTTAGAAAGCCTTTTAAGATCAGGCTTATATGATGTTATTTCTTCATAGAATTTCAATAATTTTATGCAGAGCTTAAAATCTTTCTTTTTAATCATAATTAATTGTTGAAAATAGTCTATATATTGCGAGCTTTCGCTGAGTGGAGAATTTTTGATATTTTTATCGCACAAGTATTCCTGAAAATTTGTTTCCATATTCCATTCTGGAATCTTTTTAGATTTGCATAACTTAATTTTTGCCAAATTTTCATCTTTTAAAGTATAGAGGCAGTAATTTGAAATTCAAATGGACTGAAGCTTATCTCTGAGTAAGATATTTTCTATAAAAAACTTTTCAAACAGATAAATTATTTGAGTTTTATGCTCACTGTCGCTTATACACATTGAATGTCTTAAAATTTTTTCTAATTGATATTTAGATTTTATTCCTATCAAACCTACAGGGAGTTTCCAATTTAAATTTTTTTGGTATTTTCAAGAAACGTGTATAGCATGCAGAATAGATGGAGGCCACACAAAAATTGTAAATAAAATAATAAAAAGCGAATTATCTATTCAATGTCCTAAAATAAATCCAAAAGAAATAAAAGCAACAGTAAAAAATTGAAGAATTAGCATCAAATTGCAATAATAAGAAAAATATGGTAAAAGTATAATAATTTCTATAGTAATAAATATCGCAACAATCATTTCAATCAATTGAAAATATATCATGCTATCTTCATCGAATAATACATAAACTATTGCTGAAAAATACGTAAAAATTGCTTTATGCATTTCAATTTTAGAGTGGGCTCTTGCTTTTATGTTTTTTTGATTTACAGAGTGCCTTATTTCTCCCGAAAATTCTGCATAAGACGAAATCATCAAAAAATTAATAATCATTGCCAAAATTATCAAAATTTGCCAAGCTAAGCTTATTTCAAATTTCTCAGACTCATTATTATTCTTGTATTCAGATATAACTTTTTGTTCAAAAATATTGTTTTTCAAAAATATGGAATATATTACCGTAGATGGGATAAATATAATAATTATCCATAGATTGAATATTCATTTAAATATATCAAAAACCAATCTTGGTATATTGAAGGAGCGATAAATAATAAAAACTAAAACGATGATACTTAAAAAAAGTGTAAAAGTAATTGAAATTGACAAGTAAAGGAAATCAATTGAGAGGTCCATTTCTGAACAAATGTTGTCCAGTCTTGAATACCCAAAGATTTCTCAAATTTCCATATTCTTATCTCAATTCGCAATTGGAAGATGAGGAATTCATAGTAAACTTGCAATTTGGCTACACCAAATTGCACTTTCAATTGATTCTACAACCTTTTGGATAAGAAGAGATTTTTCTTCAATTAGCTTTGAATGATAAAGCTTATAGTAAAGCTCGAAAATTGAATTTAATATCGATTTTTCTTTTTTAATCTTGCATAATTCTTTACTGAAAATTGAATAATTGCTAATTTCGTCTTCATTTGAAAACATGATTTGAGTCACGATTATTAGTTTATTTAGAGCCCTGAAAGCTCAATGAAGATTTCAATATGTCTATATCTCATATACCTCAGGAGCAGCTATGGCTTCCTAGATATAAATATTTGTTATTTCATTTAAAATAACCTTAGATAATAGCAAATATATATAAAATCTTTTATAGCCGGAAAATTCCCTTTTTGTGAGAATTTTCTCATAAAAAAATGAGCATTTACGGAAATATAATATAATATAATATAATAGTTTTATAATAAGCTAAAAATCCACTACTTGCATCAAGCATTGTTTTTAAGGAGAACTATATAATCCTTTGGTAAAATTTCTAATGGACATTATACGCGCCATTTTATATGAAATTTCAAATTATGAATTTGCCGGACTAAAATCTGCGTTTTGAAACGCATATTTGGTTTTCACATACCAAATTCAAAATGACATACATATGCATGATAAGAAATTATTGCAATACATAATATAAGATTAAAAGCCATTGCCATTGCCTGACCTCTTTCAAAGCAAATGTGCAGAATAGCTATAAAAGGAATTTTATTGAATGATGCAAATTTATAAGCTGAAGACTGATAAGTGCTACTTACTCCCCACCCCATGAGCTAACAAAAAATTTTGTTCACTCTTGAGGATTAAGTTTTTTTGTTTTTTATATAATTTTTTTCAAAATTTAAAAAAAATCCCAATTCTCAAAAATTGGAGGACAAATATTAATTTAATTTGCAAAATTTATGTTTTAAAACTGAATCTGCTTAAAATTAAACAAATTTAGCCAGAGATTTCATTATATTAATTATCACTTATATATCAAATTTTTTTCATATTATATCAAAAACATTTTTGTTCGCTCACGAAGTGGTTTTTGGCAAAAAATAGGGATTTTTCCAATGGTTTTGTTTGCTCATGGAGGGGGGAGCTTACGATGCTAAATCAGCTCCAAATAATAAAACAATTTAATGTTCGACGTCTGCCATTAGGGAAATGAATTTGAAAACCTAAATTCTCTAGATCAACTCTCTCTTGTCGTTGATAATATCGGATAGCCTGAGCCATTATAAAACAAGGGTTATGGTGATTAAAAACTTTTTTATTTGCTTTCCATTATCGAATATTTTATTTACTCCATCATTAAATTTTAGAGATATTATAGCATATACTTCTAAACAATTCTAATGCAAATTACAGCATCTTTGTTTATATATTGTATACTTCATAATTGTCATAAAAACTTTATAAGGAAAGCTATTTAAATGTTTAGAAATTTTTTTGAATTGAATCGCTTCTAGAAGCAATTTTTGGCAACTAACTCATTTTCATAGTTTATTGAATTTTTTCATTTGTTTTCAATAGTTTTTGGCTTACTCCCCCCCTCCGTGAGAGTGAACAAAGCCATTAGAAAAATCGCCATTTTTTTGCCCAAAAACCCACCCTCCATAAGAAAACAAAATTTTTTAATAAAAAAATTTTTAATATATAAGTGATAATTAGTATAATGAAATCTAGAGCTTATTCTGTTTAATTTTAAATGAATTGCTTTTTAAAACATAAATTTTATGAATTAAATTAATATTTGCTTTCCAATTTTTGCGAATTAGGATTTTTTTTTAGATTTCGAAAAAAATTATTTTTTATAAAATTTATTTATAAATTTTTTTTTTAAAAAAAATTAGCCCCCTCCATGAGTGAACAAAATTTTTTTGTTCACTCACGGAGGGGGGGTTAGTGTTCTCTCTTCTCAATTCATTTCATAACATTCGTCCCTACAATCAAATCTCTTTCTTTAAGCCCCGATCTTTAAATTTGAACAACAATCGATTAAAATGGGCATTTTTTGGGTACTTTAACCCCCCTTTAAATTGGAACATGCTTATTTTTAAAAGGAAAATTTAACTAAATTTTATAAAATTAGTTTCGGCCTAATTTAATATGCAAACGCAAGTTGAATGCTATTTAAACTATTTTCAAACTTAATTAAAATTAATTTTTTTTAAAACTTCAAATTTTAAAGGGACAAAGTTTCAAATTTTTATGAATATCTGTTCCTAATCATTTGCTGAGAGCGAACAAAATATTTTTGTTCACTTATGGAGGCGGTTAGTTCTTCACGCTTCAAAAAATTTAGCGCGTATAGTGTTGGTAAGCAAATAGTGTAATCCACTATTGTTTCGCGAATTCGAGTCAGTAATAAAATAAAGAGAGTATAGAGTAAAAATAAAAGTATATCTAATAATTAGGTTGAATTAAAATTAATCGAATTTAAAAAATATGAAATCTATACTCGCAAAATTATACCAAGCCTTAGCAATTGAATTAATAAATTGTAGAAATGTATTTATTTTGGCATAAGTTTTATTACAGAACTGATTTTTTCCAGACACTGTTTTTCTCTCTTGAAAAACACAAAATACAATGCAAAATAAATTGCAACCGAACTTATCGTAAAAACAGCAAAAGCTGATACAATAAGATTTACTTGATCCTCAATAACCCGTTGCGAATAATCATTAATCTCACTAGCAAGACCAGCATAATGCTCATTCAAAATTGAGGTATTAAGTGCTCAATATACTCACATGGCAGGATCTGGATTAGAATACGCATAAAAATAGCTATTCTAATTGCCCGAGGATGGTGCTATCTTGCACCATCCTCGGGCAATTTAAAAAATGGCCCCAAACCGGGAATCGAACCCACGTGTGGGGCCATTTTTGAATTGCCCGGGGGGATGGCGTAAGATAGCGCCATCCTCGGGCAATTACTATATCTTTATACAGTATTTCTTCAGCAGGGCTCGTGCCATAAGTAAAATATACCGACATATAATTATCATTTTCATAGAAAGTGGTTTTAAAAGAATCCGAAAGTATAGGTGAGTATTTAGGGTTTCTTAATTTAACTTTTGACTGCTCAAGCAATGACACTGTCTCATGGAATTCAGAACTACTACTCATATAAGGGTATATATTCAAATATTGGTTTATTGATGGAATACCCCAAGTCTCAAATTGTGATAGAGTTGCTCATATAGCCAATGAGTTTTGTAAAATCTGTCTATTTATCATTTCTTTCATTACATCAGGCCGGTATGATAAATAATCTGTACATTTCTCGTAGAGTAAAGTTATATTAGTGATTGAAAATGTTGCAACCACAATAAAATAAATAAAAATCCTCCAAACATATTTTCAATATTTTTTTGAAATTTAATAGATTACTTTATCCTTCAATCCATATTTTTTGGGTCTTAGTTATGCAGGCAGCTCTGATTAATGATAGGTAAGACCGACCTAACCGCCAACCTGTATATCTCCAAATCCCTTAGGGCCTCTCTATCTACACCAGACTCATGCAGATCATCTTCACTGAAGCCAAAACCCTCAAGATGTCTTGAGCCTCTTTAGCTAAGTTCAGCTGTATGCAAGTCGTCGTACACCTAAAGCCATTTTAAATTGCGTTTTGAAATTTAATAGATTACTTTATCCTTCAATCCATATTTTTTGGGTCTTAGTTATGCAGGCAGCTCTGATTAATGATAGGTAAGACCGACCTAACCGCCAACCTGTATATCTCCAAATCCCTTAGGGCCTCTCTATCTACACCAGACTCATGCAGATCATCTTCACTGAAGCCAAAACCCCTCAAGATGTCTTGAGCCTCTTTAGCTAAGTTCAGCTGTATGCAAGTCGTCGTACACCTAAAGCCATTTTAAATTGCGTTTTGAAATTAATATTTTTATGTAAAATATTTTTACCATTTAATGGCAATTCATATTGATAGTGGAAGTATTTAATTCTATCTAATAGATTCTTCTTTAATTCAGAATGGTTCTCATAAACCTTTTTTCTCAAATTATTCCATAGCTCGTTTTCATAATTAATAGTAGAATAGCAAAATGGTATCATAGCAAAAATGCATATAGCTAGAACTCCAACTCCTAATATGAGAAGGATATACACTTCAGTTTTAAATTCAAGCATTATAGATTTTTGGCAATCTATAATTTGATATAATGAATCATTACAGTATTTAGTTACCTCTCCAAAACTATTCAGTGTTAAAAATGTTATTTCATCTGAATAGTCTTCGGTGTCTTTATATTTCCTAACTCTCCCATCCTCGATCGAACGGCTCGCCATCGTTCGATCAAGGATGTGGGTTAAAACAATTTTTTTTTGGGGAAAAAAATTTATATATGAAATAAAAAATATATGTTTTTTTTAATTATATATTTTTAAAATAAGAGGGTTAAGAGTATTTAATAATTATTTTTACAGCAAAAAATTGAGTTAATTTCAAAGAATACCAATTTTTAATATTTTTATTTATTAGTTACCCCTTTAAACTGTATAAATTTTAATTTGTTTCTTATTGAATTAAGAATTTTAAATTTAAAGAATCTCTATTTTTTAGATTATTGAGTTTTAAGCCTAGGTTGATGACTAAAGCACTTCAGATGGCTGATTCTGCGGCTTCCTGTCGTCTCAAAGCCTCTGACAACAATTTCATTAGGCACATCTCCCAAGCTTTTGCTAACTAATATTATATAGATAAAAATTTGCATGATATGAAAATCGTTCGATCAAGGATGGGGGTTAATTTTCCCAATTTTTAGGAATTTTTACAGTCAATAGTTCGATCAAGGATGGGGGGGAGTAATAAATTCATTCCCCTATATAGTTCTTTACGGATTGTATTGATTTTGCAAGCATTGAAGATAGTGTTTGTCATATTGGTGACGCAGTCGTCAAAGATCTCCCATATGGGAGATTTTGATTACTTTTCGACTCCAGCCCAAAGGGTCTTTCCGCAAAGGTGGATGCGGCTGCAGTCTTGAGTGCTTATGGATTTCTGCAGCCCTGCTACGGGCAATTGGGGTCTGTTGGTGATTGAAGTGCCTTTCTTCAACAACTACAGGAAAAAGACTGCTTCCTGTAGCCTGAGCCGAAACCCCAGTTTCTCGGTAGAGGAATGTCTAAAGGATGTTATTGAGCACTTCCATTCCAACCACGGAAAGCAGCCAAAACTTACCCGGATACACATTTCTTGAGTCTGCACTTGATTCTTGACTTGAAGTCCATCCTAATTTGCTGTAGCCATAAGGTCTGGACTGTTGCACCAAGAGAAAAGGCTGATACGTGCAGCCATTTAATGCATATCGATTTTGCAAGCAAATCTAGCAAATTTAATTTGTCTGTCTCACTTGAGCTTCATATTTTTACATTTTCATCAGTAAAAATGCTTTGTCCTGAGCAATAGTTTCAATCAGCTATACTTGATGTAATATTAAGATACAGAACTTTTAAATCATTTAAAAACTCTGGAAACAATAAATAAGCTATATATACAGCGGGTGCTGCTGAAGGCCCCCCAAATTGAGAAAGAGACCAAATTATTCGTGAAGTAAGGGCAACATGTTGCAACTTTGAGTCGACATTTCCTACAGCTATAGGGAGATCCATATTTCGTATAAACTTAATATTTGCAAATGCATAAAATAAGACTGCAATATTTGTACCCAATACAGATAAAATCTAAATATTTTTTACTGATAAAATGAAAGCATAAATAAAATGGCATTCGGTCGAGAGAAATTAGCTCTGCTAATTTTCTCTCCCTCAAGCAATTTTATTTATGGGGCTAGGCTTTTATCTCAAGAAATTCTGCACAGAATAGCATATTAACTCTGGGGATAATCAGAGGAGCTGCTACTCAATGCACTCAAGAGGCTCAGGTCTTTACCTCTCAGCACACCTGAGGAAGGTAACCCTTAGGTGGAACATGTGCAGGAGCTGAGTCGAATAAAGCGCAGCAGCAGTGAAGCCCGTCGAAGCCGGAACGCTTATTTGCCAGTGCCCTGGCGAAACAAAGTGGATCGATCCAGAGGTCCATGGGCCCGACACATGGACAAATGTGGTGGCAGTCCTGGACAAAGCTACCCTGTAGTGGACGTAAAAATTATAAATAACTTAAGATTAAGATAAAATGAAAGCAGCATGCAAAATATTTATTTTCCTAGAAGACGATGCTACTAAATTTATAAGTTTTTTATTTTGTCAACTCTCTGATTTTTCTTCTGAAAAATTTTCTGAAAAGCGTTTTTCAGTTATTTCATGAATCTTATTCTTCCCAGATTTTAAATTCATTTCCGAATTAAATGATACTTTACCTTCATATTCATTTTTAATTCCTTTATTAGGATATTCATGCACTAATAAATCCAAAGAGTCATGGCTAGTCTTCTTATTTTTCCTTTTTTTATCAGGAAGCCATTCAGAGCTTTTATTTTCCCATCTTTGAATTTCTTCACAACCACTTATAAAAGCAGCATAAAAAATTTCTATGTTACAAGCATGTATACTAGAACAGATTAAGCGACTCTCTGATGTAGTGCCATTATTGGCTAAATATTGTTCAGTTTCATTAAAAATATTTTTAATGTTGCAGCCGATTAAATTATTATTTTCTTTTCCAGCCATCTCAGCAAAATACTTGGAATAGCACAATATTTCTCCATTTTCAGATAATAAGGCAATTTTATTTTTTTTCTGGCTTTGCTTAAAAATCAATATAAAAACAAGAAAATTTTCTATTGTAGTTATCGACGCCTTTCCTGTGCATTCTATTAGATATTCTGAAGGAAGCTCCAAAAAAAAGCCTCCATTTAAATCAATTTCTGAACTAAAGCAAAAATGAGAGTAACCAATCGCGTAATCTTTTTAGGGCACATGCCCAATGATAGCAGTTTTTTTGATAGTGTACATTTCGCCGATACTTTTAGTGGAAAATTGGTTGAAACTTTTGGTATTGAGACATTTGACCTAAAAAAACCCTTTTAATTTCGACCAAATGTATTTCGATAACATAACTGTCAAACATCCACTGTCATTTGGCATGGAGCCAATCTTTTAGCTTTTCACAATAATAAGAAGGAATAAAGCTCATAATATTGCTTCCATCTATGCTTGGTGAATTAAATTTCATAACATCTTTGGCTTTTTTATTTGAAAATAAAATTTGCCCAAAGCTATCTTCTTCAACAGAAATTATTAAAATCGCACTTAAATCATCAAAGCAGCTCAATTGGCTTGGGCCAGAATTCATTATATCTGCATTAAATGTTTTTAATTTATTTCCAAGAAAATTCGCTTTATCTCTGTCTAAAATAATATCTTTCATAAATGATGCATATAAAGATAAAAACTCTCTGCAATCAATAAATTTTGTTATCAATTGACTATACTTATTTGCAAGAAGCTGCATTTTTTTGCTAATTCAAGTCAATCTTTTGGTTAGTCTATCAAGATCAGGTTTTGATGAAGTTATCTCTTCTCAAAATTTTAATAAATTAATGCATAAATTTATGTCACTTGTCTTGATAAGATGCAGTTGCTGCAAGTAACTGATAAATCGTGAACTTTCACTCGATAAAGAGTCTTGGATGGTATTATTTATAAGGTATTCTTGAAAATCAGCTTCTAAGTTCCATTCTAATATATTTTTAATCCTGCTTAACTTAACTTTTGCTAATGATTCATCTTTTAAAGTAAATAAACAATAGTTTGCTGCTCAGATTAGTTGGAGTTTATTTTTAAGTGAGCCAGCTTTATTAAAGAAAGCCTCATAGAGATTAATTATCTGCTCTTTATGCTCAGCATCATTAGAGCATAAAGAACACCTCAAGGATTTTTCTAATTGGTATGCAGATTCTAATATATATTAAAATGGCGACGGAGAACCAGCCTTTTTCTCAACACCTGTAGCCGCAAGCCCTAAAGGCAGCAGGGATCTTGTGGAAGGGAAATTGGCGCTCGGTGAAGTATATCCGGCTAGGTTTTTACTTGGCGCAGTTGAGCACAACGTCGGAATAGGCCAACCGCAGCTCATTCTGGTACCAGGTATTTTACCTCAGGGGAAGATGGTGTTCATGGTTGGAAAGGGGAAACTCAGAAAAGCTAAGCACTCCACTTGGTCCATCGGGCAAATCCCTGACGTGAAACTGGGCGTTACGTCCTAGGCTTTGGATTTCCATTTTGGCCGACAGTCATACCAGAAAATTCATTTTTGGAATGGGCAACTCTGTTGACGTACTGCAAGCTGGCACAACTCATCCAGACTACGGATAGCGAGTGCACATCCTTGTTCGGTGGAGTAACTCTTCGAAGGTCGTGATATGATTGATGGTGAGCAACCGAGAGAAGCTTAAGGGTGGAGGTAATCCTTCGGCAATACAGTGGAGTTTTCTATATATTAATTAAGTGTAAGTGCAAGATATGCAGATTCTATCCCAGACAAAGTTTCTGGGACATTTACACTTAATTTATTTTGCAATTTTAAAGTAAATTGTAAAGCAAAAAAAGCTAAAAATGGCCCTAAAATTATTGCTACCAAAATAATGACTAGAGAATTGTCCATTAAATATCCTAAAATAAATCCAAAAGAGACCAAAGCAATAGCAAAGAGTCCAAGAATTTTAATAAAACAGTAGCATAATGAAAAATATGGTAAAAAAATCATTATTTCTGCAATCAAAATTAATGAAACAATCATCATAAATAATTGAAAATAAACCATAAAATCTTCATTAGTGATTGCATATAATATTGGAGAAAAATACATAAAAATTGCAATGTGGACATCAACTTTTGAATGAGCTTTTGCTTTTAACACCTTAATGCTCACTGAATGCCTTATTTCTCCAATAAATTCTTCATATGATATTATCAGCACAAATATTAGAGTCATAGTTAAAATTATGACAAATTGCCAAGCAGCATTTAATTCAAAATCTGCAGGATCATTATTATTTTTATATGCAGATATGTGTCCTTTAGATGAAAAATTATATTTCAGAAAAACTGAATATAATGTCAGTGAAGGTGTCAAAAAGGCAGTTTTTCATAAATCAAAAATTCACCTTAAAGCACTAATGACCAAGTTTGGGATATTTTGTGATAGATAATCTAAAAGAATCAGGACAATGATGCACAAAACAATGATAAAAATCATTATAATTGATAAATAAAAGTATTCAAAAGTAATCCCTAATTCTGAGCTAATATTATCAAGCCTTAAGAATCCAATGATTTCTCATATTGTTCGATTCTCAGCTCAATTTTTAATTGCAAGTTGCGGGATTCATAATAAGGTTATTGTTTGAAAACATCAAATAGTAGCTATAAATGTTTCTTTGACTTTTTGGCTGAGAAGTGATTCATCGCCGATATAAACAGTTCTATTTTGTGCATGATACAGCTTAGAATAAAATTCGAAAATTGAGTGCTTTAATGTTTTTCCTGTTTTAGCCTTTCATAGTCTTGCGTTGTGTACTGGATATTCGCCAATTTCAAATCCATGAATAACCATAAAGAGAAATATAAAAAATTTAATATAATTATAAATTGGCAAATTATTTACGATTGATAATTTAATTATTTAAAGACATCATTTCACTTAGGCTTTTAAATTATCTTTTATGTTTAATTAAGATAGCCCATTAGCCAGCCTAGCTAATGTCTTATGCTTACGATAATAAAAATCAATAAGAGCGTTTATTTAGCTATTAAGCTATCTATTATGATTTTAGCCTTTACAATTTTAAAAACTGTCAATAATTTTATGATTTTATTTATAAATTCACATCTTTTCCCTGCTTTGCAAAAACTGACCTTGCGGATAATATAAGATCATTTGGCCCTCCCATCGCTTTTTTTAAGGTTTTATTATAAATATTATCCAATTGCTTCACAGACCATTCACTTTGAGTAAAAATCTTGTGCCAATATAAAACAACCCCAGCATAAAAAAAGAATATAACTTCTAGCGTCTTATTGTTCGATTTTATGAATTTATTTAGCTTGTTCTCATTCAAAACCTTTATTACTACATTTCCAAGCTTCAATAAAGTCACAGTAAAAGGGAATTTTTGTTCCTGAATATTCGACTCCTGCAGCATATCTTTGATTGGGTTCGTAAAATAATTAGTCATAAAAAGCATAAATAACAAAAATTCTGGGACCCCTTTTCCTTTAATTTCTTTTTCAAAACTACTGATCCCTATTTTTTTCCATGAATTAGTCCCAGATGGTCAATTTTTTTCAGAAGTTAAGCTGCCATATACACTTAATAATAAGCTTTTATGGAAGCCAACTGACATATCAAAATCTACATAAGAAAACCCAAGCATTTTTTCGCAGTCATCGGTTTGCTCTTGTGTGAGTTTTACAGAACTAGCTCCACAACACCCACAGAATTTTGAAAAAAATCCTGGATTTTTCATGGATTTTGGAGGAATTTTTATTTTTTTGAAAATTTGTAAGGCATCTTCGAATGAGTAGTATTTTAGTTCGTCAATTTCGATATTAATGCTATCTAAAGATGATCTTGGTATGTTCAGTCCAATTTCTTCATGGGTTTGCTGATGAGCAAAGCCTTCTTTTACCTCTTCATTTTGAAGTACACTCGGATTATTTTTTAATTTTTCGCCTACTTTTGCAGCTGGTTTTAGTTCAGGAATTTTATGGACAATTTGTACATCAGCTTCAGGTATATTTTTTACTGATTGTACTTTTCAGGCTTTTTTTGATTTATCAGCGTTTAATTTTAATGGAGGAATGTTATATTTAGGTTTGGGGGATTCTTTTATTTCTTCAGGTTCTTTAGCAGGTGCTTCTGCTTCATCTTTATATGAGTCATCTGAAGATGAAGAATAATTAGAATCAGTTAAATTGTATTTGCTTGATAAATTGATTTTTTTAGCATTTTGATCTGGATTTGCTTGAGGTTTAGCTTTACTAGAACCTTCTAACTCACCCTTTTTTTAGTGACCAAACTATCATATTTTAGGAAAGGCGGCTTCCTTTAGTAATCAGCAATTTTTTTTCATTATAAATTTTACAAATAATAATAAGATCTCCAGCTAATTATATTAAATTTTATTATATAAATTAGATTTATCATTTCAAATAATTAAAAAATTTAAAAAAAAATAATATCCTTCAGGCATTTTGTTTACTAATTAATGGAGAAGTGTGTCTTTTAATGGATCCTTTGGAAATTCAAAATTAAATTTTTCTTTCTCAGGTCTTTCAGATGGCCTGCTATCAATTGATGATACTGAATCAATTGAATTTTTTTCTTGTATTTTTGATTGATATTTTAAAGGATTTTTGACTTCAGGCGAGTTTAAAAAATCAATTTTTTTATCAATTCTATCGCTTTCCTCTGAAGATATAGAAGAAAAAGATGCATTTTTCGCGACAGGAGCTATTAAATCAATCTTCTTTATTTGAAGATTTTCTGATTCAACTTTAACATTTGTTTTATCTGCATTTTGTTTCGGGATTTTATTTTCCTCAGCTTTTATTCCTTTAACTTCTGTTGTAGCTTTAACTTTTGGTGCAAAAATTCTATTTGTATCTACTTGACTTTTAGATTGCACTTCATTGACTGCTTCCTTGATTTGTTTACTTGTTCATTCATTTTGGTTATTTATTTGTATAGTTTTCTCTAAGCTGTTTTTATCATTTTCGATTTTTAAATGCAGTCTTTCATTGCTTATTTCGTCAGACTTCTTTTTAGGCTGGTTTTCAGCTTTTATATTAGGTATTTGGCTGAATGTTGGCGGCTGAAGGCTTGAAATTGTTTCATTAGATTTTTGAATCTTGTCAATATTATTCTGAGATCCAAAATTATGATTTATTCTTACAGCTTCTTTACCTTTTTTACTAGAGCTTTGATTGCTTTCATGATAAGAGTCAGAATCACTAGAAGAATCTGATGAAGAATAGCTAAGAATTGGTTTTGGGACACCTATTATTTGATTTTGCTTTTGATTCTCGGGTTTTGGCCGAACCAATTTGTTGGGATCAATGTCTTCATCACTATCAGTATCTCCAAAAGAGGAATTAGAACTAGATGAATCCATTTAAATTTTTACATAATAAAATGAATAATTAGTAGAGTGTATAAATATTTAGCTAAAAATTCTATTTCTAATTGTTCTCAAATTTAGATTTTTTAAAATATATCGTTTATAACAACTATTTTTTTATTTTCTTAATTGTTTTTAATTTTATTTATCTCTGAAGCTTTGCTTAATAATCAATTTTTTTATATCCTTGAATATTGGCAAATCAATGCAGTTTCTAGAGATTATTTTTGCCAAATATTTAATATAATTTTCCTTTTATTCTTAAAAAGTATCTTTTATTTCATAAATAATGCTGCCTATAAAAAGGACACTTAACTCTTTGATAAGCAAGGCTGCACAAATTGCATACCCTGTAAACGACCAAGCTACAATAATAGAAGGACAATATTTATGTGATTTCACCTCTAGCATAGCTTCGCACATTTACCACACATACAAAAAAGGAGAAGTGTCATTTGGGCTATTTAATCCAAGAGAAATTGCTGATGGGATTTTTGTTAATGTGAACAAGCATGAGCTTATTGATAAAGTTACAATAGGAGGCCAAGGCGAAATTGAAGTAACTTTAAGCAATCGCTATTTATCAAATGCTTTAAACTCAGTTCTCAGCAATGAAAAAGTCTTAATTTCTTCAGAAATTCCACAAAAAACCTATTCCATTTTATTGACTGGGCCAACTCTGGACGAAGGCCTTGAGTTGTTTCACGTAAGAGAGCTTCTTTTAAGTGAATCCATGAAAAAATGCAACGAATTATTAGGTATCCCTACATCTTCACAATTTCTATTCCGAAACACAATAAAATCCAGATCTTCTCAAGACTCAAAAGAATTGAATGAGCTATCAGCTGCTCCACAGTCCTTTATAAACAGCAATTTGACAGATTTTATAAAAAATAGATTTGGCTTGGATTTTGATTTTGTACCATCTATTTAGCTTTGCAAACGTTTAAAAACCAATGTAACCTCAATTTACGCATCTGATCTTTTGCAAGACAAGTGGCTTAAGTCAAGTGAAAACTCTGATTTAATTATGAATTATTTTGAAAATAAATGGGTCATAGATTTTATTAATATTGCGAAAACTTTTGCTGAAGGGTATAAAAATATTGTATATGTGGTAAGGCAATATGAAGAAAGCTATGAAATCTTAAAGATTATAAAAGAAATAAATAACAAAATTACAGAAAATTTGGCGACAAAAAGGCTTGGTGAAGTATTATCAGTTGACAGAAGATTAAATGACCAGCCTATACATATAGTTTTAGATTTTTTTATTGGCGCATCTTTGAATCATATACCGAAATGCTATGATCCTGATGAACTCATAATGTCAGCAATAAAATATTCAATTTTAAAAAAACCATTTGAAGAAACAGTGCTATTAAATTTAGATACTGTCCTTAAAAAAACAAATAAATCATTTTTTGGGCCAATTGCAGTATACAACCACCTAGAACAAAAATTAGAAGCTGGCAATTTTTCACAGAAAAATAGAGAAATTCCTTTGAAAGACATAGAAAATAGCATTGAATTGAGAAAATTGGCTATTGATTTGTGCCTATTTCCTGATGCTGTTTTTGAGTCTTCTTCAAATTTCTCTGCACAGTATTTATGTGATTGACTTGAAAGGACTAGTGAAAAGTATATGCTTGTGGATACTTATCTAGACAAGGATATGAATCCTGGAATGCAAAAAATTGTTCACACATTCTTCACTAAAGCTTTTGAAATAATTGGAATTGATGCTAAATCTGTTTTAAGAAAAAACTAGATTTTAAGTTTAACTCACCCCTTTTATATGAAAAAAAAAAATCTCTCCCAACTTAAAGGAGTTGTTTTTTTTTTAAAAAATTATGAATAAATTTATCGATTCAAAGTGCAAGCTTGCCTAAAGGCAGCCTATTTCTTTCTTTTTAAAATAGAGCAAGCTATAGGCAAATTTTTGATTTTGATTGCGCTAAAGTGTTCATTAAATTTTAAATAGAAATTATTATAAATTTTTTTTTCTTTTCCAATTTTAAAAAGGGTGAGTAAGCAATTAAATTTATTTTAATTTTTGAAATAAAGAGAAATTCCGAGATAATTAAAAAATAAAAAGTTAATTTAACCCTAGGGATCTCTAGCAGCATCCTTTTTTCTTTGGTTGTGTAGGTTTAATAATCACACTTGCAGCTAAAGGCTTCGTAACCACCTTGCTAGCTTCCTTTGCCATCCTTTCTCCATGTTTCTGATACAAGATTTCAGAAAACTTTGTAAAGACCCTATTTAGAATACTTACATCTTTGACATTTTCTGAAGTTTTTGCAGAGGCTTCAATAAACCCACTCAATTTATTTTCTTGGGCAAACGCCCTTCCAGATTCCGCAAAAACCTCTCTTTCTTCATCAGCTAAATCAAGCACATTTGCAACCAAAAATATCATTACATCATTTCCAGCATTCTGCCTTGCCTCTTTAAGCCAGTCAGGCAAATGATCAAAAGTTTCAGTCCTTGTAAGATCGTACATTAAAATAATTCCATGGGCATTTCTATAGAAACTTCTGGTGATTGAGCGATAGTCTTCTTGTCCTGCTGTGTCCCAAATTTGTAATTTTACACGTTTGTCATTCACTGTGAGCATTTTTGAACCGTACTCAACTCCAATAGTAACTGCGTGGTCGTCCTTAAAGCGACCTTCAGTAAATTGAAGAAGAAAACAAGATTTGCCGATCCCAGAGTCTCCGATGATAAGAAGCTTGAAAATAGCATCAGCTACGTCTTCGGATTCGGACATTAAATTATTTATTCGACCATATTAATAAAGAAATTAAGATATTGAAGAATTAATATGATGAAAAATGCGCACAATTTACAGATTCAATGTGATTAGGGATTATTTATAATAATTTATAGTTTAAAAATATTCCCTGACTCGGTATTATACCTTAATTTTTGACATTTGATATAGCTAATTATTTTATTCTGATTAATTTCCATTTTAAATAAATTATTCATTACATGCTACTTAAAATATATTCAGTCTCTTCTATCAGCTGGTCAAAAATAAACTGCTCCAGCTCAATCTTAACCTTCGTTTCTGCATCTTCATAGTCAACCCACTCCTCAGCTTCATCTGCAATCACCGAATTCAAAAGCTTCTCCGAATTATCTTTATCTGCAGAAGACCCTTTTTTCTTTTCTTCTGTCTCATTTAAAACTGCTTGCTCTCCAGCCTGTTTCTGCCCATACTTTATTTCAGCCCAAGAATTAACTAATCCTTCAACTTGATTTTTCAAGTCGCCAACTGCGACTGTTTTATTAATTCTTGCCACATTGCTCCATGGCAATGGAGACCCTTTTCTCCCATGTGGTCTGAGTCTATTTAGCGCCTCATTTACAGCGTCAAAAATCATTTTATTGTGAATTTGCTGTGCGAGGATTTTTGCATTGTCGCTGTCGTCGTCTTGTTTTTCTTCTTCTAACTGCATGTATAAGTCAATTGGCAAAAGCTGCTCAGGGTTCATTAGGGCGTGGTCTATGTAGTTGCTTTCTCGGAGCATAGCTAAAGTTTCTATGGAGTCTTTGGTGAAGGGATTTAAAGTGAAATTGTGGGCAGAACCAAGGATAATTGAAGTGTAGCCTAGAACTGAATTGGTGTCTGTGTTCACTGCTGGGATGGCTTGAGGGGAAGAGATAGGGATGGAGCTTTCTGAGACAGGCAGGCTCTCAAGAGCTTCAGATAAAACTCTTTGGAAAAGACTGTCGACAAGCTCGTCTACATTAAAGCCTGGGAGGTTTTCTAAAACTTCTTCAAAAATACTTGCAAAAATTTCATTGGTGATTATATCTGCTTGATTTTCTATACTCTCTATATTTGAATGGTTGAGATATAATTGATAAAAAATGAAATGAACTATTTAATTTATGCCTGTTTAAATCTTCACTTTCTTTACTACTCATTTCTTCTTCTTCCTCCTCTTGCTCTTCTTTACTTTTATCTTCTTCAAATTTATGAGAATATTCATAACTTTGTATATCTTCTGACAGTTCTTCAATACTTTCTCCAATAATTGACTGTTTATTTTCATTGCTTTCCTCCAAAACTTTTTCTTCAACAGAGCTACTTTTCTTGCTCTCAGAGCTTTCTTCAGGTACCACACTTGAGCTTTTTGCTCCAGAGCTGCTTGATTCGACTTTATCTCTTGACGATTTCAACACTGAGGACGATTCTGACTCAAAATCGTCTTCATAATTATCAATGAACTCCTCAATGCTTTCTTCTTTTGATTTTTCTGACTCTGATTCGTCTTTTGACTTGTCAATATCTGACTCTTCTTTTGATTTGTCTGTTTCTGAATGTCCTGGCGATTCTTCTTTAATGCTCTGTGTTAAAACTCTTGAGGACATAGTAGGGTGGATGCTTTGGCTTGCACTTTCAAAATCTGAGCTATATTCATTTCGCCTTAAAAAATAGAAAAAAACCCTATTTTTTCGATTTTTTCCTCAAATCTCATTAAAAAAAAGCTTTTTTCAAACAAAAAAACCCTAATCCTATTCATTCAATGTTTGCTTTGACTTCGATAAAGAGTCAAAGTCATCAGAATACTGTGGCAAGCTCTCATCAATACTTTCTTCCTTTTTACTTATCTCAGTTTCAATTGATTTTGACAATGCACTAACCTCATGAGAAGACGCATAATTTTTTAAAGCTGCATATTCTTCAATAAAATCTGATGACTTATAGCTTGCCATCATATCTATATCTTCTGGGATTGAAGAAGAACTGGCTCTAAAATCATCAGAATTTTTAAGCTTGTCTCTTGGGGTTATTTTTATTTGTGGAGAAAGTGATCTTGTTAAGGATGAACTTGAGCTAAATCGGCTTCTGTCAGCTTCTTCTTTTATTTGCTGCTCGATGTACTTTTTGCTGTAGTCTGGAGATTGGATTCTTCCTGAGTTTTTAAGTCCATACTGTTTAGAGCTGTCTGAGTAGCTTTCGAAGTCTTCGCTGTACTCAGTTCTTGCATAATCGTCAGGTCTTAATGGTGATTTTCTTTCTTCTGGGTGTAAAAAAATTATTTTATTTTTTTTATTTATTTTTAAAAAAATTTTTAAAAAATTTTTTTTTCTTCTACATAGTCAATCTCTGAGGTATCACTTTTCTTGCTTGGGGTCCGAGGTCTTGGGACATTAATAAGGGCCTGTCTAATAACAGCGGCTAGGTCAGAAAATGATTCTTTTTGCTGGTTTGCTATAAACTGGGCTAGCTGCTGAAATTTATCATGATCTTCTTGCTTGCTTTTCTTTAGTTCTTCTATATAAAGTTCTTGAGCCTTCATAATCATCATCATTTCTTCTTTCTTTTTCTCCTCCATCCATTGTCTATGCGCTTTAACCATCATTTCTGCTTCAAGTTCTCTGTTTTTTGCCCTATCAAATGCTTCAATCTGAGAAATCAGCTGATCTTGTAGCTGTTTGGCAGAAAATTTTCCAGGTGCTGGAATTTCTTCAATTTTTTTCTGAAAATCATTTTTTAGTGAGCTTTCCAGTTCAGTTTTTGATGCAGACTCAAAGTCGTCTTCATAGGTCTCCTGGATGTTTTGAGGTGACTCAAATCTTTTTACTAAAGCCTCATGAGAAGAAGAGACACTTTCAAAGTCTTCTGAGTAATGGTCTGAGGAATGAGACTGCTTAAGTTTACTCTTGGCAGGGGTTGGACTTGAGTCAGAAATTTCTTCTGAAATATAGCTGTTTAAGGTTTTTTTGGACTCATAAATGTCTTCTGGAATATCGCTTGTTAATGATTTTTTTGATTCTATGATATCTTCTGATATGCTGCTGGCAAATCTTTTGCTTGATTCCCCTAAACTATCAACCCGCCTACTAGAAATTCCTTTACTTTCTGTAATATCTTCAGGAATGCTGCTACTTGTGTATTTCTTTCCTGAATCTTCAAATCTTCTGCTGGAAACCCCTTTGCTCTCATATATGCTTTCAGAAATTTCTGATTTAGACCCTTTAAATGAAGAAATGAGTCCTTTTTTTGAAGCTTTAGACTCATAAATGCTTTCAGGGATGTCTGAATTTTCTTCTTCATAAATGCTTTCAGTTATCCCGAACTTGCTAGAAGACAGTCTGTAATCGTCTGAAAATTTTATTCTTGAGCTTCTTGCTGGCTCTTCTTCAGATATTTTGCTTTTGATTTCTTCTTCAGATTCAAACTCGCTTGAATATTGTTCTTCTGAAGTATGGATGCTTGCTTCTGGCTCTTCTACTATATCTATTTTTTATTATAGTAATTATCATTTATTTCTATATAAATCAAAATTATTTTTTATAAAAATTAATAAGGATAGCTCTTTTTCTTCAATTTTTTCTACTGAATATAGCTCTTTAGCCAAAATATTGACTAAATTGTACTCGTCGTTATCAGTGAAATCATTTCTCAGTAAATTTTGTAGCTTTAGCTGCGACTTTTCAGCAGGTTCTTCTATAATTTTGATAGGATCTGGTTCTGGCTTGAGTGAAATTGATTTTAGATTTGATGATAGGGTTGGATTTATTGACGTGGCAGGGTAGCTCATACTCTCTGGGACATAGCTAGAAATTATAGATGATTCAGGAATATAAGCTTCTGGGTAATATTTATTCAGTATTGAATGAATATCAGTATTTATTTCTTTTTGGGATTTAATCCCAAGCTTCTTTTTCTGGAAATCTTTTCTTGCTAGATAGCCACGGACTAAAGCTTGAATTTTTCTGGCAGCTTTAAACTGAATAAATTCATCAAATTCTTGGGCTTCTGCATATCAGTTTTTAGCATTTAAAATTCCTGGGAATTCTGTGAATTTTACATCTAAATCGTCTTCGATTTTGGTTTCATCTTTGACTGGAGTTTGGTTTTTTTGTTTGACTATTTTTGCTAGCCTAGTTTGGAGGTTTGCTAGTTGATTTCTAAGGGTTTCTTTTCTTTTGCTAACTTCCACATTTAAATTGGGACAAAATATACCTTATTTTAATTGCAACAAAATTTCGGTAAAATAATAATCTAGGAGAAGGTGTAGAGACCAGTTTAACGTCACCAACATAAAAATTATATATGATTTGTATTTTAAGTGATGAAATGAAAGTAGTATACTATAAAAAAAAGTGCTTTGGAACGATAAATTATATAAATTAATAATTTATGAAAAATATAAAAAAATCATTACCTAAATTAAACAAATTTTTAAAGGGAGTGGAGTAAAATCATTTTCGTTCTGAAGGTTTCTCCTATTTGAAACAGCTTGTGATATAGAAATTTGTTCACTTTTGAAAAATTCCAATTCTTTTTTCATAAATTTCAGCTCATCTTCTTGATTTTTCGATTTTAAATCGTCAATTGCTTTTGGGTTTATTATATATTCTTGATAGGACGGTCCAATTTCTTTACTTCCCCCTCCGTGAGCGAATAAAACCATTGGAAAAATCCCTATTTTTTGCCAAAAAACTCACCCTCAGTAAGCGAACAAAATATTTTATGAAATATATAAGTGATAATTAATATAACGAAATCTCTAGCTAATTCTGTTTAATTTAAATTTTCCAAATTAAATTAATATTTGCTTTCCAATTTTTGCGAATTGGTATTTTTTAAAATTTTTTAAAATAATGTTATATATAAATTTTAAAAAAAAACAATTAATCCCTCAGTGAGCGAAAACAAAATTTTTTTGTTCGCTCACGAAGGGGGAGTTAGAATTTCCAGGTAAATTATCTTTTTGAATTTTTAAATCTCTCGAAAAATTAATCTCTGAATTTTCATCCTTTACTGGTACTTTTTCTTCTACAGAAAATTTTTCTTCACTTGTATATTCATCCTCATATCTCTCGCTTTCATCGCTATCTTTTTCTGCGACGTTTTCATCAATATTTTCTCTATCTCTGTCAGGCTCGCTGTATTTTTCCACCTCATTTTTTTTCTTTTCCCACAAATTTTCTGATTTATAAATATCTTCATCAGTGAATCTTTGCTGCATAATTTCTGATGGCTCTTCTGAGTTTTTTTCTATTTTTTCTTCTTCATAGGAATAATCAGCGCTTCCTCCATTTCTCATCCTGCGGGCGGCACTTTTTGCTTTCCTTATAATTCTCATTCTCCTTTCTAAATCTGGGTTTGAGTCTGATCTTTTTGATACATTTGCCCGGCTTCTTGATAGCTCGTCTAATTCTTTTAGTTTTGCGATTCTTAGGCGGTTTTCTTCTTCCTTTCTTTTTTTTTCTTCTTCTAGTCTTAATTTCCGCAGTCTTTTTTGTTCTGCCATATATGCTTGGATTTCTTCATTTGGCTGCTTTGGTGGTTTTTTTGCAGTTTTTTCTTCATTTCCTTTGCTTTTATTCCGAATTTCTACTTATAAATTACTTTCTTCAAGATCTGGCTTAGCTTCAAATAGCTCTTTAAGCCCAATTCTGGCTCTTCCTTCTTGCCTTACCTTTTCTCTCGCTTCCCTTTTCTTTTCATTCTCTTTTTTTGCCTCTTCCCTAAATTTTTCGTCTTGTTCTTGAAATTTTCTCTGATCAGCTCCCCAGGCTATTTTTGGCTTAAAAGGGACTTTTTTTGCTTTTTCCAGTTTTTCTTTGGCTTCTTCACTGAAATCTCTAATTTCTTTTTGTTTTTGCTTCATTTTTTCTTCTTCAATCATTTCAAGCTCTTGCTCTTTTATTTTCTGTTCTTTGTGCTTAGAGATTGATTCTTTTAATATAAGTTTTAATTTTTCAGGGTCTGCTTTTGGTTTCTCCTCTTTTTTGGGCTGGGGTGGCTCTTTGGGTTTTTCTGGTTTTACCGTCTTTTGATTTTCATTGGGATTTTTTGGCTTATTTATTAGGGGTTTTGTTGTAGAAATTTTATTGGCTTTTTCTTTGTTTGGGACTTCTTTAGGCTTGAGGAGGGGTCTTGGGACAGATTTTGAAGGGGATTTATTAAGTCTTGGCTTTAGATTTGAATATTTAGCCTTTGGAGACGAAGAAAGGTTGGCATGCTCAGGGGATTTCTTTTGGGGAGGGGATTGGTTTGGCTTTTTATAGTATTTTACTGATATTTGACTTATGGAGGAACCTGGATGGACGCTGGCTTCTGGGATTAGTTTTTTGCATTCAATTGGTGCAGAAAGCGGCCGAGAATTGAAAGAGACAAGAATTCTTTGAGTTTCTTCCAATTCACGCAATGGCTTTGTAAAATGAGCCTTTTCATGAGGGATCTCTGAAATAATCTGCCCTAAAGGTTCACCGAGAGGGGTGTGAATTACTTGTATCATTTAAATTAATAAATAAAATGACATTAATTTGAGAGAAATTAGATCTTTCTTTCCCTTATGGAATTTTATTTATGGGGTTTGATTTTTTCTAGAAGAGTTATGAGCAGCAAGCAATAAAAATTCTAGTGCCACGTGTGCAATTAAGAGCATCAAGGCTTTTCTACTCAGCACACCTGAAGAAGGTGAGCCTTAGAAGGAATGCGTGCAGGAGCTGAGTAGGTAAGGGTAAAGGCAACGCGCTGGGTGAGATGTGCAGCCAAATATCGTGCGCCATTTTAAGTGACATGATGGCCCACAACGTCACTAGTTTTCAAGTCCAAGTTCTTCTTGGAAGCGACGCTAAGCACCTTATACCCAATTTATCTGTATCCTTATCATTTAAATTATGCAAATTTTAATATGAAGTACATATCTCAAATTTACTAATTTTATTATAATTTCCTATATTTTTTATTCTAATTATTCTAAATTTACTATAGTAATTACATTGAAACTCTGAATATCAATTCTATAATATATTTATATAAAAATTTACACTCTTCTTGACTGAATTTCTCAAATAAAATTAAAGATTATTGTTTTTTAATAATAAATTTTGAGTCAATTTTAGCATTCTAAAATATATTTATTTCATTTTTCAATTAATTATAATCTAAATCTCTTCATTTAAATACTAATATCACTTCCTAATTAGAAACCTAGCAAACATAAATGGAAGTCTTTCCAAACATAACCGCCAGCATCCCAGAAGCTCTAGACTTTGGTTTTTGCCCAATTAATGAAGTTACCTCAAAAACAGTCACCATCCACAACCCCTTTCACAAAACCCCAACTCAGATTTCAATAGTGAATAACTCCCCTTTCATTATCTCCCCTCTCTCTGGCACAATCCAAGGCCGTGGAAAACTAGACATCGCAGTATCTTATACCCCAACTGACGCCAACGTTTTGGTTGCAAGTGTGATATTTCAAGTCCAAAACGAAGAAGACAAACTAATGAAAATCAGCGCAATTGGGAAATTCTCATATATCACCCTCAATAAAAATGTTTTCCACTTCGGAGAACTTTTAATAGGCCGTATTTTTTTTAAAAAAAATTTTTTTATATACCACATAAATTTTTATTTAAAAATAATTGAGGATTATATAGGCCAAAACGACACAAAAAACTTGATAGTGAAAAACCAATCTGTCGTGCCTACCACTTTTGTGATTGAGGAAGATACAGAAGTCCAAGCATCGTTTGGAGTGCAGTCACCAGATAATTCTTTTGCGTTTGATTTAATGACAGGAATAGTCCCAGCTGGGCAGTCATTTTTAATAAAAATCAAATACAGCCCGACTGTGGTTTACATGCTTTCAGCTAAAAATTTCATTATTAGGACAATGGGTGGGAATTCTCAAAGATTTACGTGTATAGGAAGCGGAATTGGGTTACAAGTTTCATTAAGCTCAAGAATTTGCAATTTCGGAGAAGTTAGGTCAGGGAATTCGACGTCAAGAATTGTTACTTTGGAAAATCAATCAGCGCTACCTTGCTCGTTTACGTTTTATGTAGACAAAAGAAATATTTTTAGCTTCAAAACGATTGAAGGAAATATTGCAGCAAAATCGACAGCAAGAATTGTGGTTTATACTGCAATAAATTATAATAGGGATACATATTTAATTAGAATATCTTAATTTCTAGTATAAATAATCCATAAATTTCAATATAAATTGGCATATTTCACTCCTAAAGAAACAGTTTCTTACTACTGCCGCGCCTTCTGCCTCATAAAAAACCACATGGTTTTATATCTCGACCTTGTCGGGACCTGCTATGACATTTTACAACGTCCAATTCCTCTCAGTCAAAAAGATATAGAAGTATTTCGCACCCACGTCCTAATGGGCACTATTAACAGACTAATAGAAAGCGCTCCCAGTCTCATGGGCTCATCTGAAGAAGTCTATGCAGTTTCTGCTGAAATCCCAATGGACGAGCCCAACCAAATCGCCCTCCACAAAGAAATGATGCAGAATTTAAGCGAAAAAATGATAAGCATTAGTGAAGAATTTATAGACTTCGGGTTCTGCTTAAAAGACAGGACAAGTGAAGGCAGAAGCATTACAGTCAAAAATAAACTGCCTTTCTTTGTATATGTAATGTGGCTTATCCCAGGGGAGACGCAAAATCCATTAGAAAGTCCACAAGCTTTTTCAGTTAGCCCAACTTCTGCGTCGATCAGTCCAAACAGCTTAGCAAATTTTCAAGCCTTTTTTAGGCCTTATGAGCCTGGAAATTATTTTTTCCAAGGAATCACGTGCCAGGTGTGGATAAAAAGACCGAAGCAGCCACAAATAGACGAGCTAGGAAGGATGAGCACGTCACAGACCATGGGGTCGATAGGAGCTGGGTCAAATATCCATTTGTCGAGGTTTGGGGTTATGGCGATTCCTCCATTGAATATAACCTTGCCGATGGTTGGACATTCTTTTCCAAGCAATATTCAGCCTTTTATACCTGATATTAAAGTAAGCCCAAGGAAACATATAAAATTTCCACCATGCTCGCCTGGAGATTCTATGTACCAAAGCTTTGAAATAATCAATAATGCAGACACACCTTGCTATTTTAGACTGCTGAGTGAAAATACTGGAGTTTTTAAAGTCTTCCCACAGGTAGGGTTTATTCAAGCTAAAAAATTTACACTGCTAACGATAGAGTATCATCCGAATTCTCCACAAAACTATAGCTCAGCGATTAAATTTGTGCTTAACCATTCATCTTCACAAGTCATCAGCATAAAAGTGTCTGGAGTTTGTTGTGACCCGACTATTTTTATTGATAATGAAGCCAAAATTTTTTATCCGCCTTTGTATACTGGAGTTTCAAGTAAGCAAAAAATTGGGGTATTCTTTTTTATATAAATAAATATTAATATGTAAGTGATAATCCTTATTTATGCTTAGAATATAATGGAAAAATCTGCATTAAATTGTCTTTTATTATAAAAAAAAATACTAAATTCTTCCCATATTCCTATTGACTATAACATAGAAATCCCTGACAAATACAGAGACGAACTCACAGTTGAGCCTGTAACTGGCACAATGTACCCTCATGAAAAAATTTTTGTAGAGTTCACCTTTAACGCTTTGAAGCAGCAAGAATATCGATTTAACGTCCCAATCCGCATAAAAAGAGTTATCGACCTTGCACAAGACGCAAACTATATAGGCTATTTCAACCCAGGCTCAGGCGAACACATGCATAACCTTCGTCAAGACCCTCTAGAAAAGCTCTACCACATCACAATCCATGGCTCAGGCGGCACTGGAATGGTCGACATGAACCCTAAAAACATTGATTTCGACACAGTCTCCGTCGGTTTTTCATCTGTCAGAACCTTCACCTTAAGCAACATTTCAAACTGTGCCATCTTTGCAAAACTAGTAATTATCCCAAAAGACCGCAGTTTACTACAGGATGAGGACAGCAAACAAGTGATAAATTCTTCTTTTGTCTTTGACTTCAAAGAAGGCGTTTTAGCAGCAAATTCTAATCAAAAAGTAAATTTATCCCAATTTATAATGAATTTTTAATAAAAAAAAAATTTAAAAAATAATCATTAGAAATCAGCATAAGGTTTGTCCCGAATTGTAGGTCACAAAGCGAGTATTATATTCAGTGCTTTGCTAAGCAGAGTTTTCCTAATCATGATATACGAGAAACACCGTTAAATGAAGACTCAAAAATTGAGCTTACTGCTCATGGAGATTTCCCTGTAATTACATTGATTGATTTAAGGGCGAAAAATATCAGCCCTTCACATCTCTGGAGACGGTTTAACTTGACTAATACAATAAATGCGATTTTAAGCCCACTGACAGCGCTGGAAATCAAGTATAATAATGCTGAGATTTCACAGACTTTGGCACAAGAAAAACTTAATCATTTTGAGTGGGATTTTGGGAAGCTTAATTTTGTGAGGTCAGCTGAGGCCAGAAAACTAAGGTTGACCATGCAAAATATTGGAGGGGTGACTGCGTCATTTAGATTTGTGTTCCCTGATGATAATAAGCTAGAAACGGAGCCTTGGGTTGATACAGGTGAAACACCTCCGGAGGTGGCTTTTGAGGACCATATTTTGGAAAATAAAATTTTTGAGGTAAATCCTAGAGGTGGAGAATTACAGTGCAACCAGAAATTTGATGTAGAATTGAGCTATAATCCTGTAGAAATCGGAAAGCACAGCTTTATATTAGATGAGAGTAAAGATTTGTCTTTATAGTCTCCTTTTTCTGAGCGCCATGCGTTCCACACTTAATCCTAGTTTCTCGGTAGAGGCATTTTCCCTCTATATCAGAGTAATATGGACTTTACCGAAAAACTCCATTTCTAACCCTAAAAGCCAGCTCACCCAACCATGCTTAGTATGAGTCAGATCACGGGATCTTTTAAACTGAAAAGACTGTAGTCCTTGAGAGTCTTGTATAGCCTGAGTCCCCTTTTTTTCCCTAGTTCATCACCAAAGGAAAAGTTCAACCGCTAAAGCGATTCGAAACAGGCCACGAAGCAGCCTAGTAGGTAAGTCGCCTTGCCTCTTTCAGACCCCAATCTGGGTACTGTTGGCAAAAAAAATACCGCTCAAGTCAGGCCATTAATCAACGGAAATAGTGCTAGGCTTCTCGCTTCGAGGCTAACCCAGCCCTTTGGCAGTTCTTTACACCAAAAACCAATTTCGATATATAAGGGCACCTGTCACGGATTGGACAGATCGCTTGGCCATTTTATGTATATAGTAAGCACAGCTTAAATGTGATTTTCCAGATTATCCATGGAAAACCAATAGTCCTTACATTGAAAGGGGAAACCTTGCCTCCAAAACGCGGATATTTGACCTTGAGGGCGCCAGAGTTTGAGTTTGAGCCTTTACCAATTGGCTTAGGTGTAGGAGTTACCCAGCCCATAAAAATCCAAAATATTGGGGATAATAAAATCACTTATGAAGTCGACAATTCTGCATTGGAAGATTTTATATCAGAAAACTATAAATTCCCGATTTTTGAAATCCAGAATAAAGAAGGGACCATTGACCCAGGAGAGGTCACGTATTTATTCTGCATGTTTAAGCCATTAGAAAGCAAAGAATACTCAGTCACACTACCAATAAATGTAAAAGAGCGTCAAAATGTGATACAGACCTTGTATTTACGATTAAAAGGAAAAGGATATCATCCAAAAAGAGAAAATCCTCCTCCAAGCCCTACAATTTTTGACCAGCTGCCTATTTGCCGCTCTTCATTTCTCCCTGATTCCTCAAATGTAGGATTTTCAGTAGAAAGTATAGATTTTGGCAAAGCTAAGTTTGGGGAACAAATTCATAGGATGGTGGTAATTTATAATAAAAGCCAGACATTGGAGCTAAAATATAATTTTAAAGCAACTGAGCTTATATGTGGAGATGAATTAGTATTAGACCCCATTAGTGGAAATTTAGGACCTAATAGTCAAGTGCCTGTAAAACTGACTTTAAATCCTATACTTTAGATAGATTAGATTACGATGGTATTTATTTCCCAATTCTTGAAACGCCTGCAGGGTGGGCTCCCTTAAGGCATCTTGAGCCAGGCAGACACTACCGGTTTCTCGGTAGAAGCATCTTCCCTCTTGATCTGGGGAATCTCCCTTTCCACCTCAAGTGCTAAAATTGCCCGACCCTGCAAGCTTATGCCAGATCGTCCCATTTAGGGGCCTTTTAAACTGAAGAGACTAACCCTGAGAGTCTTGTCTAGCCTGTCTTCCCCTTTTTCTCCAGATCATCTCCAATAAAAATCTCAACGTAGTTGCGCAGATTCGGGACATGGCCACAAAGCAACTTAGACAAGTTAGTCGCCCGACCTCTATCGGGCATCCGCTCTGGGCCTGGGCGCTGCTGGTAAAAAAAGATGCAAAAGCCTGCAGCTCGAGCCAGACAACTAATCAACGGAAATAGTGCTAGACCTCTCTCTTCGAGACTAACCCAGCCCTTGAGCAGCTCCTTGTACCAAAAAGCCGCATCTAGATATACATAAGGACTCCCAACACGATCGGGTTGCTTGTCACCGGTCATTTTATAATTATAAATCCTATACTTTATAACTCCCCCCCCCCCCTCCGTGAGCGAACAAAAAAATTTTGTTCGCTCACGGAGGGGGGTTAATTTTTTTTTTTAAAAAAAATTTATATATAAATTTTATAAAAAAATATTTTTTTCGAAATTTAAAAAAATCCTAATTTGCAAAAATTGGGAAAGCAAATATTAATTTAATTTGCAAAATTTATGTTTTAAAACGCAATTTGTTTAAAATTAAACAGAATTAGCTCTAGATTTCATTATACTAATTATCACTTATATATCAAAATTTTTTTTCCATTAAAATTTTTTCTATTAAAAAAATTTTTGTTCACTCACGGAGGGTGGGTTTTTGGTCAAAAAAAATGGCGATTTTTCTAATGGTTTTGTTCGCTCACGGAGGGGCGGGGGGGAGTAAGTATCTTTTCCATCATTTTTTGCATTTTTTTTAAAAAACAAAAAATATATGGCTTTTTAATTGAAAATTAATTTAATTAAATATAATAGAATCCCAACAATTTATGAAGGCGAGCTTGAATGTGTAATTGAATGGGAAAACTCATTAAAGCTCTCCGGAAGGGTCGGTTCTCGGAAATCTATGGACAATAAAGAGCTGTCCTCAGGTAGCTCCTCATTTGAAAGCATTTTCTTAAGAATCAAAAAGTCTACCGTTTTTGAGTCACCATATGCTATTAATGTGGACAGCACAGACCTAGAGCTTGTAAAAACCATATTTAAACAGACCATTCAAAATATCGTGAGCGAGCCTGACACTTATAATTTATTAGAAGAACTTTACCATGAGCCAAGCCCACTTATGGAGCAGCTCGACAACTCAGAGCCTCCTAGCCTCTATAACCTTTACTCCTTAGAAGACGTTTTTGAAGAGGAAGAAGATGAACTTGAGCCTGACTACGTATTAGAAAGACTTTACTTAAAAGACGAATTCACAGATTTATCAAGATTTATACTAGAAAGTACTGTTTTTAATGCTATTAGTGAAGCGATTTATCAAGAAGCAGACTTAATGAACTCAGGAAAGAACTATATTAATATGAAGCCTACTTAAATTCTTAAAAAAATTATTTTATAAACTCTTATAAATGGAAAGCAACGTTTTACATACCCAAGCAACCACAAGATGGCTGCTGACAAGACACCGCAGGACGAGTTCGTCGAGCTATTTGATGACTTCAAATGAGCTGGACTCAGAAGACGACATAAAATATGTTTTTTATAAATATTCAGTAGGAAATTTCCTAACATTGATGGGATTGGAACAAATTCTAGCTTCAGTTAGCATTCATGTTACTAACTCTAACTGGAACAAAACATAGGAAATTTTCCTTGTTTTGGCTACTTAACCCTCCTTAAATTGAACAATTTCTTTTTCATATTATAATTTTTATAGAAAAATTTAAAAATTAATCCCCTTTAAATTGCTATTAGATTTTTTGTTCATTTTTAAAGGGGGGAGTAAAACCTTAATTAGTGCTCTTTTACAGACCGTTGTTACAGAAAGACCAAGTACTCTTTATCTAGGCATTTTGTCCTTAAATGAATTTACTTCACTTGTACTGAATGACGACGCAAACAAGAGTAAAATTAAATATAGTCTTAAATAACAACGCTTTGAGAAGCAGAAGAATTAATAATAGTGCAATAATTCCACTCAGTTTTGCAAAACTACTCAATATCATTGCAGTAGAGCAAAGAGAAAAACAGATAAAAAATGACATTTCTACAGTAAGGGATATTTAGAATAAAAATGCAGCTCAAAATATTGGCAGCTTTAAAGAGCTGATTAATCTAAATTATTCAAAGCCAAAGTTTCCAGCTGCAAGTAGAAGCCAAAAGCTCTTAAATGTTCACGCAAAAGAAGTGAGAAATAAAATGAGGCATTCCTTGGGCTTTGGAAAGAAATAAAATGGTAGCAGAGATTGGATCTGAGGTGAAACCGCTATGGAGCAGGTCGGACCAATCCAGATAAAGCTGAACACAAGGCCTCTATCCCTTTCGAAGTAGGCCATCAGATTTGCACCTTTCCAAAGAGGGAAGTTTTGCTTTTCTCGAAGTTTTCTTGTCCCTGTCAGATGTGTAGAAGATTTTGCCTACCATAGGGGCTCCGAGGACGAAGCAGTTGACCGAAGTGTTGATGGCGAAAGATGCTCCTTGTGAGCAAATAGACCACTTCTCAGACTATGGCTCTGCCATAGGGACGATAGTTTAAGCAAGAAGCCCAAAAATTGAACTCCAAATAGCCTTTCTTTAGCTGAGATGGGGTAAAGGTAGTGACTTATCCGCTTTCAGCTTAACTTTTCTCTTTAACTTGGGCTTTGACATCAGTTTGGACTAAGCATCGTCTTGCTTTAAGCTGATATTAATAGATGCAAATTATTTGATTATAGATAGACCAAAAAATTAATATAGCCAAGGGCCTGTTATTGATCGCCCTGGGTAATCCAATAACTGCCCAACTGGAGGAATTGGCTTGGAAAACATTAGTTGTCAAGTCAACTCCGCCAATCGGCAAATGAAATTTATATGGCCACTAGAGCTGATTTGGTAACTTATATTCCACCAGCAGAGTGGGGGCATTGATATCCAGGGCGATCAATAGCAGGCTCCAGGCTCTATTGAAAAATCATAAAGGTATTTTCTTAATATTATGGCTTATTATTGATTAAAATTCTAAAAAATTTCAATATAGAGTTGATAGCATAGCTTCTGAGGAATTTTCTCAAATGCGTATATCAATAATTACATCAAATACTGCTTTAGCTTTAAAATTTGTATCATTAATTCAAAATGCCATTTTATAGTTCATACTTTGATTTTTAATCAATTATAGCTTCTTTTATCACCCAAATTTTTATATTTTGGTATAATTTAAAAAAATTACTGAATTTTTTAAGCGACACCAATGACATATTTTTATGCCAAATAAAAAATGAACACAGTGAACTGACGTAATTTTCCTTTAATTTTATATTTATTGCAACTATCCAAAATTTTCTTTATAACTCTTTCTCCTTAATGTGGACATTAAATTTAATTTCCACCATATAATTAATACCTTTCGAAAAAGTTGAAGCTGACCAAGAAAAGTTTGATAGTAAGGCTGTCTGAAAAATCGGCTTGGCAGTCGCTATCGGGCCTTTTATTGCAGGGATGAGCCTTGGCGTCTACAATTCAGCCCCGGACAACGTTGCGGCCACCTTGAATTGGGGTGACAATAAAGACATCCTGGTCCCGACTATGAATGCTATGATGCATTTCGGCGCTATTTTTGGGTCTCTTGGAGCAGGTCCAATTGCAACTAAAAAAGGCCGCCGCCAAGCAATATTGATTTTAGATATAATTACAATAATTGCTTCAGCCTTATTCTTGATTCCATTTACCCCAACATTTGCTATTGGCAGATTTTTGTCTGGGTTTGTTGCAGGAGGCTTCTGTGTGACCTCCCCATTATATATTTTCGAATATGCCCCCATTGCTATTAGTGGAAAAATTGGGTCTTGATACAATTTAACATAACTCTCGGTATTGTCTTTATGTATGCCTTAGCTTTGGAAAATGTGGAACTATTGGGAAAGAAATTTGCAACAAGCTCATGAAGCTATCAGTAATGCAGGGGAAGTCAACTCTATAAAAGACTCATCTAAGTTTCTGCCTTCTAGACAGGTATCAAGGATGATGAAGCAGCATTGGGAAGTCATGGATTTTTGCGGCATATCAGAGAACGAGGAAGAATGGCTAAATGGTACAGATATTGTTCTCAATGCAGAAGGATACTTGATGCCACCAGAAGAGTTCTTTTCTGACTATGAAGTTGAGGATGATTACTGAAGCAACTACGATGACCATGATGAATAAGATGAAGATAAAATATGAGGAAGATTTGTATCCTAGGCTTGGAACCAAACTGAAGAAGTGCTTGATAGTGAGACAATTACGCCACTTTATGCAACAGCAGGCACTCGACTTGTGGAAATAATTCAAACCTCAAGTGATGAGAGTGGAATCAAGGACAACACTGAGGTTGGGAATGCTGAAGATGAAGCTGAAGGCCAAGGCACACTAGAGAGTAAGGATTCTGAAGGAGGTGCTTCCCTAGAAAATACTAAGTGTTGGAATTTAGGCGTTGAGTCGATTACAAGCAAAAAAATTTGCCATCGAAAAGGGAAGGGATGAAATAAAATGGAATTTGCATGCAAGTCATGGAGGAAGAAAAATTGAAGAAAAAGAAGATGCGAATGCAATAAGATTTTGGATCTATATAATATTGGGGTGGAAGATTATGAAAGAAGTTTAGGACGAAGAAATCAAGTCTTAAATGAAATAGAATTGAATTTGAAGAAAAAAGCCGAAAATGTGAAGTATGGACAGAATTTTTTAGATGAAAATAATTGGAGTTGAAGGGGAAGAAAAAAGAAGAAGAAGAATTTGGAAAATATTAGTCCTCTAAAGGGCGATAACCGTTAAATTATTATTATGCCTTAGCTTTGCCACTGCCAACACGACAACATGAATTACTGGTGGATGTTTATGTTCGCTTTATTATCAGTATTTGCGATACTCCAGCTTTTTTTAATTTTAACGAAATTTAAGTATGATACCCCTGTTTGACTTCTTGAGCAAAATAGAAGAAAAGATGCAGAAGCAAGCTTAACTCAGTACTATGATAATGAAAATGAGCCAATAGCTCTTTCAAAATTAGAGCAAAATATAGCAAAAGCTAAACAAGAAGCTGGAGAAAGCAGCTATGCTGATTTGCTGTGCTGCAGAAAAGGGCATTCTAAGATTATTCGAATTGGAGTCATGCTGAATTTAATACAACAATGGAGCGGAATTAACGCAATTATAGGGTACTCTACTACTATTTTTAGCGAGTTCGGAAACAAGTTTATTGCAAGAGTTTTTACTGTTGTAGTTGGACTTGTTAATATGGCCGCTACATTGATATTGTTCCCAGCTGTTAATAAATTTGGGAGAAAGCCTATGCTTTTGGTGGGATGCTTAGGAATGGCTGTGTGCTTAATTTTGGTTGGAATGTTTTCTGGTCCTGTCGAAGGTTCTTCAGGCCCTCCGCTTGTTTTTATATTGCTTTATATTGTTTTCTTCGAAATATCAGTTGGGCCACTAATTTGGATTGTTTGTGGAGAAATTTGTTCACCGAAAGTTATGAGTATTTGCATTGGAACAAACTGGGCTTCGGTTACAGCTGTGGTCTTCTTGTTCCCTATTATGGCTAATGCATTTACGATGACTTATGCGTTTTTATTTTATGCAGGAATTTGCATTTTAAGTATTCCTTATTTGTGGCTTGACTTAATCGAGACGAAAGGAAAAACTAAAGCTGACTTGAAAATGATGTTTTCAAAACTCAGATAAGTAATCTATCTTTAAGTCTACTAAAAAGCAATTTTTTTAAGCCTGATTTTCACTACTAAATAATTTGGAAAAAATCAAAGATAAATTGATTTTTTAAGCGAGAGTATAAATTTTCAGCAAAAATTTAAATTCTAAGACAAAAAGGCTTACTTTTCAGGCTAAATGCTGACAGTCTATTTTCATAATTTTGTCCTTCAACAATTATTCCATTTATCTCGCCAACTCAAGAGAGAAATTACAAATTTATTTATATTCGTGATCAACCAAAAAATATAAAGCAAATTAAAATTGAGGTCGAAATATTGAGATGATTTGATTTTATTATCAATAAAGGCTCAACCTATAAATTTAATTTATTTGCTTAGTTTGACTCGATATTTTTTGCTTAAGCATTTTGTTACTAATGAAATGATCCTTAATTGTAGTGATAACTATTTTAATAACAAATATATAGAATCAGCCTTAATAGCAATGCTTTAATAAAATTAAGGAAGTTAAAAACACATAAATGCCTTTTGAGGATAAAAGATAAAAAAGCAGGCTAAGAAATAGTGGCACTACTTAGAATGCCAGATATAAAAGATAAATTAATTTCTGCTACTCAAAATAACCTTTTGCTTTCAAAAGGAAATATTAGCGATAAATATAATAAGAAGTTTTTTATATATTTTCACCAAACTAGGGATAATCATTTGTATTTTAACTAAAGCACAATGATATAAAACTTAGCTTTTCATGTGGTAGGCTTATATAAAAAATTTGATTAGTCCAGCTAAACTTGTAGGAATAAATGGAAATATGGAATTCGTGAGAATAACTCATAAGTTCAATATAAAATATTTAATATTAAAGAACTAATTTTATAGCTTATAGGGCTTTAAATTTAAATAGTAAATAAATATAATACCAAATCCACAGACTCTTTATAAAAATAACAATTCAAATTAAAATTGTTTAAAATAACGCTTTGGATTATTTGTCTAGTCAAGTACAAATAAATTATTTAAATTGTTTGCCTAATTTGAGATCCATTTCTTAATAAAAATTTTGTATAAACTTAGCCCTAATATTATGAATAATTATTAAGGAAATTTATAAATAACTTTTCAATCTTAAGATTTTATATTTTACATGCTAGTCAAACCCTGCAAGTCCGCTCTTTTAATCCCTTTTACTTAAAAATTATTAAGAAAAAATTATTTCAAAAACTACTGATTATTTTTAGCGACATTTTTGTCATCATTTTTAACCAAATAAAAAATGTTGTTCATTTAACTAAAAAAATTCTCCTCATTTACTATTATCGATTAGCAAACACTCTTTTATAGCCTTTACTTAAATTGGCATCATTAAATTAATTTCCACCACATAGCATAGCTTCTATGTAGTTATCTCAAATATTTAGAGCAATAAATAGATGCAATATTGTTAGAATTTTAAATTTTTGCTTCATTAATCAATATACCCATTTTAAATCTCATATTTTGCATTTTATTGGCTCTTAATCAATTATAATTTTTGTTATAACCCAAATTTTTATATTTACACTTTCCCATTGAATTTCACTTATAAAAATTTTTATATCATTTTATAAAATTCTGAATTTTTTTAAACGACACCAATGATAATTTTTAGACCAAATAAAAAAATGGATGAAGTGCACTCATATAAATTTCAAAAAATTTATTTGTCCACAAATTTTCTTTTATAGCTTATCAGCCACTTAAGTATTAAATTAATTTCCACCACTATATAATTAATGTCTTTCGAAAAAGTTGAAGCTGACCAAGAAAAGTTTGATAGTAAGGCTGTCTGAAAAATCGGTTTGGCAGTCGCTATCGGGCCTTTTATTGCAGGCATGAGCCTTGGCGTCTACAATTCAGCCCCGGATAATGTTGCGGCGACCTTGAATTGGGGTGACAATAAAGACATCCTGGTCCCAACAATGAATGCTATGATGCATTTCGGCGCTATTTTTGGGTCTCTTGGAGCAGGTCCAATTGCAACTAAAAAAGGCCGACGTCAAGCCATATTGGTTTTAGATACAATTACACTAATATCGTCAGCCTTATTCCTGATTCCATTTACCCCAACATTTGCCATTGCCAGATTTTTGTCTGGGTTTGTTGCAGGAGGCTTTTGTGTAATCTCCCCATTATATATTTTCGAATATGCCCCTATTGCTATTAGCGGAAAAATTGGGTCCTTGATACAATTTAACATAACGCTCGGTATTGTCTTTATGTATGCCTTAGCTTTGCCACTACCAACAGGGGATTATGATAACGACAACATGAATTACTGGTGGATGTTTATGTTCGCTTTATCATCAGTATTTGCGATACTCCAACTTTTTTTAATCCTTACGAAGTTTAAGTATGATACTCCTGTTTGGCTTCTAGAGCAAAATAGAAGAAAAGAAGCTGAGGAAAGCTTAACCCAGTTCTATGATGATGACAATGCTTTAATAGCTCTTTCAAAATTAGAGCAAAATATAGCAAAAGCTAAACAAGAAGCCGGAGAAAGCAGCTATGCTGACTTGCTGTGCTGCAGAAAAGGGCATTCTAAGATTATAAGAATTGGAGTCATGCTGAATTTAATACAACAATGAAGCGGAATTAACGCAATTATCGGGTACTCTACTACTATTTTTAGCGAGTTCGGAAACAAGTTTATTGCAAGAGTTTTTACTGTTGTAGTTGGACTTGTTAATATGGCCGCTACTTTGATATTGTTCCCAGCTGTTAATAAATTTGGGAGAAAGTCTATGCTTTGGGTGGGATGCTTGGGAATGGCTGTGTGCTTAGTTTTGGTTGGGATTTTTTCAGGTCCTGTCGATGGTTCTTCAGGCCCTCCGCTTGTTTTTATATTGCTTTATATTGTTTTCTTCGAAATATCAGTTGGGCCACTAATTTGGATTGTTTGTGGAGAAATTTGTTCGCCTAAAGCTATGAGTATTTGCATTGGAACAAACTGGGCTTCGGCTACAGCTGTGGTCTTCTTGTTCCCTATTATGGCTGATGCATTTACGATGACTTATACGTTTTTATTTTATGCAGGAATTTGCATTTTAAGTATTCCTTATTTGTGGCTTGACTTAATTGAGACGAAAGGAAAAACTAAAGCTGACTTGAAAATGATGTTTTCAAAGCTCAGATAAATAATCTACTTTTAAGTCGATTAAAAAGTAATTTTTTTAAGCCTGATTTTCACGACTAAATAACTTGGAAAAAATCAAAGATAAATTTGATTTTTAGGTAAGAGTATAAATTTTCAGCAAAAATTTAAATTCTAGGGCAAAAAGGCTTACTTTTCAGGCTAAATGCTGACAGTCTCTTGTCATATTTTGTCCTTCAACAATTATTCCATTTATCTCGCCAACTAAAGAGAGTAAATTCCAAATATATTTTATTTGTGTAAAGAAAAATTATTAAATAATTTTAAAACAGAGGTTATGATTAGAATAAATATTCTTGTAATTTTATATCATCATTAACGAAGTCTTCTTATATATTTTATTTATTTTCTTAATTGATTGGTATTTTTTCTTAAGGATTCTGCTGCTAAGTGAATATTCTTTACTTGCAGTGATGGGTATTTTAATAGCAATATTAAGAATCAGCCTTAAGAGTTGTGCTTCAATAAGCGTAAAAAGTTAAAAAATGAATAAATACCATTTTTTTAGACTGCTTATATGGGATAGAACATAAAAACCAGCATAAGTAATAGTAGTTTCGCTCAAATATCAGAACTTAAAGATTAAATTAATTTATGATGCTCGAAACCAAACCTTTCACTGAAAAGGAAGCAAAAATTTGTAAATGTAGGGAAAAGGCGATGGGAGTATAATAATAAATTTTTATCTCAATTAGGCTAATATTTGTATTTATTTAACCAAATAAATAAAATATATTTTCATGTGATGAGCCTAGGCATACTTAAGATTAATCCTATTACTTTCATAGCCATAAATTAAAATATATAATTTTGAAGAAAAATTCATAAATTTAATATAAAATATTTGACTATTTTAAAAAATCTCTTAGCCTTATTAAGCGATGTTAAGATAATTCTTGATATATTTCTTGGCTCCAATCATCCCACAGTCTTCATGGCTCACAATAAAAAAAGGACAGCTGTTAATAGCTGCTCTGATATGAGGAGGCTTAGCAAACAATGCATCTTTAAAAATTTGGCTTTTGGCTATATTTTCTGCATTTCTAGTAACCAAACCTCCAATCAAATAAAATCCGCCATATGGCAAAGTTTTTGCGATTGAATTTCCGCATTCATATCCAAGCATTTGTAGCCACAATTCTACAGCTTTTTGGCATAGCTGGTCTCTTCCTGAAAATCCATATTCCATAATTAGCTTCATTCTTTCTCCTGGGCTGCTTTCAAATAGCCTGTCAAATTCTTCATTGAGCAATTCAGGGAATTCTCTCCTCATAAATGGGTAAAGATTATAAGCTCCCACTCCTGCAAGCACCAATTCTTGATTAGCTGCTTGAATTCCTTCAAATTGTGGGTACTCTTCGCCTTGTTGGCATGCTCCTCTTACTCTTTCAAGCATGTACATAGAGAATTTCCACTGAAGCTCATTTTTAGGACCAAAATCATAGTGTCCTCCTTCAGTCCCCCATGCGTCATAATGTCGTCCATTCCAAGTTAAAAAGCAAAACCCAAGGCCAGTGCCAGGCCCAGTGACTACAACTGGAGAATGTTCAATCGGCCTTACACCTGGATTTAACTGAATCATTTTTTCTGGCTTCAAATCCAAGACTCCATAGCCAGCTGCTTGGAAATCGTTGAGAAACACAACTTTTTCAATACCCACTTCATTAGTCACTGCGTCTGTTGTACATGGAGGCCAGCCAGTATTGACAAACGTAACACTGTTGCCCTTAACAGGCCCTGCAATTGCGAAGACTCCAATGCTTGGAGTTGGTTGGCCAGCAAGAAAAGTTTTAATTACTGGAATAAACTCCTCAAAGCTGTGAGAATTTAGATTTTCTAAGGGTTTCACAACTGTACATTCTCCATTTTCGAAGGAGAGCAACTCAAAGCGAGAGTTAGTTCCTCCAATATCAGCTACCAAAACAATCGACATTTAATTTAATGGCTATTTAATGTAGCCAAAAATGACAAGAATTTTTAAATAAGGTGCACAAACAGTTTTAAAAATTTTTTTTGAATAGCTAATATTAATTTTAAAATTTGAGACAAAGCTTATAAATAAGTTTAAAGGGCAGTCCAATAAAAAACCAAATTTTTTGAGCGAAAGGTCCATTGTTTCATAAGCATTCATTTTTATATTTTTTTATATTTAGCAATTGCTCCATTTACGTCGCCAACATAAGTGAATTAATTTACAAATTTATTGAACTTGCATAAAGTTGATATATCAAGTCTTAAAACAGCAATAGTGTTATTCAATTTTATTTATTACCAATAAAGCGTCAATTATAAATAATAATTATTTTCTTATTGGCTTGCCATCACTTGCCTAATTACTCTATTAAGAATAAAAATTATAAATTAAGTGCTAGCTGAAGACAATCATTATTTCTGATAAGTAAATTTTTTCAAAATTAAAGGAAATTTAAGCGTTTTATTTCTGATTGAATGCTTTTACTTACAATGCCTGCCTATTTAAATAAAAAAATATTAAAATCAGCCTTAAGAACTGCGCTTAATAAACTTAAGAGTTAAAATACGCATAAATTATTTTATTTTGCTAATTATTATGGATAAAATCAAAAAGCAACTAAAATATAGTCATCTCAAACATGCTAAAATTGTATTTTTACAATAAGGAGTTCTTTGTATTTTTATAAACTAGGGCAATTAATTGCAATTAAATATAGCTTTTCAATTGCCTAATCTATGCCATACTTGAATTAAATACTACACATTTAGGTATAATTAAAAAAATGGAATTTTAGAGATCATATCTTGGAATATAAATTATAAATTTAGAATAAAATATTGCTTGATCAATTATCAAGAGCTCAAACGTTTGTTTTTATATTTATAACTATTTTAGGAAGCATAAGATATACCCATTTTCGTGAATAGCCCATTAGGGAGCGATTTAAGTTAGTGAGACAATAGCTGGCTTACAAATTTGCTAGAGAGCTATATTTTGCCGCGCCAAATTTAAAAATAGTGAACCGAAAAAATGCTCCTAGTGAGCAATTCTTTATAAGCAGATATATTAATTTGAATAGTAAAAACATGAAATGAAATTAGGACTTCATAATATAAGCTTAAGCATTTCTTATTTATTTGCGATAATAATAAAATGTAGGATAGTTTTAATCGTAAAATCCTCCATGACTTAATCAATGTATTTTTTGAAATTATTACTAATTTTTACTATGCATTAAAATGACTGCGAATCGACCAGACCTCTAAATCTTGCAGCTGGAGAATTAACGAGACAGAAGACCTTGAGAAAGAACGAGAAAGCTGATTGTGTATAAGATAGGTTTTATTGGAGCAGATGGAGCGGCGAGCTGAATTCTATAAAGGCTTTATTCATGGGAAAATGGGTGACGAAGTTGGAAGGATTTCCCAATGGGCTCAGAGCAGTGCAATATGTCTTTATGTTCTAAGCCTCAAGCTTCCATTTTTGCCTGACAGGTGGCCAAAACAATTAACTGTTTATACTTTCCACAAAAGGAAATTTATTTTAACTTCAAGGCAGCGAGCACAGGTCTCATTGGAAAGAAAAATACTGCAAAGCAGTATACGCACTGACAAAAGAGCCATGGAGCATTATGGGAAAAAAATAATGGTCTTCTACTGCCTAAAAGCAGGCTTTTCAATAATCTTTAAAACAATAACTAATTTTTACTATTTATAAGCTTCTATTTCTATTATATTTTTCTTTATCATCCACAATTTTTTCTTAACTCTTTTTCTTAAACTTTGCTATATCTTATACTATAAAATGCCTATCAAAAACATTATCCAGCCGATCGACTAAATATTCTCACAATAATTTCTATAATACATAATCTCCCACACTCTCTCTATAAAAGTATAAACCTCATTATCATAAATTTCCTATCATTTTTCATTTATATTAACAAAATACTTTTCTCTAATAATTTCCTAATTTCTATATAAAATTATTATTTCTAATATTCTAAAATCTCCCTATACCCCAAAAAGCCTACAAAATATCTTTAATTTCTAAATCCACAACTTTTCGTTAGCCACCCTTTTATTCACACTTCAAAGGATAAATTTGTTCACCTGTTATAATTAATGTCTTCTCCTCTGTTAGAAGCAGATCAAGAAAAATTTGACAACAAGACTGTCTGAAAAATCGGGATAACAGTCGCGATGGGCTCTTTCATTTCAGGCATGAATCTCGGAGTTTATAATTCAGCACCGGATAACATTTCTGCAACCCTGGATTGGGGTAGCAACAAAGATTACTTTATTCCAACAATGAATGCTATGATGCATTTCGGCGCTACCTTTGGAGCTCTCAGTGCAGGTCCATTGGCAACTAAAAAAGGCCGTCGCCAAGCTATATTGATTTTGGATATATTATAATAATTCTCATTACTATCAATTTTTTTTATTTTTAGCAAATTATTTACTTATAATTTTTGGTATAATTACAATAATTGCTTCAGCCTTCTTTTTGATTCCATTCACCCCAACTTTTGCTATAGGCAGATTTCTATCTGGGTTTATTGCAGGAGGCTTTTGTGTGCTCTCTCCTTTATTTATCTTTGAATTCGCCCCAGTTTCCATTAGTGGAAAAATTGGGTCTTTGATACAGTTTAACATTACCCTTGGGATTGTCTTTATGTATGCTTTAGCATTGCCATTGCCAACAGGAGGCTATAAAAGTAATGACTTAAATTACTGGTGAATGTTCATGTTTTCTTTACAATCAGTTTTTGCCTTATTCCAGCTCTTTTTAATGCTGATGAAGTTTAAGTATGACACTCCTGTTTGGCTTTTAGAACAAAACAGAAGAGAAGAAGCAGAAAGAAGCCTAAGGCAATACTATGACGACGAAAGCGCAGCATCTGCACTGGCAAGACTAGAAAAAAGCATACAAAAATCAAAAGAAGAAGCAGGCGAAAGCAGCTATGCTGATTTATTATGCTGCAGAAAAGGGCATTCTAAAAGCTTCAGAATAGGGATTATGCTGAATTTTATACAGCAGTGGTGCGGAATTAATGCAATTTTAGGGTACTCTACAAGCATTTTTAGCGAATTCGGCAGCGAGTTTGTAGCGAGATGCTTTACGGTACTAATTGGGCTTGTTAATATGGGTGCCACGTTGATTTTGTTCCCAGCTGTCAATAAATACGGAAGAAAGCCTATGCTTTGGATTGGAAGCTTAGGAATGGCTGCATGCTTGATTTTTGATGGGATTTTTTCAGGACCTGTTGATGCAACAGTAGGTCCTCCACTGGCTTTTATATTAATTTATATTGTTTTCTTTGAAACTTCTGCTGGACCACTGTGCTGGATTGTGTGTGGAGAAATTTTAGCACCTAAAGCTATGAGCATTTGCCTTGGAATGAACTGGGCTTCGGCTACAGCTGTTGTCTTCTTATTCCCAATTATGGTTAATGCATTTTCGATGACTTATACGTTTTTCTTTTATGCAGGAATTTGCTTACTAAGTGTTCCTTATTTGTGGTTTGACTTGGTTGAGACTAAAGGGAGAACTAAAGCTGATTTGAAAACAGAGTTTTCTAAGCTTAGATAAGTATTTAATACTAAATTTGATTAAGAATTTATTTGTTTTACAATTCATAATAAAATATAAGTACACTCAAATGAGCATTAAAATTAAGATAGCAAGATACAAACTTTAAAAAAATTGGAATTTCCATTTATTTTTTGCAATCAAATAAGCTCACTGAGGCTCTTATGTTAGGCTAACACTAGAGTACTAAGCACAAAATATATATTGGGGGGTTTTCAAGCTAAATGGAGCTAATTCAAATTGAAAAATTATGTATCAATAAAATGCTTTAATTAAATTCCTTTGAGGCTTGTATAAAGGATTTATATTTTTAAAAGCATGGGCAGACATTATTATTTCATGTATTTACTTCGATTAGTAAGAAAAACCTGGCTTAGCCTGTAATAAAATATATTTACCTTCAATTATAGTAAAAATTGTTAAGGACCTGGTAAAAGCCATTACATTGGCAAAACTAACCCAGACTTTTCAAATGCAATGGATCCTCGGAAGCTAGGTCAGCAGCACCAGGGTGTAGATACCATCCCGGTAAAAATGAAGTCCCTCTTTATATGAAGAAACTGACTGAGCATTCTTAATTTTCTAATATTATGGTTAGCTTCTATAGAATAATTCAAATTAATACTCTGCGATTAATAGAAAATTCTCCAAAATTTTTATAAATAAGCTTGCATTGCTAGAAAAGGTAATTGATTTTAAATAATATACAAATTTAGTTTGTTTTAAAAAGAAGAAATATTTAAGAAAATCAACCTTATTATGCAAACTATGCTATCAAAAGAAATATATATAAAATTTGGTTGAAAGCAACCTGCCCCAGTGGTGGGTGACCATATTTCTACCCAAACATGCAGAGAGTTGAGCTAGCCTTGAAGTGAGAAGCCCCAGTAATTTCCGCGAATTTTTGGCCTGACTAAAGTGGCAGTTTTTTTAAGTAAATATTCATATATGTCCTAAGGCAATAAAGTACAAAAATGGGAATTAAAATTTCTATCAATTATTTTTGTGCTATTTTAGAGTTCATTTTTCTATTATAAATAGATTATGGAGAAAAATATCTATATAACAAAAGAGCAAGCTTCTCCTTAATAGTTTTAACCCCTACTCTATATTATTTAATTCAAAATCAGAATCTTAGCTGAATTACACACAATGTAAAATTCTTCTAATATTGTGAACTAATGTTAAAAGGGGAAAATTATGTGATATATATTTCATTAGCTCTATCCGCATACTTTCATCAAGAACTTAAATATATCAGAGGTGAAAACCTCATTCTGAGTAGCAAAAGAGATAGGTAAGAGATTTAATTGTAGTAACACTGGGCACTAAAAATATTTAGATGTAAACAATGCTTAATTAGATAAATTCTTTATTATTTTGTATTTGTAATTGTTATGCTATGAAACTAATCCAATTAAAAAAATCTAAACTATATTCTACTTTAATAAAAATCCAAATAAATCTATTTCGTTTTGAAGTTATCATTAATAAAAAAAGATTTGGTGTTATTTATTCCATAATGTTTCCCCTTAAGATTGACATGCATGAGTCCTTTTATTCAGGACGAAGGATTGAAAGAAATTCTCTGAAGAATTTGATATTTGAACTATATCATCAATTATACCATCGAAAAACAATAGACGAGAAATCAACTTTTAAGTTAAAAGCAACAGAAACAATATGATGTATGGTTTGATGCTTTCAAATGTTGAGCTTACTATGAATTCCAAGTCTCGCAATCGCGTATTGGAAAGAAAATATCACACTATGAAAAGCTATTGGGTATTTTAGACTTGATAATGTATGCTCTGAATTTGGGATCATTAAGTGATGCTTTTATTCATCAATTATGATTACTTTTATTCTCATTATTAGCGTTGCTTTTTTAGCTATCAGTATTTATTTTTCTTGAACTATTCCAGCATTATTTGGTGCATTTAAATCATTTTTCAACTTTTGGCAAATTTATTTTTTGATACCTTCTGTAACTCTATACTCAATATTTTTAAAATATGCCATTTTGCCAAAAAACTATATTTCAGAATACAAAAACAACAATCATTTAGAAGACTTTGAAATAAGTGCTGTATCAGAAGTTGCAATAATTTTATCGTTAATAATAGATTTTATTTTGCTTTATTTTTTTACTCAATTTTCAAGTGAAATTAGACATTCTGAAAGCAGAAAAACTCTAAAAGCAAAGGCTCATTCAAAAGTCGATAGTCACATAGCAATTTTTACTTACTTTTTGCCAATCCTTTATGTCTTTTGCAATGAAAATTATATGGTATATTTCCAAACTTTTATGATGATTATTTCAGTAATTATAATGAGAGAATCTGATCTTCTTCTGCCTAATTTTTCCCTTTATAGCAATCTGGCACAAGCTCTAAAATTGTTTACTATCTTTTTGGCTTCTTTTGGGTTTGTGTTAGGATGTGCAATTGATAATTCATTGGTAATTATTTTTATTGTGGTCATTTTATTACCTATTTGTGCTGTCTTTGTGATACAATTTACTATAAAGCTTCATAAAAGCATTAATACTGATATTTTTAGAGATATAGCAGAAATACATACTAGATATGAACTAGAGAAGCGACTAAGGCATTGACTATGCTCAAATGACACTGATCACAAAAACGAGATAATTCGCGCCTTTGAAAAATTTTATATCAAAAACAGCTCTGAGAGAGATAAACTCCAAATTATTTGGGTAGTAAATTACTGCTTATATGCACTTAAAGATGAGCCTCTAGCAAGAGTTAAACTAAGAAAAACAAAAACTATTTCAAGATGAAATTTAGAAGCTGATTTTCAAGAATACTTATTAAATAAAATTCTCAATGAATCTTCGACAAATGAATGCTTACAATTTTTAAATTATTTTCAGCAAATAAATATGATAAAAACGAAAGATTCAAAACTATGTGTCTCTTTATTGACGTTTTGAGAACAGTTAACTTCATCTAAACCTGATATTAAAGGATTGACAAATAGACTTAACTGGATTGATGAAACGATTTCTTATCTTAATAATCAATACAAGCGGCTGTTAGAGGAATTTTCGGATTCTCAAGAATGCTTAACCCTCTAATTTAAAGTAATTTACCAAAAATATGAAAATTCTGCCTATATTTTGTCAAATTTAAAGAAGGGAGTTAACACTCTATACTTCATATACAAAAGATATAATTTATGATTATGAAAAATCAAATTTACTAGAAATTAAACTAAAAGGATTATACAATACCAATTATGCAAATCCAGAGTCAACGAAATGCAGCTTTTTGAATAATTCTAGAGGAATTTTGATAATATCTGGTGAACCTGATAATTTTGGCCGAATTTTATTTTCAAATCCAAGAGCAGCTGAAATTATGAAAACTTCTGTTGATAATATAAAAAATTTTATTCATCAGTATTACTATGAAAGCTTTAAAAAAGAAGCTCAACGGCTTATTCATTATGGCTCGAACTCTGAAATTGATTTCAGTAAAGGATTCTTTTTAAATATTCCAGGAAAATATTTAATAGAGTGTAGAGGGAAAGCAATAATTACTGCTATTGATTGTTCTTTTGCTTTTATATTAAATTTTGAGACAAAGAATACCAAGCACCAGACAGTGCTTTTAACAGAAACTGGAGAGATTTTATGTTATTTTTAAATTTAAATTTTAATTAAAGTTCCTGGCTTGCTTGTCTATTGCTAGCGTAGTAATTAAGGATCCCCTAGGGATTTCACCCTCTTTGTAGTATCGATAGGGAGAACTTTTTATAGTTTGGATGATTAGCCTGGCGAGAATAGGGTCGAGCACCAACTTTCCTCTTCTTCACGCCTGATGCCATGGCAAATGCAAATAGTGTTCTGTGCCTCCGTCTCCTGCTTGTCTTGATGACTCTAGTATTCAGTAGGAAGGCCATGGATATTTTCGGCATGCTGATTGGCGTGTGAAGGTTGTCCACCACACAAAAATCAGGAAAAATTGGAAGCCCGATGGGTAACTCTTGGTTTCATGTTAGAAAGTTGTCCGAATGGTCTTGGCATTGTCTTTAGGCACTGCTGAGCTTTCCTTTTCTATCTGAAGCTTCCTTCCCCTCGAAGTAAAATCTAATCAAAAGGCTGACTAGGGCTAGTCTCTGTACACTACTGTCCATTTTTGGGTTGGGAAACCTTGTCGGATATAAATAAAATACGCTTAAGGCCGCTTTACCGGAAACAATGCCAGGTCAAGACCCATTTTTATTTATGATTTTATGCTACTCAGAACACTTTCATGAATTCGTTGGCAAATACAATAAAAACTTAATTGGCTACAATATTAAGGATTTATTTGCTGAAGCAAAAATATCTGGCAATAAATGAATTTTACATTCAAATACTAAAGAAACAATTTTAGTGATGTCTTGTGCACAAGTTTATAACTTAAAGGTCTTTTATGCTACACTAACAAGTAATCATGAAAATATCAAAAAAAGAAAAAATAAAAATAGCCAATATGACACTAAAGCAGAAGAAATAATAAATGAAAATCTTTTAAGCCCATACGGATCCAATGAACGATCTTATAGAAGTTACCAAGTATCTGAGGAAAAATACATAAATTCAGAAGTCGAACTAATTCATCCATTTTCTATGGAATCTTCAGAAGTCATTGGAAGCCTGCAATCAGATGCAAAATCACAAATTCCGAGCCAAAAAAAGTTTTTTAAAATGCTGGAAATTTCTTCAAGGTCAATAAATATATTGCATCTTGCCTTCATTTTATCAGTAAATCTTATATAGATTATCGCTGTTTTAAGCACAAATATTGTGGTTCTTTTTTATGCTTTTTCATATATCGATTTTATAAAAAATATGGATCTTTCTATGGCTATAGCTAAAGCAGAGTCTAGATTACAAATTGCTGCTTATAATTCGCAATTACTTTTAGAATTGGCATATATAAATGACCCTAATTGGTATCAAGATTTATTAACTGCATGAGAAGGACTGCCTGGGTATGTAAATGATGTTAGAGATATTTATATGGAAATTATTTCTAATTTATCAAAATGAAACTACTGCGCAGGTAACGCAATTTTGACTGATAAAAGGATAGATGTGTGAGAAAATGACTACATAAAAAAAACAAGCTTATTAGATATATCCCTGTTTGCCAAGAATAGCTTCTGATTCGCCATTCTTAAAATTGGGTTAGCCAGAAAATATGGATGCCAACGAATTTTGCAAGCCAGCTATTGTCGGCCAACCAAAAAATACTTCTTACTCTCCCCCCATTTAATAACGAATACTTTGTTTGTTCGTTATTAAGTGGGGTCTATGTTATAAAATTTTTGGAAAAAATATATAAAATTTATATAAAATATCTATGATTTTTATATAAAATTTCAATTAAAGGGTTAATAAAAGGAGTCAAATGATGACAACAGAAAGAGAAATCGCCTAAATGAAGGCGAAAAGACAACTATTGCTAACTCCCCCCCTCCGTGAGCTAATAAAACCATTAGAAAAATCCCTTACTCTCTATGAGCAAACAAAAAATTGTTTAATAGAAAATTTTTTATGGAAAAAATTTTGATATATAAGCGATAATTATTATAATGAAATCTCTGGATAATTCTGTTTAATTTTAAACAAATTGCGTTTTAAAATATAAATTTTATAAATTAAATTAATATATGCTTCCCAATTTTTGCAAATTAGGAATTTTTTAATAGAAAAATTTTTTATGGAAAATATTTTGATATATAAGCGATAATTATTATAATGAAATCTCTGGCTAATTCTGTTTAATTTTTTAAACAAATTGCATTTTAAAAACATAAATTTTATAAATTAAATTAATATTTGCTTCCCAATTTTTGCAAATTAAGATTTTTTTAAATTTCGAAAAAAAAAAAACCCCCCTCCGTGAGCGAACGAGATTTTTTTGTTCGCTCACGGAGAGGGGGAGTAAGTGCCAGCTTAAAATTAAGCTACTAGTAACTTATTAGCTCTTATTTATTATTCTTTGCTCGATTATACTTGTCCTTATCTTACTCTAACTACTTAAAATTAGTAAACTGTAGAGACTAAATTAGCTTATATAAATTTTATAGTAAATTTTGTTCGTTATTAATGGGGCCTAAAGAAAAATTTTTAGGAAAAAAAAAAATGAAAGTTTTGTTCGTTATTAAATGGGGGGGGAGTTAGTGGCTATTCTTGGTAAATAAATATACTTTCTCAATCTGCTCAATTTGTATTTTTTATATAGGGATATGATATATTAAGAAAGTATAATAACTCTGAAGATTATACAAAAGAGGTTAGGTATTTGAAGATGGCTGGCTTTGGATATGGATATCAGTATTGCAATAGTTCTTTATATGAAATAATTGATTGCCAAAAATCATTAATGCTTGATTTTAAATCAGTAATGCTTATTCTCCTCATTTTAGGAATAGGAGTACTTGTTTTGTGTTTTTTGGTAATGATTCCGTTTTGTTATTCTGTAATTAAGATTGAGAACAATCTTTGGAGTAATTTGAGGAAAAAAGCATATCGAAATTTCTCAGAAATGAAACAGTCACTTTTAGAAAGGCTAAGAAATGTTCATTCCCAGCCTGAACTTTTGACTAATAATAGAAATCCAGATAATACAAGATTCTTCTTCAAAAATTATTGAAAATATATATGAAGAATTTGCATATACTTTATAGTCGTTATAGCATTTTCTTTACTTAATATTACTTATTTCTATGAAAATTGCACAAATTATTTAGCATATAGACCTGAGGTGCTTCGAGAAATTATTCGCACCAAAATATATATTAATACCCTTGCTGTCTCAGCATCAGATATGCAGGATTATATGGCAGGTATACCATTGAATTATTTCTTTGACATTCATAATTACCCAAATACTCAAATAAATTTCCAAAAATCTATTTCAGAGCTTGCTCCTCATGATCAAGCAAAACCATTAAAAATTTTCCTATTTTTCTCAAAAAAAAGCTATTAAAAAATATTAAAAATTACTAATTTTTTTTGCTATGAGATTTTACTCTAAATTATATGATTTTTTTTTTAAAAAAAATTAGGCCACCTCAGTTAGTGAGCAAAACGATTTTGTTCGCTCACAGAAATGCTAGTTAGAGATTCGAGATCAACATTAAGAAACCCGAAATATTCACCAATTCTATCGAATGATTTTAAAACAATGTATTATGAAAATGATAGTCAGCCTTATACACATTATTTAGATTACGGCACTTATGTAGCTGAAGAAGAGCAGATAGATTATGGTTATATTATTGCACATTTAAATGTCACTAATGATGCATGAAGATGATGATATTACAATATGACACTTTTTAGAGCAAATTATGATAAATATGCTAATATAATTGATAGCTATTCTCAAAAGGTGATCGATGACCAAGTAAGCATTATTGTTACAGCATTTTCTATTTTTGTTGCAATTTCGATTGTGGTATATTTTTTGCTTTATTTTGTGTTTTTTAAGAATGAGAAGAAATATTTACAGAAGATCAATTCAATGATGAGAATTATGCCAGTATAGGGCGCAAGATTATACAGGTAATGCAAAAAAAAATTTTATAAATAAACTTTTCTTATTTTCATTATAAAGAGTAAGTGATTAAAAATCTCAAAAATTTAATGTCTTAAATATTGAAAATTTAAAAATTGCTTGATTGGCTAAATCAAAATAATTGGCACTAAATAATCCATTAATTATCCACACAAGATCTCAAACACTCAAAACTTTTTAAAACTCAAAATGATTCCAAAGCCTCGCATTAAAAATAAGGAATTGTTCAAATGTTCACTAAAGCTAAAGTGATTTATTTTTAGTAGTTTTCTATAAGCATATTGCAAAACACACCAACAGCATGCTGGTCATGATGGAGGAAAGAAGACAACTCAGTTATATGCCTACTTGCACTAAGGGAGCGAGGACATGCAAAGGCCATTATATTTTAGATTAAATACAGCTGGCACATCATCAGTGCAATACACAGATTCAGAGCTGGCTTTAACTCGTGCGCCACCAATGTTTATATGTGATTGCTGGAAGGCAGCCCAAACTACCCTATTTGTGGTATAACTGAGGGTGAGGCTATTTAATCGAGGTATGCTCGGTTTACAGATAAGTATAGAGAGTCATTGAAGATTTGGCAGAAATATAACCTCTCCTTTTAGGCTTAGGATATTGGAATTAGCTATGTACCAGCATCAGTTCCTTGAGGCAATTAAGAAAATGGTAATACAGGAAGTAACGATACCCTCACAAGTTGATATATATAAAATAGTGGCAAATGTCGCCCTTGGCGTAACAGTTCAGACCTTACAGCAAAACGCAAACTAGAACGGACTTCGAGCCGAGAATCAAGTGCGGCCTCAGCAAATGTGCATCTGGATAGACTTTTGTGTTTTCTGTGGCTAGAAATAGATACCAGCAATGACCTTTGGACTCTTGAACATTCATATACTGAGAAATTCGGGGTTTTCGACCGGGTCACAGCGAAATAGTCTTTTTCCTTCAGCTTTCAAAGAAATCACTTCTTTGCCTGGAATACTACAAGAAACTAATCTTTGGAATCAAGCTACTCCAATCGCAGGCTGTAGGGCTGCAGAAATTCATAACCCGCCCACTAAGACTGAAGCCTCAAGCCAAGTAGGAGACAACTGCACCGGTTAGAGATCTAGACCTAATAGGTAGTTTTTCGCAAAGCGGATAAGTCTATATATAATGCGGGAGGTCTTTGGTGGCTATGCTACCAATATGGCTAGCATCAGTTAGTCTAACCTAACCCTACAAAGTGAGTAGGGTGTTAGAGAGGCTCTATGAAGAGATACTGAAGCGAAGATCTGTAGAGAAGCTATAGGAGCAGGCTTGGCCAAAGCCGTTGGGCCAAATAATAGGAAGACTTTAGGCAGATTCTGCCATTTATTAAAAGCCACCCATAATGGTGACTCGTGAAATTAGCTTTCTGGCCTTGCTATTAAATCAGTTTTCAATAAACATTTTCTATCTTAACTTAATTTTTTTAGCTTATTAATATAAGAAAGAAATATTTTAATATCATTAGAGCCTTCCTTATTCTTTAAACCTTTTTGAATCTTTCCACCCTGTTATTTTGACAAATAAAATAAGCTAGACAAAAACCTGCTAAAATTCGCTAGTTTTTAATAATAATTTCAAGGTGTCTTTGGGAAAACTCTTTTAGGATGGTTAAAAAACTCGAAGGCTCTTTATATTGCTATTATTAAAACCTGTAGCGTTCTAAAGAGCTAAAAAACATCAAAAAATTAAATTATAAAAGCTCAAAAAATTATTATATTAGACTAACAGTTTCATAAGACTTTTAATACTTCAAATTTGAATCTTTTTTGCAAAACTAAAATGCAGTAATAAAGCCTCTTTGAAAAATTCGAAGCGGCAAGTCAATAGATTTTTAAACAGATTTACCCATTATTTTCTATTGCAGTTAATAAGCACTTCCATTTATAAGGCTTATAATAATTGAATTATCTCAGGTATAATTAATTATAAGCTATTTTTATTTATATAAAAGTTGATTAAAAAGCATTTATTCCATCAAAGTTAAGACTAATAAAAAATAAATTTTTGCTGCTGCTTATTTCTAAATGCTTGAACTTGTCGACATATATGAGCCCTTTTCTTTGAGACGTATAGCTAAAGGAAATCCGCTAAAAAATTCAATATTTGAGACATATCGTCAATTATACCACCGAAACAATTTAGATGACAAAGCAATTTTCAAGTCTAAGGTTACAGAAACAATATGCGGAATATTTTTGTGCCTCCAAACGTTGAGTCTTCTATGAACTCCAAATCTCACAATAGCTAATTGAAAAGAAAATATGATAATATGAGAAATTATTGGATATTTTAGGCTTGATAATGTATGCTCTGAATTAGAAATTATTAATTGATGTTTATATTCATCAATTACGATTACTTTTATGCTCACTCCCCCCCTCTGTGAGTGAACAAAACCATTATAAAAATCGCTATTTTTTGCCCAAAAACCCACCCTCCGTGAGTGAACACAAATTTTTTTGGAAAAAAAATTTTTATATAAGTGATAATTATTATAATGAAATCTCGAGCTAAATCTGTTTAATTTTAAACAAATTGCGTTTTAAAACATAAATTTTACAAGTTAAATTAATATATTTGCTTCCCAATCTTTATAGAAGTGAGATTTTTTTAAATTTCGAAAAAAAAAGATTTCTATAAAATTTATATCTAATTTTTTTTAAAAAAAATAATTAGCCCCCCTCCATGAACAAAATTTTTTTGTTCACTCACGGAGGGGGGGAGTCAGTATTGGCGTTATTTTTTTAGCTATCTGTATTTTCTTAGAATTAAGTTTTCCGAAATTATTTGATGTATTTAGATCTTTTATTAAATTTAGAGAGATAGAGCTTATCTTAGGATGCCACAAGGATGTCTCAGATACTTTTAGAGATACTGTGTAGTTCTGCATCTAGTTCCAGGATCCTCCTCTCAGTTGTTGCAATATCTCGTGGATATTCTATGCCCTTAGAGGATGTAGGCTTGGGACTTGCTTGCCATTTGCTCCATCTCGTCTTGGCTGATTATGCTACAGCCCTACCTTAGGCAAGCATCTGTTGCCAGGTATTATCATAGGAAAAAAAAATCTCTTTTAGCCTCTATTTAGATCAGTTTTCAATTTTTGGCTCATTATTTTTTTAATACCTTCAATGACTTTATATTCAATTATTTTGAAATGTAGCATTTGGCCTCGAAAATTTGCTTTAGAATATAAAAATGGCAATAATTTAGAAGATTATGAAGCAAGTATTGTATTGCAGCTCTTGATAATTTTAGCAATGGTAATAAACTTTCCTCTATTGTATTTTTATACACAATTTTCAAATGAAATTAGGCATTCTGAAAGCAAAAAGACTATAAGAGCAAAAGCTCATTCAAAAATTGACAGCTACATAGCAGCTTTTGCTTATCTTTTACCAATCCTTTATGCTCTATTTAATGAAAATTATATGGTTCATTTTCAATTTTTTGTGATGATTATTTCATTATATATAGTGATAGAGTCCGAAACACTTTTGCCTTATTTTTCCCTTTATTGCAATTTAATACAAATTCTAAGATTTTTTACAGTTGTTTTAACTTCATTTGGATTTATTTTAGGAAATTTAATGGACAATTCATTGGTTATTAGTTTTTTGATTGTTATTTTGTGACCAATATCTGCTTATTTTGTAATACTGTTTACTGTCAAACTTCAAACTCAAATAGACGGAATGGCTTCAAAAGATATGAAAGATATAAAATCTAAATATGAACTTGAAAAAAGACTAACCCACTAATTAGCGTGCCTGAAAAAATATTTAATGGTGTCTTTTTAGAGTAAACTAGTAATTTATTATTAAAATTAATAATTTTTTAAAATTTTTTGGTTTTTTTTATAAAAACGAGCTGGGTAAGACACTGGATGTGCTTAATTGATACCAACCATAAGAATGAGATAATCCATATTTTTGAAAAATTTTTTATTAAAAATAATTCCAAAAGAGATAAGCTCCAAATTATTTGAATTGCAAATTACTGCTTATTTAAACTTAAAGACGAGTCTTTACTCCCCCCCCTCCGTGAATGAATAAAAAATTTTGTTAACTCACGGAGGGGGGTTAATTTTTTTTTCTCAAAACAATTTATATATAAATTTTATAAAAAATATTTTGTTCGAAATTTAAAAAAATCCGAATTCGCAAAAATTGGAAAGCAAATATTAATTTAATTTATAAAATTTATGTTTCAAAAAGCAATTCGTTCAAAATTAAATAGAATTAGATTTCATTACAATAATTATCATTTATATATCAAAATTTTTTTTCCATAAAAAATTTTTCTATATTAAAAACATTTTTGTTCACTCACGGAGGGTGGGTTTTTGGGCAAAAAATAGTGATTTTTCTAATGGTTTTGTTCACTCACGGAGGGGGGGGAGTTAGCAAAAGTCAAATTAAGCAAAACAAAATTAATATCAAGTTGAAACTTAGAAGCCAATTTTCAAGAATATCTATGCAATAAAAATGCTAACGAAATTTCATCAAATGAAAGCTTACAATTTATTAACTATTTCCAACAATTAAATTTGATTAAAAAGAGAGACTCAAAATTGTGTGCATATTTATTAGAATTTTGGGAAGAAATAACTTCACCTAAGCCCGATCTTAAAAGACTGGCAAATAGATTGAAATATATTGATAAAAATATTTCATATCTTAATAGTCAATATAGACAGCTAATAGCTGATTTCTCTGATTCTCAAGAAGGCTTAACACTCTTTACTTCATATGCTAAGGATGTTATTTATGATTATGTCAAATCAAATTTTTTAGAAATTAAATTAAAGGGATTTGACAATTTAAATACCACAAATACTGATTTAAAAAAATTTAACTATTTGAATGACTCTCATGGCATTTTGATAATATCCGCTGAGCCAGATAATTATGGTCGAATTTTATTTTCAAACCCAAGAGCAGCTGAAATTATGAAAACTTCTTCTATTGGCAACTTAGAAGAAAGCAATATAATGGAATTTATCCACTATTATTACTGAGAAGGCATAAAAAAAGAAGTCCAATGGCTTATTCATTATGGCTCAAATTCTGAAATTGATTTAGGCCAAAGCTTCTTTTTGGGTATTCCTGGAAAAGATTTGATAGAATATACAGGAAAAGCGATTATTACTTCAATTGATAATAACCTTGTTGTTATATTAAACTTCGAGCTAAAACAAGTTAAATACCAAACAGCGCTTTTAGCAGAAACTGGGGAGATATTATGCTATTCAGAGCATTTTTCTGAATTCGCTAGAGAATCCAATGAAAATTTGATAGGCTGAAATATTAAAGATTTATTTTCTGAAGCAGAAGTGCAGAATCCAACACCAATTTTTCACATAGAAAATAAAGATATAATTTTAGTCATGTCTTATACACATATTTGTAAATTAAAGGTCTTTTATATTATGCTCATAAGTGATAATGAAGAAATCCAAAGAAGAAAAAATAAATATGAAAATGAGCAACGTGAAACAATAAATAAAAATATTTTAAATCAGAGCGAAAACAATGAGAAGTCTTATCAGAATTGAGAAACCTTAGACGAAAATAATATAAATTCAGAAGCAGAACTAGTCCAACCGAGTTCATATGAGCCTTCTTCAGAAACCCTTGAAAAAAGCTCTTCAAGCAAATCGTCAAGTGCAAAATCTATAATTCCAAGCCAAAAAAAAATTTTTCGAGTTCTAGCCGCTTCTTCTCGATCAATAAATATTTTGCATATTTTTTTCATTTTATCAGTAATCCCTATATAGATTTTAGCTGTTTTGAGCACAAATGTGGTTGTTCTCTTTTATGCTTTTTCATATATCAATTTTATAAAAAATATGGACTTCCCTATGGCTATAGCTCAAGCGGAATCAAGACTGCAGATTGCTGCTTATAATTCGCAATTACTCTGAGAATTGGTATTTTTAAATGATACCAATTGATATCAAGATTTATTAATTGCGTGGCAGGGGATGCCAGAGTATATAAATGACATAAGAGACATTTATATGGATATTGCTACTAATTTACCAAAATGGAATTATTGTTCAAGTAAGTCAATTTTGACTGATAAGCGTATTGTTGTATGAGAATCTGACAGCATGAAAAAAATAAGTCTATTGGAGATGCTTTATAAATCTGCTCAGTTTGTAATAGTTATATAGGGATACAGCATAATAAGCAAGTATAATGAATCTGAAGATTTTTCAAGCGAGGTTAAATTTTTGAAAATGACTGGATATGGCTATGGGTATCAATACATTAACAGCTCGTTATATGAAGTAATGGATTGCCAAAAATCACTAATGCTTGAATTTAAATCAGAAATGTTTATTCTACTTATATTGGGGATAGGAGTTCTTGGGCTATGTTTTTTTGTGATGATTCCATTTTGTTATTCTGTTATTAAAATTGAAAACGATCTTTGGAATAATTTAAGGAGAAAAACATTCAGGAACTACTCAGAAATGAAGCAGGCACTTTTAGAAAGGCTAATTTTACCCTTTAAATGCAAAAAATTTGTTTTAATTTTAAAGGGGTAATTTTTTTCGGAAAAAATTTATATAAAAATTGAATTCATTGTATTTGAATTTTTATTTATTGCTATTAAGACTTAATACCGAATTTAAATTGATTAAGTGCGCTACTGTGTAAACAGCATTTTTATTTGCATTATTTATATTAAATTAGGTCAAAGCTATGTACTTTCACCAATAAAATTTGCAATTTAAATTAAAAAAATATTATTCTAGTTTAAAGGAAGGCGGAGTAAAAAGTGTTCACTCTCAGCCTGAAATTTTATTTACTCCCCCCTCTGTGAGTGAACAAAACCATTAGAAAAATCACTATTTTTTGCCCAAAAACCCCACCCTCCGTGAGTGAACAAAAATTTTTTTAATAGAAAAATTTTTTATGGAAAAAAATTTTGATATATAAATGATAATTAGTATAATGAAATCTGGAGCTAATTCTATTTAATTTTGAACGAATTGCTTTTTGAAACATAAATTTTATAAATTAAATTAATATTTGCTTTCCAATTTTTGCGAATTAGGATTTTTTTTTAAATTTCGAAAAAAAATATTTTTTTTATAAAATTTATATATAAATTTTTTTAAAAAAAAAAATTAACCCCCCTCCGTGAGTGAGCAAAATTTTTTTGTTCACTCACGGAGGGGGGGGGGAGTTAGCAATAGAATCCCAAATAAGACATTATTTAACTTCAAAAACTATTGAAAATATATATGAAGAATTTGGGTATATTTTTTAATTGTTAAGCGTTGACATTAATTATTTATAGAGAAGTTCACACGAATTCCATTCCACCAATTTTTCGTCTGTCCTGTGTTGATCCTTTAGCACAAGGACTTGCACCAGTTTCCTTAAGTTCAGATATGCTGAATCACTTAAGCTCACATTTAAGAATATGCCTTCTAGAAAATTCAAAAATTCTGGTCACTTGTCAAAGCTGAAGCCTAAGATGCAACTCCTGATACTGCGCTAAAAAGCTGCTTGATTGGCTTAGTGGATATCATGGGAAGAGGTGATTTTCCTTTTACTATAAATTCCGCTTCCCTTGAGGAAAAAAAGCAATCTGGCAATCCCCACTGAACCATCGAGTTAGTAACAACCTGGCAAAATACACATATTCAGGCATCTTTATGCCTTCTATAAAGTCCCCAGCCTAATTCAGGGCATTGGTATCTGATGCTAGAACTATGTATTGACTCATAGTACCATTTTATTGCATTTTAATTGTTATCGCATTTTCTGTAATAAATATTACTTACCTGTATGAAGATTGCACAAATTACTTAGCCTATAGACCTGATATCCTTCGAGAAATCATTCAAACCAAAATTTACATAAATACTCTTGCTATCTCAGCATCAGATTTGCAAGACACAGTAACCGGTGTTCCCTTAAATAGTTTTTTTACCATCCATAATTATCCATATATTGCCACTCTTTTCCAAAACTCGATATCATCCCTCAGAGCTTCAAAACTAGTATAGCGCGTACCCCTTTATAGATCTTTAAGGACAATGGCTATCTATTAAAAGAAAAAAAATTGATTTAAAGATTCTAAAAAAAATTAAATTAAATTTAAAAATTTTATCTTATATCTTCTATTTGCCAGTTTTGAATTTGATCTTTCAGAATATTTTAAAATATCAAAATTAATTTTTCTTTAAGGGTATTTTTCCTCAGAATCAATAAGGAGTCAGGTGCTATATTAAGAAATCCTAAATTCTCACCCATTTTATCAAGCGATTTTAAAAAAATGTATTATGAAGATGATAGTCAGCCATATACACACTATTTAGATTACGGCACTTATGTAGCTGAAGAAGAGCAGATAGATTATGGTTATATCATTGCAAATTTAAATGTCACTAATAATGCATGAAGATGATGATATTACAATATGACACTTTTTAGGGCAAATTATGATAAATATGTCGATATAATTGATAGCTATTCTCAGAAGGTGATCGAGGATCAAGTAAGCATTATTGTTACAGCATTTTCTATTTTTGTTGCAATTTCGATTGTGGTATATTTTTTGCTTTATTTTGTGTTTTTTAAGAATGAGAAGAAATATTTACAGAAGATCAATTCGATGATGAATATTATGCCAGTATAAGATTATACATTTTTGGGAGTTAAATAAAATAATTTATTTATAAATACATTTTCTTATTTGCTACATTAAGATAAGACAGTATTTTTGATGATTATTTTGCTTTAAAGTGCTGACATTAACCAAAAATATTATATAATTTCCCTTCAATAACTTCTGAGATCCTTTAGAACTAAGCCACCTATCGAAAGAAGATGGATCATGCACAGGAACTAAATAAGACATAAGCTTAACACAATACACAGGACTGGATGCATGCTCAATGATCGTTCACTATTATTTTTTGTATTTTGGCCAAATGTCTCACTATCAAAGATGCTTCGAGAAAACTTTCCCGAGGAAATGTCGCACTGTCAAAAATACACAGTCATTTGGCAGAGCCCACAGGGCTATAGGTGTTCTGCAAGTGGGTTCAGATGGTGGGAACCATGAACATTAAGTCAAATATAATCCCAGATATCTTCAGCTGAGAAATAAAGGAAGATTAAGCTCCTCATTACTGCGATAAATATATGTAAGAAGCCATATAATAGTAAAAGTTGATATATTTGGTTTAGATTTAGCACAAAATACTAAAATCATTGATGCTCAAGGGTGAAAAGTTTTTTGACTAACTTGAATAAAATTTTAAAAATCTAGACAGTTTAGAGATGATTAATATTAATTTTTAAAGATATAATTTTTAAGAAATGTGAAGAGGGAGTAAGTTTTTTATCTAATTAAAAATATTTAATAAGAATATTTCTCGAGTCAGTAATCAATTATAAGCTGTTTTAATTTTTCTTATAAATAAGCAAAATAGCTAAATAAATTTCTTCACTTTAAAATTTAGATTAATAAAAGAGAATTTTTTTACTTTTTATCCATTCCAATAATGTTAGCACTTAAAGTTGGCATAAATGAGCTCTTTTCTTCTGAAAGGTTATTTGAAACAAATTCACTGAAAAACTCAATATTTGAGATATACAGTAAATTATACCATCTAAAAACATTAGAGGAAAAATCAACTTTTAAGATAAAAGTAATAGAAACATTATCAGGCATAATTTTATGCTTTCAAATGTTGAGTTTTTTATGAAGCAGGAATCTCTCGATATCAAATTGATCAGATAATATGATTTTATGAGAAATTATTGGGTATTTTAGGCTTGATAATATATGTTCAGAATTTGGAATTATCCGTGAATGCCTTTATTTATCAATTACAACTACTTTTATGCTTGGAACTATCATTATTTACTTAGTAATTAGCACTTATTTTTCGCTAACCTTCCCCTCCGCTACGAACAAAACCATTAAAAAAATACCTATTTTTTGCCCAAAACCCCACCCTCCATGAGCAAACAAAAATTTTTTTGTGAAAAAAAATTTTGATATATTAGTATAATGAAATCTCTAATTTTTCTGTTTAAATTTGAACAGTTTACATTTTAAAACATAAATTTTACAAATTAAATTAATTTTATGAATTGGAATTTTTAAATTCCAAAAAAACAATTTATAATAAAAAATTTTAAAGAAAAAATCAGCTAAAAATATATTTTTCCTCTCTCATGGAGGAGGGGGAGTAAGTATTTTCAAGTTATTTGACATATTTAGATTAGTTTTCGATGTTTGATTAACTATATTTTTAATGCCTTCAATGATTCTGTATTCAGTTTTTTTAAAATATAGCATTTGACCTCAAAAATATATTTCAGAGTATAAAAATGGAAACCACATAGAGGATTTTGAAATCAGCACCAGATTACAGATTGTGATAGTTTTGGCATTAGCAATAGACTTTCATTTGCTTTATTTTTATACTCAGTTTTCAAGTGAAATCAGGCATTCTGAAAGTAGTAAAACTATAAAAGCAAAGGCCCATTCAAAAATTGATAGCCATATAGCTATTTTTACTTATTTTTCGCCAATATTTTATGCGATTCTTAATGAAAAATATATCATTTATTTTCAGTTTTTTGCTATGATTACTTCAATAATTGTAATGATTGAATCTGAAATACTTTTACCTTATTTTTCTCTTTATTTCAGTTTGACACGAATTTTCCAACTTTTTACTATTGCTTTGGCTTCATCTGGATTTGTTTTAGGGTATTGAATGGATAATTGGCTAGTTATTATTTTTATTTTAATCATTTTGGGACCAATATCAGCAATTTTTGTGATACAATTTACTATAAAACGCCAAAGACAAATAAACACGGTAGCTTTAACTTCTATGGAAGATATAAGTTCGAAATACGAACTAGAGAAAAGACTATCCTCCAACAAAAGCAGATTATTTTATTTCAAAAAAATTAGTTCAGGCTCATTTTATTACGAGTAAATTTTTAAATAGTATTGCTTTAAACCCTTTAAAACTTGAACCAAAACATAAAAATATATTTAAATTATAGATTATTTAATGTAGAATAAATTTATTTATTATTAAATAAAGGTAGTAAGATATTGGTTGTGCTGTAATAGTATAGAACATAAGGACGAAATAATCCACACCTTCGAAAATTATTTTCTAAAAAATAATTCACATGAAGATAAGCTTCCTATTATTTGATTAGCAAACTATTGTTTTTTTACTTTAAAAGACGAGCCTTTAGCAAAAGTCAAGCTAAGTAAAACTAAAACAATTTCAAGCTGAAATTTAGAAGCTGAATTCCAAAAATATTTATGCAATAAAAATATCAATGAGCCTACATCAAATGAAAGCTTGCAATTAATCAACTATTACCAACAATTAAATTTACTAAAAAAGAAAGATTCAAAACTATGCATCTATTTATTAAAATTTTGGGAAGAATTAACTGCAACAAAACCGAATCTTAGAAGATTGATAAATAAACTGAAATGGATTGATGAAAACATTTTATATTTGAATAATCAATACAAACAGTTGATAGTGGAATTCTTGGATTCCCGAGAAGGCTTAATGCTTTATACCACATATGCAAAAGATGTTGTTTACGATTATGAAAAATCAAATTTACTAGAAATTAAACTAACTCCCCCTCCGTGAGTGAACAAAAAAATTTTGTTCACTCACAGGTTAATTTTTTTTTCGAAATTTTAAAAAAAAATCCTAATTTGCAAAAATTGGGAAGCTAATATGAATTTAATTTATATAAAATTTATGTTTTAAAACGCAATTTGTTTAAAATTAAAACAGAATTAGCTCGAGATTTCATTATATAATTATCACTTATATATCAATTTTTTTCATAAAAATTTTTTTCTATTAAAAAATTTTTGTTTATTTCACGGAGGACGAGCTTTTGGGCAAAAAATAGGGATTTTTCTAATGGTTTTGTTCACTCACGGAGGGGGAGTAAGAGGATTGACTGGTCAAAGTACTTCAAATAGTGACTTAAAAAGATTTAGCTTTTTAAATGACTCTAGTGGCATTTTGATAATATCTGGGGAACCAGACGATTTTGGAAGAGTTTTATTCTCAAATCCAAAATCTGCTGAAATTCTTAAAACTTCTATTGGCAGCTTAGAAGAGAGCAATATAATCGATTTTTTTCATAATTATTACTATGATAGCCTAAAAGAAGAAATGAAATGGCTCATTCATTATGGCTCAAGCTCTGAAATTGATTTAGGCAAAGGTTTCTTTTTGAATATACCAGGAAAATATTTACTTTCGTGTACAGGAAAAGCAGTAATTACTTCAATTGGCAATAATCTTGCTTTTATATTAAACTTCCAACTAAAACAAATAAAGCGCGAATTTGCACTTTTATCAGAAACTGGAGAAATTTTATGCTGCTCAGAATATTTTTCACATTTGATTGAAAAATCCAATGAGAATTTGATAGGCTATAACATTAAGGATTTATTTTCTGATGCAGAAATGCATGAGTCTACATTAATTTTTCAATCAAAAAACAAAGAAACTATTTTAGTGATATCTCATACACAATTTTATAAAATAAAAGTCTTTTATGCTACTCTCATGAACGACTATGAAGAAATCCAAAGGTGAAAAAATAAAAATAATCACCACTATAGCAAGATAAGGGAAAAAATGCATAAACATCATTTAAGCCATGATGAACATGCAAAGGGATCTGCTAAAACTTATCAAAAATCAGACGAAAAATATTTAAATTCAGAAATAAAACTAATTGAGACAAATCCTTATGAAGCTTCAGAAGCCTTTGAAAAAAATTCTGTAAGCAAGTCATCGGATGCAAAATCTCAAATTACAAGTGAAAGAAAATTTTTCAAAATGATAAAAATTTCTTCTAGGTCAATAAATGTTTTGCATTTTGCTTTTATTTTATCAGTAACTTCTATATAGATTATAGCTGTTTTAACTACAAATATTGTAGTTCTCTTTTATGCCTTTTCTTATATAGGTTTTATAAAAAACATGGATTTTCCTATGGCTATAGCTCAAGCCGAGTCAAGATTACAAATTGCAGCTTTCACTGCACAGCTACTATGAGTACTTACTCTTTATGAAGATCCTACTGTAAAAAATGATATATTAGCAGTACAAACCTTATTACCCGGTTACATAAACGACGTAAGAGACATTTATATGGATATTGCTGCTAATTTACCAAAATGAAATTATTGCTCAAGCAAGTCAATTTTGACTGATAAGAGTATCAATGTATGGAACTTAGGTCAAATAAAGAGAGAAAGTTTATTCGATATGCTGTCCCAGTCTGCTCAGCAAGTAATAAACAATATAGGGATATGACTTATTAAGAAAGTATAACAACTCTGAAGATTATACCAATGAAATTAGATTTTTGAAGATGAATGGATATGGGGACGGATTTCAGTATATTAATAAATCACTATATGAAATAATGGATTGCCAAAAGTCACTTATGCTTGACTTTAAATCAGAAGTGTTTGTTCTCCTCATATTAGGAATTGGGGTTCTGGGCTTATGTCTGATAGTTATGATCCCATTTTGCTATTCTGTGGTTACAATTGAAAACAATTTTTGGAATAATTTAAGAAAAAAAGCATTTCAGAATTACTCAGAAATGAAACAAACACTTTTAGAAAGATTAAGGAACATTCATGCTCAGCCTGATATTCTCTCTAGTAGCAAAAACCCTTCTAAGAAAATATTCAGCTTTAAAAATTATTGGAAATATATATGAAGAATTTGCATTTACTTTATAATTGTTACAGGATTTTCTTTAATTAATATTACCTACCTCTATGAAAATTGCTCAAACTATTTAACTTATAGACCTGAAGTAATCCGAGAATTAATTCGTACCAAAATACTTATAAATACCTTTATTATAGCTGCATCAGATTTGCAATATTATGTTCTCGGATTTCCTCTAGATTATTTGTTTAATACGCATAATTATAAAAATAGTTTTGCGATTTTTGAGCAATCTGTGGTATCTATTGGAGATTCAAGATTAACCTTAATTCTCCCACCAATGAGCTAGCAAAAAGAATTTTACTGAAGGTTAATAAAAAATTTATATATATGAATATTAGAGTAAATTATTGTTTTCGGGATCAAAAATCCTTTGGAAAGTAAAAATTAATTAAATTTGCAAAAAATTTAAGTCTTAATATACTAGCTGTTTCAAATTAAATTAAATTAGACAGAGATTTCTTATATTGATTATCACTTATATATCAAAATATTTTTTCATAAAACTTTTTATATTAAATAATTTTTGTTCACTCGCATAGCGGGTTTTCTCTAAAAATAGGTATTTATCTAATATGTTTATTGCTTACTGAAGGGAAGTAAGAAATCCTAAATATTCACCCATTTTATCAAATGATTTTAAAAAGGCTTACTATAAAAGTGACAGTCAGCCATATACACATTATTTAGATTATGGTGGTTATGCTGCGGAAGAAGAATTAATAAATGCTGGCTATCAAGTTGCAAGTATAAATGTAAATAATGATGCGACGTATAGAAATTGAATATATAATATGACACTTTTCAGAAAGAATTATGATAAATATGTTGATGAAATCAATAACTATTCTCAAAGTGTGATTGAGCATCAAATGAATATTATAATTGCAGCATTTTCTATTTTTGTCGTGGCCTCGATTATAATATATTTTATATTGTATTTCTTATTTTTTAAGAACGAAAAGAAATATTTACAAAAAATTAATTCGATGATAAAATTTATGCCGGTATAACTATATAAAGTTTTAAAAGATATATAACAATTCATTTTAAATACTTCTTATTTCTTTACTCCCTTCGTGAAAAACAAATAATTTTGCTCAATCACCAAGTAGGTTAATATTTTTATAAAAAACCACTATTCACGAAGAATGAAAAAGAAAAATTTATTTAATTTGCGGAATTTATATTTTAGGATACAATTTATTCAAATTTCATTATAGTAATTATTATATATCAAACAAACTTTTTATAACAAATTTTTATATTTAAAGAATTTTTACTAATTTGGGAAGACTTGCCAAAAATATGTTTTTGTTTGCTCATGGAGCGGGAGTATAGCAAAATATAGCTTCCAATTATTAACACTAAAATTTAGTTATTATGCATAATTTTCATCACCGCATTTATTTTCTGAAAATATTTCTTTTCTCTTCTAAAAAACCAAATAAAGCCCTAAATATAAAGCAGAAGAAAATACAATAAAAGCGACGAGCGCTGCCACAATAATCTTCATTTGGTCATCAATTACACTTTGCGAATATTTATCAGTCTCATCAATAAAACTATCAAAAATTGTAATCTAATTCTTGGATAGCCGATACTCACTCTATTCACATCAAATAATCTGGATTATAAAAAGAAAGGAAATATGCGTCGGCAATTATGCTTAATTTTGATGAGTATACTCCACACGTAAAATAGCCTGAATTATACTGTTTATCATATTCATAAAGAGTCTCTTTAATGTTTTTTGATAAAACGTCTGCATACTCGTTTTTCCTTATGGCTGAATTTGAGTAATCTAATTTTGATAAGACTTCTAAAACTTCATTTTCGAATTCACTGAAAGGAAACATAGACGATAATTGATCTAGAATCGGTAATCCACTATTTCTCATACAAATCTCAGTTGTTCATATCTCCAAGCTTGTATATAAAACTTGTGTATTTATTAAAGTCTTTAAAACTTCTGGTCTGGCCAATAAATAGTCTGCACATTCTTCGTAAAGATAGGTGATATTTAATATTGAAAATAATACAGAAAAGGCCAAATATATAAGGATTCTTCATGCATACTTCCAATAGCTTTTAAAACAATATGGCTCCATAGAGAGAGATGAGAGTCATTTAGTGTTACGTCTGCCTAAAATGAGCATATTTAAGTCTTTCAGTAATTGCTTCTTTTAGCTCATAACTAAAATATGGCGTCTCAACTTGGCTTGGCCTCTCAGCCAAGCAGTATCGAGCCCTATTTTAATTATATCCGGCAAGGTTTTGCTAGCGAAGAAATGGACAGCTATGCTAGATAACTAGCCCTAGTCTATTTTCCGAGTTAGATTTTACCTCGAGGGAAGGGAGACTTGGAGTTGGAAAGGGGAAGCCCAGCAAAGCCTTTCTAGGCCATTCGGGCTTGGCTACAAGTTTTACCCTTTTGCCGAAAGTCGGCCAGAAATTCAATTTTTGAAATTTTGAGGCAGGCAACCTTCGTTGACGTACGGCACAGTGACCCAAACTTTCCGACTACGGGGTGCATGTGCAGGCCCATGTCCGTATGAGCAAGACTTTGAACGCCATGAGATGGTTGTTGGCGAGCAGGCGAGTGGAGCATTATGGAAGGGAATAAGGGCTTTCGGACCCTGACAGGGAGCTTTTCGATAATCTTAAGTGACTTAACTTAGCTCGTTTAGCTCAAAATAGTGACTATAGACATTTTTTCTTATTGTATTCCAAAGATTGTTTTCTATCTTAAGTATTGTGTAATAAAATGGGGTTGTTATTAAAATGCATATAATTAGGGCCACAATTCATAATAATAAAAGAATTATCATGTCAGTTTTAAAGTTGCTCATCGTAGATTTTTGGCAGTTTATAATATTATAGAGTGAATTTTTGCAGTGTTGAAGCGATTCTCCATACCCATTTAATAATAAAAACGACATATCATTCAATCCATTGCCAGTATTATATAATTCGCTTACTCCCCCTCTCCTTGAGCTAAAAAAATTTTGCTCGCTCACAGAGAGGGTAAATTTTTTTTTTAAAATTTATATATAAATGTTTTTTTTCAAAATTTAAGAAAATTCCTATTTGTAAATATATTTATTTAATTTGTAAAATTTTGTTTTTAAAGCGCAATTTGTTCAAAATCAAATAGAATTAGCTAGAGATTCATTATAACCAATTTTTTTTTTATAAAAAATGTTTATATTATTAAAATTTTTTTTTTTCTCACGGAGGGCGGGTTTTTGGGCAAAAAATAGGGGATTTTTCCAATGGTTTTGTTCGCTCACGGAGGGAAGTTAAGAAACTTTTTCCCTACATAAATTTACAATTTTGATAAATGCTGCAATTGTACTTATCAAGGTAGATTTTTTCTTATAAACTCTGATAGGATTATTAAAGACAGGCTGCCACCATTTTCTTAACGCTGCCAACAAGGATCTATCTGCTTTTCGACTGGGTTTCCTCTTCCTAACCCCTTGCTTTCCTTTTCCCTCGAGGTAAAATCTGAATCTGTAAGCGGACTAGGACTAGGCTCTGCACATTATCTTGCAAAATATAAATAAACATGTAATGTTGCATGGCCGGAGGCCATGCTCAGGTAGAATCGCTGTATTTAATTATTTCTCATAAACTCCATTTTCATCGATGTTCCATAAATTTACCACTTCGTCAGTCAAAAATGCTTTGGTCCGAGCAAGAATTTCCAATTTTAAGATTCATAGTAACATTTCAATAAATATTTTCTAAATCCACTAATTTTTCTTTAAATTCCTGAAGCGTCAAAACACTTACTGAATCATTATACCCTATGACAGTGTTTGAATAGATTAATCTTGAGAGATAGCCAATTCTCTGAAAATTTTTTCCAGATTTCCAGAATTATTAAAATGGCATAGATGAGCAACCTGCCCTTTCGTGGAGGAATCCTTATGTATTCGGATATGGTTTTTCAGTGAATTTATGGCCTTGCTATAGCTAGTAGTCTCTAAGCAAGAGAGTCGATGCCAAAAGAGGCAGTTTTTGGTCCAGACTCCTCTAAGTTAAATGCATCCCTTTTTAGCAATGCCCTCCCAGGTTGATATACGGTGTGAGGCAGGGTGCAATTCCTGCCTAACTCCCCCCCTCCGTGAGTGAATAAAAAATTTTGTTCACTCACGGAGGGGGGTTAATTTTTTTTTTTCAAAATAATTATATATAAATTTATAAAAAATATTTTTTTTTCGAAATTTAAAAACATCCTAATTCGCAAAAATTGGAAAGCAAATATTAATTTAATTTATAAAATTTATGTTTTAATTCGTTAAAAAAATAAACAGAATTGGCTCTAGATTTCATTATATTAATTATTATTATTATTATTATTAATATATCAAATTTTTTTTCCATAAAAAATTTTTGTTCACTCACGGAGGGTGGGTTTTTGGGCAAAAAATAGCGATTTTTCTAATGGTTTTGTTCACTCACGGAGGGGGGGAGTAAGATACTTTTATGACTTACCTGAATGGCGAGAGCTATCGAATTTTTTCTCAGGATGACGGAAAAGAGTGTAAGCATATTAGGCAATGATAACGACAGTTCCAGTTAAAATAGTTCACTATTGCGGGTTCTGAGTTGGAAGGACGTAGGATTTGTGCAATTTGGGCGATTTCTTTGGTTGGAATTGAGGTAGTCGGTGAAGCCTGTAAATGGCCTTAGACCCTCACCTCCACCAGAACTCGGGGTTTTTGCCCAGCATAGGTAGGCGCGCTCTCCCACCCTACAGGGCATCACTGTAGGACGTGTATTTAATGATAAGAGGACTTAAAATACCTTACTAAACCTAATCTTTCCCGATTTCCCAATGCTTATAGGAAGACTCATGCCACTAATAAAATTTATGTCGTAAATAGCATAAATTAAGACTGTAATGTTAACAGCCAAAACTATGAGCATCTGTGTAAAAATTACTGAAAAAAAAATGTTAAATGTAAAATATTGATGGCCCTTGATGAAGATTTTATCATATTGAGAAATCTGCTATGAGAAGCTGATAGTTGAGATTTTGAATCATCAAGATTTTTTATCATTTGTTTCTGGAAAAAGCACCATTTCGGAGTCTAATCTTTCTTCAAAGCAGGGGCTTTCTCTATGAGTTGAACTAAAAGTTTTATCAGTACATAAAGATCCTCCTACTTATGAACTAATTTGTTTCTCTAAAAATTAAATTATTTTTAATTGTTTTGCTCAGCGGAGTAAAAAATTTATTGATAAAGTGTTCATTATTTGGGTTTTTCCTATACCACCTGAATTTTCATTAATCCATTTTCACAATGTTAAAATAGCAGTTAGAGAGAGGGTCCTAGTCCTATTCTCCAGCCCTAACATCTGAGCTTTGTGAGAAAAGTTCAAGCTTCTTGAGAGTCTTGGCTTGAAGAGAGAGGACTGAGCAGAGTCTGGAGCGGACTAGAGAAGTCTGAAAGGGCTTAATAACTTTGACGGTTCGACGGTTAAGCCAACCCACCAACCGTTGTTCAGAGCTTTTATTGAAGCTGGTTCTCAAGTTAAAGAGGACTTAAAAGCATTGAAGTGCTAAAGAAATTCTATAAACATAAACATTCCATTTTAAAAGCTCTTCTTTGTCGTTTATAAGAACTACATAGGGCATTTTCATTTGTAAAATTCTGAGTGAGAAAGAATTAGAAAAGTTTCAGTCTTAAACTGAGATAAGTGGTAAGGGGTATTTGACTATAGTTCAAAGTCTCCTGAGTTAAAAAATAAGATCTTCAAGTTCCATCCTACCAAATTTTCAGTTTTTCTGGCGATTCTAGGAAAATTATCCGAGTGACAAATTATTTCTCCTTCCTCTGATATTAAAGCGACATCATAATTTTTGACCTTGGGTTTAAATACAAATATAGCTACAACGAGATCGTTCACGGTAGTTACTGAAACTTTTCCAACACATTCTAATAAATTATTTTGTGTTGTTAAAATGAATCCTTGGCTTAAATCTATTTCAGATGAGGAAGTAAATTGAACAAATCTTTTTGCTTCAGCTTTGAATTTTTCTTTATAATAAGGGTGAATGAAGTTTAAAATGTTGTCATTAATAATGATGCTAATCGAGCCTAAAATATTCTACAGATTTTTGGTTAGCATAAAGAATATCACCAAAATTTTCGAGTTCATTAGAAATTATCAAGATTCCGTTACTGTCATTAAAAAAACTAAAACTCTTAGAATCACTAATCGAATTTCCAAGAGTTCTGTCGAGGGATCTTAATTTAGTCTCAAGTAAAACCGATTTTTCTGAGTAATGGGTGATATCTTTATAAATCAAGAATAAAGAGCTAAGAATAATAAATAACAACTATAAAAACAAACATACAAAATAGGCTTGGATAAGTAATTAAAATTGATAAATAAAGGCATTCATTTATTATCCCTAACGATGAGCAAGTGTTGTAAAATTTTAAGTAACCTATGATTTTCCAAAAAATCATATTTTTGTGTCAATTTTTATTGAAGGTCAGGAACCCACAGTAAACTTATGATTTGAAAGCATTAAATAACTCCTTCAAATACTCTTTTAATTTTTTGACTTATAATGGTTGTCTCTTCTTGGTTCCTGTCAGAATAAAGTTGTCGATAAAGTTCAAAAATAGAGCGTTTGAGAGATATTATTCTGTTGTATTTCAAAAATTTTGTCTAGCACTATAAAATTGGCTATTTTCAGATTGGATTTCTGTCATGATTTTATAAATTTTTTAAAATCTTAAATATCATTAATACTTATTATTGATAGTCATCATAATTTATTATTTACAAAGTTTTACGCATGATTAATGTATTAATAAGTCCATAAACGAAAAGATAATAAAATTAAACCAAAATGGGAAGATTTAATTTTATTAATTAATGTACATTATTTGGTTCCTTCACACGACGCCTACACCATAACGACTATTTTTTTTTGGCCTATTTGTTTTTGGCCTATTTTTTTTTGGCCTAATTTTTTTTTGGCCTATTTTTTTGGCCTATTTTTTTTTGGCCTATTTTTTTTTAGCCTATTGTTTTTGGCCTATTTTTTTTTTACCTATTTTTTTTTTACCTATTTTTTTTGGCCTATATTTTTAGACTTTTTTTTGGCCATTTTTTAGCTATTTTTTACTAATATTTGGCCTAATTCCATACTAATGATTTTAATATACTTTTTAATGTATTTTAAACGATTTTACCAACATAAAATACACCTTTAACAGATCTCTTACTCCATGAATGCTAATTCATTGCTTTTTAAATTTCGAGAATTTTAAATTTAATTAGGAATTTTCCACTTAATTTACTCAATATTAATCGTATAAGGAAATATATCCGTTACCCAATAATTATTTAGTTCTCTCAGCAACTTCATGAATGATCTCGACAGAAAAATTAGGCCAAAAAAAAATAGGCCAAGAAAAAATAGGCCAAAAAAAATAGGCCAAAAAAAATAGGCCCAAAAAAAATAGGCCAAAAAATAATAGGCCAAAACAAATTGGGCAAAAAAAATAGGCCAAAAACAATTAGGCCAAAAAAAAATAGGCCAAATAAAATAGTCGTTTTGGAGTAGACCTCGTGTGAGACACGACATTATTTAACTATTAAGTTAAATAGGAAAGAATCATTTCATATTAATTTCAATTGCAAGAATTCAAAGAAAATCAATAATTTTGATACTTTGTGAAAAAATACTCTAAAGAGTAAGATTCATTTTAAGTTCATATTCATATGCATACTAACTCCCCCCTCCGTGAGCGAACAAAACCATTGGAAAAATCCCTATTTTTTTTTGCTCAAAAACCCACCCTCCGAGAGTGAACAAAAATTTCCTATGGAAAGAAAATTGATATAGAAGTGATAATTATTATAATGAAATCTTGAATTAATTCTGTTTAATTTTAAACAAATCGTGTTTTTTAAAACATAAATTTTACAAATTAAATTAATATTTGCTTTCCAATTTTTGCAAAGTGGGATATTTTTAAATTTTGAAAAAAAAAATCCCATAAAATTTATATATAATTTTTTTAAAAAAACAAATTAACCCCCCCTCCGTGAGCTTACAAGATTTTTTTGTTCGCTCACGGAGGGGGTGGAGTAAGAAATTTATATTTTTGGGATGTGCTTAAAAGTCTTCACTTAAATAATAAAATATGAAGCATAAAGCAATTAAAATCAATAAATGCAATGCCCCATAATAGTACCCGCAGATATTCAATTATTTTTGTGTATAGTTACCAATTTCATCCATAATATTGTTAGATTTTATTAGTTTTTTAAAGCTTTTATTAAATTGGTCATATCATGGCATAAGGAGTCGAGTTCTTAACTCCTATAGCCGTGCTTTACTGGAGCAGGAAGATTGAGAAATAGAGGAGGTCATCGATGTTTGAATCGCCAAGGTTTTTAAGTTACAAATAGGGCAGTGGCTAAGTTGATAAGCCGCAATCCAATCATAGTGCAATAGCTTTTTTCATACGGGAAATAGGGGACGAACTTGCAAAGGGCTACTTAAAAGGACCAAAGAGAAATTTCTTGACTTATCCAGCGCAATATGAGGCTTTGATTCTTGGGAGTAGGCTAAATTAGGGTTAAATGATATTATATTTGATCAGCAGCAATGTGTAATTTATGGTAGTTTTAATCTTCGACATAAATGAAACCATAAGCAATCTTATATATTAATCAATGGATTCCTGAAAGTATGAAGAGGAAAAATGAAAACAAAAATTAAGTAGATGCCAAATAGATGAAATTGATTTCCATATTAAAAAATTTATCAAGATAATTAGTAAAAGCAAAAAATTAAGACGCCTCGGGCGTGATTAAACTGATTTATTATTATTATATATTAATCAAAAACAACCTTTAATTATGATATTTTTATTGAATAAAATGAATAACAATGTCTGTTAAACAGTAACCATGCTTGCTTTTAAATAATATAAGAGTGTGTCTCAGTTAAACCAAAAAATTATATATTTACTTATTCAATTTCCTATAAAAAATAAATTAAAAATAAAGCTTTTTACAATTGAGGTTTTTACTTTTTCTTATTATTTACTTTTAACACTTCTTTTATCATCAATCTGCATTATGTTTCTTTAATCAGATCGACTAGTACTTTTTCTATATTAAAATGAATTCATCTTATTGCTTTACTTTTAAAAATTTTGTATTGTTAAAGCATAATTTTGATTCAGTATTTTTATGATGTTTATAAAATAAATCTATTAGTTTATACTTAACTAACTCCCCCCCCTCTGTGAGTGAATAAAAAAAATTTTGTTCACTCACGGAGGGGGTTAATTTATTTTTTCAAAAAAAATTTATATATAAATTTTATAAAAAATATTTTTTTTTCGAAATTTAAAAACATCCTAATTCGCAAAAATTGGAAAGCAAATATTAATTTAATTTATAAAATTTATGTTTTAATTCGTTAAAAATTAAACAGAGAATTGGCTCTAGATTTCATTATACTAATTATCATTAATATATCAAAATTTTTTTCCATAAAAAATTTTTCTATTAATAAAATTTTTGTTCACTCACGGAGGGTGGGTTTTTGGGCAAAAAATAGCGATTTTTCTAATGGTTTTGTTCACTCACGGAGGGGGGGAGTAAGAGAAAAGTAAATTTATCCAAATTGTTGGGGCATAATCTCCATCACTGAATTAATTTTCTTCAAATAATTTTTTTCACCCCAAAAAAATACCAAATAAAACCCAAAATATAAAATCAAAGTAAAGATAATAAAAACAGCCAAAGTGATCACGATAATTTGCATTTGGTCATTAATCACTTTCTTTGAGTGCTTATCAATTTCTTCAATATAGGAATTATATTTCCTATCTAATTCTCGAAGAGCAGAATTAAAACCCCACCACACGTCTTGCGAAGCCAAATTATTTGCGATCAAATTTGCTTCATTTATTATATTTAACTTTGATGTATACATCCCCAAATTGAAAATATCTGTTAAAAAGTCCTGATTACTTTCATAAAAAATGTGCTCAAAGGTATGAGACAAAATAGTAGAATATTCTTTTTTATGGATGGCAGAGTTTGAATAGTTAATTTTTGAAATAACTTCATTTAATATTTCTTTGCTATTTTCAAAAGGGTAAGAATATGGAAATTGTAACCTCATAGGCCATCCCAAAATCCCATATGCAGCCTCATTTGTTCATATGCTCAAACTAGTATGTGCAATTTGTAAATTTATTAAATTTTTCAATACTTCAGGCCTATATAATAAATAATCTGCACATTTATCATAAAAATAGTTAATATTTACAACTGAAAATATAAAAACAGCGGCCATGTATATAAAAACTCTTCATATATAAATTATCACATTGATTTAAAAAAAAAATATTTTAATCCTGTTCAAGAATTTTTTCTATAATAAATATCGAATTTTATTTTTTTATTAGAATTTAATTCATAAAATCATATAATTTCAGTAACTTTTAAAAGAAAATGGTTTTTCAGAATGATGCCGGTCATTAAGCTCAATAGCTGGATGAGAGTGAACATCTTTTAGTCTCTCAGAAATTGTTTGTTTAAGCTCAAAGTATCTTTTATAGGCTTTTTCCCTTATATTGTTTCAAAGAGTATTTTCAATTTTAAGGATTGAAAAATAAAAGGGAATTATCATAATTATGCATACACAGAATACGGCTACTCCTAAGCTCAAAAAAATTGTCATTTCGATTTTGAAGTCGCCCATCATGGATTTTTGGCACTCTATAATATCATAAAACGAACTATTGCTATAGTGAAGAGCTTCTCCATACCCATTTAATATCAAAAAGAAAAATCATCTATCTTTGCAGCCTCTGAGCTGTTTATTTTGCTTAATATTTGATTTCCCTGCATAAATTTTACAAATTTAATAAAAATCCCTATAGTTTCGATTAAGCTTGATTTTTTATAAATCCCATCATCTATATTCCACAAATATAAATTTTTGCCAGTTAAAATGTCTTCACCTGAACAATAATTTCATTTATTTAAATTTGTGGTTATATCTAAATAAGTATTCTCTAATTCTGTTAAACAAGTCACAATATCATCAAACATTCTTTTTAAAGTAATGCTATCAGAAGAGTATTGCAGAATTACATATAAATTAGAAACGTATGTAAATCTCTGCAAATTTTTTGCTGTTTTTCCTATGTTTATAGGAAGGCTCATGTCACTAATAAAATTTATATTGGAAAAAGCATGATTTAAAACAATGATGTTGAAAGCTACAACAGCTATAATCTATATAACAGTTACTGAAAAAACAAAAGCAAAGTGGAGAACATTGATAGACCTTGATGAAGATTTTATTAACTCCCTTTGACAAAATCATTCAAGAAAAATTATTAAAATAAGTTTTTATTCAAAAAATATATAATTAATAACTAAAGCATAATATCTAAGTTACAATCGTATTAATGTGATCCTAAATTATTATTTTGATTTTCATTTTTAAATATATAGCGCCTTGCCAAAATTTGGGAGGTCTCTCTGGCATGTGGAGATATCCTCCACATGTCAGAAGTATTTCCACATGCGAAGCCACTATATTTCTCTTTCACATACGGAAGCATTTCCCGCATGTGGAGAATATCTCCACATGCCAGAGGCAAGACACTATATGATTTTTAGGTGAATTTTTTTTCAAAAATAAATAAATCTTTTAAAAAGCATTTTGGTTAACAAACAAAGCTACTTTAAGGAGGAAGTAAGGAGAGAACCTTCTTCTGATGAGTGCCTATCGATACCACAGAATTTTCACTACCACGCCTCTCAGATCCTCAGTCAGCATTTTTGCTAGGGTCGTCATTTGAAAAACGGTGCACTTCCATTTTTGACTTTAAATCGTCATCTAAAATTTCGCTCTCTTTATAAAGTAAGCTATTAGTTTTATCTGAGTTTATAGATCCTAATAAGCCCACTGACAAATAATTAGCTGTTGCCTGAATTTTTTCATTATTGCCTTGCTTGCTTCCATTATTCCCCCTCATTACTATTTCTCGGCTATCATTTGCCAAGACCACATAAGGTATTTTGATTTTGTAAAATTCTGAATATGAGAGCATCAAAAATATTTTTAAGCTTGACAAATGGTAGGGAGTGTTCAGCTGTAATCTGAAATCTTCTGAATTATAAAATAAATTTTTTAGATCAAATCCAATTAAACCTTCAGATTTTCCTACATACCTTGGAAAATTATTTGAGTGGCAAATGATTTCTCCTTCCTCGTTTAATAGCGCTATTTCTTGTTTAACATTTTTTGGCTTAAAAGCCAGAATAGCTACAAGCAGGCCATTTATTGAGGTAAGTAGTATTTTCCCTTCGAGCTGTAATAAATTATGTGCATTTTTTGTTAAAAAGAATCCTTTAGTTAAATCCATTTCTGATGATGAGCTATACTTGATAAACTGTTTTAAATCTTCCTTTAATTTTTCTTTATAATAAGGATGAATAAAATTTGAAATATTGTCATTTTTAATGCTGCCAAGTTGGAGATTCAAAAATTCTGCTGATTTTTGGTCTGCATATAGGATTTCGCCAAAATTACTATCCTCATTAGAAATTATAAGGATTCCAGCATTTTCATTAAATAGACTAAATTTTTTACTAGAATCACCCAAAAAATTTGTAAGTTCTTTATCAATAGATCTTAGCTTAGTTTCAAGGAAAGTTGACTTTTCTGCATTATAAATAATATCTCTGCAATATGAATAATAGAGAGATAATATACTTTTAGAATTTGGGAATTTGGTAATTAACTGGCTGTATTTCATGTTTAAAAATAAAATTTCGTCTTCAATTGAATAAAGTTTTCTTTTTAATTTTTGAAGATTAGGCTGAAGTGAAGTAATTTCGCTTCAAAACATAAGTAAATTTATACATAATTGTTTTTCTTCATTTTTAACTAAAATGTTTTGAAGAAAATAATCAGAAAATTGTGAGCTTTCAGATAGGCAAGTATTTGATATATTTTTCTGGCATAAATATTCTTGATAATTGGACTCTAAGCTTCAGTCTACAATATGTTTGGTTTTGCTTAGCTTGACTTTGGCTAAGGATTCCTCTTTTAGTGTATATAAACAGTAATTCGCTGCTCATATGGCTTGAAGCTTATTCCCATTAAAACCTTTTTGTATAAAAAAATTTTCAAAAGCGCTGATTATTTGATCTTTATGTCCTGCATCATTTGAGCATAGAGCATATCTAAGAGATTTTTCTAAAATATATTGAGATTCTATATTTGTTAAGTCTGTAGGAATAGTTTGAGAAAAGTTTCTTTGAAGTTTAAGGGAAAATTGAATTATAAAAATAGCTGTTAATGGACCTAAAATTACTGCTAGCATAATTATCACCATAGAATTATCCATAAAGTCTCCTAAAATAAATATTGAAGAAATAAAACCAATAAAATATAGCTGAAGTATTATTAATGAGTTGCAAAAAATGGAAAAATACGGCAGGAGATCTATAGTTTCTCTTATCAAAAGTATTGAAAAAATAAGTGCTAAAATTTGTAAATGTCTTATATAATTTTCAGCAAATATCACATAAGCAATAGGGAAAATAAAAGTAAAAATTTTTATGTGCTTGTCTATTTTTGAATGTGCTTTTGCGCTTATTATCTTATTTTCAGAATGTCTAATTTCTCCTGAAAATTCCAATTGCATGAAAGATAACATAAAAGTTATTGCTATTGCTAAAATAGTACAAATTTGCAATGGGAAACTCCTAATGAATTCTCCTATCTCATTGCGATTTTCGTATTCTGATATTGTAGTTTGAGGCAGGAAGCTATACTTCAGAAAAATGGAGCATATTTGAATAGAGGGCACAAGCAAAAATTTTAATCAAAAATAAAAAGTCGCTGAAAATATGCTTAGAAGTATCTTTGGTAGATGGTAAGAATAATAAATAGTAACAACTAAAATAGCTATACTAAGAAAATTAGCATAGGCTAATAGAGCTGACAGATAAAAGCATTCATTTATTATCCCAAGCATTGAGCAAGTGTTGTCAAGTTTTAAGTATCCGATGATTTCTCATATTATCATATTTGTATGCCAATTTTTGATAGAAAGATCTGAGACTCATAGCAAGCTTCAAATTTGAAAGCATCAAATAATGCTTTCAACTGTTATTTTTATTTTTTGCCTTAAGCCAGAAGTTTCTTCAAAATTAATTAGCTTAAAAAGCTTGAAAATAGAACTTTTAATTGATTTTTTTTCTTTCATTCTTCATAATTTACCTGCTGAGCTCAAAGCTTCATCGCCTTCACTTAAAAGTTGCATCATAAATGGTCAATAAACTAATGTTAAAGCCAAAAAATTTATGCATTATTAAATCATTATTTTGAAAATTTGTTTATGAGCTATACTTATTTTAAAGCAAGCCATTATGATTTGGCAGATATCGTTATGGGATATTTTGGCTTGCTTAATAAGTAATTTTTAATTAATGTATATTATGCTAATTACAAAATGGTTTTTAAAGAAGATAATTTTTGCCTTTAAACTTACTCCCCCCCCCCTTTAAATTGAAACAAAAATATAGGTAAAATTCCTACTTTTTTGGGAAATTACCCCCCCTTTAAATTGAAACAAATTTTATTATAATAGAAAATTTTATAGGTAAAAATCATTATTTTATATGTAAATACGTTAATACCCTATTTAATATGCTTCAAACATATAAGATTTAGAAATTAAACTCTATTTTGTCCAATTGTTATGGGGAGAGTTAGAAGAATACCATTTTCAGCAAGTTTACACTTTGAGATTGAGAAATTTATGAATTAATTTTTCATGAAATTCTTTAAATTTATATAATTTATTTTCTATAAAATTTTATCTCTGAAAAAAATTTTATATATAAATTTTTTTATAAAATCAATTTTCTTAGCCCCCCTTTAAATTGAAACAAAATTTTTTGTTTCAATTTAAAGGGGGGGAGTTTAGAGTAGAGAAATTGGCTATATCGGTGTAGGTTGAAAATAGAACTTTCAATTGATTTTTTTTCTTTCATTCTTCATAATTTACCTGCTGAGCTCAAAGCTTCTTCGCCTTCTCTTAAAAGATGCATCATAAATGGCCAATAAAATTAATATTAAAGCCAAAAAATTTATGTATTTTAAATCATTATTTTGGAAATTTGTTTATAAGCTATACTTATTTTAAAAAAAGCCATAAAGATTTGCAGATTTCGTTATGGAATATTTTGGCTTGCTTGATAAGAAATTTTTAATTAATGTACATTAGGTTAATCACAAAATGGCTTTTAAAAAAGAAAAATTTCGTCGTTAAATCTTAGAGTTGAGAAATTGGCTATGTCGGTATAGGTTGAAAATGATTTTAGAATTTAATTTTGAATTTTTTATTTTATGAAATCACTTTTGATAGCAAGTATTTAAAGGCTATTAAATTGTTTTTTGGCTTATCGCTAACTATTACCTATCCTTGATCGAATGAGTCTATTTCAATTTTCTAAAAATTAGAAATGGCCTGTCTAATATGAAAGCCAATATAATCGCCATCTAAAATTTAACTACCTAACCTTAAATTAGGGATATTACGCTGTAGTCGTTTCTAGAGTTTTCTAATGCATTTTCTCTTATTTTTGACAATATAAAACATAATCTCTATTATCTTTAGCGAAGAAATATTTCATATGGGAAAATTTAAATTATTTTTTCAACCCTAAGATCAAGGATAGGGCAGGAGGTGAGATAAAGCATATATTTTATTTTTGAGGATTTATTACATTTAAAAGTTAAAACTTATTAACACTCCTAGAACACAACGATTATATTATACAAAGCTAAATAGTAGGTTCTAAGTGAAACTGTTTTTAATTAAATAAGCTATGTTAAATTATTCAAAAAATAAATATAAAAAAATCATGACTTACTAGGCATTATTTCCAATAATGAATTTACATTTCTATTTTGAAACGATTTGCAAGCTAAAGATAAGCTCAATCAAAGCTATCTAGTGCAACCCTTTTAAAAAGAGTGGTAAACTAAAGATAAGCTTAATTAAAGCTATCTAGTGCAACCCTTATAATAAATTTTGATACCACTAAATTTTTTTCGATTTCATCTTAAGAAATGTTAGAAAAGCCTCTGATATTTTCGGACATTGGCTGTCCAAAATTCTGCACATTCAATTAAATGCTGAATAATGCTCAAAATTAAACTATTCTGAACATACTTCATATTATTTTATAATAAAGCATCACATAAAATTGATCAATTTAATGATAAAAATGTCATATGTTGAGTCTAATTATTGAAGAGCTGACACTAAAGCTATCTATATACTTCAAGCTAAGCAAAAATCATTATAAATTCTTCATTTTTTATCTCATTTCCTATGATCTCATCAAATTTGAAAATAACTTAAAAAACTTTATGATATCTTAAGAGAGCTAGTTTATTTTTTCTAACTAATAGATTAGCTCAAGTAAAAATTGAATGAGATGGTCATAGTTGATGTCATTTCTTATTGCTTATATACAATATATTTACCCAAAATTAATTATTATATGGCATTATCTCCATTACAGAGTTTATTTTCTGCAAATACTTCTTTTCGCTTCTGAAAAACACCTCTCTACATACAGAGTTTCTTCTAAATCTTTTGATAAAATTGCAGCATACTTATCTTCTCTTATTATTGAGTTTGAGTATTCTAATTTTAATATGATTTCTAGAAGAAAAATCAATGTTCAAGTTAAAGGTAATGAAGCAATATTGGTATAATTTGATGTCTTCAAATATTAAGTTTTTTGTGAACTCCACATCTCTCAATAGCAAATTGAGGGGAGAATATGACACTAGAGAAAATGCTAATCCTCTCAACAGCAATCATCAAGATTCTACATTAAGATATTTCTAAATTGTACTAATGCGCTTTAATGGTTCTATTCGTAATAATAAAATTTTTGATGATTTTTAAAATATAAACGCTATTTATTTAATTTCTTCCTCATATTTATCATAGTAAGATATTGAATGTACCTAAATGGCACTGAGCATAAAAATGAGATAATTCACATTTTTGACAATTTTTTTATTGAAAATAGCACCCACAGAGATAAGCTCCTTATCGTTTTGATAGCAAATAACTGCTTATTTACTTTAAAAGATGAGGCTTTAGCAAGAGCAAATTAAGCAAACTCAAAGCAATATCCAGTTGAAATTTAGAAGCTGATTTCCAAGAGTAATTATGCAACAAAACAATTAACGAATCTCGATCAAATGAAAGCTTATAATATATATAAATTTCCCATAGATGGCGCTGTTTGCCCTTGATTTGCCCATGAGGAAAATTTTTTGGTTTGACCAAACCATATGGTACTGGTCGAACCAAAAAAATTTCCCCAGTGGGCAAATCAAAGGGCAAACAGTGCCATCTATGGGAAATTTATATATCAGATACTGCCAACAATTAAATTTGATAAAAAAGAAAGAATCAAAATTATGTGTTGATTTATTAAAATTTTGGGAAGAAATAACTTCATCTAAGCCGAGTCTTAAAAAACTAAAAAATAAATTGAAATGGATTTATAAAAATATTTCATATCTTAACGATCATTACAAATTACTTGCACTGGAATATCCTAATTCTCGAGAATGCTTAGCACTGTATACTTCATATGCAAGAGATGTTATTTATAATTATAAAAAAGCAAATGCACTAGAAATTAAACTAACTCCCCCTTCCATGAGCGAACGAAAAAATCTTTTTTGCTCACGGATGGGGTTTTAACTTTTTTTTTAAAATAAATTTATATATTATAAATTTTTTTTAAAAAAATCCTAATTCGCAAAAATTGGAAAGCAAATATTAATTTAATTTATAAAATTTATGTTTTAAAAACGCAATTTGTTTAAAATTAAACAGACTTAGCTATAGATTTCTTAATACTACTTATCACTTATGTATCAATTTTTTTCCATAAAATATTTTTCTATTAAAAAAATTTTTTTTTTCGCTCACGGAGGGCTTTTGATCAAAAAATAGGGATTTTCCAATGGTTTTGTTCGCTGACGGAGGGGAATAAGAGGAATAACCCAGAAAAATATAGAGAATTATGACTTAAAAAGGTTCAGATTTATGAATGATGAGAGTGGGATTTTGATAATTTCAGGCGAACTGGATAATTTTGGTCATGTTTTATTTGCTAACTCAAGAGCTTCTAAAATAATGAAAACTTCAATTAGCAGCTTAGAAGAGATCAATATAATGAATTTCATTCATCCTTATTATTGAAAAAGTCTAAAAGAAGAAATGCAATGGCATATACATTATGGCTCAAGCTCTGAAATCGATCTAACTAAAGGCTTTTTTTTGAATATTCCTGGAAAGCATTTAATAGAATGTGCAGGGAGAGCAATAATTACTTCAATAGAGAACAATGCTGTTTTTATATTAAGCTTTCAATTAAACAAGCCAAATCTTCAAACTGCTCTTTTAACAGGGACAGGAGAAATTTTATGTTATTCAGAACACTTTTCTCTAATTTTTGGAGAACCCAACGAAAATTTGATAGGCTATAACATTAAAGATTTATCCTCTGAAGCAGATATATATAGTTCAGGAGCAATTTATCAATTAAAAAATAGAGAGACAGTTTTAATCATATCTCATGTACAATTTCACAAATTAAACGTCTTCTCTGCTACCCTCAAAAATAAAGATGAACAAATTCAAAGGTGAAAAAATGAAAATAGTGATTACAAAGAGAAAAAATTAATAAATAAGCATCTTTTAGTCCCAGAGGAGTATAAGAGAATTGCAAGACATTTTCAAATAACAGAAGATAAAAATATAAATTCAAAAATAAAACTAATTGAGACAAACTCCAATGAAGAATCAGAAGTCATTGAAATCAATTCTTTTAGCAGATCATCAGATGCAAAATCTCAATATCAGAGCCAGCAAAGGTACCTCAAAATTCTAGCAATTTCTTCCAGGTCCATAAATATCTTTGATCTTGCCTTTATTTTATCAGTAATTTTTATATAGATTATAGCTGTTTTAGCTACAAATATTGTTGTTCTCTTTTATGCTTTTTCATATATCAATTTCATAAAATATATTGATTTCCCAATGGCTATAGCTAAAGCAGAATCGAGATTGCAAATTGCAGCTTACACTGCACAGCTACTATGAGTAATTACTGCTATAAATGATCCTGCCAATGATCAAGATCTAAAAGCAGTGCAAAGCTTATTACCAGGACATATAGATGATATAAGAGACATTTATATGGATATTGCTGCTGGTTCATCGAGATGAAACTATTGCTCAAGCAAAAAAATTTTGACTGAAAAGAATATTAATGTATGGGACTCTGGGCATGCAAAAAAAGAAAGTTTATTGGATATGTTGGCTCAATCAGCCCAAAAAGTATAAATTATATAGGGATATGATTTAATAAATAAGTATAATAACGCTGAAGATTATACAAATGGGGTTAAATTTTTGATGATGAATGGCTATGGAGATGGATTTCAATATATTAATAGTTCGTTATATGAAGTAATGAATTGTCAAAAGTCATTGATGCTTGATTTTAAATCAGAAATGCTTGCACTTCTTATACTGGGGATCTGAGTTCTTAGCTTATGCCTTTGTTTTATGGTCCCATTTGGCTATTCTTTAATTAAAATTGAAAACGATCTTTGGAATAATTTAAGAAAAAAAGCATTTCAAAATTATTCTGAATTGAAACATTCACTTTTAGGAAGGCTAAAAAGTGTTTATTCTGAACCTGAAATTCTCATTAGTAATAAAAGCCCATCGAAGACAATAGTTAACTTCAAAAATTATTGAAAGTATATATGAAGAATTTTTATATATTTTATGATGGTTGAAGCATTTTCTTTAATTAACATTACTTATCTTTATGAAAATTGCACAAATTATTTAGCTTATAGGCCTGAAGTAATTCGAGAACTAATTGGTACCAAAATAGTTTTAAATGCCTTTATTATTGCAACAACAGATTTACAATATGATGTTGTAGGTTTTCCATTAAATTATTTGATGAGTATGCATAATTATCCTAATAACCAAGAGACATTCCAAAATTCTATATCATGGCTTAAAGATGCGAAATTAATATTAAGAAATCCTAAATATCGACCAATTCTATCAAACAATTACGAAAAAATGATTTATGAAAGTGATGGCCAACCATATACACACTATTTAGATTATGGTGCATATTCCGCTGAACAAGAATTAATAAATTCTGGATATCTCATTGCAGATTTTGATGTAACTGGTGAAGATACATATAGAAATTGAGTATACAACATTACACTTTCTCGAAATAATTATGATAAATATATAAGTGAAATTGATACTTATTCTCACAGCGTTATTGAGGATCAAGTAAACATTATAGTTGGAGCATTTTATATGTTTCTTATCTTATCTCATCGATTTTGATATATTTTATGCTTTATTTCTTATTTTTCAAAAATGAAAAGCAGTATTTGCAGAGAATAAACTCAATGATGAAATTTATGCCAGCATAATGCTACTTAGTCCCCCACCCTCCGTGAGTGAACAAAAACATTTTTTTTACTCAAGGAGGGTTAATTTTTTTTCTAAAAAATTTCTATATAAATTTTATAGAAAATTTTTTTTTTTCGAAATTTTAAAAAAAACTTCTAATTTGCAAAAATTGTTAAGCAAATATTAAATTTAATTTATAAAATTTATGTTTTTTAAAACGCAATTTGTTTTAATTAAACAGAATTAGCTCCAGGTTTCATTATACTAATTATCACTTATATAACAAATTTTTTTAGTAAAATATTTTTTCTATTAAAAAATTTTTGTTCACTCGCAGAGGGGGTGGGTTTTTGGGCAAAAAATGCCGATTTTTCCAATGGTTTTGTTCACTCACGGAGGAAGGAGGATGTAGAATAATAAATAATAATTCTTTATATAAGTTTTCTAAAAATATGGTAGTGAATTATATGAAAAATGCATTTTTGGATTGATTGCTTTAAAGTAAAAAAATTTAAGCTTTTAATTTATACTCTGATTAAATTTTATCTCAGATGACGATAATTAATCATTATAGAAATATATAGTTTGGAAACCAGCTCAATGAGTAAGACTATAAAAATTAGAATCAAATAGTGAAAACCAAATTAAGGATTTTTTATATTTAATTTTTATAAAATTTTTAATCAGAAGAAAATAAACACAAATTATTGCATTCAAAAATCAGTATCTGCAGCTTGTCTTTGGCTAATTAATCCTTCGAGGAAAGAAAATATTTAAAAACATTATATATGATTTAGCAAGGAATTATTTTGACGACTACTTATTGAGAAAGTAACTTCGGCGAATGCTTAATACTAGAATGGCTTAATAATATTTGCTAGAATTCTTCAAAAAGAATGATCCACAACTCCCCCCCATCATCTGAGCTTTCACAACTCCCCGAGGCATCGACCCCAAAAGACCAGCAACCCTAAAGGGTCACCACTGGCAGTTTTCGAATGCAGCAAGCCCTCCCCACGGAAGCAAACCTCCCCGCGGCGACCTTCAGGCTGGCCGCCACGTAGGGAGACCCGCTGACTCTTTAGCAGCCGGAAACTGCGCAAGAGGGGTAAGAAAATATCTTTCTTGCACAAATTATGGATTTATCGATGCATGTGGAGTAATCCTCAGCATACTAAATAAATTCTGCATTGATATGCCCATCTATATAATTTTTCACATATGGAGGTATTTTCAACATGCCTTGCACATCCATGCTTTGGGCAGCATTGTAAACATAAAAAATTTGCAAAATAAATTTTCCAATATTTTTTTATTATAAACATTTATATGATCATAATTAACAACAACCGCTTTTTGGAATCTTGGGATTATAAAGAAAAGCTACGAACTATTTGCTAAATGAAATAGACGTGGAGAGTTAATTTAAATAGGCCTTGTTGGGCTTAACAAAATGAATTATAATAGTCCATTTCATTCTAATGATCAGTATTTCCATTATTTTGTGTCAATATAATTAAATTATATTAAACCAAATTTCTCAGTTATATAACTAGATAAAAATTTCTCAATAAGCTTATCAAAAATTTTTATAAAAAAAAATTAAATTTCTATCGCTACTTTTTCTCCATAATGTCTGGGCATAAAGTTGATATACGTGAACCCTTTTCTTCCGAATTGAAAATTAGAGGAAATGCTTTAAAACTTTTGATATTCAGAATATACAGTCGATTGTATCATCAGGAAGCTTTAGCCCTTCATTTGATAAACTTTTTGCTATTAATTCGAATAAAAATTGGATTTTATCAAGCCTTTGATTTTTATGCTATCTCTTTAAAGAATCAAAATTAATATAATCTGTTGCACATATTTCTTATTGTGAAAGGCATGTGGGAAATTTCCTCACATGCATTGCATAGTAAGAAATATGTGCAAGGATGATATTAAATTTTATTAATTTAATATATTTTTAAGATCTTGGCGTAATTTTTTATAGGAGATTTAGAAGAAAAGTCAATACTCAAGTTAAAAGTTACTGAAGCATTATGAAGCATAATTTGATGCCTTCAAGTAATAAGCTTTTTATGAACTTCAAATCTCTCAATTGAAAATTGAGAAGAAAATATGATAGTATGAAATGCCATTGGAATTTTTAGGCTTGATAATATATGCTCTCAGCTGGGCACGATGAGAGAATGCTTATATTTATCATTTACAATTACTTTCATGCTTGGTGTTAGCATGACTTGCCTAGCTATTTGTATTTATTGTTCTTTAAGTGTTGCAAAATTATTTGGTATATTAAGATTATTTTTCAACTTTTGGCTGATTTTCTTTTTAATACCTTCCATGGCTATCTATTCCATATTTTTAAAGTATAATATTTGACCTCAAAAATATATATCAGAATACAAAGAAAATAATCAAGAAGACTTTGAAATAAGCCCTGGGCTACAGTTTACAATTGTTCTAGCATTAATAACAAACTTCCCTTTGCTTTATTTTTATAATCAATTTACAAGTGAAATTAGACACTCTGAAAGCACTAAAACTATAAAAGCAAAAGCTCATTCAAAAATTGATTGTCATATTGCAATTTTTACTTATTTTTTGCCAATATTTTTTACTTTATAGGAATTGCCCGAGGATGGCGCTATCTTGCGCCATCCTCGGGCAATTCAAAAAAATGGCCCTACACCGGGAATCGAACCCACGCGTGGGGCCATTTTTGGTGCGTGTAAGTCGATGTTGGCCACACACCAAAAATGGCCCCACACGTGGGTTCGATTTCCCGGTGTGGGGCCATTTTTGAATTGCCCGAGGATGGCGCAAGATAGTGCCATCCTAGGGCAATTGCTATATTTAATGAAAGCTATATTATTTATTTTCAATTTTTTATGATGATTGTTTCAATAATTATAGTCGCAGAATCTGAAATGCTTTTGCCTTATTTTTCTCTTTATTACAACCTAATGCAAAATCTCAAGCTTTTTACTGTTGCTATATTTTCTTTTGGATTTGTCTTACTCTCCCCCTCCGTGAGCGAACAAAACCATTAGAAAAATCCCTATTTTTTTGCCCAAAAACCCATCCTCTGAGAGCGAACAAAAATTTTTTTAAAGAGATAGCTAGTATTATGAAATATCTAGCTAATTCTTTTTAATTTTAAACAAATTACGTTTTAAAACATAAATTTTATAAATTAAATTAATATTTGCTTTCCAATTTTTAAGAAGTGGATTTTTTTAAATTTCGAAAAACAACTTTTTTTATAAAATATATATAATTTTTTTTAAAAAAAATATTAACCCCCTCCATGAGCGAACAAGTATGTTTGGTTGACTCACGGAGGGGGGGAGTTAGGGTATATAATGAATAACTCATTGCTTATTATTTTTATAGCAGCTATTTTAGGACCAATATCAGCAGCAATTTTAGTGCAATTAACTATAAAACTCCAAAAACAAATAAATTTGGCTGATTTAGCGGATTTGAAAGAAATAAATTCTGAATACGAGCTAGAGAAAAAACTAAGATATTGGCTATGCCTAAAAGATACTGAGCATAAAGATGAAATAATTCAAATCTTTGAAAAATTCATTATAAAAAATAATAATAGAGGTAAATTTCAAATTATTTGGGTAGCAAATTACTGCTTATATACTCTAAAAGACGGGCCATTAGCAAAAGTCAAGCTAAGCAAAGCCAAAACTATTTCAAGCTGAAATTTAGAGGCAGACTTTCAAGAATACCTATTAGCATCAGCTATATTAGGTATATGCAATAAAAATATCAACGAATCTTCTTCAAATGAGAGCTTAATTTTTATTAATTATTACCAGCAACTAAATTTGATAAAAAATAAAGATGCAAAATTATGCACACATTTATTGAATTTTTGGGAAGAATTGACTTCATCTAGGCCTGATCTTAATGGATTAAAAAAGAGATTGGAATGGATTAACGAGATGATTTTATACCTTAACAATCAATACATAAAGCTAGCAATGGAGTTTCCGGGCTCTCGAGAATGCTTAACACTGTATACTTCGTATTCAAATGATATTATTTATGATTACGAAAAGTCAAATTTACTAGAAAATAAATTAAGAGGGCTAAACAATCTAAATAGTGCAAATGCTGAATTAAAAAAACTCAGCTTTTTTAATGAGTCTAGTGGAATTTTAATAATATCAGGCGAGCCTGATAGTTTTGGTCATATTTTATTTGCTAATCCAAGAGCTGCTGAAATTATGAAAAATTCTATTTTTAGTTTGGAAGAGAGCAATATAATGGATTTCATTCATACCTATTATTGGAAAAGTCTAAAGCAAGAATTAAAGTGGCTTATTCATTATGGTTCAAGCTCTCAAATAGAATTTAGTAAAGGCTTTTTTTTGAGTATTCCTGGAAGATATTTAATTGAATGTAAAGGAAAAGCTGTAATTACATCAATTGATAATAATATTTGTTTTATATTAAACTTCCAAATAAAGCAAATAAGACATCAGGCAGCACTTTTAACAGATAGTGGAGAAATTTTGTGCTGAACAGAAAATTTTTCTGAGTTAGCTGGAATATATAATGAAAATTTAATAGACTGCAATATTAAGGATGTATTTACTGAAATCGGAAGATATGGTGCAGAAATAATTTTTCAATCGCAAAATAGCCAAGCAACTCTTGTAGCATCTCATATAGATATTTATAAATTTAAGGTTTTTTATGCTATACTAAGAAATGACCATGAAGGAATACCAAGATGAAAAAATGAAAATTCCTATAATATTAAGAAAGAAAAAGAAGCAGCATATAATAATTCGTTAAACCAAGGAAAATCTTTAAAAACCTATGAAATATCTGACGAAAAACCTTTAAAATCAGAAATGAAATTAATTCATTCAAACTCTAATGTCTCTTTAGTTTACCATGAAAATAATTCTGTCAGTAAATCATCAGATGCTAGATCGCAATTTCTAAGCAAAAAAAAATTTTTTAAAATGCTAGTAATTGCTTCTAGGTCCATAAATATTTTGCACTTTGCTTTTATTTTATCAGTAATATTTATATAGATTATAGCTGTTCTAAGCACAAATATCATTGTCCTATTTTATGCTTTTTCGAATATCAATTTTATAAAGAATATGGATTTTCCTATGGCTATAGCAAAAGCAGAGTCAAGATTGCAATGCGTTGCTTATATTGCACAAGTACTCTGAGTACAAAATTCTTATAGCAACTCTAAATCGGATCCATATTTATTAGGATTTTGAAGCGCAACACCAGCGTACGTAAAAGAATTAAAAGACATTTATTTGGATATTACTTCTAGTTTAACAAAATGAAATTATTGCTCAAGTCAAACAATTTTGACTGATAAGCGCATTAATGTATGAGATTCAGGCCAAATAAAAAAAGAAAGCTTATTAAATATGCTATCCCAGTCTATTCAGAAAGTAAAAATCATTTAGGGATCCGACTTAATAAGTAAATTTAATAATTCTGACGATTTTTCAAACGAGGTAAAGTTTTTGATGATGAATGGCTATGGAGATGGATTTCAATATTGCAATTCCTCGCTATATGAAGTAATTGAGTGCCAAAAATCTTTAATGCTTGATTTTAAATCAGAAATATTATTACTTCTTATTATGGGGATAGGAGTCCTTGGCCTATGCTTTTTCTTTATGGTTCCATTTTGCTATTCTGTGATTAAAATTGAAAACGATTTTTGGAATAATTTGAGAAAAAAAGCTGTTCGAAATTATTCAGAAATGAAGCAGGCACTTTTAGAAAGGCTAAGAAGCGTCCATTCTTATCATGAATTTTTATATAGTAATAGAATACCATCCAGATTAATATTCAACTTCAAAAATTATTGGAAATTTATATGAAGATTTTTCATATATTTTATAGCCGTTATAGCATTTTCCGTAATTAATATTATATACCTTTATGAAAACTGCACAAATTATTTAGCATATAGACCAGAAGTCCTCCTAGAACTAATCCGCACAAAGATTCTTATAAATACCCTTGCAATTTCAGCATCAAATTTACAATATGACGTTATAGGTTTTCCATTGAATGACTTGCTTAATATACATAATTACCAAAATAGCTTAACAATTTTCCAAGATTCTATATCAGAACTTCGTGATTCGATAGTATTATTAAGAAGTCCGAAATATCAGCCAATTTTATCAAATAATTTCCAAACAATTTATTATGAAAATGATAGGCAATCCCTACCGTATTTTAATTATTGAGATTATGGCGCATATGCAGCTGAGGAAGAAATAATAAATACTAGTTATATGATTGCAAATATAGACTTATCTAAAGGTGATACATATTGAAATTGAGTTTTAAATCTCACATTTTTAAGAACAAATTATGAAACTTTTATTAGTGAAGCTGATAGTTATTCTCAAAGCGTGATTGAGGGCCAGTTAAATCTTATTGTTGCAGCATTTTTTATTTTTGCCGTAATCTCAATTATTATATATTTTGCGCTTTGTTTTGTATTTTTCAAGAGTGAGAAGAAATATTTACAGAAAATTAATTCAATGATGAGTATTATGCCAGTGTAAGACTTTTAGTTTTAGAGTATAATAAAAATAAAATAATTATGATAATTTTTACTATCCTGAAAGAAAAAATAATTAGGGAATTGAGGGTTGAAAACAATAATTGGTATTAGAGCTATAGAGCTGAAATAATCTATTATAGCCTAATTTTGCTATAGGCGTGATAGGTGAAAAGTGATAGATTATATAGATAAATTTTTAAAATTGTATTTTTTTGGTAATTTGAAATTAAAACCTAATTACCCTTTTAGCTGGATATAAATTAAATGGCGTAGTAAACCAACTAAAGTATTAAGCCCATAATTTCATAAATATAATATTTTATATTGCACTAATGCTTACATATGAAGGTGAATTTATGGAGTCTTCAAATAAAGGCTTTTGAGCTAAAAAAGAAAGGAGGAGTATAAAAGCTTCAATATTTGAGGTATATAGCCAAATTTATCACAATAAGGCTATGGAAGAAAGATCTGACAATTGGCAAAAAGTTGAAAGGGCAATTCATAGCATAATTTGGAGTCTTCAAATGGCAAGCCTAATGTGAACCCCAAATCTCCCAATTACAGATTGAAAAGACTATATGACATTATGAAAAATTGTTGGATACATAAGGCTTGACAATATTTGCTCAGCATTCGGAAATTTTTATGAATACTTATATCTAGCGATTTCAATTACTTTAATGATTTCATTAACTATTCTTGTGTGTACAATTGCTGACTATCATCGATCTGTGAGTTTGCCAAAAATATTATTTATTGCACTTAAATGATTTTTAAATATATGAATAGCAATATTTTTTATCCCTTCAGTGGTTTTATTTACCATTTTTCTGAAATACAACTTTCTGTCAGACTATAATGCTACTGAGTACGAAAATAGCAGCGATACATCAGATTTTAAGATTACCTTTATTTTAAAACTTTTGATCATACTTTCAATAATTATAAATTTTCCTTTAATTATTTTTCATGCTGAATTTTCAGGCGAAATAAGACATTCTGTGAGCAGTAAAATAGTAAAATCAAAAGCACATTCAAAAATTGATGCTCATATAGCGTTTTTCACATATTTTTCGTCAATATTTTATATATTGTTTGATGATGATTATATGATTTATTTTCAAATTGCTATGATGGCTTTTTCAATAATTATAATTTTTGAAATTATGAAGCTTTTACCATATTTTTCATTTTATTGCAATTTTATACTGATTCTCCAGCTTTTTATTATTATTGTAATATCATTTGGATTTATTTTGGGTATAATAATGGATAATGCCCTATTTACGATTTTATCAGCAATTGTTTTAGGCCCATTATCAGCTTTATTTGTGATTCAATACACTCGGAAACTCAAATTAAATAGCACCTCAAGCAATCCTCCAGCAGGCTTGGCAGGAATAAATTCTCAGTATCAGCTAGAAAAATCTTTGAGAAATTTTTTGTGTGGCAACGACATAGAGCATAAAGATCATATTATTTATCTATTTGAAACCTTCTTTACAGAACACTTTTTCCATGGAGACAAGCTTCAAGTTGCCTGAGCTACAAATTATTGTTTATTTACACTAACTCCCCCCTCCGTGAGTGAACAAAACCATTAGAAAAAATCGCTATTTTTTGCCCAAAAGCCCACCCTTCGTGAGTGTACAGAAATTTTTTTAATTGAAAAAATTTTTTATGGAAAAAAATTTTTGATATATAAGTGATAATTACTATAATGAAATCTAGAGCTAATTCTGTTTAATTTTAAACAAATTGCTTTTTTTTTATAAATTTTATAAATTAAATTAATATCTGCTTTCAAATTTTCGCGAATTAGGATTTTTTTAAATTTCGAAAAATAATTTTTAATAAAATTTATATATAAAATTTTTTTAAAAAAAAAAATTAACCCCCCCTCCGTGAGTGAACAAAATTTTTTTATTCACTCACGGAGGGGGGGGAGTAAAAGACAAATCATTAGCAAAATTAAAACTAAGCAAATCGCAAAGTATTTCTAAATGAAATTTAGAAGCTGAATTTCAGGAATTTTTATGTAATAAAAATATTCAAAATTCTTTATTTAATGAAAAGACACAATTTATAAGCTATTTTTATCATTTAAACATAATAAAAAAGAAGGATGAAAAATTATGTGTCAATTTATTGAATTTTTGAGAAGAATTAATTTCTCTTAAGCCTGATTTAAAAGGATTGACAATAAAATTGAACTGACTTTATAAAAGGATTTTACTTCTTAATAATCAGTACAGTGAATTAACCACAAAATTTTTAGACTCAAAAGAAATCTTAGCGCTCCATGCTTCATATGCAAAAGATGTTCTTTATGACTTTGAAAAATCAAATTTACTAGAAAATAAGCTTAGAGGACTAAGTGCCATAAATTTTGATTCTAAAAAGTTCAGCTATTTTAGATATTCTAATGGAATTTTAGTAATTTCTGGAGATGAAAACAATTTTGGTAAAATTATATTTTCAAATCTAAAAGCAGCAGAAATTATGAAATCTTCAATAATAAACATTGAAGGCAGTAATATAATGAATTTTATTCATGCTTATTATTCTGAAAAAATAAAAGAAGAAGTAAAGTGGGCAATTCATTTTAGCTCTAGCTCAGAAATAGACTTAAGTAAAGGATTTTTTTTAAATATTCCAGGCATGCATTTAATAGAGTGTATAGGAAAAGCTACATTAACTTCAATTGATAATTGTGCTGTTATTATATTAAATTTTCAGCGAAGAAACGCTAGACGGGAAGCTGCATTAACAAGTGAAAATGGAGAAATCTTATGCTACTCAGAAAATTTTCCAAAATTTGCCAGAAAATTTAACGATAACTTGCAAGGCTGCAATATTAAAAATTTATTTCCTGGAGTAGGGATTAATGATGTAAAATTCTTTATCCCTTATCATTTGCCTAATTTTGAAAAAGAAACAATTCTAATAAAAAACTATATAAAAGTCTACAATGCCCAAATATATTACGTATTTCTTATTAATGATGAAACAGAACTCGAAATTTGGAAGCATAAAAACCATCCAAATCATTTTTTTGATGAAAAAGATGAAAGACAAGCTGCAAATTACGACTCAAACCTATTAAGCCCTAAAAATCAAGAATTTCAAGGATATTATCAAAATTCCTATGACCAAATAATTAACTCTGAAATGAATTTGAACCAGCCTAGCTTTAATAATGGCATCCCTGAATTAGCAGAAAATCGTTTTTCAGACAAACTTTCAGAAGAAAAATCACAAATTTCTGAGCATTCTCGACAAAAAAAATATTTCCAAATGCTGTCAACCTCTTCAAGATCAATTAATATTTTACATATTGCTTTTATTTTATCAGTATTTTTTAAATAGATTATTGCTGTGCTGAGCACGAATATTGCGGTTTTATTTTATGCGTCCTCCAGTATTGAGCTTATAAGAAATATGGAGCTTCCTATCGCCCTAGCAGAAGCAGAGGCAAAGCTGCAAAAAGTAGCATACGGTGCACAAATAATTTGGGCGCTTTCTAATTATGGGAGTTTGGAAACTGCTTTTCCCTTATTTTTAACATGGTCTGGGTTCCCTTCTTCAGTGGATAGCTTAAAAGCTTCTTTACTCTATATTACTTCTAATTTGCCGAAATGGAATTATTGTTCAAGTCGAAGCATTTTGACTGATGAAAGCATTGATTTGTGGGATTCAGGAAAAATAAAAAAAATGAATTTATTAGATATGCTTTCAAAATCTGTTCAATATGTAATTTTTATGTAGGGATATGATATGGCAAGAAAATATAATAACTCAGAAGACTATAAAACTGAATTAAACTTTATAGTAATAAATGGCTATGGAATAGGATTTGAATACTGTAATACTTCGCTATATGAAATAATGGAGTGCCAAAAATCAATAAACTCTGGTTTTAAATACGACATGTTTTTTCTGCTCATATTAGGAATCGGCGTTCTCGCTTTATGTGTGTGCATTATGATACCATTTTGCTGATCTACTATACAAATCGAAAATGATTTTTGGGGTAATTTAAGAAGAAAAGTTTATGATAATCATGCAGAGCTAAGGAATGGGCTCTTAGAAAGGCTCCGATTTGTTCATTCTCAGTCTGAAATTTTCATTTCTAATCGAAATCATTCAAAAAAACGATTTAATTTCAGAAATTCCTGAAAGTATATCTGAAGAATTTGCATTTATTTTATCATAGTAACAGCATTTTCTATTGTAAATATTACTTATCTTTATGAAAAATGCACAAATTATTTGTCATATAGACCTGAAATGATGAAAGAGCTTATCCGCACAAAAATATTGCAAAATACTTTTGCTATATGATCATCAGAGCTTTTATTCCATAATTGAGGATTTCCGCCATTAAACAAATACCTCCAGTCATATCCTTTTGTAGATCCTATAATTGAATTTCAAGAAACCTTATCAGATCTTGAAGATTCCAAAAAATTATTAAGAAATCCAAAATACTCACCTATTTTGTCAGATGATTTTAAAAAAAAATTGTATGAAAATAATTATCAGGTTTACACGAATTATTTAACTTTTGGCTCATACTCTGCTGAAGAAGTATTATTGCAGGATGGCTATTTGGTTGCATTTTCAAATATAATAACTGATTTTTGGGTTAATTGGATATTTGGTATTGTTTATCTTAATACAAGCTATGATGAGCTTGCAAATGAAATGGATAGTGACTCTCAAAAAGTGATTGACGCACAAGTTGCAATTATTGTGTGAGCATTTATACTTTTTATAATTACATCTGTAACTATTTATTTTTCATTTTACTATGTGTTTTTCAGAAAAGAAAAGCAATATCTACAAAAAATCAATTCAATTATGAAGATCATTCCGTAGTTTGCACAAAGGCTATAATAATTTTTAGTCTAAAAATTAATGATAATCTTGCAATATTTTTAAATTATTATAGGAATGCCAATTTTTTAATAAAAGCTCAGCTTATTGTTTATACTTATAGTTATATTAATTCTTTTTTCCCCTTCTTGATATTTTGCAAGTATATGAGTATTTAAATTTTTACTTTTGTGTGTTAATAGAATATAAATGAAGTTTTTATCTGTTTTCTGAATTCCTTTCTTTAGCCCTAATTTCAGTTACGATGGGTTTTTTTCAAGTAAAAATTTCTATAAATATAGGATGGCTTTATAAAAATAAAGACTCTGTATTATGGAAATTGCGCTGTGGTGATTGTTGAATTATGAGTGTTTTTATTCAAGTCCAATTAAATCTGACAATATTTTTAGTTCTGCTATTCAAGCTGATGTCCAAAATTCCATTAACTATAATAGGAAACTTGGGATTTTTACATCTTATTTCTATTTTTAAGGATCTTTTGCATACTATGAATCTATAGGTCCAAGTCACAGGTCTATATTTTAGGCTAAATACTATCCCTCAATGCTATTTGCTGAAGAAAGTGCTGATGTTGAGCTGCTTTTTAGATTTCAGCTTGGAAAGCCAATAAATGATGATAAAATTAATCAGAGCTTAAAAGAAAGGAAATTTGAATAACCGAGACTCGGATAGAAGCCAAACCAATCAATTTTATTAGATAGAGGCAAATAAGAATTTAAAAAGGAATTAAACTTTCATATGATTAAAATACAATTCTAAATTTATAGCTTTTATTTATAAATAGCAATTTCATGGATGAGTTTATCCAGCGGTGATTTTTCGTTTGAGATGATTTTAATCTTAGCCTCCTTTAATTGGTACAAAAAATCATGTTCCAATTTAAGTAATTTTTTTAAAATAAAAATTTAGTATAAAGTCAGTGGCAATGCTATTTTTACTCTATCTGATGGTTTTCAATAGAGAAAAAGAAAGTATGCAAATGATAAAAATTATGCAGAATAATTTTAATTAATTCCATTATTTCAAAAATATTCCTGGAGTATGCTCAAAGTAATTAAATATGAATAAGACGAGAATTTACAACTTCAAAAGCAATTTAAATTACTAATATGCATAATATCTTAATTTAACCAATTTTTTAATTTTTACCATTACTTTCGCCTTAGGAATGGTTCAGACTCTATAAATTGTTTTTAAAATTCTTACTTCCTCCTTGGAAGAGCAAAACAATTGAAAAATCTTTTTTGGGTAAAAATACCCTCTGTGAGAAAACAAAAACATTTTATGAAAAAAATATTTTGATTTATAATTATAATAGTTATAATGAAGTCTCTCGCTAATTTTGTTGAATTTTAAGAAGCTTGCATTTTTTAACATAAATTTAATAAATTAAAATTAATGTTTGCTTCCATCTTTGCTATAAATAATTTTTAAAACAAAATTAACCCTAAATAAATATTTCGTTGCCCCGAATTAGGATGCAGATTTTAATATACTCAATAATATTTTTATGAAAATTTTAATTATAGTTTTTTTTGATCCATAAATGTTTATGTTTATATCTATTGAATTTCTCTAGCACTACAGTGTCTTAAGTCCTCTTTAAATTTGAGATTCAAAAAATAATTTTTTTACCATTTTTAGGCGCTTCGCGCCAAATAAGAGAGCAAGAAGACAAGTGCGGGTGCTTCAGGGAAACGCGTTGAGAGATGCCGAGTTGTGTGGAGGATTACAATTGTGACTGTGATGCTGATGCATGAGTTTTTGCTGCATAAAACGTGAGTGTGATAAGTCAAGTTTTCGACTGGCTGATTTCGGATGCGCGAATCGGTGGTTCAGTTGAAATTTGAATGAAAAAGACCAATTAGAGATTTGCAGCTTAATTTTGTGTGAGTATTTTTGTTTATTGAATTTTTTTTTTCAATTTTTCAGAATTTTTCAGAATTTTCAGAGGTTTTATTTATTTCAAGATTTTTAAATTAGAACAAGAGAGAAAAAGAGAGAAATGCTGCACACGCAGCGATAGATAGGTTTAATAATAATAAATTTGAGATTCAGCTTCAATAACAGCTCCGAACAACGGTAGGTGGATCGGCCTGACCGTCTAACCGTTAAAGTTATTAAGCCTTCCCAGACTTCTCTAGTCCATGCCAGACTCAGCACAGACCTCTTCCTTAAAGCCGAAACTTTCAAGAATCTTTGACTTCTCTCACTAAGCTCGGATAATAGGGCTAGCCTAATGAAAAGGTCTAGGATCCATAAATGTTAACTTTTTCAGGTGAAATTAAAGAATCCTCATCTTCAAGACAAAGATTGTGAAATAATCGAAAAGAAAAATCTATTAAAAAATCATTTTTTGAGTTTTATCGCCTACTTTATCATAGCTCAAGTCTTGAAGACAATTATTCTTTTCGTCAAAAAGTTAAAGAAGCAACTGAAGGAATTATTTGAATTTTACAAATTATAAGTTTACTATGGGTTCCAAACCTTTCAATAAAGCATTGAAATGAGCATATAACATTATGAGAAATCATGGGGTACTTACGATTTGACAATATATTTTCGGAGTTTGGAATGATAAAAGAATCCCTATATTTATGTATAATCAGCATTTTTATTATTTTTTCCAGTATTTTCGTTTTAGTTTTGCTGATATATTATTCATTTAGATTGCCAAAATCAATATTCGGCATTTTTAGACAAATTTTCAATTTTTGGGTTAATGTGATTTTTATACCGTCTATGGTTTTATTTTCCATCTTTTTAAAGTATAATATCATATCAGAAAAAAGTATTACAGAATATAAAAACAACAATGGATTTTCAGAGTTTGAAATAAATGTTCCTTTACAATTGGTGTTAATTTTTGCAATGATAGTAGCTTTTCCAATGATTTTATTCCACACTGAATTTTCAGGTGAAATTAGGCACTCAGTAAGTTGCCAAATATTAAAAGCAAAAGCGCATTCTAAAATAGATTTGCATTTAGCAATTTTCACTTATTTTTCTCCTGTAATTTATGTATGTCTTGATCATAACTACATGATTTATTTTCAATTTTTTATGATGATTATTTCAGCAGCTATTGTTGTAGAAGTTATGCAGTTTCTACCATATTTTTCAATTTATTTTAATCTAGCACAAATTCTTAGGCTTTGTGGGGTCTCTTTAGTATCTTTTGGATTTATTCTGGGATATATAATGGATAATTCGTTATTTATTATTCTATTTGCGATTATTTTAGGACCTCTAATCGTACTGCTAAATATTCATTTTGTGCTAAAGCTAGAAAAAAATTTAAATTCAAATATTCCAGTTAATTTAGCCGAAATAAACTCAGCATATCAGCTTGAAAAGTCCCTTCGATACTCCCTATGCTCTAATAGCATTGAAAGCAAAGATCAGATAATCTACCTCTTCGAAATTTTCTATATAGAAAAACCCTTTTGCCGAAATAAACTTGAAAGTATCTGGATAGCAAACTACTGTTTATTTACGTTAAAAGATGAGTCTTTAGCCAAAGTTAAGCTTACAAAGACCATGGATATTTCAGAATTAAATTTAGAAGCAAATTTTCAAGAATATTTATCAAATAAAAATATTCAAAATTCTTCATCAGATGAATCAGTTCAATTTATTGATTATTTTCAACAATTAAATCTAATTAAAAAGAAAGATCACAAACTGTGTTTCAATTTATTAAAATTCTGAGAAGAAATAACTGCGTCCAAACCTGATCTCAAATGATTGGTAAAAAAACTGAATTGGATTGATGAAAAGATATTAGCCATTAATAATCAATACAGCCAATTGACAGCAAAATTTTTTTACTCTAAAGATTTTTTACTCCCCCTCTTCAAGTGAACCAAAAAAAATTCTGTTTAATGATGGAGGGAGATTAAATTTTTTAATAAAAATTTATATATAAATTTATAATAAAAAAAATCAAGTAAAAATAAATTTAATTTGTAAAATTTATGTTTTTTAAATGCAAGCTGCTTAATTTAGCAGAATTAGTTAGGGATTAATTACAATAACTATATCAAAATTTTTTTTTCATAAAAAATTTTTTGTTTGATAAAAGGGTGGCTTTTTGCATTAAAAATAGGGATTTTTCCAATGGTTTATTCGCTCACAGAGGAGGGGTTAGAGCTTTATGCCTCATATGCAAAAGATATACTTTTTGACTGAGAAAAATCTAATTTGCTTGAAAATAAATTAAAATCATATGAGAAAAGCGCTATAAGTTCTTATTCAAGAAATCCTAGCTGCTTTAATGATGCAAATGGAATTTTTGTAATATCAGGAGAAGAAGAAAATTTTGGTGAAATTCTTTTTTCTAATACAAAAGCTAATGAAATTATTAAATTTGCAGATGGGAGCAGCATTATGGACTTTATTCCTTCATTCTATAGCGGAAAATTAAAAGACGAAATTAATTGGCTTATTCATTATGGCTCAAGCTCAGAAATTGATTTAAAAGAAGGATTTTTCTTGAAACTCCCGACAAATTTTCTAATAGAAATCACAGGAAAAATGATAATAACCTCAATTGACAATTATCTTGTTTTAATATTTATTTTTCAGAAAAAGCAAACTAATCGTCAAATCGCATTGATTTCTGAGGATGGAGAAATTTTCGATTATTCCGAAGATTTTCCTTTACTCTTCCCATCCTTGGGCAAGCAAAACGACTGAAAAATCCTACTCATTAGGAAAAACTATCGTCCATAAGAATCATAATGTTTTTTACTACAATTATATTTTTTGTAGAACATTTTTATATTAAATACCTAATTGTATTAAATTTTTAAGCTGGTTGCAATTTAAATAAATTTATGATACTTTATATTATGCGTTGCATAAATTTCTTATGGACGTTATATGCGCCATTTTCATATGAAATTTCAAATTATGAATTTGCCTCACTAAAATCTGCGTTTTGAAACGCATATTTGGTTTTCACATACCAAATTCAAATTGACATGCATATGCATGATAAGAAATTATTGCAATACATAATATTTAAATTTTTGATTATAGGGATTTTTGAAATTTTGAAGAAAAAAAAAACCCCAATTATAAGAAGCAAAAAATGTTTGCTCATTAGAGGAGAGCTTTAGCAGCAGAAAAATTTAAGGATGATTTGAAAGGACATAGTCTTAAAAATGTATTTCCCGAACTCGAAAATTTTAACTTGCAATTATCAATCCCTTATCATTTAAAAAACTGTGAATGTCAGACTATCTTGATTTTATCTTATTTTCAAATAAACCGATTAAAAATACTTCATGCATTATTAATTAATGATCATGAAGAAATCAAAGATTGAATAAATAAAAATAAGGCGCTTAAAAAATGCAAAAAAGAGAAAGCAAACTTAATAAGCTGTCCTTTATCACTAAACTCAATAAGATCATTAAACTCAGAAGGAAATAAAAACTGACTATATCATATTTCAGAAGAAGATTGCGTTAATCCTGAAATTATTTCAAATCAAACTAGTATCAATGAATCTTCAGAAACAGCCAAAAGCAATCGATCAGAAACTAAAGAAAAATACAAACCATTCAAAAATTTACCTAGAAATAAATTTCTTCGATTATTGAAAAAATCTTCTCAGTCAATAAATATTTTGCATATTGCTTTTATTTTATCAGTAATATTTATGCAGATTTTTGCTGTTTTAAGCACAAATATAATTAAAATATGGCGTCTTCGTCTGGGCATGGCCTCCTGGCCATGCAGCCTCGACTCATATTTTAATTATATCCGGTAAGGTTTTTGCCATTTCAGAGATGGACAGCAATGCTAGGCAAGCAATTCTGGTTGTGTACAGAGCCTAGCCCAAGTCTAATTTCAAGGATGGTTTTTTCCTCATGGGGAAGGAGGGCACGTAAGTTGGAAAGGGGAAGCTCAGCAAAGTCCTTTGGACCAATCAGGCAACTTTCTAGCGTGAAACTGGGCGTTACGTCCCAGGCTACGTGCTTTTCCTTTTTGCCGAAAGCCGACCAGAAAATCCATTTTTTGGATTTTCGGAAAAGCAGCCCATGTCCACAAGCAAGTAGCTCACTCATGAGCCGTTGAAAGTCGGTGACATTTGCCCTAGGCGCACCCTGGCGAACAAAGCAGGTTGGCCCAGCAACTTGTAGGCCCGATGCGGCGAAAGGTAAGCAGAAGATCTGGGGGAGAGTCTACCCCGTAAGGGACGTTAAACGTATAAATTCTAATGTAATGTAATGTTTTAAGCACAAATATTGCCGTTCTATGTTACGCATATTCAAACATAGATTTTATTAAAAACATGGATCTTCCTATCACAATAGGCAAAGTAGCTAAAAAATTGCAAAATATATCATTAGCTTCAAGCATCCTTTGGAGGCTTGGAGATTATAAAAATTTTGGCACTGAGCTCGCTATATCAACGTCATGAATTAGATTAGAATCTTTTATTTCTGAATTAAAAGCCATATATCTAAATGTTACTTCTCAATTAGAAAATTGAAATTATTGCTCAGGACAAGAAATTTTTATTAATGAAAAAATAAAGCTATATAATTGAGAGCACAATAAAAAAGTAAATTTATTAGGCATGATTTCACAAGTAATTCAGACTGTAAAAATTATATAGGGAAATGAAATGATCAGAAAAGCCAATAATTCAGAAGACTATTCATATGAAGCTTCTTTTTTGTATGTTAATGGAATTGGAGACACTTTTCAGTATTGCAACCATTCTTTATATGAAGTAATGGACTGCCAAAAATCAATTATGCTTGACTTTAAAAGGGATATGTTTATTTTACTTGTATTAGGGATTGGTGTACTTATTTTATGCATTTGCTGTATGATCCCTTTTTGGTGCTCTAATGCAAAAATTGAAAGCAATTTGTGAAATAATTTAAGAAAAAAAGTATATTATCATCCTGAAATAAAATTGGCATTATTAAAAAGACTTAAATCTGTCCATTATCAGCGTGATATGCTAATTAATGATAGAAATTTTACTAGTTCTCAGTTTAATTTCAAAAATAATTGAAGATTGATATGAAGGCTTTGCATATATTTTTCAGCTGTTACGATGTTTTCGTTAATTAATATAACTTATCTTTATGAAAAGTGCACAGATTATTTAGCTTATAGACCTGAAATAATAAAAGAAATAATCCATGAGCAAATGCTGGAAAATTCTATAGGGTTATCAGCTACTGAGTCTCAGTTCAGAAATTGAGGACTTTTATCAGTAAATAAAACTCCTAGTGAATATCCTTTGATGAACAGTGAAGCAGCATTTCAAAAGGATATATTAAGATTTAGCCGCTCAAAAATAATGGTAAGGGATCCAAAGTACTTGCCAATTTTATCACAAAATATTAGGTCTAAACTTTATGAAAGCCATTATGATTTTTGATCAAAATATTTTATTTTTGGAGTATATGCTGCGGAAGGATTGGTATGATTTATTTATTTAAATTGCAATTGATATTATCAAGTGCCAGATTTACCTTGTTTTGAAATTAAAATATCAAGCCAAAAGGTTAACTAGCTAGCTCATAGAACTATAAAATATTTTTTTCCTATCAAAAATATCGTAATTCATAGCGAGTTATTGCCGCTTCTTAGCTATAGATCTTTTTTATAAAAAATTACAGATATTTATTTTCTATTAAATTTGCCGATTTTTAAAAAAAATGGTATAAGATTTGACAGCTATGTAATCATCCATTCCAACAAATTAATTTTGCTATGATTAAATTGGCTTAGAAATATTGACACATTGATTGTCAATTATAGTGAACTAACTGATGAAATTGACCAATATTCTCAAAGTGTAGTTGAAGATCAGATTAAAACCATTGTAGCGGCGTTTTCATTTTTTATTGCAAGCTCAATTATAATATACTTTACACAATATTTCGTGTTTTTTAGGAGAGAAAAACAGTATTTACAGAAAATAAATTTAATGATGGAAATTATTCCATCATAATCCGATATATTATATCGTTATTTGCAGATTTTTGAACTTTACCACCTAAGTGTGAAATTTTTTTTTCCCGCATGTGAAAAGGTGTTTTTCACGTGTGGAGCCCTTTTGATTTCACATGTGGAATCCTCTTTTCACACGGGGAAAAAACTCCACACTTAAGTGGTAAAGTTCAAAAATCTGCAAATAACGATAGATTATTCTTTTATAATGCATAACCTTATTTTTTATTAAGAAAAAACAGCATTACGGAAGCTCTTTTCATTTTATATAAGATACCTTATATTTTATATTACAAACGAGAGTTCTTATATTTTTTGCAAATTAAGCGTTGCCTATTAATCTTTTAACACAAATAAAAAAGCAAATATTTTAAGATAGACATATATTGCGTTTTTTTATTAAAATTTCCATTTATCTGTTTCATTTATGTCTATACCTGAAGCTGGGATAAATCAATCATATGGTTCCTGCCAATGATTATGAAAGAATAAAAAGCTAAAAACGATTAAAGAATCAGTTTTTGAGTTTTACTGCCAACTTTATCATAATGGAACTAATGAAGAAATATCACTGCTTTGGCAAAAGGTTGGAAAAGAGATTGAAGACTTGGTTTGGTGCTTTCAAATAATGAGCCTACTATGAATTCCAAATCTTCCAATAAAAGATTGAAAAAACAATATAGAGATTTGAGAAATTATTGGATACTTTAGAATTGACAATATATGCTCAGAATTTGGGATTATTGATGCATATATCCAGCTATATTGAATAGAATCCCTATCAGATTTTGATGAATTAAAATAAATAATCTTTCTAGCATCAAAACTTAGCTAAAAATAGTATATAGCGCTTTCCCGAGGATGGCGCCATTCCGCGCCATCCTCGGGAAAGCGCTATACTTATATTTATCAATTGTGGTTAATTTTGTATTATTTTTTGGAATATTTACTTTGAGTTTTATGATTTATCGTTCAGCTAATTTGCCAAGATGAGTCTTTTTGCTATTAAAATGGATTTTCAATTTCTGGGCAAATTTGATTTTTATACCATCTTTGGTATTGTATTCCATCTTTTTGAAATATAGCTTTACGCCTGCAGAAAGAATTACTGAATATGAGCACAATAATGAGCCGGCAAGTTTTGAGGCAAATATTACTATACTTATTTACCAAGAATAGCCCACTAAGGAGCATTTTTTGTTGGCCGGACAATAGCTGGCTTGCCAAATTCGTTGGGATGCCATATTCTGGCAAACCAAATTTAAGAATGGCGAACCAAAAATTGCTCCTTAGTGGGCTATTCTTGGCAAACAGGCATATACAAATTTTAATAATTTGTGCAATGATTGTTAATTTTCCATTGATTTTATTCCATACTCAATTTTCAGGTGAAATTAGGCACTCAGTAAGTAAAAAAATACTTATATCAAAGGCTCACTCGAAAATTAATTTGCATATAGCAATGCTATCATATTTTTCCCCAATATTTTACGTGTTATTTGATAAAGATTACATTATTTATTATCAATGTCTTTTGATGGTTATTTCAATTATTTTGACCATAGAATCTCTAATTTTTTGGCCTTATTTTTCGGTCTATTGTAATTTGACACTAATTCTTAGACTTTTTGCTATTTCTTTACTCCTATCCTCTATGAGAGAATAAAACCATTGGAAAAAAGCCTATTTTTGATAAAAATACACCCTGTAAGCGAACAATTATTATATAAGAGATAATTTATATAACGAAATCTCTAGTTAATTATGTTTAATTTTAAATTTTTTGCATTTTAAAACATAAATTTTATAAACTAAACTGATATTTGATTTTAAATTATTGGAATTAAAAAAAAACCTTGACAATAAAACTATATATAAATTAATTTTTTGGTTGATTTAGTGTCTTTTGGATTTATTTTAGGGAACTGAATGGACAATTCTCTATTAATACTTTTAAATACAATAGTCTTCGGACGATTAGCAGCTGCGCTAATTTATCAATTTGTATTGAAAATGCAAAGAAATATGATTATGAGGCTTCCAACTACTTTATCTGCTATTATTTCTGCATATAAATTAGAAAAAGTTATTAGACATTCACTAATATTAAATGATCCTGAGCAGAAAAATCAAATAATTTACCTCTTCGAAACTTTTTTCATTGAAAATTCCTTATCCCGAGACAAGCTTCAGGTTATCTGGGTAACAAACTATTGCATATTCACGCTAAAAGACGAGTCTCTATCTAAAATTAAGTTAAGCAAAACCAAAAATATTTCAGGAAATTTGGAAAATGATTTCCAAGAATACTACTTATACAAGTTGCCCGATGATGGCGCTCAATGCGCCATCATCGGGCAACTACAGTCCAGGGTCCACACTGGAAATAGGTTCCACGTGTGGAGCACTTTTTGGCATGTGTGAAAGTGAGGATTCTCAACGTGTTAAAAAGGGCTCCACACGTGGAACTCATTTGCAGTGTGGACCCTTTACCGTAGGTGCCCGATGATGGCACATTGAGCGCCATCATCGGGAATTTCCTATATGTAGTAAAAGAATTGAATCTTTATCAAGTGAAAGCAAGCAGTTTATTGAATACTTTCAAGAATTTCATATGATAAAAAAGAAAGATTTAAAATTATGCATCAATTTATTGAAATTTTGAGAAGAAGTAGTTTCATTAAGACCTGATACTGTAAAACTCTCAAAAAATCTTTTATGGATAGACAAAAAATTATTAATAGTAGATAATAAATTTACCCAGTTGACCACAAAATTCTGCAACTCCAAGGAGTCTTTAGACCTTTATGCTTCATATACTAAAAGCATTCTTTTTGACCGAGAAAAATCAAACTTATTAGAAAATAAGTCACAATTGTTAACTCCCCCCCTCCGTGAGTGAACAAAACCATTAGAAAAATCCCTATTTTTTGCCCAAAAAACCCACCCTTCGTGAGTGAACAAAAATTTTTTAATGAAAAAATATTTTATGGAAAAAAATTTTGATATATAAATGATAATTATTATAATGAAATCTAGAGCTAATTTTGTTTAATTTTAAATGAATTGCATTTTAAAACATAAATTTTATAAATTAAATTTATATTTGCTTTCCAATTTTTGCAAATTAGGATATTTTTAAATTTCGAAAAAAAAATATTCTTTATAAAATTTATACATAAATTTTTTTAAAAAAAAAAAAATTAGCCGCCCTCCGTGAGTGGGGGTAGTAAGTAAAACTGCTAAAAAATCATTTTCAAAAAATTTAGAATTTTTTAATGAAATTTATGGAATTTTTGTTATTTCATGTGAAGAAGAAAATTTTGGAGAAATTCTTTTTTCAAACCCAAAATCCAGTGAAATCCTGAAATCTCCGAATCATAATATTGATGGGACCAATATAGCAAGCCTTATTCCTTCTTATTATATAGAAGATTTAAATGAAGATATTCGTAGAATAATCCACTTTGCCTCTAATTCTGAAATTGATTTAAGTGGAGGATTTTTTTTAAATGATCCTTCTCATTATCTTTTAGAATGCTCTGGGAAAATCTTGATAACTTCTCATAAAAATTATCTTATGTCGATATTGCTTTTTAAGCCTAAAAAACGCAAGCATCAAGTTATATTGATATCAGAAACTGGAGAAATTTGTGGATATTCTGAAAATTTCCCTAAATTTGTTACAAAGAATATCCAGATATAGAGGATATTTATGCAAATTCTGAAATGAATTTAAACCAAGATTTCTCAATTGAAACACCTCAAGGAACTGACCGTGCTTTTTCTGAAGAAAAATCCCAGGTCTCAGAAAATGCTCGTCAGCTGAGAAATCATAAACAGATAGCTACATCGGCAAGGTCAATAAATATTTTGCATGCTGCCATCATTTTAGCAGTATTTTTTATATAGATTGTCGCTGTTCTAGGCACAAATATTGCAGTTCTATTTTATACCTTCTCTAATATAAATTTTATACGAAATATGGACATCCCTATCTCCCTTGGGAAAATAGGGAATAAAATCCATAATGTTGGCTTTGCTACTCATATTCTTTGGGCGCTTACACCTATAGCAACTTCTGAAGTTGAGCAAATATTAAAAGTAGGGTGATATAAAATTATCAATTATATGATTGAATTAAAAGGTCTATATCTTTATGCTACTTCTCATGTAGAAGAGTGAAATTATTGTTCTGGGAAAGAAATATTTATGGAGGACAATATAAAGCTATGGAATTCTGATAAGAAAATAAACTTATTAGATATGATTTCAGAGTTTTTACAAACGGTAAAAATTATTTAGGGAAATGAATTTGTTAGAAAGTATAACAATTCAGAAAATTATGATGCTGAAGCATTATTTTTAACAGCTAATAGTTATGGAAAAGTATTTGCATACTGCAATAGTTCTTTATTTGAAATTATCGAATGCCAAAAAATAATAATGTCTGGCTTCAAAGACCAAATTTTCATTTTTCTTATGTTGGGGATTGGTGTTCTTGGCTTATGTGTTTGCATAATGATACCATTTTGGTATTCTACTGTCAAAATAGAAAGTGATCTTTGAAACAATCTAAGGACAAACGTATATGAGCATTATTTTGAGCTAAAACAGTCCTTAATCGACAGACTAAAATGCATTCATTCTCAAAATGAAATTTCAATTAGCAAAAATAATCCTTCAAATAAGAGTTTTACCTATAAAAATTACTGAAAATACATTTGAAGAATCTTTGTATATTTTATAGTCGTTGCACTGTTTTCTATTATAAATATAGCTTATCTCTACAAAAAATGCACAGATTATTTATCATATAGACCAGAAATAATTAAAGAGCTTATACGTGGACAATTTTTTTTAAACTTAATAGCCATAGCGTCAACAAATTCTCAATTGGAGCGTTGAGGATTGCCATTAGCAAATTATATTCCTAATGAGTATTTTTTGGTCAATAGTTTGCCTACATTTCAAAATTACATAAAAAATGTTGAACGCTCAAGACTGATTTTGAGGGATCATAAATATTTGCCTATTTTATCAGAAAAATTTAAAAGGCTCTTCTTTGAACAAGAAAATGATCCAAATTGATATTATTTTGATTATGGGGCATTTGCCGCTGAAGATATCATAAATTTTGATAGTTACTCTGTTACTTATTCAAATTTAGACACCAATTTTTGATTATTTTGAATTGTGAATCTTGAAGAATCGGCTAGAACTTATCGTGATTTTTCTATTGAGATTGATGGGTATTCACAAAGTGTAATTGAAGATCAAGTCAAAATTATAACAATGGCTTTTGTGGTTTTTGCTATGAGCTCAGGGTTTATTTATTTTTTACTATATTTTCAGTTTTTTAGGAAAGAAAAACATTATTTGCGAAAAATCAATTCAATTATGAAAATTATTCCTTAATGAGGATAATAATTCTAGTTTATATATAAGTAATAAGTGACTCTTTTCTTATTTCCTTTCTAATCAAATAGCAATTGGGATAAGCTATAAATACATTATGCGCTTTCTGATAGAGAAAAATGCTAACAGAATCAAATCCAAAAAATAATCCATTGGTATTCATTTTTCTTGTTTTTTTGCATTTCTAATTTTCTGAATATTTTCCAAGTGATAAGCATTAATTAATAAAATCCTTTAAATTTTCCTAGAATTTTTAACACTCAGTGACTGCTTTTAATAAAAATTTCGAATAATAATTTTTAATAAATTCAAGATTTATTAACGAAATCGAAAAGATTAAAATAAAATTATTCTTATACTTGTAATTTCTTTTTTGAAATTTTTGATTTTCAATAATTCGTTAAACTTTTTCTAAAAATTTAGATATGTCATTGTTTTTACTATAAAACAAAGCTTTATCGATTTTTAAATTTTTTTTTAGATCCATTTATAATAGCAAACAATAAATAGTTTGCTAATTTTATTTATAATAAAACTTTCTTAAAAGATGGTCTATTTCTTCTAGTGTTCGAAGCAGGCTTTAAAGCCTGCATTTTTTAATCATTGAACCTCTATTAAATTATTAATGTTTGAACTCTATTCTGAAATGAATGAACCGTCTGCTTTCAGCAAAATTTTATGAAAGAGTCAAAAGCAGAAAACAATTAAACAGTCAATTTTCGAATTTTACTGCCAACTTTATCACAATAATTCTAGTGACGAAAGCTCAATTCCTAGACAAAAAATTGGAAAAGCTCTAGAAGATTTATTATGATGTTTTCAAATGACAAGTTTACTATGAATTCCAAATCTTCTAATTAAGGACTGAGATGAAAATATGGCACTATGGGAAATTATTGGATACTTGAGGCTTGACAATATATGCTCAGAGCTAGGAATTATTGATGTGTGCTTATACTTATCAATTATTGCTAATTTTACAATATTTTTCAGTATTATGGCTTCAGTTTTGATTATCTATCGCTCTTTAAATTTACCGGGATTATTATTTATACTATTTAAATGAATATTCAGTTTCTGATCGAATTTGATTTTTATACCATCTATGGTATTGTGTTCCATCTTTTTGAAGTATAGCTTTAGTTCTTCAGGGAAAGTATCTGAATATCAGAACGATAATGAGCCCTCAGACTTTGAGGTAAACGCCATGCTACAAATTTTTATAATTTTTTCAATGATCATAACTTTTCCTTTGATTTTATTTCATACTGAATTTTCAGGTGAAATAAATCATGCTTTAAGCACAAAAATATTAAATTCAAAGGCTCACTCGAAAATTGATGTGCATATAGCAATGCTATCATACTTTTCTCCAATATTTTATGTATTATTGGACGAAGATTATATTATTTATTATCAGTGTGCTTTATTGATGATTTCAATAATTTTGACAATAGAAACTATAGTATTTTTACCGTATTTTTCGACATATTGCAATTTAGCGCTAGCTATTAAGCTTTTTGCTATTTCTGTAGTATCCTTTGGATTTATTTTTGGGTATTGGATGGATAATTCGATATTAATTATTTTGATAGTCACTATTTTAGGACCTGTAGCAACTGTCTTCATTTATCAGTTTACTTTAAAATGTCAAAAAGGCTTCATTATAAATCTTCCAAAAGGTTTAGACGGAATAAATTGTGTATATAAACTAGAAAAATGTCTTAGGAAATCGCTACTCTTATCCCTCCTCTCAGTGATCGAACAAAAAAATTTTTGTTTGCTCACGAAGGGGGTTAATATTTTTTTTTGAAAAATTTATAGTAAAAATGAATTAATTTATATTTTAAAATACAAGCTGTTTAAATTCAACAGGATTAGCTAGAGATTTCATTATAATAATTATTGATTATATATCGAAATATTATTTTCATAAACATTTTATATTAAAATTTTTTGATCACGGAGGGGGTTATTAGGGATTTTTCCAATGGTTTTGTCCGCTCACAAAGGGTGAGTTAGAAGATTCTGAAAATAAAGACCAAATAATTTACCTCTTCGAAATTTTCTTTATAGAAAAGTATTTGTACCACGAAAAGTTCCAAATTCTATGGGTTACAAACTATTGCTTATTTACACTTCAAGACGAATCTTTATCAAAAATTAAACTAAACAGAACAAAAAATATTCCAGGAAATTTAGAATCTGATTTTCAAGAATATTTGTGTCATAAAAATATTGAATCTCTAAGGAGTGAAAGCACAAAGTATATCGACTACTTTCAGCAATTAAATATTATAAAAAAGAAAGATTTAAAATTATGTGTCAATTTATTGAAATTCTGAGAAGAATTAATTACACCAAGGCCTGACATTAAAAAGCTGTCAAAAAAACTCTTGTGGATAGAAGAAAAATTACTATTTTTGAATAATAAATATAGCCAATTAACAGGAAAATATTTTGATTCTAAAGAATCTTTAGACCTTTATGCTTCATATGCGAAGGATATTCTTTTCGATTTAGAAAAATCAAATTTATTAAAAAACAAGTCACGGTCATTTGGTAAAAGTACCATCAACTCCTATTCACGAAATTTTGAATTTTTTAATGATATCAATGGAATTTTTATAATTTCATGTGAAAAAGAAAGCTTTGGTGAAATTATTTTTTCAAACCCAAAATCTTGTGAAATTATGAAGTGCCATACTTATAGTATTAATGGAGCTAGTATAAGAAAATTTATCCCTGCTTACTACTGTGAAAAAATATATGAAGAGATCCGTAGGACTATTCATTTTGCCTCCTGTTCAGAAATAGACTTAAATGAACGATTCTTTTTAATCCTGCCCTCCCATTTTCTAATAGAATGCTCTGGAAAAATTTTAATAACCTCTCACCATAATTCTCTTATTTCTATTTTAATTTTCAAACCCAAAATAGCTAGACATCAAGTCGCATTAATTTCAGAAACAGGCGAAATTTGCAGTTACTCAGAAAATTTTGCTAAATTCCTTAAAAATGATAGCACCACTTTAGTTGGGTATAACCTTAAAAATTTATTTCCTGAAATACCAGATTTTGCCTGACAATGATTTGCCCCTTATAGACTGTCAGATTTCGAAACTGAAACTATTTTGGTTTTATGTTATTATCACGTCAATAAAATGAAAGTTTTTTATGCTGTAATAACAAATGACTGTGACGAAATCCAAAGATGAAAAAATAAAAAAACGCCAAATGAGGATGAGAAATTTTATTTGGCGAGCCAATTATCATCAAAAGCTGCAAGCACTGAACGCAATAGTATCATAAATAAAGAAGATTCAGAAATTAAAGAAATTTATGTTCATTCAGAAATGAATTTAAATAAATCAAGTGAATCTGTAGAAGCAACTGAAGAAAAATCCCAAATTTCGGAATTTACTTATCATAGGACATTTATTCATCAAATAACCTCGTCTTCAAGATCTATTAATATTTTACATTTAGCGATTTCTTTAGCGGTATTTTTTATATAGATTATAGCAGTTTTAGGCACAAATATTGCAGTGCTATTTTACGCCTTCACCAATATTAATTTTATTAGAAATATGGATCTTCCTTTGACGCTTGGAAGATTAGGCAAAAAATTGCAAAATGTAGCCTACACCCCTCATTTACTTTGGGCACTTACCCCAGGAGCAAGCTCTGATACTCAGCAGGTGCTAAAGGTAGTATGAAATAAAATTATCACTTATAATGCTGATTTAAAAGAATTGTATCTTAATATTACTTCTCATTTAGAAGAGTGAAATTATTGTTCAGGAAGAGAAATTTTTATGGATAAAAATATAAGGTTATGGAATTCTAATAACCTCCCTCCGTGAGAAAACAAAAAAAAATCTGGTTAATTTTTTTTAAATAAATTTATATAAATTTTATATCCCAATTCGCAAAAATTGGAAAGCAAATATTTATTTAATTTTTAAAATGCAAGCTGTTTAAATTAAACAGAATTAGCAAACATATACTAATTATCATTTAATAAAGTTTTTTTTTTAAAAAAAAAAATTTATTAAAAAATATTTTTGTCTCTCGCAGAATTTTTCTAATGGTTTTTATTTTTTTGTATGGAAGGGGGAATAAGAAAATAAATTTATTGGATATGATATCAGAATTTGTCCAAACCGTAAGAGATATTCAGGGAAATGAGTTTGTGAAAAAATATAATAACTCAGAAGATTATAATGATGGAGCTTCTTTTTTAATAGCTAATGGTTATGGAGAAGCATTTGAGTACTGCAATAGTTCTTTATATGAAGTTTTGGATTGCCAAAAAGTTATTATGTCTAATTTTAAATCAGAAATGTTTATTTTTCTTATTTTGGGAATTGGTGCTCTTGCTTTATGTTTTTGCTTTATGATGCCGTTTTGGTATTCTACTGTGAAAATTGAAAGCGAACTTTGAAATAATTTAAGAAAAAAAGCATATGAGCATTATTTTGAGTTAAAGGAGTCTTTATTGGAGAGACTAAAATGCATTCACTCTCTGCCTGAAATATTACTTACATCAGATTTTATATTTTTTGGCTATTAATATTTCAGATAATTCCTTTTTATATTATAAAAAAATTAATAAATCAATAATATATTTTAAAGCAAAAATAGTCTAAATTTATTTATTGCTGAAATTATAAATATAAATTTAAGTTATATGTTAGTAACGAAAATCCATCAAAAAAACATTTCAATTTTAGAAATTATTGAAAATTTATATGAAGGCTTATCTTATACCTTTTAAAAATCCAGCACCATTCAATAAATCTATTTTACAGTATTTCTCTTATATAAAATAAGTATATATTTTATAATAGTCTCAATGTTTTCTATCGTAAATATCACCTACCTCTATGAAAAATGCACAAATTATTTATCTTATAGACCAGAAATATTAAAAGAAATTATACGTGGTCAAATTTTACAAAATTCTATAGCAATATGAGCGACAAATTCTCAATTTGAGCATTGGGGGATTCCGTTGACAAATATTCTGCCTACTAATTACCCTTTAATGAATAGTTTATCTGCATTCCAGCATGATCTTGCAAAGCTGGAGCGTTCAAAATTGGTTTTAAGAGATCCCAAATATTTACCTATTTTATCAGAAAATTTTAAAAAAAGCTTCTTTGAATCTGAAAACGAATCAGATCATTATTATTTTGATTATGGGGCATATGCTGCTGAAGATATCATAAAATTTGATAGTTATTGAATTACTTATTCAAATAACCTTCCCGATTTCTGATTAATTTGAGCTTTAAACATTGAAGTTTTGACTATTAATTATGGTGATCTGGCTGATGGGATTGATGGCTATTCTCAAGGTGTGATTGACGATCAAGTCACAGTTATAGAGGCAGCTTTTGCTGTTTTTACTATAAGTTCAGTATTCATATATTTTTCATTATATTTCATATTTTTTAGGAAAGAAAAACAATACTTGCAGAAGATCAATTCAATGATGAAAATTATTCCATGATAGATGGATTAAATTTTTATTTTATCATTAAATTAATACTTTTATTTCTTATATAAAATCTGCTGTATTATTAAAAGAAGCGGCAGTTTAACAATACTCTTCTTTTGTTTTAAGTGATATTCTTTAGTTTGTTAAAACAAATTTCTATTTATTAATTTAAAAGGCATTATTCATATATCTATTTCTAAGTCATTTAAAAAACCAGCCAAAGTTTGAGGATAATAATTTATTCAATAAATTACTAGCATTTTTATATGCGGAATTATCGTTTGTCTGTTTAATTATATATAATAATTTAAATTTACCAAATTTTTACTTTTAAACTTCCAAAAATGCAATTTTTTTATTTTTTTGTATTTTATCGTCTTTAAGTAATCGTTTATCTAATTAGATTAATTTTAATAAGGAGATAGAGTAATTTCTTAAAATTTTTGAATAGGTCCAAAAATCGCTATTTAAGGCTAAAATTTTCTTATCCAGTAACACTTATAAAACCATTTATGCTTGACTTTGAAGTTGAAATAGATCAATTATCTGCTTCCAGCAAAGGATTGTGAAAAAGAAAAAAGCAAAAAACAATCAAACAGTCGATTTTTGAACTTTATAATCAGCTTTATCACAATAAAGCAGACGAAGAAATATCTATGTTAAGACAAAAAGTTAGCAAAGCAATCGAAGATATAATCTGATGCTTTCAAATAATGAGTTTATTATGGTTTCCAGACCTCCCAATTAAAGATTGGAGCGATAATATGATTTTATGAGAAATTATTGGGTATTTAAGAATTGACAATATATGCTCGGAACTAGGAATTATTGATGCATATATTTTGCTAGTTTAATTAGGCTTATAATAAAATATTATTCTATTAAAATTATTGGGCTTAAAATATAATTTTTAAGCATAGAAATATAATTAAAATTAATCAAGATTAGTATATTTATACTTGTCAATTGTAGCTAATTTTATAATATTTTCAGGTATATTGATTTTAGTTTTTATGGTTCACCGTTCGGTGAGCATACCGAGATTTATCGTTGTCCTATTTAAGTGGATTTTCAGGTTCTGGGTAAATTTGATTTTTATATCTTCTATGGTGCTATATTCTGTCGTTTTGAAATATAATTTTACATCTTTAAAAAATATATCTGAGTACACGAACAATGATGAATCTAAGATCTTTGAGGTTAATTTTGCTTTAGAAATTTCTATAATTTTTGCGATAATTATTACTTTTCCTTTGATTTTATTGTACACTGAATTTTCAGGTGAAATTAGGCATTCTGTAAGTAAAAAAATACTGAAATCAAAGGCTCATTCGAAAATTGATTTCCAAATATCAATTTTCGCATACTTTTCCCCAATTCTTTATGTATTAAGCGTAAAGGATTATATAATTTATTATCAATGCTTTTTGATGGTTAGCTCAATAATTATGATGGCAGAAACTATAATATTTCTGCCATATTTTTCAGCCTATTGCAATTTGACACTGATTCTTCGATTTTTTGCTATTTCAGTAGTATCTTTTGGATTTATTATAGGGAATTGAATGGATAATTCGTTATTAGTTATTTTAATAGCGATTATCTTAGGCCCATTGATATCTGTGTTCATTTATAGGCATATTCCTAAGATAGCCCGATATGGGCGAGGGATAGAGGCCAAAACTCCCACTTAGTCCGGCCTACTCAGGTTGACTGGACTAAGTGGGAAGTTTTAGCCTCTATCCCTCGCCCATATCGGGCTATCTTAGGGATATGCCTATACCAATATATCTTAAAATTACAAAGCAAAATTATAACGAATCTACCGGCTAGCTTATCTGGAATAAATTCTGTATATAAATTAGAAAAATGTCTTACTCCCCCCCTCCGTGAGTGTAGAAAAATCCCAATTTTTTGCCCAAAACCCCACCCTCCGTGAGTGAACAAAAATTTTTGATATATAAATGATAATTAGTATAATGGAATCTAGAACTAATTCTATTTAATTTTAAACTGATTGATTTTTAAAACATAAATTTTATAAATTAAATTAATATTTGCTTTCCAATTTTTGATAATTAGGATTTTTTTAAATTCGAAAAAAAATATTTTTTATAAAATTTATATATAAATTTTTAAAAAAAAAAAAATTAACCCCTCCGTAGTGAACAAAATTTTTTTGTTCACTCAAGGAGAGGGGGGGAGTTAGGCATTCTTTATTATGAAATGACTCTGAAAATAAAGACCAAATAATCTATAGAAGTTTCCTATGTTTGGCGCTGTAAGGCCGATAAATTCTGATCGGAATTTATCGGTAGGTTGCACCAAATCAATGCCTTGGTCGGACCAAAAAGCGATTTGGTCCGACGAACTTGGAAAGCTCCTGGGAAAATGTCTGCGCTTTTAGCGCTATATAGAGGAAACCTCTATACCTCTTCGAGCTTTTTTTCATAGAAAAATACTTATATCGTGACAAGCTTCAAGTCCTCTGGGTAACAAACTACTGCTTATTCACATTGCAAGATGAGCCTCTATCAAAAATCAAGCTAAGCAAAGCAAAAAATATTTCAGGAAATTTAGGGTCTGATTTTCAAGAATATTTGTGCAATAAAAAGATTGAAGAATCCTTATGAAGCGAAAGCACACAGTTTATTGATTATTTTCAGCAGCTACATATGATAAAAAAGAAAGATTTAAAATTATGTGTAAATTTATTGAGATTTTGGGAAGAAGTTATTTCACAAAGCCCTGATATTAAAAAATTGTCAAAAAATCTTATGTGATTACAAGAAAATCTGATATTTTTAAATAATAAATATAGTCAGCTAACCTCAAAATTTTTTAACTCTAAAGAGTCCTTAGATCTCTATGCTTCATATGCGAAGGACATTCTTTTTGACTGGGAAAAATCAAATTTACTAGAAAATAAATCGCGATCATTTGGTAGAATTGCTATATTGTTTTGGTTTATATAGCTCTATAAACAATTTAATGCATTATTTTACCATTTTTTAATAGATAAGGTATATAAATTCTTTTTCCCGAAATTTTGAATTTTTTAATGACATTAATGGGATCTTCATAGTTTCCTGTGAAGAAGAAAACTTTGGTGAAATTCTTTTTTCAAACCCAAAAGCCAGTGAAATAATGCGTTCTTCTTCATATAGCATTGATGGTTCCAATATAACAAATTTCATTTCTCCTTATTATTGTGAAAAACTAAATGAAGAAATCCGCAGAATTATCCATTTTTCCTCAAGCTCAGAAATAGATCTAACTGAAGGATTTTTTTTAAACCTCCCCTCACATTTTATAATAGAATGCTCTGGAAAAATTTTAATAACCTCCCACGAAAATCATCTGGTTTCTATATTACTTTTCAAGCCTAAAATGGCTAAACACCAAGTCGCATCAATTTCTGAGTCTGGAGAAATTTGCAGCTGCTCAGAAAATTTTCCGAAATTTTTAAAAAATCATAACAGTAATTTGGCTGGATTAAATATCAAAAATTTATTTCCTGAAATAGCAGAATTTGGCTGGCAATGATTTGTCCCTTATAGACTATCAGGATTTGAAGCCGAAACTATTTTGGTTTTAAATTATTATCAAGTAAATAAAATGAAAGTCTTTTACGCTGTGTTAACAAATGATTATGATGAAATTCAAAGGTGAAAAAATAAAAATTTGCCATTGGAAAATGAAGAAGAAAAATTTATTTTGACAAGCCAGTTGTCATTAAAAGACCAAAGTACGGAAGGAAATAGTAAAATATTGAAAAAAGCGTATACAGAAATTGAAGAAATTTATGCTAATTCTGAAATGAATTTAAATCAGGCAAGCTCTGTTGAATCCCCTCAAGTAACTGACCGTGCTTATTCTGAAGAAAAATCCCAAGTTTCTGAAAATACTCACCGAAGGAGATTCCTTAGGCAGATAACTACCTCAGCAAGATCAATGAATATTTTACATGTTGCCATTATTTTTGCAGTATTTTTTATATAGATCATAGCAGTTTTAGGCACAAATATTGCAGTGCTATTTTACGCCTTCACCAATATTAAATTTATTAGAAACATGGATCTCCCTTTAACTCTTGGAAAATTAGGCAAAAAAATGCAAAATGTTGCTTGTGCCTCACATTTGCTTTGGGCGCTTACCCCAGGAGCAAGCTCTGATACTCAGCAGGCATTAAAAGTGACATGAAGTAAAATCATTACTTTTATGACTGAATTAAAAGGCTTGTATTTGAATATTACTTCTCATTTAGATGAGTGAAATTATTGCTCAGGAAAAGAAATTTTTATGGATGAAAACATAAAATTATGGAATTCTCATAAGAAAAAAATAAATTTATTGGATATGATATCAGAATTTGTTCAAACAGTAAGGGATATTCAGGGAAACGAGCTTGTCAGAAAATATAATAACTCAGAAGATTATAATGCAGAAGCCTCATTTTTGGTGGCAAATGGATATGGAGAAGCATTTGAGTACTGCAATAGTTCTTTATATGAAGTTATGGATTGCCAAAAAGTAATTATGTCTGATTTTAAATCAGAAATGTTTATTCTTCTTATACTGGGGATTGGTGTGCTTGCTTTATGTGCTTGTGCAATGATACCATTTTGGTATTCTACTGTGAAAATCGAAAGCGATCTTTGAAATAATTTAAGAAAAAAAGTATATGAGCACTATTTTGAGTTAAAGCAGTCCTTGCTTCTTTCTTTTATGGGTGAGAAAAATAATGGAAAAATCCCTAATAAGCCAAAAATTTTTTATATAAGTTATAGCGAAAAAAATTATTGAAATTATAGAAAATATTAAAAAAACAATAACTAATGAGCAACCAATCACTCAAAGAATGGGAAAATTAGTTGAGAGATTAAAATGCATTCACTCTCAGCCTGAAATAATGCTTATTGTCGGAAATCCATCAAAAAAACGATTTAATTTTAAAAATTATTGGAAATACATCTGAAGAATTTTTGTGTATTTTATTGTTGTCACAATGTTTTCTATCATAAATATCACCTATCTTTACGAAAAATGTACTGATTATTTATCTTATAGGCCAGAAATAATGAAAGAAATCATACGCGGGCAAATTTTGCAAAATGCTTTGGCAATATGAGCAACAAATTCTCAATTGGAACATTGAGGAATTCCATTAGCTTGGCCTGACTTAAATTTATACCTCACGCCCCAACTTCGGGCTTCCCGATATACATTGCGTTTTACATCACCTTGCTTCACCTCTGAATGGTCCCTGGATTTAGAGTGCTCAGATTACGACGGCTGTCTTTCCAGCTCTCAGGCCTGAAAATGGGCTTCCTGCACAAAAATTCCAAAAAATGGAATCCCTGGCTGATTCTCGGTAAAAAAGGGAAAACTTGTGGCGTAGCTCCTGATTTAAGTTCCTAGAGTTGCTCGATAGACCTAAAAGGCTTTTTTGGGCATTCCTTTCCCAAATCAAATCTCTTCCTTCTCCACGAGGTATAATACAATCCTGAAAAAATACGTTGGATAGCCTCAACACATTGCGGTATTGCTAGCCTAGCATTGCTTTCCATTTCTGGGTCGGAAAAACCTACCAGATATAATTAAATATGAACTCAAGGCTGCATGCCTGCCGAGACACCATATTTAACTATATAAGGAATCCCATTAACAAATAATCTTCCAAATGAATATCCTTTAATGAACAGTGGATCTTCATTCCAAAATGATGTTGTAAAACTCGAGCGCTCAAAATTGGTTTTAAGAGATCCCAAATATTTTCCTATTTTATCAGAAAAATTTATAACACGCTTCTTTAAACGTGAAAATAAATCAGGCTGATATTATTTTAATCTTGGGGCATATGCAGCTGAAGATATCATATACTATGCTTTAATAAATTCACGTATTTATATAGTAAATAATATAATTATCATTTTTTTAAGCTAAAAGTATAAAATTCGACAGCTATGTGGTCACTTATTCAAATATGCTTGTCGATTTCTGGTTATTTTGGGTACTGAATATTGAAGTATTGACTATTAATTATGGTGAGCTTGCTGACGAGATTGATGGCTATTCCCAAAGTGTGATTGAAGACCAAGTCAATATTATTTTAGCAGCTTTTTCTATTTTTGCAGCAAGCTCGATCTTCATATATTTTGCTTTATATTTTATATTTTTTAGAAAAGAAAAAGAATATTTGCAGAAGATCAATTCGATGATGAAAATTATTCCGTGATAAATATATAAATTTATTAGGTAGATAATTCTTCTGAGATTGCTTTAAATTAATTTATGTTTATTAATCAAAGCCTTTATATCAATTTATAGCCAGTTTCCTCATGACTTATTTAAAAGAATTTCTAAATAGTCTTGATTAAGATTAAGATTAAGATTACGCTGGGTATTTAAGGTCCCTACTACGTCCGAGGTCGCATGCCACGGTTTCCCGTGTGGTGGCAGAGCGTTCACCAAGCCCGGGCCGAAACCCCCGGTTTCTCGGTAGAGGTATTGTCAAGGGCCGTCTCATACCGGCTTTGCTGACCACCTCCATTTCCAACTTGGCTCGTCGCCTAAGTTTACGCCAACTCCGCTTCGTCGTCCGCCAGATCTGCCCATTGAAGGGCACCTTTTCAACTGGAGAGACCCCCGTTTAGTTGTCTAACTGGCCTTCCCCTCTTTTCCGGTCATCCCGAGAAAGAACTCAACAGCTTTCGCCATTCGGGGCGAGCCACAAAAAGCAGCTTAGGCAGGTAAGTCGCCCTGCCTCATCTCGGGCATTCACTGGGCTGAGCGCTGCTGGCAAAAAGAAGTCACGAGTAACTGCCCATGGGTCTGGTCGCAAAACACAGCGCTCTCGCGCTTAGGCCTCTCGCTTCGAGGTCCCAGACGTTGTTGGGCTAACTCCTGGCTCCAAAAACCATGCCCGGATATACATGGGTAACCACCACTGAGAGGGTGGGTCGGTCGCCATACGCCATTTTATGTATATTAAATAGTCTTGATAAATTGATTTATTATTAAAATCAGTATTTCAAACTATGGAAATTCTTTAAATAAATAATTTTAAAATTGGTTATAAAAATTGTCTATTGTTAAATTTTAAAAATAATTATCAAAATTATAAACCAACACAATCCAGCTATTCTTATATAATAAATTCTTATATTGGCTCTGATATATATATACTTTTAATACAGTCCATTTATGATTGAACTTGAAGTAGCTCATGAAAAAGCTTCAGTGTACAGCAAAAAACTGTGGAAGACTGCCTCAAAATCTATAGTAAATTCAGCATTTGAAGTTTTCAGGCAACTTTATTTCCAAAAGGTCTTTGGAGAAAATTTAATCCTTCGGCAAAAGGTCAAAGAAGCAGTTGAATGCTTAATTTGGTGCTTACAAATGGTAAGTTTATTATGAATTCCAAATCTCCCAATAAAAAGTTGGAAAGAAAATAACATTATATGAGAAGTAATTGGATACTTAAAACTTGATATAGCCTGTTCAGAATTAGGGATGATAAGTTTATGTTTATTTTTTTCAATTGTGGTAGTTTACCTGATTTTTTTCGGAATGGTATTTTTAGTTTATATTACTTATCATTCTTATAGTTTACCAAAATGATTACTATTTATTTTCAAAAAAATTTTCTATTTATGGGTTAACTTATTACTGATCCCTTCTATGTCTATTTTTACCATTTTTCTCAAATACAATTTTTCACGCAAAAATCATGTATCAGAATATAAAGCTAATAATGACTCTTCGGATTTTGAAATTAATATTTTGTGGCAAATTCCAATTATTTTTGCTATGATAATCTCATTTTTTGAGCTTATATTTTATGTAAGTTTTTCAGGGGAAATTCGACATTCAATAAGTAGCAAATTAATAAAGTCTAAGGCGCACTCCAAAATAGACCTACAAATTTATATTTTTACTTGAATTTTGCCGATTTTTTGGGCACTTTTTGCTGAAGATTATATCGTTTTTTATCAGGTTTTTACAATGATTATTTCAATGCTTTTAATGATTGAATTTATGATACTTTTACCATACTTTTCTCTTTTTTGTAATACCCTGCAAATTCTAAGGTTAGCCTTTGTTGTTTTGGCATCTTTTGCCTTTGTTTTTGGATATGCCCTGGATAATTCACTAATTATTTCCTTTTTAGTGATAGTTTTGGGTATTTTAGCAGTAAAACTGATTATTTCTTTTTCCAAAAAATTGCATTTGAAATTAAATGCAAATATTCCTGAAAATTTTATAGGGATACATTCCGAATTTAGCTTGGAAAAATCGCTTAGATCTGCATTATGCTCAAATGATATTGAAAATAAAGACCAAATTATCTGTATTTTTCAGTCATTTTATAAAGAAAACTATAAGCTCAGATCCAAGCTTCAAGCTATTTGAATAGCGAATTATTGCATTTTTACATTAAAAGATGAATCTTTAGCTAATATTAAGCTAGAAAACGCGAAAAATATAGCAGATTGAAACCTTGAAGGGAAATATCAAGAATATTTATCCAGAAAAAGCATATCAGAAGCGGTTACTTCACCGACGCCTGTTTCATAACGATTATTTTTTATTGGCCTATTTTTTTTTTGGCTATTTTTTTCACCTATTTTTTTTGGCCTATTTTTTTTCACCTTTAGTATTCATGGAGTAAGAGATTTGTTAAGGGTGGATTTTTTGTTGGTAAAATCGTTTAAATTACATTAAAAATTATATTAAAATAATTAGTATGGAGTTAGGCTCAAATATTAGTAAAAAACAGCTAAAAAATTGCCAAAACAAACTCCAAAAAAATAGGCCAAAAAAATAGGCCAAAAAAAAATAGGCCAAAAAAAAATAGGCCAAAAAAACTAGGTGAAAAAATAGGCCAAAAAAATATTATGCGTTGCATAAATTTCTTATGGCCGTTTATATGCGCCATTTTCATTTGAAATTTCAAATTATGAATTTGCCGCACTAAAATCTGCGTTTTGAAACGCATATTTGGTTTTCACATACCAAATTCAAATTGACATGCATATGCATGATAAGAAATTATTGCAATACATAATAGGTGAAAAAAATAGGCCAATAAAAATAGGTGAAAAAGAATAGACCAAAAAAAATAGGCCAAAAAAAAAAGTTGTTGCGAAATAGTCGTCGTGTGAAGACACTATCAGAAGCCGCTACATCTGAATGTGAAAAATTTATACATTACCTTCAGCATTTAAATCAAGTCAAAAAAGAAGACAAAAAATTATGCATGAATTTATTAAGGTTTTGGGAAGAAATAACTTCATTAAAGCCAAACCTTCAGAAAATCATTCAAGGTCTAAACTCTATACATTCAGAAATGTCCTTTCTCAGCACAGCTTATCACCAACTTACATCAAAATTTTCCGCATCCCGAGAAACCTTATCTCTTTATTCCTCATATGCGAAAAATATTCTTTTTGACTTACAAAAATCAAATGTGCTTGATGCCAAAATAAGAAATTTCGACAGAATTATTACTAACGTTGCCAATGATTTATCAAATTTCAGCTATTTTAGTCGCGCAACAGGAGTTTTGATAATTTCATGTGAGGAAACTAATTTTGGCGAAATTCTTTTTGCAAATCAAAAAACCTCAGAAATTTTACAAATTTATTTACATAATATTCTAGGGAGCAACATATCAAATTTTATCCCTTCAGTCTATTATGAAAAAATTAAAGAAGAAGCGAAATGGACTTCTGAGTATGGTTCGAGCTCACAGGTTGATTTAACTGAAGGGTTTTTCATAATGACCCCTTCAAAAATCTTATTAGAATGTGCAGGAAGGGTCCAAATGACCACAATTAACAATTTCCTTGTAGCAACTCTCGTATTTAAGCTAAAACCTGCAAATCATCAAGCAGCTTTAATATCTGAAGACGGCGAAATTTATTGCCACACCCTAAATTTCCCCAGACTTTGCAGTAAATACACAAATGATTTGCGAGGATTTTCCCTTAAAAAAATATTTTCTAATTTGCAAGGGCTAGATTTACATCCTTTTACCCCTTATCGTATATTATCATCAGTAAATGAAGCAATATTAGTATTATCACATTTTGAATTTAATAAGTTCAAAATGCATTTCGCGCTATTAATAAATGATAATGCAGAAATTGCAAAATGAAAGGGCGAAAATTTAATTATAAATGGCAATCATGAAGATGACATAATAAGAAGCAGTCGAAGGCTCTCCAGGCATATTACCTCAATTGGAAACGAAATAAGAAGCATCGAAAGCCAGCACCATGAAAAAAATTTTGCCTCAGAAATCGAATTAATCCAGTCAAATGAGCAGGTTTTAAGCAATGCATTAGGAGCTATAGAACACAAGCTGTCAGTAAGGACTGATGAAGAAAGATCCCAAAGATCAGAATCCTCATCCCAAACTAAATTTTTAAAAATGATACAAATATCGTCAAGGTCAATTAATATTTTGCATGTCGCTTTTATTATATCAGTAAGATTTATATAGATTTTAGCAGTTATAGCTACAAATATAGCAGTTTTAATTTATGCGAATTATAGCGTAAAAAATGCAAGCAATATGGATCTTCCTATAACTTTAGGCCACTTAGCTAATTACTTTCAGTATCTTGGTGTCTTATCAGGAGATATTTATGTAATATATTCTGCTAATAGTCAAGGCTATAAAGATATTCTAGAAACTCTAGCTACAGGCTTCACTTCTACCTTAGAAGAACTAGCCTTTCTTTATTTAGATATCACTTCAAACCTAAATAGCTGAAACTATTGTTTAGGCCAAGATATTTTTATCGATGAAAATATTAATTTGTGGAACACTGATGATGGCATTTATAAGAAAAAAATCAATTTAATGAACACAATTTCTATGTTTATCAACAATGTATTTTTTATATAGGGAAAACAATTTTTGAAGAAATATAAAAATTCTGAGGATTATACTGAAGAAGTGATGTTTTTAGAATATAATGGATATGGAGAAGCCTTTAAATACTGCAACCAATCGATGTATGATATTATTTCATGCCAAAAAAACACAATGAACAAATTTGAGTCTCAAATGCTCGCATTTTTGATACTAGGAATTGTGGTATTTTTTATATGTGTTGGCTGTATGGTACCATTTTGCTATTCTACAGTCAAAATCGAGAATAACTTATGGAATAATGTAAGAAATAGGACTTATGAGTGCTATTTCGAGCTTAGACAATTAAGCTTTGAACGGCTTGTAAGTATTTATGGAGGCCCTGAAATTGAGCTTAACAATAAAAATCCCTCAAAAAAGCCTTACAATTTTAACAGCTATTGAAAATATTTTTGGAGGATTTCTATATATTTTATTGCTGTATCTGTGTTTTCTGTAATAAATATTATTTACCTCTATGAAACATGTGCTGAATATTTGTTTAAAAGACCTGAAATTATTAGAGATTTGATACATGGGCAGATTTTGTTTACAAGCTTAGGGGCTTGGACAACTAGAGCCTTAATGGATAACTTTTCATTCCCAGTCTTAGGTGGATTTTCTCCATTTCAAAAAAGTGAATGGCAAGAAATAATCTCCAAAATAAATTATTTATCAATACACTTTAGGGATAATGGCTACACACCAGTTTTATCAAAAGATTTTACTAATAAATTCTATGAAAATGATGAGAGCTCATCAGAAAAATTAGCATTTGGAGTTTATCCTGCTCAACATATTTTAACTTTTGATGCTTACTACATTGTTTATTCAGCTCCGCCTATTGATGTATGGCTTAATTGAGTGATCGAAACTTCAATGATATCACAGAAATACGATGATTTGACTAATGAAATTGATAATTATTCACAAGATTTGATAAATAGTGAGATGAACTTAATTGTCATCGTTTTGGTAGTTTTTATCGTAACTTCATTTGCGATGTATTTTGGAATATATTTTACGTTTTTTAGAAAGGAGAAAAAATATTTACAAAAAATTAATTCAATAATGAAAATCATACCACAATAATTAATGAATATATAATTTTTTTAAAATTATGGATTAAGAAAATAAGATTGCTAACAAATTAAAAATAAAAATATTAATTAAACATTGGAAATATAGTTCTAATTTTATCACGCAAACTTAGATGCATATTCAGTTTTTTAATTTTTTTCGAAATAAAAACTTTAATATGGAATTTTACTTAAAGCAAATAATATATTATCAGCACCTATAATATTTAACCCTATTCTTATAATATTTAAGTTCATTTTATTAAATTCTGAATAATTTTTATTAAGCTGTATATAAGTTATATAATTTTTAAAACATAATTTTCTTAAAAATTAAAATTTTTATCTGCTTATTGATATTGCAAAAAGATTAATCAATTCTAATAGTTGAATTAAATTAGCAAATGCTAATTTAATTTTGAAGCTTGAGCTTTAAAGTTAAAAGAAAAGAAATATTTACAAAAAATAGATTCGGTGATGAGAATAATATTGATTAGACATTTAAATATGAAGTTTATTATTTTAATTCTGAGTCAAATTTAATAAAAATTGCATAGCAATTTATTAAAAGCATAAAGAGGGATTATTATTATTATCATTAAGATCCTTGCTATAAAGACATTTTGGGAAAACTAATTTTATGCATAGAAATATTAGGCTCCTTTAATTTAATGCTATTTAGATATTATTGCTTAAGTAAGAGCATTTTTATTAAAATTGCATAATTGTTTCATAGCCTAGGCAATAGTTTTTTATTGGAGATACCCCAATAATTAAGCATGAATGCATAATATTAAAAACTTTTTTTGAGATTGAAATTAAGAAAATTAATTAGTTTTATTGATTTAATACGTATATTATATTCTATTTATATTATTTTAGTAAAATCAGCCTAATATTAATTAATCAGACCTTATAACTGATAGAACAAAATCGTCATGATGCAAATGAGCTAAATTTTCTCAATTATACCTTAAAATTTTTTTTATCTTATAAGTATTTGTCTTTTTTTATTTATATAATTAAAATTAATCAAACTATTAGCAATTTTCAGTTTAATTTTAATTAGATAGTTCTTACGACAAATTTTTCTCATTTTTAAGTCATTTTTATTTCATACCTTTTAATCTCATTATATAGATAAAATTTAAACTAAAACTCAAGCGATTTTCCATCAGTTTCAAAATTTTTTTATTTCCCTTTAATAATTTTGTTTCCTCTGGAAATTTAATATAATAAATGTTTTTTATTAACTATTAAAATAAGTCAGTAAAGAATTTTTAAATAATTTTTAAATCCGACAAAGCCATAAGAATAAGTCAGGTCATAAAGTTTTAATTATCAGGCTATTAAAAATATTAAGAAGCTATTAAGTTATAGGCTTAGCTATATATTTATATTATAACTACAAAAAAAGTTTGCTAATATTGTCCATTTATGCTTGAGCTTGAAGTAGTTCACGAAGAATCCTCCCTCTATCGCAAAAAACTGTGGAAGGCAGCAGATGAAAAGTCGATAGTGAATTCTGTTTTCGACTTTTATAGCGAACTTTACTTTCGAAAAACCTTTGGAGAAAAATCCGATTTCAAATTAAAGGTAAAAGAAGCGCTCGAGGCTTTAATTTGAACTTCACAAATAGTCACTTTACTGTGAATCCCGAATCTAGAAATCGAAAATTGAAGCGAAAATATGCTAATATGGAAGATAATTGGATACTTAAAACTTGATTATTCATGTTCAGCATTCGGTGTCATAAGCGAATGTCTATATTTTTCTATTTTATCGGTGTTTTTTATGTTTTTAGGTGTATTTCTTTTAGTTTATATAACTTATCATTCCTATAGCATACAGAAGCTATTTTTACTTATTTTTAAGAGGATTTTTGATGTATGGGCTATCTTTTTTATGGTGCCTTCAATGACTTTATTTTCCATATTTCTCAAGTATAATTTTTTACCAAAAGATCATATATGGGAATATAGAACTCATAACGAATTTGCAAATTTTGAAATAAATATCTATTGGGAGGTTGCGATAATTTTTGCAATGATATTATCATTTCCTTTGCTTTTATGTTATGCTAACTTTTCAGGAGAGATTAGGCACTCTATTAGTAAAAAAGTAATAAATGCAAGGGCGCATTCAAAAATAAATATTCAAATTGCCCTTTTTACATGGTTTTTGCCTATTTTCTATGCGATACTTGCTGAAGATTATATCATTTATTTTCAGCTTTCTATATTAACTATTTCAATACTTTTATCCATAGAAACATTGATCCTTTTACCTTATTTTTCAATTTATTGCAACTGCGTTCAGCTTCTTCGGCTTTCATTTATAGCTTTAGTATCATTTTCTTTTATTTTTGGATACGCCCTTGATAACTCCTTAGTTATTTCTTTTTTAGCAATAATTTTAGGACTTTCATCAATCAAAATTACTATTTTTTTAACACGGAAATTTTATTCAAAAATTAAGCCAGAAATTCCTACCAATCTTTCAGAAATTAATTCTGAATATGACTTAGAAAAATCACTGAGATTTGTATTATGTTCAAGTGATAATGAGCACAAAGATCAAATTATTCAAATATTCCAATCTTTTTTTATAAAAAATTATACCCTCCGATCTAGACTTCAAGCTATTTGGATTGCAAATTATTGTATTTTTGCACTAAAAGATGAATCTTTGGCTAAAATTAAGTTAAGCCAAGTCAAAAAAGTTTCAGACTGGAGTCTTGAAGGGAAATATCAAGAATATTTATGCAATAAAAATATATTAGAAATAAATAAATCAGAATGTGAACAATTTATCAATTATTTGCAGCATTTAAATTGGATAAAAAAAGAAGACAAAACGCTATGCTGAAATTTATTGACTTTTTGGGAAGAAATTACTTCATTAACGCCAGATCTCCCTAAAATAATCCAAGGCTTAGGCTATATCCATCATGAGATTTCCTATTTAAACACAGCTTATCATCAGCTTACTACAAAATTTTTTAAATCACGAGAGTCTATAGCTCTTTATGCAACATATTTAAAAAACATTTATTTTGATATGGAAAAATCAGTTCTTCTTGAAGCTAAATTAAGGTCTTTTGATAAAATTGCTGGGAATGCAGCTTATGATTATTCTAATTTCAGCTATTTTAGTGGAGTTAATGGCATTTTGATTTCTTCAGCTGAAGAAGACGATTTCGGTGAAATATTTTTTGCAAATAAAAAATTTGGGGAAGTCGTATACCTTTTTATAATACCTAATATATAATTTTTTATTTTTTTGAAAAAATAAAATTCATTTTAATTAAAAAATACAATGTCCTCTTCATTCTATTATTGGCAATAACCTACTTAATTTTCTACCTTCAATTTACCATACAAAAATTAAAGAAAATGCCAATTATGTGAGTAATTTTGGCTCAAGCTCAGAAATAGACCTTACTGAAGGGCTATTTTTGATATCTCCTGCAAATATTTTAACAGAATGCACAGCAATATGCTACCTTACTTCAATTAATAATTTCCTGGTCACGTCTATGACATTCAAGCCTATTCTTGCAAATCACGAAATTGCTTTAATAATGGAAAATGGGGAAATTTTTTGCCACAGCATAAATTTCTTTAAACCCTGCAGAACTTGTTACGATTTGCAAGGACTTTTTATTAAAAATCTTTTCTCTGACCTAGAAAGCATAGATTTACAGGATTTTGTCCCTTATCCAGTGCCAGCTTTTCAGAAAGGAGCGTATGTAGTCCAAGCATATAAAGATTATCACGTGTTTAAAATCTATTACTTGTTATTAATAAATGATCCTAATTCCCCCCCTCCGTGAGCGAACAAAATTATTTTGTTCGCTCACGGACGGGGGTTAATTTTTTTTTTTAGAAATTTTTGATAGAATTTTTTTTGTTTGAAATTTTAAAAAAATCCTAATTCGCAAACAAATATTTTAATTTTAATTGTAAAATTTATTATTTAACGAAATTTTGATTAAAATTAAACAGAATTAGCTCGAGATTTCATGATACTAGTTATCACATATATATCAATTTTTTTTCATAAAAATTTTTCTATTAAAAACATTTTTGTTCACTCACGTGTAGGTTTTTGAGCAAAAAATAGGGATTTTTCTAATGGTTTTGTTCGCTCACGGAGGGGGGAGTAAAGAAATTTTAAAATGAAAAGGCTTTATTCATCACAGTAGCCATGAAGAAGACCTATCAAAAAGCAATGAAATGGAAATAAGCTTATTTAAAGCATTCGAAGATGAAGAGATAAACATCGCAGATCACAATATTTATGACACTGAAACAAACTTAGACCCCCACAAAGACTCGATTTCTCATAATTCTTTAGACGCCATCGAGAACTTTTTATCAGAAAAAATAGAAGACGAAAAATCAATAATTTCTCAAGGCTCCCCAAAATACAGATTTTTTAAAATGATAGGAATCTCGTCAAGGTCGATAAATATTTTGCATATAGCTTTTATTATTTCAGTAACCTTTATATAGATTTTATCTGTTATTGCTACAAATATAGGAGTTTTATTTTATGCTATTTATAATGTAGACTATGTAAGCAATATGGATCTCCCTGTAGCTGTCGGAAAAACAGCAAAACTTTTACAAGCTACTGGGTTTATTGCACACACAATTTTCCTTGTTGCGTCTAGTGGGACTCCTTTTGCAGCCCAAATTGTCAAAATAATGACCCCTGGCTTGGCTGGTAAAGTAATGTCTGTGGAAAGTCTTTATTTAAATATTACACAAGAATTAGATAAATGGGACTATTGCTCAGGACTTAGCACTTTTACTGATGAGCATATTTCTATATGGGAAATTGAAGGGGAGCCTTATAAGAAAAAATCAAATTTATTAAATGCGATTTCTCAGTTTATTCGATATGTAAATTTTATGTAGGGAAACGCAATTTTACAAAAATTAAACAGCTCAGAAGATATATCTAAAGAAGTGTCATTTGTGGAGTTAAATGGTTTTGGGGAAGCTTTTCAATTTAGCAATCAGTCGATGTATGATATTATATCATGCCAAAAGGATATCATGGACGATTTTAAGACAAAAATGCTGATTTTTTTGATTTTGGGGGTTGCTGTGCTTGCTATATGTGTTTGCTGCAGCTTCATATTTTTAGCAAAAATTAAAATTCTAATTGGTTTATTACTTGATAATAATTTAGAAAAATATATAAAATATTTTATTATTATTAGAAAAAAAATCCTTGCTGCATGATTCCTTTCTGCTATTCTACAATTAAAATTGAAAATAACCTGTGGAACAATATAAGAGACAAAACTTTTAACTGCTATTTTGAGCTCACACAGCTGAGTATTGAAAGGCTTACAACAGTCCATTACGAGCCTGAAATTATGCTTGATAACGCTCGTCCTACAAAGAAAAAATACAAATTCAATATTTATTGAAAATATCTCTGAAGAATTTCATTATATTTTTTACTAGTTTCTACGTTTTCTATCATAAACATAACTTATTTCTACGAAAAATGCACAGATTATTTATCTAAAAGACCTGAAATAATAAGAGATCTAATAAATGGGCAAATCGTATACACTGGCTTAGGGGTATGAACGATTAAAGCTTTTTCAGATAATATGCTATTAGCCTCAAATGCTTTAGTTAATATTATTCCTTTTAGCAATAGTGAAAGTGTGTGACAAGAGACCATAACAAAAATCAGCCTTTTTAAAACTCATTTAAGGCAGCCTAAATATTCTTCTATTTTATCAGATGATTTTAAAAATGAATATTTTGAAAATGGCAATGTAGCTTTGTCTGATGTTTTTATTTATGGAAAAAATACAGGCCAAAATATTTTAGAATTTGATTCGTATTTTATCGTTTATTCTTACCCGGGTTTTCAATTGTGGCTGAATTGATTAATAACTTTAGGAAAATCGTCTGATAGTTTTGATGTTCTTACTGATGAGATTGATAAATATTCACAAAGCAAAATTGATGACCAGATGAATATTATTTTTATTGTTCTGGTCGTCTTTATCATAATTTCAATTTTCATGTATCTTGGGCTGTATTTGAGGTTTTTTAAAAGAGAAAAGAAATATTTACAAAAAATAAATTCAGTAATGAGGATCATGCCGCATTAAATATTTTTAAAGTAAATTTAACATTTTAATCTTTAGAGATATGATTATTCAAAATTACCATAAATAGGGAATTGAGATCATAGAGAAGCTATAGATTTATTTTTCTTTAAATAGAAAATGATGTTTGGAGCAATGTCAGAAAAAATGTGTATGGCTCTTTTTTTAAGCTCAAAAACACAATTTTATATAGATTAAAGGATTTTCATTCTGAGGAGAATATTGCATTTTCTCATAAAAAATCTTATAAAACGCCATGCACTTTAAAAAGTTATTGGCGGTATTTTTGAATAATGCTTATATCGTTTATAGGGTTTTCTTCATTTTGCTTTATAAATATCTTTTATCTTTATGATCAATGTGCAGAATATCTATCAAATAGGCCTGAGGTCATAAGAAATTTAATTCATGCGCAAATATTGTACACTAACTTAGTAATATGAAAAATTCAGTCTTTTACAGATAATTTGAATTATCCAATATGCGCTCAGGTGTACTACATGTGCCCTTTTTATAAAGCAAAAGCAAAGATTGACGAAATTCTGCTAAGTATTGAGAGTACAACCTTAGACTTAAGAAAAACTAAGTAATCACTCCAGACCTCCTATCTAAAAATTTTAAAAATCTCTTATATGAAAAAGACCAAGAAATTCCAAATGACTATATGAAATTTGGAATTCAATAACTATTATTTAATATTAAATATTATTCTAATTAATTCTTAAGAAAAAAGCTAACATCATTTGTTTAAGAAATAATTTTAATTTTTTTAAGATGGTATATTTACAAAATATAAATTTAATTTAATGATTGTCCTTAATAAATAACAATAGAGATCTTTAACAAAAATAACGAAAATCTAAGAATAAGGTTTTGTTTAATTATTAAGACCTCGTAAACTTTATATCATACATCTTAACTAAAGAATTCTAGAGTTGGCATTATAATCTCTTTATTGAGTAGAAGCTTAATAAATGGTCTATTAAAATAATGTCTCCTTATAAAACTTTTGGAAATCTTAATTATAATTTTCATTTTTTACATATATTGTTTAGAATACTGATTTAATATTTTTTAGATTTTAAATATTTCTATTTATAGCTAAAGAGAAATGCCCGAACTATCTTCACCATAATTGCAAGCAAAAAGGAAAAAACTGTAATTTGAGCCCATTATATAGCCAGGAGTAAAGAAAATTCTATCTCAGAAATAGCAAAAAGGTCATCATACCTCCGAATTATTAGTTAACCATAACTAATTTTCCAATTAAGTGACTAGTTTTAATTATAATTAATGTGAAGGCAATTAGAAATAATGATACTGATAATAAAAAGTTAAAGTCTGAGAAGTTAAACTTTTTATAATGTTTTTTTGTGAATTTATTAATATGCAACTTTGATGGGCTTGCTTATAATATATATATATTTCATTTAAATGCTCTTTTATTTTTTAATATATTTCATTTATGACTGAAGCTAAAACGATTCTTATCAAAATGGCAATTCCCACAATTTTTGGAAAATCCCTAGCAGAAACTCAGTTAAAAATGCAATTTTCGAGGTTTATTGCCAGCTCTACAGTAAAGCCAATAGTAAAGAAATTCTATGCCTTGGCAAAAAGGTAAAGCAACAGTTGAAGGTATTATATGATGCCTCCAATAATAAACTTCCTGTGACTTCCAGATATGCCGATTAGCAATTGAAATAAAAATATGACTATATGGGAGATTATAGGCTACTTAAACTTTGACAATGTTTGCTCAAAATTAGGGATTATTAGCGAATATAGCAATTGCCTGAGGATGGCGCTATCTTGCGCCATCCTCGGGCAATTCCTATATCTGATTTTATCAATTTTATTTACCTGCACTAATTTTTTGATTATTATTGCTTTTATTGATATAATTTATTATTCTTATAGCATACCAAGCTTTATATTGAACATTTTCAATAGTATTTTTAACTTATGGAAATTATTTTTTTATACCCTCTATTAACCTTTCACCTCAGAATAAAATTGCAGAATACCAAAATCACAATTCTAAAGACTCTGAGGTTAATTTATCATGGCAAATTTGGGTGATATTTTCAATGATATTTGCATTTGCTCTTATTTTGTTAAATACGCAGTTTTCCGGAGAAATTAGACATTCCCTATATAAAATGGCAATAATTGCTAAAGCGCACTCACATTCTGATACTCATATAGCTGTTTTTACATATTTTTACAGGTTTTCTATGCTGTACTTGCTGATAATTTCATAATATATGTATACTAAGCGTTTACGATTTCTGCTCCTTTTGATATACTAACTTTTACATTAAATACCCTGCATATCGTTGATTTTTATAATAGCGCTGTAACTGAAATTGACGATTACTCAAAAAGTGTGATTAACAACCAAATAAATATTATTGCATTTTCGCTAACTGGCTTTATTTTATGTTCATTTGTAGCTTATATTTGATTTTATTTACCTTTTTACAAAAATGAAAAAAATATCTTACTGTTTTAAATAATATGGTCGTCAAATTCAGTTTACTCAACAAAGAGGTTATGCCGAAATAAGGTAAAACATAATATATTAAGCCTTTTTATGGCATAAATTTTAGTTAAATATTTAAACATAAATATACACCTGGGGTTCTTGAGAGCATATATTTGCAAAAAATAAATTCTCAGGACTAATAGTTAATTATTAAATCTGAATTTTCTATTATAAATAGCTATCAGCTTAATTAAAATAAAATTATTATGAAGAGCTTGGCTTAAAAATGGACTTATATCGATTTACTAACGAGCCTTGACAAGAATGATTTTTGAAATAAAAATGACGAAATAGGTTTTAGCACTCAGCGAGCTCTCCTGAGAAAAAATTTTCGATATGCTGCCAATTTTATCTTAATCTGACCTCATTGTCTTTGGCTAATGTGTTGAATGGACGGACTATGGACTTCTAACGCCCTGCTTCGGGGGTATTGGAAAGTAGCTTGATCCAGAAAAAAACCAGAGCTTGGCGAGTGCTGGGTGCCTTCCATCAGCAGCTACAGGAAAAAGGGTTTTTTCCTGTGCCCAGGCAGCAAACCCCAATATCTTGGCTAGTCAATCTCTATGGTCCATAAGGACATCCATGATATTTTCAGAAACCAAAGTCAAAGCCTACCCGGATATACTTAAAGCACATACCAGACCTGAATCTAGACTGACTCCTTGGAAATTCACAATAAATTTCTTAAGCTTGCTGCCTCATAATTTCATTTTCAATTATCAATAGAATTGTGGGCTAATAGAGAAATTTTGAAAAATTGATTCGCTATATATGCTTCAAATTTATAACTCCCCACTTGAGGCATAGCTATTAGAAAAATCTTACTCCCCCCCCCCAATTTATAGCGGACGAAAAAATCGTCCGCTATTAAATGGGTCATAACTTAAAAAGTTTGATATTTATATATATATTTTCTATTTAAAATTGTTTATAAAAGGTCTGAAAAAAAAGCATTTTTAAGTCAAAAGAGTAGCACTAAATCTAATAAAATGGAGTTGAATGGAGAAACCAGAAAGAGAAAAGACTAACAACTGGTGATAAGCTAGTTATTGCACAATACTACCTGGATCATCAAAATGAAGGTCTTTCATATGAAGATATAGTATATAAGTTTAATATATCAAAGTCAAGTGTAGGCGAATTAGTAAAAGACATTCATCAATTGAAAAGGGGAGATCAAGGTTTAAAGGAAAGAAAGCCAGATGCATGTTATTAGCTCTCATAATTTTTTAATACCTTTGCGCTTAAATGAATTCTATTCAAATATTCCCATCTTTATTTCATTGGTTCTAGTAAATTTATGTTATGTTATATTATATTATGTTATGTTATGTTAAGATGCTATGTATTTTAAGTCCCTACTTCACCGCCTTGACGTTCTACGGAGATTAACCCCGTAGGGTGGCTAAAGGCGTGGCCGCTTCAAATTCGGTCCGAAACCCCCGGTTTCTCGGTAGAGGTGATGGCCAACTGACCACCTCCATTTCCAACTTGATTCGTCGCCCTGAATCTTGCGCCAACTCTGTCCGTACGTCGCCAAATCTGCCCACTGAAGGGCACCTTTTAATTGGAGAGACCCCCGATTTCTCGTCTAATTTGCCTTCCCCTCTTTTCCAGTCATCCCGAGAAAGAACTCAACAGCTTTCGCCATTCGGGGCAAATCACAAAAGCAGCTTAGGCAGGTATGTCGCCCTGCCTCATTTCGGACACCCACTGGGCTGGGCGCTGCTGGCAAAAAGGAGTCACGAATAACTGCCCAAGAGTCTTGGTCACAAAAAAAGCGATCTTTGCACAAAGACCTCTCGCCTTGAGGTCCCAAGACATAGCTGGGCCAATTCCTGGCTCCAAAAACCATGCCCGGATATACACAGGTAACTGCACAAGAGGACGGGTCAGAAGTCATCCGCCATTTTATGTATATTAGTAAATTTTATAATGAACGATTATCTTATATAATTTAAAATTTTTTATAGTAAAATAATTTCCGTTATTAAATGGTACCTAAGGGTCCATTTTTAGGGAAAAAAAATTGATTTCGTCCGCTATTAATTGGGGGGGGAGTTAGCATATAAATAGTTTCTAGATGATTGCATCATCATTTTCCCCATATTTTAGCATTTCTTCTTCTCAGCTTTATCAAATTTGGCAATTTCTCATAAAATACCTCAGCAACACATTCTCAATCAAAATAATTTTTATTTTTCTTGCATATAGCTCTCTTTTATTTCAATGGATCGTTGTTGACCATCATCTTTAATTTTAAATATAAATTTGCGCAATGCCAATTTTTGTGAAAAGCACAAACGAAATGAGAAAATTCCGTTTAGGTTTTAGGATACCTAATCATACTTAGACTGTATAAGGCAATTGCCCTAAAATTTTTTCCTGGTCAGTATGTTGTTTGGCTATAGCCGTCTATTATGGCTCATAAACTATATCCAAAAAATTATAATGTCCTCTGCAGTTAATTTACTTATCAGCAACTATATTGACGAAACTTTCCAGACAAGATCCAAGGAATTGAAGAAAAAAGAAAATAAGCGAATTTCTGAATCAGGCAAAAAAGACTTACGTGGAAGAGTGGAGAAGCCTAGAAGATCTTCAGAAACCAAAGGAAGGGAATATTTGCCATCTCATGAAAATTTGAACCAGTTGGAAAATCTTTGAATATGAGGACCAGCTAGCGCAGGAAAAAGCTGCTGGGTTAAAGAAAGGCATGGGCACGTTTATTCAAAAATGGTCAATACCATAAATATATGTTTTCTTTGAAAAGTTCAAATAAAAAAATAATTACATTCAGTAAATTTCAATAAATTATTTATTTGTTTCAACATTGAAAAATTATCGCTATTCAAATTAAATTAAAATTACTTACTCCCCATCTGTGAGCGAACAAAATCATTAGAAAAATCCCTATTTTTTGCCCAAAAACCTACCCTCCTTGAGCAAATAAAAATTTATTTAATATTTATGAAAAGAAAATTGATATATAAGTAATAATTAGAATTATTAAATCTCTTGTCTAATTTTAAAAAAATTGCGTTTAAAACATAAATTTTACAAATTATTTATTATTTGCTTTCCAATTTTCGCGAAGTGGGATTTTTTTAACCCCTTCCATGAGCGAAAAAAAAATTGTTTTTTTTTCATGGAAGGGAGAGAGTTATAGTTGTGATGATAAATACTTAGATTTTTGATAATATGCAAGTTAATCATCTTATATGCAGAAATAAATGGCAAAGTCAGTGATATGTCCTCTCCCAGCATGTTTCGAGCTTGAGGACCTTGTTGGCCTGAAGCCAAACCGAGCAGAGAGTGGAGTTACGGGTACTGGGCATTTTGTTCCGGTTATTTTTCCTCTCTCGTATGGCAATGAAGACTTTTTGTCTTCCCGATGGAGAACCCTAATCTATAATTAGCATTAATGTTAATGACTCATCTTATATTTCATTTATGGCTGAACCTAAAGCTGAATCACGCAAAAATCAAGACTCAAGGCAAAATCTCTGAAAATTTAAAAAAGAAAAATCAATCAAGGACTCAATTTTTGAATTTTATTGCAGGCTCTTTAATAGGACTAGAAATCAAGAAGATTCTGTTACAAGACAAAAACTGATAATAGCGATTGAGGGTACGATATGATGCCTTCAAGTTATTAGCTTACTATATGTCCCTGATATGCCTATTACTAATTGAAAAAATAATATGATCATATGAGAAGTCATAGGACACATAAAAATTGATAATACCTGCTCAGCATTAGGAATAATTGATGAGTGCTTTTTTATATTACTTTCCTTTACTTATGCAAGCTTTACAAGTGTTATTATTTTGGTCATAGCTATTTATTACTCTTACAGCTTGCCATCTCAAGTCTTTACTATTTTATATTATCTTTTTTATTTATGATCGATTTTTTTTTTAATTCCGTCGATTGAGATTTTCTCGCTTTTCTTCAAGTATAATTTTTTGTCTCAAAATAAAATTTCAGAATATGAAGATGGAAAGCAGCTAGCTGATTTTGAAGTCGGCTCTATATGAAAAATTACAATTATTTTTCTATTGATATTTGGGTTTATATTGTATTTATTTTATACAGAATTTTCGGCTGAAATAAGGCATTCTGCTATAGAGAAAAATTTGAATGCAAAGGCACATTCAAGGATTGATACTCATATAGCAATTTTTACTTATATTTTTCCAATTGCTTTTGCATTATTCGCTAAAGATCATATAATTTATTTACAAATTTTAGCGATTTTTTTTTCAATGATTTTACTCAAAGAAACTGCAAACCTTTTACCTTATTTTTCGATATTTTGCAATACAGTTATTATTCTTAGACTATGTTTTATTGCTTTATTCTCCTTTATTTTTATTTTGGGGCGCCTTATGGACAACTCATTAGCTATTTCCCTCCTATTAATTATATTGGGACCTTTGTCTTCTGTATTTATCATTCAATTTTCTATCAAGTTACAAACAAAACCAAATAAAGACATACCTGAAAACTTGAATAAAATAAATTCCCAATATGATTTAGAAAAATCAATTAGACACGAATTGTGCTCAAATAGTACTGCACATAAGGATGAAATAATTAAGATATTTGAGAATTTCTTTATAGAAAAAAGGCTAAATGGAAACAAACTTCAAGCTATATGAGCTGCAAATTACTGCTATTTTACCTTACAGGATGAATCTTTAGCCAAAATTAAGCTTGCTAAAACAAAGTATATTCCTGATTCAGGCTTAGAATCTAATTATCAAGAGTATTTATGCCACAAAAATATCTTAGAAGCTTGTGCTTCTCAAAGCTCTCAGTTTTCAAATTATTTTTTACAATTCCACACAATAAAAAAAGCAGACCAAAAATTGTGCATAAATTTATTTAATTTTTGAAATGAGATTACATCTACTAAGCCTGATCTTACTAAATTGAAAAAAAGTTTATCCAGAATAAATAACGAAATTTCTGAATTAAATTCAAATTACCATCAGATTTTTACTAAATTCCCGAATTCTAGAGAATCTTTGGCTCTATATGTTTCATATACTAAAGATATCACTTATGAGTATGAAAAATCAAATTTAATTGAGGTAAAGCTGAGGGCAATTGAAAGATCTCAGTCAAACCCTATCAATAATTCTAGCAATTTCAGCTATTTTAATGATAATAATGGGGTTCTCGTAATTTCTAATGAACCAAGCAATTTTGGAGAAATTCTGTTTGCAAACCCAAAATCTTCAGAAATTTTTAAGCTCCCTTTAAAAAACATAGCTAGTGACAATTTTTTTAATTTTATTGATCCTTATTATAAAGAAAGAGTCAGAGAAAAATCCAAACAATTTATTCAGTTCAGCTCAGTATCAGAAATCGATTTAAGCCAGGGATTTTTTTTAACAGTCCGCAACAACTTATTAGACTGTACAGGAAAATTATGAGCAACCTCAATAAATAGCCTACTTGTAGCTATACTTGTCTTTAAGCCAAAAGAAAATTCGCATCAATTTGCATTAGTTTCTGAGTCTGGAGAAATAATTCGTTATTCAAGAAATTTTGCGAAAATTTTAAGAAAATCTGATGAAAATTTAATAGGGTGCAAGCTTAAAAAATTATTTTTTAAATCAGAAAATTTTGAATGAAAACTGGATTTTCCTTATCATATAAAGCAAAATTTTGGTGAATATTTGCTCATTCTATCATTATATGAAATTTATAACATAAAAATTCCATATATTATCCTAATAAATGACAGTGAAGAAATATTTAAATGGCAAAATTCAAATAAACCTGCACAAAATGACCAAGAAAAGCTAGAGGTCGCTACCAATAAATTATCAGTAAATTTTGCAGAATGTGACACTTTTCGTACAATCAGCTCTTATCATAAAGAAAATCAGCGAGATGAAGACTTGGACTCGAAAATGAATCTTTTTACTGATGAAGATGCAAAAAATTCATCAGACCAGCAGGACGCAAAATCCCAAGTATCAGTCACTGCTATCCAGCACAAGTTCCTCAATATGGTACATTCATCAGCTAGGTCCATCAATATTTTACACCTCGCTTTTGTTTTTTCTGTAATTTTTATTCAGATTATAACTGTTTTAGCAGTAAATATCGCGGTTTTGGCCTATGCCTTTGCCGATATAAAATTTATAAGTGATATGAATCTTCTGGTTAACATTGGAAAAGCTGGGAAAAATTTTCAAAGAATTGCACTTTATGCACAAATTTTGCTGATAGTCCCATCACTTCAGATTGAAAATGGCGATTTATTAATAATAGCTTCAGTTGAAAAATATGTACAAGCTCTGTCAGAACTGGAGACTGTTTATTCCAGCATAATATCAAATTCCAGAAATTGAAATGCCTGTTCCAGCCAAAGTATTTTAGGTGAAGACAAAATGAATTTATGAAGCACAGAAGATTGAACCGCAAGGGAAAAAGCAAATTTAATAGATACAATTTCAATGTTTATAAAAAATGTAAAATATATTCAGGGAAATGAATTTGAAAGGAAACTGGCAGATCCATCAGAAAATCCTTGAAGCGTGTACAGATTTTTGCTGCTTAATGGGTGGGGAGTGGCGCTCGACTATTGTAATCAATCATTAATTGATATCATAGAATGCCAAGAGTCAATGATGATTGAATTTAAATCTCAAATGATTATTCTACTAATATTAGGCCCTGCGGTACTTATTGCATGCATTTTGATGATACTCCCGTTTTATTACTCGATTTTTAAGATTGAAAATATACTTTGAAATAATATAAGAAAAAATGCTTTTAATAGCTATTCTGAGCTTAAACAAACAATTTTGGAAAGACTCAAAGAAGTCCATGCTAAGTCTGAAAACCTTTTTTCTTATTCTCCTTTCTCAATGAAAAACAAAACCATTAGAAAAATCCTAATTTTTGTGTAAAATCACCTCTGAGAGCAAACAAAAAATTTTTTAAATATAAAAATTGTATTTTGATATATATATATATATATAAATAATTAGGAGAAGAAATATCTAGCTGTTTCTATTGAATTTGCATTTTAAACATAAATTTTATAAATTAAATTAAAAAATTGGGATTTTTTTGAATTTCGAAAATAAAAATTTTACACTTTATTTTCAAAAATTTAATCTCTGAAACAAAATTTTGTTCGCTGATATATGAGAGGATTTATCAAAACCCCTCAATGGAACCTTATATTTTTAAAAGCTATTGGAGGTATTCGTGGAGAATACTTGCATATCTAGCCGCTGTTATATTGTTTTGCTTGATAAACACGACTTATCTTTATGAAGAATGCTCACAATATTTAATGGATAGGCCAGAAGTATTAAAAGATTTAATACAAAATCAGATTCTGTATACTACTGCAGCTGTTTGGGGACAGCAAATGTCTGGCGAAACATATGGTCTTGGATTATGACTCCAGTTCCCTTTTGCAACCCCTTTTTCTCGCAGCACACCCATAATAAACTCCACAATTATTAGCATTGAGAATAAAAAATTAGCCTTAAGAAATTCTAAGTTTTCATCAATTTTGTCAGATAATTTTAGAAGGCTTTTTTATGAAAATAATAATGGAGTTTGCCCATATTTTGATCTTGGGGTATATGCAGCTCAAGAATTATGAAGATTTGATATATATACTCTCGCATACGGAAATTCAAATCCGCAATTTTGGGTTGATTTTATGGATAACCTTCAGCATATAGATGAGTTTTATACCAGCGCTATAGATGAAATTGATAAATACTCGCAAAGTGTCATTGATGACCAAATGAAAATAATAACAATCTCACTTATTAGCTTCATTATGTGCTCGTTTGTGGCTTATTTTGGATTTTATTTGCTGTTTTTCAGAAATGAAAAAAAATATATGCAGAAAATCAATGCGATATTGAAAATTATCCCTAGTAAATAATTATTAATAGAAAATAATAAATTAAAAATCTTTTTAAATGGTGGCCTATACTAAATGTAAAATAATTTCGCGTTAATTCATAAATAAGAAATTAATATTCAAATACTAGAAGATTTTAGATTGATTCTAATTTGCTTAATATAATTTTTCTTTTATAAAATCTATAGCTCATATTGAGATATAATTACTTAGCCTTTATAAGATAAAATTTTTTTAGCCTACTAAGATTATGCTTAGAGTAAAGAAAATACATATTAATTAAGGTATGCTTTATTGCTTTCACTCTTAAAGGCTTTTACACTAAAATAATCATAGAATGCTATAAAGCAGACTGACAAATGCTATTTATAGCTATAACCATCCAAATAATAGCCAAAAATCTAGCTATGCATTAATAACGATAAATCCCTATTTAAAGGCTTTATAACAAATTGTAATGATCCTTGTAAAATAAGCAGAATTGCGAGCTTTTCTTCATAAAACATATGCTTTATATGGGCCCAAATCTAGATAAATTGCAGATTACTTAATAGGCAGATTAATTAATCACCCCACTTTTTGATAAAAAATTTCCTCAGAGACAATTTACCAAAATCTTTCCATATCAGCCTTTATTTTTAAAAACAGTTAGAAATCTCTGAGACGGGTCTTGGTGGGTTTCCCTAGCAAAAAGTACATGTAGCTCTTATAGTATCAATATTCTTAACAAAATTTTTACTTTGAGACGAGATTTGTTATAGGTCTAACTGGAAGCTATTAATTTTGAATTTTCAAATAATATACTTTTTATGCCACCCGTATTGAAAGCAAAATTAAAAATAGAAGTTAACGTAAAAATTATTAGTAGTTTCATGATTGTTAGATAAATCCCAAATAATTTTTTGTCATAATGCATAATTAAAAAATAAAACTCCTTTTGAAAGATAATTATAACTATTTAGTTCATTTTCTTGTATTCATTTAATATTTTATAATTTTAACCTATTATAAGTTTAAATGATCCTCTGTGTACACTCACTCTAAATAAATATTTACAATTGTTTCAAGTAATATAATAATATTGAATAATTAACAACTAAATTTAAATCCAGGCTTAAAAGTTGCTAATATATTTCTGCTAAGAAAATTTTTTAAATAAATTTGCTTTCCTTAATATTTTGTTAATGGCTGAAGTAAAGTCTGAGTCAAATCTGGATGCTGCTTTCAAACAAAATTTTTGAAAGAGAAAAAAAGAAAGATCTGTTGAAAGCTCAATTTTCGAATTTTTTTCCCAGCTCTTTCCTGGAAATGGTTATCAAGAAAATTCTATTCTGAGGCAAAAGTGAGTATTAACAATTGAAGGTATAATTTGGTGCCTCCAAATTATAAGTTTACTATGAGTTCCAGATCTCCCAATAAAAAATTGAAGTAAAAATAACACACTATGAAAAATCATAGGCTATTTGAAATTTGACAATACTTGCTCTGCAGCAGGGATAATTGAGGAATGCTTTTTATCAGTTATAATATTTACTTATGCCAGCTTTATAATGATTATTATTTCTGTTATTGTTATTTACCATTCCTATAGCTTACCTTCTCAAGCCTTCAAAGTTTTTCGTGGATTTATTTACATTTGAGCAAATTTTATTTTTGTACCTATTGTTGAGATATTATCACTTTTTCTTAAATATAATTTTTTGCCTCATAATAAAATCTCAGAATACGAAAAGGATGGGCAATTATCTGATTTTTACATAAATTTTTGATGGAAAATAGCAATTATTGTCGGATTGACGATTGGTTTTGTAATGATTTTATTTTATACTGAATTTTCAGCAGAAATTAGACATTCTGAAACTAAAACAACGTTAAATGCAAAAGCACACTCAAGGATTGATTACCATATAGCAATTTTTACTTATTTTTTCCCAATTACTTATGCAATACTTGCTGAAAATTACATACTTTATTTACAAATTTTAGCAATCATATTTTCAGGAATTTTGATAAAAGAAGCAATCATCTTTTTGCCTTATTTTTCATATTTTGGCAATACCACCATTATTCTTAAATTGTCTTGTATTGCCATAATTTCCTTTATTTTTATTTTAGGAAGTCTCATGGACAACTCATTGGCAATTTCCATACTAGCAGTTTTTATGGGACCGTTATTAGCAATGTTCATTGTCCAACTTTCTTACAAACTGCAAATAAATAAAAGTAAAAATATCCCTAAAGACTTAAAAGGCATAGACTCTGAGTACGAGCTAGAAAAATCTGTAAGACACGCAATGTGCTCAGGAAATATTGAGTATAAAGATGAAATAATCCAAATCTTTGAAAAATTTTTTATAGAAAAAAGATTAAATGGAAGCAAACTCCAAGCTATATGGGCAGCAAATTACTGCTTTTACACGCTGAAAGATGAGTCTCTAGCTAAAATTAAGTTCGTTAAGAGCAAAAATATTCCTGATTCTAGCTTAGAAGCCAATTTCCAAGAATATTTATGCAACAAAAATATCTCAGTCGCTTCTGATTCTCATATTAGTCAATTTTCAAACTATTTTCTGGAGTTATATTGGGTTAAAAAAGAAGACAAAAAACTATGCGTCAGCTTATTTAATTTTTGAAATGAGATTACTTCTTCTAATCCTGACCTTAAAAAATTGAAAAACGATATGAAGGGTATAGGCAGAGAAATTTTTGATTTAAATGCCAAATATAACCAATTATTCATAAATTATCCAACCTCTCGAGAATCTTTATATCTTTATTCATCATATGCTAAAACCATCATTTATGAAGTTGAAAAATCGAATTTAGTTGAGGTAAAGTTAATGGCTCTTGAAAGAAATCTATCAAATCCTATCAATGATTTAAATATTTTCAGCTGATTTAACGAGAGCAATGGCATCTTGATAATTTCAAATGAAATTGACAATTTTGGAGAAATTCTTTACGCTAGCCAAAAATCTGCAGAAATATTTTCTCTCCCTTTAAAAAGCATTATCAGTGACAATTTTTTTAATTTTATTGATCTTTATTATAAAGAAAAAGTCAAAGAAGAAGCCAAGCGATTTGTCCAGTTTAGCTTAGTTTCAGAAATGGACTTAATCAAAGGCTTTTTTTTAAATGTCCACAATAATTTATTAGAATGTACAGGAAAAGTGTGAGTAACAGCCATTAATAGTTTTCTCGTAGCAATTCTCATATTTAAGCCTAAAGAGTGTACATATGAAAGTGCTCTGATATCTGAAAGCGAAGAAATAATTAGCCATTCTAAAAATTTTGCTAAATTAGCCAGAAATTCTGATGATAATTTAATAGGATGCAAATTGAAACAATTATTTTTTATTTCAGATGAGTTTATCTTGAAGCCACTCGTTCCTTACAGGCTAAATCAAAACTTTAATGATGCATTCTTAGTCCTATCCCACTATGATATCTATAATATAAAAATCCCTTATGTTATGCTTATAAACGACAGAAAAGAAATTGAGAAATTGGGTGGTCTAAGCTCTCCTAGCCCAAATAACAATTATTTAAGTGTTGAGCATAAAAATTTGTCAGTCAATTTTGCAGAATTGGATACTTTTAGAAGCACCAGCTCATTCCAGAGAGAAAATCAGCCTGAAGAAGATTTAGACTTGAAAATGCTTTTATGCGCAAATAAAGGGGCAACCAATGTTAAAATTTCTGAATCAAGTGGCAGTGCAAAGTCACAAATATCAGTCGCTTCTTCCCAAATCAAATTTTTTACAATGATAAATTCGTCATCAAGATCAATAAATATTCTTCATCTGGCTTTTGTGTTTTCAGTAATTTTTATATAGATTGTGACTGTTCTCGCTTTAAATATTGCAGTGCTAGTCTATGCTTTTTCCACTATTAATTTTATCAGTGACATGAGTCTTCCTATAAACATCGGAAAAATAGGGAAAAATTTTCAAAACATAGCGCTTTTTGCACAAATTATTCTAATGGGGAGTGGTCAAGCTGTCGATCCCCATGATACTGAAATACTTTTAGCTACTTCAACTAAAAAATATGAAAGAGCTTTAAAAGAATTAGAAAATATTTATTCAGGAATTATTTCAAACTCAAAAGACTGGAATGCCTGCTCTAGTGGGAGTATTTTGGGGGATGAAAATATTTATTTATGAAGCATAGAAGAATGAAAATTAAGAAGAAAAGAAAATTTAATCACGACTATCTCAATGTTTATAAAAATTGTAAAAATTATTTACTCCCCAAATTCATGAAAGAGCAAAAATTGCTGCTCGCTCAAAGGGTTGATTTTTTAGAAAATTTAACTCACACCCTCTGTGAGTGAACAAAACCATTGGAAAATCCTTATTTTTTAGTAAAAGCCCAGCCTCCATGAGCAAACAAATATAAAAATTTTTCTTTGAAAAACAATTTTGATAAATAAATGATAACTAGTATAATGAAATCTATAGCTAATTATATTTAATTTTAAGCAGCTTACATTTCAAAACATAAAATTTGCAAATTAAATTAATTTTTACTTTCAATTTTTACAAATAGCAATTTTTTTAAAAAAAATTAAGCCCTCCGTGAGTGAACAAAATTTTTATGTTCGCTCTTCGAAAGTAAAACTTTATATTTAAAATTAGCAAACTATCTAGAGGTTTCATTTAATAACTATCATCTGCGTATTAAAAATTTTTTTGTTCTGAGATTTTATTACCTAAAAACAGGATTTTCCAATACCCTCTAACATAAGGAGGAGTTAGGGATATGAATTTGAGAGGAAATTTTTTAACTCCTCTGAATATCCATGAGATGCATATCGATTTTTATTATTCAATGGATATGGAGAAGCGCTCCATTATTGCAATAAAGCGCTGACTGATATCATTGACTGCCAACAATCTATGGTAAACGATTTTAAATCCCAAATGACATTTTTTTTGATTTTGGGCCCTGCTGTACTTGTTATCTGTATTTTATTAATCCTCCCTTTTTATTTCTCAATTTTTAAAATTGAAAATAATCTTTGGAATAATATAAGGAAATATGCTTTTAAGAACTACTCTGAGCTAAAGCAAACAATTTTAGGGCGATTAAAAAATGTCCACTCTCATTCAAAAACTCTTTTTTCTACAGAAAAGCACTCTATGTCAGCTTATTCATTCAAAAGCTACTGAAGATATGCTTGACGAACACTTGTTTACTTACTCCCCACCTCTGTGAGCGATCCAAAACATTTGAAAAATTCCTATTTTTTGGTAAAAAACCCACACTCTATGAGCGAACAAAAAAATTATATATAAAAAAATAAAAATATATGAGTGATAATTAATATAATAAAATATCTAGCCAATTCTGTTTGCAGATTAAAGAAATTTTTTTACGAATTGGAATTATTTTAAATTTCAAACAAAACATCTTCTATAAAATTATATATAAAAAAAAATAATCCTCTCCGAGAGCGAGCAAAATGTTTTGTTCGCTCACGAAGGGGGGAGTTAGCAGCAGTCATACTGTTTTGCCTTATAAACATCAATTATCTATATAAAAATTGTTCGCAGTATTTAGAAAAACGACCAGAAATAATAAGAGATTTAATACAGACACAAATTTTGTATACTTCTTTAGGTGTCTGGTCTACTCAATCGTCTACAGAGATGTATGGTTATCCATTATGAACCACATTTCCAATAGCATGCCCTTTTCATCATAGTGAGCCAGTGATAATGGGAATAATAAGCTCAATTGAAAATACGAATTTAGCCTTAAGAAACAGTAAGTTTTCACCAATTTTATCGCAAAACTTCAAAGTACTTTTTTATGAAAATGCTGAAGAAATAGCTTCAGACTATTTTGCATTTGGAATATATTCTGCTCAAAAATTATGGGTATTTGACAATTATATAGAGGCATTTACAATTTCTACTGCTGAATTTTGGATAGTTATTGTGGAACATCTTCAATATATTGATGATTTTTATAGTAGCTCTTTAGATGAGATTGATAAATACTCACAAAGCGCCATTGATAATCAAATGAGTATTATAGCAGCAGCACTGATTATCTTTATTTTTAGCTCATTTACAGTTTATTTCGGATTTTATTTGCAGTTCTTCAGAAATGAAAAAAAGTATATGAGGAAAATTAATTCGATATTGAAAATTATGCCGAGTAAAAAATAAATTTATATAGAAATTTAATTTAGATTATCTCTTTAATTATAATTGATTTAATTTAATTTAGTTAGTTAAAAATCCTTAGTAATTTTTTTATTTTATGTTAAAATTATAAATAATTAAGATTAACACCTATACTAAGATATGCATGCATTGCTTGATACGTATAATGATCCTCTGGGGTGCTTATGACTTAAAAAAATAGCTCAAAATACCATATAAAAAGTCCAATAAAAATGTTTTATATGAAATTTATTTTAAAAGATAGAAAACCCAATAAAAATATAGATTAAATCATTTTCCAAGGCTTAGTAGTAGTCAGCGATCATATCGTCTTTATATACTATATAATTAGAGATCTTATTTGTTTAAAATATTGATCATTTATAATACCTAATAGCCATATTGGATCAGCAAATTATTTTTCTCTTTTAAAATAAGGCATATATATAGCAAATTTTTATTAATCTAATTAAATTTTTTATGACTCATTTTGGAGCCTTGATATTTTGGTGTTTTATTTTTCCTTCCTTAATAAATTCTTTCTCAAAAAACTATAAATAAAATAATTATTTCAAAAATCAATTATAATTAAAGATCTTAAATCAAATTTCTATATATTTATTTTTTACTCGGCATAATTTTCAATATCGAATTAATTTTCCTCATATACTTTTTTTCATTTCTGAAGAACTGCAAATAAAATCCAAAATAAACCGCAAATGAGCTAAAAATAAAGATAATCAGTGCTGCTGCTATAACTGCCATTTGATTATCAATGGCGCTTTGTGAGTATTTATCAATCTCATCTAAAGAGCTACTATAAAAATCATCAATATATTGAAGAAGTTCCATAATAACTATCCAAGCTTCAGAAGTATTTAATGTAAATGCCTCTATATAGTTTTCAAATACCCATAATTTTGAGCAGAATATAATCCAAATGCAAAATAGTCTGAAGCTATTTCTTCAGCATTTTCATAAACAAGTACTCTGAAGTTTTGCGATAAAATAAATTGAGAGAAAAAAAGTCGTCAATTTTAATGGGATTTGAAAAAATTAATATATGAATTTTTTCATAAAAAAAATTAATGATATATTTTAATTTATTTTATAATGAATTTATTTAAAACAAATCGATCAGTGCAAAACTGTTAAAATAGTATTGATTGCATTCCTCCGATTAAATTAGATCAAAGCTATTTATGCAAATAAAATTTTGTTTCAATTAAAAAAGGGGTATTTATCTTAAAAATGGAATGCTACTAATGCTTTGCTCCAATTTTAAAGGGTTACTATTTCTTAATGCTAAATCCGTATTTGCATTATAAAATGGCATTCGGTCCGAGAGAAATTAGCTTTGCTAATTTTCTCTCCCTCATGGAATTTTATTTATGGAGTTGGGTTTTCCCTCGAGAACCTCTGCACAGCGATGGCAGTTTAACTTTGGAGATAACTGCTCCTCAGTGCATTAAGGGGCTTAGGGCTTTACCCTTAAGCACATCCCCACGGGAGGATGACCCTTAGGTAGAACACGCGCAGGAGCTAAATCAGGGCAGAGCAACGGCAACGCGCGGGTGAGATGTGAGGCAAACTGGAGGCGAAGCTTCGTAAAAGGCTTAGCCGGTAGGCTGACCACCGCGATTCAAAAATGGCTCAGTGACGTCACTAGTTGGCTTAGTCCCTATATATAGCAGGCACTAGAAACCTTAAACACTAACTAGCTAAGGTAAAGTAAATTCATATTTTCAATTGAGTTTATAATTTCCATTATCACTGGCTTGATATGATGAAAAGGGCATGCTATTGGAAATGCTCTTCATAATGGATAGCCAAACATCTCTGTAGCCGACTGAGTAGACCAGACACCTAAAGAAGTATACAAAATTTGTGTCTGTATTAAATCTCTTATTATTTTTGGTCGATTTTCTAAATACTGTGAACAATTTTTATATAGATAATTGGTATTTATAAGGCAAAACAATATTACAGCTACTAGCTCCCCCTTCGTGAGCGAACAAAAAAAATATTGTTCGCTCTCAGAGGGGTATTTTAAAAACATCCTAGTTGCAAAAATTGGAAAGCAAATATTATTTTAATTTGTAAAATTTATGTTTAAAAAAACGCAATTTGTTTAAAATTAAATAGAATTAACTAGAGATTTCGTTATAATAATTATCACTCATATATTTTTATTTTTTTATATATAATTTTTTGTTCGCTCATAGAGGGTGGGTTTTTTACCAAAAAAATAGGAATTTTTCAAATGTTTTGGATCGCTCACAGAGGTGGGGAGTAAGTAAACAAGTGTTCGTCAAGCATATCTCCAGTAGCTTTTGAATGAATAAGCTGCCATAGATTGCTTTTCTGTAGAAAAAAAGCTTTTGAATGAGAGTGGATATCTTTTAATCGTTCCAAAATTGTTTGCTTTAGCTCAGAGTAGTTCTTAAAAGCATATTTCCTTATATTGTTCCAAAGATTATTTTCAATTTTAAAAATTGAGAAATAAAATGGGAGGATTAATAAAATACAGACAGCAAGTACAACAGGGCCCAAAATCAAAAAAAAAGTCATTTGGGATTTAAAATCGCTTACCATAGATTGTTGGCAGTCAATGATATCAATCAGCGATTTATTGCAATAATTGAGCGCTTCTCCATATCCATTAAATAATAAAAATCGATATGCGTCTCATGGATATTCAGAGGAGTTAAAAAATTTCCTCTCGAATTCATTTCCCTAACTCTTTCTTTGTTAGAAATTATTAGAGATATCCTGTTTTTAGGTAATATAAAAATTTCTTACTCCCCCGATCCATGAGCGAACAAAAAAATTTTGTTCGCTAACGGAGGGGGATAATATTTTTTTAAAAAATATTTATATATATAAATTTATAGTAAAATTTTTTTTCGAAATTTAAAAAAATCCCACTTCGCAAAAATGTTAAAGTAAATATTAATTTAATTTATAAAATTTATGTTTCAAAGCGCAATTTGAAAAAATTAAACAGAATTAGGTCGAGATTTCATAATAATATAATAATAAATAATGATAATAATAATAATGATAATAATAATAATGATAATAATAATAATGATAATAATAATAATAATAATAATAATAATAATAATAATAATAATAATAATAATAATAATAATAATAATAATAATAATAATAATAATAATAATAATAATAATAATAATAATAATAATAATAATAATAATAATAATAATAATAATAATAATAATAATAATAATAATAATAATAATAATAATAATAATAATAATAATAATAATAATAATAATATAAATAATAATAATAATAATAATAATAATAATAATAATAATAATAATAATAATAATAATAATAATAATAATAATATAATAATAATAATAATAATAATAATAATAATAATAATAATAATAATAATAATAATAATAATAATAATAATAATAATAATAATAATAATAATAATAATAATAATAATAATAATAATAATAATAATAATAATAATAATAATAATAATAATAATAATAATAATAATAATAATAATAATAATAATAATAATAATAATAATAATAATAATAATAATAATAATAATAATAATAATAATAATAATAATAATAATAATAATAATAAATAATAATAATAATAATAATAATAATAATAATAATAATAATAAATAATAATAATAATAATAATAATAATAATAATAATAATAATAATAATAATAATAATAATAATAATAATAATAATAATAATAATAATAATAATAATAATAATAATAATAATAATAATAATAAATAATAATAATAATAATAATAATAATAATAATAATAATAATAATAATAATAATAATAATAATAATAATAATAATAATAATAATAATAATAATAATAATAATAATAATAATAATAATAATAATAATAATAATAATAATAATAATAATAATAATAATAATAATAATAATAATAATAATAATAATAATAATAATAATAATAATAATAATAATAATAAATAATAATAATAATAATAATAATAATAATAATAATAATAATAATAATAATAATAATAATAATAATATAATAATAATAATAATAATAATAATAATAATAATAATATATAATAATAATAATAATAATAATAATAATAATAATAATAATAATAATAATAATAATAATAATAATAATAATAATAATAATAATAATAATAATAATAATAATAATAATAATAATAATAATAATAATAATAATAATAATAATAATAATAATAATAATAATAATAATAATAATAATAATAATAATAATAATAATAATAATAATAATAATAATAATAATAATAATAATAATAATAATAATAATAATAATAATAATAATAATAATAATAATAATAATAATAATAATAATAATAATAATAATAATAATAATAATAATAATAATAATAATAATAATAATAATAATAATAATAATAATAATAATAATTATCACTTACATAGGGATTTTTCCAATGTTTTGTTCACTCACGGAAGGGGAAGTTAATAAATAATGATACAATAATATAATCTCTAGATAGTTTGTTATTTTAAATATTTATAAAACATAATTTACAAATTTTAATTTCGAAAATATAAAATTACTGAAAAATAAAATATTTCTTTGAGCAAAATATTTTTGCTTACTCCCCCCTCCGTGAGTGAACAAAACCATTAGAAAAATCGCTATTTTTTGCCCAAAAACCCACCCTCTGTGAGTGAACAAAAATTTTTTATGGAAAAAATTTTTGATATATAAATGATAATTAGTATAATGAAATCTAGAGCTACTTCTATTTAATTTTAAACGAATTGCTTTTTTAAAACATAAATTTTATAAAATTAAATTAATATTTGCTTTTCAATTTTTGCGAATTAGGATTTTTTAAATTTCGAAAAAAAAAATTTTTATAAAAATTTATATATAATCTTTTTTAAAAAAAAAACATTAACCCCCCTCCGTGAGTGAACAAAATATTTTTGTTCACTCACGGAGGGTGGGAGTTAAGAATTTGGGTAAATAATTTTTACAATTTTTATGAACATTGAGATAGCCGTAATTAAATTTTCTTTTCTTCTTAATTTATATTCTTCTATGCTTCATAAATAAATGTTTTTGTCCCCCAAAATACTCTTACTAGAACAGGCGTTTCAGCTTTTTGAGTTTGAAATAATTCCTGAATAAATATTTTCTAATTCTTTTAAAACTCTTTCATATTTTTCTACTGAAGCCCCTACAAGTATTTCCTTAGCATGGGGAGTAGAGGTTGGAGCAGTCGAAATTATAAAAATAACTTGTGCAAAAAGCGCTAATTTTTGAAATTTTTTTCCGGCATTTCCGATATTTATAGGAAGACTCATGTCACTGATAAAATTTATAGTGGAAAAAGCATAGGCTAAAACTGCAATATTTAAAGCGAGAACAGTCACAATCTATATAAAAAATACTGAAAGCACAAAAGCGAGATGAAGAATATTTATTGATCTTGATGACGAATTTACCATGGTGAGAAATTTAATTTGGGAAGAAGCGACTGATATTTGTGACTTTGCACTGCCACTTGATTCAGAAATTTTAAAATTGTTGCCTTTTCATCTGAGTATAAAAGCATTTTAGAGTCTAAATCTTCTTCAGGCTGGCTTTCTCTCTGGAATGAGCTGGTGCTTCTAAAAGTATCTAACTCTGCAAAATTGACTGACAAATTTTTATGTTCAACACTTAAATAATCATTTTCTGGGTTAGGAGAGCTTAAACCGCCCAATTTATCAATTTCTTTTTTGTCGTTTATAAGCATAACATAAGGGATTTTTATATTATAAATTTCATAGTGGGATAGGATTAAAAATACATCATTAAAGCTATGATTTAGTCTGTAAGGAACGAGTGGCTTCAAGTTAAACTCATCTGAAATAAAAAATAATTGTTTCAATTTGCATCCTATTAAATTATCATCAGAATTTCTGGCTAATTTAGAAAACTTTTGTGAATGGCTGATTATTTCTTCGCTTTCAGATATCAGAGCAGTTTCATATGTATAGTCTTTAGGCTTAAATATGAGTATTGCTACGAGAAAACTATTAATGGCTGTTACTCACACTTTTCCTGTACATTCTAATAAATTATTGTGGACATTTAAAAAAAGCCTTTGATTAAGTCCATTTCTGAAACTGAGCTAAACTGAACAAATCGCTTGGCTTCTTCTTTGACTTTTTCTTTATAATAAAGATCAATAAAATTAAAAAAATTGTCACTGATAATTTTTTTTAAAGGGAGAGAAAATATTTCTGCAGATTTTTGGCTGGCATAAAGGATTTCTCCAAAATTGTCAGTTTCGTTTGAAATTATCAAGATGCCATTGCTCTCGTTAAATCAGCTGAAATTATTTAAATCATTGAGAGGATTTGACAGATTTCTTTCAAGGGCCCTTAACTTTACTTCAATTAAATTCGATTTTTCAATTTCATAAGTGATGTTGCTAGTATATGATGAATATGAATAGGATTATTAAAGAGGGCACGAGCCATATTGTTGACGCAGTCGAAAAAGACCTCCTGTATGGAGGTTCATTCACTTTGCGACAAACTACCATTAGATCTAGAAGTAACTGGGCAGTTATTTCCTCATTGCCTTGAGGTTCAGTCTTAGTAGGGGGCTTATCCCAAGGATTAGCTCTTTTGAGTCTTTCGGATACCAGATTGCCTTTTTGGTATCTGCAGAAAAAAGACTGCTCCTCTATGGTCGGGCCGGAAGCCCTGATTTCTCGGTAGAGGATGCCCAAGGGTCAGAAGAGATTTCACAGGAGAACACCCGAAACATATCCGATGAGCATTTGCTTCTCGACTTGTCGCCGTGGGCCTTAAGGCATTGACTGCTATAGATTTTTCCAATGGATAGCGCCATTAGCCTATGAATTGGTCACTGACTTCATATTTTGGTTCGGCCAAGGTTATTTTTGGCCCAAGCAGGCCCAATCAAAATAAACTTGGCCGAACCAAAATATGAGTTAGCGACTAATTCATAGGCTAATGGCGCTATCCATGGCAAAAATCTATATGCCAATAGGGAAAGTTGGCAAGTGTTACCATTTTAATATTTAGTATATGATGAATAAAGATATAAGGACTCTCGAGAGTTTGGAAAATTTATGTATAATTGGTTATATTTGGCATTTAAATCAAAAATTTCACTGTCTATGCCCTTCATATCGTTTTTCAATGTTTTAAGGTCAGGTTTTGATGAAGTAATTTCGTTTCAAAAATTAAATAAGCTGACGCATAGTTTTTTGTCTTCCTTTTTAACCCAATAGAATTCTGCGAAATAGTTTGAAAATTGACTAATATTTGAATTAGAAGCTACTGAAATATTTTTGTTGCATAAATATTCTTGATAATTGGCTTCTAAGCCAGAATCAGAAATATTTTACTTTTACTCCGCCCTCCGTGAGCGAACAAAATAATTTTGTTCGATCACGAGAGGGTTAAATTTTTTTTTTTAAGTTTTAAATATAAATTTTATATTAACTCTTCCATTCGAAAAAAATATGTTCTAAATGTGAAGTTGTTTAAAATTAAACAGAATTAACAAGAGATTTCGTTATAATAATTTAAACTTACATATCAAAATTTTTGTTTTATATAAAAAATTTTTATATAAAAAAAAATTTTTTGTTAACTCAGGGTTTTTGGTCAAAAATAGGGATTTTTCCACTTACTTTTTCGCTCAAGAGGGGTATAGTTAGCAAGTTTAATTTTAGCTAGAGACTCATCTTTCAGCGTATAAAAGCAGTAATTTGCTGCCCATATAGCTTGGAGTTTGCTTCCGTTTAATCTTTTCTCTATAAAAAAATTTTCAAAAATTTGGATTATTTCATCCTTATACTCAATATTTCCTGAGCACATTTCATGTCGTACAGATTTTTCTAGCTCATATTGAGAATCTATGCATTTTAAGTCCTTAGGTATGATTTTGCTGCTTTTTATTTGCAGTTTGCACGAAAATTGGACAATAAATATTGCTAATGACGGTACTATAAAAACTGCTAGTATGGAAATTGCCAATGAGTTGTCCATGAGACTTCCTAAAATAAAAATAAAGGAAATTACGACAATACAAGATAATTTAAGAATAATGGTGGTATTGCCAAAATATGAAAAATAAGGCAAAAATATGATTGCTTCTTTTATCAAAAATCCCGAAAATATGATTGCTGAAATTTGTAAATAAATTATGTAATTTTCTGCAAATACTGCATAAGTAATTGGGAAAAAATAAGTAAAAATTGCTATATGGTAATCAATCTTTGAGTGCGCTTTTGCATTTAGTGTTGTTTTAATTTCAGAATGTCTAATTTCTGCTGCGAATTCAGTATAGAATAAAATCATCACAAACCCAATCATCAATCCGACAATAATTATTGTTAGTTGCTTAAATTTGGAACATTAAAACCTGCACGTGGAATCTTTTCCACATGTGAAATCAAAAGGGCTTCACATATGGAATCATCTTTTCACACGTGGAAAAGATTCCACATGTAGGTTGCAATGTTCTTTTTAAGCAACTAACGATACTATTTTACATCCAAAGTTTACGTAAAAATCAGATAGTTGCCCATCTGTGTCGTATTCTGAGATTTTATCATGGGGCAAAAAATTATATTTAAGAAAAATTGATAATAGCTCAACAGTAGGTAATATTTATAAGGAATTTTACAATATGCTTTTACTCCCTGAGTTTTATAAATAATAAAATGCCTAAAATAATTAAATTTTTTCATCCAAAAATTAATTCGCAGGTAGAAGCACATGCTAAAAATAAAAAAAAATATTTTAGATTAAAATAAGACAAGATAAGATAAGATAATTTGCCCTGCCTCTTTCGGAGTCGTGGAAAAAGCTGCCGCTCTAGTCGAGTTGCTAATCAGAGGAAATAGTGCTGGCCTCTCGCTTCAAGACTAATTCAATCCTTTGGGCAGCTCCTTCCACCAAAAAAAAACCTAAACTTGGTGCGCAGGGTCGTTCGTCACCAGCCATTTTATAAATAAAAAAATATTTTACTAAAAAAAAATTTGCTCAAATGTAAATAAATCCACGAAAAACTTTGAAGGCATAAGAAGGTAAGCTATAGGAATAGTAAATAGCAATAATAGAGATAGCAATGATTATAAAACTTGTATAAGTAAATATTATAATTGCTAAAAAGCATTCCTCAATTATCCCTGCTGCAGAGCAAGCATTGTCAAATTTCAAATAGCCTATGATTTTTCATAGTGTGTTATTTTTACTTCAATTTTTTATTGGGAGATCTGGAACTCATAGTAAACTTATAATTTGGAGGCACCAAATTGTACCTTCAATTGCTAATACTAATTTTTGTTTCAGAATAGAATCTTCTTGATAAGCATTTCCAGGAAAGAGCTGGCAAAAATATTCGAAAATCGAGCTCTTCAATGATTTTTCTTTTTTTCTCTTTCAGAATTTTTGTTTCAATGTAACAGATTTTACTTCAGTCATTAATTAATATATTAAGAGAGGCTAATTTATTTAATAATTCTTAAGCAGAAATATAATCGCTACTTTTTAAGCCTGGATTTAATTAAATATTAAATATAATTGATATTATTTGAAGCAATTGTAATATTTATTTAGAGTGAGTGTGCACAAGGATAATTTAAACCTATAATGGATTAGCTTTTCACAATTTTAAACTCCAATAAATATTATTAAAATACTTTAAGAGATTAACTTAAATAGTTAAAATTTATGATGTAATTATCTTCCAAAAAAGAAATATATTTTTTAATTTGTAATTATGGCTAAAAATTATTTAGGATTTATTGCAAAAATATCAAATTACTAATAATTTTTACATTAATTTCTATTTTTAATCTTGCTTTTTTAAGGCGAGTTGTATAAAAAGCATACTATTTGAAAATTCAAAATTTTTAATAGATTTATAATAATCTCGTCTCAAAGTAAATTTTGTTAAGAATATTGAAATATAGAGATTAATTTCATAATAATTAGTTTACTTTAATGTTATTTCTCAAACAACTTCCTTCAATTTTAATTTGACACTATAAGAGTAGTTTTTTGCTAAAATTTGCCTAAAGATATTTTGGTACTAAAATAGATTGGTTGAATTCTTTAAACAAAATATTTTTGTTACTTGTATCAGCTCAATGGCATACCTTCAATTGCTAATACTAATTTTTGTTTCAGAAGAGAATTTTCTTGATAAGCATATCTAGGAAAGAGCTGGCAAAAATATTCGAAAATCGAGCTCTTCACTGATTTTCATTTTTTCTCTATCAGAACTTTTGTTTCAATGTAACAGATTTTACTTTAGTCATTAATCAAATATTAAGAAAGGCTAATTTATTTAAAAAATTTTTAGCAGAAATATAATGCTAATTTTTAAGCCTGAATTCTAATTTTATTTATTAATTATTAAATATAATTGATATTACTTAAAGCATTTGTAAATATTTGTTTATAATGATAATACACAAATGATAATTTAAACTATAATGGCCAACCTTTCAAAATTTTAAATTCCTATGAATATTAATAAAATAGTTAAGAAATTAACTTAAATAGTTATTACAATAGCAGCAATTTTTACTAGAACTTATAAAATCTAATAAATTTTATCATGCAATTATCTATCAAAAAAGAAATATATTTTTTAATTATGCAATTATGGTCAAAAAATATTTAGATTTATTGCATAATTATCAAAACTAATAATAATATTTATGTTAATTTCTATTTTTAATCTTGCTTTTAAGACTAGAAATATTTGGTGTCCAACGACGTCAGAGGGGAGCTTCTGTATAAAACGAAAAAAGGATATTGCCGCTTTATGTGACAGATGAGAATAAGCAAATATAAGATATTTTTCATTATGGATTGCCTTGCAACATGCCTACGGGATCAATGAAGTCCTCAAGACACTATATTTATTCAAATGCATTTATTATAAACTCAAGCATCTATAGAAATTTAGATATTTGGAAACTTTGTGTCCTGAGACTCAATTGCTGTTTAAAAGTATAAAAACTTTACTAATAGATTCATATATTTAATGCCTAATCTGTACTAATCAGTCATAAATTTAATGGGCATGCAATAGCATTATTGAAAATCTTGATGCATAATCCATAGTCAATTTAATATATTGATATGGAAAAAGCTTGAGTAGAATTAGTTAAAAGTGAGTATTTAGTATCGTTAATTATAAAACTAAAAACAAATTAATAGAAAACTTACATTAGCAATAGAAATTAGATTTTATTTTAATTGCATATTAAGGATATAGAAATTTCCCATAGATGGCGCTGTTTGCCCTTGATTTGCCCATGAGGAAAATTTTTGGTTTGACCAAACCATATGGTGCTGGTCGAACCAAAAAATTTCCCCAGTGGGCAAATTAAGGACAAACAGCGCCATCCTCGGGCAATTGGAGACACGGCTCCACACGGGAATTGTGTTCCACGTGTGGAGCCATTTTTCCACGTGGGAAAATGTGGATTCCACACGTGGAAAAATGGCTCCACACGTGGAATACGGTTCCCGTGTGGAGCCAATTTTCGCTTGCCCTAGGATGGCGCCATATAGCGCCATCCTAGGGCAAATCCTATATCTACTCCCATGCAGCTTTTTTAGACGCGGAAGACTTACCAAGTTAACTTGTGAGTCAGCAAGTAGTCTAAGATGATCTAATTCAAACAACCCTTTGAACCTAAAAATCTCTTTCTTTTCACCAATTAGACGATCAAGTGCTTTTCTAATTCTGCTATCTTGCAATAACAGCACTCTCTTTATTTCCATAAATTCATCATAGAACATATCAGATCCAAAATACATTTTTCCAGATTCTTTCGCGATTGAATAGATCTCTTCTGTGATTATTTAGATATCAGAATCACTTAAGCTCTGCAGGTCATACTTTTTGTATTTTTTTATTTCCCTCATAACAGCTAAATGGTATTTATATTCGTAATCGCATCCTTTTTTCGATTTGTATTGGAATTAGATTCAAGCTCTGCCTTTTTAAAAATATTTTGAATGCTAAAATTTTGAAAAATACTCCAGAAGCTCATTTTATTTATTATAGTGGCAAAGAATAGACTTTTGATTAATAATTTGCTCAACTATTTCAAATAATAGGTTCATGAAAAGCTATTAGACACATAAAAATAGGCATAAATTGATGTTTGCAATAATTTACTTTCAAATATCATTCAAAATCGCGAAGTTGTTTTAATAATCAAGGCATATTAGGTCTATTTTTACTTTCATAGAAGAAACTCTTAATTAATAAATCATTTTTATTTAGGGGGCTTTATAATTTTAAAAAATGAGTACAGATGAAAAGGTTTTATTAAACAAACTGATCTCTGCTGGAATTCTCTTCTTCTTCGAATCTCGAAGAATTATTAGAGATACAACCCCATTTAAGAAGTTCCTATCAAAGGATTATCAATGGAGAAGATGATAGTCAAATTCTTATACTCAATTACTTAGAGCAAGAACCTACAAAACTTCCTATACTGGATGCTTTAAAAATAAAGCTAAACCAAAGATGAATTCCGAAGTTTTTCAATAACGAGACACATTGCGAAATATTGATGTTTTTGAACTATATAATTTCAATTGCATCTGGATTTGTAACACTTTTTGCGTGGATTTTATTAGTATGTCTGAACAATAGTTGAGATTGGCCGGCTTTTGTTTTACTGGCAATATTTGGTGCAGTTCTTGCTCTAGTTTTAGGCTACAAAATCTGATGTTTATATCAGCTATTATAAGTAAAAGACAAAACTGAAAGGCTAGAGCGCTAAATAAGTACACTCCTGAAGAACTGGAGTTAAGTCTATGGAATAGTGATGAAGTTGACGCGATGCCTTATTTAGATACTAAAAAATAAATTGCCAAAATACATCAGATAGTATTGCGTTGAAAATCAGCTCAGCCTAAGCATAGTTCTAACTGGTTTGTAATTAACTATTTGTAATAAATTATGTTTATTAATCTACTTTTACAGCTTTTCTTGTAGACAGTTTAAGAAACGGCTACTGTAAAAGAATCGAGTGTGCAGATAGAAAAGCAAAAACAATATTTGCTTCAAGGCTGAAGTCTCGAGAATTGCAAAGGAAAAGATTCACGCAGTGATACAAGCTTTTTCATATATAAGTCTTGTAAATGCATGAATTTACCTGGAAGGCTTATATACAAATGAAGATTTGTCAGGGGAAAGAATAAAACCAGTCAAAATATAAAATTTGAATATTTTCATCAAGAGCAATTCCTCAAGCAAAACAGTAGGATGCATAAAAGTAGCGAATATAACTTGCTGTGATGCTGGATACTATTGTAAAAATTTACAATTAAAAGAGTTATGCATTCAAGCTAGCCCCTACTTAGGCTGCAAAGATGGCTCACAATGTCCTATAGGCTATTGCTGCAACGAAGAGACATGTGTAGAGTGAGGTATCTCCGCCCACACGTTGAACTATTTTAAATGACAGAATTTCCCTTTATCTTACTAGTTTTAGGCCTAATCCCTCTTTTTGAATAATGAAATGAATTAATAAAAATTAAAATCCCAAACAAAAGCTTGTATATAGAAGGCTATAGAATTCTGGATGCTCAACTTTGGGTTGATTTCATGGATGCCTATAAGTTTTATACCAGCGTATAGATAAAATTGACAAATACTTGTTTTTCAGAATATAAACTAAAATGGCAAGGCGAATCTATTTTTGCTCTTTGACTGACTCACAGAGCTAGAACTTTAAAAAAAGCAGCTGGTGCTAAATATGTGCATCCAGTAAGTTTTTGTTGAGAAGTTGAAGTGCGGTATTCTCTGATCAGTTAAATTCATTTCAGAATAGAAAATAGAGTTGATAAGGGGTATCCTAGCAGTTCCAGAAGTTAGTTTCTTTGGCAATCAGGAATATTTTTCCGAGTGAAATCTGAGCTTCGGATTTAAATTTTTGCCAAGAGTCGGCGATAAAAATTCAGCCTTTTGATTTCATTGGCGCTGCCTCAAAATATCTGAAATAAAAAAATTAAACGCAAGCTGAAAATGATATTAAGGGAATAATGATAGCTGTGAGATTATCTATAATCTAAACGATTATAATGCTTTTTCAGAAATGAAAAAAAAATACAAATGCGATATTGAAAATTATGCTTACTCCCCCACCCCTCTGTGAGTGATCAAAACCATTGGAAAATCCACCCTTTTAGAGAACAAAAGTTTTGAAAAAAATATTTATATAAGTGATAATTATTATAATAAAAATTTCCAGCTAGTTCCGTTAATTTAAATAGCTTTCATTTCAAAACATAAATTTTGCAAATTATATCAATTTTTACTTCTCGAATTAAGCCCTCCATGAGCGAACAAAAATTTTGTTGCTCATGGAGGGGGAGTTAGTAAATTATAGTCAGTGTCACTAACTATATATTAAATTTGCTGATAGAATATGGTTAGTAATTATTTTTTAATAATCAATAATTTAAACAAAAAAATCTCTAACCATATCGTATATAAATATAATATAATCACTGACAAACTAACTAAGTTTTGGAAAATGATGTCTATATTTTTATTGAGTTTTCTAACTTTTAAAAATAAACTTCATATAAATGATTTTTATATGTCTTCTTGTATAAAAAATTTTGTATTTTTGAGCTTTCCCTCTAAGCTATAAGCAATCTAAAGTATTGCTATAAGTATCAAGCAATATGGGGATCTATCTTAATTATTTATAATTCCATAAAAATATAAAATTAAAAAATTTACTCCCTTCTCTTCTTGAGTGAACAAAACCATTGGAAAATCCCTGTTTTTTGTATAAAAGTCCTCTGTAGGGGAGAAAAATTTAAGCGAGAAAACTTATTTTTCAATAGAAATTTTCATAAAAAATATTATGATATATAAGAAGTGATAATTAGTATAATGAAATTTCTAGCTATTTATGCTTAATTTAAGCACCTTTATAAATTTTAAAATTAAATTAATATTGCTTTAAATTATTTCTAGTCTTTTTTTTAATTTTTAAAAAAACATCTATTATAAATTTGTAAATTTTTTTTAAAAAATAGGGAGTTATCTTACTTAAATTAAATATTAAGCTGGCGTAAGAGGGTAAACCTACTAACCGTCAGCAACCTTGGCTCCAAAAAATCGCCCTTTTAGATTTCTGGCCCAAACCATCTGTCAACAGGGGATTAGCTACATTTTGCAGAGCCACATCTGCAGGGTTCCCCGATCGCTCCGATGAGAGACCATGAGGCAAAACTTCCCTTTCGGCAAGACTTCCCCATGCCTAAAGGCTTACCCGAATAGTGGCATATGCACCGTTCCAGTTTCATTAGGATTTATCCTAACTCCTCTATAGAGATTAAGCCTCAGAGTCAATTTTTTTATCAACGTCACTATTTTATTTCTTACTTAACTTAAGAAATTTTAACTCACTCATTATTTTGGTATACACAAAATGGCTGGCGACGAGCATCTCCCCTATGGCGGATCTTCTTATGCATATCCGGGCTGGTTGTTTGTTCAAAGAGTTGCCCAAGGGTTGAGTTAGCCTCGAAGCAAGAAACCCAGTACTATTACCGCTGATTAGTGGCCTGGCTCGAGCAGCAGTTTTTTTCATCTTTTTTGCCACCAGCGCCCAGGCACAGAACGGGTGTACTATAAAGGCAGGATAACTTACCTGTCTAAGCTGCTTTTGTGCCCTGTTCCGAATATACGCGAGTGCATTGAGTTTTTTTCCTTGGATATAATATGGAGAAAAGGGGTAATCAGGCTAGACAAATATCTCAGGGCTAGTTTCTCCTGTCTAAAATGTTGGGGCGACCGGCCTATGCTGCAGGGTTGGGCAATTTTGGCACTTTTGTTAGAAATTGAGGTTCATAGTAAAATCTGGCTTTGGCAAGACCAAGAGAGAAAATGACTCTACCGAGAAACCGGGGTCCCGCCGGACTCAAGTTGCCTTGAAGAAACCAACTCTGCAGGTGAACGCCTTCCGAATGCACGGTGCTTTAGGAAGTGGGGACTATAAATACCCATTTTGATCTAATCTAAACTCATTATTTTGAATTAATTTTTATTAGTTATGATTTCATTAGCACGATCATTTATAGAAAATACTTTTCCTTAATATTTAGGTAAAATACCAGCATATATATTTTATTTTATGGCTGAAGCAAAAACCGAAAAATCTCAAAATTCAAGTCATAAGCTATGAAAAATTGAAAAAGAAAAATCAATCAAGAATTCGATTTTTGAGTTTTATTGGCAGCTCTTCAATATTAACGACAATCAAGTAAATTCTGTTGTAAGTCAACAAATTTTAGTAGCGATAGAGGCTACAATATGATGCCTTCAAACTATAAGCCTATTATGAGTTCCTGATATGCCAATTGCTAATTGAAACAATAATAATACTATATGAGAAGTTATTGGATTCTCCAAATTTGATAGTATTTGCTCAGAATTAGGAATGATTGATGAATGTTTTTATTTATTGTTTATATTTACTTATGCTAGCTTTATAAGTACGATCATATTGGTTATCTTTATTTATTATTCTTACAGAATCCCAGCTCAAGTCATCAAAATTTTTTATTATATTTTTTATTTATGGAAAACTTTTTTTATTATTCCATTTATTGAAATATTTTGAGAGAAAAAAATTTCTGAATATGAAAACGGCAAGCGATTATCTGATTTTTAATATAAATTAATATGGCAGAGACAGCCATCAGACCTTTTGGAGCCACTTATCAACATATGCAAGGAGCACCCAGCTGGAAAACTAATATTGAAGAATTAACTTCCAAAAATTTCATTTTTTCAACTCTTTGCTATTGCCATCTTTATTTAAAATATTAAAACGAATTCAACTTGGAGCATCTTGGTGGAATTAGAAATTTAAATAATTAATAAATAATAATGGTACCTTTATTATACCCTTTTTGGACTCGCCCACTGATTCATATTTTTCACTATTCAACATCTTGATTTACCATTACAATCTTAAATATTAAGACTCCTATTCCTTGGGGCAATTTAATTGGAAATATGAATTAAAAAATTGATAAATGATAATGAAACCTTTGCTTTACATTTTTGGACAACAAGACAAATTCATTTTTTCAAATTAGCATTTTAAATATTAAAAATCTTATTCGACTGAGGCGGTTTGAATTTTAGAATTATAAAACTGTAATGGTGTCTTTATTTTGCATTATTTAAACTCCATCTATAAATAAAGTTTTAATTTAAAAATGGTGATGGCAAATCAAGATGGAATATCCCAAATATATTTCAGGATTTCGTTGCAAAAATATAAGAAGCATATTCAGAGTCCCCAATGACCTCTGCGGAATAAGAAATTGTGCCTTCTGATTGATAAGCATATAAAATTTCTGTCATAAAGACGTAGATTGAGTTCTAATCTAATCTAAACTAATCTGATTTTGAAGTAAATTATTTTTGAAAAACCACAATTATGCTTGCAATAATAATTTCATTTGCAATGATGCTACTTTATATTGAATTCTTAGCCGAAATTAGACATTCTGCAAGCAAAAAGACATTAAAAGCAAAGGCACATTCAAAGATTGACGCTCATCTATTACTATTTAGCTTTTCTTTTCCAATTGCTTATGCAATCCTAGCTGAAAATCACATATTGTATTTGCACATTTTAGCATTTATTTTCCCAGCCACTTTAATAAAAGAAGTCTTAACGCTTTTGCCTTATTATTCATTTTTTGCAATATAGTTATAATTCTTAGACTGTTTTTTATTGCTTTAGCTTCCTTTATTTTTCTTTTAGGGCGTCTTATGGATAATTCATTGGCTATTTCTTTACTAGCATTTATTTTAGGGCCGCTATTAGCAATTTTTATTATTCAATTTTCACTTAAATTTCAAAGAAAAGTAAGCAACTATATACTGAAAATTTTATTGGGAATAAATTCTCAATATGAATTAGAAAAAAGCATCACTCCCCCCCCTTTAAATTGAAACAAAATATAGGTAAAATTCCTACTTTTTTGGGAAATTACCCCCCCTTTAAATTGAAACAAAAATTTTATTATAATAGAAAATTTTATAGGTAAAAATCATTATTTTATATGTAAATACGTTAGTACCCTATTTAATATGCTTCAAACATATAAGATTTAGAAATTAAACTCTATTTTGTCCAATTGTTATGGGGAGAGTTAGAAGAATACCATTTCAGCAAGTTTACACTTTGAGATTGAGAAATTTATGAATTAATTTTTCATGAAATTAAAATTAAAAATCAAACACAGAATGAACCATAAAATTTTATCTCTGAAAAAATTTTTATATATAAATTTTTTTTATAAAAAAATTTTTCTTAACCCCCCTTTAAATTGAAACAAAATTTTTTGTTTCAATTTAAAGGGGGGGGGAGTCAGACATGCATTGTGCTCAAATGATACTAACTCCTCTTGTGGCTATATTTTCAGGAAAATACACCCTCCGTGGGCAAGCAAGAAATTTTTTCATAAAAAAAATTTTAATATATAAATGATAATTATTATAATGAAGTCTGTTTAATTTAAAAAGCATTTTAAAAATAAATTTAATATTTTATTTTCTAATTAGGTTTTTTTAAAAGAAAATTTTCTATAAAATTCTACATAAAAAAAGCCCGTTCGTGATCAATAAAACATTATTTTTACATGCTTAGGGAAGTCAGCATAAAGACGAAATAATCCAAATATTTGAGAATTTCTATATAGAAAAAAAGCTAGACGGAAACAAACTTCAAGCGATATGAGCAGCAAATTATTGCTTATTTACATTGCAAGATGAATCTTTAGCTAAAATTAAGCTAAATAAAACCAAAAATATTTTTGATTTTAGTCTCGAAGCAAACTATCAAGAATATTTATGTAAGAAAAATATCTCAAATGCTTGTTCTTCTCAAAGCTCTCAGTTTTCAGATTATTTTTTGCAATTTCACATAATAAAAAAAGCAGATAAACAATTATGTATCAATTTATTTAAATTTTGAAACGAGATTACCCTAGCTAAACCAAGCTTAAAAAAGCTAAAAACAGACTTGAATTCCATAAACAAAAGTATTTCTAATTTAAATACGAAATATAGCCAAATATGCATAAAATTTCCTAATTCAAAAGAATCCTTGGTTCTTTTAGCATCATATTATAAACAGATTATTTATGATATCGAAAAATCGAGACAAATTGAAGTAAAGTTAAAAGTGCTTGAAAAATCCATATCAAATACCCAAAATAATTCGACTATTTTCAGCTTTTCCCATCATCTCAATGGAATTTTAATAATATCAAATGAAAAAAATAATTTTGGAGAAATTATCCATTGTAACCAAAGATTATCTGACTCCCTCCTCAGTGAGTGAACAAAACCATTGGAAAAATAGCTATTTTTTGGTCAACCCTACGCGAGTGAACAAAGATTTTTTATGGAAAAAATTTTGATATATAAGTGATCATTAGTATAATAAAATCTCGAGTTAATTCTGTTTAATTTTAAACAAATTGCATTTTAAAACATAAATTTCGCAGATTAAATAATATTTGCTTTCCAATTTTTGCGAATTAGGATTTTATTAAATTTCGAGAAAAAAAAATTCTATAAAATTTATATATAAAAAAAATTGACTTTTTATGTTCGCTCACGGAGGGGGGGAGTGAGATATTTAGACTTCCTAAAAATAGGATTATTTACTAGCAATTTTTTTGATTTTATTGATTCTTACTATAGAGAGAGGATTAAAGAAGCAGCCAGACAATTTATTCAGTTCAGCTCAGTTTCAGAGATGGATTTAAGCGAAGGTTTCTTTTTAAGTATCCATAATAGCTTATTAGAGTTTACTGGAAAGCTATGGGTGACTTCAATAAATAGCTTACTCGTCGCTATAATTATTTTAAAGCCAAAAGAGAATGCCAATCAAATTGCCTTGATTTCTGATGATGGAGAAATCGTCAGCCACTCACCTAATTTCTCTAAGCTTGCAGGAAAACCTGATTTGATAGGATTTAAACTAAAAACATTATTTTTAAACTCAGAATATTTTGATTTAAAGCCATTTGTGCCGTATCATATAAAACAAAATTCTGGTGAATTTTTATTGACATTGTCATATTATGAAATTTATCATATAAAAATCTCATATGTATCGCTAATACATGATAGTGAAGAAATTCGTAAATGGGAGAATTTTAATGAAGCTGCTCAAAATGATGAAAAATATTTATAAGTTACGAAAAATAGATTATCTATGAAAATTTCAGAATGTGACACTTTTCGGACTGCCAGCTCTTTTAATAGAGAAAACCAAGGAGAATACTATGACTCAAAAATGAATTTTTTTACTGACTCTTACCTAATTAGACCAGAAAATTTTCCAATTTAAATGTGGGTTGAATATTTTTTAATAAAAAAACTGTAAGATTTATATTCAGACCGTTTAAATAAAATATTGAACTTGCATTCCAATTTAAAATGCTAGATAATTTTTTAGCATTAAACTGAATAGAAATTATTTTTTATTTTAATTAAAAATGAAATGAAATTTTATCAATATTTTGTCATTTTAAAGAAGGGAGAGTCATGAAGAAGAGACAGAAAAGGACACATCAAATAATCATGATGATGAAAATTCCAAAATTCAGCCATGCACAAGTATACTTCTTTTCTTGGAGTGGCGCTGCAAGCGCAGGCCACTCCATGCGGAATTCCTGTGTTGGTTTAACAACATAGGAGTTGGTCGAACCAAAACTGTGCGTTGGTTCGACCAACCCATGAATTCCGCATGGAGTGGCCTGCGCTTACAGCGCCACTCCAAGGAAGTTTCTATATCTCAATATGGTAAATTCATCAGCCAGATCCATCAATATTTTAAATCTCGCTTTTGCTTTGTCTGTAATTGTTATTCAGATTATAATTGTTTTAGCTGTAAATATTGCTGTTTTAGCCTATGCTTTTGCTAGCATTAAATTTATAAGTGACATGAATCTTCCGATAAATATAGGAAGAGCTGGGGAAAATTTCCAAAGACTTGCTATTTATGCACAAGTTCAGATAATGCTGCCATATCTTCACATTGAAAATGGCGATAAAGAAGTAAAAGCTTCAAATGAAAAGTTTGCAAAGGCCTTGTCAGATTTAGAACAGATTTATGCAAACATAATATCTAGCTACCAAAGCTGAAGCACTTGCTCTGGCCAAAGTGGTTCATTTTAAGATGTTTAGACAATAAATAATTTTTTGGACTATTTTTTGTTATTTGTTTTGTAATTTTTGAACTATTTTTTGACCATTTATTTGAACTATTTTTTAGACTAATTTTTCGACCATTGTTTTTGCCTATTTTTTAAAATTACTTCTAAACAATAAATATTAGCTCAAAGCAATTGGGATAAGAAAATTAAAATCAAGTCTAAAAATATACCAAAAACAAATAGCCTAAAAATAGGCTACTTTACTCATAATAAATAAAAAATATACACTAAAAAATGCCAGAAAAAATACCAGGCCAAAGTATTTTAGGAGACGAAAATATTTTATTATGGAGCACAGAAGATTCAACTATAAGAAAGAAAGAAAATTTATTATCTGCTATTCTAATGTTTATCAATTCTGTATAAATTATATAGGGAAATGAATTTAAAAGAAAAATCGAAAATCCGTCAGAAATGCCATGAAATTTGTTCAGATTTTTTATTTTGAATGGATGGGGAGTAGCACTTGACTACTGTAATCAATCGTTAATTAGCATTATAGAATGCCAAAAATCAATGATGGCTGAGTTTAAATCCAAAATGGCTCTGCTTTTAATACTAGGTCTTGCTGCGCTTATTGTTTGCATTTTTATAGCGCTTCCTTTTTATTATTCGATTTTTAAGATAGAAAATACTCTTTGAGGGAGCATTAGAAAAAAAGCTTTTGGCAATAGCTCTGAGCTTAAACAAGCACTTTTAAAAAGGCTAAAAGAAATACACCTTCAGCAGGAGTCCCTCTATTCTTATCATATAGATTAAAATGGTGAGTCAACCATCTCTCTGAACACCTGTAGATAGGGATGCTTTGGAAGGGACAGAGCTCCGACTGCGCATCCGGCGGAATACAATATTGAGATTGAGAACAGCATGCTTGCTCCAGATGAAAGTTTTATCACTGCTCAGAGTTGGAAAAGGAAGTCCCGCCAACACCTCCTAGCCAATTGGAAAATTTTCTAAAGCAATGCCGAGTTTCCATTTTAGCCGGCAGATAAATTCGAATTCTCGAATTTTTTTGAAGTGCACGGCCCTTGTATCTGAATAAGTGCAAGCGCTCGTCTATGAGGAACGACGCAGTAAGAGGCCATGTTAGGACTAGAAAGCGGCGTTAGAACGATAATAAAGATAAGTCGCCCTCGGGCCTACAAAGAAGTTTCTAGAATCATGATTAAGTATTAAACCTCTTTTCTCATCAAAAGAACTTTATGAAGCCTTGCACTTTTAAAAGCTATTGGAAATATTCTTGAAGGACACTTGCATGCTTGCAGCTGTTATATTTTTCAGCTTAATAAACATAGCTTATTTTTATGAAAAATGCTCACAATATTTAACTGAAAGACCAGAAATAATTAAAGATTTAATCCAAATGCAAGTCTTACACACAATAAAATGCCATTTAGGTAGGACTCAGATCCTATCCGAATTCATTGAGAGAAGTCCACAACTTCTTGAGTCTCAGAAGAGAATAGGTCTTCACTATGTTTGGTGTAGATCAGAGAGTCCTAAGGGGCTTGGGGAATAAATAGGTCGGCAGTCAGTATCCCCCATCTACCTTTATTCAGAGCTGTAGTTCAAGCAGAGGCTCAAAAGTGCAGGACTTGAATGGTTATCTTAAACTTAAAGTCTTATACACATCTTTAGGTATCTGGGCCCAACAAATGAGTGGAGAAACATATGGCATGGGGCTATGAAACCAATTATAGAGATTTCAGGTAGATGGCGCGGAATGCGCCATCTACCTGAAGTCACTATACCTTTAGCACACCCTTTTTCTCACAGCACACCTATAATAAATAACATTATTGAAAAAATTGCAGAAAAAAATTTGAAAATTCGAAATTCTGATTTTGCCTCAGAAAATTTTAAAAGACTTCTTTACGAAAAAAATAATGAAATTGGGTTAGATTTTTTTGCTTTTGGAGTATACTCAGCTCAAGGATTATGAATATTTGATGCATATATAGAAGGATATGGTGAAGGTAATGTTGATTTTTGGATTATTTGAATAGAAAATCTTAAGCTAATAGATGAATTTTTTGACAAGGCTACTACTGACGATATTGATAAATATTCGCAAAGCGTTATTGATGATCAAATGGTAATCATAGAAGCATATTAATATAGTGAGCCAACCCCTTTTTAAACTCCTGACATACCATAGGTGTACAGTATTCCTGAGAAAGGAGGATGGTGTAGTGAATGTGCATCTGGCCAGTTTTTTTCTTGGCTTGGGAAGCGTATGTCGGGATAGTCACCGCTTATGTTTTGCTCCAATGTCAAGCTTTTGCTTCAGAGAAGAATGGAGTTGAGAGTTTGAAAGGGATCTCTAGCAGAGCCAGTCGCCAATCGGGACTGCTTCCAAGTGTGAGCCAGGAGTTACGCGCTGGGCCCTCGGATTTTAATTTTTGCCAAAAGTCAATATTTTCCATGGTAGACAACCTTTAATTACTGGAGGCATTGTAGTAAAACTCATCAAACTACCAATTGGAGTGCAAGTCCTTATCCAGAAGGAGCAACCTTTGCGAGGCCGTGTACCGGACTGGCGAGCAGATAAATGAGCACAACGGTTTGTTAGTCCTTTAGATTTCCATGGGCTCTTGTATTATTAAGATGATGCTAATGCTAATTTTAATTATAGAAGCAGCGTTGTTTATTTTTATTGCTTTCTCATTTGTGGCTTATTTTGGATTCAGTTTGTTGTTTTTCAGAAATGAGAAAAAATATTTGCAGAAAATATATTCGATACAGCAAATTATGCCTAATAATTATTTATAAAGTATATTTCCATATATAAAATTATATGTAATCTTGGATCATGAATTTTACTATAAGGTTTTGGAAATAATAGGTTATATAATCTTACTCCCCCCCACGATCTAACAAAAAAACGCTGGTTCTCAAATGAAAGGGGATTATTTGTTTTTTTTTAAAATAGTTTTATACTAAAATTTTGTTCTAAATATTTAAAAAGATTCCAATTCGCAAAAATTGGAGAGCAAATAATTTAATTTGCAAAATTTATTTTTTAAAACACAAGCTGTTTAATTTGAACATATTTTATTATACTATATATATATTTGCTGATATATCAAATTTTTTTTTTACAGTAATAAAAAAGTTTTGCTCGTCATAGATGGCGGATTTTGGGCAGGTTTGCTCGTTCACAGAGGGGAGGGGTATAAAGCATAAATATAATTAAAACTAAATTATTATTTATTTCTAAAACATACGCTTCATAATTTGAATTAATTTTTCATTAGATTCCAAAATCTTATTAATATAGTCATTTCTTTTAGATTTTAATTAACAAAAATATTCCTCTGTTAAAAATTACTTTTCGAAAAGGCTTAATATGGCAAGCTGCTAATTATTAAAATTTCCCTAATATAGCCTTGCTAAAATGTCCAAAAGCCAGACTTTGGAATTTTTGGAATTTATAAAATCAGTTATGACTAGTTAAATTTCATATAATAATTATTTCAATAATTAATGCATATTTTTCTTTATTTTAGAATTAATTTATTGACTATATGGCTCGTCTCAGAAGCGAAGTTGAAGAAGGTTTCATCGTCACACACAAAATTTGAAAAAGCAAAGAAGAAAAATCTATAAAAGATTCTGTGTTTGAGCTTTATCAACTGATGAATTATGAGGAAAATTCTGCTTTAAACCAAAAATTCAAAATAATAATTAAAAGCATTATTTGGAGCCTCCAAATTGTAAGTCTGCTATGAATCCCAGACCTCCCTGTTAAAAATTGACACAAAAATATGATTATATGAGATATCATTGGTTATTTGAAATTTGATAACACTTGCTCAATGCTTGGAGTATTTGACTGGTGTTTTTATCTGTCCATGCTACTAGCATATGGTAATTTTATTGTCCTAATTATTTTTGTTATTATTATTTATTATTCTTATCCATACCCCAGGCTAGCTCTCAATATATTTTCAAGAATTATTTATATTTGATTAAATTTTTTTTTGGTTCCTTCTATTCAGATATTTTCCATTTTTCTAAAGTATAGTTTTCTGCCGAAAACTAAAGTATCAGAATATGAAAATCACAGTGAATTAGGAGAATTTAGTATGGTTTCTCCATTGCAAATAAGTATTGTTTTTGCAATATTAATTACTTTTATTTTGAAATTATTTCAAGTGGAATTTTCAGGAGAAATCAGGCATTCTGTAAATAAAATAAAAATAAATGCAAAAGCTCACTCAAAAATAGACGTTCATATAGCTATTTTTACTTTTTTTTCCCCAATAGTTTATGTGATGCTTGCTGAAAATTATATTATTTATTTACAAATTTTAGTCATTATTTTTGCAATTCTTTTAATTACAGAAACTATAGAACTTTTGCCTTATTTTTCGATTTTTCTCAATTCTGTAATACTAATACGGCTATATTTTATTGGCTTTATTGCTTCGATTTTTCTTTTAGGAAGCCTTATGGATAATTCCTTGGCTATTTCTATGCTAGCAGTTATTTTAGTGCCATTATCAGCTATTTTTGTAATCCAATTTTCCCTTAAATCTCAAAAAGAAACTACTCAAGCTATTCCTGAAGATTTAATAGAAATAGAGTCTCAATATACCTTAGTCCTCTTCTTTGTGAACGTGCAAATGTTTGCTTGTAAATAAGGAATTATTTGCAATTAATAAAATTACCATGATTTTCTACTTATTTTGAGTCTCCCACAGTAGGAGGAAGTTAGAAAAATCTCTCAGATATGCATTATGCTCAAATGATGCAGAGCATAAAGACCAAATAATCAGAGTCTTTGAGAATTTTTTTATACAAAAAGGTTTAAATGGGAATAAGCTTCAAGCTATATGAGCAGCGAATTACTGTTTATATACACTAAAAGATGAATCTTTAGCAAAAATCAAGCTCAGCAAAACCAAAAATATTTTAGACTGAAGCTTAGAGTCTAACTATCAAGAATATTTATGCCAGAAAAATATTTCCAATACATGCCTATCTGAAGACTCACAATTTTCTGATTATTTTCTGCAAAGCATTATAGTTAAAAATGAAGAAAAACAATTATGCATAAATTTGCTTCTTTTTTGAAGCGAAATTACATCACATGAGCCAAATCTTCCAAAATTAAGAAAAAAACTTTACTCTATTGAAGACGAAATTTTGCTATTAAATAAAAAATATGACCAGTTAATTACGAAATTCCCAAATTCCAAAAGCTTACTCTCTCTTTATCATTCATATTGCAAAGATATTATTTATAACACAGAAAAGTCAATTTCTCTTGAGGCTAAGCTGAGATCTGTTGATAAAGCTCTTACTCCCCCCCCCCCCTCCGTGAGCGAACAAAAAAATTTTGTTCGCTCACGGAGGGGGGTTAATTTTTTTTTTTTAAAAAAATTTATATATAAATTTTATAAAAAATATTTTTTTCGAAATTTAAAAAAATCCTAATTTGCAAAAATTGGGAAGCAAATATTAATTTAATTTGCAAAATTTATGTTTTAAAACGCAATTTGTTTAAAATTAAACAGAATTAGCTCTAGATTTCATTATACTAATTATCACTTATATATCCAAATTTTTTTCCATTAAAATTTTTTCTATTAAAAAAATTTTTGTTCACTCACGGAGGGTGGGTTTTTGGTCAAAAAATGGCGATTTTTCTAATGGTTTTTGTTCGCTCACGGAGGGGGGGGGGGGGGAGTTAAAAATTTTAATGGGGATTCTAAAGAATTTAGTTTTTTTAATGAAAATAATGGAACTCTTATTATTTCCAATGAGGACAGGAATTTTGGTGAAATTGTATATGCAGACCAAAAAGCGGCAGAATTTTTGAAACTCCCAATTGGTAATATTGAAAATGAAAACTTTTCAAATTTTATTCATCCTTATTATAAAGATAAATTCAGGGAGGATACTAAATGATTCATTCATTATAGCTCTTTTTCAGGAATGGATCTAACTCTCTATTAATAATAAACCTTTTTTTCTATACTTTTTTTAATTATGTTTTTATTTTGAGAAAATTTATATTTATAATAAAATTAAAAGTAACATTTTATTCCCAAAAATATGGCTAACGGAAAGGAAAGTAAGCAAAGGATTTTTTTTGATAAAAGATGGAAACATTCTATTACAGCTTGAAGGAAAAGTATTATTAACTTCAATCAATAATTTGCTTATGGCTATACTGGTCTTTAAGCCAAAAAGCTCTAAGCATGAGGTTGCATTGATATCTGAAGCACAAGAAATCATCTGCCACTCAGATAATTTCTCAAAATCTATAGGAAAATCTGAAAGCTTAGTCGGATTAAGCCTGAAAAATTTATTTTTTAATTCAGAAGAAATCAGCTTACAGCCAGATATTCCTTACCATTTACCAAGCCTAAAAACATATATTATTCTGTCTTATTCAAAATTTTACGAAATAAAAATACCTTACGTTATCTTAATAAATGACTATGACGAGGTCTTAAAATGAAAAAATGGAATCTCCCAAAGCAATAATGACCAAATCCAAGCACCAACTCAATTTTTATCTTTAAACTTATCAGGATCTTTAAGCTCTAACAAAACTGATGGCTCTTTTAATAAAGGGAGTCAGAATTCAGACGAAAATTTAAATTCAAAAAGACCTTTACATAAAAATTCAAAGGAATTCCAAGGAAAAAATGCTGATGATATTTCTGAAAAATTTGGCAGCGAAAAATCTGTTACATCAGTAACCCCTCGCCACAATAAGCTTCTCTGCCTAATAAAATCTTCATCAAGGTCAATCAATGTGCTCCATTTTGCTTTTGTTTTTTCAGTAGTTTTTATATAGATTTTGACTGTTTTAGCTGTCAATATCACAGTCTTAGTTTATGCTTTTTCTAATATAAATTTCATTAGCGACATGAGACTTCCTATAAATATAGGAAAAGCAGCTAAAAATTTGCAGAGATTTACATATGTTTCTAAATTATTTATGAATGTCGTATATTTACCTGATAATCCAGCTTTAAAGCAAATTTTTGGTGATGTTCAGAGCTGCTTGACAGATTTAGAAAATACATATATTTTATTTATTTATTAAGACTTTACCACCACTGATCGATATCAGGAATCTTCTCTTTTTTCGTCACTTAGTGCAATTTTATGACTTTTGAATCCTTTTTTAAATAGAAAATACATATATAGATGTGACCACAAATTTGGAAAAATGGAATTATTGTTCAGGCCAATAATATTAACATTAATCACTTTTTCCCAGTCCGCTGACTCCCCTGCGAGCAAACAAAAAAAAATTTCGCTCACTGAGGGAGATTTATATAAAAGTTCGTTGTTATGACTGAATAACTAGCTCCTTCGCTAGCGCTTTCCCACTCGTGAGTTCACTTTTTATGGCATCGCGAAGGTTGCTCCTGCTGATAACAAGGCCTGAACTCGTTGCCTAGTAGTTGAAAGAATTGAGCCGCTGTGTGATTCCTGGTTTCAAAGTCTCAATAGGCCAGGAAAATAAATGGCTAATCCTAAAGTACACATTACTTTTTTCAGGATACACAAAATAGCGACTTGCCTTGCCAGGAGATCTCGGGTTCATTCTTATCTTATAGAATCTAGCAGAAATTTCTGCCTAACGATCCTTATGGATCATTTTGAACTTAAAATTGGGTTTTTTTCACCAAAAATAAGCGATTTATACCAAACTGCTTGCGCTTTTTCCTCCTCTTCCAGGTTTTCCCACCACTATTGGTGTTTTCCCCCTTGACAACTGAATTTGTCCCCATTTCTTTATTTCCATCGTTTCCTGTGATTTCCTTGCTTTCTCTGGCCCCCTTGATTTCTTTGGCTTCTTTGGTTTCTTTGGTTTCTTTGGCTTCTTTGGTTTCTTTGGTTTCTTTGGTTTCTTTGGTTTCTTTGGTTTCTTTGGTTTCTTTGGTTTCTTTGGTTTCTTTGGTTCCTTTGGTTTCTTTGGCTTCTTTGGCTTCTTTGGTTTCTTTGGTTTTTTTGGTTTCTTTGATTTCTTTGGTTTCTTTAGTTTCTTTGGTTTCTTTGGTTTCTTTGGTTTCTTTGGTTTCTTTGGTTTCTTTGGTTTCTTTGGCTTCTTTGGTTTCTTTGGTTTCTTTGGTTTCTTTGGTTTCTTTGGTTTCCTTGGTTTCTTTGGTTTCCTTAGTTTCTTTGATTTCTTTAGTTTCTTTGGCCTCCTTCTTTTCTATGCTGTCGATTTCGTAGGGTAGTGATCGAATTGAATGAGAGGTCAATATCAACTCCCATTTCATCCATCACTATTCCCTCCAATCCTCCAACAGCTCGCAGCAATTCTTGCTCCCAGTCATCCTCTTCTACTTTTTCTTCATCCTCTTCAACTTCGCTGTCCTCAGAAACTGTTCCTTCATCTCCAAGAATTTCTTCAACTCTATCCCAAAACTCTTCATCTCAAAACAAACTGTCTTCACTGTCACTAACACTATAATTTGAGTCAATTTCGTCAAAAGATCTTGCATCAAGCTCACAATCCTTGACTTTTCATCAAGGCAGAATATTTTTTTGCAATTCCCTTTTGTCTCCATGATTCACACAAATAAAAAGTAATCCAAAACAGTCACTTTCGAAAAAAGGCAGAAAAAAGATCAATGCAGTTTTTTCTGCCTTAGCCCTGTACACCCTGTGGGAGTAGCTGCAAATTAAGAGGGTGGGCTGATTCGCCATGCAATTTTGCTATATATGCTGCTTCGCCAAATTGGTCAAACCAGCTTAATAAATCCTTAAGCCCTTATTCCACCTGCGTTAGGTCATTGTTTTTATATCAGGTCGTCCCGACTAGGAGAGTGCCAATTTAATGAATATTCAGGCCAAAACATTCTGACTGAAAAAAAACTTAAACATATGGAATGCCGATAATGGGATTTACCAGACAAAATCAACTTTAATCGACACAATGGCGACATTCATTAAAATTGTAAATTTTACCTAGGGAAATGGAATATTGAACAAAATAAACAATTCAGAGATAACCCAAGCTGATGATTTTTCATATTTAATATTAAATGGATATGGAGAAGCCCTTCATTATGCCAATGCTTCGTTTTATGATATTATAGACTGCCAAAAATCTTTGATGAGTGATTTTAAGATACAGATGATTGTTTTATTGTCCTTACCCCTTCTTTAGTTGAGCATTAATTTTTTTAAATTGAAATATTTATAGTGCTCGATTTTATAATTATATTTATACAAAATAATTGATTTTAATACGTTTTTTATTGTCTATGAAGTGTTAATTTCACAAAATTCAAAATTTAATGGTTTTTACTCTTCATTCAAGGATGGTTAGGAGCTTTTGTACTTTGCTTATGCATGGTCATAATAATCCCCTTCTATATATCAATTTTTAAGATTGAAAACGAACTTTGAAACTCTGTTAGGAAAAATGCTTATGACTGCTACTTTGACCTCAAGCAAATAATTTTAGAGAGGTTAAGAGATGTCCATTCTCAGCCAGAAATTGCACTAAATGATAGACATATTTCAAAGAATCCCTATCCCTTTAAAAGCTATTGAAAATATATATGAAGAGTGCTTATTTATATGGCAGCTGTTTTATTATTTTCAATAATAAATATAGCAGTTGCCCGATGATGGAGTTCAATGCGCCATCATCAGGCAACACCAAGCAAGGGTCCACACGTGAAATGGGTTCCACGTGTGGAGCCCTTTTTGGCTCGTGGAAATGAGGATTTCTCCACGTGTTAAAATGGCTCCACACGTGGAATCCATTTCTCTGTGGACCGATGATGGAGCATTGAGCGCCATCATCGGACAACTGCTATATCACTACTCTCTACGAAAAATGCACAGACTATTTAGTATATAGACCTGAATTATTAAAAAATTTAATAAACCTGCAAATTTTATATACAAGTTTAAGCATATGGACAAATGAAGTCGCTATGGAAGGCTATGGAGTGCTGATGGCTTACCAATTCCCAACAGCATATCCTTTTGAAAATAGCGTGACTATATTTAATGAAATTATATCAAAAATTAAATATTCGACTTCAGTCATAAAAAAAAATAAATATTCTTCTTTTGTATCTGAAGATTTTGATAAAATTCTTTATGAAAAAAGCACGGACTTTAATGCAGATATTTTCAGATTAGGGGTGTTTATGGCAAAAGAAAATATAATAAATGAAGCATATTTAATAGCAAATGATTTTGCTTCCTCTGATATTTGGACATCTTTAATGTCAGCTCTTCAAGAATTAGACGTCAGATATGACATTTTTATTGATGAAATTGACAAATATTCAAAAAGCGTAATTGATGACCAAATGCAGATTATTGTTATGAATCTGGCACTTTTTATTTTTTTCTCTTTGGCTTTCTATTTAGGGTTTTATTTGGTATTTTTTTGGAGTGAAAAAAAATACTTGAAGAGAATATATTCAGTAATGGAAATTATTCCGTAGTCAATAAAAATATATATATAAAAAATAAAGCGTTAAATATAAATAATAATTAAGGATCTTTGTTTTATCTATTTTTATGAAAACGGAAAGAGCTATTTCCCTAATTCTTAGATATCTAAGAGCTGACTTTAGTTCGAAACATTAAGGATTCTATTTGATGGGAAGGAAAATTTTGTGGGACTAGGAAGGTTGAGTACGCCCATTCGCATTCTAATTCTAGCATCCATCTTTTATAATAATTAAACAAAGCTGGGTATTTTTCAATTTAATTTTCTTCATAAAACTATGAAGATTTACATATCCATTCAAAACTACTGAAAAATCTTAATATGGGAAATAAAGCAATTGTTTTAAATTTTTTCTATAGTTAAAAGCCTAATTAGCATTTATTAAAATATAAATATTAATTGTACTATAAGCACCGAATGGTTATTAACAAGATCTATATAATTAATTATAGAACTGAATTTATATTCTGCAAATATAGCTATTCATCATCTATGCTATTGGTTATTTGGAATCATTTTAAGTATTGAATTTATTTTTTGCAAATACTTTTTTTCGTTTATAAAAAATGTCAGATAGATTCCGATATAAGCTGCAAATGAGGATAGGATAAAGGCAACTAGGGAATATGCAATAATAGTCATTTGATTATCAATTAAACTTTTTGAATAATCATCAATTTCAGTTACAGCGCTATCATAAAAATCAGCTATATATAGTGTATTTCATACAAAGTTTAGTAAATCAGCAGGAGGATTAATTTTATACGCTTGAGTGTATACCTCAAGAGTTAAGTGCTCTTGAGCAGAATAAGCCCCAAACCTAAAAAAATCTTTTGAAATTTCTTGATTATCTTCATAGAGCAGATTTTTAAATTTTTGAGATAAGACATTTGAATATTTAGGATTTCTTAAGGCTAAGCGTATGCTTTGAATACTGAATATTATTTCATCGATTTTGGTATCAGCTTGATAAAAAGGGCACGCAGAAGGAAATTGAACACATAATGGAAAACCCCACGTATTTGCTGCAGCTTGAATTGTTCATATCCCTAAGTTTACATATAAGATTTGTGCTTTAATTAAATTTTGGATAGCTTCAGGTCTATTAGATAAATACTCCAAGCATAGATCATAGAGATACAAAATATTTATTAAACAAAAAGAATAAACAGCTACTTGCACAACAGTTATCCTTCAAGCATATTTCCAATAGCTATAAAATCTACATATCTTTTTCGAAGGCTTTTGATCTGAAAATGTTATATTTTCTTCAAAATGAACGTCTCTTAGTCTATCTAAAATTGTTTGCTTGTGATCAAAATATGATTTATAAGCATTTTTTCTAACATCGCATCAAAGCTCATTTTCTATTTTAAACATTGTATAAAAAGCAGGACTTATCAGCAAAATACACACAAGAAGAACAATAGGTCCAGACGATAAAAGAACTGTCATATGGGTTTTGAAACCTCCTATTGCTGATTTTTGGCAGTCTATTATATCATTAAATGAATTGTAGCAGTAGTCTAGTGCTATTCCATACCCATTCAATAGCAAAAAGTGAAAAGGATCTCAAGGACTTCCTAAAGAGCTGTCAATAAGTTTTGCTTCAAAATCTTTTCCCTACATAAAAAATACATTAGCTATAAACTCAGCAGCAGCATTCACCAAATTTGACTTTTTTGTATAAAACCCATTGTCTGAGTGTCATAAATCCATATTTGCATCATTTATAATGCTTTGGCCAGAGCAATGGTTTCAGTTTATTGCATTTGCTGTAATATTTGAGTAAAGTGCTTTAAAATCAGATAAACTGCCTATATATCTATTATTAATTTCTGGAACAAGAGCAAGTGATTCAGGAACTTGAGAAATTATAGCCCACAAAATCATTTGTGAAGATAAAGCAATTTGCTGAAAATATTTTCCAGTTTCTCCAATATGCAAAGGCAGATTTATATTACTTATCGCATTAATTGTAGAAAAAGCATAAACCAAGACAGCTATATTGAAAGATACAACAACTAAAGCCTAAATAAAAAATACACAAAAAACATAAGCCGCGTGCTGGACATTTACTGCTCTTGATGAAACTTTTTTTGCCCTGTCTCCCCCCCCCATTTAAATTGGAACAAAAAATTTTGTTCCAATTTAAAGGGGTGTTAAGAAAATTTTTTTATAAAAATTTTTTTATAAAAAAAAAAAAATCAAAAATTTATCGAATTAGATTAATAAATTTGTTTAATAAAATGCTATTTACTCTTTATCTTTTAAAACAAAGCAAGATATAACTAAATTTTCATTATTAGTTAATACGCCACTATTAATTGGTTTCAAAACTATTAACACAAAAATTATTATTTTTATTATTATTAATAAAAAAAAAAATTTTCGAAAATTTATAGGTCAAAATGCTAATTTTTGTTTAAATAAGATGCTATTTATACTCTATTCTTTAAAATAAAGCAAAAAATAAGTAAATTTTCAATTTTTGTAAAGAATTCGCATTGAATTTATATAAATAATAAAAACTAAAAAAATTTTTAAAAATTTTTTAAAAAAAAAAAATTCAAATTTTTTAAAAGTTTAGCAATTAAGGATAATAAATTTATTTAAATAAGATGCTCTTTATACTCTCTTCTTGAAATAAGAGCAAGATATAACTAAATTTTTAATTTTAGTTAAGAAGAAACATTTAAATTATATCAAAACTTTTTACATAAAATTTATGATTTTTATATATAAAATTTTTTAATATAAAATTAAATTTTGTTCCAATTTAAAGGGGGTTAATTTACCAAAAAAGTGGAAATTTTACCTGTATTTTGTTTCAATTTAAAGGGGAGGAGTGAGAAATTTATTTCGAGAATTGCTTGCAGAGAACTGAGATCTATTATCATCATTTTTATCAGTAATTTCATTATTTTCAAGGTCTTCATAGCTTTCTTCATATAAATTCATTTTTGAATCCAATAATTCTTCTGGTTGGTTTTCTTTTTGGGATGATGCATTTATTCTTTCAGAATATCATGTATCTGGGAGCTCTGCTGACAAAAAGTTAGGTTCTAATTGCAAATGCTTGGCGTTATTATAAGTATCAAGCTCTTCACTCCTCCAATTCTTAATTTCTTTGCTGTCATTTATTAGTATCACATATGGGAGTTTTAATTCAAACAATTCATAATATGATAGTACTAAATGCATTTCGTTAGAAATATATGGTAAACGATAAGCTGTAAAAGGCTTTAAATCAAATTCTTCTAACTCTAACCCCTTCGTGAGTGAACAAAACCATTAGAAAAAATTCCTATTTTTTGCCCTCCGTGAGCGAACAAAAATGTATTTAATAGAAAAATTTTTATAGGAAAAAATTTTGATATATAAGTGATAACTAATATCATGAAATCTGGAGCTAATTCTATTTAAATTTTAAACAAATTGCGCCTTAAAACATAAATTTAATATTAAATTAACATTTGCATTCCAATTTTCGAGAAGTCAGATTTTTCTAAAAAAATTTTCTTTAAAATTTATATATAAATTATTTTAAAAAAAAAATTAATCCCCCTCCATGAAAGAACAAGTTTTTTTTCTCTCTCTCAAGGAGGGAGTAAGCAAAAAAATAGGTTTTTTATGTTAGATCCTATCAAATTGTCATTTACTTTACCTGAAAATTTTTGAAAATTTGTTGAGTGGCAAATTATTTCGAAATCATCGGATATCAATGCAACTTGGCGCTCAATTTCTTTTTTCCTAAAAATCAATATGGACACAATAAAATTGTTTATTGTCGTCACTGATAATTTTCCTATACACTCTAATAAATTGTTAGGGAGATTTAAAAAAAAGCCTTGATTTAAGTCTATTTCTAATGATGAACTGAATTGAACGAAATGCTTGGCTTCAGCTATAATTCTTTCTATATAATAAGGGTGAAAAAAATTGAAAAAATTGTCACTGACAAAATTATTTAAGGGTCACTTAAAAATTTCTGCGGATTTATGATTTGCATATAAGATTTTTCCAAAGCTTTCTGATTCGTTTGAAATGATTAAAATTCCATTGTTGTCATTAAAGCAGCTAAAATTGTTAGGATCATTAAAAGAGCTTGAAAAAATTCTGCTAGCAGATTTTAGTTTTAATTCAATTGAGACTGATTTTTCTAGATCATAAGTGATATCTTTTAAATATGAAGCATAAAGAGACAAAGCTTCTTTAGAATTGGAATATTTTGTTGTTAAGCGGCTATATTCCTTGTTCAAAACTGTAATATCTTCATCTATGGAGTTCAATTTTGTTTTTAATTTTTTCATACTTGGCTTTAAGGAAGTAATCTCATTCAAAAAATTTAGCAAATTGATGCATAACTCTTTGTCTCTTTTTTTAATTAATTGAAATTCAGCAAAAAAGCTAGGAAAATTTAAGATATCGGATTCATGATTTGAAATATTTTTATTGCATAAATATTCTTGATAATCGCCTTCCAAAATTAAATTAGAAAAATGCTTAATTTTAGCAATCTTGACTTTGGCCAAAGATTTGCTATCTAATGTAAATAAACAATAATTTGCTTCTCATATAACTAGGAGCTTGCTGCAACTTCTCTCTTTATCTATAAAAAAATTTTCAAAAAATTGAATTATTTGCTCTTTATTTTCAGCATCATTTATAAGTAATGCGCTCCTCAAAGATCTTTCTAATTCATATTCAGAATTTATGTTCTGCATACCATTAGGGATATTTTTAAGAACTTTTTTTTCTGACTTGATTGTAAGCTGAATAAAGAAAATAGATAAAATAGGCCATAAAATGAGTGCAAACATAGAAATAGCTAATGAGTTATCCATTAATCGCCCCAAAATAAAAATAAAAGAAATAAAAGCTATAGTAAATAGCCGAAGAATAACTATTGAATTATAATAAAACGAAAAATATGGGCGGAATATCATTGCTTCTCTGATTAAAATCGCTGAAAAAATAATTGCTAATATTTGCAAATAGATAACAGAGTTTTCAGCAACTGCAACGTAAAAAATTGGTAAGAAATAGGTAAAAATAGCTATGTGCGTATCAATTTTCGAGTGTGCTTTAGCCGTTATTGTATTTTTATGCAAAGAATGTCGAATTTCTCCAGAAAGTTGTGTATAAAAAATCATTAAAACCAGCCCAAAAATCAGTAAAAATATTATCCCAGTTTGCAAAGCTAGGCTAATTTCATACTTGGCAGAATCGTTATTGCTTTGATATTCTGCAACTTTATCATGATGCAAAAAATTGTATTTGAGGAAGATTGTAAAAATCTCAATCGAAGGTACCAAAAATAGTGCTATATATAAGCTAAACAAATTACGGAAAAAGCTTAAAATAAGAGTAGGTATGCTATAAGAATAATAAATAGCGGCAATAAAAGTAATTACACTCAGAAAAACAGAACAGGTAAATAGAATAGATAAAATTAGGCATTCATTTATAATCCCTAATTCTGAGCAAATGTTGTCAAATTTTAAATAGCCTATGATTTCCCATAAAATCATATTTTTGTTTCAATTGGAAATTTTCATATCAGGAAGCCATAGTAAGCTTATTATTTGAAGGCATCAAACTATACCCCTTGCTGCCTCTATTACTTTTTCCCAAACAATAGAATTTTCTTCATTATTGATATTACTGTAAAGTTGGGAATAAAACTCAAAAATTGAATTTTTTTCTGATTTTCCGCTTGCGATTTTTCAAAAATCATCGCTTTTAGGAGGACTCTCCTTCTCTCCGTTCATAATTGATATATTAGCAAATAAAAAAATATGTGAAAAACATAAATACGAAAAAAATTATAATTAAACGCATGTTATTTAAATTGTTTTATGATTTTTATAAAGATGCTTTAAATGAAGAGCTTGAAGAATTATTTGAACATTAAAAGTATATTTTAATTTAATTTAAAATAATAATAGTTAATTAACTAATATAAAAACAATTATGGAAAGGATAAGATTAAGTTATAGAGGTAACGCAGTTTATTAGCTCTGGCTTGGGTTGCTCCCTGGGTTATAGATTAATAAACAAAATATTTAATATTTGAAAAAATTTGGTTTGTTAATTGATCGTATTTTACTTGCCCTTTTACATAGCCTCGATGAAGCTGCGAAATTATATTTTACAATATTAGTCTTCATTAAGCAAGAAATAAAGATTGTTTTCTATGCATAGTTTAATTAGAAGGTTAATGACTGCCTACCGAGCTACTTATCTTTTCGAATCTAGCCTTGCTATGTATAATGAAATCATATAAAAAATCAAATATTCAGGCTCGGCTGTCATAAAAAAGAATACTCTGGAAATGGTTTTTAATATAGATATTTTCAAATTTGGTATGATCATACATAAAAAACGAAGATTATAATGATTTTTGATTCCTGAAGTATATATCTAGCTTTAATACAAGCTCTTCAAGAATTAGACTCAATATGACATTTTTATTATTAAATTGATAATTTTATGTAATGCTTTATTTAAAAATAGGATGAAGTTTGCTCAGAATAGTTTAATTTTGAGCATTATTCAGAGTTTAATCTAATGCTGCGAATTTTGGATGGCTAATGATAGAAAATATTAGATCGCTTTTCTAATATTTCTTAGCTTTAATTAAACTTATCTTTAGTTTGCCACTTTTTTAAAAGGGTTGCACTATTTAGCTTTAATTGAACATATCTTTAGTTTACAATTATTTTCAAAATAGAAATGTAAATTCATTATTAGAAATAATGCCAATAAATCATGATTTTTATATTTATTTTTTGATTTGTTTAATTGAAAACAGTTTTACTTTGAAACCAGCTATTTAGTTTTATATAATATAATTCTTTTGTAATAAGTTTTCACTTTTAAGTATAATAAATCCTGAAAAATCAAATTTTGCTTTATCTTATATAAATTTACCTTAGAAACAACTGCAGCATAATACCCGAATTTAGGATTAGATAGTTAAATTTTAGGTGACGATTAAGTTTGGCTTTCATGTTTGGATAGGTCAACTTCTAATTTTTAAGAGATTTAAATAGACTCGTTCAATCAAAGATAGGTAATAGTTAGCGATAAGTCAAGCAACAGCTTGCCTTTTAAATACTAACTATCAATGATTTCATAAAATAAAAACTTCAAAATTAGGCTTAAAATCAATTTCAACCTACATCAATATAGCCACTTTATCAAATCTTAGATTTATCGACTTCTTAAAAACCATTTTTGTGATTAACATTTATTAAATTTTTTCTTATCAGGTGAGCCAAACTATTCCATAGCAAAATCTGCCAAATCTTTATAGCTTTTTTTAAAATAAAGATAGCTTATAAACAAATTTCCAAAATAATAATTAAATAATGCATAAATTTCCTCGTTTTAACATTAATTTATTGACCATTTATGACTCATCTTTTTGGTGAAGGAGAAGAAGCTTTGAGCTCAGAACATAAATTATGGAGAATAACAGAAAAAAAATCAATTAAAGATTCAATTTTCGAGCTTTTTCAGCTAATTAATTTTCAAGAAAATTCTGACTTAAGGCAGAAAATAAAAATAACAATTGAAAGCATTATTTGATGCCTTCAAATTTTAAGCTTGCTATGAGTCTCAGATCTTTCTATCAAAAATTGGAGTAAAAATATGGCAATTTGAGAAATCATCGGATACTTAAAATTTGACAACACTTGCTCAATGCTTGGGATAATCAATGAGTGCTTTTACCTGTCAATTCTATTAGCCTATGCTAATTTTATTAGTATGGCTATTTTAGTTATTGCTATTTATTATTCTTACCATCTACCAAAGGTACTTCTAAGCATATTTTCAGCGATCTTTTATTTTTGATTAAAATTTTTGCTTGTGCCCTCTATTCAAATATATTCCATTTTTCTGAAATATAGCTTTCTGCCCCGAAATGCAATATCAGAATACCAAAATCACAGTGAAATAGGAGAATTCATTAGGAGTTTCCCATTACAAATTTGCATTATTTTGGCAATAGTAATTACTTTTTTGTCATCTTTCATGCAGGTGGAATTTTCTGGAGAAATTAGACATTCTGTAAATAAAAATATAAGTGCAAAAGCACATTCAAAAATAGACAAGCACATAAAATTTTTTACTTTTATTTTCCCTATTGTTTATGTGATATTTGCTGAACATTATATTAGACATTTACAAATTTTAGCAATTATTTTTGCAATACTTTTGATAAGAGAAACTATAGATCTTCTGCCGTATTTTTCCATTTTTTGCAACTCTTTAATAATCCTTCAGCTATATTTTATTGGCTTTATTTCTTCAATATTCCTTTTAGGAGACCTTATGGATAATTCCATGGTGATAACTATGCTATCAGTAATTATAGGTCCGTTATCAGCTATTTTTGTAATTCAATTTTCCCTTAAACTTCAAAGAAACTTTTCTTGAACTATTCCTACAGACTTTATAAATATAGAATCTCAATATATTTTAGAAAAATCTCTTAGATATGCTCTATGCTCAAATGATGCAGAACATAAAGATCAAATAATCAGGGCTTTTGAAAATTTTTTTATACAAAAAGGTTTAAATGGGAATAAGCTTCAAGCTATATGAGCAGCGAATTACTGTTTATATACATTAAAAGAGGAATCCTTAGCCAAAATCAAGCTCAGCAAAACCAAACATATTGTAGACTGAAGCTTAGAGTCCAATTATCAAGAATATTTATGCCAAAAAAATATATCAAATACTTCCCTATCTGAAGGCTCGCAATTTTCTGATTATTTTCTTCAAAGCATTTTAGTTAAAAATGAAGAAAAACAATTATGCACAAATTTACTTATTTTTTGAAGTGAAATTACTTCACGTCAGCCTAATCTTCAAAAATTAAGAAGGAAACTTTATTCAATTGAAGATGAAATTTTATTTTTAAACACGAAATATAACCAGCTAATTACCGAATTCCCGAATTCTAAAAGTTTATTATCTCTTTACCATTCATATTGCAGAGATATTATTTATAATGCAGAAAAGTCATTTTTCCTTGAAGCTAAGCTAAGATCTATTGATAAAGATCTTACAAATTTTTTGGGCGATTCTAAAGAATTTAGCCTATTTAATGAAAATATTGGAATCCTTATAATTTCTAATGAGGATAGTAATTTTGGTGAAATACTATATGCAGAACAAAAATCAGCAGAATATTTAAAACTCCCTCTTGGCAGCATTAAAAATGACAATATTTCAAATTTTATTCATCCTTATTATAAAGAAAAATTCAAGGAAGACTCAAAACGGTTTATCCAGTATAGCTCATCATCAGAAATAGACTTAACTAAAGGATTTTTTTTAGCAAAAGATGCACAAGACTTATTGCAGCTCGAAGGGAAAATGCTACTTACCTCAATAAATGGCCAACTTGTCGCTATTCTGGTTTTTAAGCCAAAAAATGTTAAAAACGAAATAGCGCTATTAAATGAGGAAGGAGAAATCATTTGCCACTCAAATAATTTCCCAAAGTCTGTAGGAAAATCTGAAGGTTTAGTTGGATTTGAACTAAAAAATTTATTTTCTAATTCAGAAGATTTTAAATTACAGCTGAACACTCCCTACTATTTATCAAACCTAAACAGATTTTTAATGCTCTCATATTCAGAATTTTACAAATTCAAAATACCCTATGTGGTCTTGGCAAATGATAGCCGAGAAATTATAAAAAGGGGGAATAATGAAAACAAGCAAGGCAATAATGAAAAAATTGAGGAAGCAGCGAATTATTTGTCAGTGGACTTATCAGGATTTATAGACTCAGATAAAACTTATAGCTTACTAAATAAAGAAAACCAAAATTTAGATGACGATTTAAATTCAAAAATGGAATTGCAAAATTTTCCAAATGATGATCCTAGTAAAAATGCTGACTCAGGATCTGACAAGCGTGGCAGTGAAAATTCTATGGTATCGGTAGGCACTCATCAGAAGAAGGTTCTCTACTTATTCCTCCTAGAGTAGCTTTGCTCGCCAGACAAAATGTTTTTTTGTATTTTTGAAGAAAAAAAACACTATTAAAAAATAATAATAATAATTTTAAGATAAACTATATTTTCGAATAAAAAATTATTGAAAGAAATTTTCTCCAAAAATAATGATATTGCCAAGGGAGTTAATAAAATCTTCATCAAGGTCAATCAATATTCTCCACTTTGCTTTTGTTTTTTCGGTAATTTTTATATAGATTTTAACTGTTGTAGCTTTCAACATCATAGTTTTAAACCATGCTTTTTCCAATATAAATTTTATCAGCGACATGAGCCTTCCTATTAACATAGGAAAAGCAGCGAAAAATTTGCAGAGAATTACATATGTTTCTAATTTATTTGTAAATCTGCCATACACTCCTGATAGCCCATATTTAAAGCAAATGCTTAATGATATTGTGACTTGTTTAACAGAATTAGAGAATACCTATTCAGACATAACCACAAATTTAAAAAAATGAAATTATTGCTCAGGTCAAGACATTTTAACTGGCAAAAATTTATATTTGTGAAATAAAGATGATGGGATTTATAAAAAATCAAGTTTAATCGACACAATAGGGATTTTTATTAAAATTGTATATTTTATGCAGGGAAACCAAATATTAAACAAAATAACCAGATCAGAGATTACAACTATAGACGATTTTTCGTTTTTGATATTAAATGGGTATGGGGGAGCTCTTCACTATAGCAATAGTTCGTTTTATGATATTATAGACTGCCAAAAAGCCATGATGGGCGACTTCAAAATTGAAATGACAATTTTTTTGAGTTTAGGAGTAGCCGTGCTCTGTATCTGTATAATTATGATAATTCCCTTTTATTTTTCGATCCTTAAAATTGAAAATACCCTTTGAAACAATATAAGGAAAAAAGCCTATCAGAGATACTTTGAACTTAAGCAAACAATTTTTGAGAGGCTAAGAGATGTTCACTCTCAGCCAACTATTGAGCTTAATGACCGGCATCAATCTGACAAGGCATTTTCTTTTAAAAGCTACTGAAATTATATAATTTATTGAATTAAATTCTGATAAAAAATAAAATCCGATACTCAATATAGAAAAAATTCTTTAAAATATTTTTTTTTTTAAATCAGTGTGACAGTTTATATATATGAAGAGTTTTAATATACATGGCCGCTGTTTTTATATTTTCAATTGTAAATATTAGCTATCTTTATGATAAATGTGCAGATTATCTGTTATATAGGCCTGAAGTATTGAAAAACTTAATAAATTTACAAATTGTATATACAAGCTTGGGCATATGGACAAATGCGGCTGCATATGAGGTTTTAGGATGGCCCATGTGGTACCAATTTCCATATTCTTATCCTTTTGAAAATAGTAAAGAAATATTTAATGAAATTATTTCAAAAATTATCTATTCAAACTCCGCCATCCACAAAAAAGAATATTCTCCTATTTTGTCTCATACCTTTAAGCACATTTTTTATGAAAGTAATCAGGGCTTTTTTACAGATATTTTCAATTTGGGGGTATATACATCAAAGTCAAATATAATAAATGAAGCAAATTTGATCTCTAATAATTTGGCTCCACAAGATGTGTGGTGGAATTTAATGTCCTCTCTTCAAGAATTAGACAGCAAATATAATTCCTATATTGATGAAATTGATAAGCACTCAAAGAAAGTAATTAATGACCAAATGCAAATTATCGTGATCGCTTTGACTGTTTTTATTATCTTTACTTTGATTTTATATTTTGGGTTTTATTTGGTATTTTTTTGGGGTGAAAAAAAATATTTGAAGAAAATAAATTCAGTGATGGAGATTATGCCCTAGAAATTTGGATAAATTTACTATACTCTAAATTAAGTATAAACTAATAGATTTACTTTATAAGTATCATAAAAATACTGAAATAAAATTATGCTTTAAACAATCTAAATCTCTTTAATGTAATAAATGAATTCATTTTAATATGGAAAAAGTTATCGTCGATCTTATTAAAGAAACATAATACAGATTTATGATAAAAGAAGGATTAAAAGCAAATAATAGAAAAAGTTAAAACCTCAATTGTGAAAAGCTTTAGATTTAATTTTTTATGTATGGGAAATCCAATAAGAAAATATTAATTTTTTGGCTTTAACTGAGACACTCTTGTATCATTCAGAATCAAGCATGATTCCTGTTTTAGACAGATATTGCTATTCATTTTATTCAAAAAAATATCAGATTTAAGTGTTGCTTTTAATTAATATATAACATTGTTTATAATTTCATTTATGTCGAAAGATTAAAACTGCCATAAATTAAGCATTACTGCTGATCAAATATAATATCATTCAGCCCTCGTTTAGCCTACTCCCTAGAATCAAAGCCTCATATCCGCTGCATAATTATCCTGATTGACCAAGAAACTTTCTCTTTGTCCCTGTTGATTAGCCCTTTACAAGTTCGTCTCCTATTTACCCGTATAAAAAAACCCTTTCAATAGGATTAGGACTGTGGCTGATCAGCTTAGCCGCTGCTCCATCTGTGACTTAAAAACCTTGCCAATGTAAACATTGGTTACCTCCGCTATTTCTCAATGTCCCTGCTCTAGTAGAACTCATCTACAGGAATTAAGAACTTGAATCCTTATGCCATGATATGACCAATTTAATAGAAGCTTTAAGAAACTAATAAAATCTAGCAATATTATTGATGAAATTGATAAATATACACAAAATTAATTGAATATCAGCGGGTACTATTATGGGAATTACATTTATTGTTTATAATTACTTTATACTTCATATTTTTATTATTTAAGAAAAACATTCAAAGACTTATGAGCATATCCCAAAAATATAAATTTAATAGTATGCATATAAAATGAATATGTTATAATCTTACTCTTTAGAGTATCTTTTCAAAAAGTATCAAAGTTGTTGATTTTATTGAGTTCTTGCAATTGAAATTAATATGAAATGATACTTTCCTATTTAACTTAATAATTAAATAATATATACATTAATTAATAAAATTAAACCTTTCCATTTCGGTTTAATTTTATTATCTTATCATTTATGGCCTTAATAATGTATTAATCATGCCTAAAACTTTCTAAATAATAAACTATGATGGCTATCAATGATAAGTTTTAATGATATTTATGATTTTAAAAAATTTATAAATTAAAATCAATCATGACAGAAATCCGATCTGAAACTGGTAAATTTCTTAATGCTACACAAAAATTTTGAAATACAACAGAAAAAAAATCCCTCAAGCACTCTATTTTTGAACTTCATCGACAACTTTATTCTGACGGGAACCAAGAAGAGACGACCATTATAAGGCAAAAATTTAAAAGAGCATTTGAAGGGGTTATCTGATGCTTTCAAATCATAAGTTTACTGTGGGTTCCTGACCTCTCAATAAAAAATTGACACAAAAATATGATTTTTTGGGAAATCATAGGTTACTTAAAATTTGACAATACTTGCTCGTCATTAGGGATAATAAATGAATGCCTTTATTTATCAATTTTGATCACTTATGCAAGCCTATTTTGTATGTCTGTCTTTTTAGTTGCTATTTATTCCTCTTATTCTTTGCCAAAATCTGCCCTCGGAATTTTTAAAGAAATTTTCTATTTGTGATCGAATTTGTTTTTAATACCAGCAGGATGATTTTTAAAGATTAATGTATGTAAAATCTAAGGTAGACTACAGAAAAGGCTTGCTCAGCTGCGGAATTTACCAATCTGCTCATGCTTTTAGTTAGTTTTGGTGCTGCCTCAGTGCTTTGATGCATAGTTTAGGGACTTGAATATCTGGAATTCCGAGAAATAAACTCCATAGTATAACCGGCGCTGAATATGCCTTTATAGTCTGCGCCGTTCTTCCATGAGTAAAAACCTTTTTTTTTTCCAAATGTTCATTAGGAAGAAATTATGTCTTCATAACTGAAGGAGGCAAAATCAGCTGGAGCGCAACTTCCCAGTACTCTTAGTCTAGCAAAGGATTGGTTTTGATTCAGGCTGCAAACTCTAGCAAGCCCAGGAGAGATTACTGGTATCACCATTTTATTTTTGCTTTTAATTTCAGCAATTGAAATATTTTCCATATTTCTCAAATATAGCTTTTTTCCTCAAAATATTGTCTCAGAATATGAAAATAATAATGATTTAGGAGAATTTGAAATAAGCTCTGCATTGCAAGTTGCCATTATTTTTGCACTGCTAATTACCCTGTTTTTAATTTTTGTTCAGACAGTTTTTTCAGGAGAAATTCGACATTTTATGACTAAAAAATCAATAAATGCGAAAGCACACTCAAAAATTGATGTTCATATCATTTTTTTTACCTTTTTTTTTCCGATGACTTATACGGTGCTTGCAAGAAATTCCATTATTTATTTACAAATCCTAACAATAATTTTGGCAGTGTTTTTGATTAAAGAAACAATTATATTTTTACCTTATTATTCAATTTATTGCAACACTGCTATAATTCTGAGATTTTATTTTATTGCTTTTATTTCTTCTCTTTTTATTTTAGGGAATTTTATGGATAATTCGTTAGTTGTTTGTATACTAACAATTATTTTGGGCCCAATATCTACTTATTTTGCTATTCAATTTTCTCTAAAAGCGCAAAATAAATTTTCTAAAAGCATTCCAAAAAATTTAGTAGGAATAAATTCACAATACAACTTAGAATGATCTCTAAGACTTGCATTATGCTCAAATGATATAGAGAATAAAGACCAAATAGTCCATCTATTTGAAAATTTTTTTAGAGAAAAAGGTTTGAATGGAAATAAGCTTCAAGCTATATGAGTAGCCAACTACTGCTTATTTACTCTAAAAGATGAATCCTTGGCTAAAATCAAGCTAAGTAAAATAAAATATATCTCAAAATGGTCTCTTGAAGCTGCATACCAAGAATATATATGCAGCACAAATATTTCCAATGCCAACTTATCTGAAGGATCACAATATTCTAATTATTTTCTGCAATTCAATATAATTAAAAAAAAAGATGAAATTTTATGCTCAAATTTACTAAATTTTTGGAGTGAAATTGCCTCAGGAAAGCCAAATCTGCATAAACTACAAAAAAATCTCAACTTGATAGATGAAGAAATTCTATTCTTAAATAAAGAATACAGCAATTTAAATACGAAATTCCCCAATTCGAGAGAATTCTTAGCTCTTTATTCTTCATTTATTAAGGATATCACCTATGACTCGGAAAAATCGATTTTACTTGAAATGAAATTAAGATCCCTCGACAGAACTCATGGAAATTTCATTAGTGATTCTAAAAATTTTAGCTTTTTTAATGACAGTAATGGAATTTTGATAATTTCGAATGAACTCGAAAATTTTGGTGATATTCTTTATGCTAACCAAAAATCTGCAGAATATTTTAGGCTCCCGATTAGCAGCCTTATCAGTGACAACATTTTAAGCTTCATTCATCCTTATTATAAAGAAAAATTCAAAGCTGAAGCCAAAAGATTTGTTCAATTTACTTCGTCATCTGAAATAATTTTAAGCCAAGGATTCATTTTAATAACACAAAATAATATACTAGAATGTGTAGGGAAAGTCTCAGTAACCACAGTGAACGATCTCGTTGTAGCTATATTTGTATTTAAACCCAAAGTCAAAAATTATGAGGTCGCTTTGATATCAGAGGAAGGAGAAATAATTTGCCACTCGGATAATTTTCCTAGAATTGCCAGAAAAAATGAAAATTTGGTAGGATGGAACTTGAAGACCTTATTTTTTAGCTCAGAAGACTTTGAGCTGCAGCCAAGTACCCCTTACTATTTGTCTCATTTCAAAACTGAAACTTTTCTAATTCTTTCACACTCAGAATTTTACAAAATGAAAATGCCCTATATAGCACTAATAAATAGTCATGAAGAACTTTTAAATTGGAACAACGAAAATCCACAGGGGAATAAAGAAATAGCACAAATAACTAGGAGCCAATTATCAATAAATATATTAGGGTCTTTATGCTCTGATAAAAATTTTGGCTCAATTGATAAAGAAAGCAGTCATTCAGAAGAAGATTTAGACTCCAAAATAATGCTCTATAGATTTTCTGACAAAAACGCTGAAGGCTCAGATAAGCGTGATGAGGATGCAAAATCTCAGGTTTCAGCAAGCACTTCTCAAGCCAGATTCCTCAATATGATAAAATCCTCATCAAGGTCCATCAATGTGTTGCATATAGCCTTTGTTTTTTCAGTAGTTTTTATATAGATTTTGACTGTCTTGGCTGTCAATATTACAGTTTTAATTTACGCATTTTACAATATAAATTTTATAAGCGACATGAATCTTCCTATAAGTATCGGGAAAACAGGGAAAAATTTACAGAAAATCGCATATCTCTCGAGGATGCTTTTTTCACTTCCAAACCTACCGTGAGAAGATCCATTATATATAGATATGGCCAAGGAATATATCATTATTTTATCGAATTTAGAAAATTTATACTTAAATGTTACCTCAAATCTAAATAATTGGGATTCTTGCTCAGGCCAAAGCATTTTGACTGATGAAGTGGTAAATTTATGGAATGTTGATGAAAATGAAATTTATAAAAAAAAAACTACGCTAATAAGCACAATAGCAAAATTTATTAAAGTTGTAAAAAATATATAGGGAAACGGCCTAGCCCAAAAATTTTATACCAATGAGACTGCGACTAGTACAGATATTTCGTTTTTGCTATTAAATGGGTATGACGAAGCGCTTCACTATTGCAATAGTTCACTGTATGATATTATAGACTGCCAAAAATCTATGATGAGCGACTTTAAAGTTAAAATGACAATTCTTTTACTGCTAGGAATAGTTTTTTTATTGGCATGCATTTTAATAATAATCCCATTTTACTACTCAATTTTTAAGATCGAGAACAATCTTTGAAATAATATAAGAAAAAAAGCTTATAATCACTATTTTGAGCTGAGGCAAACAGTTATGGAAAGGCTTAAATGCGTCCACTCTCAGCCAGAACTAGCTTTAAGCGATCAGCGTCTCTCTATGAAGCCATTTCGTTTTAAAAATTACTGAAAATATATATGGAGAACACTGGTATACCTGGCATTTGCTTTATTATTTTCAATTATAAACATTTCTTATCTTTATGAAAAATGCACAGAATATTTGCTATTTCGGCCTGAAGTGTTGAAAAATCTAATAAATTTGCAAATTTTATATACAAGTTTGAGTATATCAACAACGGAAGTAATTTTGGAAAGCATAGGTATCCCTTTAATATATGAATTTCCTTCTACTTATCCTTTTTGCAATCTCAAAAATGATTTCTTAGAAATCATATCAAAATTAGGATACTCAAACTCAATAATAAGAGAAGATAAGTATGCAGCAATTTTATCTAAAGATTTTAAAGAAACTCTGTATGTAGAGGGCAAGCAGCATGACTCAAATTATTTTGCATTTGGGGTTTACTCAGCAGAGCTAAACATAGTAGTTGAAGCTTCCCTAGTAGTCAGCTCATCTGAGAATCCTGAAATATGACTAAATTTAATGTCTTCTATTCAAGAACTGGACTCAAATTATGATACTTTTATAGACGAAATAGATGCTTACTCACAAAGCGTAATTAATGACCAAATGAGCATCATTGTAGCCACACTCATTATTTTTATTATTTTTTCTTTTGCTTTATATTTCGGGTTTTATTTGGTGTTTTTCAGAAGCGAAAAGAAGTATCTGCAGAAAATAAATTCTGTCATGGAAATAATGCCATAATAATTAATTTTGGGTTAATATACTGTATATAAGCAATAAGAAATAGCATCAATTATGACCATCTCATTCAGTTTTTACTTAAGCTAATCTATTAGCTTGAAAAAGTAAACTCGAACTCTTGAGATATTTTGTTTAATTAAGTTTTTTATTTTTTAACTAATTACATGAGATAATAAAATCAAGGCCAAATTAACACATTTTCAGTGGATGAAGTAAAATATATGATTAATATGAAACAGAAGCTCTATAGTTTATCATATATTTGCTTCGTGTATTATTTAATCAAAAGAAAATTAATAAATCCATAGCATAAATATAATCATTATGAAAGAATTAGAGGATCAAGCTGGCACAATTTTTGGTTTCACACAAAAGTGAAATAAAACTCAAAATAATATCAAGATCTCTGTTTTTGAGCTTTATCGGCGGCTTTACTATGATGAAAACTTAGAGGTAGAAGATTTTATATTACAAAAAGCTAAAACAGCACTTGAAGGGATTATTTGATGCTTTCAAACTATAAGCTTATTATGAATCCCACATCTTTCAATTAAAAATTGACACAAAAATATGATAATATGAGAAATAATTGGCTATTTAAAATTTGACAATGCCTGCTCATCCTTAGGGATAATAAATGAATGTCTTTACTTATCTGCTTTGGCAGTTTATTTTCATTTTTTTTGTATTATTCCTTTTGTCATTATTATTTATTATTCTTATCCTTTACCAAAATATATTTTAGGTACTTTTAAACAGATTTTTTACTTATGATCAACGTTTTTTCTAATCCCCTCAATTGAAATATTTTCCATCTTTCTCAAATATAATTTTTTACCTCAAAATAGTGTCTCAGAATATGAAAATCATAATGATTTTAAAGAATTCGAAATAAGCCCTCTATTGCAATTTGGAGTTAGTGTTGCACTGGTCATTTCCCTATTTTTAATTTTTTTTCAGACAGAGTTTTCAGGAGAAATTCGGCACTTTGTTTCTAAAAAAGCTATAAATGCTAAAGCTCACTCAAAAATTGATATTCATGTCACACTTTTTACATATTTTTTTCCAATTGCTTATTCTGTGCTTGCTGAAAACGACATTATATATTTACAAATTTTAGCTATCATTTTTGCAGCGTTCTTGATAAAGGAAATTACTATGTTTTTACCTTATTTTTCAGTTTATTATCATTCTATTATAATTCTGAGATTATACCTTATAGGTTTTATTTCTTCTATTTTTCTTCTAGGAAGTTTAATGGATAATTCATTAGCTATTTCAATTTTGGTAATTATTTTAGGTCCATTATCAGTTTTATTTATTGTTCAATTTTCTGTAGCATTGCAAAAACAAATAAATAAATGTATTCCTGAAAATTTGGCAGAAATAAATTCACAATACGATTTAGAAAAATCTCTAACTCCCCAGTCTGTGAGCAACCAACAAAAAAATTACCTCACAGATGAAATTAATTTATAAACTTTTTAGTAATTTGTTTTTTAAAATTTAAAAATTCTAACTCGCAAAAATTAATTTAATTTGTAAAATTTGTTTTAGAATAAAACTGTTAGAATTAATTAGAGATTTCGTTATAATAATGATCACTTTTATATAAAAAATTTTTTGTTCTCTCATGAAGAGTGGGCTTTAAATTTTTCTCTCATGTGTTGTTCGCACACAGAGGGAAGCAAGTAAGGTATGCGTTATGCTCAAACGATACTGAAAACAAAAATCAAATCATCAGTACCTTTGAAATTTTTTTTATAGAAAAAGGGGTTAACAGGAGCAAGCTTCAAGTTATATGAGCAGCTAACTACTGTTTATTTACTCTAAAAGAAGCATCTTTAGCAAAAATCAAGCTCAGCAAAATAAAACAAATTTCAGATTGGTCTCTTGAAGCTGCATACCAAGAATATATATGTAAAACAAATATTTCCAATGCCAATTTATCTGAAGGATCACAATATTCTAATTATTTTCTGCAATTCAATATAATTAAAAAAACAGATGAAATTTTATGTACAAATTTACTGAATTTTTGGAGTGAAATTGCCTCATCAATACCGAATCTGCATAAACTACAAAAGAATCTCAACTTGATAGATGATTTTTTTTTTAGATTAATTAGTTTTAGCGGGTCACGGAGGTTTATTTCAGCCTCTACCCAGCGCTGCCAGCTTCAGGCTTGCGCCCTAAGCACCGGCTCTGTTGCTCACTCCATTTTCTGTCGACGTCACCAAAAAATGGTGACGTCGTCATCTGACAGGGAGACTCACCCAGGTACTCCTTTGATAGGGTCTAGTGACCCGGCGCCGTCCTTTCTGGGGAGGGGAAAAGTAGCCTTCCGGAGTCTTCTTCAGGTCCCCAAGCTCCACTACAAGCTTCCTCACTTCCTTCTAGTCCTGAAGTGTGACTCCTGATTCTGCGGCTCTGGTCTTCTCGTCTTTGTGAGAGGCAAAAAAAAACCTTGTCGTGGTGTCCCGACGAAGGTAAAAAAAAAAAAACCCCCACCCTGGACACAATATCCAGGCCCCGTTTACTTCTTAACCCCGTAGTCCCTGAGGGTACAGGAGAAGGACGGGTCGGATGGCTCGCCATTTTAATTGTGTGTTCTTGATAGATGAAGAAATTTTATTCTTAAATAAAGAATACAGCAATTTAAATTTGAAATTCCCCAATTCGAGAGAATCCTTAGCTCTTTATTATTCATTTATTAAGGATATCACCTATGACTCGGAAAAATCGATTTTACTTGAGATGAAATTAAGAGCCCTAGACAGAACTCTTGGAAATTTCATTAGTGATTCTAAAAATTTTAGCTTTTTTAATGACAGTAATGGAATTTTGATAATTTCGAATGAACTCCAAAATTTTGGTGATATTCTTTATGCCAACCAAAAATCTGCAGAATATTTTAGGCTCCCAATTGGCAGCCTTATCAGTGACAACATTTTAAACTTCATTCACCCCTATTATAAAGAAAAATTCAAGGCTGAAGCCAAAAGATTTGTTCAATTTACTTCCTCATCTGAAATAGATTTAAGCCAAGGATTCATTTTAATAACACAAAATGATTTATTAGAATGTGTAGGGAAAGTCTCACTCCCCCCTTGTGAGAGAACAAAACCATTAGAAAAATCCCTATTTTTGTCTAAAACCCACCCTCTGCGAGCGAACAAAATTTTTTTTAATAGAAAATTTTTTTATAGAAAAAAAATTTGATTCTGTTTAATCTTAAACAAATTATGTTTTAAAACATAAATTTTTTACAATTTCAATTAATATTTGCTTTCCAATTTTTACGAATTGGGATTTTTTTAAATTTTCGAGAAATATTTTTCGAAAAAATCTATATATAAATTTTTTTAAAAAAAAATTACTCCCCTTCGCAGCGAACAAAGTTATTTTTGTTCGCTCACGGAGTGGGAGAAGTCAGTAACTACCGTGAACGATCTAGTTGTAGCTATATTTGTATTTAAACCCAAAGTCAAAAATTACGAGGTTGCTTTGATATCAGAGGAAGGAGAAATAATTTGCCACTCGGATAATTTTCATAGAATAGCTAAAAAATCTGAAAACTTGGTAGGATGGAACTTAAAAACCTTATTTTTTAACTCAGAAGACTTTAAGCTGCAGCCAAATATCCCTTACCATTTATCAAACTTCAAGACTGAAACTTTTTTAATTCTTTCGCACTCAGAATTTTACAAAATGAAAATGCCCTATGTAGCTCTCATAAACGACAAAGAAGAGCTTTTAAAATGAAATAATGAAAATTCAGTCGAAATAGGGAAAACCCAAGTAACGAATCAATTATCAATAAATTTTTTACTCCCACTGAACACAACAATTAAAAACGATTTTTATTTTTAGAAAAAAATAGTTTATAAGAAGGAGCAGTTAGGATCTTTATGCACTGATAAAACTTTTAGTTCAACTTATAGAGAAAGCCCCCGCTTTGGAGAATGCTTAGACTCTGAAATTATGCTTTTTCCAGAAAAAAATGCTAAAGAATTGTCAGAAAAACGTGATAATGATTCAAAATCTCAGCTATCAGCATGCTCTTCTCATAGGAGATTTCTCAATATGATAAAATCCTCATCTAAGGCCATCAATATTTTACATTTAGCATTTGCCTTTTCAGTAATTTTTACACAGATGCTTGTAGTTTTGGCTGTCAACATTACAGTCTTAATTTATGCTTTTTACGACATAAATTTAATCAGTGACATGAGTCTTCCTATAAGCATAGGAAAATCTGGAAAAGATTTTCAGAGAATCGGCTATCTATCAAGAATGATATATGTAGCCACTGTCATTAAGTCTAATGATCCAGCAACTGCATTAACGTTTCAGGAATATAAAGAAAAATTAGCGGATTTAGAAAATATTTATTGAAATGTTACTATGAATCTTAAAATCAGAAATTCTTGCTTAGGCCAAAGCATTTTGACTGATGAAGCTGTAAATTTATGGAGAATCGATGAAAATGGAGTTTATAAGAAAAAATCAACCTTGATAGATACAATTGCAGCATTTATCAAAATTGTAAAATTTATTTAGGGAAAGAGTTTCTTAAGCGAATTAAATAATACTGGCAATGGACTGAATGATATGTCGTTTTTATTATTAAATGGGTATGGAGAATCGATTCGATATTGCAATAATTCACTTTATGATATTATAGACTACCAAAAATCTATGATGAGCAGCTTTAAAACTGACATGATAATTCTTTTATTATTAGGAATTGCGCTCCTGATTATATGCATTTTAATAATGATTCCATTTTATTACACAATCATTAAGATAGAAAACAATCTTTGGAATACAATAAGAAAAAATGCCTATAGTCACTATTTTGAGCTAAAGCAAATAATTATGGAAAGACTTAAATATGCTCATTTTCAGGCAGACGTAACACTAAATGAGCCTCATCTTTCTATGAAGCCATATACTTTTAAAAGCTATTGAAAGTATGCATGAAGAACTCTTATATTTTTGGCCTTTTCTTTATTATTTTCAATAATAAACATCACCTATCTTTACGAAAAATGTGCTGACTATTTATTGGCTAGACCAGAAGTTTTAAAGACTTTAATAAATATACAAGTTTTATATACAAGCTTGAATATATGAACAACTGAGATTAGCATGACAAAATTTGGATTACCGATTCTAGATCAATTATCGTCTATGTTTCCTTTCAGTGATAACGAAAATGAATTTTTAGAAATCGTATCAAAATTAGATTACTCAAATTCGGCAATAAGGAAAAACGAGTGTGCAGACGTTTTATCAGAAAATATTAAAGCTGCTCTTTATGAATATGATAAACAGTATAGTGCAGATTATTTAGCATATGGAATATACTCTTCAAAGTTAAGTATAATGGCCGATGCATATTCTCTTTCTTTTTATTATCCAGATTATTTTATGTGAAGAAAGTGAATTGCGGCTCTCCAAGAATTAGATTACAATTTTGATAGTTTTATTGATGAGACTGATAAGTATTCACAAAGCGTTATAGATAACCAAATGAAAATTATCGTAGCAGTGCTCATCGCTTTTATTCTTTTTTCTTTTGCTTTATATTTAGGGCTTTATTTGGTGTTTTTCAGAAGAGAAAAGAAATATTTTCAGAAAATAAATGCTGTGATGAAAATTATGCCGTAATAATTAAATTTTAGTGTTAATAGATAAAAAATATTGAGTTTAGCGAAGAAAATCCTTTCAGAATTTTAAGCCATAAACAAATTTTTAATATTTTGTGTTCTAACACCACAGAGATGGCACATTAACTCATCATATATGAAGAATCCTTATATATTTTGCATTTTTTTCCTTTATTATTTTGTTTATCGTTACGAAAAATGTTTAGACTACCTATCAGCCAGACCAAAAATTTTAAAGTCTTTGATAATTCTCATAATAAAAAAATGCAATAAATTATTTAATATTCTATGCTTAATTGAAGCTTCAGAAATTATTGGAAAATATGCAAAAAGTTTTTTACTAATAATGAAAAGCTTTAAATATTTCATTAAACTACTTGCCAACTTACAACATTAGAATGGTTAATAAATTTCTTACATTTTTATAAAATCTGAGATGCTGCGAATATAAATTTTTTAATTAAAAAAATCTAAAATATTATTTCTGAATCTGTTGCGAGATATTATTAAATTTAAATGATAAAAATTCTATTTTATAATTATTTTAAAAGATTCTTAGTTTTAGATTTTTTTACAAATTAATTATGTGAAATATATGGCTCAAATATTACTCAACATTATAATTAACTTAAATTATTCTCTATCAGATTTTTGATATATTGGCACTTACCTTTTGTTAGTCTCCCAAAGCATTTTTCTTATAATTATTTATTAGAGGCATGTCAACCTTACTCAATATAAATTTTGAAGAAGAAGCTGATGAGGACACAAGTCAGCTGAAAAGGATTAATAGAATAAGAGGGAAAAAATCTTTAATCAATTCTATTTTTGAATTTTATAGAGCCAGCTATTACAAAAAAAATCCCAAAGAAAGAGCTTTATTTAACCAAAAAGTGCAAGTCATTTTTACAAATCTCATTTGATGTATTCAGATTTCAAGCTTGCTATGGATTCCTGATTTACAAATAACTGGATGAAAAGACATTATGACTGTTTGGGAATATTTAGGCTATCTTCGCCTTGATACCATATGCGCAGCTTCAAATGTGGTCAATTTCTGCATCTATGCTTCTCTTGGAATAATTTTGTTCAATTTCACGGGAATTTTATTCCTCGCCAGCCTGATTTACCATTCTGTCCGAATTCCAAGAATTTTCTATAGGACTTTTAGACGAACTTTATATATTGGGTCTCATTTTTCTTTAATCCCAAATGTAGCATTGCTAACTCTTTGCCTCAAGTATAGCTTTTTTCCTAAAGACTATGCATTAGAATACCCAGAGGGAAATAATGGCTCTGACTTTAAAGTTAATGTAGGATTATTAGTGGCAATCATTATTTTATTGATCATTTATTTTTTTATTTTGCTATTGAATGCTGTATTTTCTGGCGATATTCGACATTCTATGGCTAAACAAATATTAGAAGCGAGAGCTCATTCAAGAGTTGAGTTTCATTTAGCTTTTTTTACTTATTTATCACCAATTTTGCATGCTTTCTTAGCAGTGTATAATATTGTGTATTTTCAAATACTTATTATGATATTTTCTGGAATTTTGATGGCTGAAGTCATGATTTATTTGCCTTATTTTTCAACTTTTGTGAATTGCATTATGGCATTGAGATTTTTTATTGTTATGATGATGGCTTTTATATTCGTGTTTGCTAGGATTATAGATAAAGCTTTTGTTATTACTCTATTTGCTGCTATTATTTTGCCAATATTATGTCTAATCCTTATACAAATCATTATCATCTTGCAAAGAAAAATTAAAAATGAGATACCAGCAAGCATAAAACTTGGCACAGACATTTACGGATTTGAGCATTTATTACGTTATGCCCTCTGTCTTAATAATTCAATTCACTCTGACCAAATATTGCAAATATTTGCTGATTGCTTTCTTAATTCAAAGCTATACTCATATAAATTGACTACAATCTGGGAAACAAATTATTGCATTTTTACACTAAATAATGATGTTTTAGCAAAAATAAAATTAAGTAAAGGAAGAGAATCTGATATTACTTTAGAAGGAATCTATCAAGAATATTCTTGCAAAAAAATTTTATCTGATTATGACTCAAATGAAAGCACTGAATTTTTGAAATATTTTAATAAGATCCAAGATATAAGAATTGAAGACGAGATTGTTTGTAATGATTTATTGGATTTTTGAAAAGAGCTAGTGTCTTTTAAGCCTGAATTGCAAAAACTGAATAAAATGTTGATTTCAATATCTGATTCAATTTTTTATTTGAATAAAGAATATACCAATTTAGTGGTAAAGTTTCCAAAAAGCAAAGAGGCTTATTTAATGTACTCTTCATATGTTAGAAATATTTTATCTGATGTCGAAAAGGCAAATTATTTAGAAAGCAGAATGAGATCTATAGGTAAAATAGCCACCAATTCCTTCAGAGATAATAAAAATATTAGCTATTTTGATGAAAGTAATGGGTTAATTATAATTTCAGGCGAAAATAAGGATTTCGGAAAAATTACATATGCAAATTCAAAAGCTGCAGAAATTTTGAAATATCCTCTTCAAGGAATAATAGAGAACAGTATTGATTTTTTTATGCCAAAGCCATACAGTATCTATTTCAAAGACATATATACAAATATCCAGCCAATTTCTGACACAGAATTAGATCTACCACCCACTATTTTTTTAAAATTGCCCAATCACAGCATTATTCAATGTAGTGGAAGAATTTCAGTGACTTCAATACAAAATTCAATTATTTTGGTATTTGCTTTTAAAGAAAAAGAATCCAAGCATCAAATCGCGTTAGTTTCTGAAGAAGGCGAAATATATGATTATACAGAAAAATTCGTAGAAAATTCAGGAAAAACGGCCAAAAATTTAAGAGGACACTCTCTTAAAAAATTATTTCCTTCCTTGACAAGCAAAAATTTAGTTCCTTTTGAGCCTTATAAGCTTTATAGCACGAAGGAAACTTATTTAATTCTGTGCAATTCAACATTTTTAGGCTTAAGTATTAATTATATTGTGTTGCTGAACGATTATTTAGAAATAGAAAGTTGAAAACATGGAGATGCAGAAGAGGCCAAATTTGGAAAAAATATCAGGTTCAGTTCGGCCTCTAATATATCTCTTAAATATGCAAGCTCAATTCTTCCAGGAGATGAAGCTGAGAAAAGCACAAGAACAGCCAGAGAAATGAAGACTGTTGGTTTTGACTCAAAGCCTGATGTTTCTCAAGCCAGCATTGAAGATACCATAGCATTAACAGAAATTTGTGAAAAATTAGAAAATTTAGAAAAAAATGAAAAAATTGTGGAGTCAGAAAAAATGTCACAAAAATCCGGAGAACTTGCTAAAATACACTGGAAAATCAATAATTGCTAATCGGTAAAAAAAGAATTTGCCTAGTTTCAACCAATTGATTAGCAATTATTTGATTTTTCTAGTGCGTTTTAGCAAGATCCCCCAAAAATCCGATAATCTGTCACAGTCTCATGTACTGGAAAATATTGTTATTTCAACATCAAAATCTATCAATATTTTTCATTGTGTTTTTATTATATCAGTAATTACTACATAGATAATTGTCGTTTTAGCTACAAATTCAGCGGTTCTATTTTATACTTCCTCTAACTCCCCCCATCCTTGATCGAACGACTCGCCATCGTTCGATCAAGGATGGGGGTTAAAAAAAATTTTTTGGGAAAAAAAATTATATATATAAAATAAAAAATATATATATATATTTTTTTTATTTACTTTTAAATAAGAGGGTTAAGAGTATTTAATAATTATTTTTACAGCAAAAAATTGAATTAATTTTCTAAAAATACCAATTTTTAATATTTTGATTTATTAGTTACCCCTTTAAACTGTATAAATTTTAATTTGTTCCTTATTAAATTTAATTTTTTTTTTTAAAATTTTCTATTTTTTAGATTATTGAGTTTCTAAGCCTAGGTTGATGACTAAATCACTTCAGATGGTTGATTCCGAAGCTTTTTGTCGTCTCAAAGTCTCTGAAAACAACTTCATTGTGTACATCTTCTCAAGCTTTTGATAACTAATATATATTTTTATATATATAAAAATTTGCATGATATGAAAATCGTTCGATCAAGGATGGGGGTTAATTTCCCCAATTTTTAGGAATTTTTTACAGTCAATCGTTCGATCAAGGATGGGGGGGAGTAAGGTAGAAAGTGCAAGTAATATTGATATACCAATTACTGTTGGGAATATAGAAAAAGCAATTAATTCAATTGCTCATTTTGCAAGGGGAATTTTGGTTATTAAAGATTCCCAAGGACCACAAGAAATTATACCATTTCGTTTTAAAAATTCTGGGCTATTAATCAAGTAAATAATTTTTCTTATATAGCAGCTATTCAAGCAAATAAGCTATATAGACTATTGCTTTGACCATTTTTTGTCGACACTTGCTGCTCTTGATGACCTTCACCTTATTGTATTGACAAATGTCACAGGCTCAAGCTCATGCTCAAGTCGAAATATTTTTTCAGATGAAAATATTGATTATTGAAAAGTTGATGATGGGTTTTATTTAGAAAAAACAAATTTAATTGATTTATTGGCTGATTTTATTCGTAAAGTAATTGAAAATTAGGGCAATTCTTTTGCTGGGAAACTGGATAACTGAGAGAATGTTACAGAGGAATTGATATTTTTCGTTGTTAATGGCTGGGGAGAGACGCTGAAGCGCTGTAATAGTTCTTTTTATGACTCAGTTGACTGTGAATTAAACGGTATCAATGATTTAAAAGTCAAAATGGACGCTCTTTTATCAGTCGGATTTGGGGTGCTTGTCCTATGCAATCTCATTATGATCCCATTTGGAATATCAGTTGTAAATATGAAAAATAAATTTTGGAACCTTATAAAAGAATTTGCCCTTATCTCTTATATTGAACTTAAACAAGCCTGCATTGACCGGCTTTCAAGCATCCATGGAGAATGCGACATAATGTTTACTGATGGAAATCGTATGAGCAAAAAAGCAAATTTCAAAAACTATTGAAAATACACGTGAAGAATCGGGGCTTATTTATTGATTACTTTTGTATTTTATCTGATAAATATTTCTTATCTATACTTAAACTGCGCTGATTTTTTATATTTACGGCCAACACTTTTAAGAAATATCATAAACTCGCAGGTTTTATATATAGAATTATCAGTCTGATCAAGCGAAATTCTGGCTGAAGATAGTCTTTTTGATCTAAGGGACATAATTCCTGAAGCCTATCCATTTAAGGAGCCAGAAATAAAAGCCAATGAAGTTTATTCTGCATTGGAATATTCAATTTCACAATTAAAAAATAAAAAATATAATCCGCTGCTATCAGATGCTTACATGGCCAAATTTTATGAGCATTTCAGCAATTCGACTAATTATATGGAGCATGGGGCTTTGGCTGGAGGTAATATTATAACTGTTGATTCATCTTATATGGACAATGCTCATGAAAAAGATTGAATTGGGACGTGGTATAATCTAATGGTGGAGCTGGATGAGCTGGACTTGAAATATGATATTTTGATAAGTTCTGCTGATAGTGATTCTTTATCAGTTATATGAAATTACTTTTACTCTATAGTCTTGATTATGATCAATTTTTGAATTTTAATTAAAAAATAGCATTAGACTAATAATTTTATAGTAAAATCAGCCTAGAGCAGCATATATAAAAAGCCAGCTAAATTGGATTATTATTTCTTTGGTTATCTATATCTTTTTTTCACTTTTACTGTATTTAATATTTTATCTGCCCTTTTTTAGAAAAGAAATAAACAACTTAAAAAGAATGAAAGTGATGTCCTCAATTATTCCTGTCAAATATTCAAGAAAGTAAATATATGAAATAAATATAACAAAAAATGGTCATTATTTTTATTAAATTAAATTTCTCTAATTTTAAAGGCAAATTATATTTATTATGCTAAAAGAATTATAATATTTCCTCATCAACCCAAAAAATCTCGAATATAAAATAAGCCTCACATTTTTATCCTAAATAATTTCTTTATTTATAAATGTCCTATCAAAAAGTATTTTGACTCTCACTATTAATTTCCTCCATTATCCGATGAATCTCCAATTACCAAGAGCACAAAGAAGACTGGAAAAATTGCCGCTTTGACCTAGGTCTTTGGGAATGCATCGAATTTTCTTCCCTAACCCTTGTCCTTTTTCTAAATATTTCAGGCTTTCTTTTTAACCCCCGGCGCTTTCCTCGGCGCTGCCTCTACCCTTTTCTCACAATAATTTCTCTTATCCAATTCTGAAACTTCATATGAACTGTTATAGGCACTTACTGGATAGTCTATACCATTCATGAGGATGAAGCATGCGTAATAGTCAATTAGATCCCAGAAATACAGAAACCTTACCAACTAATATTAGTCTTATCAGGAGCTTATATGTATTGGTCACTGATATCTTGCTCAGTTGGGCTTTTTGGGGTACTAATGCTGATTTCGGCGAATAGAGATATGTTTGAGCCTGGATTGGAAGGGATGGATATTCAAAATGTGGGGAGAAGGCCTTTGGGCGCTGATTAGATTAGATTAAATTATAGCTGGTCTCTGGGAATTATTTCAGTCCCTCTCCATTCACGGACAACTTTGCGTTGGCGCTAATTACTATCCTCACACACCACCTTTTTGCTATTGACGTCGTCAAAAAATGGTGACGCAGAAGGTCTAACAGGGGATACAATCCTACCGATCGGCATCGCCTTTCTTGGTCCCAAAATTAGCTGAAAAGCCCCCTTGACCTCTTACAGGGCTCTAGAGTCTGGGTGAATCCCCTTTGCCTACTGCATGGCCTGTCAGAGCAATATCTCAGGTTCGAAATTGCTCCCATTGATTTACGTGGGACTTTGCGTCAGTAGGGTCATCTGCAGGTAAGGAAAAAAGACCTAGGATCAGCCCCTAGGCCAAAAACCGACCCCGAAGAACTATTCCCATGTGACTCGCCTTTCCTGGGCCCGGATTACTCACAGGTCACCAGGATTCCACGTCAGATCACGCCACTTTAATAATTATCTTTGGGGCGCTGAAGAAATCAAGAAAATTAAGACGGAAAAAACAGAAGAAAATATGATATGCTCGATTTGTCTAGAAAATGTGGAGCCTGGGACTGATATTAAGGTTTTGCCTGGGTGCTTTCACAGATTTCACATTGAATGTATTGACCTCTGGCTGGCAAGAAGTGCAATTTGTCCTTACTGTAGAAGGCCAGTGACTATAGAAGACATCATGCGTGAATAATTTTGTAATGTATTTAAATTAAGGATTAATATGCAATTTAATATAAATTGTTACCAAAAATATATTATATTTTTCTTATTTATTTTTGTAGTAAAATAGGATAAAGATCATAAATGACTGAAATAGCTCAAGCGGGAACTGAGAATAGAGATCTGATAGTGAAAAGAAGCGAAAATGAAGCATTGACAGATAAAATCAGCAAACTTGACACTGAAACAGCTAAACAAGACGCTTTAAATAAAGAAATTGAAAAGAATATTGAACAAGCTGAAGGAAGGGTTATGGCGCTAAACAAAGAAATTGAAAAATATGACCCTAAAGTCGTAGAAAACGAAATAAATGAGCTAATCCAGCAAGAAGTGTTTTATAAAGAAAGAGAAAAAGAAACAAAAGACAAGCTCTCACAATTGCAGACTGAATTTGACAAAATTCTTGACGAAGAAAAACAGATCGAGCTGTCATTAATTGAAAGCTATAAAAAATATGAAGAAAAATCCACCCAAATTGCATCAGTAAAAAGCGAAATAGCCCCAAAAGCCTTAAAAGCTAGCCAATTGCAAACCAAACTTGAAGAAATCGACGAAAAACTCCAAGAAATAAACAGCCGAATATCCTTCAAGCAAGACGAATACACCAAAACAGGCTTAAATTTCCAAGAAATGACTAATCAATTTAACCAAAAAACAATCGAAATATCCAAGTGAAAAGAAATAAAAGACCAGCTTGAAAATAAATTAGAGCAGCTTAAAGAGCTAGAAAGGCTAGAAAGCGAAGGGCAGCTTGCAAGAAAAGCTGACTCTGAACTGAAAGAAAGAGAAATTGAGAGAAGAAAAGACATGATAAATCAGCTGAGATTTGAGTCTGAAAGAAAAGTTGAGCTGAAAAAGAGAGAAATTGATGATACAACAAGAAGTGTAAGAAAAGAAGAGGAAGCGTCAAAAATTTATAGCTCCCCTAGGAAAAGAAGCAACTCGCCAGGGAGCAGAACTCCTAGGACTCCGAGGGCTGTGAATTATGAGGCGAAAAAAAGAGAGTTGGAAATGAAAATTGAGACTGCAAAAAAGACAAAAAGAGAATATGAAGAGAAAAAGAGGGAATCTGAAATAATCCTGACTGATGCAATAAAGTCAGCATCTGCATCAAAAAGTAAAGGGATATTGATTTGTGCAGTAGGATTTGCGTTTGGAATTATATTTTTCAGGCTAATTTCTACAATGATTTCCTCACCAGCTAGATAATATGATTAGTAATTTTCATTGGTTTGAGTTATTTGCATTTTTCTTTTTATTAAAAATTTTTTAATTAATTTATAATGGGAAATTAATCACGCACATAAAGGGTTTTCTTGTTAAAATGTATGGTTGCTTACCCAGAGATATAAAAAATAAAATTTTTGTATTCATTATTTTAAACTATTTATAAAAAAAACATATTTTTATTCCTCATTTTCATTAAAAACCTAGATGAATTATTTAATAAACCTATTCCTAATCATGCTTAAAAAAGTACTAAATTAATGTGAATGGAAAGGAAATATTTCATTTTTGAAACGTCAAAAGCAATAAAGGTATTTGGAAGATTATGGATCTATAAAAACAAACTTTATATATTAATTGCATACATCTTTTCATTGGTGGGATAATCTGACATGGATTTTAGGCTAAGAGTTCCTAAAGATTTAATTTTACCATCGAAACGAGTAACTCTGAATTATATCCTATTAATACTATTTCCACATGATCCAGCAACTAAAATAAGGCGCCAATAGGAATGCAATGATAGAAGTAAGATTGATTGATTGATTAATTAATTAATTAAAATAAGTCTTCGAGGTTTATTCCAGTCCCTCTCCTCCTTCACCGACTTTAGGCTTGCGCCCTAAGCATCGGGTTGCACTCACGCCCTTTTTTTGTCTGCGTCATCAAAAAATGGTGACGCCGCCAGCTCACAGGGAGATGCGCCCAGATCATTCCTTGGACAACCTCTATCGGGCCGGGCTCGGGAAAACCTCTATCATACCGGGCTCGGGCCAACCTGAAGATAGGAGGTGTCTGAATGTTTCCAAACCCTCCTTCTGGTCTCCCTTTCCCTTCGCTTCCAGAAGTGTGAGGTTGCCATATAGACTCTTCTACTTGTCTCTGAGTCGGGGTTACACTATCTGGATCTATCAGGGGTAAAAATCCACCCCGGACACAAATTCCGAACCCTATCCCTCTGGACCTAAGTCGCCTAGAGGCAATGGAAGAAGGACGGGTTGGATACTTAGTCATTTTATTTGTATATAGAGAAGTAAGAAACTCTTGAATCTTGATGAATGGTTAAGAGTAGGAGGTAATTGAATTTTTGGGAAGCCAGATATTTTTAGATTCCTCTTCAAACAGTTTGCTCCGCTTATGCATATGGTCTTTTTTATTTTAAAATATTAAATTAAATATGAATCATTAACTTTTGAAAGCCTACTTCTTGGCTTCCTTACTTTTTTCTCTTCCATGTTGGCTTTTTCAAATTCATCTCTTATTGCATTCACCTTCTGAATAGCTGAAATCGACCGATCCCTTTGTATATTTCTAATTCTGCATCTTAAAAACCCTCCTTTATAGTTCTGCAGCTTAGAAAAATCCCCCTTGATATTAATTCCTTCATAGCTTTCTAAATTTTCTAGGTCTCTAGATAATTTATTCTCTATTTTACTTGTCGATCTTCCTTTCCTTAGCGAAACACTCCTTATCAGGCTTTCTTCATCTCTTATAACAGAATCTCGCACAGTGCTTTTCACATTTTTTATCCTTTTGCTGCTACTAATTATTGTTTTGGAATATCTGATAGAGCTTTCTTTTCAAGTTTTAGTTCTTTTATTAGAAAAAAATGAATTCTTGATCGAGTTTGGGGTAAATGAGCAGGTCGATAAGTCAGATTTTTCATCTTTTGGGGTTTTAAATAAACTTTCATCAAGAAAAATCTTCGCCTTGCTTTGATCTAAAGACGTTTGAGTTTTCTCTCGATTTTTCAAGCGCTTTAAGTCACTTTTCCACCCTTTTATTCCTTTAGCATGAGTTTTTTTCGCATATTCGTTCAATTTATTTCTGATTTTTTCTGCATAATTTATTTTGCCATTTGATTTATTTTGATAATCTAATTCATCATCGCCACTTTTTATGCTACAAGACAGTTCACTTTCTGATCAATCACTATTGGAGTGATTATTGCTTGGCTTACTTATGGAAATTTCACTTATATTCTCTTTAGGAATCTTTAAATCTCAGCTTGAATTATAAGAATGGAACCCTTCAGACCCTATATTCCTTGAGCTTTTTATTTTGCTTTCGATTTTTATAAAATCAAATGAGTCATATGCAAAAATTTTGATATAATTTTCTCATTCTTTCGCATTTGGGCTATCAATGATATGAATTTTCATATCTTCAGAAAGGGATTTTCTTTTTTCGTCGAGTTCTTTAATTAATGCGTAAAGCTGCAAATTTCTCAATAATTCTGACCGTAAGTGCAACATTCTATATAAAATGCTTGTGGAGTATTTAAATTCCTTGGAAATAATAATATCATTTTGTGTAAAGTTTTCCATGCTGCTTGCTTGCTCAATAAAGCGGGTGGCTCTTAATAGGCTTAAAATGCTAGCAGGCGATTCTTTTACGACTAATGAGTTTAAGTATTGAGAAGCTGATAAGCAGGCACTTTTGATGTGCTTCAATTTCTCATGTAAAAATTTATTTTCATTAAAAATATTATATGGAAAAATCACGCATTTTTCACACATTTTCTGGCATTGCAATGGCAAAATTTCGATAAAAGCCTCTAATTTTTTGGTTTCACTAGACAGCCAGTTACCAATGCTTATCACTTTTTGATAAAATTTTTCGAATTTTTCCTGATCAAAAAGAACTCTCCGTATTTCATCTGATGATGATTTTTGTTGATAAACGTGGTATTTGAGCTCTATTTGATAAGTATAAGTTTTCAAAAGATTTATGATCTTATTTGAGGAAATTTTGATAAAAACCAAACATTTTTGTAAATTATTCATATTTGCTAAGACTTGAGCGTTATTTTCAAACAAATTGTCGATTTCATTAGAAATTATATCAATTTCTTTGAAAGGTAGAGACTTGATACAGTTAGAAAAAGAAATAAGAGGGCCACTGCAATTTTTTGTCTCACACTCCCCCTCCTTTAAATTGGAACAAATATAGGTAAAATTTCCACTTTTTTGGTAAATTAACCCCCCTTTAAATTGGAACAAATTTTAATTTTATAATAAAAAATTTTTATATATATAAATCATAATTTTTATGTAAAAAGTTTTGATATAATTTAAATGTTTCTTCTTAACTAAAATTAAAATTTTAGTTATACCTGCTCTTGTTTAAAGAATAGAGTATAAAGAGCATCTTATTTAAATAAATTTATTATCCTTAATTGTAAATTTTTTAAAAAAAATTTAATTTTTTTTTTTTTAAAAATTTTTCAAAAAAAATTTTATTATTTTTGATAAAAAATGATATTTTTTATATAAATAGCTTTGATATAAATCCAATACGAATTCTTTACAAAAATTCAAAATTTACTTATCTCTTGCTTTATTTTAAAGAATATAGTATAAATAACATCTTATTTAAACAAAATTAGCACTTTGATCGATAAATTTTCTAAAATTTTTGTTTTTTTAAAATTTTTTTATCAATAAAAATAATAATTTTTGTGTAAATAGTTTTGATACCAATTAATAGTGGCGTATTAAAAATAATAAAATTTTTAGTTATATCTTGCTTTGTTTTAAAGGATAAAGAGTAAATACCATTTTATTAAACAAATTTATTAATCTAATTCGATAAATTTTTGAAATTTTTTTTTTTTTTTAAATTTTATATAAATTTTTTTTTTTTTTAAATTTTATAATGATTTTTTTTTTAAAAAAATTTTCTTAGCCCCCCTTTAAATTGGAACAAAATTTTTAGTTCCAATTTAAAGGGGGGGGAGTCAGAAAAATGAGCATCATCATCTTCTCTTCACTTTAACTCATTATAATTGAATTTTTTTGATATAGAGTATTGCTTAATCCTAAACAAAACCCGTTCTTTTTCATCATTCACATAATCTACAAGAGCAGAAATAACTTTATCAATATCTTGTTGCGCATAAGCTATTGAAGTTATCGTGTTCGTTATAGAAATTTCTAACTTATTAGACAAAGCTTCATATATTGAAATTATTTTCTTTGATTTTTTTTCAACTTGAAGCACCTTGTTTAAGGCTGCCTTTGTGCTCTGTATGTCAGAATTAAACTTTTCAAGAAAATTTTGGTCTTTTTCTGAATAAATTATGAGGTATCACAGCTCATCAGCAAACTGCTTTAGGTGTAAAAAAATGCTTTTGGTGTCTGAGTCAAGAAAATTGATTATATAAGGAGAAAGCGTTGTTTCTTCGACTACTTGAGCTTTAACTGATAAATCTTTGAGAAATTTATGCATTTACATAGACAATTAATTTTATTTAATTTATCGTTTCACCATAAAATACAATGCTCTTATAATATGCTTCTTTGCTTAAGCATGAACAGAGGCTGTTAATTTATGTGGAAAAAATAAAAATTATCAACTTAGCCTATAAAAAGCCCATTTCCAAGAAACCTACCATGTATGAATTCATCAGTTATTTGAGATTTAATTACTGAAGAGAAGCAATAGCGAAGCTAAGGCTATTTCCCTAGCGCTATCATCATTATCTCCTCCATTTGAATTCTTCATACTATAATAAACAGGATAAAATGTTTTCAAGACGCAATCTTCAGCTTCATATACTTCGACATAAAGAGTAGTATACAAAAACCAGTAAAAGAAGCTTTCATAGCTTGATTTCTCATAATTGTTTTCGGCGCACTGCAAATTAAGTCCATTATACATCGGATATCTCCAAATCGTGTTACAATTTTTGATTGCGCTGCTTTCTTGCCACTTTTTAAGCTCTCTGTAATAGGCTTGCATAGGAGCATCGCCTGGCAATAAGTCACAGTATGCATTTCCATCACTATTATACCCACAAGAGCACACCGATGAAGTCTCCCAATTGGTATAATTGTCTAGTTTAGAAATGCATTGATTAGTATATGTCTGTGGAGAGTTGCAAGCAATCGGGATTTGAGCGTTTGAGCTGACTTCTCCAGTGCAAACTGCAGTCTCATCACCAGCAGCCCTCTGCAAGCAAGTGTGGGAGCTGCATAAATTTTCCGATAAGTTGCAAGTTTTTACTAAAATTTCAGTTCCCGGAGATAAAGAACCATATGCCACACAAACGTTAGAAGAGGACGTAAAATTGCAGCCAGCATTATAAACACAATCAAATTCCTGAGAGCAGCCTGTCTCTCCGATTTCTAAAAGAGGTGCACATTGAAGGTTTCCATTAATTTCTCTGCATGTGCTGTTAGGGCTGCATTGATAACTTGATGTGCAGGCATCTCCTATTTTTCGGCCTATGCAAATACCATTAGTGCATGATTGAGAATATCCTCCATAACAGTCGTCTATAGAACTACACTTGTCTCCAGGAAAGGAAGTTGGGGTTGGGGTCTTTAATTGGCAGGTATAGTTTAATTTATCTATGAGCACGCTGCAAGAATAAGATGGGTCAGAGCAAGGTTTGACGTAGAATGTAGACTCGTCCTGTTCGAAATATGAACAGCTATTATAATCTTGGGAGGATTCCTGACACTTGTATTTATTGCATACTGGTGCAGAGAGATCTTTAATGGGATCTGAAAAAGAGCCCAAAGGAGAATATGGATGCAAAATTGAGTTTGGGGAAGGGATTCCATAAACAAACAATAGAATAAAGCTGAGAAAAAGCAGACATCTAACGTTTTCTGGCATTTATGTATTTATGGATATGACATAAATATGCATTATTTGGAGCACATTCTTACCTCTTAATTAGTATTTTTATACTGCACAGCATGAATTATCTATGTAAATGTGTATATCTAAGAAAGCTATTTTTTCACCAGGGTAATCTATTAATAATTTTTAGTCATAAATTTTTTAGGCCAAGGCAGCAAACTATATTTGCTTGCAATGGCTGAATAATTTCCTAAGTTTTAAATGCAGCACGCTTATGAGAAATGAGTAATTAGTAAGTTTACGTCTTTTCCTTATTAATATTTAACTTTTAATATAAATTATATATTTACTCTATCTGAGAATTTTAATTCTGTCTCTTTATATAGCTTATATAGAAAACAATTATAAAATATGCTACAGATATTCCTAAAATAAATAGCAAATAGTGTAAAATATATTTGCATTTAAAATAATTTTTTTCCTATTTATATATGAAAGAAAATTAAGAAATCTTTCTATCTAATTATCATACATGTTCCATAGAAGCCTTATATGCATGCTAATTCTCTACATAAATAAAAACACTTACGCTTAACTATAATGCTTTTTGAGCTTTCATGCTGCTTATATTACGATTAATTGGCTCAGTTTAATTTTATTTAATTTTAATGATTAAGAATCAGTAAAAGTGAGACCAAAGCTATCCCTCTCGCACTGCTATCCTTCCCATCTCCTCCATTTTCTCCAGCCTGAAAATAATCAGGGAAAAATGTTTTTAGTACACAATCTTCGGCCCCATATATTTGTGGGTAAAGACTATTAAAAATTGTATATTTTCTGACCATGCATAAATTCTGTCTATTTTTTATTAGCCTCTAAAACCTAGACTTACCAATCAAAAAATTATTTAAAATGACAATACAAGAGAAAAAATGCACTGTATACTGTACTGTACAAATACCAGTAATACAAGCTTTCATATCTGGCTTTATCATAATTATTTTTTATGCATAGCAAATTTTCGCCGTTATCAATTGGATATCTCCAATAAGTATTGCAATTCTTGATAGCGCTGCTTTCCTGCCATTTTTTAAGCTCTCTATAATAAGCTTGCATTGGAACATCACCGGGGAATAGCTCGCAATATGAATTACCGCCACTATTATACCCACACAAGCAGTTTGACAGAGATATTGTGTCTGTATAATTATCGAGTTTTGATTGGCATTGAAGAGTAGTTCCTGCGGGTAATATGCATGAAGCTGGCATTTGGCTGCTTGATTCAATATTTCCACTGCAGATCGCAGTCTCATCACCAGCAGTTTTCTGCACACAAATGTGTGAGCTGCAGAGGTTTTCTGACCAAGAGCAGGTTTCTATCGAAATTTCAGTGCCAGGAGGAATAGAGCCGTAAGGTATGCATGTATTTTTCGACAAATCGGTAGTCGATGTAACATTGCAGCCTGCGTTATAGACACAGTCAAACTCTTTATAACAGCCAGTTTGGCCGATTTCTAATAAAGGCGCACATTGTAAAGTTCCATCAATATTTCTGCAGGAGCTGTTTGGGTCACATTGGTAGCTTGATGTGCAGGGTTTTCCTTTTTTAAGGCCGACACAAATGCCATCAGTGCAAGACTGCGAATATCCTTCGTAGCATTCTTTGTCAGGACTACATTTGTCACCTGGAAAGGAATAATAAGTTGGAATGAACGGTTGGCAAGTGTAATTTAAGGAGGTTGTATTTAATCTTTTAATTAAGAATAATATAAAAATAAGAATTGTGGAAAGCAGAATTTAGCAGAAAAAGAGAACTTTATTATAGGATAAGGCTTATAATTCGGATAATCAGTATAATTTGCAGTAAGTAGAAGAATTAGGACAAGGCTGAGCATAAACTGTAGGTTCAGTTCCACCATAGTATCCACAGGTAGAACTAACAAATTCTTGCGTAGGGAGTTTGCAAGTATACTTCTTGCACATCTGCACAGAGAGCTCGTCTGCGGGATCCGAAAAGGGGTTGGAAGAAGAATATGGTAACAAATTTGAACTTGAGATCTGCATGGGTGATGTTTAATATTTTTTTCCGCCTTTTTTTCAGTCAAAAGTGACTGAAATTTCCAAAAATGTTTTTAGTATTAAAATCATGACAGTGAAAAAGTAAAAAACTGTGAAGTGGATTGAACAAAACACAACGGTGCATTTTTGCCCAAAAACAGCATATCCTACAATAAAAAAAAATTATTAAAGAGGGAATAGTTCTCGAAGAGAACTGAGCCCGCTGATACCATTTTATTATTATGACTCCTTACTTGTCAAATTAGTTACGCTTGCCAAACATTTTTGACATATTTTTAATTCACTAATTTTGGGCAAATCCATTTTAACGCGAAATTCCCACTTTCAGGCAGTAAAATCATGATATTTTTTTAAAATCCTGAATATTACTCTAAATAGTGAGGGTTTGGGCTAAGATGTGTAAGAATAAAGTCCATTGGAACAGTTGCCTTTTCAATGACGATGATCTACACCAGTGCAGGAGCTATATGCAGTGGAATTTGTTTTATTTTATGATGATTTATAGTAATATGTATCAAATACAGAGTACTTTTTCACCATCAGGAAATTATTAGAAGTTCTTCATACCAATTTTTTCATACTAATTTTTAGTATTTTAAATTCTATGTTTTTTCATTTTCTATATGCCTTTTGTGTCTTATTTAAATTTAATAAATAGCTATTCATAATTTTATTTCATATGCTTATTATCATAGGATTTTCGCTCTGATTTCATGCTTTTATCTTTTTCACAGTGTAGTTTTTTTATACTATTTAAAAATTAAGTTTCAATGGAAACTATGATTCCTTGGCTAAATTTCTTATGGCCGTTATGCGCGCCATTTTCATATGAAATTTCAAATTATGAATTTGCCGCACTAAAATCTGCGTTTTGAAACCCATATTTGGTTTCCACATATCAAATTTCAAAATGGCATGCATATGCATGATAAGAAATTTATGCTGTTTTTCCATCTTTTATTAGGCAAACCTTCGCCGTTATGCTATTTCAACCCTTAAATTGCAGTTTTTTACTTTTAACCATTATGTTTTTAATACTAAATCATTTTTTGAGTTACTTTTGACTGAAAAAGTCGGCGAAAAAAACACAATGTAGTTTTTACGCCTCACCTATGCATCCCATAAGCATACAAGAGAATAAAACTGAGATAAAGCAGAAAACTAATCATTTCTGGCATATTTTATTTTCTAATTAGCATACCACTACTGTCTTATATGCTCTACTGCCTACCTATTAGTATCCTGTTGATCATTCATATGAATATAAATAAATATTTGATAAATCCATATTTTCACCACCTAGCCTTTTATATTAATAAATACCAAACTTAAGCTATGGAAAGGGAAAAGTTGAGCATAAACACTGGAAAGAAAAACTAATGATATATAAATAGCAGAATTTAGAAGACTGAGAATAGTTCATTTAAAAAAGTTAAATACTTATTTTTAAAAACAAAAATAGAAAAATCTGAAAGCCCGATTGTTGTATCATATCGCATCCCAATTCGAAGAATAATTTAGAAAATGATAATTTTAAAGCTTCCTTATACTTAAATAGTGCTTAATGCGATGCCTGATTCCCAAAGATTGAATAACCCCCTTTAGCTCTGAACCCGTGGCAAGTGCCAGCAGAGCACTCTTAAGCAATGATAAAGTTTTCTCAACGTCAAATCTAACTGGACGAATTTCTCACTCTGCACTTGGTTTCTAAACGTTTCGTTTTTTGAAGACTTTCCCTCTTGAGAAAAGCCAAAAAGCAAAGCTTTATGCCTCTTAAACTCAAGGGCTAAAAACTTCCACCCCAAGCTAGAGCCTTTCTGGCACAGCTAGATATAGGTAGCCAGAAAAACTCCAGTAATAAAACAAAATCCTGAGTAATAAAAATTTTCGGAGAACTGATTTGATGTAAATCATTTATAGTATCCAACGATTATAATTTTTTAAGAAATTTCAAGATAAAATTTTCTAACTCACTGCCTATTTCAAGGATAGTTAATTGATTTTTAAAAAAAATAAATTAATGAAACTTCTTTTTCTCATAGAGAAGGTAAGTATAAGCCCCACAAAATTGGAATGAAACTTAGATCTTAGTCAGTTTAGCTATAGTAATAGCAATAACACCACTTCTCTTAACCTCAATCTGGGAGATTTCATAAAAAGATTTTAGAAACTTACAATTTCGTCATAGAATATTTCTTATTGGTTTTCGAATAAATTTAATGAAATCTTCTAATTTCTTAATTCCAATAAATATGAGAAGAACTCTCCGCCTTCTCAAAGATGCTCACCCCATCAACGCAGTCCTCGACAATGCTAGGGCGCTTGAAAGGCTTCCTCACAGGACGCTTGGCAAGCGCCATACTCTCCTACATATGACTATGCGAGAGCGGCAAAGAACCCGTGCACAAATTGTGATCCCACGTCCTCTGCAAGAATTCGTAAACCTCGTGAAAACAGTCCCAGCAGTTGAAGGGAAAATGGAAAAAGAAATCATTGAAGCCATGAAGGCACATCTATCACCTGAAGAAATCCAAGAAGTGGAGGACGCTTATAAAATGAGAAGCCTTATCACACAGTCCGAAATCCACCATCCCCAGAAAGTCCCCAAAGTCCCTGAGCCTGATAGAGCTGCCCCTCCCATTGACCCTGACTTATTTATCAAGGATTTGTCTAACATCACAGTTGACCAAATAGGAAAATTTTTCCAAATAAACAAAGAGCAAGCCATAAAGTACTTCACTTCAGGATATTTTGGGAACTTTTTCAGGGATACCTATGCAAGGAGCGCATCATTTGATATACAGATGAGGGAAGAAACCTACCACATAATCCAACTGATGAAGGCATCGCAGAATGTCAATCCTTGCAAGATATTTGCAGAGCCGCAAAGTTATGAAGGGTTAAATGGGCTCAACCATTGCCAGCAGTATAACTGGCTGATGCAGAATGACTTGAATACGTATTTAAAGATTTTTAGGAAAGTGGGATATTATTTAAATGAAGTTATTGATGAGACAAAAAACACAAAAGTTATGATTAAATTTTATAAGGCAATAAGCGGAATCACCACTATCAGGACTACTTTTGCTCCAAGAAAGGTATACACCAGAGTGCAAATGAACCAAAATTCCAACATCTTGAATTTTCTGGCAAGACTTACTAACATAAGGATTAGCTTCCTAGGTTAGAGCCACCCGCTGAAGGGTACCCTGATCGTCCTGATAGTTGTTGTGAAATATTTATTCCGTGAAGGAAGACAGGACTAGACCATCTGGCAGGGACGGGAAAACCTTCAGGGCTAAACAAAGCTTCCCTCTTTTTGCAAAGCTTCCCCAAACCTGAAGGACTACTTCAAAAAGGCACAGAGGCCCGCACCTTATACCAATTTCTGTCAACGCCACCATTTTCATTCTACACAAAAGTTAGGAACGTAATGAAACATAGTCCAGAATTCTTCCACCAGCTAAATTTCATAGTGATGCATGAGCTGAGAAATCAAGAAATCCATGACAGTGTCTTTGAAAATGCACAATTATTAACTGAAAATCCTTTCGATTCAATTGATACAAGCTTCGCGAACTCAAAAATCAAAGAGCTCTTAAATGGGATTCTCGAAGATGTCTCCGCAAAAATCACAGACGAGGACAGCCTTCACCAATTGTTTTTCGCTGATTATTTCCGCCATGTATCGAAAACCTTAGATTTTGAGCACAATGGTCGCAAATTTTCCCTAAGTTTAGAAGACTACGCTGACAAAAACAAGAGACCACAAATGCCAAAAGAAATATTAGATGTAATAATCGAGCCTCAGAGACTTTCTATTGGGTCCTTGCTAACTGGAATGAAAGGCAACGGAAAATCCCAAGTCCTTGCAGGCGCTGCATATTGGGCTGCTAATGATCCCAACTGGATTGTGGTAAAAGTGCCTAGAGGAGACTTGACACGCAACCGTACAAGGATAAAATGGGATGCCTCAGGACTCTATATCCTCCCAGAAGTTGCTTATGACTATATGCTTGACATCATGAACACCAATAAAGAGAAACTCCAAACGCTGAAAATTAAGAAAGAATTATATGGGAAATATAACATTGCTGGGCTCCATGACGAATATGACGCCAATTATAGGCCGACAACGCCTTACCATGAGTTTATTAGAGATCTTCAATGCTACACTGATGATTGGAAAAAAGAATACCCACAAGAAACCATTGACTACTGGATGGAAGGAGTTAGAGAAATTAGGATGGAGAAAAGGACCACGATGATTGAATACGAAATTAATTATTTTGGAAAAAGGAAGTTCCCTGATTCGTGGATACAGAGATGGAACAATCCGAACTACCATGATAACATCTCACTCGACACGATTTTGCCTATCAATTGTCCAAAGAGAAAGCCCAAGAAAAGAATGCTGCCAAAAGCCCCAGCAGATAACAATCAGTTTACATATAATCCAAAGCCAGTGTACTCACAAAATCTGAATATCAAAGAAGCCAAGAAAAAAATCGATTACAATAAAGAGCAATCATCTGATGAAGAAATCGAAGAAAAATACATTGAGGAGCTTCAGCCAGTAGCCACTCGCATCTCAGAAAAAATCCCTAACCCAGATAATGTTTTCCAGCTTATCGAATTTGCCTTGAATAATCCAATTTATTGCACCAATGTGGTTTGTGAAATTTTGGAGCAGCTTTATCATACTGATGACCATAATGTACTCGTGGTTGTTGATAGCTATAACGATTTCTTCAGGCCGACTGAGTTCCCTAGTGTCAAATACGTAAACTACAAGAAAATGAAAAGCTCCATTCCTTCGCATGATATTTCTTTAGCAAGAGCCTTTATGAGGTTTGATGGCCACAGGATTAAAAATGGGATTAAAGTAGTTGGGACTACAGAGTTTACCCGTCCTAGAGAAAAGAATATTTGCACTTCGAAAACCTTAAACATCGACCCAAGTTTCGAAGTGAAGGTGGACTATTTAGCATTGAATGATTTTAGGAAGGCTGTGCACCATTATAGATTGACAAAATGGACTTTCCAACATTTTGATGAAGGAGAAATCGAAGATATTTATATGATGTCGCAAGGAAACTGGCTTATGGCGCATGACTCATTAGAATTTTATAATTATCAGCTTTATTAACTCATTTACTAATAGGACTAACTCGCTTTATCTATTTATTTTCCTGCAATTTTTTATCTTTTTTCTCTCTCAGCCTTGCATCTGAATTCAAGATCTTCTTTCTCATCACTTTTATTTTAATGGAAGATTCGGAAAGTAATGTTTCCTATTCTTCTTCTTTTTTGTGAAGAAAACGGAGCTTTACAGGATGAATTTTTCGAACTTTTACTATTAAATGAACTTATTGATACAGGATTACTTGATAATTCTGAATCAGAGTATGAATGAAATGATAGTGATGCAGAAAATGTTGATACAGATGACAAAATATTGGAGTTTTTAAGTCGTTTAGATGGAAAAATACTAGATGAAATAGCACCTATTCAGGAAACCTTCAAATATAGGAAGACTGAGGTGATCATTGATGATAAGAAGACAATCGATAAGAAAATCCTGAACACCAGAAAAATAAAAATTAGATCAGATTCAAATTTTATCAGAAAAATAAAATTGATATCAGAATCAAACATTATCAGGAAAATAAAATTTAGATCAGATTCAAATTTCATCAGATATAGAAAATTCATATCAGACTCAGAAATCGAAAAAATCGCGGATTACGTGGGTTCAGAAAATTTTACTAAAATTTTATCCAAAGATTTTAGGAAAAGAAGAAAGTTAAAACATTTTTAATCGGGACATGGCCCTGAAATAAAGGCCTTTAAGTAATAAAGATTTCTCTCTCTCTTTCTCATCCTAATTGACTTCGGAGTGATTTCCACAAGCTCGTCCTCGTTAATATACGCAAAAGCCTCTTCTACTGTAAACTCCCTGGGCGGTGTCAGCTTTATATTATCGTCCCTCATAGCAGCCCTCACATTTGTGAACCTTTTTTCCTTCCCAGGGTTAATTAAAAGTTCTTCATCAATTACAGTTTCCCCAATGATCATTCCTTCATAAACTCTCACCCCAGGGTGTACGAAGCTTGTGCCTTTTTCTTCTAAATGGTTGACTCCGAACTCTGTGCACGTTGCTATATGTGTAGCGACCACTACACCTTCTGATCTTCTCTGTAAGGCTCCTTTATATGGTCCATATGATGCCACATGAGATTCTATCGTGATATTTCCCTTTGTCAAATTTAAAAGTGTTGGCTTAAATCCCATCATGGCGCGCGTAGGAATAGTAAAAATCAGCCTTGTATGTGTGGTTGAGAACTCTTCTTGGTCGATAAAGTTAGCTAATCTTGATAAAAAGGCTTCAGTGAGAGGGTTGGCGTATTCTGTTGGGCATTCAATTTTGACTTCTTCGATAGGCTCAAGGATGTTCCCGCTTTCATCTTCTTTGGTGACGATAATAGGTGGATCCACACACATTTCATAGTCTTCTCTGCGAAGCTGCTCGATTAGGATGCCTAAATGGAGCTCGCCACGGCCTGAAACTTCAATGCAGTTTTTGCCATCTTTTACGACCAGGGCTAAGTCGTTTTCCGCTTCTTCAACTAAACGCTTTTTTAAAGCAGCCAAAGTGTATTTAGAAGCTTCTGCGCCACTGAAAGGGGAATCGTTCTGCCTGATCCTTAAAGTCACTGTAGGGCTGTCTATAGGGATAAAATCAAGCTTTTCTGTGATTGAAGTATGCGAAATTGTGTCGTTTACAGAGCCTTTTACACCAGCAACTGAAATGATGTCCCCTGCTATTCCTTTTTCTATGTCAATTCGGTCCATTCCTATGATTTTCTGGATTTTTGAGACTTTTCCAATCTCTTTTACTCCATTTGGGCCAATTGCATGGATATCGTCACCTATTAGCACATCTCCTTGATTAACTTTTCCTATCATAAAAGTCCCAAAAAATGGGTTCGTTTCTGTCATAGACACGAGCATTTTAAAAGGCCCTTCTTCATTTTCTTTAGGGGGTGGAATTTCGCTTATAACTGTGTCTAGCAAAGGAAAACAGTTTTTCCTAGGACCATTTAGGGTAAGATCGGCCCAGCCAGCCCTTCCAGACGCGTAAAGTAAAGGATAGCTCAATTGGCTTTCATTGACATTTAGTGTGCAAAATAAATCAAAAATCTTGCTTTCAACCTCACCTGGACGTGATGTGGTACGGTCAAGCTTGTTCATGACAACTATCGGCTTTAGCCCAGCATGGATTGCTTTGCTGAGAACATAGCGAGTTTGAGGCATCGGCCCTTCAGTTGCGCAAACGACTAAGAGTACGCCATCCACTATGCTCATTACACGCTCTACTTGGCCTCCAAAATCAGCATGTCCTGGAGTGTCTACAAAGTTTATTAGATGATCACGGTAGGTAATGCCAGTAACTTTTGATAAAATAGTGATTCCTCTTTCTTTTTCTAACGCCAGATTGTCCATCGAAACCTTTTTGCCGCATTGTTGAAGGATAGAGTCCACAAGCGTTGTTTTACCATGGTCGACGTGAGCGATTACAGCTATATTTCTTAGAAACTTCTGGCGAAGGTTGTTTACTCCCAATCTTTGTGTTTGAGCAATATTTTGTTGTCAATCCTGGAGGAGGTTTTTTATAAACATTTTAAACCAATTTCAAAATTTTATATTGCATTATATCATCTGTAGCTTTAATTTTTTATTGTTTCTGACGACCAAAATGGAATTTCACGTAAAATATTAGGATTTTCGTACGTAAAATCCTTTTTGGCTTGTCAGAACCATTAAAAAATTAATACAATGCATTATAAAAGTTATTAATTAATACAATTTTTAAGTTACCTGACAGAAGGGCTGGTTAGCATATTTATTTCATATATTATTATTTAGATACGAGAAATAAGAATTATTGAATAGGAAATACTTTCATCAAGTATAGACTTAAAAATATATAGGGAAAATTATATTTGAATTAGCATTCTCAAATTGAAAGAAATTAAATTTCACTCTTTGAGTTTAAAAACTCAAATAAGCTAAAAGTCCTAAAAACAACAAATTTCAGTATTTCCATATAATCCTTATAGACAAATTTGATGAAATTTTTATTCAGTAGGTCTTAAGTTTTCTAACTCTTGCCTGAGCTCTTCCACTTCTCTTTCAAGTTGTGCATTTCTTTCCTTCAATGCCTCGTACTCAGCCCTCAAAGTTTCAGTGTCAATATCTGAAGGTGTTCCAAGATAACGCTTTATAAAGCTAAATAAATGTTACTCAATTGCATTGGAAGGCTTTTCTGGCTCTTCATAAAGTCCTACAAGGACTCTAGTCAGCTGGTCAATGACGCCGCTCTTTTCTAGGTATTTTCTGAACTCTTCCTTCTTCGAGTCTGTGGTCTGGAAGCTCATATTTATTACTTATTTAAAAATGCTCCTATTTCTTAAGCACTTAAATAATTCAAAAATGTATTATTTCAGACTTTTTTAGTTCTCGCTGTATTCGCTGAAAACCAGCTCAAATTTATTGTGGATCTTGGAATCTGCGATTCAGTTGGGATGCTTTTTTGGATCGACTGGGAAAAGTGGATCCACCGTTATTCTGAAGACGTTGTCTATAAGTCCTGGAATTAGCGACGAGAGATAGGCACAGCTAAGCTCCAGGCAGGGATTTGTGTTGGCTTCTATCAGCCATACATTATATTCTTCGTCAATCATAAAATCATATCCAAACAGCTCAAAAGTGTGGAGTCTCCTTTTGGGGTCGATTTTCTTATAAACTGACTTAAAAGTATCAGTTATGGTGTTTCTTATTTTTTTAAGGATTTTCTCATCGAAATTAATGCCAGAATTAATTTCATTTAAATACTCTTGAAATTCTACATAAGAAAGCTTATTTCCCGGCTCGAACTTTCCATAGTCGTCGGATTTTTTTTGGACTGCATCATTGGTGAGATGGATATAACGGTTGCTTAATTTTTTAACAGAGTATTCTTTGCAAGAGGTTCTTATATAGCCATCTTCATAGAAGTAGCCTTGGATACATCCATTGATGCACGTAATCATTCCAAAGCATCTTATATCAAATTTTCGCTTATAAACGAGTAATGGATTTTCTATATATTTTTGGATAATATAAGTGTGTTTTGATTCTCTCTGTGAATATGAATGTAAAAGCCTTTCTATGTTCTCAAGGGATGAAGACACTTTAATACCATTTCCTCGATTTGTTCCTTCTCCTGGCTTAATAATTCATATATTTTTGGTATTTTTCGACTGTGATTCTGATTCAAACTTATTAAAATAGTCTTGAAAAAGTTTAAATTGAGGATCTTCCAAGTCTTTAGAGCTTTTTAATAATAGTGAGAAGACTTAGGACCTGAGTTGATCCCAGTCTTAGTTAGTTGGAATATATCCTTTTGGAAGGCTGGGAGGGGGTTTTACCTGGTCGGGCTACCAGGCAGGCTTTTTTCCTTGTCCCACAGAGACGATCAAACTAAAGGCGAAAGTGAATTCAAACTTTCTGGGAACAATCTGATGCTTGCTCTAGGCAGAGCAGCCCAGAAAGAGGTATTAGGTAATTCCCTTGTGTCCTGAGCACTGCCAGGTCTAAGAAAGTCCTCTGTAGTAGAGTTAGACCCAAGTATAGTTGGGTAATTCTCCCCGAGATACAGCAGACGTCACCATTTAGTTATGTTGAGAGAAAAAGGTGTGTGAAATGACATCGGTGCTTAGGGATGCTCAAGCTTGAAGCCAGGATGGAGAGGAGCTAAAATAAATTCCCAGTGGCTCGCTATAATCTAATTTAATCCAAGCCTTTAGATATGTGAAACGTTAAAGGAATTACTTCAAAAGGATTAGCTCCAATAGACTCATAATATCGCTTCAGGTTTTTGAATAATCCCTTTTTAGTGCACAAATGCCTATTTCCTTCTAGATGGTTATGTATCTTAAGATCGCTATTAGTAATATTTCTTTTTGGCTCTATGTGCAAAAATTTTTCTGCTTGCAAAATTTTTGAATATCCCAGCCTTTCTTTTTCTGCCTCAATTTTTCTGGTTAATTTCGAATTTTTTCTATCTTTTACAAAAACAGTATATTTTCAATCAGCAAATGGTAGTTTTTTTATTGTTTTCATATGAATATTACTAGTTCAGACTAGCGTGGCTTCTTTTCTACTTTCAGCTCTTGCCATTCATGGGCGAGTTCTAAGTATTCAAGAAATCATCGGGGAGTTATTGCCAGGGCCGAGATAAAACTTTACCAACCTTAAATCGGAGTGGGGAAGAGAAATTCCATTACTTAGTCTTAAGTTCTCCAGGAAGGATAAATATGTGCTTTCCTTAAGCTGCTTATCATCAATTATTGAAACTTCTGTCGAGCTTATCAGCTTTTTTTCTTTTTTTCGGGGTTTTAAAAGAGTCCTTCTCTGCGTTTCTTCTATGACTTTATCCAGATTATTTTGAGTGTTCTCTGCACTGACTGGTTTTAAAATATAATTCCTTGTTGTTTCTTCAGGAGGCTTGTTTGTAATCTCTTTGGAAAATTCAATAGAATTTGCAAGCTCACTTAGCAAAGAAAGTGCCCTTAAATGCTTATATCGATTGTGCTTCGGTGTTGTTACTCCCATTACATTGATATTTCGGCTTGTTTGATTTTTTGTATCATTATGGTTTTCAACCGTTTGAATTTCAGGCTTTTTAAATCGAGGAACAATTGGCCTTTTTTTATTTTTCTTTTCAATTGATGTCAACTTTGGGGCAAAAGACTCTGGAGTTGCTGACTGCGAAAGTCCTTGTGAGGAAAGTGCTGGCAAGACTGATTTTCAGTGAAAATAAATAGGAACTTCTTCAGGTGGACGAAGAACTGAGCTTCCTGAGTTGATAAAAATCGAGTTTATTTCATGTTTATTCAGCTTAGAGTTCGCTATGCGAGAGTCTCTATATACCAACGGAGAAACATCTCTAACAAATCTGTTAGAAAGAGGATTCAGCGTTTTTACGAATAAATTTGACTGTTGATTGCCTGAAATAGTAACGATGACCCCCCCCTCAATCTTCATGCCTATTGCAACAAAAATGCAATTTTTTTAATATAAAATTTTATATAAAAAAATAATAATTTTCATGTCTCTTGCAACAAATTATATATATTAAAATGGCGACACGTGTCAGCCTGCCCTCTTGGCGCAGCATTCCAGACCTTATGGCTAATGCGAACTGGGACGGACCCCAAGCCGAGAATCAGACGCAGGCTCAAGAAGTGTATATCCGGGCAGGTTTTGGCTGCTTTCCTGTGGTTGGAAATAGATGCACTCAACAACGTCTTTTTGATCCGAGGACCCATGGGCATTCCTCTACTGAGAAACTGGGGTTTTTGCCCAGGCCACAGGGGAACAGTCTTTTTCGTGTAGCTGTCGAAGGAAGGTACTTTGACACCCGATAGACTCTAAGAGCTGATCCTTGGAATCAAGCTACTCCAATCGGACGCAGAAATCCATAAGCCGCCCACTCAAAACTGAAGCCGCAAGGCAAGGAGGAGACAGAAGGTACCGGAAGGGCACTCGTAAGAGGAATAGGCCCTCTGGGCTGGAATCGAAAAGCGGTAGAACCTTCTGCACGGGAGGTCTTTGGTGACTGTGTCACCAATATGGCTAGCGCCTGTCTTAATAATCCTAATCCTCTTGCAGCAAATTTTAGATTCGCATCTTAAATTTTTCTGTACTTTTTAGCTAGATAAGTTTAATAAAATGGCGAGCAATGATAATAGCCGTCCAAATCTCGATGAGAAGGTCATTGACGCCTACAGCAGCGCTGTTTATGGTTTTTTTGAGAAACTCACCTAGAGAAAAATGCATTAATTCTTTTTTATAAAAATTTTTGTGTTGCAGTAGGCATGAAAATTTTTTCGAAAAATTTTTGTTGCAATAAACATGAAGATTGAGGGGGGGGTCATCGTTAGAAGAGCGCTTGTGTGACTTCGTTGAAGAATTCTTAGGACTGAGGTCAGCAGGTAGAGCTTGGTCTAAAAGATCTAAATTAGAGAGCAAGGACAACTCCATTTGATTAATTTATATTATGGCTGGACCTTTAAGGTGGCCAAGAAATAACTGAATTTTATTAAAAATAGCTTTTCTTTAAGGTAATAAATAATCCATCAAAATTCATGAATTAGCTTAATCATAATGTATTTCTATAATGCTTTGCGAAAATCACGCAAAACTAGAAGTGTCTCGTCAAAGCAAGCCGATGAGAGTCTTCTGTCTTCTTGCTCAAAGTGGATCATAGAAGACACTGCCCTTCAAAAATCAGATAGCTCATCAAAACTTCCGAGCATAAATCCAAGAATTAAAAAATTGAGAGAAGTGATTAGAAGGAGAGGGAGAGCTGACGTTCAAAATCAATCGATGACCTTGGAAAAGCGAAATCTTAAGCCTCGTATCGAAAGATGTCCGAGTTTTACTGGGTGCTTAAGGTCTCAAATAATCAAGGGAAAAATTTCGAGAAAAGAGAAAATAAAGCGGAAAGGAGTAAAAATAAAAATTCGATTGCCGAGATTAAGGGAATATGGCCGATTGCTCTTTACTACTGTCAAGTAAAGAATTTGGCCTGTAATAATTATGCTATTCAAAATTAATATCATATTTTTATGCACTATTTGATTAATTCTATTAAAAGCGAAAATTTTAATTTTTTAGATGCAAGGATATGCTGGGTGCATTTATTGGATCTTAAGTAATATATAAAATACATTATTTAAGTTAGCATTAGCATTTTCTAGTTAGCATATTTAATTATCAATGATATATAATTATTTTTAAAAGCATTAAATGAATAATTTCTCTTAAGAAAGCCTTCAATTAAATAATTCTCTCATTATATCTAAAAGAGGCAACTTAAGTGGAGCCACAATGAAATTTCAATTTAGATAGCAATTTATATCATACTAACCTTGTAGATTTAGCTTACTCCCTTCTTTAAATTGGAGCAAACAATTGGTAAAACTTCACTCTTCAATTTTAGGGAAAATTTATATCTGACAAAATAACACCCTATATATAGATTTTACCGCTTTAACGGGGGAGTACAAGTATAAAGCTATTCAAATAGTTGATAGCCTAATTTTATGAATAAATCCTTCATAAAAATAATTAAAAAAAAATAAACCCCCTTGAAATTGGAACTTTTTTTTTTCCCCCCAATTTAAGTAGAGGGAGTTAGTTTATTGGGTTCTTGTTAAACTCAGCCTTGAAGTCCTCAGTTTGTTTGATGTAATTCACAAACGCTCTGACGTTTTTGAAAGCTGGAAGTGCCTCAGCAGGAATGATATAGCCAAGTTCATCCTCCATTCTCACTACAAGTTCGACCGCATCCAAGCTATCTAGACCGTGATCAGGGAGATAACTATTAATAGACAGAGCAGCTTTATTGCAGGTGCGGAAGTAGTTTTGAAGCAGATTGAGGACGTACTTTTCGATCTCTTCTTCTTTCCTAAGCACTAACTCTCCCACTTGGTTAGCTAGTAAAAACACCTTGCTCTCTTATCAATCAATATTTTAATAATATAATATAAAAAAAAAAAAAAATCTATTTTATTTATAAAATTTGTATTTTAAAATACTAATTAGCTGGATTTTTTATAATAAGCATCATTATGTGCATGCTAAAAAAGAGTTTGTATCAAAAATAATATTAAAATATTTTTGCTCGCTACAGGTTAATTTTCCTAAAACTAGGATTTTTAAATGATTTTGCTTGCTAGCCAAAGGGGAATAAGTAGTTTCGTGGAACAATTGTCCCTTCCTTGTCATAAACCATAGGAGAAAGTTTGGTCATGTCTTCGTTATGAGGGAAGGCACTCGCTTGCATCATTGAGGTTGACATAAATCTGAGAGCCACTCTTGGTCGCCAAAGCATTTTTATAAGAGGGTAAATTATTAGGAAATTAAAAATTAGTGAGGCCATAGCGGCTGAAATGATTTGAAGATCTCGTTTTGCAGCTGAGAAGCTTTGCGCAGTTTTCTTTGTCGATTTTCAGCAATTTCTCGAGACTTGTCCGAAAGTAAATTCGGCTTTTCAGATATAAAAGAAGTCTCATCAGATTCCTTTCTTTCCTTCGAAGGGGTGTAGTTTAATCTTTCACTGAATTTTAGAAAACTTGTCGATCTTGATTTTTTTATATTTGGAGAAAAAGTCAGGGTGTCTTTTTCCTTAGTCCCCTCCGTGAGCGAACAAAAATTTTTTAATGTAAAATTTTAATTAAAAAAAATTATATATAAGTGATAAAATAGTATAATGAAATCTCCAGCTAATTCTGGTTAATTTTAAACAGGCTGCACATTAAAATATAAATTCTACAAATTAATAAATATGAGCTTTCCAGTTTTTGCGAATTGGATTTTAAAAAAATTAACCCCCTCCAAAATTTTTTTATTCGCTCATGGGAGGGAAGTTAATTATTTTCTGGTGGATTAGTAAATCTCTATTTGATTGGTATTGGTCTTGTTTTTCTTTCATTCTTCTATAAAAATCATTGTAATTTCCACTGCTTTCTGATGATTTTTTATATGAAATGAGTGTAGCTGTGCTTTCTGAGGCTTTTTTTCTTTCCTCTTCAATTTTTTGCGATTTTATGGTTTCGTACATCTTAAACTTGTCAAGGATGTCAAATTTCAAGCTACCGTGCCTATTATGATATTTCTCACTCCCCTTCTGTAAGCGAACAAAAACATTGGAAAATCTCTACTTTTTGATCTCTCTGTGAGCCTAAAAGAAGATCTTTTAATATAAATATTTTATTAAAATATTTGATATGTAAGCAATAATTAATATAATGAAATAATAAGGTAAGTTTTTTTTCCAGTGTAATTTTTGAAAAACCATTGATTTTTTTACTATAAAAAAGAATAATTCTCCGTCATTTTTGACAGTAAAAAGGCAGAAGGAAAAAAGCACACTTTTTTTTCCCTGATGACCCAATATGGATTTTGATTCCAAAAATGGGAAAATGTCCCGATATGTGGAGATCCTCCCTTAATTATGCCACAAAGAAATAAAATGGTGACGTATGACGGAGTTGAGCTCCGATGCGTCTCACCCATTTTGGGCAAGGCAGGGCTCCACAAATCCATTCGACCGAAGTATGACCGGGTTGGGGTCTAGTAGGGCATGGAGAAGGAGTCTCTTGTCCTCCCCGGGTGAAGTTTTGTTTCTACTCAGTAGGTTTGCCCAGCTCAGGCTGGGTTTTGTCCTACCACCTAGTCCTTCTCTGTCGGGACTAGCGAAGCGCTCAGACGCGGGCGAAGAACTCAGGTGGGCTAACCCTTGGATTCGAATGGTTCAGACCGGAAAACCAAGTAAGCAATGGGAAGAGGAATTTCCCGCTTGGAGCCGAGACGGGGCAAAGGCTAGTGTGCAAACACTTATGGCCAGTTTAGCACTTTAACTTAACTAACTTAATTATGCCAACGCATAATATATAAACCCTCTATGGGAGCAAACAAAATTTTTTTGTTCGCTCGCTGAGGGATAGTCAGCAAATTCTCTTGTTTTTTTCGAAATCACTGGAGAAAATGTATACTTTTTTTGAGGACTTTTGCCTGCAGAATTCATTTGTCTTACATAGTAGCGGTGAGCTGTATGAAGCATTAAATAAGGACTTGCCGGCTCTTGAAATGGAGTGATTTCAACAGTTGCTATAGAAGTGACTGATGATTTATATCGATTTCTTATAATCGAAATGTACCATTTTTGTATTCTTTCTGCAGCCTTAGTTAATTTTTGGAATCTGTTCCTATAAAATGTCTGAATCTTTCTAATGGCTGCAACGCAGATACCAATAGGTTTATAAGTTTTCCTCGATTTGTGACCTCTTCATATTTTTTGTATAAATCTTGCATTAATAAATAAATGTCTCAAATTTCTGAAGTATTTTCTGGAGAGATATCCTCTATAATATGACTGAATTTTTATGATAATGGGAAGAGTGTCTGTGTAGTCAAATAACTCAAAATGCGATAAAATTCTTTTGAAAAAATTATAAGTCTTATTTGATGCCAAAATTAAGGAGTTTGTTCTCCTTAATGGCTTGTAGTTTGCACGAATATTTTTAGGCCATTTATGAACTTCATTAGAAATATAGGACTTGTCAAAAGAAATGTCAATCTGTGAGTAGGACTTTTCTAGAGCTTTTGCTTCAAAATTGTATTCTTGGCTTCGTATGTGGCCAAGAATGATAAAATATGAATTTGAGTTCGAAATCTGATTTTCGTATTTTTTAGAAATCTGAGAAAAATAATTGTTTGAGATTGTTAAATGCTTAAAGTCTTCTTGCTTGAGCATGACCAGTTCATCATTGCAGCGGAAATCTTTTATTTTTAATTTATACCTGACTCATTCAATGACATCTTGGAATAAAGACTCATTTTGCTTTGTCATTATTTTTCGTAGTTTTACTATAGGGATCCAAAATGGGAACCCATAATAGTACCAATTAGCAATAGGCAATAGTATTCCTTTGTTTAGCTCTTCACAAAATTCATACTTTGCTTTAGAATTAGTTATATCGTAGACCAAAAAACAATTAAAATCCAAATGATTTAGCAGGTAAGACAGAGATTTTTTATGGGTGTCATAAAGTGACGTGTGAGCGACATCTGAGTCACTGCAGATTTTTGGAAGCATTCTTGAAAGAATTTTATTGGTCGGCTTGCTTATTAGAGGGTAATATGTTGATGTCGGCAAAAAATTCTGTGACTCATTGAGGAGGTTGGAAACATTATATGCTATTTCTCCATATGAAAATTTTATTCTGCAGGATAATAAAGAATCAGTAGATATGAAGTCATTAAAAATAGATTTATTTTGATAGTTTCCTATAAACTCTTTTCAATATCTTTGAAAATTGTCTGAGCTCAAATTACTCACAAATTGGTCTGGCTTAAATAAAGTATCTATAAGGTTTTGGCAATGAGGGACAGATATAATTTATGCACCATAATAGATCGCTATACACCAGTAGAATAACAATCAGAAAAAATATAGTCTGGGGCACTTTCTTTATACAGTCCAAGTCTGATTATGCATCTTAAAACTATAAACGAGATTTGTCATTTTTGTTTTTACTTTTCAAAAAAGCTGGTAAGTTATTATTAATTTTAAAAATTAAAATGGATGGTCTATAATGATCTAAAATATTTCAGGGGCTATAAATAAGTTATGTCAGTTTCCTGTCTTTTCACTGCTTGAATAAGCTCAAAGTAAGATCGACATGAAAAGAGCTTTAAGCTTTCTAAGGCCCAATTAATATACAGCCCACCCAAAGAATCTCGATAGTCGAAATTTGGAAAATTTACTAGAGAAATTGAATATGTTCCTCTGTATGTTTCCTCATTTTCATCCTTCGATAAACTTAAGCTTTTTCTGGTTTGAATGACACTTCCTGATAGCTTGTCAAGCATTTCGTCAATTTTTGTTACTAATCAGTCAAATGTCGCCCTATATATCAGCCTTGCAAGATCTAATACCATTATTTCAGCTTCTCGCTTTGATCCAGCGTTCCCAAAAAAATTAACAAACACTTCTTGACTCACATTGAAGGCCCTGCAGAGCCTGCTTAAATTTTCATTTGCTTTTGGGACCCATTTTTCTCTATTATTTTGCCCTGCAAGAGTAAATTTGCCACAAGTAAATGTGATTTCAAACAATAGCACTATCATTGCTAAAGAGTCTTTTATTTTTTGTATGTCTTGCTGCTTGATTTTAAGCGAGTTCATGATTTCCAGGATATTTTCACTGTTTTGAAGCTCCTTTGATATAAGTTTATACTTTTGGTCAGGGTTGAGCATAGGGTTTGAGGGGAGGCTTTTTAAGAGAGAAAAAATATTGTTGAAAATTGGGTAATTTTTATCACTGTTAGTTGATAGGAAAGTTGGGTCAAGGAGTTTCGCTCTTATAGAAGAGCCAACGAGCCGATGCTTTATGTCGAAAAATACTTGTACAGCAATTCCTGTATAAGTTACATCAACGTTTTGATAGATACTTGTACCAAATAAATTGATAAGCTTTATGGAGTTTTTGACTGCTTGGATAAATAAGGAGTTTTGCTTTAAAATTTTACTGGATTCTTGCTTGCTGGAAAGATACAGCAAGTGGTCGAGCTGTCTATCAAGATTTGTGTAATTATTTGAACATTTCCCAAGATTCAAAATGCCTTGGCTCGCTTGTGTGCTAATTAGGGAGTTATAAGCTCTTCTGCTAATGTTAAATAAATGAGGGCTTTTTTCATCAATCTTATAGAAATTTTCATCTCCTTCTGCATTGTATTCATTTTCCACTAAAATTGGGCCTAGGGAGGTATATCTTAATCCTTGGCTTAGCCGAGTGTAAAGCGTTTCCATCATAGGACTATCATGATAATTGTAAAAATATCCAAAGTTTTCTCTCTCGTTTTTGTAAAATCGGTCTTCAGTTAAAGTTTCATTGTGCCAATTGATTTGGTTGCCTTTTCATGCTGCACTTTCGCCATTTGTAAATGTTTTCATTCTAACGATAAAGACTTATTTAATTTCTACTTAACATTCCATATAAATTAATTAACCCTTCTGCCGATTTTGAGCAAAGTTTTTTCATATTTGAACTGCCTTTAATTGGAAAAAAAAATCTCTATTTTAATAAAATTAATTTTATTTAAAACAATGAGCTCCTATATTCAACAGCTTATTATGCAATTAGTTTACTAATTATCTTTTACTATAAAAATATTCCAACTCAGTTTATTTTCAGCACTGAAATAGAGCATATCTTCCACTATAAAATTAAAATTTTGTCTCAATTTAACAAAGGTCAATAACTACGAAAAAGTTTTAATCCAATTTGAGAGAGAAAAATTCTTAATTTATTTTTAATAGTGGAGAATTAATAAAATTTCTAATTTATCACACATTTTCAAATATATTAAATTAATGCTTCGCTTTCTTGACTGTCTTTCCATCATCGTCTCTTTGTGAGTTAACTAATCCCCATAGTCTCTCAAAAGTCGGTTTATCTAACTCACTACCCCTGCTTGCTGATAGAGAGGGAAGATTTTTTTAATAGATATTTGAAATGAAGACCTTATTCAATTTATAAAATTTACATTTATAATTCAGTAATCTATAATTTAATATTATTACTAGAGATTTCATTATTATGATTATTATTAATTAATTTAAAAAATTTTCATTCTCCCAAAGTAATGGTTTTACTCACTATAGAAGGGGAAGGGAGTAAGTTATCCACTTTTATTTGAACCCTTTCTGAATCAAGCTCTTCAAGTGCTTTTCTACATTGGTTCTCTACAATTCGTACAACTTCAGCCAAGATATCATTAGGAGATTTCCTAACTTTTTCAGCCAAATCAACTTTTGCCTCAAAGCTTATAAATTGATATAGATTTATTTTAAATTAAATTTCTGTCGAATTATATCTGAATTTTAGTAAATAAATAAATTACTGGATCGATCTTGCAAAACAATTTAATCAAATAGGAATAATTTCTGGAGAGGTAGAGACTTCTGGCTGAGGAGCTGGGGTTTCTTCTCTTGGTCTTTTCTGCGGTCTATTACTGATTAATCCATGCTTTTCTGACCTTCCCTTGATTAGCGAGCAAAACAATTTTTTAATAATAATTATTTTGATAAAATATTTTTTTATATCATTAATTGCATTAATTTTTTTCATATATTGGATTAAATTAATTCATACAGTGTGTGCATTTAGGATGTTTTAATTAAAAAAAGTGTTAATTACGACTATTTGCATATAAATTTTTGTATTTTAGCCCAAAAAATCTTGCTCACTACGCAACAAGGAGTGAGTAGTATTTTTTAGTTTTACTTTCCATGTGTTCAGCTTGCAAATAAATTGGCTAAGTAGGGAATTACAGATCCAGCTTGGTTATATGTTTTGCAGTTTTCCCATATAAGGTTGACATCGGCGAGTACTTCCTTGATGGAGCTATATTTCTCTGACTTTATCTTCTTTTTTACCGTTGAAAGGTCCATAGGGCGCTTTATAATCAAAGGGTAGTCGTCGAGGCCGGAGGCTTTATAGTCAACAGGCTTTAGAAACAGGAAAGCGTCATTTTGTTTTTCCAAGTGCTTTATTAAATCTAAACATTTTTTGGAATCTTCCTTCGCTAGACTTTTCTTTTTTGGCATATCTTGCTTTGACTGGGGATCCATTCTAAATTATTTTTACAATATGGAGGATAAGGGGAAATTAAATTGTAATTTAGTAAATGAAAGTCTATTAACACATCATTAAGAGCAATTTGAGCATTCATTTTTGGATTGTAATTTAATTTGATATTAAATGCCTTAAAGATCTAATGGCTCTGGTTTTAAATATTTGCTTTAATATTAGATTAAAAACATTTAATTTTAATTTGAATAACTAAAAATGATTTCTCGCAATATTCAAAATTTGGTAATTTCAAAAGAAAATAAAGAAGATGCAAAAAATGACACAGAAATCTGTGTGTGAACTAATCAATTTTCTGAAAGTAGAAGAAGAAGCCTAGCTACCCACTTGAGCACCGAAAGTGACTTTACAGATGATTTTAAAAATGCTTTTGATGATAGAACTCAACCATCAGCTGCACTATCAGCACTCCCATTTGCCCCGAACCCAAATATCCTAGGTCTTGCTAGCAACAATCCAAACCTGCTATCCAATCCAGCTGAAACGCCTCAATTCACAATAAAAAATTCACTAGATACTCATCCTCGTTCAAGTCTAAGCTCAACTGACTTTGATTATAAAATGATTGATTAGATTAATTAGCTAGCGGGTCACGGAGGTTTATTTCAGCCTCTACCCAGCACTGCCAGCTTCAGGCTCGCGCCCTATGCACCGGCTCTGTAGCTCACTCCATTTTCTGTCGACGTCACCAAAAAATGGTGACGTCGCCATCTAACAGGGAGACTCACCCAGGTACTCCTTGATCAGGAGTCTAGTGACCCGGCGCCTTCCTTTCCGGGGAGGGAGAAAAGTAGCCTCCCTGAGTCTCCTTCAGGTCCCCGAAGCTCCCCACATAAAGATCTTCCTCACTTCCCTTCTAGTCCTGAAGTTTGACTCCTGATACATCGGCTCTGGTCTTCTTGTCTCTGTGAGAGGTAAAAAACCTTGTCGTGGTGTCCCGACCAAGGTAAAAAAACCCACCCTGGACACAATACCCAGGCCCCGTTTACTTCTTAAACCCGTAGTCCCTGAGGGTACAGGAGAAGGACGGGTCGGGTGGCTCGCCATTTTAATTGTGTAAAATGATTGAAGAAGTTGACAAAAGAAACACTCCACCATCAAAACGCAGAATAATCACAAGTGACCCTGCAAAACTATGAAAAGCTCTCGAAAGCCTAGAAATGGATTTACTGAGAAAAATTGATATCCTCACTAAAAAAAACGAAATTTATGAGCAAAAGCTATCAAATTATGAAAGATCATGTAAATACTCAAAAGAGTGCATGCAAACCCTTTCTTTTAGAATAGAAGAGGCTGATATAAAAATCAATGTATTTTTCATATAGAACCTAAAGCAGCTCAAAGAAGCCGACCAAGTAAGACTTTGCATAATTGAAAACAAATTGAATGATTTTGAAAAATTGGAAAACTTTAACAGAGAAAACTTCATCAGGATTGAAAAAACGATTGATGAAATTGAAAAGAATAAAGAAGAAAATTGCAAAGAGCAGGGCTATATAACTGAACCATTATTCACAGAAAGTATCAAAAAAATTGAAGAAGCCCAAAAAAGCTAGCTCACTCTTGAAGGATGCTATTTTATTTTAAAAAATTTATAAAATTTTATAGAAAAATTTATAAAATTTTATAGAAAAATTTATAAAATTTTATAGAAAAATTTATAAAATTTTATATAGAAAAATTTATAAAATTTTATAGAAAAATTTATAAAATTTTAAGTAAAATTTTAATTTTAAAAAATTTAAAAAAATCCGAAGTAAAAATTAATTTAATTTGCAAAATTTATGTTTTAAAAATGCAACTGTTTAAAATTAAACAGCTAAGCAACAGAATAAACAATAGTAGAGGGGGAATCAAGGAGATAGAGTCTGTGCTAAAAAACAAATATGACAAAGAAATGAAAATTCTCAAAAATGAAATCATCAATCTCAGTCATCATAACAAACTCTCAATGGACAGTTTGCAAGATGAAATAGCAAGTCTAAAGAAATATTTATCAGAGAAAAAGAATGAGGATTTGGAGTTCATCATTCAAAATTTAAATAACAAAGAGCAAGAAAAAACGGAACCTTCCTCACAAAATTCTCAAACGCCAGAAATCGTAAAGTTTATCTAGATCTCAGTTGAAAATTCAGATGAGGAAAACTCACAAAAGGCACCAAAAATCCCCAGCTTTTCTTTAAGCTTTAGAAACAGGAGCGGGATTGCCAGTGGTATTTCAAGATCTGCAAGCGTAAAGGATATAGTCCCTCCATTAGACATTTCAAGAACAGAGAGAAGACATCAAGAAACAGCTAGGCCCACATACAGAGCCCAGTCAATTACAGAAAGATACCAGCCTGAAGAGGAAATAAAGAAAGTTCCAGAAGCAGTTGAAAGCATTGTGATTAATTCGATTCTAGGGAGAATCAACAACGAAAGAACTTCTGAAGAGCTGAGGAAGAGAAGGCTTTACGCGACTAGATCAGCTTCCCCCTTTGTTTCGCTCTCAGCCTCTCAATCACAAGTTGGGTTTGAATGAGATGGAAATTCTTCAGAGCAGCTCAAAGAAACCTTGATGAAAAAAGGCCTCAGCTTCAAAAATACCTGGAGACTATAAATATATTTTTTTTGTTATTAACTTGTTTATAAAATTAAAATGGCGTGGCAAGCCAGTCAACCCTCTGAACTCTGTAGCTGACATAACGCAGGGTGCACAGGATCGTGAGGAAGGGATGATAGCGTTCGGGAATGTGTATCCGTTAAGTTTTTCTTGGTTTAGTGAAGCGCAGTGTCGGGTTGCCTGAATGCATGCTTTACTCCAATGCCAAGTATTTTGCCTTAGTGCGAAAATGGTCCTGAAGTTGGAAAGGGGCCTCGCAGCAGAGCCAGCCTCTTGTAGAGCTAACTCACAGTAAAGGAAATTAACATGTCAATTAGCTTCGATTAATCCAATCCATATTATTTAGTTAGTCAAGACTCACTCTTTAAAGATAGTTTATTAGGAAAATGATTGCTTGAAATACTATTAAAACTGTAGTGGCAGCAAAGACGGATGAATTAAACCTTGAGACTGTGTAAAATGATGACTTTTCTTCTGCTTTTCTAGAGCCAAAGTTCCATTTAAATTCATTTTTTTCTTCTATAGTATATGAGAGTTCAGGAATATAAGTCCTGTCTAGCTCTTCTCCAATATAGCCTGCAATTTTTATTTTATCAGCTGAAACTTTGGCTTTATAGCCAATATCTGACATGATCAGATTAGAAGGTAGGCTGTCTATAATGTGCTTCAAATTCATCTTCTTAATGCTGTCATAAGACTTTCCTCTGAAAATATCACTAAAAAAGTAGCTAAAATGATCAGTCATCGAAATCCCGAGCTCTTCATTTGATCCATATGATTTTGCCATCTGCCCAGTTAAGCTGCTTGCCATAGTGTAAACATTGGGCAAATCCACATAGTTAAACATACTGAAGGCTTGGCAAGTGTCCAAAATGATCAGCAGTTCTCCAAACCTTTCTTTAGCATTCATTTCTTTGATGGCCTCCCCTAAATCCACATTTCTCAAAACCATTGTATCTTGAATTTTTAAGAAGCTGTCCCCTCCGTGCCCGTTCATAAAGAAAAATACTTTGCTATTTGGGCCTGACCTCAGCCTTTTGCTAATAGGAGTTGATGGGTCATGTCTTCCAGTCAAAACCCTCACAATGGACTCAGGCGTCAGGTCTTGCCCTCTGTAGTCAACTTCTATATTTCCTGCATAAATATCTTCCTGATGTTTTCCATCATACATGCGTCCAGGGTAAGAGTTTCTTGGATGGCAAGCAACATTTTCAGGAAGCATGAAAATGATATGATCATCTTGGATTCCATATCGCTTTATCATCTGATAAATTAGCAGCGCATTTACTGTGTGACGGTAATTGAAATAAAATTTAGAGGAGTTCAAAATGATTGCCCAGTTGTCTGTTGCAGATACAAAGAAGTTCAGGAAGAGCAGCAGATAAATCATTTTTATTAAAGAAAGAAACTAAAAGATTACTAATTTTTAGCAATTAATACCTTCAAGAAATTCCACTTGAGGTTATGGTTACTCTCCCACTTGGCTTATGATTAGTTTTTTACTCTCTTAAAAAGGGCTACATTTTTTAATTTTATGTAAAATAGAGATAAATTTATTGTTTATATGCAAACTAACGTACATTAAAAATGGCCAATTGTTTTAATTTTTTTTGCTTAAATATTTATAATATAACTTTCGAAAGCAATAGATTAAAATTGATAGGATATCACCTCAAAATAATCAAAATGAAATTATCTCCAAAGCAAATGAGCTAAAAAAAAGGCCAAAACCACTAGGCTAAAAAAATAGGTCAGTGGATGTGGAGTAAGCACCCGCGAAGTTACGGGATCAATATCTAGAGCCAATTAAGCACAAAAACGCATATTTAACCTAATTACAATTGTATCATTTGAAAAAGAAATTTACCCGTCACTATATAAATAATTAAATATTAATCTATTTCTGAAATCTCAATTGCTTTGTGACAATTTACTTTAAAATACACTGCATGCAAGGGCGCAGGCACATTGAGGATTATCTTGCTGATGTCTCTTCCTTTTCTTCCTATGCCTGGCATTTTCAACCATATCCTCAAATTCAATTCTTTTTGCTGGCCCATTTAAATTTAATTGCTCTCCTCCACTTACTTTCTTCGCTTTTATTGTGCTGCTGAGAATATTCCCTAAAAGCGTCTCAAATGCTTTATTTACATTTTCCGCTGTATTCGCTGAAGTTTCTATATACATCATATTATTGAATTTCTGCGCAAACTGAATAGCTTTGGTTTGGCTAACCTTTCTATCACTTTCCAAATCTGTTTTATTTCCTATCAATAGTATGCAAGAGATATTTGTTGCGAAGTTTGACAATTCATTTAATCAGTTATTCAATCCAGCAAAGCTTTCTGCATTTGTTATATCAAAAACTAGCAATGCTCCTACTGCTCCTCTGTAAAATGGATTCATAGCAGGCCTTATTCTTTCCTGTCCAGTTGTATCTCAAATTTCTGCTTTTACTATTTTTCCTTCAATTTCTACAGCGTGAAAAGCATTTTGAAAGCCAATTGTCGAGCGAATTTCAAAGGAAAATTGGTTTTTTGTAAATCGGGTAAGTAGCGAAGTCTTTCCAACACCTGAATCCCCAATCAAAACAACTTTATAGCTATACTGCACTTCATTTTCATTACTGTCCATTTTGCAATAAGAAGATTATTTATGCCTTAATCAAAGGGAGTCTTAAAAATATAAATCACTTATTTTTCTAATCTATTTATACTTGAACTAGTATATATAGAAATCAAAATGTTTACTTTAAAGTTCATTGCAATAAACTTCATTTGCCAGAATTACAATCCAAATATTTATAGCTACTATATAGATAATCATCTCAAGTTTCATGTTGATACAATAAAGGAGAGATATATATACCAATTGTCTCTTATAATGCTTATGATTTTTTAAGCTTAATGTAGACAAATAATGAAATTTTGCAGTGCTATTAAAATTTCACTTCTGAAAAATTATCATAGATACTAACTATCAAGCAAACTTGTATCAACTAATTCATAAAAAATCTTATTTGAGGTACAATCAATTAGTGCACATGTGCGCTACCACATTATTTTTATGGTTTTCTGTGGCAATTTCTGCACCAAATTAAAATCCATTCACGAGAAATAAACCAGTTTAGAACTATAAAACAAATTAAAATAAGCACTAAGAACATAAAATATAATAGAACTGTTAGGATTATAATTTTTACCTGGGGAAATAAACTTTAACTAAGAAAAGAAATAATAGCTTATTATGATTCTATAATTATGTCGTGGAAGATGCTTCAAAGATGGTTGTACAAACCAGCTTTATGGGAAATGTGAATGCGAAGGCATTGTCTTATTTTGCAAAGACCATGGCTTTGAGCACTTAGAAAAACAACTTCTAAAGGACATCGATGCCTAAGACTATACTTTAAGCCAGCAGAAGAAATTAAGCAGCCAATTATTGATAAACTAATAGCACTCAAAGAAGATATCAAAAACTACAAAATTGACGCACTTATCAACGCAAATACAATTATCAAGAATTTTAAAACTACGCTTGGAAGATATATTGATCAGATTAATGAAGTAGAAGCAAGAATCAATAAGATGCTTACAATTTTATATAGTGGAGAAGAGGTTCTTGACATTGCTAAAGATGATGATATGGAAAGTGTGCTTAAATTAAATGCTTCAGATGTTCAGTGGAAGATGAGTGGATGAGATATAAAAGAGTGTTACCTAGACTATAAAGATATCAATGCAGCAATTAGTAAAACTTATGGAATACCTTTTAATCCTTTTATGCAACCTATAGAAGATATCATTGAATGAAATGAACTCTCATTTTTTAGGCATATGCACTTCAAATTTTGCAACTATAAACTTAGATACCTTCCAGATTTCTTCTACTGCAACTCTTCCAACTCAAGAACCAATTATCGGATACACTACAAGCTGTATACTTCCTGATTATACTTATTTCTATTGTTGCAATTATAGCACTAGTTCAGGCTTAGTGTTTACTATTGACAAAAATAAAAATGTTAAATACCTCCAAAATTCAAAAGTAAATTATCATGCTGATCCTATCTTTTATAATAACTTCATCTATTTAATTGGAGGAAATAAAAACTTGGCTGAAAGGTATGATTTTAAACGAAACGTGTGGGAAAGCATGGCTCCACTACCTCAAGGTTTGGATTTTAGAATTGGTTGCAATGCTTTATATAGAGATTTGATTCTTATAACGAGCTATGGTATTCAAAAAATTATATTCCTAATTAAAACTTTCACCGTCTTACTATTCATTATATAGAAAAAGATAATCAGTATATAAAACTTTATTCAATATAAAAGGGTATAATTTATAGCATAACTCAAAACAACTACCAAGAAGTCCCCAATTTGCTGTTAAATGGCAATTATTATTATAAATTTATGCTGAGAGGGAATAAAAGAGTTTATTTATTTGAGAAAGGGGGAAGGACTTTTGAAAGTGCTGAAAACAATGTTTTTAGTTGGACTCAAATAGGGACTAATAGCATTCCTAACAGTTATAATCAATCAAGTGCTGTTCGCTATAAGGGTTGCCTTTACTTCGTTGTTTATCCAAATCAGCTGTGGAAATTCGATCTTAGTTCTAAGCAAGCATCTCAAGTAGCAACAGTCTAAAATAAAAATTTAGAACTTTAATAACTCTCTATACTCTTAAACAAAATGGTAGCGCAGTTAATCTATTCTCACTATAGGTTTAGAATTTAGCTAACTTACTCCTAAAAAGCATAATATAAATAAAATTTTGGTATCATTTATAAATTTGCTTAGGCATGTCCTGAATTAGAAGACTAATGTTGCGCAGGGAAAGTGTCCATGAAGTCTATCAGCTCTTATATCAGCTAGGTTTTAACACCAGAAAATTTATGTCAAGTTTAGGGTATGACAAAGTTACCACTTTTCTCATTACATAACGCCAAGCCTGAAGATGGCAGCAGGTAGCTGGTGGAGAAGAGCGGAGAAAATTACCTTCGGGGAATCACAGGAGCTTTTCAAATAATCTTAATTAATTTTAATAGACCCTCTTCGCTACTACACTTAAAAACATAAACAAATAATCTTGCCTAACCTCGAAGTAGTCCAAATATTCAAGCTATCCCACTCGATTATGATAACGAATTCAGACAATTCTGCAGCATGGTCATCTTCAAAAGGGTGTGAGATAGTAAGAAAATACATAATTAATAAATAGCAAGTACAAGCCTTTTTCTGATACATCTATAAATAATGTGAGGGAAAAGCACAATCATCAAAAATAGTTGATTGATTATCTCTATTTATTTAAATAAATATCCAATTTAAAATTATTGACTAAAACAAATTGTTGTTGTTGTTAGCTAAACGAATAATCATTTCTCCCTTTATGCAATTCTAATATTTTTATTTAATTTACTCTAAAATAAAAATAGCTAATTCTTCATTTCAGCTTCTGTTAGGGTGTTAGGGTGTTAGGGTGTTAGGGTGTTAGGGTGTTAGGGTGTTAGGGTGTTAGGGTGTTAGGGTGTTAGGGTGTTAGGGTGTTAGGGTGTTAGGGTGTTAGGGTGTTAGGGTGTTAGGGTGTTAGGGTGTTAGGGTGTTAGGGTGTTAGGGTGTTAGGGTGTTAGGGTGTTAGGGTGTTAGGGTGTTAGGGTGTTAGGGTGTTAGGGTGTTAGGGTGTTAGGGTGTTAGGGTGTTAGGGTGTTAGGGTGTTAGGGTGTTAGGGTGTTAGGGTGTTAGGGTGTTAGGGTGTTAGGGTGTTAGGGTGTTAGGGTGTTAGGGTGTTAGGGTGTTAGGGTGTTAGGGTGTTAGGGTGTTAGGGTGTTAGGGTGTTAGGGTGTTAGGGTGTTAGGGTGTTAGGGTGTTAGGGTGTTAGGGTGTTAGGGTGTTAGGGTGTTAGGGTGTTAGGGTGTTAGGGTGTTAGGGTGTTAGGGTGTTAGGGTGTTAGGGTGTTAGGGTGTTAGGGTGTTAGGGTGTTAGGGTGTTAGGGTGTTAGGGTGTTAGGGTGTTAGGGTGTTAGGGTGTTAGGGTGTTAGGGTGTTAGGGTGTTAGGGTGTTAGGGTGTTAGGGTGTTAGGGTGTTAGGGTGTTAGGGTGTTAGGGTGTTAGGGTGTTAGGGTGTTAGGGTGTTAGGGTGTTAGGGTGTTAGGGTGTTAGGGTGTTAGGGTGTTAGGGTGTTAGGGTGTTAGGGTGTTAGGGTGTTAGGGTGTTAGGGTGTTAGGGTGTTAGGGTGTTAGGGTGTTAGGGTGTTAGGGTGTTAGGGTGTTAGGGTGTTAGGGTGTTAGGGTGTTAGGGTGTTAGGGTGTTAGGGTGTTAGGGTGTTAGGGTGTTAGGGTGTTAGGGTGTTAGGGTGTTAGGGTGTTAGGGTGTTAGGGTGTTAGGGTGTTAGGGTGTTAGGGTGTTAGGGTGTTAGGGTGTTAGGGTGTTAGGGTGTTAGGGTGTTAGGGTGTTAGGGTGTTAGGGTGTTAGGGTGTTAGGGTGTTAGGGTGTTAGGGTGTTAGGGTGTTAGGGTGTTAGGGTGTTAGGGTGTTAGGGTGTTAGGGTGTTAGGGTGTTAGGGTGTTAGGGTGTTAGGGTGTTAGGGTGTTAGGGTGTTAGGGTGTTAGGGTGTTAGGGTGTTAGGGTGTTAGGGTGTTAGGGTGTTAGGGTGTTAGGGTGTTAGGGTGTTAGGGTGTTAGGGTGTTAGGGTGTTAGGGTGTTAGGGTGTTAGGGTGTTAGGGTGTTAGGGTGTTAGGGTGTTAGGGTGTTAGGGTGTTAGGGTGTTAGGGTGTTAGGGTGTTAGGGTGTTAGGGTGTTAGGGTGTTAGGGTGTTAGGGTGTTAGGGTGTTAGGGTGTTAGGGTGTTAGGGTGTTAGGGTGTTAGGGTGTTAGGGTGTTAGGGTGTTAGGGTGTTAGGGTGTTAGGGTGTTAGGGTGTTAGGGTGTTGGGTGTTAGGGTGTTAGGGTGTTAGGGTGTTAGGGTGTTAGGGTGTTAGGGTGTTAGGGTGTTAGGGTGTTAGGGTGTTAGGGTGTTAGGGTGTTAGGGTGTTAGGGTGTTAGGGTGTTAGGGTGTTAGGGTGTTAGGGTGTTAGGGTGTTAGGGTGTTAGGGTGTTAGGGTGTT